CCCCCCCCCCCCCCCCCCCCCCCCCCCCCCCCCCCCCCCCCCCCCCCCCCCCCCCCCCCCCCCCCCCCCCCCCCCGCTCAGGTCAGATGGAGGGGCGCAGATGTGACCGACTGGAGTCCACGTCGCAGTCCGCTGCAGACAGAAACCACGAGGTTCCCTGCCATGGTGGTGTGAGGGCGTTGGTTGCTGTTGATCTGCCGCGGTAGTCTGTCTCTGGGGCCAGGTACCGGTGAGCGCTCGGTCCCTCACCACTAGGTCTCAAAAGAGCATTGCGCATGCATGCCTGGCCAGTCGTCTGGGGATGGATGGACGGATGGATGGGATGCAGACTTGCAGTGATGCGTCCAGGATGGCGGCGGTTGATGATTCAATCAGTTAAGCCCCATTCAGCGGGCGGAAGGAAAACGCTTGGCTCCAGTGACATGAGCCCAGTCCTAGTCGACGGACCCCTCGCCTTGGCCCTGACAGAACGGACGAGGTTCTCTGCAGCAATCAGATGGGGAATCCGCCGGCATTTCACGTTGACTGCTGCTTTCGGCCCAGGCTAATTAATAAGGTCACGGACTCACGGTGCTGACTAGCCGCACCTCGTGGGGATGGGAGGCCCCCCGAAGATTATTGCTCAGTCAGTCACTTGATGCCTGATGAGGACAAGACCAGGGCGAGCGGAATGACCAGCCTTGTTTGATTGTTGCTGTAAATTTTTTCATTTTTTTGTATTTCACTCAACTGCTTATTTAAGTTGCGCGCATTAGCGGGAGACAGGGCCTTGTCGACTGGACCTTGTTGCGTTGCTCTGGCGCTACGACGTAGCAGCAGCATAGAGGAACATGAAGACTGGACTCCAGGTCCGGGACTGGACGCACCAAGAGGCCAAGAGCACTAATAGTCCAGAGGCTCCACAGACGCCTTAGCCTCAGACCTTATCGACTGGACTGGCGGCCCCCAGGTAAGGTACGTATACCTGACCTGACCTATAGGTGCGTGTACCGACTGGACTGACACTCCCTCCAGCCCGCAACATCGTCAAGAGCCTCCATCCCACTCCATACGTGCCTCCAATCTCACCACTCAGGTCTCTCTCTGGCTGTGTGATATTTGCTTCCTGTCCCTCGACTCCAGCGGTCCGAGGTTCTGCTGCCGCATCCGCTCGCACACACGCTGCGCTGCCTCTCCCACGCCGATCATTATTCAGGGTCTACGTACATACTTGAATCTTCCATCTTCCCCATCGACTTACACCGAAGTGGGCTCAGAAGGCATTCCATTCAATCACCCCAGCGCCTGCGACGGTATCGAAAAGAAGGTGCCTGGCCATTGCAAGGAGAGGCCCTGCACTTCAGAGCGAGCATAGTTGTCACGGGTCCAGTCATTAGCGGGTTGCGCTACGTTGGGCGGTCCAACTGAACTGAAGAGATTCTCAGCCGCTGCTGTCGAGGGACGTTGCGCGAGAACTTGCGGCCAGACCTGACGACTTGCAACCAGCGGCGGCTCTCCTCACTTATCCCCGTGGCTCGCATCACTGCGTCACAGCTGCGATACCCGTCCCTCTGGGCGCAGCGTTGGGACCAAAACCAATTCATCATTTGGGGCGTGGTCTTGTGTCAGCACACTCGCTGCCTTGAAGATGCGCCTTTGAACCGTCTCTGACGAAGCCAAGGATGCCTACAGTATACGAGCAGGCTGCCAGACAGGACTACTACGCCGACGCGACACTACTCTCACGTAACTCGCCCAGCACGCCCCCGATGCAACCCGTCGCCGTGAACCTGAAGCCCAGTCAATCACCCCCTCCTCAGGTCTCGAGCGTCCCTATTGTCATCCCGCCCGACCCCGACGACGGCCAGGAGCAGCGGCGCTCGCTGGGACCAGAGAGCCAAACACTCACCGGCGACAGGACACTCCTCTACTTGATGGGAGCAGGTCGGAACCTCTACTCCTCAGGGCTGGACTCGACCAGGCCACTGCCGGGCTGTGATCGATCCAATTATGGGAGCAACCACAGGAACCACCAGCTCACACCGCGCTCAGAAGTACGCTCGAATGGACAGGAGGACAAGAGTCTGGGCCGGCGGGAGTCAAGATCCGATGACGGTGGCCGGTCACCTGCGCGCGCCTTGGGCGGCCCTCACCTCCAAGTACTCGCGTCTGGAGCCTTGGAGGCCGTCGACAGACGAAAATACTCCGATCGCGAACAGGCGGCTACGTCCCCTTCTTCGCCACTGGACATATCCATGTCCACGCGCCAACTATCGATCCAGGATCCCCACTCGCCTTCAGCGCCGCGTCCCATACCACGTATAGCCACGCACGAGGACTCTCCGAATGGCTTGCTCAGCCCGCCCAACGGTGGACTCCCTTCCATCGCCTCCTTTGGACCCGATCCCGCCGGGCAGTCACTGCCCTCTCTTCGATCGACGCTCGGCCCCCTCCCGCCCTTCTTTCACCCCGACCTGTCGCCGCGAAGCGCCTTGAGCCCCGTCTACCCTCACTCGCCGCCCTACTTGAGCCCGAATCAGCTACCGCCCATGTCAAACCGGCATTGCTCGCCCCCCATCTCCCCGCCAGACAGCCACAAAAGGGGCCTGCCATCCCCTTCGTCCCTCCAGCCGTCGAGTCCGTATCATACCCTCAGCCAGGGGTCCTCCCATCGCCCCAGCGTTGATTACACCAACGGCGCCGTTGTGGGTGATATCCCAAACCCAGATCACAGGGTACCAGCCGAAGCCCCTGCCCCGGGCGTCAATCGCATGAGCATCGAGGGCATCACCAACCAAGGTCAATTTCGATGCTCCGTCCGCGGATGCACAGCGCAACCCTTCTCGACGCAGTACCTGCTCAACTCGCATGCCAACGTGCACTCGTCCGCGAGACCGCACTACTGCCCCGTGCCAGGGTGTCCGCGCGGGGAGGCCGGGATGGGGTTCAAGCGGAAGAACGAGATGATCAGGCATGGTCTCGTCCACGACTCCCCTGGCTACGTGTGTCCGTTCTGTCCTGATAAAGACCGCAAATACCCCCGGCCGGACAATCTTCAAAGGTAGCGTACGCTTTTTCACGGCCGATGTGAGTCAGGCCCAAACGAACACCAGGCTAACCGTGGCTCGGCAGACATGTGCGATCCCGTCACGTCGACAAGGACAAGAATGACCCCCAGCTGCGCGATGTGCTCGAGCAGCGCTTGGAAGGGCCCCATCGCGGTCGCAGGCGGCGCGTTGGGTCCTGACAGTCCAACTAACTATACGTACATACGGAACTGTTCAGATGATGGACATATATAGCCCAGAGCAGCGACACAAGCCGCTGGCTCACCCCCTTTCGTTTCAAGCGTGTTTTTTTCCTCTTCTTTTTCATTCTTTCCATAGAGCGAAGTTTTATATGTAGTGTGCATAGCAAAAGAATCTTATGGTAGGGATGGATGGATGCGCTGTTGATTCGGCAACGGTACAAAACAAAAGGGCGGACGTTTCAAAGCCAGCAGCTCATCTCATTGCGCTGGGAAAAATATAGTACTTGCAGTCAAACAAGCCACGATGCGGTGACGGACACGTGCAATATCAGTCCAGGTCCCATTATTAGCAGTCCTCCCACACGCCAACTTGCACAGGTGAGTCGCTGAACAACTCGGCCTTGAGGAGATGCCCATCGTTGTGCATCCCGATCCCTTCGATGACCAGCCACATGCCTTCCGCATGCGCCCGCCTGGGCTCAATGTCGAATTCGGGGGTCCTGATGGCAACGCGGGGGTCTAGGAACTCCCCGTCGCCTGATACGGCAAGGACGACTTGGTTGGGACCTGTCCCGTGCACGACGGACAGACGGATTAGCAGGCTGCCACCATGTCCGTGACTTGCGCCACCCTGTGATGCCGCCGCCGCCGTAGTCTTGGTCAACCAGTCGGCGTAGATGGGCAGGCGTCGTTGCTGGACGCTCTCGGACAACGTCAGGGGCGCGAGAGGCGTGTGTAGGCGTCCCGCTGCATCGGCGGGGATGGGTGTCACTGTGACGGGTACGTCTGACGATACACGCAGCCCAAAGCCGGCTTGCTGCCCGGCCTCAAACGTCGAGCATACAATCGTATAGTCCCCTGCGTCTACCAAGGGAGCCTCTGCCACGACGTGGCCCCGCCGATATTCCCCGGACGACACGACGACGTCGCGGACGCGGACGGAGCTGACTCGCTTCCCGTGGCCCCATACTAGATCGGCGTGGATGGGAATGTCCCTGTTGTCAGTGGACAGGAGTATGGAGATTGGTGTCGGCCTGGGGACCGACAGGCGGTACTGGGGGTTCGAAAAATACGTCGTGCACGCTGCGTTGCCTCCTGCGGAGCGTCTGGTCCATGCGCCTATCTCCTCTTTCCGATGTGACATGGCATCAACGGCCGGATGCATCTCCACTGGTTTTTGCGAAAAGACCGACAAAGTAAAGGTGTACTTGGGCAGGGGGAAGTCGTCCTGGGCGAGGACGACGGTGTACACTTTACCGGCGGTGATGTCCAGGCGCGCAAGGGTCTGCGGGGAGTCGACGTATGGCCCCTCGTAGGTCTGCTCCCCCGTGATCTGGACACGCTTGCCGCCAGAGTCGAATACGAGGATGCTCATGAAGCCCAGCTGGCGGGCGGCGGCGGCCATGGTGTCGCCGTGGCTCGTGCGGCCTTTGAGGATCCGGTGCTCGGCGTCCTGGAAATGGCGGCTGGCCAGTATCCAGACGAGACCGCCCTTGGCGGAGGAGATGGCGTATTGCGGATTCTCGGCCAGGGCCGTCTTCAGATGGGGCTGTGGCATCTCCCATTTGAAGTGGCATTCTTGACGATGGGGAAAGAGCCTAGGGTTCCAGTTAAGGTACATGGACTCAAAGTTCTGCGCCACATCCTCCAGAGAGACCCAAACGGCGTTCGTGTTCTGGTCGGTTGCCTCGGGCTGCTGGATTTGCGGCCCCTCTCCAGCCCCAGGGCTACTTGCGAGTGATGCTGGATTCGCCGTGAGCCAGCCCCCGGCCCATACAGGACCGACACACCAGGGGTTCTTGACGAGGAGCCAGCGTCTGCCATCGACCCCGGCCAGGCCCTGCACAGCATAGTCGTGCTCGCCCACGAGGCCGGCAATGCGCTCCTCTTCAGGCGACGTGACACCGGTGCCTATTGTGATGACGACGTCTTCCGCGTCGTGCGCTGCTTTGATGCGCGACCAAATGTGGTTGATGTCCACCTCGTCCCTAGAGCTCGTTAATCTCAGTAAAATGAATCCCACTCGCCCGGAGTACTGTACCTCTGGAGAAACACTTGCTCGGGGATCCAGCCCGTCAACACCCAAAGATCGGTGCCTGAGTTGCTGCCGGGGAAGTCATAGCCTCCCCTGATCTTGAGGTAGGCCTTTTCAAGGAGGGCAGGCCACAGTAGACTCTCGTTCATGCGGTCGACCACGTAGAGCGCGCGATCACTGCTCGACGTCGGCAGTCTATCGTCGATGGTGACCTTCCGCAGGCATCCATTGAAATTCAGGCGGATGACGTATTTTCCCAGAGGGGAATATCGTGGTCGACCTCGACTGTGGTCAAAAGGGAAGAATATTGATGACAGCAACTAAGGGAGAACAAAGGTGTCAGCCGACCATCGAACGGATGCCTCCAAACGCAGAGGGGCGGCTCACAGCATGCTTGCCTGTCAGCACGTTCACTGCGGCAGACAGGCCAGCGACGACTGAGCAGTCGGTGGTGATGTCCTGTACGAGATCACAGGGCTGGTTCTTGGTTTGGAAGAGCTCCGCATCCAAGTCCACGTCCTCCAATTTTGAGCCGCGCTGCTCCAGTAGTTCCTGAGGTCTTTTCCAACCGTCAAATGTCTCCGCTTGGGTGGCTGACAGGGAGAAATCGGCTTCGTCACTTCACATGATCAGCAAAAGTTGATCCTTGTGGCATAGAGGCAGGATGCGCACTCACGTGAAAGCTTGTGCACGCTCGCCGAGCTCGAAATCAGCATTGCTTGGATCTCTGTTCCAGGGTGGAAAGAAGCAGCCGTGGAGACGAGAGGCGCCCCTCAATACAGCGTCCTCGACGCTCTGTGGTACTGCCAGTTCCGTCTTGAGCAACTCGGCGTACGCGATGAGCTCCCGGCATCTCCTTCGATGATGGTTCGCTTCAGACTTGGTGGAGGCCTGCGCCGCGGCAGTCATGTACAGCTCAGCAGCTCTGATGGCTGTGTCCAACGCATCTTGACCGCTGACTCGGGCGAGAAGAGCCTCAGCGGCCTAGCGGTCATGTCAGTCTCGCGGGCGGGAAGCATGGTGTGGCCTGCTAAACTGACCTGGAGTCTCCTCTCCATTCCCTACTCTAGCGGAACATTGCACCTGGTCGCTTTGGGGTGATCGGTAGTCCACTGGGTGGGTAGCGGGGCAGATGTCTTGACGGATGTCGGTCAGCGAGCGACCTTGTGAGCCGTTTGTCGAGATTGACGTAAAGGTTGAGGTCAAAGACAGGTGGGTCGCATGAACATCGCGACCGTTGGGGACTATGATCAACAGCCCCCAGCCAAATTCTCATCGAAGGGCTGCTGAGCCATCGCGGTGACTATTTAGCGGACTGGCCTCTCAATTACGTAGAACAATGCTCATCAAATAGATCGATCGTAGCTGTGATAAGAATGAGCGTGTCCTTTATCTGAAGCTTGAACGTTGACTGCCACCAGTATCGTTTGCCCTCTACGTATTACCGGGTAAGCACCGAATCTGGCTGATGTCATAGGCTTTACCACATGCAAGTGGATCGTTCGTCGGTCACTATCGCTCCAGGGAAACATCACCCAGGTCTTGTTGGAGCCTAGGAGACTCAAGAGCGAGACGCTTGTTCTCAGGTTGGTGGCAAAGATTCTTTTTAGTTGCGAATCGGATCCGCTGTCACCTCTGCGTGCTTTTATTCGTACCGAGTCTTGAGAATCATGAGTGCCAGCGCTGCCGTCCATGACTCCGGTCCTTATTCGACGCAGCAGCCGAGGTCAGCCAGGCAAAGTGGCTACCCTACGTTAGGCCCCTAGGCGCGGTTGCAAAGGCGCCTCTACCCCAACTCCCAGTGTGGGGAATTGCCGAATGACGCCCGTCCTTGACCGAGGTCCATGCGGCCGGCGATGAGCTGGATCCGCGTCCAGGTTTCCGCCATTGATCCTGGATCTCGCCATGCCTCCGAATTCCAAACTCACAAGAATGCTGCGGTCCTGACGACTTCTGTGTCTGACTTGCGTACCGCCTGCCCAAAACGACCGCATCGCCCCGAGCATCGTCCTCTTCGCTCACTCCGTCGGTCGTGCGTCTTCCAGACTCCCGAAGCTCGTGACAGGCCACTTTCCGCGCTCTCTGAAGCAGTCGCTGCGCAGCACTGCAACCCCTACAGATTCACCAAAGAACACCTAGAAAAATGGCAGGACAGTCGAAATTTGAGATATCGCCCTGGGGTAAGGCAGTGGCCGGTGCTAGCGGAGCTGTTCTTGCGAACGCCCTCGTCTATCCGCTCGACATGTAGGCATACTCCAAAGTGTACTGGCATGTGTGTTAGTGCAAGCTGACCTCGTAAACAGCGTCAAGACCAAACTTCAGGTGCAAGTAAAATCGGCAGAGAAAACGCCTGAGGATCCCAACGCACCAGTCTATGCGTCTACGTGGGATGCCCTCTCACGAATCTCGGCCGAGGAAGGCATCAGAGGGCTCTATGCTGGTATGGGCGGATCCCTTATCGGTGTCGCGTCTACCAACTTTGCCTATTTCTACTGGTACACTATTGTGCGGACCCTCTACACCAAGTATTCCAAATCGACCTCGGCTCCCTCGACCGCCACGGAGCTGTCGCTGGGTGCCCTCGCCGGAGCCGTTGCGCAGATCTTCACAATCCCCGTGGCCGTTGTCACCACACGCCAGCAGACAGCCTACAAGCACGAGCGAAAGGGCTTGATAGCCACGGCGAAGGAGGTGGTCGAGGGCCCGGACGGTATCACGGGACTATGGAGAGGATTGAAGGCCAGTTTGGTACTTGTCGTCAACCCCGCCATTACCTATGGCGCGTATGAGCGTCTCAAGACGGCCATGTTCCCAGGCAAGGTTAACTTGCGACCTTGGGAAGCATTCAGTGAGTTGAGCCTGCTACTAGCTAGCCTTGGGGTCGCGCGCTGACAGTGACATTAGTGCTGGGAGCCATGTCAAAGGCCTTGGCAACGTTGGCCACGCAGCCATTGATTGTCGCCAAGGTTGGATTGCAGTCAAAGCCACCACCTTCGCGCAACGGAAAGCCCTTCACCAGCTTCATCGAGGTCATGAAATTCATCATTGAGAACGAGGGTGCACTGAGCTTGTTCAAGGGAATTGGACCCCAGATCCTAAAGGGTCTGCTCGTCCAAGGCATTCTCATGATGACAAAGGAGAGGTACGTGGACATCCCCAAGCACAGCGTACACGGGTCAGGCTAACAATCGCAAAGGGTCGAGCTCATGTTCGTCCTCTTCCTTCGCTACATCAAGGCAGTCCGGCTGGGGCAGCTCAAGACCGCCGCTCAGCGTGTGTCCACTGCCGTCAGTGAGGGCAATATGCCAGCACCACCACTGAAGTCCTCGACCTGAGAGAGCTTGTAGGGAAGTGCTGAGATGGCTATTGGGTACCTCGAGTGTCGCCGCTGGCGTTGATTGTGAACTTTGGGCTCTGGTTGTTGCGGTCTGTACACGCGCCTCGCAAGAGGCAGTCCAGCATGAGATTTAGAACGTATAAATTCAACACCAAAAACAGACGACATGGCCATGACACGAAGCTATACGAGTGTGACTAATTCTTTGAAAAGGCTCAATTGCCAAGCTGGCTGTTGAGCAACGGCGATCTGTTGCATCGACGTCTCCCCAAGCCCGCGGATGCAAAGCGCTTGCTCATTGGCAGATTTTGCTTAATCATACATCATGGCCCCACCAATTCACACTCACTCAGGGCAGGGCTAGTGTTCCCAGAGATCCCACACAATTTTTGATACTCCCGCTTCGCATTTCCCCCAACTTAGTTTGTCAACCTCACAAACCGGAAATCAGTCGCCATGGCCAGTACGTTGCGCAAAACGACACAATATGGCGGCATATTTTGCTGACATTTGCGACAGAGTCAAAGAACAGCTCCCAGCACAACCAGCAGAAGAAGGCGCACCGCAACGGGTAGGCTTTCCCAGCACCGTCAACCAACCGAAGACTCGCCATCTAACTCCGCATAGTATCACGAAGCCTAAGACTTCGCGTTACCCTTCGCTCAAGGGCACCGACCCCAAGTTCCGCCGCAACCACAGGCATGCTCTGCACGGCACCGCCAAGGCCCTGGTACGATATTCTCTCCCTTTCCCACAGTATGCACGAACGACGGGGTCAGTGGGCTAACAAACCATGTAGAAGGAGGCCAGGGAGGGCAAGCGTGAGAAGGTATAAGGGAAGAAGTGCTCTGGTCACAGATGGAGTTCGATGGTACATTGACGGGCTTGGGACTTCCCACGGCGGATGGCGCTTTGCGATAGACGAAGTCGACGAACCAACTGTCCACGAACGAGATGAAATGACAAAATATTCCGTCAAAAATAGCCACGTGCACTTGGATACCTCGATTTGCCCGGGTCCAAAGATGCTGGATCTCCCATGAACAATGCCTCATGATCAACCGACTTCACTTATGCTTGGTCAACCTGAGGCCGTCTTCCCCCCCATCACATGGCACCAGCCTGGAAAGCTAGCCTTAGCCTTCCATCAGCATCAGGCCTCTCATTATACTTGGTAAACTTCATTCTCAGGCCTGCCGAGCACTGTTGTTTTGTTTCATGTCGATGTGATGCAGACGTGACTGCTTTGCCTGCCGCAAGCTCCTGTCAGATTGCACACATGGACCGTCTTGGCCCAAACCGCGCCTGCTGTTCCAGTTGCAGCTCCAGTTCCACCTATGTTGCGTGATCCCCCAGGCCCTTTGTGATAAGTCGTTCAAGACCCCAGCTCTTGAATGTGTCCTAATAATGATTCAAGATGCGAACCGAACCTGCCGATAAGCCCCGCAAGCGACAGCGGCTGCGGATAAGGCTCGCACCGCCCAATCATACCCTGGCTCTGAACGCCTTTGGCAACGGGGATAAACTAGCCCCGCCGCTGACAACTGCCGCTCGCCATGTCGGATCAGCACGCGCAGCGACTCAGACAGCTGGTGGCATGATATGATTGATCTCTTTGTCGAGAAACAATTTGTCAAAGACAAATTATCCTCTTCACCAGAGCTTAAAAGTGCTGTATCAGCTGTAATCACCTGTAAAGGGGTTTCGAGCTAGTCCGGGATCCGTTAGAACAACCTGAAACTTGTTAGGTAAGCAGGGAGAATGCACCTTGGCACCAATTGGGTTAGTCGCAGCCAGGCTGGCTACAGTAGCTGGCCCCGTCTGCCACGGAAACGGGCTTTGTATCCGAAGTCTAACATACTACTAGCCAGCAGCAGCAGCAGCATTTTCGCTTCGTCGCCTTGCAACTCGTCTGCCCGACTTCTCTTCCATACCTGCCAGGGAGCAGTCGCTGTCGTTTCTCTTTCGCTCTAGCAACGTATTTTTTGGGGCTCAGCATCTACATACCTCGCTCGTCGTCTTCCGGTTTGTGCTCTCCATGACGCTGGGGGGGATCTTCCACGGCCGATGCTGACTTGCCCACCCCTACAGCTACATTCTTATTCTGCCCTTGGATCATGATTTAGTCCTGCTCGAATATCGAAATCAGCCGAAACTCCTTTGAGGTCAGCTGGTCACTGCAGGAGCCGCGTTAGCATTTCGAAAGCCCAAAATAGTACATTGGCCGACACCCCATTCACTGGATCGAGCCCAACGTCCCTCGATACCAACATTCCCCACAGCAGCCTGTCTCGAGCCTCATTCGTGCTCGCCGGCGCAAATAATGAACAACATGTCCGGAAATCACTCGGGCGCTAACCGCAACAGCACCCCGGAGGCGAACGCGGGCTCCTCGCTCCGCCCTCCCTCTTCCCGAGCCGTGGGTGCTGGCCATTCTCTCCGCGCGTCTGCCGACGTGGCTGCGTTGACGGGCTCCTCTGCAGCCAGTCGCATCCGTCCTTCGTCCGACTTTTATGGCCAGAGCCAGCAGGGTCAGGGAACGGGAGGGTCTGAAAATGATCCCCAGGACAAACTTGCCCAGCAATGGATCGCGGACATTGACCAGTACGAGACAACGCTGGAGGACATGGCCGCCGCGACGCTGGACCAGGACTTCAAGGATGAGCTGAGTGCTATTGAGCAATGGTTCCGCGTCCTTAGCGAGGCCGAGCGAACGGCTGCTCTCTACGCACTCTTGCAACAAACGACACAAGTGCAGATTCGCTTCTTCATCCAGGTTCTCCAGCAAATGGGTAAAAACCACCCCATGTCGGGCGTACTGTCCCCGGCAAACTTTGACAAGGGTATGCAAAACTGCTGGAATGACTTTAGGATGTGCTCTTACTAACGGAACAAAAAGATCCCATGTCGAACCGCCTGAGTGATGCCATGAGCAAGCTGAATGTGGAGTCCAGCCGGACTTCCTATGCTAGAAACTCGACCGTTGGCTCGACGAAGCGTAACTCTGTGCTCGACCCCTCGACGGTCAACGCCATGTTCCCCGATGCCGCTGCCGCCATTGCTACCGAAAAGGCCAAGTTCACCCAGCAGACCGGCAACCCGCCGCCTTCCAACAGGAACAGCCTTGCCGTCGACCCTGCTCGAAGCTCGATGCCGCCTCCAGGGTTCTCTGGCGAATCTAACACTGGTAATCAGTCGTCCCAGACGCCCATGGGCCAGTTCGTCCAGCCCCCTCCATCCGCAGGCCTACGCTCTCCTCGACCCCCTCTGTCGAACAACGCACCAATCCAGAACACGACGTTGTCTGCGCCTGACAAGAACCAGAGTGAATTGCCGATGCTGTCGCCGTACAATCCAAACGGAGGCAACTGGGCCTCCATGGTCAACACTCCGATGACAGCCAACTTCAATAATCAGGGTGGCAACAACAACAATAACGGAGGGAACCAAGCCGACATGATTGCGAATGCGACGGCCATGAAGCTTGCGGCGTTGTCCACCGTCAACAACCGCTTCGCTTTGGACGATGTCCGCAAGTACCGCAGGACGAGGTCGAACGATGCATCTGGAAAGGGTCAGGTGCCGGCTTCGCCTGGACCCCAAAACATGAACTTTCCAGGCACCAACGTTGTCATGATCAACGAACACGGTCAGGTCTTGAGCCAGGAGCAGATTATGGCTCTGCAGGCCCAGCAGAACATGAACTTTCAAGGTCAGCGGTCGAGGCCCAACTCCCCTGGTGCTGCCATGCAACCCGGCATGGGGCCTATGCACTCTTTTGCGTCCCCGCAAAACAATGGTTTCTTGAGTGCTTACGATGGGTCGTCTGGGCTGATGAACAACGGTATCCCGACTGTCAATCTGGGCCAGCTTGGAGTCACCGGTCACGAGGGCTATCTGTCGGACCACTCCGACATGGCGCGAGGACGCTCTCCCCGTGGACGTCGCGGCAGCTCGAAGCCCCCAGAGGACCCGACCGATCCTACCTTGTTGCAGGACATCCCAAGCTGGCTGCGCAGCCTGCGTCTCCACAAGTACACCGACAATCTTAAGGACATGAAGTGGGTTGATCTGGTCGAGCTGGATGACAAGGCCCTGGAACAGCGTGGCGTCAATGCGCTGGGTGCTCGGCGCAAGATGCTCAAGGTGTTTGAGCAGGTGAAGGGTAGGTCCACTACGGAAGCAATACGGATCACAAACTGACTCTACATGCAGAAGCGAAAGCCGAGGGCAAAATTGCCCAGTAATGAGTTGATGCGATTTAAGAAAAGGTGATTTGATGCGGAGATGGAATGAGCTGGGCACAGGTTCGGTAACCTAGGTTACGATGTACAGGAGAGCTGCGCTGCGGTTGTGCATAGGTACGAGCAACATGAATTCGTGATGACGGGGATCGACGGAATAAGCATCAGTTTGAATTGGTAATCTTCGTGTTGCGGATCATAGGTAAATCGAATGCCTCGTCGTGTGTAACCATGTGTTCTGCTGAGGTAGAGAGCCAGCCACCTGTGCATATCTCCCACTCGGCGTGTCTAAAACCTTATCTTGCGAGTTCATCACTCCATTGCCATCAACTCAACGACACCAGTTCAAGCTAGCTTCTTAAACATATTTTGGAATCTCTCTGCGCTATCCTGAATAAATGAAACCAAAACCCTGCCAGAAAAATCGATCTTCGTTGCCGAGAGTCCGCCGCGCGCGCGACTGATTTTCCATGCTGCAAAAAGCCGAACCACGGCGACGCCAGAGTCGACATGTCGCGGCGCAACGATGATGACACTCGCGACGAGGATCCTCCCACCCTGTGCGCATCGCTCTCACCTATCTGATCTTCCGTAATTGAAGCTAACACGATGCTAGCCGGTCCGGGTCGGAAGCTTCTGACGCAGATTCTGATCTCGAGGAGTTGCAGGGAGACATAGCCAAGTTCGATGCATCAGTACGAGACTTTCTGGCTTCCCATCGCGGCGCAGACAAGAGCGCGCCCGCAGCAGCAGGTTCTTCTGCGCCCTCCATCCGTGGGGGGTCCTCCCTTCGTGGCCGACTGCGTGGCCCGCGTCAGGCAGCCAAGCCCAGGGGCGACATCACGGCTAGGCTCTCCAAGGTCAATCAGGCCTTCCTGGCAGGCGACTATGAGCGCGCCCTCGATCTCGCCTCCGAGGTAGTCCGCATCAATGCCGAGACGCATCAGGCATGGACGACCCTGGCCTCCGTCTTCCGGGAGATGGGGGAAATCAACAAATATCTCTCCGCCTCTGTCTACGCCGCCCATCTACGTCCAAAGGAGGTGCACGGCTGGCTTCAATGCGCTTCGACTGCTCTCGAGATCATTGAGACACAGGGAAGTGATCCGGAAACGCTACATACAGCTCGCCTCTGCTACTCAGCTGCCCTTCGTGCCGATTCGAAGAATCTGGAAGCCAGGCTGGGCAAGGCAAACGTCTGCCATCGTCAGGGCCATTTGGCCGTGGCCATCAACGAATACAAGCACGTACTCCGGAGACGCCCAGATGATCTCGATGTCGTCCGCCAGGTAGCCGAAGCGGCCCTCGACAGTAAGCACTCCGAGTCGGCCGTGAACTCTGCCGTCGCTGCGTACAAGAAGTACTTTGAGATCCAGCTCTCGAACCCGGCCATAGTGCCAGACCAGGAGCTGTGGCATGATGTCGGCATATACATTGAACTTCAGTCGTCGCGTCGTCACTTTCAGGAAGCCATACAGGAGCTTAGACGTCTGGCTCGATGGTTGGTCGGCAGATCCTCAGAAAAGTACTGGGACGAGTACGACGAGGATGATCGTGAGTGGGACGCCGAGAATACGCGACGGCGTCAAGTGCCACAGTTCAAACCTGCCGAGACAGACGTGCGGTTATACGGCGATTCGCTGCCGCTTGATCTGCGCGCCCGCCTCGCCGTCTTCCGTCTGGGGCTGGATCATGATGAAGAGTCATTTGTAAGCCAATGAATCCAGTCATCTCCACCAAGCCTTCTTTGTACTGACCGTGTCGCAGAAACATTTGTCGTGGCTGGATCCTACCGAGCATCATACCCGTGAATTCGCCCAGGATTTTCCTTTCTTGGTGTATGAACTCGCTTGTGAACTCACAGCACGCGATCATCCAGCTTTCGCAGCCAAGTACCTTGAAGTACTTCGCGAGGTAGCCGGCGAACCGGACGCCGCAGTCTTGTTGCAGCTGGGGCGGGCTTATCTCTACAGCAGAGAGCAGGCAGCGGCCGAGGAATGCTTGCTCACTGCTTTGGAGATTGATCCAGACGCCATCGAGCCTCGCGTGGAGCTGGCCAACCTTTACGAGTTGGCCAGGGAAGATGAAGAGGCCCTGATCTTGGCAGCAGAGGCCATGGCTCTTCGCGAGGCCCGCTCCACACACAACGAAGCTGAGGCAAGAACAGCAGCGGGCGGCCAGCGACAATCTCGTGCGGGCCAACGCAAGTCCGGCACTTCTACACGGAGAAAGCCACAGGCTCGGCCTGCAGACCCGACGGCGCCCAAGAAATCGGTCATTCCTAGAAGGTATCGACCGAAACGTCTGGGCGCACCTGGTCAGCGAAGAAAGGAGGAACAAGAGCACGCTGCCAAACTGTCTCGTCAGTACGAGACCGTGGTCGGGCTAAAGGAGAGCCTAAGGGCTGGTCACCTGGAGCTCAAGGACGAGTGGATGCAATCATCCCAAGCGCTTGTTGATGACTTTAGGTCACTCAAGCAGTTCTATTCGTGGGATAAATATCTGCAGCTGTTGGGAGCCCAGAGTTCCTTCCAGCCGCCGGCCCAGGGACAGCCTGGAAGTGAGCTTTTCCAGCTGTACGAGCGTCTCACACGCAGTAAGTCGCCCAGTCTATCTGTGCTTGTGACAAGCGATACTTACATCGGTGCCTCGCAGCTCTTGTACCTCAGCCAGATCAAGCCCGGGGTGACACGCAGGCTAGTGGCGTGAGTGGTCACCAAGGCATTTCGTTTGATCAGTGGTTGGACATCTTCCTTGACTACGCCGTGGGCTTAGCAATCGACTTTCGCCGAGAAGAGTCGTATCGAGTGTGCGAGGCTGCGCGCGACTCGACCGTGTTTCAATCTTCAGCCCACAATTTTCGCATCCATATCGCTTGGAGCAGTAAGTCGTTTCCTTTACACAATGTGTTGTGATGCTAAACAAGTCAGTCTGCGCCGTGTTTACCAATGACGAAGAAAAGGCCATCCAGGTTGCCCGGCATCTGATGAAAGACGGCATCAACTCGGACTCGGATCGGATGTTTGCCATGCTGGCGAGCCTCTGCCAGTCGCCCATCATCTGGTATACGTCAGGTCCAGCGCAAAAGTTCGTTCTTCGCCAGATCAGAGCTTTGGACACTGAGCAAATGACCGCGTTGTCGAAAAGGAGTGATATAGGCACCGAAGTCAACAAAGCCCTTCGTGAAGATATCCGACTGGACGCATGCCTGCTGATGATGTACGGGCACATTCTATTCACATCCACGAGCTACACATATGCTTTAGGTACGAAGCCTGCACAGAGTGAAAGTCGAGTTTGCTGACCATGCAGGGTACTTTCTACGCGCTCATTCTCTGGACCCCGAGAACCCGATGATCAGCCTCAGCATCGGGCTTGCATATGTACACTACGCGCTGAAACGCCAGGCGGTCAATCGCCAGTACCTGATCCTGCAGGGTCTGGCGTTCTTGACCCGTTACGTGGAGCTCTGCAAGAAAGAAGACAGCGAGGCGTCCATGGCTGAGTTGTACTACAACATTGGCAGACTCCATCATCTCTTGGGGATATCCTCACTGGCGCTACAATTCTATTCCCAGGCAGCGTCATACCTGGACAGGGACGACCCGGACATGAAAGATCTCGGACTGATGATTGCGACAAATCAGATCATCACGCACCTCGGTAGTGACAGGCGCAGAACTGCACTGAAGCTCGTGAAGGAGCAGGTCATTCTATGAACATTACTTTGAGCAGATTAAATAAAAGTTTTTCAATTCGAATTTGAAAAGGACGTGGACACTTGGAAGAGTTGGCGGGGTGGTGCTGTACAATGACAGACACACCAGATTTCACACCGACAGCGGGCGCTACAGGCCCGAGTAGTCTGTGTGGAAATGGGCCCAAGGATTACCTACCTTACCTATGAAAACATCTCGACGAAAACATCACATGGCTGAATGGCACATGCATGGCCAGAGGCCAATGAAAGTCTATGAGTCTGTAGGGTAGTCCAAAACCTGATCGCATCCGGCGTTGTGCAAGCCCCAAATGCCATTTGCAAAGATCGCTGTGCTCCGCACTAGTCCCTTTTCGGCTAACTCCAAGGGCAGCCATTGGTGAGGTCATCGTCAGGGTGCTTGTCGTGACGTCATGTTTAGTACACCACGAACCTGAGCTAGTAAAGCGCGATCGACTAACAGAATGGCAATGACGAGGTCAAGGTTCCCGACATGCTGCATCTGACTGGCGAGAGAGATGGAACGTACGTAGTGCAGCGCACCTGAGCTAAGTTGATTTAGTGACCTGAGTAGGTACCAAACCAAGTACGGAGCAGTCGGCCAAAGCCCGCTGATCACTTGATCTACCGGCCGGCCCATCTTATTGATCTAACTACCCCAGCATCCCCCATCTGGTGATACGATTTGGTTGATCGTCATCCCTCCATCCAGCTCGTGCTGTCTCGCATCCCTGGCCCAGCGAAGCATAATTGCCATACCAGGTGCATAGCCGAACGGACCGCCCAGATAACTTCCTAGACCCTATACATCCCAGCCAAAGCAAGGAACGACTCGAGGGAGCAACTACAGTTGCTGTCTTGTCACTATCGAGAGGTCTCTCACAAGCTCACTGTCCGCCCTCCATCATGACGGAACAAGCCATAGCGACAGAAGCTCCGCCTGAGGCTCTGCCAGGTATGTGATACCAAGCTCGGGAACCCGCTCTCACGTCCTGTGTAATTATGCACCTCTGCTGATCTCATCACTGACCCATGTAGCAGTCAACAACTCTGGGAGGCTCAAATATGCGGACCCACGATCACTACCAAGCTTCCCCTCGTCGGGGTTGAAATCCGACGGAGCAGCTGCAGGTGCAGCCGCGTCGCTGGGATGGAGCAACCAGAAACCCGTTGAGCTTTGGAAGCCAGACAAACTGTCCTCCGCCTCCGCCGCCGCCGTCCTTGCGACAGACTACAAAATGGCGCCCCAATGGCAGCCTTCCGCCAATTCGGATGGCCACAAGGCTGCACTGTTGGCTGTTGGGTCTGCTAGCTCCGCGCTGAAGCAGAACAAGACGACAGAGCCGCCTGCAAAGGGTCAGCACGACGGCTGGGGCAACACAGCTGCGACACATGCCTTCCGTCAACCAAGCCCTCGGAATGAGCCCACAGACGAGCAGTCGAACTCGGGAACCCATGGGTCGACAGCAGCGACGCAGGCGTTCGCAGCTAGCCGCACTGATATCATAGCTCGCGCAAATGCGCCCAGCCCTCAGGTGGCCCCGGCAGATCGACCGCTCGCCGCTGCCATGGGCGCCATGGCAATGAACAGACCACGCTCGTCATCTAGCCCCATGTCGCCTGCGCCTGCTTCGGATACCGACCTTCAATCGCGTGCTGCCTCGAACGCGTTGAGTGGAGCATCCGTGGCACACCGCGCGTCCATGCGCCCCAAGCCCACAGCCTCCAATGGCGGTGCCGTCCCTGTGACCACGATGACGCGCAACATGTTCACTTCCCACCCCATGGTCAAGCCCGAAGCGGATGAGCGGGATGATGCCGAGCGGTTGCATCAGTCTGCGGTCGAGATGGCCAAGAAGATGTACAACCAGCAGCAGCAGACGGTCGAGCAAGCCAAAGCGAGGGGAGAGGATCCCGACAAGTTCACGTCCCCTCACTTGAGCCTCCAGGATGCTGCATACAAGCAAGCTCAAGACAGGCTGTCGAAGCTTGACGATGAGTACTCCAAGAACCGAAACATGCAGGAGTACTACGGCAACACCCAAGCACAAGCGCCTCGGCGCCGCTGGTCTGTCGCGAACAAGCTGAGGCGACGCGATTCTGACGAAGACTTTGACGATCGAGAGGAGTCACAGCGAATTCGCCAGCAAATGTCCATGTTCTCAAACAAGTTGACCGAGGTCGACCAGGCGAAGCGCCAGACTGACCGTGATGCACTGTTGGCCGCTGCCCAGCGCAATGTAAAGGCTCGTCTCCATGGCATGGACGAGAAGGTCTACAGCGATACCGGCAAAATCAACCCAGCCTTGCAAAGCGACTGGAACCTCAAGGCGCAGCAGGCTGCCCAGCTCTCATCCGACGCCCGCAACGAGAACACCGGAAAACTCAACTTGGGCGGCGGCATGTACATGGACCAGGAACAGATTGATGCTATCGCCGCGAAGCGGATGCAGCCCGTGCTAGATGACATCAACGAGAAGGCAGAGAAAGAGCGTGAACGTCAAGCGGTGCTGAAGGCCGAGGAGGAGGCTCGCAAGTCCGAGCTCGCGCGCGAAAAGGAGAGGGATCGCGAGGCCAAAGCACTCAGCAAGAGAATTCGAGGTAAGTTGGCAAAACTCCTGCGACCTCCATAGCGCACAGCTAACCAATGGTCACAGACGAAGACAAGGAAGAGGAGAAAGCCAGGAAGATGCAGGCCAAGGAAGAGGAAAGGGTCAAGAAGGAGCAGGAGAAGGCTGAAAAGGCTGAGCAGAGGAGGCTCGCCAAGGAGGAAAAGCGCAAGTCGAAGACCGGTACCGCTGCCGATGACCAAGAAGAGGAGACTGCGCCCATCGATAATGCCCGTGTCTCAGGAGATGATGCGATCTTGAACGATGAGGTGCACCCGGCAATGGATGCAGAAGATAGGGAAGCCGATACTATGGCACCCATTGACAGCACCCTAGGAGCTCCGTCCTCGCCCGAGGCCGCCCGTAGCCTGTCCGCCGTACGATCTGGTGCCGACGAGGAGCATCAAGACGAACAGCATGGGGCGGACCAAGACGAGCGCCAAGGTCACCATCGCCACTCATCCGGATCCAAGCTCAAGGGCTGGATCAAGAATCGCCTGTCACGCGGCCGTTCCATGAGCGAGAGAGACGGTGACGCTGCCGACGAGGAGAAGAAGAAGAAGCGCACCAGCTTCTTCAAGGGCAGTGGCGCACTGAAGAAAGACAATCCCAATGCCAGCAATGCCAGCCTGGGGAACGGGCCCTCCAGCATGCGTGATGTAGCAATTGCAGGGCACGCCGACGGCGAGGCAAGCCAAGCTGCCCCTGAGCGAGATTCCAGGGGCGTTAGCCCCGTGAGCTCGGTAGCCAGAGATGAAGCCCCTGACAGGCTCGAACCCCCGAAGCCTATTGGGGAGAGGGCGCCTCGGGCCAGTGTCAGTCCTGGCAGGGACTCTAGGTTCCGCGAGGAGATGTGAGCGGGTTATTACTATTGGAATGGTTTGTGTGCGTTGTTTCTTTTCGATATCCTGGGCGAAAATTTCGAGCGGACGATTTTCAAATGTCGCCGACACAATGAGTTGGAAATGCGGAGTGGTATTCAAATTGGAACAAGGATGTATTGTAGTAATAATATTCATCATATATACATATATCTAACATTTGATCGATGATCTATGCGAGTATCATGTTCGACATTACGCTTCCGACGTGTACCTCGCAAACGCCAAACGCCAAACATGCGCAATAAAAATACCAATTGTCACGTTCTCTTCCCTGGATGCTCCAATCACCGTCATCTCCCTCATTAAAAGTGGCCATTGGTGTTCGCGCCATGCGCCCGGCCAGGCAAGCTGGCCTCGCTCTCCTCCATCTCTCGCGGGCTCCTGGGCTTCGGGAAGCGCATGGCGCGGTGCTTCGTCCGACGCGCGGGCCACAGGTCGATGACAAAGGACAGGACGTAGAATGTGAAGATGAGGGAGATGATCCACTCAAAGTAGGCGGCAATGTTCTTCCTGTCGGTAAAGGTGAGGACGCCAAAGGCAACGGCCAGGCCGATTTCGAGAAAGATGAAGATGAGCTTGACCCAGAACGAGGCACGGAGGACGCGGTGCTCGCGGTGTTCTGCGGGTGATTTGTTAGTCTACACGCTTCCTAGGAGAGCAGAGGATATTTTGATGAGGTACGTACGGATGCCCAGGCGCTGGTACTCCCAGCAGATGAAGATGGCCGAGATGAGATAGCCGCCGATGAAGAGAAGCAGGAATATATCGTGCAGTTGTGGGTGGCGGTACGTGTCGAAGATGCTGAGGCAGATGAGGCCCACGGTGCCGACAACGGCAAAGAGAATGGTCAGGATCACGAGCACCTTTTCCAGAAGTGTCTGGTTGGGCACCAGGCGACCCTTGTGCCGCAGCCAGCGCTCGGCGGCAAAGGACAGGTCAAACGTGACCGTGGTGACGACGGAGCCGGCGATGAACAGGGGCTTGAGCGTAAAGGCGCCAATGTCGCTGATGTAGGGCAGGTACATGTTGCGGTCGAGCGAGGGCAGCCGGCTTCGGTCCATGTCCACGGTCACGAACCACCACAGCAGCATCCCGAGCAGCATGCCCAACCACACGCAGGCGGGAAATATCGGTAGCCACTGTTCCTGTTAGCTACACGGACTGGTTTTTGCTGGAAGGGCGTTTCGACGTTGTTATCCACCTACCCAGTACGAGATCACACCGCGGACGGCCATGGTGATTGATGGTTACAGAGTGTAACCTGCTGCGTTGTGTCGGCGTGTTCACGATGATATCGCTTGTTGTTGCCCTCGTTTGCTTGCAGTTGGCCTGGTCTAGCGAAGCGACAGCTTGTTATGCACCTTGGGATCAATCGTGTTGCTTGCTGTGTTTGTTGTCCAAAAGAAGCTAAGCCAACAAGGGGGTGGTAATCCAAGACAAGGACTGGACGGGATGAATATATGGCAGGACAGTCGACGTCACGGCTCCCAAATCAAGACTGGGACTTGGCGTGGCTTGGAAGAGTAGCGTCCCCAGGCTGCGAGAATTACCAAGCCTCAATCGAAGGATTGGAGCTCCGAATTCGACATGCTGTCTCCAATCCATGCCTAATTAATGATTGTGACGTGACGCGCGGGAGCACCATCGTCAATTGTGAGTGGGCCCCCTGAAGAAATCGAAGATCATCGGATTTGGCTGCAGCTGTTCAAATTCGGGCAGGCAATAGACCCAGGAACGAGTGTGCAGTCTGTCTGACTTTAACTGTCAGGCCTCCACCCCTTCTTCGCTTCCCCGGCAGTCTCTGAGTCTTCCGTCTGTCTATGACATCATTGCCAATGAATGATCAATCCCAAACACAGACAATCGAGCGGGAACATGGACTAGTAATAATTCTGATCGAACTTCACTCCGTAGAAAGTCTCTGCATTGCTGCACCATCGAATATTGACATTAGGAGCTCTGGTCGGTCTATTCTCTCTACTATCCCATTGGAAACGCCTTATGACGGCAGATCTCGCACGGATGTGCTGCCCACGAATGTGCCGCGGCCCGCCCGAGCTCAAGCCCGTTGTTCTATCTGCCGTCTAAGGAAGGGTGCTAAAGTTCTCCCCCGTGATGGCTGGGATGGTCGCGAATTGGCGGAATGCTGTGCGGACGCTGTAGGGGGTGCTGCCGTCCAGTGCGCCGTACTTTTCGAAGATGGTGGCCAAATGTTTTGGACTGTGCAGGCGGCGGCCAAGCTCAAGGACAGCATTCTGCAGCGTAGAATTAGCAATGTGACGGGCGACAACGCTGGGTTGACTCGCGTAATCGGCCACACGAAAACTGTCGACGGCCACGAGCAGGTTCGTCGCCGACTTGAAGTCCAGGTCCTCCATCCTGTCGCCGAGGATGTCGAGGGTCTCAATCATCGCCTCGGCATACGGCGGTGATCGACAAGTCAGCCCGGCACAGATACGGCCACTCGCGCCGCGAAAAGAGGACATACAAAGAGGTAGCAGTTGGCAATCTCCTCTTCCTCTCGCTGAACTCTTTGGACAGATCTGAGTTGTCCATGTCGGCATCGAACAGGTTCAGGTCGAACTCCACATCGTAAAGCGCTTTGCGCATCGGCTCCTAGTACCGATCGCTACCCTTGTTGCATTCAAGAATACTCACAAGTTTGAAGACAAAGGTCATTCTTTCGGCCAAGTGGTGGAATCTTTGGTACACGTACTCTTGTGTAAGCGCGTCGTAGATCTGAGGCGAGTGTCCCTTGGGGGCCGCCAACCTGGGCAGCAACTCTTGCCCCAGATTTCGCCCTAGGTTTCTACACCAGTTTTCCCGCCAGCTGCGGCAGTACTGCTAATCAGAGATGTGATGGCGAGTAGGCCGCACGCGCCAACAACCTGGGAGATCCTCATGTTTGGACAGATGTGGAGGAAGCAGGGAGATTCAAGTTTCGGTTCGCAGGGCGCGAGGGAGTCTTGTCGAAGCGCGCCTTGTTATCGGCAGGTCCTTCGACACGTGGAACTCGAAGGAGGCAAAGAGAGAGGCTGGACAATCGGAGACAATGAGTGATCCTGAGCGAGAATGTAGAGGTTGTCCAGAGTCAGTAAGTGATATTGAAAAAATGAGAATTTGATTGGACGAGGATAATGCGGACGTTGGTGAAGGCACAGAATCGGAGCAGAAGACGAGATGCGTGGCAGGGTGCCTGAAGCTACTAATAGATGCAGATACCTGTAGTGATTTACAGGAGTGAAGCATCGGACCTGCCTCGCCTGCTTGTTTACTTAGGTACTCCTGATGGGCGATGATGCCCGACTATACCTGCCCCAGTCCCGCACGTGAAGAGGACTGGAAGCCTCGACTCCCAGAGCCTGACGTGATAGTGCCAATGAACACCTTAGACACAGTTGGTGAGAAACGCCCGGCATGCTGCACTCTCAGTGCAATATTGGCTACAGCGGTCCCCAGTCGTGCGCCATCACCGAGTGACAGCGTTGCGCCAGCTAACAATATTGCCTCTATCCCGAGCTGTCATTTCCGAAAATTCGTCGCAGGCTGTCGACGCTCTCGACCTGGGCATGCCGAGTCTGGGTCAATTCTCACAAAGGTACTTAGACAACGAGGAATGTTCGTGCCGAGATCTGCCGGTAGCTCATATATGACCAAGTCCTTGGAACGATCAGATGCATCGATAATCATGTGATCCTCCGGAATAGGGATACTACCGCTCCTGTCTCTCTCTCTCTGCGAGTCGCGACCATGAGGATTGTTTATCAGCCAGATCCCTACGGCGACAAACTCATGATGATCGAGCGCGAAGCCGGCGCAGAGCAAGAAGACAGTGGACAGACTACTACTTCATCACAGGGTCCTTGGGAGACCAGCTGGATGCGATCGCAGGCAGAGCCAGGCCGGTGGTCGACAGCGCCATCACCTTTGAGTAGTTCGTTCCAGGAGGCCTTTGACAGGTTGGGGAGCCGCAAGACGAAGGCAGGGTTGCGGCAATAGCATCAACATTGCCGACACCGTGTCGTTTATATTGAAGCCTGTCCTTTCTTGGCTTGCTGCAAATCGCAGTATTGAATTACCCTACTTCATGATTACTGAGATTCCTTGGGGTTCCTAGAGGTGCGCTGCAAGTTCCGATTTCCAGTAGTCGCAAGAGGGAAGGATGAGGTTGCCTGACGACAGGAGTGGCGCCTGCTCCGTGCAGTCCAAAGTCCCAAAGTATCAGCCAATCAGAGGCCCGATTACTCATTAAACCCCACTTTTATAGCCATCCCCAACGAACGGCATATCTCCGTACCTTACCCTAACTTACCTTGGATACCACATCGCCGTCTGACTGCTCACTTGACACTGCAATAGTATGACCGATTCTAACTCGAATTAAATCAACCAATCCAACAAACTGAAAGCTCTGCCGCCTCTATCATTAAATACAGAGCCTGCGGGAAACCTGATTTCGCTGTTCACTTGGTAGCCGCTGCTCCAGAGTCCAACCAACCAACCAACCACCTGACAAATCAATTAAATTCGTTCCTCAGGAAAGTGTTCATCCACAGGTCACCGCCGCTCACCATGGCGGTCTCGCCTGTGGTTACAGAGTTGTCGCGACCGGCGACTGAGCTCCGCGCGGCCGCCTCACCTCTCAGATCTCTTGCTTCAGGTCAAGCCTCTTCAAAGGGAACACCAAAGCCAGTGGGTGCACCTCCAAAGAACATGAGTGGGGAACCGCCCTCACTTGATTTGGCCGAGCAGATGAATGAGGATGAAAAGCGAAAATGGGTCAAAGGTGAGAGAGGTTGCGGAAGGTAGTGAAAGCCCAAGCACGCAGAGCTAACGTGAGCTCCCCACGCAGGCAAGAAGCTCGGTGAAGGTACATACGCCGTGGTGTTTCTGGGTCATCTACGCGACGACCCCTCGACCCTGGTCGCCATCAAAAAGATGAAAAAGGTGTCCAAGGACATTGAAGAGGGCATGTCGCACGATGCCATTCGCGAAGTCAAGCACCTCCAGGAACTGCAGCACGACAACATTATCGCGCTGCGCTCCGTCTTCTCCTCCAAAGACCAGAATCTCAACCTTGTCCTCGAGTTTCTGCCCCTCGGCGACCTGGAGATCCTCATCAAGGGCGATCAGCAGCGCAAGATCCCCGGTGTCCGCTACGGCGCTGCCGACATCAAGGCGTGGATGGGCATGCTCACACGGGCCGTCTGGTTCTGCCACGAGAACTTTGTGCTGCACCGCGATATCAAGCCCAACAACTTGCTCATCGCGGCCAATGGCGAGCTCAAGCTTGCCGATTTCGGTCTCGCGCGTGGCTTCGCCGACCCGTATCAATACATGACTGCCAATGTCATCACGCGATGGTACCGGCCGCCTGAGCTGCTCTTTGGCGCGAAGCACTACTCTGGCGCTGTCGACATTTGGTCCGTGGGCACCATTTTTGCCGAGATCGTCCTACGTAATGCATATCTGCCCGGTGGCACGGAGCTGGAGCAGGTCAAACTGATCTGCGAAGCTGTCGGGACCCCAACAGAGGACAACTGGCCCGGCGTGACCAAGTTGCGAGACTACGCCGTGCCCTCCACCAACCCAGTCCGTGGGAAAGCCTACTATGAGAGGACCTTTGAGATTCTGGGTCCCGAGGGAGCGGATCTGCTCATGCGCACATTGACCCTTAACCCAAACCGTCGCATCACGGCAAAGGAGATGCTGCAGCACACGTATTGGCTGGCCCAACCACATCCCACCCGCAAAGAGGACCTGCCGCGCAAGGCGGGAGGAGAGGAGACGATGGGTGCTGATCTGAAGCGGAGACCTGGCGTGGTCGAAGAGGAACGTGGCAGCCGCATTGCGCGAAAATTAGATTTTGGAGCCGGATAATTAGTTAGATGGGAATTAATATGACAGACTGTACACTATCGATCTCACCAAGACGCTCCCACTCAATTATCCCCAACCTCCTCACCCGCGGGTGCCCCATTCTTGGCAACGTGCCCAAACAGACACTGCCACAAGTCACTCTTGTCCACCATCTCGCCAGCCGTCCTGTCCTTGCTCATCAGCTTGGTGAGGGCAGCCTGCTCCATCTCCAGCGTGTTGGCCACCTCGAGGGTCTCGTCCAGCGACCCTGCCTTCTCCTTTCCCTTGCCGTTGACGGCGGCACGGGCCGCGTGCTTCAGGCGCCTATCCACACTAAGGCTGTAGATGCTCTCCTCCACGGTGCCCTGCGTCACGTACAGCCACACTGTCGTCTCGTGCTGCTGCCCAATGCGATCGACGCGGGCAATCGCCTGTAGCTCGAGTGCCGTGTTTACGAGAGGTTCGCAGAGGAAGACGTTGTTGGCATTGACCAGATTCAGCCCACTTGAGTGGGCTCGGGCGTGCATCAGGAAGGCCTCCACGGCCGGGTCTTGTTTGAACCGTTCAATGCCACCCTTTGCGTCGATGGACGAGAAGCCGATCCGGTGCGCTTCAAATGCCGTGGACAGAACGTTGAGGAAATCCTTGTATTGCGAGAAGATGATGGATTTGGCCCCAGGGTCGCTCTGCCGCAGCCAGAGAAGATGGCGCATGATTGTGTCGACCTTGGTCGTGTAGGACGGTCCTTCGAGATCAATGTTCTGTATCTCGGACAGCTTGGCGGCGTCGAATTGAGAGTAGATGGTGCCCTTCTCCAGAATACCAGAGGTCCCCTCGGGGCTTGCTTGTCCGGCTCTGGCGTGTTGGTCCTCCATCCCATGCAGCTTCAGTTCCTGAGACTTGAAGACGATGTCATGTAGGGAGGAGGGCAGGAGGTGAGTCTTACATACCGGACAGTTCCGATGAGCCCTGTACCATGTCTTCATGCATGGCTTGCAGAACTGATGCCCGCAGACAGTCAGGACGCCAATGTCAAAGTGTGTTTGGCAAATGACACAGAGGCGGCCCTCGTCCGACTTGATACCCGTGTCCTTGAGGTTGAGTACTACAGCGTGTTAGTACAATGATCTGATACGGCAGCTTATGGCGGCGTGACTTACGGTAACGGTGCTTGGATTTGGCAGAAGCCAGCTTTTGCGTCAGGTCTTCTTCATGCTTGAGCATCCGCTCGACCGCATCCTCGGTTTTGGGGCCCTCATAGGGCAGAACGCTGTCGGAAACGCTCTGCATCTGTCGGTAGTATTCCAGCCGTGCATTCATCGTGTCGCGGAACGACTCGAGTTCAGACTCGAGGGCCGTCGCCGCCTTGTTCTGCTGTGTGAGCGCCGTCTGCGTGGCCTTGAGCATGGCGGCCGCGATGGCGTGCTCATTCCGGACCCGGTCCGTTTGGCTGCTCTCCTTGCTCAGACGAGTGGCCAAGCTGCGAAGATCCGCAAGAGCCCCTCTCATGCTAAAGTCGGCTACACGAGGGTTGACCTGCTGCCGGATCTGCATCAGCTCAAGGAGCTTGTCGGGCATGGGCCCGCCTCCCTCTCTCGCCAGCCGTATCGCCTGCTTCGTCTCGTAGCTCACCAATTCGTTCGGTGGCTGGCCACTCATGGCATCTTGGCGGTCGGCGATGGCAGCGCCGAGGACCTGAACGTAGACAATCAGTTCTTCCTGCATTTTCGCGGCATCCCCCATTTCTTCACCCGTCGTCTCCAGGCCATGGTCCTCGTCTTGATCCATCAGAGGCCTGAGCAGTAGCTGGACGGCGTGCTCGCGCCAATCGTCGATTACATTGGCTTGTTCATTCATCGCACCGTGGAGGGCCTCAAGATCGCCGGCAACCCGGCTACTCTCGATCCCACCTTGCATTTCCGTGGGCAACTCAGCGATTTCGGTGAACTTTTGGCGGGTGGCCATCTCCGAGAGCTTTCGCATGGTACCGCTTGCTTTGTGGTGGCTGCCCTTGAGGAGTTCCTTTCGGATGAGTTTCGCCTCTTCGTACGCCTGGTCTTCCGCCTGCTTGAGCTTCTGAAAGTCCGCGCTCTCAGGCACCGTCATTTCCTTGTTCTCGCGAATCTGGAAGTAGGCGTTGGCGCAGAAGAACACTGCCTTGTGTTGCGTCTCCAAGGCTTGTCGAAGCTTGCGTCGCCACTCGGCGTGAAGCGCGCCTTTGTTGTCGACAGACTCATCATCGGTCGAATCCAAGTCATGCGGCGACGCTGCCTTGTCTGCACGAGGGGAGTGCGCGCTAGCCTCAGAAAGGCCTGCCCTGGCTTCGGCTACCATGGCAGCAGCCTCCTCCTTCACCGCTGTCCAGATCGACAGTGCCTCGTGTACGCGCGGCGAATTCTCGTACAGCTGGCCGCGGGTCAGCCTACTACCGAGGATAGAGCGATGATACGCCTTGATGCCATTGTCGCTTTGTTCGATCATCGCCCGGAGAACTTCATCTAGAGTCCTCATGGGACGGTTGCTGTGGCCTAATACTCGTCTGCTGTATGCGCCAATTTCTGGATGCAGTGCTGTCTGACGCAAGCGGTTGAGCCAGGTTCGCATCGCCTCTTCGTAAACCCAGGGTTTCCAGTCTTCCACGGTGGGGTTGCCCTGCTCATCAACGCCACAAGCTTCGGTCATCTGCTTGAAGAGCGACTGGTAGTGCTGCTCCTCAACAGCGGTGAAGGGCACGCTGATGGCGAAGCGGTGTTGGGGAGGCAGTGCTATCTCGCGGCGCACAAGCGATTTCGTGTGTCTGATGGCTATCGTCCCAACCAGACTTTGCAGAACAGGCTTGTATTGTTTCACGAGAATCTTCCAGACAGTCGGCGTGGTGAGGGGCTCGTACCGAAGGAAGGTTAGCAGGTGGAAGAGGTCCGAAACGTCGTTCTTCAGGGGCGTGCCAGTGATCGCCCAGGAATTGACGCGAGGTATGGTACGCGCTGTTTCGGCCGCGTTGCTGAGGCCGTTCTCGATCATCTGCGCTTCGTCGATGCATAGTCTCCACCAGCTGATCCTGACCAGGGGGGATTTCGGTCGCTCGTACTTGCGTTCAGTGCGGCGTGACCGCTGGGGAGGTTCGCGGGCAAAGTGAACTTCTGACTGCAACACATGGTAGGTTGTGATGACAATGTCACTGCTGGACAGCCGCTTCATCAAGGCACTGTCGTTGTCAGGCTGTGACTTTGCACATCCGTTGTAGATCTCGGCCTGGAGTATCGGGGCATGGCGCGCGATCTCTGACACCCACTGATCCTTCAAGGACTGGGGAACCACGAGAAGTGTGCCTCCACTAGGCGGACCGTTTCCTGGTTCTGGGTCTGGTCGGGGATGCATCAGCACCAGGCCAATGATCTCCAGCGTCTTGCCCAGCCCCATCTCTTCCGCCAAGATACCACCTCTCATCGCCTTTTCTATTTGCCGATAGTGCACAGTGTCCCGGACAATGGTGTGCATAACGTCACTGACATAGGCCGCTTGGCCGTGCGTATCCTGTATGAGTCTGAAGCTGTCGGCGATCGGCGAGGCAGTCTGCCCATCGCGCACAATTGTTCCGGCCGCCGTATATCGCACGCCCTCACGCCTGAGCAGCCACTGGAGAGTTCTGCGCTGATACGGGAACAATGTAGCCTCCAGCCCCCGCACCGAAGAAAGTGTGTCGTCTGTGTCGTCTGCAGAGGGCACATGCGCGGCGTCGTAAAAATCCATGGGCGACGATGCAGCACTGTCAGGCATGGTCTTGGGAAAGAAGTGGTCGATGAGGGCCTGCGAAGCGTCACGGCTGTCCGTGTGTCGAAGACCCTGTCGAGGGGATTGCGTTTCATTCCAGTAGAGCCGACCCTGGATGGTGAGTCTGGCGCCCTCCGTCGTCTTCACGATGGACATGCCATAGTCGGACCAGATAGCACCGGGGACGTCACTGGGTTCCTCGAGTCCAGATTGAAGAAGTATGCGGTCGAAGCCACCATCCACTTGTGCATGGCTGAGCGAGAACACAAATCTCTGCCTTATACCGCTAGAAGCCTTTGTGTCGAAGGAAAATGTCTCTGGACGTTGTCCACGGAAATTTCGTCTGTACCCAATTCTTGGCGGTCTAGATGGGTCGGGTCTAAATGATTCAGGAGGATCATAATGTGAATCAAAGTCCAAATAATGACCTACGTTGCGATGAAAACCGAGTAATGAATGATGTTCAGAGGGCACGGGCGTCTCTGAGACCAAAGTCAGGGATCCCTCCGCAACGCAGACAGCATGAGCCAGTGACGGTAGCGACCGTTGGACCTTGCGTCGCTTTGGCGGACGATCCGGGCCATCCTGGTCGGCAAGCGCCTCAGGCTTGAACAGAGATCCAATAACTTGAAATAATTCCGTCGGAAAGGGACCTGCATGGTTGATGAGCGACAGCCGCATTTGATGTCAGAGCACTTACCTCCTGGGTCTACAACGTGAACGTCGTAAGGGCGAGGCCGCCAAGCAGTTTGCTTGGTTCGAGCCATGACTATCTCACAGCATGTCGCGATCGATATGCATCAGAGTGCTTGGGCTTGAGAAGTGGCCGGGGTCCATGCAGACCAATAATAAGCAATGTTGTACAAGTAGCTTGGCGGTCGAGGCTCGCTGGTAATGGAAACGCGATGTAAAAGCTCACTTGTAGTTGGGGTGATGCTGACAAGTAAAAGGAATAAAGAGCCGTTACTGACCAGTCACAAGGGATGCAAGCTGGGGTGGTTCCTGAGGTACCTTAGCCTTTTCTAGATACTTTATGTAAGCATAGAGTATCAGGCTGTGCTGTTTGGGACATATCTCAGGTAATAAGGAACCGTGTGATTCTGTGGTAGAGACTGCATGGCGATTCACCGGTAACGCGCTGTAGTCACGTATATGTAGGTACTGCGAAGTATCCTGGAATCCGGTCCAGGCACCAGCTGCAGCAAGTGCTGGATCGCGGTTGCGATTGCGCCAGTGATCCGCCTCTATTTCTATAAGATGTCAATTGTTTCCACTGCCCACACTTGGGAGTAATTACTCCAGGAAGCATTAGAGGCACATGCAATGATGCTGTATCCGTACGCGGCTAGGATTGCGAGCCCGCCAGGAGTGTCTTGACCGACCCCGTCGCTGACTAATCCTACCAGCCAAAATTTCCAGCTTGGCCTTGGACTTCGATGTTGGGTCCTTCGCATCGCAGGAATCAAGACTGCTCGAGTTGACTTTCGACCGCAACCCAATTCGCTGTAAGGCTTACACCAGACTGCTCCTCCTGCCCTGTTCTCTGACACGTATACAGCAGATGACTCTCGAACGTTGGAGGCCAGTGTTGCGCCTCTGGGCGCCCACGCCGTATGCGACAGCCTTTCGAAACCAAACCAGATGCCTCCACAGCACGCGCCCTTCGCATCCGATACCGTCACCGCGTCCATTCGTGCCCGACGTGGAAACCTTTCTCAAACTGATTGGCCGTGGCTTGAGCCGATACGCATCCAAGTTTCCATCGTGGGACTCTCTCTTCTCCCTGACTGGCCCTGAGCTGCAGCAACTCGGCATCGAGCCAACACGCAACCGCCGCTACCTGCTACGATGGATGCAGAAATATCGCAAGGGCGATCTGGGTCCGGGAGGGGACTTTGAATATGTCAAGGATGGCGAGGCGATCTTGAAGCTCGCCCTCCCGCCTGCGGACCAACTCAAGCAGACCAAGTTCGTGGTCAACGTCCCTCATCCCGAGGCCGAGGTGGCAGAGCCCCCAAAACTTCTACCGCGTCCCATGGGCTATACTGTCAGGGGCGAGAAGACAATTGCCGGGCCGTACGCCATGCCGCTCCCGCAGAGTGGCGTCAGCGTCAAGGTCACCGAGGGAATGTGGGAACAACGCCGCGGCCGTAAGATCGACGGCGGAGAGCGCAGGAGATCAGAGGTCTTGTTCAAGAAGCGCTCGGCTGAGAGACGGGCACAGCGCGAGGCTGATTTGCTCTCCAGGCTGTAAGGTTACATCTGTGTTTAGTAGTCGGCGATCCTTTTGTACAAACACAACGTGTAATATTACATCAATAGATGATGGACCTGGATCCATCGAAATGGTACTGGGCAGTTTGTGCATACATCTCAGCAGCCCATTCAGTCACTGGTACCGTCTTCGTTTCCCAAGTACTGCACGGTGGCTAACCCCTGGCCAAAAGACTAAAGTCACCCTCACCCAGATTAGTGTATGCACTGGAGTATACCACACAGAAACCTTGCGTTCTGAGCGATTGTTCTTGCCCATCCGTAGTCATGCTTGTGAGCCTCCTTTGGCGACGCTGGTCCATTCTCCATGTCGGATCTCAGGGTCCACTACTCCCCTACCGCCCGGCAGAAATTCCCGTCGCCACTTTTTTTTCCACCGGGCTGTTGCGGCTGCCCAGAAGTGAGATCATTGTCAAAGTTTGGACCAACAAGAGGACCAATTGCGATTGCCTCAGCACCTTCACGACCTTGCCCTCCGATTCGATTAAGCACAAATCCGTAGACGGAACGGGAACGACAGGCGGCAAACATGGAACCAGAGACCTCCGCCGCGCCCAGCGCTCCGATGGCTGATCTGAAGGGTCAGTAGAAGCTCGTGTACAACGAATGTCTATGCTGACTATCATTATAGCGGCCAAAGCGAAGCGTGCCAACGAAGCGCGCGCTAAACGCACAGAGGAGCGCAAAGCAAAGCGTAGCATCAAGGCCGAAGCCAAGAAGGCCCGCAAAGCCAACGTCAAACCCTCGGCCAAGTGGACACCGGAGCGCAAAGCAGAACTGAAGGCAAAGGGGAAAGCCAAGCGCCCAGCCAAGACCGAGCGGAAAAAGGCACGCCTGCTCATTCGAGCGCAGAAGCTACGGACGCAGGCCGAGAAGATGCTATCTGAGGCCAGGAAGGCTGAGTTGCAACACCAGCAGTGGGTTCGAGAGCAGGTATGGAACGAAAATGATCTCCTGCTAAGGATATGGGGCTGACGAATACAGGCTAAGTTGAAGGAGGCACAAGGGAACGGGGACGCCGAAATGAAAGACGATACATCTGATTCTGAGTCGAGCTCCGACTCGGAATCCGACTCTTCCGACTCCACCTCCACCTCCAGCTCTGACTCGGGATCGGAATCGGACGATGGCGGCGTAGCTGTCAAAACAGAAGTCAAGACTGTCCCAGCCGACGAGGTTGTCATGAAGAAACGACGCGAGAGCGACGCTGCCTCCGTTCTGAGCGTACCCCCCGCCTCCGACACCGAAACGAAGAAGAGCAAAAAGGAGAAGAAGAAGGGAAAGAAAGAGCAGAAGGAAAAGGACGTCAAGGAGCCAGCCAAGAAGCGCAAGAGCGAGGATGATGGCGAGAAGAAGACCAAGTCGAAGAAGCGCAAGTCCGAGGACGTCGTCGAGGAAGCCGCCGCCGGCGACAATGAGAACTGGAACGTGGACGAGCTCGAAGGAGGCGAGGCTCGTCAGGCCAAGATGATGCGCCTCTTGGGTGGTGGCAAGGCCAGCGCACCGGTGGCGGCGGCCAAGAAGGCAGCCAAGTCAAAGGGTAGCTCGACAAAGGCGGAAGCAGAGATTCAGCGCCAATTTGAGGAGGGAATCAAGGTGAAGAACGAAGGCGGCAACCAGCGTCGCGGCCTAGGAGCGTAGGGGAGATCAATATCTGTTGGAACAAGCAGAACAACAGTCCCTCCAAAGTTGGGACGGACCGATACCCCACGCCGGTTGATTCTGTCAAATGGAAAAGTGATAATTACGGAAAATGCGCGGTTGCTGTGAGCAGCCTAAGCCCGCACGCAAGAAAACCCATGAAACGACCGCCGTTGCCTTTTGCCCGTTGCGCCACGTATATATGTACACGTAAATTATTTTTCTCCATGTCGAACCCGTGCGCTGCCCGTCATGCTAGTCACGATAGCATTCTGTCGTCGAGCTCGAGGATAGCTGTCGCGTGTTCGTTCCCCCCTTGTCTTCCCGCCGCGACGAGGCGCTCGTCGCAGACTCGGTGACCTATCCGAAAAATCGAGAAAGAGCTTCGAAGACCAGACCGCCGAATACAATAAATCCGAGAATGACTGCGCGAGCTATTAGCACTCGTCGACGCGGTTTGGGTACCCGCGGAACGTACCAGCCCAGAACATGGAGATGGGAGACTTCTGCACTTTTTCCACCCGCTTCCTAAGCTGCTCCTCCGACTTGCCCATCTTTGCCTCGTTCTTCTTGGCGAACTGGGCGTTGCGCCGGCGTTGCTCGGGAGTTTGCGCCTGCATAGATCGTCAGTCTCTGTGGCAAGCACATGCCGGCCGACATAGGGGTACTGTTGTTGATGCCACGTACCATGACTAGGGGACGGTTGCGATCTTTGCGAGTTTTCGAATGAATACTAATGGAGAGAGTATAACAAAGCGAGCGGCAGGGACCAGGCGTGTACTGCTTGATATACGACGGCGACGATGGGGACAGATTTTGGTTTCCAAGTCCAGATGGACATGTGGCAGTTAATCAATACGAGTCGCCTAGCTCCCCTGCAGCTAACTGGGCCCCTGGATTGTGGCGCTTGCTCGAAACGCGGGGAGCACAGCCACATCGTCGTACTGGCGAGTGTGATGCATTCCCGCGAGTCCAGTAAATTCCCTTACCAGGTATTCAGATGGCGCTCATCTTGGGCGCCTGGATAATTCGCGACACACAAAACCTCCAGGCGTCTTCTCGTAGCAGGTTCCCTGCATCCTGCGGTTTGTACTGCCAGCGCACCTGATCTTCATGATCTGGTTTATTCCTGAGTCAGCAAGCAGATTTTGACGGCCGTGTCTATGGTTGAAGTACGGGAACATGGTGCCCAAGCTTCCAGTGGTGAAGTAACAACCCGCTATTCTCGTTCGTCGGGCCAACCTAGCTTAGACACAGCTGGACAAGATGTCGCCAGGTGGACGAAGAGGTTCAATGCCGGAGGATAAACACCGTGTCGGCCGAGACCGGGGAAACAACGCTTGCTCACGTGACATCTGCGACCTTGTCACGCAGAGAGCGCCATCTCAAGTCAAGTCCATCCTCATATTGTGCACGAACTCACAAATCATGAACGCATCTCGGTTAATACCGCTGAGGCGTATGCCTCTGGCGCCGTTCTCTATAAGCCAGCGACGGCTTTATGCGTCCAAGGCGCCCAATCCAGCTGTACAGACCCAAGGCTAGTCACAGAGCGAAAGACATGACATTGACACCATGCAGTCCCAATTCTATAAGACGTTCACTCGACCCGTCGCCAAGGTTCTCCTCGTAGCCGTGTTTACGTACCAACTCATCTATTGGTCCTGGGTCAAGCTTGATACGGAGGAGACAAAGGCACAGGCGGACGGTAAGGCCTCCAACGAACCCTACAGCAATGACAGCGCCGGTGATGCTGAGACGTACACAGCTACGATTGCAGGCCTCGAGGCTAAAGTGGACGAATACAAGAAGAAGGCTCTCGAAGCAGCCGAGACCAAGAGCTCATGAGGCCGGGCTCCACGTACCAGGACAAGACTGATGTGTGAGTGTACAAATGGTTCAAAAGCCGCATGACGGAGGATTTGTATTATATTATTGGTCATTATCATAGCAGCAATAGTAATAAGGCAGTCGCTGATAGCAGCCCATGTAGAGCGCTCTGAGGCAGAATAGTGCCCGCAGCATTCGGACGAGATCGCGGCGTCCCAGGATAGTTGCAGGACAATGCACCGGACATCGACTTCTCCCCGTAGCTGTACTCGAATCCCGTCATGCCTGGCAATGGGCACCCAAACCCCATGGAATGGGGGCAGCTCTGCACCACTTCGTAGCAGATCTCCGCGCAGGGCAGGATCTCCTTGTACGGCCCTGGCCCGATTTCCTTGTCGATGAAGCTATTCCTCGATGCGTTGTACCCGTGAATGTCCATCAACTGGCGACGCGACTTGCCACCCTCCTCGTCGGGAACAAACGACCCATTCGGGAACGCTGCGCCCACGTTGCGAGGAATGGCATATCTGTTCCCACTGGAGTAGTCCTCACAACGTGGTATGGCTACTGTGCACAGCCAGCGCTTGTAAGCTGTTCTGCAATCATCGCAGTTCCTGGCGAGTGAATATTGTGAGGTTGGATCTGTCTCGCACTGTTCCTGTGCCAAGACCGTCTCGAAGTGGCCATACATCTTCCGAGCGTAATCATCGTACACTTGGGCCAGCTCGGTACCATTGAGTACCCCATTCCCGGGAACAGCGTGTTGGTTCTCGGTGCAGAAATCCAAGTCAGTGACCACCTTGCATATTGTGCCTGCCTTTCGTCAGTATGTTCATCACAGTCCAGGAGAAATGCTCACTCACCACTCAGTGTAGCGAAGTCGGCGGGATCAAATGCCAAGAACCTCCGCGTATTCCCCGTACCCTCAACTGGTGTCTGGCGCTTACTAAAGTGCTGGTCCTCCTGCGTGTTCGCCACCTGCACCAGGATTGCGCGATACGTCGACGTCTCATTCAGACCCTCAAAGTAGAAATGTTGCCGTGGTAGCTTGTCCTCTCCACGGATGGACGTGTTCGTTCTGACAAGCATGCCCAGTCGACCATCTCCGTCATTGGTGGCCGAGATGAGAGCATTCTGCCGGATGCCGCACAATGAGCGCTCGATCCCGTTGAACACCGGCCAGCGCATGTTTTCAACGTAGAGCTCAAAGGGGGGATTCGTCACCATAGATTCCAGCCGATTCTTTGGCGAATATTCAAACTCTTGGGTTTGCAGCAGCGCAGCACTCGAATCACTGTCCATCCACATGAGCTGACCCTGCCCTCTTTCGTTGTCGGCTTGCCAGTCGTGGTAATAACCATCTTCTGATATAGCAACCTCGAAGTTGTAGTTGCCCTCGAAATCATCGGATACATTCGGTGCGAGTATAGTCACATAGACCGGATCGTCCTGGGCACCGACGGACAATGTTGCGAGTCCTTCGTCAAATTCCGCCCACATTTCTTCATCCATGCCATTTGTGGTGATCGGACATCCGTCCTCCTGAGATACAGATGCCAATAGTCGGAGCTGCGGCGCGGTTTTTGCATTCGTGCTATCTCCCACAAAGTCCGGCCGGAGACATGTCGTCGCAGACAGGTAAAGTTGGCTTTTAGAAGTCTGACGTGGGCTCTTTTCTCTGGCCTCTACTTCGATTGGACCATCGAAACTGTCGGTCTGGCTTGTGTTGGAAGACTGGGCGTTTCTTCTCCTGCTGGCAGCGCCTGTGGACGACAGAACATAGCAGCGCGTCGAGCCCGGAGAGAGGTTGAAACTCTGAGGCTCATCTAGCTCTATCAGGAATGATTCTGATGGAGCCCGGCCGATGACGCTACGGTCGAACAACTCAAAGTCCGGTTCGTATGAAAACTGAGCCGCATTGTCTGCTGGCAGGAAGTCTGCGCCGACTTCCGCTTCGGTTATTGACGCATCGAGGGAGGCGCTAGACAACTTGGGGGCGAGCAGTAGAGAAATTATGGCGCCAATGGCCATGGTGAATCATCAACAGCCGTGGTTGGGCGACCAGGAGAGCGAATGTCGGGTTGCGGACGTAGTTCGATGTGTTTGACAACTGGGGCCCTCGATTTCGCAGTTTTGTTCGGTCAAGCGTCCTTGTTACGCGTCATCCAGTACGGCGATCCATTTTCTGAAAGCGTTCAAGACGCAGGGGACGAGTCGAGTTTTGGATTGGTAACGCAAATGGAATTGGTTTGAGATGGTCGTCAAACATCAGGGTCCTGGACTCCTGATGCGACTGATAGTGGTCTCCACTAAATCTCACGCGGCCTCTTGAGTGACTGCGCGTCCCTGAATGGGATCCGTCGCCCAGGAGCAACAAATCCAAAGGTAAGACTACTTAAATATGACTGTTGATTTGATCGGCTATCGCTCACATGATATTTGATTCTATTCTCGATTGCTACTCATGCCACTACAGCTGTTAGGAGTCGAGACTGTACCTAGTGTGTTGTAGCACCAGACGAAGGTCAAGGCATGCGTCCAGGGCCAACATATCCATACAAAAGGTTCGAACACGGAATCTGACGTGAATTACTCGCCTAGTACTATGCTCTTGAACTTTCCACTGCCCCAACCACCTACATATGAGCCCCTTTGACTCTCGGACTTTCCACCACCACACAAGTAGCTATATCCAAACGGATAGCCTTTCAACATGAGTTCGAAGCACCCATATATCTTCCTCCGAGTCCCTCGAAACCTTCAACCTTTTCGTAGCGCATAGCTCGACCCGTGGGATGCTCACGTAAGCCCAGGAGTTCAGTTCAAGCTTACTATTAGTTGGCGCATGGGAGCACCAAGGGCGAGAAGCACTGAATCATTGGCCTGTTGGCAGGATTCTGATTGAGAACCTTACTGGTCCTTGGTAAAACCCTCGGCCTTGGATCGAAGGTTTGAAGCAGTGGATCCAGACTGGAAGTAGCGGCCCATGGTGGGGGCAAGGAACGAGCGGAAGATGATTTGAGCACCGCTATAGTGTGTCAGTAAGGCAAAAAGACATCACGAAGAGCGCCGGGATTGACTTACTGGAACGGGGGGAGCGCCAGCCACAGAAGGAAGACGAACTTGAAGACGAAGTAGAAGGGGAACCAGTAAATGATGTTGACGAAGCTCTCCAGAACGGTGAAGAAGGCAAAGACGACCCAGTACTTTTCCGTGTCAGCGCATACTAACGCGATAGATATGGGGAGGGAACTCACAGTCAACCACTGTGTGTCGTCGCTGGAGCCTGGGGTGAACAGGGCAGCCATGGAGTAGTAGCCAGGGATGACGAAGCCGGCAAAGTTGGTCAGGAGCTGACCACCAAGGTTGAATATAATCAGGAAGAAGTAGAGCGCAGCCAGTCCCAGCACGGCATAGGCTTTGGGGACGCCAGCCTGCTTCTCGAGGTTATTCAAGGTGGGGTACTTGGACAGCTGCGAGGAACCGGTCAGCGCATGTTCATTGCATGAGGGAGAAGATGAGACAAAGTACCTCCTTGTCGAGCTGTCCAAGGTAGTTCTGGATGTTGGCCTGTGCGGAAGACATCTTGAATCGTGGGTTTGGACGTGGTGTTGCGATTTGCGTGTGTGCGCGAAGCTGTGTGTGGGCTGACGAGGGCTTCGCGGATGCTCGGTATGGGTTGCGGAGGGGTAATAAGCGAGGTGACGAGCACGTGGGGAAGGTCGCCGGCTATGGTATATGCGTTGCGAAGAATATGGGAATGCAAGGCAAGCAAGAACAATGTGACGATGCGAGATTGGCAATCAGGATATTCCAACAGTGTGATGTGTTAATGTGAACACAGTTTTGTGCAGCCGACGGACGATCAGCTCGTAGACAAGCTGTCGGCGGGCAGAGCGCGGCTTGCGTCAGAAGGAGTTATTATCGTCATTCAGTGGGGCCAGATGGTAACACCCATTCCATGTCGAGTCCTTGACAGCGAGCGCGCAGCTTGCTTGCCGTCGCAGCAACATCTCTGAACGCTCAAGCTACGTATAATTAATTGGATGCACGATTACATCTAAGCTGTGATGACTGCAAACAACAGTATCGTAGGAGCAAGCGAACCCCCTTGAATCCTCGAGACTGGCCTGCTTATGACTGTTCATGGTGGTTCGTCCGTGACCCTGCTCTCGTGCATCGAGCATGAACATGTCCTCTGTTTGGATAGCACGGCATCACAGTTGCGGGTGCACAAAGAGCTGATTGGATCCTACAAGCTCAAAATAAGGCCTGCTCTTGTGGGCTCGGACGACGCGAGTTCACCGCGGTGAGCAGTCTACCGGTGAACATTTGGTACATTTACCAACCGAGGCAATCGGTGGTATTGTGATAGTAACAATGCACAAGAAACCGTAACGGCGTGTTATGGTGGCTGAAATTGGTCTGAAGTTGTGATGGCTGGGGATGGAATTGTCGCTAATGAGTGGGCGTGCCAGCGGCTGCTTACATAACCGCGCAAAACAAAGCGGGCACAAGGTTGTTCTTCTCGGACCCACGGTTGGCCTCCCAACGTCAAAACAGACCTGGAACCACAACAATCGATCTTTTTGACGACGCCTCTGCCTCGACGCGTGGGCGCTTGTAGAACTTATCCTCCCCGTTGCGACAGGTATCGACGCGATTGTCTTCTCTCCTTTCCTTTTTGCATCGAACAAAACGACCGAATTTTGGAAGCGCCACTGTTTTGCCCATATATTCCGGCTTTGGGGATGTTTGTTGTGGCACAGGCGCAGCTTGAAGAAGAAATTACAACGACCCTCCTCCTCCTTTTCCGCCACTTTTGTCGCGTAGCCGCAAGGCCATGGATCAGCGTAAGTAGGCCCTGCTTATATCTGAAGCACGCTTCAACGCCTTCCCATCGTCGTCAGTATGCTAATTGCTGCACAGACGGACCCCTGGGGGAGCGGCCGCGATCAGGAACCCGACCTCGATCGCAAGATTCGACTACATCTACGCGCAGCATCACCACCCAGCACCCCGTAGACCCAAACAGCTTTCTCGAACTCAACAACATGTACGCCAACCAATGGCACAGATCCCAGCACCATACTATGCAACCCCGTCGGTCCATGAGTAGTCAGCAACTTGGCTCAGAGGCCATGTTGGTGCATGCCACTCATCAGTTGCAGGGGGGATCAAATGGTTTCTCCATGGGCAATGACGGTCGTCTTTCTCAGCACCCCGCAGGTTTGCAGCCTCATCATGGGGTAATGCCCAATCGCGGAGGCAGTGATCCCCATGGCTTGGCCCACATTGACCAGGTGCCCTGGGATGATGCAGATATCTCAATGATGGAGCCTGGAGACGGTAACGAGAACATGGACTTTTATCGAAAAAGCGGAGCCAAGGATTCCAAGAAGTCGAAGAAACGATCCAACGCCAATAACGATGGAGAGATGAGAGACTTGTTTGATACCAACAAGGCAAAGTCTTTAGAGGATGTCGCGAACGAACTGCGTGGGAACGAGCGTGGTCCAAAGGCCGAGAGGAAACGCCAGCTGTATGCCATGTTGTGGTGAGCTGAACTCCTAGCCTTACCTGAGAGCCAGCTAACGCCCGTTAGGCTCAATGCGTCGTGTGTGGAAAGCAAAAACTCGATTCCCCGGGGTCGAGTCTATTCCATGTATGCGTCCCAATGCTCTGACGACAGGGTGATCGTTTTAAACCCTGCCAGTTTCGGCAAGCTGGTGCGCATTCTGTTCCCTAACATACAGACTCGGCGGCTAGGTGTGAGAGGCGAATCAAAGTATCACTATGTGAACTTTGACTTGAAGGAGCAGCCAGCAACTGAGAGGGGCACCTCCCACCCCTTTCATGCACCCAACGATATCCCTACGGAGAAGAGCCCCGAGGTGGACTTCAACACAACGATAACAAAAGACCCTGCGCCGCCCAGTGCTCAGCCGCCCAGGCTTGACGACGTGGCCAATCGTCGATCAGGCACGAGGGCGACGGACAGTATGCTAAGCTCGAAGGCGCACAGCCGCTACAATATGCCACATACGAACATTAATACAATCTGCGCCAAAACACCTCTGCAGCTGAGCTTCATGAACGAGGCAGATCGGGCGGCAGACTCAGCCGAGCCCATCACGCTACCTTCGATTGGCCGTTACCTACCTGCGAACACGGACGCCGATGCTGCCCAATCGCTTACAGCTCTGTATCGATCACATTGTACATCTATAGTCGAAAGTCTACGATACTGTCGAGAGAAGAGTTTCTTTCACCTGTACGAATGCTTCCACGGGACGCTTACCACGCCTGTTCAAAGACTGTTTGCCCATCCAAAAATCGCAGGATGGATTGAGGAATGCGATATCCTTCTCTACCAACGGTGCACGAGGCTCATTGCGCACTTGTCGCACCAAGTCATTCCGCAAAGGGTTATGAGCTCGATGCGCAAGATTTCCGAGCGCCTGGTAGGACACATTCACGAATCATTCCGCGGGCAGCCGAGTCATGTCCTGGAGGCCAAGATCGGTCCCGCGACGGTGTTTGCGGGTATCATGGACAGGATGCTGCGTGTCAACGTCTCCGCCCATGCCATGGTGCGGGAGATGACCAATGTTGCGAATCGTGACCAGATGTTTGTTGATTGGGTCCAGAACATCAATCCGCGCAAGATTGCCGAGTGTGTACCCACGCGAGGGATGGACGATGTGGTGAACCTACTCTTGACAGAGCTGAGGGATGTGCTGGAGCCGGAGAACGTGCCGCAGACTGAGGATTTTGTCATGTACATGTCGTCGCGGTCCCAAGAGATTCGGCAAAATGGGCAAGAGTCTGCTAGGAGGGCGACGGGACGTTCCCACATTGAAAGGCTGGAGGCCTTCCTGATGAGTCTGCCCTCCAAGTTTCCATACGCTTCCCACGCGGACATTGCCTGGTGCGTGGAGAGAGTGGGCACTACGATTGTCCGAGATTTGACCATTGGGGGGCTATCGAGTTTCAGCTCATGGCTTGTACTCAAGGTGTTTATTGATGAGGAGATTTGGTTCCTGGCGGAGGCTGGAGGCTTTCTGCGTACCACCTCGATCCGCGGGGACGTTGGCCAAGACGATTCGGAAGCACCCAGCAAACGTGTTTCCAGCAGCAGCGGTGCAGTTCCCGACAATGCTGGTCCTACCGAATCCGCTTCGCCTTTGACCGCCGCCCCGACTTCACCGCGAGTTTCGAACCGGGCGCCATTCCCTCCCAAACCTTCGGACAACTTTGCAGATACGACGCCTGACGTGCATGATGACAGTGGGATCGGAATCCGCACACCGGATACGGATTTTCACAAGTTTACCTTTGGTAACGCAGAGCAACTGGTCGATGTCGACGGAGTACTCGACGGTGCAGGCCGAAGCGATCGGCCAGATGAGCTCATGATGAATGCTTGATTAGGACAGACATGGAGTTGGCCAGGGGGGTCCTCGTCTTTGGCGTACGGCGTTATTTTGGTCGAGCTCGCACGCGGACCCAGCCAGGGCGCGGGTCGAGGACAACAGCAACTACGCGCGGACTCAGGGGCGGGTATGGTATGACGAATGGGACAACATGGAGGCATGATGGATACCCAGGATTCCGTGTGTGTCCGGGGTTGGATTTGGATTTTGACTTAGCGTACGCGCTGGCTTCTTGGATGATTCCCAAAGCATTGATGTACTTTGCCGTATTGCTACAATGTAATGAATTCATGCTTCAAGCATCCGAGTTTCCAATGATTTGTTGAGATTCAAGGACATGGATTGGAGCGCTGGTGGTGGAGTCTCGACTTGATTTGAGCGTGCTGTCCGAAAACGGAGGACAGCCCACGTCGAGTCGAGTCACTTTCAGTGAATGTACACAGACAGGCCAACAGGCCACCTTGTCGTGAACATTGGGTTCAAACGCGCTTTCAATGAGCGTGAAGTGCACCCGAACAAGCTCTGCGGTCGCTGACGGAGGGTATGAAGCGAAGGAAGCCTACTGTTGGCCTGGGAGCGTAATAATAATAATTCATTGTTGCCATGAGTTTAGGGAAAAGAGTTACTCTGGCGCCAATCGATAAGGTAGGTGGTGACTAGACTGACTGGCGGATCCACCAGATCCAGGCACTAGACTAATAATTTAATCGGCAGCGAACTACTTGTACACTTCCGAGTCGGCGGGCGGCCAGCCAGCCATCCATCCATCGTCAGAGGGCATTAAAAAATTAGGCACATCGCGTGTGGGATCCCCCATCTCACTCACACTTTGGTTCATCGTCCCCTCTGGCCCCAGTTGCATTCTTGTTGCACCGTTGCATCGTCTCTTCCGCATCAGACTACTTGGCAGTGTTCAGTCACAATCCTGACAGCAAAGGCGAAACCCGGAATTGGGCTGCCCGCCGTCGGACCACGTCGTTATTTCCTGTGGCAGGATGGTGAGCGCCACCACGGACGTCGCCCTGCGTGGAAACGAGGAGGGTCTAGGATGGATTGTCCAGAAGTTTGGTGGGACAAGTGTTGGCAAGTTTCCTGACAAGGTATGTCCTCGAGGGCCCAGCTCATGAGAGTGTCGATGACGGACGGATATCTAACTTTTAACCTACCAGATTGCCCGTGATATTGTCAAGTATGTTACCTCAATGATAAAACCCGCGCGTGTGAGAGCGCGAGGGGGTGGCGGCTGGACTGACTGAGGGACTAGGGCGAGTTTGGCTGGAAACAGAGTGGTTGTCGTGTGTTCAGCGAGAAGCACAGGCAAGAAGGCAGAAGGCACCACAAGCAGGTACGTTTCACACATGCGATGCGAGATGATGTGAAGTCCGGTTTGCTCATCATATCCTTACAGACTCCTAGGCGTGTACGAGAAGCTGCGTGCCGTCAACACGGCTGGTGCCAGTAACGAGGACCAGCAGCTGCTCATAGATGAGGCCAACCTGCTCATCGTCAACGTTTGCAACGACCACATATTTGCCGCCGAGTCCTTTGTCCCAGAGACTAGCAATCTCCGGTCCAATCTGATCGAGTGTATCAAGGCTGAGTGCCAGGAGCTGAGCGAGTACATTGTCGCCGCGAAACGCTTCAACCTTGAGATCAATGCCCGGTCCAAGGATCGCGTGGTGAGCTTTGGCGAGAAGCTCAGCTGCTTGTTCATGACCGCCCTCCTCAAGGGCACCGGCGTGGACGCCGAATACGTGGATCTCTCCGACATCTTCCACAATGACACAGCCAGCGCGCTTGGGCAGCAATTCTACTCAATGGCCGCGGCGGCGTTCGCCTACAGGGTGGCACGGTGCGGAACGCGGATCCCCGTGGTCACGGGCTTCTTTGGAAACGTACCGGGAAGTCTGATGGAAGGCGACATTGGGCGAGGCTACACAGATCTGTGCGCTGCGCTGTTTGCGGTTGGGCTTGAGGCACAGGAGCTGCAGATCTGGAAGGAGGTGGACGGTATCTTCACGGCCGACCCGACCAAGGTGCCCACGGCCAGTCTGCTGACAAGTATCACGCCCTCGGAAGCGGCCGAGCTGACCTTTTATGGCTCCGAAGTCATCCACCACCTCACCATGGACCAGGTCATCCACGCCGAGCCCCCGATCCCGATCCGCATAAAGAACGTCAACAACCCTCGGGGCAACGGCACCCTGGTTGTCCCCCGGCCGCAGCAGGCCCGGAAACAGCACACGCGGGAGCCCTCCCTCCTCACACCAGGTTCGCCGCCTCGTCCACCCAAGCGGCCCACCGCCGTCACGATCAAGGACAACATCAGCATCATCAACATCCACAGCAACAAGAGGTCCATCTCGCACGGCTTCTTTGCGCGCGTCTTCAAGATCCTCGACCAGCACTCTGTCTCTGTCGATCTCATCTCTACCAGTGAGGTCCACGTCTCCCTGGCGATCCACTCGGGCAGTCTGCAGCTCGAGCACATCTCGGCCGCCCAGAGGGAACTCGAGGAGTGCGGCGAGGTCACCATACATACCAACATGTCCATTCTGAGTCTTGTCGGTGCGGACATGCGGCAGATGGTCGGTATTGCCGGCCGGATGTTCTCCGTGCTCGGTGAACACCAGATCAACCTCGAGATGATTTCGCAAGGTATGTGACCGACGTGTTTTTATACATATTCTTCTCGGCTCAACTAACATGTTCTAGGCGCGAGCGAGATTAACATATCGTGCGTCATCGATGCGATGGATGCCACTAGGGCGATGAACGTCCTCCATACGCATCTTTTTACCTTCTTGGACGACTGAGCGCGTCTGCGCGTCAGGTCCATTTGTGGAGAGCTGGTGCATTCTCATTTTCTTATTTCACGGTGGTACTCAATCAAAGGATGGGATTTGGTATATACTGTGCAACGTATGGAGTTTGGAACTTTCGGAATAGACCTAGCATCCCTCGAACATTTTTGCTGCTGTATCTCTTCGTGGCACGGCCTTGGCTTGTCCACAGTGCCGATGTATTCACACTTGAATACCTTCAAAAAGTACCTAGGCCTGGTATGTTATAATTAACAGTGACACATTGTATTTATTCTGATGGGTCTTGCGTGCTCGGTGCAGCATCAATGAGCCTAGGTGAGGCATTGCTGAAGGAACAGGGTAGCTGAAGTCCGCATCGGACAAGGTATCTTGAACACCCCCGACAGGCTGCGAACCTCAGCTGGACCCCAGCTTGACACATACCAACAGAGGCATTACTGTTACGCTACACCCATCGAGACGCGAGCCGCCGCCTTTTAATTGCCATTTGCAAGCAAGATACAGGTCGGCCAAGTTACCTGATACATCGATTGCCTGGCTGGAGTAAAGGACCTTGGTCAGAGCTCCCCAAAGCTACTTGCCGAGCTACTCGCCCCCACAAACACCACCACTCATCGTCGGTGTCCGCGAACCCCGACAATATATCGATTGGCGCCGGAACACTCTCGAACGCGGGCTAGGCACGATGCCATTGCTGCGTCTTGATCAGCCAAGCGACGGTTGATGAAGGCCGAATACACCCACCCCAAGTCCTACCTACGGACACGTCCAGCCCGTCTGTTGCCGGCAAGCCATTCAACACTAAGATCATAGACGAGCCGTCATGTACAAATCAAAACAGAATGCCGGCCGAGGGGCCGGCATCCTGAGCGCTCTACAGGCCACGTCGATGGTTGATTCGAGAGCGAGCCTGCCAGCAGGTCAGCGCAACCGCCAGGTGTATACGAACTTCAGTGGGCTAATGAAATACAGAGATCCTCGTAGCAATCCTCGACTACCTGCCAGTGTCTGATCAGATGCGCTTCGCCCGAGCGTCTCGACGTATGCAAGAAATGGTCTACGACGACACAAGATGGGTGTCACGACTTCGAGCAATGGGGTGTTGGGATGAATTGGAGGCTAGGAAACGCTTTGAAGAAGCAATCAAGAGGCGGCGAGAAGCAGCTGAGCAGGCCAAGGAGCAGATCAAATCCCCCGCAGGCTCTATGGCCAACGAACCAGCTGCCAATCCCAAAAGCCCGGCAAGCACAACCTTGTTCGATGCGGCCGCTGAGGGCCACACGAGGAAAGCATCATCGGGCGAGGAGAACCGCCGGCGACGCATGTCGGAGCTTCGCGATGGGTTCGAGGCGACAAACATAGGGAATTCCGCGGTAAAGGACGGGCCAGCCAGCAATCCTGATGTCTACCTCGAAGTCTTTAAGCACTCCCGGAGCATACGTGGCGGGGCACGTCAAGAGTTCGGCAAGATCTACGGTGCTCTCGCTCCCTTTTACTTTGACCTTGTGCGTGCGACATCGCATGCCGATCCTATATTATTCAAGGCTTTCCGGGACCCGGAGCGCCAGGGCAGGATGCTCGCCAATTTGACGAGGTTCGCGCGCAGTGACTGGGCAGCCGGGTGCCTCGAGCGCGAGGAGAAGCTGCAGTCCATGGTGGGCATCTTTGAGAGCGCGGTGCTGCGCGAGTTTGAGCAGGGCTACGAGTTCTGGGACGTGGACGGACGGATGAAGAGGTATGCGCACGTGCTGCACGAGCTCAACGGGCAGGGCGGCGTGGACCTATTCATCCAGAAGCACCCCATCTTCGACGATGCGGACCTACAGTTCAACCCCGTGGCCTGTCTGAGCCGTGCGATCCCGGACGAGGTCACTCTCGAGCCGTCCCGGCTGTTTTTTGAGATGCTGCTCGCCAAGGTCAACGACCAGGCAAGTGTCATGGCGCGGATATTCCCCCAGCCAGGAAAGGTTTTCTGGGGCCTTCTTGAGCGCATCAAAGACGACATCATCATGGAGTATACCACACCGCTGTTTGACGAAGCTCATGACCGCAGCATCGCGGCCTACTTGAAAGCTGTGTCGGGCGTTTTCGAGCAGACCCTCCTCTTCTTCCAGTCCCTCACACCACCGCCAGGGTCGGGGGAGGATGTCAAGGCAAAGGCCAAGGAGCTCACCCTGCGAGTGTTTGAGCCTCACCTTGATTTGTATCTGCAGGAGGAGCTCGACTTCTTCACGAGGCATGCGGAGAACGAGGTGTCTCTCTGGGAAAAGAAGCTTTCTGAGCAAGACTCGACACTCGAGTCCTTTTACATGTCCAACATCAATCGGTCGGCCGACAAGAAGGACTTTCTGAGCTCGTTCAAGAAGGTTGTCATGATGCCCGTCACTGTGTTGCCCAGCATTGGTTCGCCGTTTGCTACAGCATCGACTGCCTATGCAGCTAAGCAGCCGGTGCCCAACGGCGCCACAGGGGTCGCGGGACTGACACCGCAGCTATCGAGGCCAGGTACGCCCAGCCTTAGTATTCCCATGGAGGGTCGCAATAGCCCTCTCCCTGATCAGGCCCCCACCGACGAACTAGCCGCCAAGGCTGCTCTCATGGCGTCCAAGTTGGAGGGCATCAAATCACTGTTCAGCATCGAAGTTGCCCTCAACCTGGTACATACAGCCAAAGTCAGTCTTGGCCGGACATCGGTCTTCATGACACTCGGTGGGCAGGTCGGCGAGGAAGCTCGCGAGCAGTGCGCCAACATGTTCGTGGTGCTTCTGCGCATCTTGGGGCAGCGTCACGTCAAGCCTGGCTTTGACCGTGCTGTGGACCACTTGTCACACTACAACCCACGCGAAGTCAGCGACCACAACCAGCAGGGTGTCGCGCCCCTGGTGACGTTTATCGAGCTCGTCAACGTCGGAGATTTGATTTCCCAGATGGTGGATGTCTTTTACGAGCAGCAGCTCGCGGCGCCCAAGATCGCGGACAAGGACGACTTTCTCGATCCGTCTGGGCTGGCGAAGAAGAAATTTGAGCAGATGCTCGATGAAAGCGTCGCGGCTGGGCTGAACAAGGGCATAGACGTCCTTATGGACGAGGTCGAGTATCTCCATGGCACCATGCAGCTGCCCACTGACTACAACCCTGCGCCTAGCACCGCCGCCGCCACCACCTTGTCGGGTGGTGATGCGGCCGAGAAGTCGTCCCGGGACGAGTCGGACATGGGACCCACGCCCACCGCGAAGCGCATCGTCGAACTCGTCTCCAGCCACACCAAGATGTTGACCGGCACCACCGACAAGTCCATGCTGGACGTGTTCAACGGCGAGGTCGGGCTGCGTCTCTTCACGGCCATATGCAAGCACCTCAAGCGCCAGCGTATCTCGACCGATGGCGCAATCAAGCTCATTGCCGACATGAACCTGTACTTTGACTATGTGCGCACCTTGCGCAACCAGGATCTCCTGGCCTATTTCCGCGCACTGCGTGAGTTGAGCCAGATATACCTCATTGACCCGGAGCATGCCAAGGACATGGCGAGCGTCATTGCCGACGGAGATCGCTTTGCGGGCATCTTCAGAGCGGAGGAGGTCTACGAGTACGCACAGCGACGCGCGGACTGGTACCACGTTCGGAAAAAGGTGGAACGCGCCATGTATGGGTTAGAGTGCAGTGTCATGTAGTCCTCAATGGGACGTGAACTTTCTACTTCTCAATGTCGCACTGGCTGTTGATCACCGCCGTTGCTTGCTATTTCACACAAACTATAGACACATACCAATGGTTTGCTTCCCCCAGCCCAAGAACGTGCGGAGCCTTCTTCGAATCTTGATTCAAGGCTGTTCCAGCATCTGGCCAAAAATTGAGCACGGCCACACGAAGCTTGAATCACCTGCAATATTCCAACAGCAGCCTATTTTATAGAATGCACACATCCCTCTATTCGATCCTCTTCTTGGCACTCGCACCGGACTTGACGCGGCGCGCAGAGGGCCGGTTCACGTGGTGATCCGGAATCCAGCTTTGGTCAGGCTCCACAGCGACACCAGTCGCCTCAACCACAGCCTCGCTCTCGGACTTGCCCTTGGGGGTCTTGGGCGTACCAACAGCGGCGTTGGAGCGTTTGGGCGCTGGGGCGGGGAATAAGGCCTCGATCCAGGTCTTGTAGACAAAGTACAGAATGCCCGCGAATGCGCCAGTCAAGAATAGGTAGAGGAAGATACTACATTGGCATTGCGTCAGAAAACAGTCCAGAGCAAGGAGCGCGAGGGGCGGGTTTGTACGTACATCTGGGGATCAAGGAAGCTGACCGGGGCCTCGACAATGGACGCGGTGTCGTCAAAAGCAGCGACCTGGAAGATCTCGCCCTTTCCGCTGGTGACGACGGCGGTGAGCTGAACACGGACCTCCTGGGGGTTCATGTCCTGGGCAAAGGTGTAGGGCAGGCTCTTGGTCTCGCCGGCGGGAACGTCGACGTTGTACTGGACGGCGGTCAGGTTGCGCAGGATGGACTGGTATCGGGGCGCATCGTCGGCGACGGGCTTGGTGGAGACGAGGGCGCCCGTGACGAAGACGACCGTCATGGGCGCGTCGTCCTTGTTGACGATCTCCAGCAGGGCATTGGTGGGTCGGCCGTTGACGAGCTTGACGCCCAGGTCGGCGTCGGGGAACGAGGTGGTGATGTCGGCATTGAGGACGGCGCCGCCGTCGGCGGGGGAGAAGCCGGCATCTGCGTCCTAGAAGCGCGTTAGACGGGAACGAGAGGGGTCAATTGTTGGTTCATCGGGTCCGGTGCAAGACGTACCTGGGCAAAGACACCCAGGAGCTTGGTGGCCATGATGGCCAGAAGCGAGGCGCTGAAGAGCATGATTGACGACTGGATGGATGGAGGACCTGACAGCTGAGACGGGGGAGAGGGAGTGACGAGAAAAGGCAACCAATGGAGGAACAGAATGGCAGGACAGAGGAAGAGGAGGAGGAAGAGGAAGAGGAGGAGGAGGAGGAGCAGCAGCACAGAGGCGACGTTGCGGAGGCGAGGCGAGGCCAGGACGGAGCTTGGATGACTGCAGACAGGGTCCATCCAGCCACACCAACTGGTTCCTGCCGTGATGCAGCTTCCCCACGTTGTGATCTGGCCTTACCTCACGAACCCTCCCCGTTTCTACGGACGTACATGGCGCTGCAATTGCCTGGCTGCATCGCAGGGCTATTCCGAGTCACATATCGCATTTCAGACCAGCAAGCTGAGTCAATTGGACGATGGAATGAACTTGAAGATTACACAATCGCAGCGTGGGCTGGTTGACCCTGCAAGTTGTGTTAGTACTTGGACAGCTATGATGGGCGCAGCTTTCGGAGTGTCTAAATGGATGTAAGTACGAAGCAGCTTACGTTCATTGTGAACAATTCGGCAGAAAGACCTGCTCCGTCTCCCCAAGCTCTCTCACAGCTTTCGCAGTACTCAACATGGTCACGCGAGGTGGAATTCGCTTTATTAGCATCTCGTCTGTGACTAAAGGTACGTACCTTGCATAGGCTCATGCCCCACTTTGACGACCCCCGGCCCGGCCGCCGAATTCGACGTCAATTGAAGGAAGGCGCGCTGCGCTCCAAGAAGCTCGACCGACAAGCGGCGCCTGCAAATCGAGTCTGTCCACAAGCACCACTTCTAATCACTTCACCAAAGGCACGCTCGTCGCCAAAGCAAGATCTTATTTGCTCTTATTGCTATCGCTCTAGGATATTTAGTGACGTCCCAGTCATACAAAAGACTTTCACTCCAAGTCGCGTCCACATGCGTAGACTGTCTCTCATCAGGGTAGCCCTCGGGTGCGCTCGCCATGGACAACCAACCCGTCGCCGATAACCTGCGCAAGTCTCTGTTCCTCTGGACAGAATTTGCGCGCAGGTGCCTTAACGAGAGACTGCCAATCGACAAATTTCAGACCTTTGCCAGGCTCTTGTACCAGCAACACCATCTGCCGCCCGCAGCGATCGCCGACCTCTTCCTGCGACCGCATCCAAACGATTGCTACAGCGTTGATCCCCGAATACCACCATATCTTCAGAAGCTCAGCGACCTGGGCTGTATCGATACCCCAGCCATACTCAAGACGCTTTACAAATACTCGTCCGCACACCTGCTGCTTGAAGAACAGTCGGCCGGTTCGGGGCCGCTGGCCAAAGACACCAAAACTCCGAATGGCAACGAGGCAGACGCGGAGGGCAAGCCGCTGCGATGGAAAAGCTCGTACTGGGTAGAAGAGGTCTTGTTCTTTAGGATTGTCAAGTCTCTTCACGATGGCGAGGCGGTCAGGAACACGACGACAGCGTACGCGGTGCTCCAGGTCGTGTCGCAATGGATAGCGCTGTTTGTCGCCACGGCCTCAACGGCACCGTTGGATGTCATGTCACAACCATCCAGCTTGCGCATGGAATTGGGGTCGGCCAAGGCGGCGTTTGTGCCGCTGCTTTTGCGCCTGACCGACAATGAGGCTGTCCTGAGGATCGTCAGCAGGCCTATTGCTCGAGGTGGGTAGAGCCTGGACTGGTCGATCCTTTGATTGTTGTCGTAGCTAAGAGTGCACAGAACTTTGCAGGGAACTCTCCGCCAATCTTGCTGATTTCTTGCCGCAGCTGGCGAACGCGGGAACGTCCAGGCCGATGCTGGACAAGCTCGGATATTTTCGCAATAATGTCCTTGCTAGCTCCGAGCCCGTGGACAAGAAGAAGCAGGCCGCCGATGCCGCCATGAACGACATGCTCGACTCAGCGGCTGGACCGGATAGCTTTGAGGTCCGCCAGGTGCCCATCATCTCGACCCGGACAGGCATGTACATACATCTAAATGCTTGCCTTGCTGGCCGACCTTTGATCAACGACAACGTCTTCATCAGCTTCCTCAACAATAGATACGCTGGCGACAACCAGCATGCTGCCATGGACCTCATATTGGCCTCATTTGACATTCTCGCCACCGCAGTCTTTAGGAGCAGCGCACGGGAGGATGCTCCCCTGCTTCGCTCATTTCTCATCAACAAAGTCCCGTCACTTCTCTTCCAGCTCCTCCCACCGGGCTTCTCGCCTCAGCCAGCCGAGACGTGTATTACGAATGCGCTCAATCAGGTTGACACCGGTCTTTTCCCGACAGCATCCGCCATGTTCAACGAGGACCAAATCAGCAACCCCTATACCTCTAGCGTGAGAGAGGAATTTTGTGGAGCTTGTGTGCTCCACGGCCTCATCAACCGGGAGCGGCTTGAAGCGGTGCTGGGCGAGATGCCCATGTCTAGCCAGCCCGAAAAGAAGATCCGCGATAAGCTCGTGCAGGACTATCTGTCGCACAACCTCAAGCCGCAGGATTTGCTCGCAGACTTAGACAGGGACAGTGGCAATGTCGGCACTGTCTGTCATGCTATCGCCGAAGTAAGGCTTTTCTCCCATCATTTCAAACCGCGACTAATGATGCCTAGATTATTCGAAGACAATGCCACGAGAAGGATACCATGTCCCTCAAGCTTCTCTGCATCGAGCTTGTCCAGAAACCACAGAGTTTAGATATTCTACTACTGTTTGAAAGTATCCCTTCCTTGCTGGGACCTCTGTGCCAGCTCCTAGATCACTGGCGGTATGAGGAAGATCAAGCCGAGTATCAGCCTGTGTACGAAGAGTTTGGCTCAATACTTTTACTGGCTCTCGCATTTGTATATCGATATGGTCTCGAACCTCCAGATCTCGGACTGTACTCTCAGGGGTCGGCTGTTCGAAAGATTATCACGCAGTCTCACGTTGGTCGACCCGACGCTCAGCTCTCCGCACGAGAAAAGGAGCACGTCAATGGCTGGTTACTGGGTCTATTTGACACGGAAGCTGGTGGTCTCGGTGATGATCTCATGTCCTCATGCCCTCCACAGGATTTCTACTGCTTGGCGGCATCTCTGTTTCGAAGCATTGTCATCGGATACGCCCACGGCTACATTACGGATGAGGCACTCAAAAGCGGTGTAGAATGTGAGTTTTCCGCCAGCACTGACGCAAAGTCGTTGGTTGACAATTTTCTTTAGATCTGGTCGACACGTTCCTGCTGCCGGCACTCGTGCCAGCCATACGGTTCCTGACCGAGTACCTGTGGACAGAATCAGAGATTGAACAAAAGGCCGTCATCAAGATTCTTCAGCTGCTCTTATTGCCAAGCGCCATCTCGAGCGAGGCTAATTCCCTGCTGGCGTCTGTGAAGAAGATCATAGCGAAGCCGCTTCACAATGCGCTACAGACCTATCTCCACAGGCGCGACCCCAGTAACCAAGATGTCCAGCCACTTCTGAACATGCTGAAGGAGAGCGTGCCCAAATGCCGCCGGCTTGGGGGGGCAGACATGAGCGAGATCACGGACTGGTGCCGAACCGAGCCACATGGGCTTTGGAGCACCCTGAAGACAACGACGCACAATCTCATGCAGTGGACTGCCAACCCGGGGTTGAATATGCCCACCTCATACTCACACCGGCAGTTTATCACGGCGGCGAGGTTGATGGGGCCTGAGCAGGTCCTCCGGCTGATCGTTGAGGAGCTACGGCAGCAGATCCGGGGGCTCTACGAAGCCAACGGCCAGGAACTTGCTCAACAACCTGAACTGCCGAGTCTTGTTCACGATGTTGCAGCAGCTCTCATCTGCGCACCCGATGTTACGAAGGAGCCGCCGGCGGCCTGCACAGAGAACCCTCCAGCCTCTCAACAGCTGCCTGTCCAGCGGCTGCATACGCTCCGTGAAGTTTTGAGATTGGAGGCTGAGAAGTGCCATGAGATCCAAAAGACAGATCCCATGCTCGCAGACATTGTTGTCCGCCTGTACCGCAGAGTGGAGGGACTCATGGCCCTTCCGCAGGTCCCCACAGATCTTCTACCACCGTCCAACCTGAATGACATGGCTGCTGGCATGGATATGATGAACACAGATCTGAACAACATGTCCGCAGACATGGACATGGGGTCGACTGTGATGGACGACATTGGTCTTAATGGAGGAGGAGATGTGACCATGGACACAGGCATGGAATCGCTGGCGGGCAACAACGGTCACCACGACAACAATGTCAACGGCAACGACAACGGGGATATGATGTTGGATGGCTTGTCTACAATGGGCGGGCTCGAAGGCCCTCCGGGGGTGGAGGGTGACGCCAACCTATTCGACGGGCTGGACGACACCAACCTCGACCTTGATACACTTGAGTGGCCCGATGCCATGAACATGTCGTGACGGGCCCCAGTAGCAGGAGATTGGAAATGCAAAGCGAGTCAACATGGGCAACATGGCATTGATCAAGACCGCGCGAGTCGTGAGGATAACAAAGCTAGGGTCAAGTAATTCCCTACACCATTATCCTATGGCACACTCTCATAGATGTCCCGTCCGAGCGCTAGAGGCCGCGCGCGCACAAGTTGCGCGCTAAGGAAGCTGATTGGTTGAATTGGACTTGAATCTTGAATTGGGACGGTGTTTGTGCGCAATCCCGGACCCGAGTGTTAGCCTGGGGTATTAATCCTCTCAGGATATTGGCATTGATTACAATGTGTCCGAGAACATTATCCGGAGGAAGACCGCCTCGTGATATTACGGTAGATACGGCATTAGCTTGCGAGGCTGTATAAGAGGCCTTCGGGATGCCATGCACTCGTCACGTCCGTTCACTCCATCTTCCTCTTCATCACACACGGCCCAAGAAAACCTACTCGTTCACCAACTCAACGACTGAAGCAGACATCCATCATGAAGACAATTGTCGTCCTGGGCGCTGGCCTTGCCGCCATGCCCCTGATCCGCCAGACCATGCGCAATGTCGTGCTGCCATACGACTCGTATAAGCTCATCGTCGTAGCCCCCAACACACACATGCTCTTCCCCCTGGCCATGCCTAGAGTCCTTGTGCCCGGGGCCATGTCCGAGGATAAGGTCTTCCTCCCCGTCTCGAGCCAGTTCTCCGAATATCCCGGGGACAAGTTTCAGTTCCTCCAAGGCACAGCCGAGAGCCTGATCCCGGAGAGCAACCAGCTCAGCGTCAAGGGCGTGGACGAGAACCAGACAAAGTTGAGCTACGACTATCTCATCGTCGCCACGGGTTCCTCTTCGCGCGACAACACACCCTGGAAAACACTCGGGACCACCGAAAAGACAAAGGAGCGCCTCTTTGAAATCAGGAAGGAGGTCGAGCAGGCCAAGACCATTGTCATCGCAGGCGGAGGTGCCACGGGCACGGAGACGGCCGGCGAATTCGGATGCGAGTACGCCCAGTCCGGTCAGAAGGCCGTCTACTTTGTCTACAACGACGAGCTGCCCCTGGTCGCCGACATGATCCCCAAGGTCCGCCGGCAGGCCAAGATTGAGCTCGAGAGGCAAAAGGTCAAGCTCATCCCCAACTCCAAGATCACAAAGATCACCACATCGGGCCAGGAGACCGTCCTAGAGATCACAGACAAGACCGGCAAGACGAACGAGCTCAAGGCTGGGGCCTACATCTCCGCGACGGGGGTCGTTCCCAACGCATCGTTCGCACCCGCCTCCATGCTCGACGCGGAGGGCTTCATCAAGCAGACCACCACGCTCCAGGCCGAGGGCCACGATAACATCTTTGTGGCGGGTGACGTGGGCTCGCTCGAGATGTCAAAGGCCATGGTCGCCGCGGCGCAGACCGATCACCTCGTCAAATATATGCCGGGCTACGTACTGCGTGGGGAGGCCATCGCCACGTACACGCCTGACACCAAGAGCGTCTATGCCATAACGCTGGGCAGGAGTAAGGCTACGGGGCAGATGAATGGGTGGAAATTGCCGGGTTTTCTCATCTCGCTTGCCAAGCGGAATTTCTTCTCGGAGCAGGCACCAGACATAGCCAAGGGGAAGAAGACGTCAAATATAACGTATGAGAAATAGTAGAATTTTTTGAGAAGCAGAAGCCGAGTTGGAGCAGGGATTTAGATTGCAATACAGGTGTTTCTAATATATTAATACACTTTCGAATATATCTATAGCTGGGTCACCTGGGTCCTGGATCTTCCAGAAGGACTGTAGTCACACTGGGCTTGTACAAGCGTTAGTCTTCAAAGAAAGCCACACAGTTTCCGAGCCAGACAAATGCCAGAAGCCTAAATAGTTTTGAGGAGGTAACCAGCCCCTGGATGAGTGAGCGAGGTGTGCCGAGGATAGACCCTGGATGGCTTCATGTATATGCTCAACTTGGCCATGCCGACAAGTAATTAATTGTCAACAGTCTCACGAGCAACCCATGAGAACCAGACGGCCATTGGCTCGATACCCAACCTGACTCCATTGCCTCAAGATCTCGCGTCCTTGAAATGCGGAGGAGCGCTGGTGGAGAGTACGTAGATACGTCGCGTCCCGAAGTATTCGCCACGCTGCACGTAGGGTCTCGGGGGGGAGTGGTTCCAGAGGACAAGAGGGGGGATGCAAAGGGGCATTTCTGCATTCGTGTGACTGTGGACGGGCAGCCTTCCAAGACGCGTCTAGCATGCACACCAGAATACTCGCAAAAAGCGGCAGCTGTTGTGCTCCCCTGACGCAGGACGTAGTAGGTTGCACCTTGCAAGGCTAGCCTCCTGACGTTGCGTTCGAGACGGGCCTATGATGCCATTGGTGAGCTAAAGGCGCATAGCCTTTGCGCGCACTTGTCATGGCTCATCCCGCTCTGCGCGCGGCACTTGTTGGTGACGATATCCGTTCTACTCTCTGGTCGGCAGCAAGCTTCGCGTGGCCGCCAAAATTTTTCTTTCTTTTTCCTTTGGTCCTCGGCCAGCATTCAGGACCCATGGTGATGAGGATGATGCAACAGCCGTCATACAACAAGTGCGACAAGCTCAGCTCGTGCCTGCCTCCAGCGCGGACAGGCAGCTTGTACACACGGACCACTTGTTCTCCATCATCCGTTCGGGAACGACATCAGTTGCTCGCCTCCCGAGTGACGATGAACGAGGATCTGCTCGCCCCTTGGTGGACGTGTGACGGCATAACAGACGTCGGCGGCAGACGCACCAAAACGGTGACCGCTTTAGGGTGGTGCTTGCTGACATCATCGGGTGGCGGCGGGTGAAGTCACCGTCCGCCAGGGCTCCTCCGTCCACACCACTGGCTGACAGCACTGCCCGAGACGGGAGGCATCGATCGGGACGGTGACTGTCCACACCCATTCGCGAGCTACGTTAATCTCTGGGGCTTTTTTTTTTTCTGTGGTCTTGTCCGTTTCGAGGTTGTCGAGAGTGGCGCCCATTGCGCGAGCGTTTCTGCCTGTGCGACAAAACGGGTGGGCAGGTGAGGTCACCGTTCTGGGGTCGGCGTGCTGAGAATGGACGGCTCCGTTTTTAATTGATGTCATGTCCGCGGCCATTTGCTAGAAGTGGACTGGATTCAAGCGCTCGAGGGGGGGTTGGCGCGAGGCGCGTCGGCGCTTGTTGTCGAAGGGGAAATTCGAAGCAGAGTTCCGACTGAAAGTAGTTATCGTGTCCATGAAAGATAATTTGTTGAATTCAGGAGCGAAGGGATTTCGCGCGTCTACAAGCTAATGCGCGACTTTTGGGGGACGGAGAGGGGAGGGACGGCCTCAACGGGCAGGATGGGAATGTCACCTGGCGCGTGTCATAAACATGGGATTTGCTCGCCTGACCTTGGGCTTTGGCATTTTGAAAGTCCGCCAAGAGCGGCACAGCGGGACTTCCAGGCCTGGTAGGCACCCTGTCAGGCAGTCAGCCCGCGACGCCGTGCCGCTGTAATCTTACTTGCAGTGCACGGTAAAGGTGCGGAACAAATATTGGGCGTGTGGGGCGGGAACCTGGGTTCTGGACCTTTGAAGGCTGTCCGGCGCTGGCTCAGTGCTGCTCTCCCCGAACGTCAACTGGACCCCTTCTTGTTTGACCAATGATCTTGCACAAATGAGCAGTTTAGAAGAAATCTCTCAGCAAGATTCCCACGTCGTTGGCAACCGCAACAGTGACCTGTTGCGCCCCAACGACTGGATTGCTCCGGGGCTGCCAGGGTCAGGGCTGGGCAAGACGCCAAGAACGAGATGCTTGGCTGCAGATGAGCCAATGACATCATGCGCGGCCGCGCCGATCTTTCCCGCGTTTGGCGCATTTCAAAGCAGCGGTCCAGCCCAGTCCACTACAGTCCAGTGCTCTGCCGCTTGCGCAAACAGACAGACAGACAGAAAGGAAGAAGTCTGGAACTCTCGCCCACCGCGATATGTCAGCCAAGGCCCCTCGAAACAATGACCAGCCTGGTCAATTGTTGCTCAAGGGGCCAGCCACCATGTCATATCGCCCACTCAAACAAGTGGCCCTCGTCGCACGCGATCAGCAGGGTCTTTCCCAGTTCGTCATTATTCACCGTCAGAGCCTCCATTTTTCTCAGGCTGTCTACATCATGCGGTCCGAGTGTTTGTGGTGTCCATTGTCTAGTGCAGTCTCCTGCGCTGTTAGTGGGAGTGGGTGCCGGGATTGGAGGGGTGGGGTGGCAAAGAGGACCCTGAATCTTCCCTGCACCACACACGCTTCGACGACGTACGTGCAGCCAAACCCTGCCAGGTTACGCCATCTCGACCATCCACAAGCAGTGCGCTATGTCGATCCCTACGTCGAGCTAATTTGTCTCAAGGGCGTAGTGCGTACAGCCCGTCAACCCGTCCCCGCCGGTGCTCGTCCTCTCCAATTCCCATTATAAAGCCCCCGTGTTATCCTCCCCATCAGTCGGATACCTCATCATCATCAACCACCATCACCACCACCACCACCACCAATCAAACTTAAGCAAAAGCTGCTACACGGCACAGTCTCTCACCACATTCTCCCACCACCAACAGATTCTCACTATCACATCAATCATCTCACCACTTTATCAACAATGTCTTCCGCCGATACCTACGCCATGAATATTCCCACCTCGAACTCCCCTCCCACAGACATCTCGTCGTACTCCCGCTTCATGCACGAGCACACCAAGCGACAGATGGAGGCTCAGGGCGCCCACCCCTCTGAGCGTCGCCAGTCTACCTCGACGACGTCTCAGCAGCACGGCGCTGCCAGTGGGCGCAGTTCCATGACGAATGGAACTAGTCCAACCGAGTAATCTGGATGGATCGCGCTTCACAGTAACATGAGTGTACCATTATAACGGTTGATCCTGTCGCCGCCGCCGGTTCTGGCAATCGGTCCCAACGCAGCCACTGAGCGAGCCGGGAATGCTTTTTTTATTTTATTTTTTTTAACGCTATCACGAACATGCAAGGAGTTTAGGATTTTACTTGGGAAGCATCATGGGCAATGCATACGGGGCCCAGGAGTTTGAATAGGCGAAATCCGTAATCAGGAGTTTTATCACGACATTCTCAGATCTATGGATGAATACTACGTCACGGTCTGTTGGAGACAAAATTTTGACACGGAAATATGTGATTGAATGCCAGATACATCTATCTGACTGCGACACTTGCGACAAATGATGTAATATCTTGTCCATATAACTCGAAACTTTTTCTCGAACTGTTTAAGACCACCGCAACTAATTAGTGACTACGGAATAGTCGCATTTAACATCCGTGATAGTAGTGGCCAATTGTTGACATTCCACAATTTGATACTTGTGCATGGGAAAGGCTATGGCAAGTATTTGCTAAGTTACCCGGCTTAACACATGTTTGCACACTATATACCACCCTACACCAGCGACGGCTTCTTCTTGATGCCCAGCATCGCTGAATGATCCTTCTTCTTCTTAACAACCCTTTTGAAGGTTGGCGCCGTTGCTGCTGCACCTTCAACCGGCGTCTTCACAACAGCCGCCGGCGCAGGTGGTGGAGGCATCAGCGCCTCATCCGACCCAGGTATGGGCGCGCTGCTAGATGATGCATCACTTGTCGCCTCAAGATGCTCGGGCACTTCATCAATCTCCACCTGTGCCCTGCGTGCCGCGAATGCTGCCTTGGCCGCGGCCTCGTCCTCTGCCTCCAGACGCTCCCTCTCCTCATCCTCTGCTCTGACAATCGTATCGGCAAAGTCCATCCCCTCCTTCTCTGATCGGTGTATGCGTGCATTGCGCTGGCGGATCTCGTCCAACGCATCGGCCGCCGCCATCTCACGCTTCGCATCTTCGTTCTTGGCCTCCAGCTCCGCCATGGCATTCTTCTCTTCGTCGCCCGCCTCCTCGGCCTCCTCGCGCGCCAGGCGGTCTAGGCGCTCGTCTGTGGACTCTTCCTCCGCCTCGCGGTTGCGCCATGGTTCATGGTTCCGCACGGCGCCCTTCACCATGGTGTAGTCGTGTATCTTGGGGTCGGTGCGGAAGATGATCTCGGCGGAGCAGCGGGTGCAACGAATGTAGAACCGGAAGATCTGGATCCCGAGATACTTCTCGTCGGGGGGCGTTTCCTTCCTCGAGCTGCGACGTGTTAGCAAACCGTCACCATCTTCGTTGTCGTCGTTGATCAGATCAGGCACCTACTTGAATTTTCTTCCTTTGTATATGTACTCTCCACATGAAGTGCACCGCCTAGAGTCGATTAGCCATGCTTGTCGCGCGTCTTCGAGAGAATGAGACAGCCTACATTGCGAACGGCGCCATCAAGCGCACAGTCTGTACCTTGGGGCCTGACTGCTTGGGCCCGCGACGACGACCCAGAGCCGCTGGGTCGAAGTCGGGAGGATAGTACTTTTGTAGTACTTTTCGCTCAGACATGTCGGCGGAGTCGGGTGTGTGTCGCGATCAGGGGAGACAGGGAGGAGGACGCGCTCGACTGTCGAGCTTGGTAGACCAAGCGAAACTAGGGCCCAGAAATTAAGGACGCGGTATACGCGCTTATTTACTTGCGTGTGAGTGCCAGAGGGGCTGGCGATGGGCGTTGGCGTTGAAGGCTTGGTTTAGACGATAGAGGTGAAGCAGGTCATGCGTGAGGTACAAAATCCATAGAGGCGCGGAACGGCTCCGTCCACTGCTAAGATAAGCCCCGCGAAATGCAAGCCCGCTCCCCTGCAGCCGCGGATCTGTATGGAAAGTTTGTCGGCCTACAGTCTCTCTGATCGCTCCCACTCGACCTAATTATTCATCCATCGCTGTTCTGATACAACCCTTCTCTGAACTCGAGGCCATATCCAAGCTCCCCAAGGATTCCGCGAAAGACACGACCCTCATCACGACCAATCAACTGCACGACATCCGCGATCCACCGCCATCATGCCCAAGGCTGAGGTTGGCTCGACCAAACACCTGAGCAACAAGCTCAAGTCAAAGGGCCTGCAGCGCCTCCGATGGTACTGCCAGGTGTGCGAGAAGCAATGCCGCGATGCGAACGGCTTCAAGATGCACACGCAGTCCGAGTCGCACGTGCGGCAGATGCTCGTCGTCGGCGAGGATCCGCGCAAGTTCATCAACGACTTCAGCAACCAGTTCCAGCGCGACTTCCTGACGCTTCTACGGACGGGCCACGGCGAAAAGGAGGTGCAGATCAACAGGTTCTACCAGGAATACATTGCGAACAAGGAGCACGTGCACATGAACTCGACAAAGTGGCCGAGCTTGACCGAGTTTGCGAAACATCTGGGTAGAGAGGGCATCTGTCGCGTGGAGGAGAATGAAAAGGGCATCCACATTGCCTGGATCGACAACTCACCCGAAGCGCTACGCAGACGAAACGCGCTCAAGAGGAAGGAGGCGGAGGATCAGGGCAATGAGGAAGTCGAGCAGCGCATGATTCGCGAGCAGATCAAGAGGGCGCAGGCCAATGCACGACACGACAAGGAGGAGGAGCGCGATGCTGCCGAGCGCGAGCTGAAGAGACAGGAGGGCGAGAAGATTACACTCTCCTTTGGTGGCGGCGCAAAGTCGACCCCCAAAGCCGAGTCCAGCAACCCCACAGTCGAAGAACGCACGCCAGAAGCATCCGGCCAGATTTCGCCCCCGAAAGAACAGAAACAACCACAGCAAGAAGAGGACAGGGCGCCTGCTCAACCTGCAGGGTTCGGCGGAGTGTCGTTGAAACTGGGAGGGAAGCCACAGACTAAGAATGTGTTTGCGCAAGCAAAGAAGAATGCTCTGTCCGGGGGCAAGAAGGGCGGTTTCATCGACCAGCCCAAGAAGATGAGCGAGGCAGAGCGGATAATGAAGGAGGAGATGGAACGGAAACGCTCAAGAGGGTCCGGGGGGTTCAGCATGCCTGTGCCCAAGAAGCAAAAGTCATCATAGGAGGGTATTCTCATGCGCAGGCGTTAAAGACAATCTGGCTTCACACTGGGATACAAGGGTCGGAATAGAGCGTTCATCCAGATACCATTCGTTGCTCAGCTGTTGTACTCAAGTGATGATTTAAATAAAAAGAGTTCTTTCCCAGCCCCGTCCAACGCCTGTCGCCGTGATACTGTACAGTCGGTACTCTTCTTCATTTTACTGATCAATCTCCGCCTCACTGCCGTCTCGTCTGCTCACTGTTAGCATGCCTCTTCATCTGGTGTCTTGGGGTTGGATGCACTCACGGGATGTACGGTATCCTATACTCCTCTTCCAGGGTACTCCTCACTTCGTCCGGCAACTGCCCGCTGACCTTGATGGCATACATGCCGGCGACGTACTTGTCCAGCCGCTGCCACTTGGCGACCCAGCTTTTTGTGGGATCCGCGAGCGTGATCACACCCTCGAAGACCTGCGATGTGCAGCTCTCAATCTGGTCCTGCGAGCCCTGGAGACGGAGAAACTCCTCGCAGTTGGGGCAACCGCCATCTCGGAAGCGCTGGATGTACACTGTTAGAAAAACCGAGCTTTCAAGGTTGGTTGGTCGAGGGCATCATGGCGTACCGCGTAGGTCTGCACAATGGAGCATACCATGCAGGCGCGCAGGTAGCGTTGCTGGCCGGGAGCGACAAATGCTGACGCCATGTTGGCTCCTTGTGATGGGAATGATGCCTTTGAGGACAGGTATTCCTGGTGAGCCAAGATTTGGTGTCGTGGTGAGTGTGAAATAGACGTTGGTGAGGCGCGGTGAGCCTTTGTTCGCTCAAGGTCAAGGTTATGCATTTATGCGAGTCCTCGCTGCGTTTCGAAACTTTCACCTTCGCTTCCCTCACCCACAGCCTCTACTGAGTTGCCTCCATCCAGCTCGACCCGTTCTGCGACGAATTAAACCTTTCAGTATGACGCAACAAGGGGAAGTGTCCTTCTCCAAGGCCGGCCTGGAAAAGTCACATGAGATCCTGACGTGCACCGTCAAGAATGCGCCTTGGTCGTATGCCCACATGGAGCTTGTTACCGAGTCGACAGAGCCACTAGAGCTTGACGATCTGCAGGTCAAGTCATACTGCACCGCGGCCTTGCGTCAGTCTTTCGGTCTCTCCGGTCAGGCGATGCCCGTGGACATCTTGAAGACAAGCGGATCACAGTGTTGGGTCAGAGTGCCACGCGAGGACTTGAGCACCTTCACGGCAGCCATCACCGCATGGGCAGGTCTCGTCGAGAACGGGCAGAGACGCGTGCTCCGACTCAAACAGGCGTCCGACTGGCTAGGCACCATGGTGGGCAACGATGGCCAGGAACGTCTATGGAAATCATGAGAGTTGCCACCGACACGGAATTCAAATAAAAAACCCAAGGTCCTGTCCAGCCCTTGATCTAACGATTTTACGATCTACACGGGGTATCTGCGCGCTTATATTTGCAAACTCCTCCGATATACCGTGTCCTGACGCCTGACCATGCGTTATGCGAGTTCTGCCTACGAGCACATCCTCCAAGTCTACTACATAAGCGACGAGAGAAGAGAATTCTGGGCGTATGCCTGGGTTCTGGTCAGTGTTGGACACGATTTTCTGCAGCAAAGGGAGCTTACCATGGGCTTGATGTCCGGATGCGGCACAGCGTCGAATTGCTCGTATTTGAGCTTGTAGTCGGGGCCAATGTTGATGTAAGCACCCCTGTTCTCCGTCGAGTCGCAGTACCTGGGCGCCGAGAAGACTGACACGATTAGCAGTCGCCTCCCATGTGGCGTGTATGGACATACCAGTAATACAACGACCGCTGTGCTGTACCTCATACCCGTCCATGCGCACTTCGTGACTGCGGATGACTGCCTCCAACCCGTTCTTCTCGCAGAACTTGGCTGTGATGTCGGGACCGAACTGCATGCCGACACCTCGCTTGCTGGGCCCGCGGCCCTTTGCCTCTTGCGGATCTGTCCAGAGCATCTCCATCATCAGACCGGACTGTCCAGGCTGGCGCTGGTTGTGTCGGTTGAGCTTGCGAATGTCGTCTAATGTAACATTGTCGTCGGAGAAAAGGCCGCCGTGGAGGACGAGGTACTTTTTGCCGATAAGGGTAGCCAGAGGCAAGGCGGAGAAACTTTCCGAGAAGAGCTTGAATGTCCTGTACTTGTTAGCGGTGTCATGGGGCCGCACAGATAGACTTTGCGTACCTCTCGTTGTACTTGGCCTTGCACTCGCCCTCGAAACCGTACACCCTGTTCATGTCGTCTGTTTCGTGGTTGCCGCGGTTCAGGAAGAAGCCGTGCGGGCGAAGCCACTTGTACGCGTACAACAGCAGGGCGATTTCCGTTGACCATGAGCCACGGTCCACAAAGTCACCGTTGAACAGGTACCAATGCTTGTCGCTCGGGTTTCCGTTGCGTCGGAACAACTCCATCAGATCAAAGTATTGGCCGTGTGTGTCGCCACAGACGGTCAGCTCGACACCCGAGGGGATCTTCATCTCGACCATGGTCGCTTCCTCGTAGACAATCTGTTTGACGGCGAGGATGATCTGGTATACGTATTTGCGATGCAATTTCTTGCCCTGCTTGAAGCGCTCGGTCATGTCATCAATGAATTCCTGCGTCATCTCCTTGCCCAGACGGGCGCCGTCGTAGCTCTCGTCAACAACCATGTTGTCCAGATCCAGGCCCTCAGCCGCCGAGGGCTGGTCGCCGACCTCAATGGCGGCGAAGAAGGCCAGCTGGCGCACAATCTTCTTGCATTCTTCCAATTTGAGTCGGGCGTCAGTGCTTTGGGGGTTGAGCTCGACGCATCGTTTGAAGTCAGCTACGGCTTCCTTTGGTTTCAGAATCGCAGCGCGGGCAAGACCTCGTCGAAAATGCGCCTTCAGGCTGTCAGCACTCGAACCATGTGTGGTTGGCGTTCTCGGTACTCTGGCAACGCACCTTGAGCATGTTGGGGTCGAGCTCTATCGCCTTGGTGGCGTCCGCGATGGCGTAGCCAAAGGCTTCGGATTTGATGTGTGCCTTGCAGTTTTGGTCAGTTCCAAGGCCCGTCACAAGACAGCTGGATGGCTAAGCAGCCGACCCATGGGTGTACCAACCTGCGCTCGATTTGAGTAAAAGGTAGGCTGTGAATCGTCGAGCTCGATGGCCTGTGTGTACAAGTCGATAGCGGCCGGCCAGTCGCCCGCCGCGAAAGCCTTGTTGCCCTCATTCTTGAGGTCGACGGCTGTTTTTGCCATGATCGACTGCAGCGTCGCGCGTCAGTTCGTTCAAGAGGAGGGGTCGTGTGTCGTCTTGTCGGTGGCGGAGAGATGCTGTGGGCAAAATTGGTGGTAGCGTAGATTAGGGACGTCGGATCTATAACAACCGCAGTAGTGCGAGCCGAATGCACGGGTAGAGAAAGGAAGATGCGAGTCGTGGCGGTAGGAGAACAACAGATACCAGGTATCGAATCTTGGATCGGAGTTTTATCGAAGAATGGCGGGGTGCTCACAAGTTCCCTCGGGTCGAGTGAGCGACCTGGAGCGTGCGCTGTGCCTGCCTGGCGGCAGCGACATGCCGGAGGTGGCGCGTGCACCCCGTGCCCCGTTTGATGCATATCCGCTTGACGTTCCCAGTATCAGCCTTCGGTGATCAGGCAAGCTGCTCATCATCATCATCAGCAGTCAACGGTGTTCATTACATCGACACTGCTCGCCACAGACTTGAGGCCATTGCGGCCGCCAGGAGAGATAACAGTTCACAATGGACCAAACGCAGCAGCCCTCAGATGCGCTCGTGCGTAAAAGATCCGCTGAGATGGCCCTCATGCCGCCTCCACCCCAAGCGAAGAAAATCAAGCGGCCCAAAAAGGTGCTGGACGAGGACTCATACACAGAGGCACTATCGCATATCATCGCCAGAGACTATTTTCCCGGACTTTTGGAAACAGAGACAAAGCAGGAATACTTGGACGCCTTGGACTCAAAGGATCAGGCATGGATATCAAGCGCAGGAAGGAGGTTGGAGCAAGTTCTGACTCCAGGTCGGGGCACGGGCACATTGCCGACCTTTCCACGGCGTGGACTTGATGAGGGCCGCACGCCCACGACATTCGTGGGGGACACGCCAGCTTCCGAGGCCACCGCACCATTGTCGAGCGCACGCCCTCGCCTGGACATGCAGATGAGCCTGTCCAAATTCCAGCAAACATATACGAGCGAGGACAATGAGAGTTTCTACAAACTCATTGACAAGCAAAACCAAAAACGAGCCGATAAATACGCCTGGCTCTGGCGAGGCAACAAGTTGCCCTCCAAGCAAATGATCAAGCAAAAAGAGGTTCAAGATCGGTTGGCTTCAGAGGGACGCCTGCTGGATGATGGGTACAGGAAGCGGGATCGGCTGGCTATCAAGGATAACGATGACCGGCCCGCTCGCCCAGACAGCTGGCTCGCGGCGCCACGGAACAACTTTATGTTTGTACCAGATGGCGTTGAGACGAGGGCTGGTGCAGCTACAGCAGAGGAAGGTTCTTCATCTCGTGGGAGGTCGAGTAGCCTCATTGTTCGCGAGAACACGCGGATGCCAGTGCCACATGTGCCCGAGCGACCGCCATCGCCATCCGCCTCGTCTATCAGAGACGCTGTGGCTGGACGACCGCGGGCCCGGGATCAGGACTCAAGCGTGGCTGGCGGAGAGACGCCTAGAGTCAATGGCTATGCCTTTGTCGACGACGAGGACGATGGGCCAGAGGCTGCAACACCCGCACCTGTGATCAATCTTGGGCCGGGAGATACTAACAATCCCTTCAAGGTACAAGACCTTGGAAAGAGAGAGTCCCTTCGAGACCGCATGGTTGAGCGTATCTCGAATTCCAAGAAATCAGCCTCCCGCAATGGCCTGACGGGCCGAGTGGACAGCACACCGGTTCCCAAGTTTCCCAGCAGCCCGAGCGTCAAGGGAAACCTCACCCCAGCTGCGCAACGATTATGGAGCAGGATCGGGACGCCCAGTGGGAGGTCATCAGGTGGCTCGTTTGGGCAGTCGACACCGATGAAGCCCAGAGGCTCATTGCTCCGCAGTGTCTCTCGGGCATCTCAACGCGAGTGATCTTGGGCCCAGCATGGAATAAGGAGCGGAGTTTTGGGTTACATTCATACGAGCAGATAGACATGATACCCTGATTCATTATGATATGACACACATCCCGAGATGCCACACAAATTCACTACGTACGAGCGGGATCCGGATTTCGGCGTTGTTCCTCGCGACGTCGAAAAAACGACCAAGACCCACACGGCATGCGCCATCCATGAACTTGCATCATAGACACCGACCCAGACAGGTCACGACCTACATGCGCGCCCCCGAGCAGGAGGAAAGCTACCCCTCATGAGGTTCGTCGACGTTGCCATCGACCTTGCGGCCGTTCTCAGGGCGTCACGCTCTGTAGCGTCCAAGCACATCGCCCTCCGATCACGACAGCTCGACAGGTACACCCGCAGCTCGAGCGCAGCACAGGCGTTGCGGAACAAGGCTGTCGGGGGCTTCCAGCAGTCATTGCAACAAGAAGGACAAGATGAGACCCGCGACGCGAGTGGCGTGACGATTGATGGCGGCGTGCGGCAGGACGCGGATACGAAAACGCAAGACTGGCAAGCGGACGCCACGCCAACCGACGCCTCGAGTGAGCCATCTGCGTACGCCCAAGCGAGCAAGAGAGCGGCCGAGATCAGGGACACCCAGCAGGCGGTCAACACCCCTAATGGCGTCGACGTGAACATTTTCCACACCAATCGAGGCTCGCAGGTGCTCGATTCGTTGCGCAAGCAAGGCGCTGCTGGACCACGCATGAACCGACCTTCGAAACCGAGTGAGGGACCCCCAAAGGAACACCCTCTGAGATACTGGAAGCCTGCGCCGCCGCTTGAGGAGCACTTGGAACCTGAAGAATCAACGACTGCTGCCAGTGCAAATGCATCCCCGACCCCTGCACCAGCGCACGCGAAGGAAACAGAGAGCCAACCCATTGTGCAACCGATAGAATCAGTTACAAAAGATGCCGACGCAAACAAAAGTACGCATCCAGACGTTGACCCGGTGGTTCAGTTGAAAGCCAAGAATGCGGACGAAGAGATCATCGATCTGGCCAAGGACCTCACCGGCGCCAGCTCTGCAGCTACACCTTCCTACCAGCTCCGGGAATCAAAAGTCCCCTCGAGTCGTCTGAGCCGTATGTGGAACTATGGCGGCCTCGCCACGGGCATGCTGGGTGGCGCCATCACCGAAAGCGTGAGCAGGGCGTTTGGCGGTGGCGGGTCAGGCTCCGTGCTCCTCAGCGGGAACAACATGGAGCGGCTGGTGGCCAAGCTGTCGCGCATGCGAGGTGCTGCCCTGAAGCTCGGGCAGATTATGAGCTTTCAAGATTCCAAGATGCTGCCCGCCCCTCTGCAGGAAGTTCTCCAGCGTGTGCAGGACAGGGCCGACTACATGCCTGCATGGCAACGAGACAAGGTCTTGACCGCCAATCTGGGTGCCGACTGGAGGGAACTGTTCAGTGAGTTCGACGAGAAGCCCATGGCGGCGGCTTCGATTGGTCAGGTGCACAAGGGCGTGCTGAAGAAGAATGGGAAAAAGGTTGCCGTCAAGATCCAGTTCCCCGGCGTCGCCGACTCCATCAACTCGGATCTCGACAACTTGGGGATCCTGCTCAACGCCACAACGCTGCTGCCCAAGGGCCTCTACCTAAACAAAACCATTGACAATGCTCGAGTCGAGCTGGGGTGGGAGTGTGACTATGAGCGCGAGGCTGCGTGTGCTCAGCGCTACAAGAAGCTTCTGAGCAACGACGACGATGTCTTCCTCGTTCCGGACGTGTACCCAGAGGCATCGGGCAAGCAGGTCCTCACTATGGATTTCATGGAGGGCGTCACAGTGACCCGCGTCAAGACGTTTACCCAGCAGCAGCGAGATTGGATCGGATCGTCCATCATGCGCCTCTGCCTGCGCGAGATCACCGAGTTCAAGTTCATGCAGACCGACCCCAACTGGACCAACTTTCTGTACAATGCCGACCTCGACCGGCTGGTCCTCCTGGACTTTGGCGCCTCGCGCGAGTACCCTGAAGAGTTCGTCGCGGAGTACGTCCAGCTCCTCGCGGCGGCCGCGCGCTCGGACAAGGCGACCGTCAAGGCTCTCTCAGAGAGCCTGGGCTACCTTACCGGCCACGAAAGTAAGGCCATGCTCGACGCGCACACGCAATCCATCCTGACTTTGGCCGAGCCGTTCCTCGACACCGCGCCCGAGGTGTACGATTTCCAAGACCAGACCATCACCGAGCGCGTCAAGGCCCTGATTCCCGTCATGCTCCGCGAGCGCTTGGCTCCGCCGCCAGAGGAGACGTACAGTCTCCACAGGAAGCTCAGTGGAGCTTTCTTGCTCTGCTCCCGCATGGGCAGCAAAGTTCCCGCGCGAGAGATGTTTGCAAACGCCGTGGCCAAGTCAGGCTACGTGAAGAACTAGCAAGCCTACTACTGTATTAGTCTCATATGTACCAACACATGTGTACAGCACTAGATAGGGGAAAGGATAGATGGCGCCAGCCCCTGTATGTTCATGATTCATTATTACTACACCATGGTACTCCAGCACCTTGGTCGCTCATCACCCACGACGCTGCATAAAGTCCAGCTCCTTCTTTTCCTTGCCGGCGACCTTCTTCCTCTTGCGCTCAATAGCCTTGTCGACCTGACCCTTGCTCATGCCCTCGAAGCGCTTGGTCAGCACCTGTTTCTTCTGCTCGCTCTTCTTCAAGTAGAAGGGCGTCTTGCCCTGCGCCACGAGATCCTTCTCCCGTTTCCGGTGCTCAACCAGCAATTGCTCTTCTTCCTGTTTCTTCTTTCGCGCCTTGCGTCTCGACTCCATTGACATAATCTGCCGCTTCAGATCCTCCTTCTCGTCTGGATCCTTTGTTTTCTTGAGCTGCACCTTGAGATCCGCGAGCTCGGAATCGCGGTACTCGTCTAGAAAGGCGTACGCCTTGGCAGCCTTTGCTTCATCCATGCGCCCAGAGGACATGGTGTCAAAGCGCGGATCGCGTGCTGGGGCGCGCTTGTTCTCGGTGATGATCTCTCGGAACCGGGAGACGGGTCGCTTCGAGGTCTGCTCCTGCGGGGCATGCTTTGAGGATCGCTTTAGGTCTTTGGCAGACTTGAACGTCGGTCTTTTGTGCTCTGCGGGTCGCTGGTCTTCGTCCTCGTTGTCGCTATTCCCTTTCTTTGATCGTCCTGCGGACGGTTGTGAGGCTTGAGCGCGGGCCAGGGCTCCGAATGAAATGGACGCAAGACTCGCTCCTGGTTCGGGTTCGTCTTCCTCAGACTTTTGTAAAATTAGATATTATCGCCAAGAATCCTTCGAAAGAACTGACCTCTGAGCCAGACTCCGAGTTCCGTTGCGCAGCAGTAGCATTCTCGTCGGCGTCGCTCTCTGACGATTCAGGTCCATCGCTCTGAGCTTCTTCCTGCGCCTCAGGCACCAATTCTTCCTCGCGCCGGAGTCGCACGCGTCTTTCGATGCCTATAGACTGTGCTTTGCGCTTCGGCGGCATGATCGATGTGAATTTTCTGTGGAAATGTGTCGGTGATTGGGAGCTGTCAAAGTGACGGATGGCGGTGCGTGGTCCATCATTTTCCGGGCGGGAACTTTTTGGGTGCGATAAGGGCTTATCGGCCAGACCCACCCGTTTACTTTTCATGTGAGCGACTCAGACTCATCTTGAGCCTCAGATCTCTCAAGGCATTTTCAGCCACGAATAACAGTACAAAGTCTGGTACTCTCCAAGATTCACACTGATGAATCTCTTAAAAAGTTGCTATTTCCTATGTCGTCGACATAGTCACAATTACCCCGGATCAGCAGGCCAGATCTTCTACTCTACCAACAACATTACGCCCAAAGCGCAGGTCACTCTTCAGGAGTCTACGAAAAGCAATTACTACTCCAGAAAGCCCATTCGAAACCCTTCAAACAGTGTCAAATCACAAGGTGTAACCCACAAAACTAAGGAACCGGCACAGTGCATCAAGATGCCGATACCTGGCTTGCATCTCCTTGGGGACTCTCACGTCCCTCAGGCGCCTCAACAGGGGTACGTGTCCCTCACCATGTACATACATTCGACTTACGCCTTCTAGATCCGGAGCTACAAAAGAGATCAAATCCAAGGAGCCAAGACCCCAAAACGCAAAATCCAAAAAGGACTTGAAGCCCTGGCAAGTCCGCGCACAAACAAAGACACAGCGGAAAGCAGTCCTGTACGTGACACTAGTCTCATGGATCCAGGGGATATCTGCTTACATTTCAGACAGGCCTCCAGACGAGAAAGTATACCCAAGTGCCTCCTCGGGGGGGATTCCTGAACCAAACGCCGCCTATCTGCAGCAGTCACTCTGCGCTCCCACGAGGCTCGCAGCGCCGAGACGAATCCTCGTCGTAATGGACCTAAACGGCACTCTACTATATCGCCCACAGAAGACAAGGCCCTCGCACTTTGTCGCGCGTCCCCATGCTGCCAACTTCCTCAAGTACTGTCTGGCTACATTCCACGTCGCCATCTGGTCCTCGGCACGCCCTGAGAACGTGGGCAAGATGGTGGCCAAGTTGCTCACCCCGGAACAGGTCAAGCAATGTCTCGTCATCTGGGCGCGCGACCGCTTCGGCCTGTCTCACGAAGACTACAACTCCAAAGTGCAGGTCTACAAAAGACTCAACACTGTATGGCAAGACGAGCGGGTCGCAACGGCGCACCCTGACGCGGCCAACGGCGGTAAATGGGATCAGTCGAACACGGTGCTCGTAGATGATTCTTTAGAAAAGGGCAGGAGTGAGCCCTTCAACATCCTTGCTCTGCCGGAATTTTCAGGTCTGGCCAACGAGAAGGCTGAAGTGCTGCCGCAGGTCCACGATTACCTGAACGAGCTGTGCTGGCAGGCAGACATTAGTAGCTACATGCGCGCCACGCGTTTCGCGGTGGACGCCAAGTACAAACTACCATCACAAACATGATGAGGAAGGCAACAGGTGGACGGAGACAACTAAAGGCGCGTCCAGATCATCACGTGTACAATCATTAAGGCATATAGCACGGGGAGGCGGGAAGCAGATGAAACATGTATATTTCATCCTACTTCGTTAGGAGCAGATCTCTGCATTCCACGACATACGAAAATTAGGGAGTGCGTGCGACGTGTCGTCGTGCGAGATCCTCGTACGACGCGTCCTCATAACCCACATGCTTTTCCTTCATGTTAATTCGTTGCAAACATTCCGTCATGATTTCTTTTCTTTAGGTTTGGTGATGCGCGCAGGCGCTTACTTGAAGACCTTGCCGTCGGCGTGGGGGTACTCCTTGCCGTTGACGGTGACAGGGGCGTCCCACTTCCACATGGACTCCAGGAACTGACGGTCCTCGGCCTTAGTGTGGTCGAGCTTGGTGAAGGTGTAGCTCTCGTAGTCGGGGGCGACGTCGAAGACGGGGAGGTAGTCCTGGCCACGGATGACAAAGGCACCCTGGATGACAGAGTCGTTGTTCTCGCCGTAGACGGAGGCAGAACCGAAGAGGTACTTGCGGGACGCCTCGAGACGGGTGTTGAAGCCACCAATCAGGTTGTTGGACATGAAGACGAGGGTGAGCTCGTCATTGTACTTGTAGTCAACACGCCAGATGGAGTAGTCCTCAAAGGGAACCTTCTCCCAGAAGTACTTCATGGACTCGGCCTCGTCGTTGTTGGAGAAGTAGCGCTTGAAGTCATCCAGGGGGTAGGCGGACTTGGGGAGCAGCTCGCAGGGGTGCTTGGGCTTGGGGGCGGGCTCAGCAGGCTCCTCAGCGGCGGGAGCGGCGGCGGGAGCAGCCTTGGCGGCGGCCTTGGGGGCCTCAGCCTTCTTGGGGGGGACGTTGGTCAGCTTGGGCTCGTCAAGGAACTCAAGCTTCTCAGCGACAGCCGAGTAGATGGGCTGGTTGATGACGGTCTCGTACCAACGGGTGACATTGGGGTACTCCTGGCGCCATGCCTTGCCGAAGAGGTACTGGTAGCCGCGGGTGATGATACCAGCAGCGAACAGGTCGGCGAGGGTGATGCGGTCGCCAACGAGGTAAGTGTGGCGGAGGAGGTGAGCCTCGACAGTCTTGATAGCCTTGAGAGTGCGGGCGGAGGAGTCCTCAACAGACTTCTTGTTGTAGGGGTCGAGACCGAGGAGGGGACGGAACCATCCACCCAGAGGGGGGAGGACCTCGGAGTTGAAGAAGGACATCCACTTCAGGATGGATGCGTAGTCCTGCTTGGTCTTGCCGAGCAGGGTGGTCTTCTCGTTCTGAGAGGTCACTGTTGGCCGAGTTAGCGAGGTTCTCGTTCAGACACTGCAAACAAAATTGTGACAAAGTCGAAGCAAAGATCAGAAGTTAGACTTTAACAACACACAGTCGAAAAGACTGTTCAGACAGGGATAACTGTATAATAATTGGGCTAGGTCATCACGCAACGCCTTCCTCTCAAAGAGATGCGAGGGCTTGATGTTGGGGTATCTAGAGTATACGTACCGTAAATGGCAACGGCAATAGCCTCAGAAAGGGCGAAGCCATCCTCGCCGAGGAAGGCAGGGATCTTTCCGAGAGCGTTGGCCTTCAGGTGCTCAACAGTGGGTTTCTGAGGGTCGGCATCAACAATGTTGAGCTCGAGGTTGTTGGCCTTCGCAACCGCCTTGATGGCGGTGGTGCGGGGGTTGTCCTGAAGCAGAAAACGTTAGCAAGCAATCTTCAAGTTGAGACGGGCAAGGGAAGACGAACATTGCCCTTGGTGAAGAGAGTACCGAAAGCCATCTTGTCGACGATATCGAAAATAGTCAAGATGATAGTTGAATGGAGTTGGTTGGGGAGGAGAGGAAGGGAAAAATCGAAGCTACAACCGCTCAAGAAATTTTATTCACCTGCACCTTACCCCGCGCTAATTAGCTTTCACGTTCCAGCCACCACCACTGGCCAGCACAAGGATCCGCTCAGGTGGCTCGCGTCTTGAGCAGCTGTGGCTGGTGTGTAGCACGTGACTTTGAGCCAGTCCTTTGCTGCGCGATCGCGACTCCAGACGGGGCCAAGGTCGACTTTTTTGGTACGACAGCGACGTCCACCTCATTGCCATCCACAACCTCTGTCAGCAACATGGCGTCCTTTGCAAGCAGCTTGCGGCATATTAAATGCCACAGGCAGCTTACAAAGGGCTCGTGGCAGACTCAGCTTGCTCTGCGGTCACGACCTGCGTCAAAAGTCGACATCCGTCAACTGAGCACCACCGAGATACCCTCACCCCCGACCGATCCAGTCTCTCAGATCGCCATTCCCTTTCAGAACGTCAGTCATGCGCGACAAGTGCCCAAATCGCCGTCCTACTTCTCTCGAGAACCTCGCTTCAACGATCTTCACCTAAAGCTGTTCAACCTCCTATCAAAGTACAATGACCTACCCACATTGAAGTCTGCCGATGCACCACAAATACCATGGCTCAAGCTGGAGCTTGTGCGTCACCAGCTGGGCGAGGAGATCAAGGCGTCCCATTTCTCTCAGGTCATGAGGATCGCCAGGCGATTGAACCTGATTGAGCCGAGCGTGCGACCTCCCGCAATCGACATCGCGCTTCGTTTCCTCAGTCGGTCTGTCGACTCAGTCACCACGTTCCGAAAAGTCAAGCAACTCGACAAGCATGGACGAGCAGTGGGCGTGGGTAAGAGGAAGGCTTCGACGGCACGAGCTTTTGTGGTGGAGGGAACGGGCGAGGTTTTCATCAACGGCAAGCCCCTGAATGAAGCCTTTGGTCGCATTCACGACCGTGAGAGCGCCATCTGGGCACTGACTTCGACTCAACGGATGGACAAGTATAATGTCTGGGCCATTGTGAGGGGTGGTGGAACAACTGGCCAGGCTGAGGCCATGACCATGGCCGTTGCAGATGGACTGGTGGCCCACGAGCCCGCTTTGAAAACGGCTCTCCGCGCTGGTAAGTTCCTCGGTGGTATCGTTCACTACGCATTGCTAACATATAGTAGCCGGTTGCATAACACGCGATCCCAGGACAGTGGAGAGAAAGAAGCATGGTCAACTCAAGGCTCGCAAGGGACCTGCTTGGGTCAAGCGTTAAGTGCTTTGCAGTTCCAACGGGAAGCAAGTCGCACTGGGTTTCTCAATTGGGAACTCTGGGACTAGTTCGTTAATATTGCTCCAGCAGATTACTAGTCGACTGCCGGGCTGTTAGACTTTGCTGTACTTGTATACCATACGAATATGATGTTGTAAATTTAGACCTTCATGGCATTTGGAACTTGTGTTTCGACATTCCCTGCTTGCATTTCTTGCGGAGTCGCCGGAATAGCAACGCCTACAAAGAGGCATGTGATGCAGCAGCGGGCGTGATATGTTGGAGCGCTGGCTTTTGCCTAACCTCTGGAAGTCGTATCTGCTGCGTGATCAGCGTGCCCATTCAGGAGAAGTAGTTGTCGGGGTGTTCCTTTAGTGGCCTTGGTGGGCTTTGTACTAACTGATTCGTGTCCGTGGTGAGGCGCAAGCTGCATGCCTCTTTAAGGTGAGGATGTGGACAGGGGCGAGCGTCAGCAACTTCTCATGTGCGTGTGTCACCGTGACTGTCGGCAGCCCTCGTCAGACGGTAGGCCGAGCGGTCTCCGCGGACCAATTCCCGCGCGCTACGGTAGATTCGTGGGACATCCGACCTGTCAGGCGGAACATGAACAGGTCGGGAGTGGTCTGCTCGTGAAAGAGATTGCGACGCGTTTTTCATGCTGTGAACATGGCCGACGTCGACAGTACATCCCCATACGCACGTGATTCTTAAATGTAACATCATAGCCATACGGTATCCGTACTTGCATCAAGACCACAGCTGTCCTCGATTCGGGTGAATCGCCGGACTCGGGTGGACGCTCGGGCGTCTCGGGGCCAAGGGCCCATGACCTTGTCTTCTGAACGGGTCTTGTCCTTGGAAAACGTGGCCTTCGATGACAACGGCAACACAATGCGGGATCAATCAGATTGGTAAGCGCTGGCGTGGAAAGTCAAGGCGCTGCCGTTTGAGGGGAATCCACGACAAGGATTATTGATCGAATCGCAACTTGCACCCGAAAATGACAGGTTGGATGGGAAAAGGTCGCGCTAAAAGAGCCCATGATCTGCTGATGCATGGCTCAAAATGTCGCCGGATCACACTCCTACAGCTTCGACACGCCCACCGGCAGACATGATCATGCGACGGCTCGTCCAGTCGCGTCCTGTGTGCCATTGGGCGACTCAGCCGTGGGCGTGCCAACCTCACGTCTGTCTGGTAACTCAGGTCCGCAACAAGCGAGCGCTACTTCGCACGCAGACGGCAGAGTCGAGAAGCTTTCCAGAAGAACCCACTAACTAATGTAGCGCTGTTTCGTCGGTCAGCCTTACATATTAACCCGAGCACCTGAGTTGAGCGCTTCCGTCATCCAGTTGTGATAGCGCTTCTCGTGATCATGACACTGCTAGCAGTGCCTTTAGGCTTTCATAGAGCATACGCAGATCGCTGTAAGAGTATGCATAATGTTGATCGTCCCGGAATTTACTACAACTCGACCGGATGAATAATTTGTGGTGTTTATGTCCATACGCCTCAAGACGCCCTAGGATGTGAAAGTACACTGTCGAAATTTGTGATGTCAAACGCCAATATGTCACACAATTACCAGTCCATTCTAATCGTTTGCTCGGCCCTAGGCATACACAGCTCAAGAGCCATATTTTCATACGCATGCTCCGAATTCCATTGAGGTACAAATTCGACCAAATGCAGACTACCCTCAGGAGAAGGACTCTACAGGGTAGGCGTTCAGTTGAATCTACGAGCAGCTGTCAGTCAGCTGTGGACAGGCCGCCATCAGCTGCTGGGAAGAAACTGCAGCCAATGGGGAAATGAATAGGCTGCCCAGGTACCTCCGTACGCGAATATGCATGCAAATGCAATGGCGGACAGATCTCCAGATCGCATCGGTGCCTGCATGTCACATGCCAGTCAGCGGTCAGGCTTCTGCTGTCGCAGGCAAAAGCCGTCATAGCGTCAGGTACGGCGCGGATCCGCCTCCACGTCGTCTTTTCGGCTCGGTGGTGAGAACTTGAAGCCGCAACCTTCAGATTGAGAGCGACACCAGAGGCGACGGACAAGATGAGCAACGATAGCAGCTTCGCACTTTTTTGCTGCTGGTATTATTTTCATTAAATATGATTATTTAGCAACGTCGTACGTATACAGTGTCAAACACCAAAAGGATACATCAGTTCAGTGTTCGCCAGCGATCGTAGGCCCACCCCCCCCGAGTGTGACCAGAACAGACGCCCCTGCGCTCTCTCCAGGGACCAAGAAGCAGTGATGTTCTTAACCGCAATAGCTGATGCGCTGCTGATTGCCAGACCAGCCGATCAATTCTCACAGCCAATTCATATCGCGAAGGCCTGATAAATGGATTATGAAGAGCTGTGCATGCTGATGTTGGATCACTATTAGGCACAAGACTCAAGACTCGAAGAGCGACAAGATGCGCCCGCGCCGGAAAATTTGCAGAATCGCGCTGGAAGAAGCTGTCACATCCACCAATCACATGTTACAGACCAGTAAAGGCTGAAAATGCGCCTCAGTTGCGGTCCTTCTTTCCTCTCCATTACTTCCTGATTGCTCATGCACAATTGCACCTCATCATCCAGCCCAAGAGTAAGGTACCTGGTAGGGAATTTGTGTCCATCCAAGAGTGAAGGGTTGATTCTGATGCGCATCTCCTCAAACCGCTGCCCAACCTCCAACAATTCCCCTAGGTATCTTACCCCAGGCTGCTGTCAACACTGCTAGCCCTGCCTAATAGTCGACTGGACCCGCGTCTTCCGATTACGAAGCGCCAACAATCCGAGTTGCAAGGTTCATGCGGCGGCCCCGTATTCCATTGTCTTTTGCGTCCAGGGACCGGTAAAGAAGTGTTTGCGACTGGCTGAACAACAGCCACTCTTTTCCTACCTATCTGGTAGGGCGCACACAAAACACTGCGTTCAAGAAGTTGGATATTTCTCAGCCTGAGCCATCATGATTGGGCGAGGGCGAGTCCCACCGCGGTAGTCGAAGAATGAGGCAACGCAATCATTGGGCACCGATTCTCGAGTTGATGGTCACGAATTAGTAGAAATACTTGGTACATACGTACGGTCTTACGGGTTCCTGGGTTTCCGGTGCGGCCAATATCTCCGCAAAAGCAAAGGGCTGCGTTGCGTCCATCTGCCAGGGCACACTTCTCCTGGAGCTGGTTGGAATGTCACATCCAGCCAAGCGGCAGTTGCCGGCGAGGCGTGCAGCTGATCTTCAGCTGATCTTCAGCTTCAAGTTTAAGATTCCTCAATCTTCTTGTCTTACCCATACTTCTGGTACTGCGATCCGAATGTTGTCGGGTCGCGGGTCAGGCGCAGGCGATCTCCAAGGGAGCCCAAGTGGCTTCTTTCTAGCCACTTGGTCGCCGTTCTACTCGTAGCTGTCACAAGGGCACGCAGAACTCGGTAGATCTCGCGAGGGCTTGTTCACCACTTGCTGGGCCGCGATGCTCAGCTCTGATGTGCTTTGATGTCTCGGTCGGGCACTTTGTCTTTTCCTATCGGCCAACAACCGTGCTCGCACCGAAAACACTGAATGCGGGCTCTGAACGAGTGATCATTGCGCAGCTGAAAACCGCGCCACGAACAGTGCAACCTGCAATGCCCTTATCAAATGCGTGAACGAAACACAATGCGCGCCCAAAGCCCGCGGTGAGGTGCCTGCCTGCCTAATTATAACGCCACACCCCAAGCACGCGTCCCTTTTACATGCACAGCCCAAACTCAAACTGGCTGCGACACTCGACGTCGTCAGGCACCGAATCAGGCTGAGGATATGATCATATTACCTCATGTACGGAGTACCATTACCTTTTAACTCGAGAAGACAGGTCGCCACCACCACTCTGCGGCCTCTAGCGAACAACAAAATTTACTTCTGTCCAACTTCCAAGCGATTCCCGACTGATGAAGAAAACTTCTTCCAGTGATTCAGCTGATCGGGGCAATTCCTGGTTTCTGGTCCGCTATAAGACAATGTCACAGCTACGCTCTGTTCCGATGAGACGAGATATCTTCCGAGACATGGACAACTGACCAAGTCTAATGGCCCGAATGATTGACTAACAAAGCGCAAAACTTCGGCACCTCAGCAGAAACCAGGCTAGGCAGTTCATAACTTCAGGCCCGGTTGATCAATGATCAATTGTACCCCAGGCAAGGGCACCATTCCAGAGGCCTTAGCGGTCCCATGTCCTCTCATCACTGGGCCTTCCATGCTTGGGCAACTCAGACAACCTCTGCATAGGCACAGGCTTGATGCATACAGGTTTTGCAATGATTATTTTTACTGCGATGCTCTGGCGACCAGCAGTTGACCCTGTGCTCCCTTGGCCGCACGCCTTGTCCAGATACAAATCGGGCAGGAACTAGCCTCCGCCCAGGCATGTCCGACGTCCCAGCCGGGATCATATTAGTTTCCCCACGCCAGGGATCCTGCAACGTTCTTTCGGACACACCTCATCTTGTTTGGTTCACACCATGAATGGAGCCTTTCGCTACGCGTCGAGACGTCCTCTTCGTCATTCTTGGCCCAAAAGGCCGCCGCTGTCTGGGGCATAAACGGCGCTAGTCTATGGCATTTTGCCTTAAGCCTTACTGCCTGGACAAATTTCGAACAAGTACTCGTTGATCCATGGGCCTTGAGCGCCCAAACATATAACCCTCCAGGAGCGCCTCAAGTGCGCCCGCCTCTGATCACCAACACACATTGGGAGGTTACTGTTGCCAGCGTCAGCTCTAAACGACCCCTTGCCAGCAATCTTTTCATCCACTGGCCTCTCCCCAACCGCGCCGACATAACATTGGAGGTCAATTGGCATCGTGGAGGTTTCTCTCGGCCCTCTACTGCACTGTCCTGTAGCCTGGCCGACACGCTAGCACAGCTTCATAGACCTTTTGCGATTGTATCGATCAGTCTCAGACTGGTCGAATACAGAGTGCCAATCTGGCACTCTACTACCCCTCCCCAACGCCCTCTCCGGGGACGTATCGTCCTAGCCTCATCTCGGAACCTATTCGTGATCCTGGTTCAGGCTTGCGTGGCATGGACGACCCAAATCAACCGAGGAGGCATAACGATCCGCACGGTCAGCATACGGCAAACCCCAGGTTCACCTCACAGCCGAACCGATCCATATCTGCAACCACAGCCGACCGGTATCGCTCTGCACCCCTCAACGCATCACCTCAAACACCTCGCAGTATCGGAAGCGCTGGTAACTACAGCAGCTACTATCCCGAGCCAACGTCAGCCTTCTCATCCACGCACCTCAACTCTGCAAGTCTAGCTGGATATGGATCCGAGTACAGCCACGATGGTCGCCAGCAACAGACACAGCAGAGCTTTGGCGGGTATCCTGGGGCGGCCATGATGTACAACGTGGCACAACCGAACGCGCAAACACCCGTGTACGACACCCAGCAGTTTGGCGCGCGGCAGCCTGCAGGCCTTCAGATGATGACGCCCGATGTCGCGTCAACATATTTCGGTGGCGCGGCCACAGGTAACCCGGCCTCGCACTCTGCGAGCTTGCAACAGCCGGGCCAGCATTCGGGATCGTCCACTGCCCTCTACCAGCCTGGACAGGCACTCAAGTACGCAAACGACATGTCCAGCGTCAACGCACCAGCGCAGCAGCCTCAGCAGCCAGCGCAGGAGGTTGCGGATGCTTCCATGGGCGAGCAGCCAGAGTTCTCAGAGGGCGCTCTGCAGGAGAAATGGCACAACTATCAACGGCAACTGGCGACCGTGTTTCAAGACATTTCGAGCGGCTCCCTCGAGACCGCAGCTGAGACACTTCTGTCTATTTCAAACTGGTTGTTATCGCAAGTTGCAGAACTGGGTAAGTGCAGGAAACCCCAATAACCTTCTGATGAGTCCATCCACATCATGGTCTCATGCAGACATGACATGCAGCCAAGTGTCGAACGCTAATGCAGTCCCCTCAGGTCTCACAACGGATGACGCCAACTTACATTCCGACCGCATCAAGCTATGGGACGACTTCAACCACGCCTGGCTGGCACTGGGGCAGAAACAATTTGACCTCATGCAGGACACCCAGCAAATGTCGCGTCCGGCACGCCTGCTGTCGTACGATAGCATCGAGAACATAGGCGACGAAATTGTGCGCCTTTGCAATGACCTGGAGCGTCACGGTTTGGTAGACTACCAGTACGGTGTGTGGGAAGAACAGATCACGGAGAGTAAGAGAAGACAGCTATGTGCGGAAAATTTGGGATACGACGGCTAATGCGCGAACAGTCATGATGGCCTGCCTAGACCTTTACGACAACCGAACACAAGATTCCGGCGCATGACGGACCATTCAAACGATGGGACACTGTCGGATGGTGATTGTATCAATATTACTACCACTAGAACTACCGGACTCTGAGCTTCGACGATGTTATGATACCTTGGGCAACGGAAACAGCACGGGGCTGCTATAGAGAATACCAGTCAATCTGGACGGCGTATAAAGGGCTGGTCGACTTGGACGACCATGTGGGATTATATTCATGGAATGCATTAATGGCTGGGCTGGTATGGCGTTGAATAGATATGGGGACCCTTTGTGGCTTGGCGATTCATTCACCTCATTGGTATTCGGCCACGTACTTTGTCGCTGATGGCCTTGGAGTGTCGAGAGAGAGAAGCACGAGATACTGAATCTGTGGCATGTGGACAATGACATTCTGATCCTACCTACGTATAGTACGTACGTACTTGGCCCTGCGCCTCCTATTACTGGGCTAAGCCTTGCTGTTGATCCGCGGCACCACGAGGGGCACTGACCATCACTAGACAGACATGTCACATCTCATTTCGCATTCTGGCCCAGAACTGAATAAACCCCTGCCTCCGACACGCACAACGATCCGCGGGCGGGTGATTGTCAGCATGGCCAAGGGAGTCGCAACATTTCGGCATCCAGTGAGATGACGGGCTGTGTGAGGGAAGCACGGCACCTGACTGCTTGCACCAGCGCGATCGACATGGCCGTTGCAGACGTATGTAGGTACCTTGGACCTCTGGCCATTCCTCCCAAGGGCCCTGCTGCAATCATTAGGAACGCAAGATGTGCCTCAGTGAAGGGAGCTCTCGCCCATGATCCTGCCGCCACACATCTGAACGTGACGTGCGCAACCATTTCGGGATCCGAGTCTAGGTCAGGGATCGTTGGGCACGAATTGATGTGGACTACTCCGTTCCCCGCGACCGGCTTTGCAGGAAAAGGACCCGGTCACGCGCACATGCATACCACAGGTATCTGTCTGTATGATGGCGAATGTTGGGCATGAAGAGTTGGCCTCGTGACATTTGCCACCAATGTCGAGTGTACTGGTCCTCATGATTAGGCACACGCTTGCGCGGGCAAAACCCAATACCACAAGCTGTCAGTTGGTCAAGGCCGTGAATGAAGTCCAAAAGGCTTGTCTAGCGTGGCCTGTCAGAACAGGCCACACTAATCGAGTTAGCCTATCCGTGGGGGGTTTTGTTTGCACGTTTTTGACATTGGCGGATCCTCTCACCCCCTCCCCTCCCCTCCTCCCTGTCTGGAAGGATGCGACTTGTCCAAATCGTAGCCTTGGCCCCAGCCTCGCGACTTTGGATGACTGACGGACGGGAAGATCCCAGGCGCAAGCTTCGTCTGTGGATTTGCAGTGTCCGAGTAAGTCAATGCTAGCTGACCGCCAAAAAACAGCAGCTGTACGTACGTACAGAGTATAATACGTGAGATGCCGGCAACCAGACAGGGCCCGCCCGCAAAGCTGGGTCGACTCTCCAGGGTCCAGTGGCTTGAGCAACCGAAGCCTATGGGTCCGGCCTTGCCGGTGCGCCTGCTGTAATTTAGCGACCGCAGGTCATGACCTTTTTAGGAATCGTGCCACTTTAAAGTTTGTCAGCCTCGAACAGACTTGCGCGACCGGCCCCTGAGCGTTTCTTCACAAGCCGTTCCAAGGATGCGCGTGAGGCTGTGGGTGAGAGAGCAGAGCATCATACATTCGAGAGCGCGACTCTGGCGTCCTGGGGGCTGCCTGTGGTGCCGTGTCCGATCCGATCCCCTGTCATCTCCGCACGTAGCGCGAGTTTCACGGGCCTTGCACCAACTGGCAACACGGCGCATGATTTTGTTTCGTCGAACCCGGCCCTTTATTTAAATCTCTCGCTTTTTGCGCGCAGTGGCATGATTGCGCGCCGATCTTTGCGTCCAATCCTCTGCACACACACCCTCCAGCAGAGAGCTGTAATGCTCGACTCCCATTGGCGATCATCATGCGAGTACCGAGTTTCTGGAACAAGTATGGCCAGGGGTCACGAGTCGTTAGCGCACTCGTGCCTGATGGAAAGCGCTGCGGAAAGAGGCGTGGTGCAAGCCCAGGAGGGACTCAATGATGCTGCTCCCAACGTTGTCGGGTTGATATTTGGTCGAGTGTTCTGGCGTCTTTCAAAACAGGTTGGGGGTTCGGGAATTGGTGGTCTGTGGGGAAACGATCGGGGACTGATCTGAGCGTCTCGGACGCTGCCGCCCAGCGTGACCTTGCTTCTGAAACTCACCCTTCTAAGGATATATTAAACCCTGCATCTCAACCCAGGTAGGTCGTCAGACCGGCCACACCATCTCGGGACTGCAGTCTGCGGGCTCCTTTGTCCAGGGCCCTTATGAGCGCTCTCGTCACTGCGCTCTAGCATCATGTGCGTATGAAAGTCCAACGAGTGGAAGGACTACCTTGGATTCACTGCAAACAGCAATCAAGCCAGTTTCCCTGGACAGCCTTTGCTCAGTGACTCATTGGTGCAGTCAGGGCATCTGCATCTGACTAAAGCAACCCTTAGTGCACTTGCGTAGTACAACCTGACAACAGCTGAAGCTACCCACAACACATGGGATTCCCGACCTGATGCCAAGGTTCACTCACCCTCGAGAGGATGCGGCTGAAGACAAAATAATGACATGCGAGCCAGTACTGTCCAGGAGGATCTCTTCGATCAATGGTCTCATAATAGCAGTTTCAGCTTCTAAAGAAAGTGGGCATTGAGAATTGCTTTTCTTGATCGCAAAAGATGCCGGCCTCTAGGGACACGATGCTAGTTCCAAAATCGTCCAATTAGTCGTCTGCTGCGTCTTGACATCGGGCGTCATCCAGCATGATCTCCAGGTCCAAGGCCTCAATGACTCTCGGGGTCGGTCCGGGGACAGACCGAGTCTTATCGAGGAAGCACACAAGATCCGACGAGTGTCGGAAGCTTTCCTTGATAAGGATTGTTTCTTCTCCAGCCTATGACCCATGCGCAGCAGTGTATGCCCAAGCGAAATTCTGCAGGAAAAACACAGTGATAAAAATCGGGGCGTTTGTGATAATGCTCGCGGCTCAGTGGGCATGTCCCCAAAGGATCTCCCTGCTTCACCATCGCCTGCAATCTCGTCCCCTAAATCGTCAGCGGCAAAGCACGAGTGGGAGTCCAGCGCATTCCACCCGTTGGCCTGAACGCCGGAGAATACAGGTCCGAGTGTCTGAAGTTATGTAACTCATTTGCGTTCTCGAAGAGCTGCGTAGGTCTCGTCGCGACTGGGTTCCTGTATTTGGTTCCGAATCTTAGTGAGCGTTTGAGTAGTTGTTGCTCAGACCATCATAGCAGATAGCAGAATCGGGGGTTCCGACGTATGAGGCAGGAGAAGTCGCAGATCGAGTGGCTCGGTGAACTGGTCGCTGCAGAGTTTGGCTCGTGTTAGAGCACTTTATTATACTATGCGGTGGTGGTAAATAAAGAATGCTGGACAAAGCCGTAGCTGTGGCCTGTCATATGTGCAATGTGATCATCGCCTTCTGTCACCTGCAAATCTGACCGGCGAGTCATCCCGTAGGCCTGGCGCATAAGTATTCCCAGCAATCGATTACTCATGACGCTTAAACTTGTGACTGCGCAGTACGCATCATTGTCCTGGTGTTTTGAGCGTAGTAGCTTCGCCAATGAGCCAACACAATCTGCTGTTGAAGTTTGCCGAGCCGCAGACGGTTCGTGTTCGGGCATTTCTTCAACCTATGAGTAGCGCGGGTGATCTCGACGCGGTCAGCAGCATCTTCCGCACACAATCGGCCCGTGCGCAACAAGGCTCGAAGTAAGCGTCGCTACGTGGATCAATGTCGTAGCTAGTCTCGTGATAGACGGGAACCGCAGTTGTGCATAAAGAACATCATTTCGCTTGTAATCTAGAACTGATCTGCACACTGGGTTAGCAACCATGGATCGGGCGACGGAGCAGCAACATACCGAGAGTCAAACTCATGCTGACATCGGTGTTCTCCACCATCTTGGTGAACTCCTCGAAGCTGACCTTGCCGTCTTTGTCTGTGTCGGCCTCCATTATCGTCTTGTCAACAATCTGCTGCAACTGCTGGTCCTTGAGGTTGCTGCCAACCATCATCTTGAGCACGATGAAGAGCTCTCCGTTGCTGATGTAGCCGTCACGATCAATGTCGTAGACCTTAAACGCGAACCGCAGTTTCTGTTCCTTGTTTCCCTTGTTGCTGAAGGCACTGAGACCCTTGACGAACTCTTCAAAGTCCACATCGCCGCCACCGTCTTCGTCGAAGATGGCGATCATCCTACCTCCCGCGTTAGCTTCTATCGGAAGCGAGGGGCGCTGCAGTGAACGTGCCGTGTCGCAAGAGGATTCGAGGATATCTGAGGAAGACTGAGGAACTCGTCGCGCTCGATCGTGCCGGAGTTATCCTGGAGGTCCGCGTGTCAGATTGTTCAGGACATCATGCATTCGCCTGCACCCACCCTGTCAAGCTTCTCGAATCGCTTCCGCAAGCGGTCGACCTCTTCTCTGTCAACTTCTCAAAATGTCAGCCTGCCTTAGGTGCTTTCGCTTTCGTGGGTTTCGTACAGTTGGAGCCCTCGACTATGTTGTCGAGGACGGAGCTGGGTGTGTTACCCATGCTGGCTGGCGAAGAAGCGGTAAGGGTATGCCGTCGAGAAGAAATGCCTAAAATCAAGCAATGCTCAATAACTTGAAGGTGGTAGTATGCCGGAATGCCAAGCTTGACGAGAGATAGTGTATATAAGACCGCTCTGTGGATGCTCAGAATGATGCTGTGCTGCTCCAAACGGGTTGCCGTCAGTCGTGGAGGGGCAAGTCGACGCTTAGCGCACGGACCACGCCCCTAGTCTACCTTATTAATGTACAAGTAGTACTTGGGTCACGACTGGGGCGCAGGAATAGTTTAAAGTTCGCAGCTAAACAATTGTAATCATTATGAGCTTAACATTTTTTCGTCATCACAAGTACTTGAGCAACTGGCAGTTGCCATACATAAGAGCAATGATCAAGGCGCCGTTAGATCGCCTTATCAGGTACGTACAAGTAGGTAATACGTGCCTGGTATAATACAAACAGACCATGGCTAGAGCGAGTGTGGGTGTGGCTAGCCATCTGTGGCTGGTGACTGACTTGACTTGACCTTGTTCATCCGGGCCTAGGCTAGAACGGGACGACCAAAGGTGTTCTCTGGAAAACGCGCTTCTCATTGGCTGTTTTCGAGACGGGCAGTCACGTCCTTTGAGGGTACTGAAGTACCTCCCCAGCTATTTTGTGAGCAGAGTGACGCGTGCGATCCCCCCTCCTTCCTCCACACGACTGCAAAGGGTCATTTCACGCTGGGCAAGCGCAATCTTCCAGCACCCGGTTCGAGCCTGCATCAGCGAAAACTCTTCGCGAGGCAAAACAACGCCCAACGTCACCTCATCACCAGGCCACCATTCAGTCATCGAAAAGGGCCCCAAACCACCCTTTTCCATCGCAATTTTTGCAGGAGACTCACCTGCACAATTTGTTTTATGACTTGATCGCTTTTTTTTGCGGATTTTCCGCTGCCTTTTGGCTCAAATTGCCCCCCCTTGCACCATGTCATCACGCAAGGTTCGGGTGAAGAAGCTGAGCACAAAGACGGCACTACCAGTACTCAGAGAGGACCAAATCGACCCCTCGGAATACGAAGCACTTGCTCCCGATACACAAATTGCGACAGGTGTCGAGCAAGCTGAGGAAAAGGTGAGTTTCTTTCTTGCCTGCCATCACGTGTGCATCACGTGATATCTCTTGGCATCTCCTGAATGCACTTGCTGACTCATCGATCGCATAGGAGTACCACTTGCAGACAATCCTCAAAGATGCGGGCACCAGCAATGACCAGGAGATCCCTGTGCCACCTCCGCAGGAGAGTGCCATCAATTATGATGACCTCTACCCAAGTACTTTCCGCACGCCATCCACCTACATCCGTTTCTCACAGACGGTGGAGGAGTGCATCAGTATCCATTATGACATGAACTCGGAAGATGATGCGTTCCTCAGGAGTTACAACAGTAAGCCTCCTGCTGCGGGGCCTCTCTCTGAAGATGACTTTGAGCGCATCATGGAGGCGTTCGAGGACACTGCCGCCGAGCAGACACCCTTTGCCGCCGTCGACAACACAGTCGCCTCTTACCAGGTCATGTTACCGGCGTTGAATCAGACAGCTGCGGATAATCATCCTGCTGTCTTGCAGCATGCCGAGGAGGTCTACTCCCATTGGAGGCAAAGGCGGAAAGAGCTGAGCAATAGACCTCTCAGGCCATCGCTCAAGTTTGAGACGCACCAGGAGACTGACGATGCCGATCCGTACGTATGTTTCCGACGTCGTGAGGCACGCCAAACCCGCAAGACTCGAGCTCGCGATAATAAGATCGCCGAGACACTCAAGCGTCTGCGGCGCGAGTTGGAAGATGGTCGCCAGCTTGTTCTCTTGTCGACGCAACGTGAGATGATTAAGAAGAAGTTGCTCGAGGAAGAGAGAGCCCTGTTCGAAGAAAGAGCGCGACTGAAGCACATGAAGATCAAGTTGGGTCTCAAGGACCCCGACGACGATCTTGTCAACCAGAAGGTATGGCTGCTCTCGACCCCACTTGATGCGCCCGTTGCTGACCTTTCCCACCAGCCTCAGAAACGCAAGGCTCCCGAAGCCCCAATGGTGCAAAGGCCTCCTGGCGTCCATTTGCGCATGCCTATGCGGCCAGATGGCCGCTCTGCCGATGCTGACCTCATCTTGCTCGCTGACAAACGTGCTGAGAAGGAGAATGAATTCCGACACGACATAGAAGTCAAAGTCGCGAATCATCGCAAGTGGAATCAGAACCATATTGACCTTACAAGAGGTCCTCTGTCGCCGGTAAAGGAGCAGGGCACAGAGCTAAAGTTCCGTCCTGCCAAAACGCAATACCTGATGACTCCTCCCGCTTCCACGTCCGAGGAGATGGATCTGGACCAGGAGCAGGAGCCAGAGGCAATGGCGATTGACAAACCGAACCCACCCATCTTCCAGTTCGAAGCGGGCGGTGCCGATAGAGATTCTGGGGCGCACCCGCCGGCCTTTCGTCGTCGCATCGGTCGTCTCAATCGACTTTGGATCGATCGGCGGGGGCTGCAAACACCACCGCGCAGAGGTGATGATGATCACTGTGATCGCTGGGCGTATGACTCGGACTCGGACGACGACGAGCCGCAGGTGTACGATGTCGACCCGTTCGACATGAGGGCGCTCAAGTTCCGGGCTACGATCCCGCTGAACCCGTACTTCTTCCGAAAGCCGGGACCTGTACTAGATCCGAATCGAACCTTGCCAGCGTCGCAGCAACAACAGCAGCAAGCGCCGCATCCTCTTTCACAGCAGCAGCAACAACAGCAGCAACAGGTGGCTGCTGCCGCGGCGGCGGCCATGCAAGCTCAGGCAGCCCAACAAGCCCAACAAGCCCAACACGCGCAACAAGCGCAAGCTGCGCAACAACCGCAGGCGCAAGCGCAGGCCGCACAATAAGGCCTCGTCTTCTGTATGATATCCCACAAAGTGGAGTGTATACCCCCCCGATTTGATGTATTTTGTGTTTTTCACTGTTTGGCGCTGGGGCGAAAGGGGCAAGACGGGAACGATCCTCGTTAGACGGCGGCTTTTTGGTTGTACAGTACATAGTCGCATTGCCAGGAGTTGTGGCGTCCGGGTTCATCATCAAGGCTCGTGGGAGACTTGAGGTGATAAATGATCGAAAACCATGCTCTCCGGGGCAACCGCATTTCTAAAACCGTTCCGATGTGTCTTCTCGTCGTACTCGGTCGTAAGTGGTGTAATAATTCTTGTCGTGTGGCCATTCGGCGGTGCCTTTCGGATATTGCCGTAGTCAGCCGCGATGTCACGGCATTGCGAGCTGTGTAGCTCTCATGCTTTCTCGACAAAGACGAGCGCACATGAGTGTTTGGTTGCCTAGAAACATCCAATAGTTAGCAAAATGTTATGACGCATGGTCATGTCGTTGTCGACTGGCGACTCACAGTATAGTGTCATGGACGTTCGAGACAAGTCCGCGGCAGTCAAGCGGCTAGGCGACAGTGGACGATAGGCCATGCCGCCATATTCAGTCAGCGTAGAAGCCGTTATAGACACGGCCAGTGAAGAGATGTAAAAGGCAGAGCAGCGTAAGTGCGGAGCAGGTAGGGAAAAAGATGGACGTTCGGTGGCAGGCTGGATGGAGAGTGGATTTATCGAGGTAGGTAGGCAGGATATACAATTGTGTGAGCAGAAGAAAACTGGGGACCCGCTCGCTGCGGGTTTGAGGTCCCGACGAGACTGTCAGGCTTGGTACGTAGTGGTTCTTAGTGAAGATGGTGGTCATTAATGGTGGAGGGGACCCCTGGCCCGTCAACCCGTCCCGCCCATACTTCTAGAGCGACAAATTAAAGAAAAAAATTGGCCCTCTTTTTTAAAGAATTGTCGTCGGTACGTTGAAACGACTCGAACAAGTCGATAAAGGGTTAGAGATCTGCCCTGTCAATCTGTAATGCCCATGGCTGCCAAATGGCCCATGTATCGATCATGACACTGACAACGAGGTGATTCTTGCACGCCTTGTCCAGGTGCCTATTCGGGATTATGCTCAGGTGTTATGTAAGCCACGCTAGCCTATCTTGGCTGCCCCTCCAAAAGGGTACGATGATATCAGGTGGGATGGGCATAACTTCATCAAGATAATGTGCTTCAACAGTGTTCCCAATTACCCGACCATCTGCGCCTCCAGAACTCTCCCAAAGCCTCCACACGCTCCTCTGTCTGGCCACTGCTGCGCAATTGATACCAACCATAACTTCAGTGATCCACTGACCAGACCCCCAGAGTACCAGCGAACAGTACCCCGCGATCGCTCAAAGACGCGCCGACTCGGGGAGAACATATCACCACAGCCCGTTGCACCATGGGCAAGGACTCCTGGATAGCCCTGGGCTGTGAGGGTTCGGCAAATAAATTGGGGATAGGCGTCATCAGACACACCTCTTCGAACGAGACGACGATCCTGTCAAACCTCCGGCACACCTTTGTCTCGCCCCCTGGAACAGGCTTCCTCCCCAAAGACACAGCCACGCACCACCGCGCACACTTCCCCCAGCTGGCACTGCGCGCTCTCAAAGAAGCAGGATGCTCTATCGGTGATGTGGACGTGATCTGCTTCACGCAGGGCCCAGGTATGGGCGCGCCGCTCAGCAGCGTCGCGGTCGCGGCACGCACGCTGAGCCTACTATGGGACAAACCGCTTGTGGGCGTGAACCACTGCGTAGGACACATCGAGATGGGCAGGACGATTACGGGGGCGGACAACCCGGTGGTGCTGTACGTGTCGGGCGGCAACTCACAGGTCATTGCGTATGCCGAGCAGCGGTACCGCATCTTCGGCGAGACACTGGACATTGCCGTGGGGAATTGCCTGGATCGGTTCGCGAGGACGCTCAAGATCAGCAATGACCCAGCGCCGGGCTATAACATCGAGCAGTTGGCCAAGAAGGGGAATATACTGCTGGATCTGCCCTACACGGTCAAGGGCATGGACTGCTCGTTCTCAGGGATCTTGGCGAGCGCCGATGCCTTGGCGGCTACAATGGACAAGGGCGGCTTCACACCCGAGGATCTTTGCTTCACGCTGCAGGAGACTGTATTTGCCATGCTGGTCGAGATCACGGAGCGAGCGATGGCGCACGTGGGGAGCAACCAGGTGCTCATCGTAGGCGGCGTCGGCAGCAACGAGCGGCTGCAGCAGATGATGGGTGAGATGGCCAGGGAGCGGGGCGGGAGCGTGTTTGCTACAGACGAGAGATTTTGCATCGACAATGGCATAATGATTGCGCATGCTGGGCTGCTGGCGTACCGGACTGGCTACCGGACGGAGCTCAAGGACACCATGTGCACGCAACGCTTTAGAACAGACGAGGTATTCGTCAAATGGAGGGACTGAGTTCCCATGATTTCAAGAGCATTGCCCGTCGCCTGTGACCGCTCGTTTCTGCCGAGATTCACCAGGGGCTAGCTAGGCCTGCGCCATCTATCTACACATATGATCAATTCGGACTCTCATAGTACCCTTTCCGTTCCGCGCGCCGCGCGCGGAATCCTAACCTTCATCTGCCGATGTTGGCTTGTAAATGATTGTTGTGACGTACTAGAAACACAGTTTTGTGAGCATGGCGGTCGCACGACCCGTGGGACAAACGCACCTTGTTCCTGTATCGCGTGGTAGCGGACACGGCCAGTACCCCGTTCTTGATGCTGCTGGTGGCCAGGTGGTTCAGAACCGTGTGGTTGGGCATGTTCAGCACGCTGTTGTCATCTTTCATGAGGACTGCGGCATTGAGTATAGGCTTGCCGAGGAACCCTGGCAAGCTCGGTGGCGTGGGCAGCTTCTCTATTGCGGCCACGGCGTTCTGATAAGCTGGCGAGTCTTCAGCTTGGTCAAAGTCTTGCAAGTACTGCGGGATCTCGTTGCGATAGCTGTCCAGTGGGGGCACGTCCCTTCCCTTGGGCGCCTGTCGCCTGTCGTCGCGCGCCGCCGTGGACTGTGCCGAAGATGTCCGTGAGGCGCGCACGTCAGACGAGTCTGCTGCTTTGGAGGTGCTGGATGATGGAGGGGGTTTTGTCTTAGGCGCGTCTTCAGGGCTGACCTCGATGTAGTTGACGAGGTTGTTGCCAAAGTCGACCGTGGTGGGTAGATCGGGCGACGTCTGCATGATGCCGTCCACGAGGAAGCGCACATGATGTGTCCCAGGGAGGACATGAATCGTCGCCGCAAAGCAGCCGGGCTTTCCTTCACTGCGAGGAAGAGTTAGCTTGTCTTCTTCGATGAGCCTTGCCAGCCAGCGGATACAAAGGTCCTGGGCCACGGTAGCACAGCATGTGATGCCGGCATCGACGCCGTGCCCCGGGTCAGACCTCGCAAGGGTGGGTGGCCAAGGTTGCAAAGTGTCACTCACATGGGGTGCAACCGATGTTTCCGATTCCATTGGAATATCGATCCTGTGACATAGATCTTGTCACCGCCTCGCTTCCACTCCAACTTTGTAGCGACCACCGGCCTCGTCTTGTCCACGCGCAGCTCTTCAAAGTCCTCATCCTCGGCCGTGCCCGCACTGAGTCCGGAGCTCTTCCTCGTCAGCACATCAGCCGAGGATTCACCAAGTTCTCCGACGTCGGGAAGACCCTGTTCTTCGGGCGCCAGGATGGGTGACCCGGGCGTATGGACCTCCTCCTCGATCGGTAGAGGCAAGCGTGGAGGGTGTGCCAGATACGTGTCCGTCATGCTCTCGTTGGACAGCAGATTTGGATCGCTATGTGTGGCCGCCGTGTCTGAATTGTAGTGGGCGTGCGGGTGCCCCGAGCTATGTGACCCGGGCTCCATCGGTACATCGACCGGCTTTGTGGGTTCGTGCCGTACAAAGGGCCTTGACTCGGACGCCTTCTCCATCCTACTGGCGAGATCGCGACTCGTCGGCGTCGAGTTGTTGCTGCGCGGCGACCCGGAGAGTGACGAGACAGCTGTCCCCGGGAGACTCTTGGGCCGGGAGACGATGGTCGAGCCCTGCGCCTGCGCCAAAGAAGCCTCCGGAGGGGCGGCAGATCTCTGGTGCGTCGAGTGCTGCAGAATGTTGCGTGTGTGATTGCGAGAGTGCCGTGGCGACTGCGAGTCGTGGCCGTGGGGCGTCGCGCTGCCCGAGGAAGCTCCCGTCGGCGTCTGAGGCTTCGACGAGGTGGAGGATGGGTGGTTACCCATGATGGCGGACGGCGGCGTGACGAGGTAGGGCGAACGAGTTCGAACGAGTCTAGAGCGAGATCGGAGGACACGTGGTGAGGCAGGCGCGCCTCGGTGGACTTTTCGTCAGTCCAGTCCAGTCCAGTCCAGGCGTCGGAGGGTGCGTTCGTTCTGCGTATGTTGTTTGTCACCGTGCAATGCTGGCAGTCACGATGCGGGGTGCCACTTCACATGGACCGGTCGAGTTTGTGCACTAGGGACTGGGCACCATGCCCACTGAGATCCTGTGGTTGATTGGCAGATGCGAGTTGCATGCGGGAGCGGGGTGGCCGTTGGCGACGTGTGATCTCTGATTCTTCGAACGCGCTGGATCGTGAGGCCGATTCGGAGGTTGAAAGAGCTGAAATGGGAGCATCCAGGTATCATGGATCAATTCGGTCATTCCACGCTCCCGGACTGGGCAATTGGCGGGGCACTGGGCGGCCTACAGGTGCAAACTGCAGGAAGGTACAGTGGGACCCGCATCGCTGGCAGCCAGCCTGAGCCTGGGTGTTCATGATGATGGAGTTGCTTGTGTGCTGAATCAATTCACTCGCAATAGTTGAACCCCAGATCAAGCGAGCAAATCAGTGGTTGATCTGCGCTTGGTATAGTTTCTAGCACTGCGATCACGTCCCTTGGAGAACTCTAAAGGTAGATCTCGTGCTACAATACGTGCCGTACCCAATGGTGGATGGTCTGTGCGCCCCCAGTCATCCAAAACTCCATTGACGTATCGTCATTCGACTGGGTTATTCGCACGCGCTGCCAAGTCACATCTGCCTGCCATCACCGGCACCTTCACGCACGCCACAATGGCCGAGCCAACAGCTATATCGGTCATTATTGAGCCGCTGTCCCTCATCTTCGGCTTTGCCTATTCAGCCGTGACAAGCATTCACTACAAGTGGTGGATCTTGCACATAGCAACCGTTGTCGCGTTCCCATTCCAGCTTCTCCTGATACCACTGCGCATAGTCACGTCGGTGCTGTCAGTGGTGTTCGCGCCATTTCTATATCTGTGTTATAGCTTTGTCGCGCTCGTGAGCACCTTGTGGACATGGCTTGCTAGCCTCGAGGTGAGAAAGCCCCCCCAAAGCATGTCAACAGACACCTGGACTAACCAAGAGGCAGCCACTGTACACATTTGTGAGCTGCACACTATCACAGATGCTGCATCTCGTTGAGCTAACGTGTCTAGGTGGTCACCGCCGCTACAATAGGAGTATCTGCTGGTGTCGTGCTGGCCTTGGTGTCCAACTTTGTCTCGACCAAGCTCAGCATCCAGGATTCGCCGTATGACGATGCGGCAGACGACAGTGAGGGCGAGGAAAGCAGTCCTCTGCCAAAGCGCCGTTTCCTCTCCGACAGAGGTGACTCGGATGAAACAGAATGGCCGTGGCTGGAGACGTCCACATCTCCCGTCCGCCGGAAGCGTGCATCTGGTTTGCTGTCACAGACGATTCATGAGGAAGATGACTCTTCAGGTGCTTAATTCAATCTCTGTACATTGAGAGCAACTTGACGAGCCAGTTCCGCACTTTCCACGCTGCCTTCTCGGGGTATGTTGTTCGCTAAGCGCCTAATTGTGCAATAAAATGCCGTGATCAATCTCTCACCCAGCCGGCCATGGAACGTGCCAGGCCTAGCTGTTGCTACCTGCGGTAAACCTCAGCGCGTTCCCGTTCTCGATCGCGTCGATCCAGGCCCGGAGATCGACTGCGGCTGCGCGTCCGTCGATACTCGTCCCTAGGAGGTCGAGGCCGCCTGTCATCCCTCGGTCGATCATCTCGACGTCGCCCATCGTCTTCAGCCCTATAACTTGGTATGTATGTGTCCATGTCGCCTCCGCGTGGCGGCGGGCCTCTGGAGCGTGGCACGCGGTCCATATCGTCTCGCGCACCTGGTGGTGGCCTGCTTGGCGGTGGCCCGCGGTCTCGTGGCCACGGTGGCCGCCGATCATCACGGAACCGCCCATTGTTCGGTGCACCACCATTTCTAACGTAGCCGTCGCTGTTGAAACCCGCCGTCGCGCCATTGGCGTCGGGCCCGATACCAACAGTACCGCCCTTAGGCGCCGGCGGCAGATTGGCTTTGCGGTCGTGGAACTTTCTACGGTCCAGCTCGTGACTCTCCTCGTATGTGGGGATTTCGTGAGGCTTCATGGGCAGTGGCTGCATCTGGAAGAACGGATGCTCCATGGCATCGACCGCGTTGATCCTGGTTTTCCAGTCCAATCGCAATAGCTCCTTCAGCAAGCTGATAGCTCCTGTTCCAGCACTGCAGGTCGTGAGTCAAGGCTCCACTTCGGTTGGATCGAGCGAAACGACTTACTCTCTGAACCTGTTCTGGAGGTTCCCAGTTCGAGGACGAGGTGTCAGGCTTTGGCCGCCGGGGAGCGACTTCCAACCAGGCATGTTCTCATCGGTGGGTGACCCCATAAGATCCCAGATGAGCTCGAGCTGATGTGTGTCGCTTTCACCCGCCAGGATCGGCTTTCCCACGATCATCTCGGCGAAGATGCACCTGCAGCTTGGTCAGAACAGCGTGTCCGAGATCATGTCTTGGTGCTTACCCGACTCCCCAGACGTCTACTGCGGTGGTGTACTGCTTCAACTGGAGTAGTAATTCGGGAGGTCTGTACCAGCGCGTGACCACAAGACTAGTGTAATCGCGCCGCCCTTCGCCTCGGTTTAGGCCACGGACAGGTGGAGGTCCTTCGTAGTGTCGAGCCAGTCCGAAATCAGCTATTTGCAGCAGGCCCTGGTTGTTGATGAGAATGTTGGCCGCCTTCATATCGCGATGGAGAATGTTCTTGTCGTGAAGGTAGCTCAGGCCTCGCAGCAGCTGCAGGAGGTAGCACTTTATCTGCCCCTCTTTGAAATGTACGGATGGATTCTCCAACAGACCTGAAAGGTCGTGATCCATGTACGGCATCACCATGTACATGATGGGCTTCTTGCGCTTATCGGCTTCAAACGGCTGTCAACGGGGAACTGCATCGATCGATATGTATGGCGGCACTCACTGGCTTTCGTTGGATGCTCCACGGCCATATCCTCGAGGCGAAGGACATTCTCGTGTGACAAGAGCTTGAGTAGCTTGATTTCTCGCAACGCCGTAATTGGGAACTTGTGAAGCGGTCAGTACCGGCCGATTGATCAAATCTATCACACGCCATGGTTCGCATACCCCATCTTTCTCGTGATGCATGATGATCTTCTTCAGCGCCACGATCGATCCGGACTTCCGCGAACGGGCCCGATGCACCTCGCTGGCTCAAGTCAGCAAGCTGCCCTCCAGTCAACAAGTTGCGCTGGGCTCTTACCCAAAGGTTCCCTCACCCAGCTTCCCCAAGAGCTCATAGTCGGCTATGCGCGAGCATCCAGCATAGGTCCTCTTAGGTCTCTGGTGGTTGAGGGCAAAGGTCCGTGGCGAGGTGCCCTCCGGCGTGCGTTCGAGGACGCGGTCCATCGCGAAACCCGTATGAGCTGCCCGGGATGCACTGAAACCCGAATTTGTAGAATCGCTGGATCGATCTCGTGTGTTGAAGTTGGTGACTTTGGTTTCAAGCCCTGGGAAAGGCTCGCAACGCCATTCGCGCGCAAGCGCGTTCTACTTTCGCGTGCCAGTCCGTGACCAATATGATAGTTTTGTAATTATCTTAATGATGGCTTCTTTTGAGGAGGTGTCGAGATAACGGTGGGACGTTTGCGATCAAGTAAATAATAGGGTATGGCGATACAGGCGTTGCGAAGGAAGAGTTGCGAGTTTCGCTGAATAGATCGTCCAAAGACAATCCGATTCGGGAAGGCGGGGTCTAGTGGCAGAATCGCCTCCGCGCTCGAGATCACCAAATGCAGCAGTGATGAGGTCAGTTTTCCTCTTGACAGCTCGCACCACCATCAATCAATTGCTGACACGCTTCGATATTGGGTCGGAGGGTTTGCCCATCACGGTCCATCGCGGTTCTAAGGCTTGCACCGGCCCAGCTGCCCTGTCGCTTCCGCCCCCCCGGGATTTATTCACAGTACTCCGTACTACCTAACTACCTGACGAAGTGCTGTCCCGCTGAATTGTGAATTCATGCTCAATATTTCACTCAGGTAACTGGAGGGGCCTGGAAAATCTAGAGCGGACCATGTGATACTATCCTCGCGCAAGTAATGTCGAGATGCTATCGATTGATTGGACTGGCATAGGGGAACAGTCGTCGAGGATGCCTTCGCGACCAGTCGTGCACCGCAGCGACATGACACTATGGGGTAATAATTACCCCTTCTAAACAGACTTCGAGAACATCCAGTCCACACTCAAGCGCGCTTCTTCGCCCAAGTTCCGACTCTGGTGCACCCGAGTGCCCCACCGTCGCCGGCACTGCTACCCAGACTTCAAGGTTCATGGCCAAAAGTTTCGGCTGCTGGCCACATAAAAGAGGAGGGAATTTTCCATGCAAGTGTCAAGGTCCCAGCGAACTCTCCATTCAGCATACAACATTTTGAAAGAGCATTAGTGCTTCACTCGGCCTCAAGTTTGCCATCTCAGCTCTTATCTCACCTTACCATCTTCCTGTTATCTCTGGCAATCAATCATCCGTACCATACTCCCACCATCTCCAAGTGCGGACTTACTACCAACAGGGTACCCTGACAGAGCCTCTACTGGGAACGTTTCCCGGCTGCGATTCCAAGGTGCTCGAGGATATTGTGTCTGCTGGAGGAACAGTGACTAACAGTTCAACCAACGAGCAAGTGTCGAGAACACTGTGAACTTGCGTGTGTCAACTTCACACGCAAGCCGAGTACGCTTCCTCGCTCGAGCTTGTAAGGTGTACTCAACCCATCCTCACTCCTGCACCATGGGGCCTCGACACAGCAATGGGCACACCACGCCCCCTTACAACACCATTCTCCCCGAGTCTCGCGTCCTCATCATTGGCACGGGAGGCACCATCTGTATGCAAGAAGGGCCAGATGGGCTTCAGCCGTCCGAGGGATTCATGGACAGTGCAATGGCCCCCCGCCCATCGTTCAACGATCGGTCAGGACCATCCTTGGGCCTCCCGGCCAAGCACAAGGGCAAGGACATCACGGTACCGTCCCTGCGCACGCCCCCGACGGCGTACAACCGCCACATTCGCTACGGCATGGTCGAGTTCGATCCCCTCCTCGACTCCTCGTCCATGTCGGCGAGTGACTGGGCCGCCATCGCCCTCGCCGTCCAGCAGAACTACCACCTCTTTGACGGCTTCGTCATCTTACACGGCACGGACTCTCTGGCCCACACAGCCTCGGCTCTCTCCTTCATGATGAACAACCTGGGCAAGCCCGTCATCTTGACAGGCTCCCAGGCGCCCATCTTTGCGCTCCAGTCCGATGCTGTCGATAACCTCCTGGGCTCCCTCATTATCGCGGGCACATTCGTCATCCCCGAAGTGGCACTCTTCTTCCACCACAAATTATACCGCGGGAACCGGACCACAAAGGTCTCGTCAGCCTCCTTCGAGGCCTTCGCTTCGCCTAACTGCGAGCCCCTGGCCAGGGTCAACGGGCTGGGCATCGATGTCAACTGGCCGCTCGTTCTCCGGCCCACCACCATATCCCCTCTATCCGTAGCGACCGATCTCGATACTACCCACGTCGCATCTCTGCGCATCTTCCCAGGCATCAAGGCGGAGATGCTCGACGCCGTCCTGCGTCTGCCTGATCTTCGAGGCCTGATTCTCGAGACATTCGGCATGGGCAATGTGCCCGGCGGCGCCGACGGGCCCCTGACCCGCGTCATCAAGTCCGCCATTGAACGCGGCGTCATCGTCATGAACGTCTCCCAGTGCGTGGCAGGCTTCGTGTCGCCAGTCTACGCACCTGGCACCCACCTCGGCCGTGCCGGTGTCGTCTTCGGTCTGGACTTGACCGTCGAGGCAGCTCTCACCAAACTCTCGTACCTCCTCGCTCAACAAGGGCTCTCCAAGGCGGAGATCACCGCTCGTCTCGCGCGCCCCATACGCGGCGAGATGACCGAGATGCCACAACCAAGCTTCTCGCACCCTACTTCGTCGCTCTCGGCTGCGTCCGAACGTCTCACTGTCGAAAAGTCCGCCTTTGCAGCGCTTGGGTACGCCATCGAGGAAGGCGACGCCGCTGCCGTGCGTGACCTGCTCCAAGGGGATGGCGCGCAGTTGTTGACGCAAGCCGACTACGCAGGGAACACCGCCGTGCATCTGGCAGCGGTGACAGGCAATGTCGACATCGTGAGGGACCTGCTCGAGCGCGGGGCCAGTGTCCACGAACGCAACAAGGCGAACAACTCGCCCCTGTTCCTGGCTTCTCTGTCAGGGAAAGATGAGTGCGCGCAGCTCCTCAAGCAGGCCGGCGCGCACCTCTCGGTGGAAGAGATTGAAAGGGGTCCGTGGAAATCTTCAGCCGGATAAAGCGAGCTTCAAAGTGCAATCGATTGCCACGACAGCGTATAAAGCAGACTCTCGCCATAGAAATCACATACAGCCTCGCAATTTCTAAAGCTGCCAACCCCCGTGGTGAGTAAATCTTTGCTTGACACTACTTTCTTCAATTCTACCCTCGTCCCCATGTGTTCTGTTCCCTCGCGTAGTGTACAGCAACAATGCAGATAAGCCAATGCAGCGAATTTGCTCTATAGAGCACATGTCTAGCCTGGCTTTCCATCTCTCGGGCACTGCTTACCTTATCGAAGGAATAGATCGCCACCTCCATTTCTAACAGACCTCGATCGGTCTACGTGATCCAAACCAAGGTAATCGTCTTCCGTGGTGGCAACGCTCCACAGTTCATCGTCTGTCCGGAAAGTCAGCATGGTCTCCCTACGCATGGCGACAATAAATACTCACCATCCTCGAGGTATTGGGGTTTCGAGTAGTTAGCTCTCCTCACCAATGCAAACTTGATCTTCTCAAAGCTTTTGCCCTTGAAGCCCGTCCGTTTCTCCAGGCGCTTCTTGGTGTCCGCGAATTTCTCGCCCTCGACCATGAGGAACTTGAAGGGAACACCGTGCGAGCGATTGACTTCGTTTTGGAAATGAAAGACTTGGATGAAGTTGCCCTCATCTGCATCTACCTCTTCAGGGGGCACTCGCTCAGCATAGATTTGTGTGTAATCGCTGAGGTTCAGGACCGCGTGATCTCGCGCTGGTTCCCTGTAAACCCTGTTCGAGTTTGTTTCGTAGATTCTGATTCGACCGCCCTCAGTTTCGTCAGGAATCTGCATTTTCTTGATGAGCGCTTCGACTACGTCAGACAATGTCCCAGCTTTCGGCACCAAGAGGTCGAGTGGTTCCTGCGAGCGTGTTAGCTAGTCCCGTCCCGTGGGCTTTAAGTGAAGTTTTACCTCTTTTGTGATGCCTTCACTCAGCCAGGTCAATTTGACGCTCTTCTTCGTGTCGAACTCATCCAGGCTCATGTCAAGGACCTCGAGATAGAAGGCGTCACTTCTCTGGCTTTGACTGTACGTGTTTGTGCCTCCCGGATTCAGAATTTGACGGAGGCTGGGGTTGGTGCCTCGCCTGACGGGGGCCTTGGGATTGTTTGTCGATGCATTGACGGTCCAGAAACGAATATGTGTCGGCGGCACCCCCAGATGAGATCCAACACGCTCAGCAAGTGCGTCGTAGTTCAGCTTGGAGTTCAGGACTAGATCAAAGGGCGCAAATGGCTCTCCTTCAAATCTGGAGGGGTGCGCGAGGAACTTAACTACGCGCTTGTGCTCCAAGAAGTCATAGTATTCCCTTGCATCGTTGAAACGGTCAGGTTTGCTGATCCTGCTTGCGTTAATGACGAGACTTTAGCCCACCATTCTCAGTACTCACGGGTCCTGCATTGTCTTGTCTGCTGTCGCTTCCGAAGTCGCGTTTGCTTCATGTGCTTCCTGGAAACAGATGACATCGCCGTCTTGTAGTTCGGCACTTTTGAGGGTTCCTTTAGGTTTCAGCGGCTCGATCATCGTGGGTTTGATCTCCTATGAGGGACGTCAGTGACTTGTCGCACGAGAGAGCGTCGGATGTCTTACCTCCCATAGAAGGAGCTTCTGATCATCATTGCCTTCCCAGCCCATCTTCTTCTGGATCAAGGGAACAAGCTCCTCCACTCTCTTGTCTTTGCCAATATACACATGACCCATGCCTCGGAGTCTCTGGCCCTCCACGTCGAAGTACTTAAGGAGTAGTAAAATAGTGTCATTCTTCACTTGAACCGCATTCGCTGGGCTTGCGTAAGATTGCCAAATAGGTTCGCCATTGTCATCGACTGATTCGGCCTCCTCGACCCATAGACGGAGGCAGCTGTCTCGGGCTGCGGTAGATTTGCTGAAGACATCTTCGATAGTAGGTGTCAAGTCCATGATGGGCTGATCAGGACGGATTGTCCTGTTTTGTCGATTCACCATCAACCATGGACGCAGCAATTTTGGATCCTTGCCCATTTCTTGTGCCGCGTGCTCAATGAAATCCTTCATGGTCATGGAACGCTGGAGACGGAACGTGTACGGAGCTGATGGATCCAATTCGCGATCGGAGTCAAAGGCGCACATGTCTGTGCCGCTGTACTCGCCGAAAGTATCGTTCGTGATGGCCTTGACGAGCATGAACAGATGCGCTTCGTTTTGTTCGCGCCGGCGCGCTTCTTTCAGCTCGATTTCTTCCTTGAATCTTTGCTGCAGATGCAGAGGAGCGTCATCGTCCGTGACGGGGCAGAGGATTTTTTCCACCTTGGTTTGGCGTATATATACAAGCATGTAAGCGCTGTTCTGGCGTATGATAGGAGCTTTCTTTTGGGTAGGTGCACGCGGGTTTCCATTGGCTGTGTGATATTCTCCGCCGTAGTTTTCTTCCAACACTTCGCGCATTGTCGCCTTGGTCACTTTATCGTCGTCGTACTTGTAGAACCAGCCTTTTTTCTCCGGCTTCAAGAAGGCGTAGTAGTGACCGGCGTTCAGGTCACCGCTGTGCACCAAGACGCCATGAAGTTGGTACGTCCAAGGCTCTGATTTGTCGGCATCCGTGCTGAGATATGGAGCAGCGTCGAAGACTTCCGGAAACTCGTACCGATCGTTGATCTTCATCATCATATCGCGCTGGATGTCGTATTCAAAACGCTTCAGTTGTAGGTGCAGAACGTCTGGGAAGCTGGTGAAGATCACACCCTTGTTGGCGTCCTGGAGCTTGTAGTCATCGCCAGCAAAGTACTGATTCTCGCCCTCGAGCTTCTCGACCTGGATGTAGTCCTTAAACGAGTCCTGGAGGGTCCTGTTTCCGCTGACATTGAGCTGAATGTCCCAGAAATCCTCGATACGACTCGATTCGTAGTCTACATTTATGCAAGAAATGTAGGTCTTGACCTTGCCACAGAACATTTCCGGCAGGACATTCTCGGCCTTTGTGCCCTTCATCTTTTCTTCCATGCGTTCCATCAGCTTGCGCGACAGCTCTTGCACGTCTTGCTGCTCAAAAATGTGGCGTGTTTCCCAGCCAAAAGACTTGGTCAGCTCGTTCGTGCCAACAGCCTGGTCCACGGTCTGTAGTTGGTAGAATAGGCGCTGCAACGTATAAGCACTGTTTTGCATGCTCTGTTCGTTTTCTGTAGGAATTTCGTATACCGCCTGCAGGTTGTCAGAAAGCTTGCAAAGTCTTGCGGAATGGTATCCTTTACCTTGCGAAAGGCGTTGGTGAAGTATAATGATTGTAGCAAAGAATTCAGATAGCAGGTTGCACCCTGGTTCTTGAGCCCGACAAACCCAGTCTCCTTCTTCGAATCATAGTTAGTGAAGTTGTGCCACAGAACACCAGTCTCGTCCTCCACGAAACGCAGGTATGCTGTAATATTGGCAGTGTCGTTCTCGCAGATGGGGCGACTACCTCCTTCCCACGGCACGTTGAACATGCGTCGAAGTTCCACAAAGCGAGTAAACCCCCAGTCACCCTCTTCCTTAGTGAAACGGTGATGTGCCGCATGATGCATGTACAGGCTTGGATCGTTGGGATTGGAGAGCACCAGGGAGAACTGGACACAACAGCTCCACCCTTCAGGAATTTGATCGGCTTCAAAACCATGCTCGAGGTAAATAGAGCACTGGTCGACACCGTTGCCGTGTGGGAAAAGCAATACACGCCTGCTGGAGTTAGCAGCTACGCGAGGGACTGTCAAAACTCATGATAGGCTTACCAGGGATATCCACCAGCTTCGAAAATGGGACCATGCTCTCGTTTGCCCCGAGAGCGCCAGCTATCGACTGTCCAAGTGTTGTAGGCATCCTCTAGGATTTTGGGTTCATCGGCTAGGGGCGGCAAGACCAGGTCTTTCATGGCCTCGTCTAGTGGTTCAACATGTTAGCGCGCAGTCGCATGGCTTATTGAGCCTCTAACGCTCCATACGTACAGTCTGTAGCAAGTGGCAGATCTTGCAAGCGGTCGGTGTCTATTTCGGTGGGTTCGGGACTGATGATAGCGACCGGTTCCTTCTCAGACATGTCCTCGAATCCCTCGTAATCCGGGGTGTCCACCACCATCTCATTAGGAGATGGAGGGCTGTAGGCCTGCGAATCAACATGCTTGTTAGATCTAAGGCGCATGGGTAAAGTGGAACGAGCATGAGAAGACATGGTGTGCTCTGAAGACATTGCGCCAAAACAAAGACAAACAAAGACAAGTGGGAAAAGCGCAAGAGGGAAATCTGAGGCCACCGATCGAATTTCCACGTGCGGTGTCAGCTGTGTAGGTGGCGTATGACGGAGAAGCGTGAGGGTAGGCTGATGGCGTTACATGGTGTAGAAACACCACCGATGTTTTGTTGGAGAGGCAGTGATGTTTAGCAGGTGCAGATGACAATGAATGGGGAAAGCGTAACAGGCAGCACCTGGATGCTACCAGGCAGGGTCCCTGACCGGTGTAAATGAGGGTTAGTCATAGCACACTTGTGTTCTTGACCACTGAAATGGCAACAACCGCGTGGAACGTCAGTGTAAGGTACCTTAGAAGCATGAACCCGTCTGATCCACTCGGCTTCTCTGATCCTACCATCATCTGGTCGTGAATCGCCGAATCCTGTTTCCGTGCAGCTTCAAGTTGCACAGCATGCGACTTGGCAGTCATGTAGTCAATCGCATCAATGGCTAAGGTCCAAAGCAAACGGCCCAACGCAAACGACGCACTGCGAGTTTGCAGAACAAAGACGAACATATAAAGACCGAAGGAAGACAATGCACGAACCATGATTACGGTTGGCTACAGCGAGCTCCTGAGCCGCGTGAAAGGGGGTCTTCGAGGGTCTAGGTCGACTGATTTTTTTTAGCACACGGCTTCCTTATGCGACGATATTGTTCGCCGGCTGTCGAAGGTCTCGCAAATCCAATGGATACGTAGTCGTTCGGTTTGCGTAGTGGGGATGGGTCGCACGGCTGCGCGCGTCTGCCGCTGCTCGAGGAATCGGTGGTCAGAAATAGCGATTCGACGTTTAAGGGATCTCAATCATTGTTGGACAAAGCAAAGGTCTGGACAGGTATCCAAATCCACGTCTTGGTAAAATTCGGTGAAAGTGGTGATGTCCTGGAAGGTGGAGTGGGGTTTGGAGAAATGCGTGACGACGCTGATCAAGCTCCGGACACTCGAGGACGGGGGGGCGAGAAGACGCTGAATGACACACAAAGCTGGCCGAAGCTATGGCGGAGACAGACGATTGTTAAATGGGAGCAATGGTCTTGGAAGAGCGACTAGAAAAAGCAGAAGGTGGTTGGTTTGCGAAGCGTCGAGCGGTTGGCACCAGAAGCGAGGTAGCTGCCTTGTTGCGCGGTGGACTTGATAACCGGGCACTGTCCACATCGCCTCGGGCCACACCCTGGATGAAGTCGTTTCTTAGCTGCCCAGACTTGGCGTCATTGTTGCCCCTCCTCTTGATCATCACGATTACCCTAAGCCAGGCTAGGGATGGTGTTCAATGTTGGTAATCACTTAATTCACACGCGCTCAAGTGTGGACTAGGATCGAAAGTGTCCGAAAATCGCGTCTGGAGATACTCTATGATAACGTTACGGAATGACGATATTTGTGGCATGCGTCACAACCGTCCATATTGCTCTGATGGGCCACACAGCATAAAATTACATACCTACTCTATCAGGTAGAGATGCATCAACTACGAAAATTTAGGGTGGAAATAAAGTGCCATCCAATGATTATGTTTGTGACATCACCTTGTGGTACCTAGGCTTTCGCCAGCTGTTGTTCAAATGTCAGAAGGCTGAGGCTCTGTCGACATTGGCTGGGGAAGCGCCAAGCCGACTGCCGATATCGCCAGTGTGGGGTACGTCCAAAGCGGCAGAGCCCAGCGACGGCGTCGAAGAGCTCCGCGCGCCATCAATTTCGGGAGATTCAAGACATTGATCTCGACGTCAGAACGATCGAACGACCCCTTCTCGACACATCGTCCTACCAGCCGTCCCAAATCCATTAGATTTACGCCTCGAATATTCGACACGTCGTCGCGCCCCTTGATCGTGCATGGCACTGCAACAATGTTCTCCAGCACGCTGCGCGCTGCCAGCAAACGCCACAGCTTAGCAACCAGTCACAACCCGATACTCAAAAGATGCCAGAGATGCCAGTCATCCGCAAACTTCATGACAAATACTCCTGTAAAGGCCGGCAACAGCCCAACATGGCGCCCAGTTAGTGTACTGGATGAGTAAGTCTGAGGCTTGGTCGATGCAGCAGAACGTCAGATTAATACCCGGACTTAGATGGGTGGCCAAAGAGGCACGCCCCATTAGCCTGCGGCAGCTGATGGTATTCGGGAGGTCATTGACCGAGTCTCGTCTCATCAGCTCTGCGAACTATGTTCGAACCGAATTACCGACCAGGTACGCGCCCGTGGCAAGTCACACAACGTCATGCGACTGACTGAGCGATACAGAATAGCGCATCGCATCCGGGACATGCAGCAACTGCCATATGTCGTTGTCGAAAACCCGCACATCAAAGACGTCTATAATCTATATTACAATGCGTTTGATACATTCCGCAAGGTGAAGGAGATCAAGACGCTGGATGACAACGACAGACTCTGCGAAATCATTAGCAACAACTTGAAGAAACATCTTACAGTGATCCCAAAGCTGGCCATGGGTATACATGAGTGCGAGGGGCTGTTTGACGCAAAAGAGATGGATCGTTTCATGAACACTATCCTCAAGTCCGTAAGTTGGCCTTGCTATCTCTCTGCGCGGACCGAAATACTCATCAGAAATTTATAGCGAATATCCCGCCGCGTGATCGCCGAGCAGCATCTCTCTCTCTCCGAGACATATAATTCGCCTCACTTCTCGCCAGGCGCAAAGCTTTCCGAATCCGACTTTATTGGCGAGGTCTTCATCAAATGCAATGCCAAGTCTGTCATTGAGAGTTGCGCCGAGGCCACGCGCAAAATTGCTCGCTCTACCAATGCGCCGGACGTCAAGGTGCCAGAGATCAAGATCGAGGGTCACCTCGAGACCTCTTTTCCCTACATTCTTTCCCATCTCGAATACATTATTGGCGAGCTCCTACGGAACAGCATACAGGCTGTCATTGACTGGCATAGCAAGCACGGACATCCCGAAGACGAGCCGCCACCCATCGAGGTGACCATTGCCGAGGCACCGCAGCATGCCACGATTCGTATCTCGGATCGTGGTGGCGGTATACCCCGCCAAGAGCTTCCTTACTTGTGGGCGTTCTCAAAGGGGCCACATAGCCAGCAACGTCTGGCCAACCTAGGCCGTGTGCCAAAGATGGCGGCCACGATGCAAGAGCTGCATATCGAAGACGACCTCGGGCGCGCAGACCTCAAAACGCCTCCGTACCAAAGCTCGCTTGCCACCTTAACAAGTCGACCGCCAGATCTGCGACTGGGTATGGGGCTGCCTCTCAGTCGTGTCTATGCAGAATATTGGGCAGGAAACCTCGACGTACATAGCTTGGAGGGCTATGGCGTCGACGCCTTTCTGCAAATCTCGAGGCTAGGCAACAAGAACGAGCAGGTCATAACAAGAGCTAGCATGGATGCTGTCTAGCGAGCGGGATCCTGACGAAATGCCGGCATTAGGGCTACTTTCTTCACTGTTGTCTTTCAAATTTGAGCGTGGCGTTGGTGCAGGAGGCATGTATTTAGGACACTGTTCAATGCTCATATCTGTGAGATGTCAAACTTCATATAAAAAGTACCCTATGCGTCGTAAAACAGTTAATTACATCAGATAAGTACCTAACTCAAAGAAGGCTCAATAAGGAGTAATAAAATGTGACAATACTACCAAAGACTCTCCGCCCAGGCCGTGCTTGCTTGCTTGTTTGCTTGGACGAGCTGTCCTCGGAACCACCAAGGGATGCTGTCGCGCAAGTCGTAATCCGCAGAGCCCTGCCCGCCAACCTCTCGGATGCTAGATGCATCTCTTTCAGACATAGTGGTATCTCTTGAACCATTATCAACTCCAAACCCCCACCTGGAGTATCCGACGACAAGCATTGTGGGTAGGCGCCGACCCAAGGCGACGCTTGACGCTTTTAACGACGGCCGTGGCTGCGAACAGCGCTTCCTTGCATGGACTCGAGCTCTGTCTCGAGCTGCTTGATCTGAGCGTGGGTCTGTTCGAGATCCTTGTTGAGACGGTCGCGCTCGGCGATGAGCTTCTGCTCCCATTGGCGGAAACGCTGCTCCTCGATCTTGACCTGCTCGGTGAAGCGCTTGCGGAGCGCCTCCTCCTCCTCCTTGAACTTGGGGTTGTCGAGCTTCCTGGGACGGGCCTCGCCGAACTTGCGGGTCTCCATTTGCTGGGCGCGGTACGCCTCGTAGTGCAGCTCCTCAGTGGTGTGGATGAGGTCAAGCATGTGGGTACGGATCAAGATGGAGCGGAGCTTCTTGAAGTCGCAGTGATCCTCGTTTTCGACTTCGGCAACACCCCATGAGTACTGACGACCCTTGACGATGCGGCCATCGCCAGTCTTGACGTCCTTCTCCGAGCCGATAACGGCGAACGGCATAGCAGCCATAAGGCTACGCGCATGCTGGGCAGCGGCCTCGTCGTCCTCCTCGATCGGTGGCTGGTAGATCTTTATTCCTTGAGCCTCGATCACCGAAACGATCTTCCTCTTGTTAGCTTAACTAGATACCAAGGTGGGTCATGAACCTACCCTCTGCTTGAACTTGGCGAGATCCGCTGGGCTCAACGTGTCGGCCTTGGCAATGACGGGGATCAGGTTGACACGCGAGCTCAGCCTTTTCATGACCTCTATGTCGAGAGGCTTAAGGGTGTGGCCAGTGGGGCGGATGAAGTACAGACAGGCGTGGACACGGAGGTCGATCTTGTCCTGTCGACGAGGCTGCTGCTCCTGAAGCATGTAGGACTCGTGCTGGTCGTCGAGGAACTCGATGATGGGCATCCATGAGTCGCGGTTGTTGACATAGTCTCCAAAGCCGGGGGTATCGATCACGGTGAGGCGGACTGTGCACATGAATCAGCCAAGCCGACTTACATGGTCGATCCGCACGCAGACTCACCCTTGAAGAACTTCTCCTCGAGCTCAGCCTTGGTAATCTCAATCTCGACCGTCTTGTCCACCTGCTTCTGATGGCGCTTCTTGTGGTCGGCATAATTCTTGATGGTGGTCGAGAACAGGGTGTTGATGAAGGTAGTTTTTCCCAAGCCAGACTCGCCAGCGACCTAACCCCTTGTTAGCCTTCTGAGTGACCCGCCCATTCTGGAATTGAAGACTACCATGATAGTGAAGCCGGCGCCGCGCTTCGCAACAATCTTGTGGCGCTGGTTGGGCAGATTGGCAATGCCAATCGGCGAGGCGCTGGTCTCGGCGGCGGGAGGAGGAGCCATCGTGAAGTCGCGGTGTGTGAGAAAGAGGGGACTATGCCAGAAATATCACAACTCGGGTGCCACAATCCCAGCAATCGTTACGAATGGTGGCAGTAGTAACTAGGCGTCGAAGGACAAGTTGCTGGCTCAAAGTCGGAAGAGTCGAGTCCAAGGTGCGGTGGAGTTTGGTCGACGATGTTTTGGGAGCTAATTCCCAATGTCAAAGTCAGGGGAACGAAGGGATGGAGAACCACCTGCCCACTGGCGGCAGCTCCAAATTTCCTGCCCTGGCTTCTGGCTCGGGATGCAAGTCCCCTGGGGTCGTACTCAGCCATTCGGAGCTTCTGGTTGGTCCGTTTGACGGACGACGACCTGGGAAGCACGGGCCATCTCCTTTTCGCTCCTGCTAGCGCCAAAGGCCCGAAACTGTCTCAGAGCGGATCAACCATCTGCCGAATGAGCATGGCTGGGATCAAAGCGCTAATCGCGATAAGATGCGTCCCATTTAAAAAATCCAGCCGATAAGCGGACGGTTTTTCGAACGATGGCATCAGGTCGTGCCTCATCCCACCACGACTGACGATGGAACGCAGGTGACAATGAAGACCGACTTCAAGGTGCGTCGCGCTCGCTGAGATTGTTCGCGACGAGTGTCTCTAATCAGCATATAGTTCTCAAACTTGCTTGGCACTGTGTACTGCCAGGGCAACTTGCTCTTCAGTCCAGATGGCACTCATTTGTTCTCCCCTGTCGGCAACAGGGTGTCCGTCTTCAATTTGGTCGAGTATGTGCGCTGAATCGATGGTAGGGCAATTGTCTAACCATGGTACAGAAATAAGTCATATACTCTCCCGTTCGCGCATCGCAAGAACATCGATCGCATCGGCCTAACACCCCGCGGGAACCTTCTGCTCTCCGTTGATGAAGATGGTCACGCTATCTTGACGAATGTACTCCGAAGGATCTCGATCTATCACTTCTCCTTTCGATCGAAAGTCACAGCTCTCGCTTTCTCGCCCTCTGGTCGCCATTTTGCAGTAGGCCTTGGTCGCAGAACCGAAGTATGGCAGGTGCCGTCAACGCCGGACGCGAACAGCGAGGGGGAGCTGGAGTTTGCTCCCTTTGTCCGGCATCACTCACACATGGGGCACTTTGATGATGTGAGATACATTGAATGGTCCACGGATTCGCGGTTCTTTCTCACAGCGTCAAAAGACTTGACAACAAGAATATGGAGTCTGGATGCGGAAGAAGGATTTCAGCCCACTGTGCTGTCGGGGCATAAACAAGCTGTCGTCGGAGCTTGGTTCTCCGAAGATCAGGAGACTATCTACACAGTCAGCAAGGACGGCGCGGTCTTTACGTGGAAGTATGTGAAGCCGAAGAACCGTATCGAGGACGACCGAATGGACGAGGACGATGATGAAGACGCCGACATGCGGTGGAGGATTGTTGAGAGGCATTACTTCATGCAAGGAAGCGCGCATGTCAGGTGCGCCTCGTTCCATTCAGCGTCCAATCTGCTCGTTGCGGGCTACTCCGACGGCATCTTCGCCTTGTACGAGATGCCCGACTTCAACAACATCCACAAATTGAGCATCTCACAAAACGACATTGATTTTGTCACCATCAACCAGAGCGGAGAGTGGCTCGCGTTCGGTGCCTCGAAGCTAGGTCAGCTGCTCGTGTGGGAATGGCAGTCAGAGTCGTACATCCTCAAGCAGCAGGGTCACTTCGACTCTATGAACTCGCTTGTCTACTCGCCCGATGGCCAGCGTATCATAACGACGGCAGACGACGGGAAGATCAAGGTCTGGGACATTGAGTCTGGTTTCTGCATTGTCACCTTTACGGAGCACACGAGCGGCGTCACAGCATGCGAATTCGCGAAGAAAGGCAATGTTCTCTTCACAGCAAGTCTCGACGGCTCCATACGAGCATGGGATCTGATCCGGTATCGAAACTTCCGCACCTTCACAGCGCCCACGAGGCTATCCTTCTCGTGTATGTCCGTCGACCCTAGCGGCGAGGTTGTCGCTGCTGGCTCCCTGGATTCCTTCGACATTCACATTTGGTCTGTGCAGACGGGACAGCTGCTTGACCAGCTGGCCGGCCACGAGGGGCCTGTCTCGGCATTGGCTTTTGCGCCTAGTGGCGATTCCCTTGTCAGTGGAAGCTGGGACAGAACAGCGCGCATCTGGTCCATCTTCTCTCGGACACAAACGAGCGAACCTCTTCAACTCCAGGCGGACATCCTGGATATTGCCGTGCGCCCAGACTCTCAGCAGCTGGCCGTCTCCACACTAGACGGACAGTTGACATTCTGGACCATGTCGGATGCAGAGCAAGTGGCTGGCCTGGATGGACGAAGAGACGCCTCTGGTGGACGCAAAACATCAGACCGCAGGACCGCAGCCAACGTGTCCGGCACGAAGAGCTTCAACACCATCCGATACAGCACTGACGGAAGCTGTATCCTCGCCGGCGGAAACAGCAAGTACATTTGCCTCTACTCTGTCACCACTATGGTCATGTTGAAAAAGTTCACCGTTTCTGTGAACCTGTCGTTGTCTGGCACGCAAGAGTTCCTGAACAGCAAGCTCCTCACGGAGGCTGGGCCGGCCGGCGAGCTCGATAGCCAGGGCGAGGAGTCGGACCGCGAGAACCGACGAGACGCAAGGCTGCCTGGGTCCAAGCGTGGTGGCGATCCTTCCGCGAGAAAGAAACAGGCCGAAGTACGCGTCACGAGCGTTGGCTTCTCTCCCGCAGGCACCGCCTTCTGCGCTGCGTCCACCGAGGGCCTGCTCATCTACAGCCTTGACCAGACGGTGCAGTTCGACCCTTTCGACCTCAACATGGAAATCACACCGGCATCGACGCTGGCAGTCCTGGACCACGAAAAGGACTACCTGAAGGCTCTGGTCATGGCCTTCCGCCTGAACGAGGCAGGTCTCATCAAGCGCGTCTTCCAAGCCGTGCCACACACCGAGATTCCCCTTGTGGTGGGTGACTTGCCTACCGTCTACGTGTCGAGGCTGCTGCGTTTCGTGGCCGCTCAGACCGAAGAGTCGCCACACATTGAGTTCTGCCTACTGTGGATCAAGGCTCTGGTGGACAAGCACGGCGCCTGGTTGGGTGCGAACCGGGGCAAGATGGATGTCGAGCTCCGCGTTGTGTCGAGAGCTGTGTCGAAGATGAAGGATGAGATTCGGAGATTGGCCGACGAGAACGTCTACATGGTCGATTATCTCCTGTCCCAGGCCGACAAGGGACAACAAAAGTCGGTAACTCTAGACAAGGTGATTGCAAACGGGAATGAATCGGTGTCATTGGATATGCAGGATGTAGTATCGGATGATGACTCAGAAGGCTCAGATGGATGGATCGGCTTAGACGACTAGATGCAATGTAAAAGACGTAATACCCTGCCTTACAATTTCGGTATATCCTTCCAAGCACCCTCAAACCCGGCTGACCTGACCCAATTCGAGTCCTGCTCGCCTTCAGTGCCTTCGAGCAGCAGGTAATGCGCCCTGAGCCAGTCGTCGCCCTTGATCCTGAGCCATGGCCTGTTCTCCCCAAACTTGTTCGTCTGCTCCTGTGCGAGAAGTAGCGCCCTCGCCACTTTGATCGTATGGCCATCGTCCATGATACCATGGAATCTGGGCAACAACTCTTTGGGCTCCGAGACCGCGGTTCCATCCTTCAACCCAAACGAGTGCAGGGCTTCTGGGTGGAGTTGAGGGCAGCCACGCGCAATGTATTGGATCACATCGATACGCATCTTCCACTCGAGAAATCGGACCTTGAGTGCCGTCGGGATCCAATCTTGCTCATTGATCGTGAGGAAGATAGGGAAGGCGTTAAGATGGTGACTGTTGATGGTTGTGGTCAGACTTTACTTACCACGCCCTCGAGAATGAGATGGACTCACATCAAAAAGAAGTCATATTTTGGAACATGGGGCGGATGCCACGAAGACGCCGCGGTAACGTAGGCAGCATTATGCGCCATCTCGGCCGTTCTCTCCTCCAATTCCTCAGGGCGGACCTTGATCTGACTGACATAGTCGAGTGCCTCTTCAGGCGCCCTCGCCATGACGCCGTCACGGATCTTCTGGCTATCGTTGAGTCGAGCGCTTCGAGCGAGCTTCTTATGCTTTTTGTCATGCAGCTCCTCAAAGAGCTCTGTCAGGGGTCGGTATGCGCCTGGCTCACGCTGCTCTGCGCGCTTCTCCGCCTCGGCGAGGAAGCCACCCAGCCAATTGTCGTGCACCGCCGTCTGGGCGAGACCCTCGGCGACAATGGCGGGCTGCTGCCACTCGACGCCAAACATGAGCTGAATCATGGGGTGCAGGAAGCCGGCGAAGAGCCTCTCGTAGAGGTCCTTCGCGGCAGCATCGTCCTCCTTGAAGACGTACTCCTTCAGCACGTCCTGCCAACTCTTGGTCTCCATCTCGGTCTGGAAGAAGCAGAGAAAGGCGGCATAGTGCTTGCCCTTGCCTAGATACTTTGGTGCCGCCGCAGGATAGTCAGCCTGGAGCTCCTCTACGATGGATGACTCTGGTGTCGACGCGCGGATCTGGTAGGAAGCGTTCTTGGAGAAGGCTGCCTCCAGGGCAGAGGAGCCAGCGCCCGTGCCATATAGTGTGAGAAGATGATGAGGAATCTGAATTGGTCAACGATTGCCAGACACTAGCACTGTCAAAGAGCTACTTGCGTGGTTATGGAAACCCTCGGTGTTGAAGAAAACGTGGTGGTTCTTCGCGCGTTAGTCAAGCGAGGCGTACCGCAAAAGGTGTAAATAGGCTCTCACCTCAAGATCTTTCTGCATAAGCTCTGATAATTTATCAGACGAAGCATCATCTTGTGGAAACCGCAATAGACCAGACTCGTGCGGCTTCACGTGGATGTTGTATGGCGTGGCCATGGTCGATAACGTGGCGGCTGAGACGTTTCTGTGCGCTAGTCTAAGTATGCTGGCTTTCCAGGGGCTTCGTATGACCCTAGTTGCAAGCATGGAGATACTGAAGGCCGTGAGATCAAACTAGATCCTCCTTCGTGTTCTATCGTCAATGTGTTCTTATGTCACAATGTCGTTTATTGGGCGCTCGGCATACCGGCTGTCCGGACCCCCACTCCGTGCCACTCCGTGGCTGAAATGTATGTAAGCAAGGAGGTTGGACCAAAATATGACGATATGTGAGAAATGCGACACTGCTGACGAGTTGGTGGCTTGAGGCTACCTTATTGGAGGTTGTGCAGGAGGTGGTGAACGAAGGCCTACTGACCCTGGATTTGGTATGATCTCATGGCATGCACAAATGCAGTCTAGCAGTACAATGCGACCGGAGCTCCGAGGTCTTACAAATCCAACAACAAGGCTCATATTCACGAAATCAATGAATATACGCTCATGGAATTTTGTGCATCCCGATCCTCGAGGCTACTCCAGTTCAATAGTCATGTGTATCATTTCCGGTTCAGAGGGCTTGATGCCACTTTACGAGACGGTATCCAATCGCTCTATTTCCCACCGTCAACAAAAAGAAACCCTGGGGCAAGCACCAAATCCTACCTAGGCACATCAATCAAAGGGGTATCCAAGTCAATGGGCACGCAACATGTTCCGAGCTTGAGGTACACTATTCCTCCATCTCCTCGTCTGAAGCGTCCTCAAAGTCCATGTCGCTGAAGCTGTCGCCTTCCTGGGCGTTCACTGACAGGTAGTTAGTACGAGGACGGAACACGAGAGCGCACGAGCGGGGAAACTCACTAAAGTACTTAATGGCGCCGGGCCAAAGGTCCTCAGCGATGCAGACGGCGACATCGTCAGCGCCGGGACAGATCTCCCAGTCCTCATCCTCATCCTCATCCTCATCCATGTCGGTTTCCTCGGGAGCCTTGCCAGCCTTGCGCAGGGCACGGACCTCCTCGAGCTTCTTGGTGGCCTCCTGGTGCTCAGCATCGGTGATCTTGGCGCCGTGGTAGCCGAACCAAGAGAAGAAGCTGAGGCCGTCGAGGCCAGTCTCCTCGATTAGCTCCTTGAGCTTCTTCTTGTTGTCCGAGTCGGCCGCGTCCTCCTTGTACACCTTGCTGACGAGGTCGAGCATGCCGTTGGTCAGGTCCTTGCCCTCCTTCCACTGAATCTCGACGGGGACAGAGACGTAGCCGGAGGAGCCGTCCTTGGCGTTGCGCCAGTTGAACTCCTTGGTGAGCGTCTTGTTCTCAAAGTGGTCATTCTCAGAGAAGGTGAAGGTGATCCTAACACTGCGGGGGTCACCGTTGGGCATCTCGTGGCGCTCCACGTGGAGGTTGGTCAGGGAGGTCATAAACAGAGCAGCATCGGTGGGCTGGATGTACTCGTCAATCTCGGGCGGGGACTGCTCGATGACGAGAGGCCAGAAGCCAGGGATCTTATCAATGACGGCCTGGCGCTTCACGTAAAGGTTTTTGGTGAGCTCGTGCTGCTTGCGGACTAGGTCGATAAGTTAGCACCGGCCGGTCTTTCCTGAGGAGGGGGGGGTTGTCAAAACTTACGAATCTCAACCTCAACATCCTCAAACTCATCCTCAAGGGCCTCGAGGGCGAGGTACTCGACGGGGTGTTCCTCGGCAGACATTGTTCCTGATTTTGCGGTAGTTTAGGTAAAGGATGGTGTAGGTCAGAGAATAATATATGGGGGGGAAAGAATAGCACCCAAGATAGTTATACTTGAGGCGGATGGAAGCCGCCAACAAAAAATATTTTGTGAGAAATTAGGGGTCCATCGCGTTGCCCCTCCATTTGACATCATATTGGTCCAATCATACTTATCGATAACCTCTTCACTGCCGAAGCTCCCCAACTTACCCTGAGCTACCCCTCCCGACGCTGTGTGTTGAAGTGCAAGCTCTGTGTGAGGTATACTAACATACGCGACTTAGTGGCGAGTTGAAGTCAGGAACACTCATTTTCGAGCCTGTATCATCATCATTAGGCGGAAATGCAATGTTTGTGGCAAATTTTCAGCGAGAATTAGCGCTCAAGCTGGTTGAGGTTTGCAAGGCGGTCTGTGAAATTCACGCCTGCGCGAGGTGCATTCGCTCGCAAGGTGGAGCAGATCTACACGAATGACATCGCGAACAATTCAGTGGCCAGGGATCGTGAAAAAAATTCTGACAATGTCATGCGCCTTGGCCTAGGTAGTAGCTGCTAATTAGCAGGAACAACTTATTGGAACGACCGAGTCTGCGAGCTGACTCTCGGGGATTGAGCACGTGACTGGCTGAAACATGGATCAGACAGAATCACCATCCACGGACCACGTGCGAGCTGTCGACGTCGGACGAGCAGCGAGCACACCACATCCAAGACTCAGGTAGGATGTCTACGGTAGTCTACCTGACTTGTTGATTAGACATGGACAATCTGAAACGTCGTTTTTGGGCCATGTGCCGAAGCTAATGCATTGCCTGCGCGGAACACTCAAGTTCAACGTTACTCTCAATTCCGCCAGTCGTCCACATGAATTCGGGATGCGACGGCCTTCGCGACGCGGTTCCTTCAGAACGTCAGCGACAATACGCGATCCTTCCAATGGCCTCGCTGCGGATGAGCCCCGCTCAACCCGTGTCTGAAGCAATCTTCACGCTCCTTCATTGCTTCGAGGCACACCCGATGAAGGATGACTGCCGCCCAAGCACTGAGCATCGGACCACGCACCCGTCGACGAGAAATGTGCCGCTCAGCTGTCTGGACGTTGCCACGCTGGATGCATCCTCGGTTACGGCGCAGTACAGCAGTTTCTCGCTGGGAGGGTTGGCCCAGGACAACGGTTTTGATCCATCTATGCCTTTGCGCTTACTGGACGCGACACACCTAGAACTACTCAGCTGAGCCTCCCAGTCGTAACTGACATTTCGGCTATTTAGGTCTGGCATCCGCCAGACACCCTCAACTGAGCCGAGCCGTGCTCTGACTATTAATAATTAGCATGGCTCGTTGGCTGCACGAGATGTACCCAAGCTGCCGTGCCACATTGGTGGTTGCAGCCAAGCAAGGCAGGCCTGCATGATAATGCCGGTTGGTTGCTCAGTTGAAGAACGGAATTAGGTCGCCTTCTGGCGACCAACTGGCGAGTGCCGGACGCAGTGCTGGAGGCCACCTGGCCCGTGTTCAGTCCCAAGTACTCGGGAGGAGTTGTCATGCCACGTAGTATTGACAGAGGGCAGTTCACTGCGGAAAGACGATCGACACCCGCACGTTACACGGACGGAGCCAACCAACACATTGTGTCTCTGAAGCTTTCAAATGTCCGTATAGAACGTAGCATAATGTGTCGATGGAAATCTCAAGATAGCTGCTGGTCCTGGTGCTTGACCCAAGGAAAGCACACACGCAGATACCGCCGACAGATGGCGGGATTTGGTGTGCAAAGGGCGACGATGGTGTGTATTTCGGACGCACAAGACTAGTGTGTGGCTGCGATCCGATTGCGCGGTACGTATGTGCAAGGACAAGATGTTCTTGCTTGCAATCAAAGGGCTCGCGGAGGGTTTCCTATTGTGATATCCGCAGCCTGTATCTACCGTTCCGCATATGCAGGACCCCTCGTCTCCGTCGCTTTGCAGGCACGTCCTGCTCAATTAACTCAGTACGTACTCAATCAATATAATTAAGGCACAGTCCTCTAATTTCGAGGAGCCTGTGCCGTCGGCAGCTTCCGAATGAGGACACGGTTCGATGAGCAGCGTCATGTCTGGTCTGACGAGCTCAACGTTTGGCTGTCAGCACGCCATGAGATCACCGATGGATCGGAATGGTCCAGGTGCTTGGACCCCAAACTTGGCGACCAATGTTGACCGTTCGGGTGAGGACTCTAGTTCTCCCACGGCCAGTGCACTCCGGTAGTCGTACGATTAGTACTTGTAGTTTGTGTTCCGTTTCGTGAGCATTGCCACGTTCATCGTAGCGCGGCCGCGGACCAGGCTAGTGACGCGCGCAAAGACAGCAGGCGGCGTGCGCATGCCGCTGTGGAGGATCTGACCTCCCAGACGATATGCGCTACGCGCGTGTCGTGACCAATCGAAAGCCCCAGCCTGGCCAAGTCCATGTTGCCTCTGGCAGCTGAAGATGGCAGGCCTGCGGAATGCTGCCCACCAGCCACAGCACTACACCCCACTGCAGGTATGTCAATTAGCGCGCACGGTGACGGGTGGTGAGTGGAGCAGGCGGCCGCCATGTCCAGGCTCGCACTGACTGTCTGCCCTCTGTAGTGCACTGAGTGCAGTTCCGGAGGTGGGACTAGACACGCCCTAGCCCTGGCTTGGCTCCGGTAGATGGGACCCATCTCACAGGGTCCACTGATCCACTGACGGATGGCACACAACCTTGTCCTGTGCCGAACCGAGCGGAATTCAAAACGTGCAGGATTTCGGCATCCAAGCACTAGCGATGTCGTTGCATGCGGAGGGATCTGCTTTGTTGGTTTTGAGGGATCACCTTCCTGATTTTGCGCATTGACATATTGTCATTCAAGACCAATCCTATCCCTGACAGTCGGTGAGGCCTGGGTCTTCTTGTGTGCGCTGAACTGAACGACTGACCAGTTTGAGACTGCCATCTGGGGGCGCCGTGAGAGACTGGCGTTCTCGACATGTCCTGGAATTTCGATGACTGCATTATGACTTGCTGTTCGACATGACCAACAACTAGCTTCGCTGTGGTTGTCTCACATGCAGGGTGTACTGTACCTAGTAACCAACATCTGGAAACCGAAATTGGATACGGTGGTCTAGCCCCTCAGCCGCCGCCCCGCAATCTATCTGCCCACGATAGGTACCGTACTATGCCTACTGCAGTATGCATCCCGCCGTATGTTTCGTTCGTCACCTTCCTTTTTTTTTTTTTTTGCACGAATCACGCAGTGCCAGCCCGCACGATCTGTATTCCCAGAGGAAGCGGTGCCCGAGCACGGCTTGCGGCTTCAATCGGGTACTGCTTCCAGCAACTTGTCCTGCCGCAACTCGATCCTTTACGTATGCCTAGGACAAAAGAGCCTGTACATGCGTATGTACTGTGGCTTCCCCCTCCCAAAGAAAGCAAGTAGCAAATAACAACATCTGAAACTCCCCATGACAAATAATCCCTCGCGCTATAGGCTGACTAGTGCTTGCAAGCCTCACGCGCGTTATCCGACTCCACGAGTCCACGACTACCGCCCCGGTGCCGTGAAAGGGCGGAGAGGGGTCACAGCAGCGCTGAACCGGGCTGCCACGAGGGATCCGACCTCCAATCCCCCGTGCTCTTGACTCAGTCGTCACTCTATCGACTAGCAGAGTTCGTGCGTAACTTATCTTAAGTCTCGACTCTTTTCGAAGCTCCCTATCCATTCATTCCCTCATTCCTCGCACGTGGTTAATGAGAGGGGTTGTGATCGCGTTCAGTTTCGATTCGCATTCATGTTATTTTTCGCGCAAACTGGGACCGCGCGCTCTCACATGTTACCGAAACGAGCGACTAATACGCAGCAGTATTGTGTTTTGTATGGATGTTCGCCTACTACTCCGCAGATGTATCGCACCTGGACAGCTGTCATCCACCGTTGGTGGCGTCGAAACCCCTTGGGGCACCGAATATATTAAATTAATCAATAGTTACCGGCACCAGATTGCCTTGCGAATTTACGGGAGAGCCATGGCCCACGGGTGCTTTTCGGGTGAACGGACCCCTGTAGATCGGCCATCACCTTAATTCAAGCCACTGTTCTATATGATCGACACCTAGTCCAGACAGCGGAATGATGTCAATATTGCCTGATGCTTTTCTGACGGAAGCAAACGGTTGCTTGGTACGTTGGGCAAAGTCGCAGCAGTCTGCAGTTTAATATCATAGCCCCCCAGACACTCTGCGTCTAGGGTGGGAAATTCGTATACCCACTCGCTGTCGATGCTCGTCGTGGTGTCCGTCCCGAATTGCCGGCCAATGACCGGATGCTTGGTATCATGGTTGCTCCAAGGATGCTTGGCTGATAGGTCAGTACGACTTCGTACATGGCAGTGCAGCACCGGGCTAAACTACCTGGTAAGTACTATTATAGGTATGTAAGCAGCAAGTACGTAACTCGAACACAGTCAGTCCAGAGCATCAGTCTTGACTCAAGATCCTGATCCACGTTGTGAGAAGTGATTCATGCGTCAAGTGCCGCGCCATCTGTGTAGACCATTATGCCGACGTGCTCGTACGCATAGCCACGGTGGACTAATCAAGTACCCGCATTATTCCCGCACTTGTAGAGTGACAGGGGCATCGGGCCTGCTTATTGTACGATACAGTGTGCAAGACGCCTGACTGGACGCACAGGTCACTCGGCACTGGCACTGATCTCTGCGGAGGAACCTCCATCCGTCTACAGCCTGAAGTGCCGGAACGACGGTCAGCGGTGTTTCCAAAACCCCGAAGCTGAGCAACCCAATTACTCCGGCCGGGGGTCTTGATTCGTCGTCCGTAGCGCGACTGACGCTTGCTGCGTCACCTGTGTACTGTTCCATGCGCGCCGCGGAGGCGTCATGACCTCTGTCTCAATTCCACCTACACCCAATCATCGGTGCGCGTCATACGGTATTCACGGGCTGGGTTCAACAACGACTGGAGAGTGAAGCTGCCTTGTCAAACGTGTCTTCTGCAGGGAGGCCGCTTCAGCAGCGTCAGATTCGGCGGACCCTCGGATTCTACAGTTGTCGTAGCGAAGTCGCCGGAGGGCACAAGCAGCCGCTCGGGACCGAGGGATTACGACTGCGAAGCTAGGCGCGCGTGAGACACTGCGTGCTTAGCCACATGTGGGCGGCCCCTACAAACACGGCCGGGGGTCTGCATGCAGCAGCTGGGGAGAGGGCCCAGTCGCTCTAGTCGCTCTAGTCGCTCTAGTCGCTCTAGTCGCTCTAGTCGCTCTAGTCGCTCCAGTCGCTCCATGCCACTCTCGCTTAAATCCCTGCTGGACCCTACTTGGCTCCTTGGCAGCCATGAGTTGGAGGATGTCATCCGCGTCGCTCGCTCGTGGTGGTTAAGAACAGCCGGGTGCCGTATCCGTATCTGTGCTGTGCAGCGTACCATTCGTGGCCGGCACTTGGAAGTTCTATGCAGCTTATCGCATCGTACGGATACGGGTGCTGTAGAACGATAGGCAACCCAACAATGAACCCCAAGCGCCTTTTGGATTCGTGTACAGTACAACGTACAGTAGGCACGGTCACCAGAATGACCTCAACGTGGAGCTGCATGAAGACAAGAGACCATTTGCGCCACTGACTTGTTGTTTTACCGTCACTGAAGACACTCTGGAACTCATTGACTCAACTGCTGCTCGCTGTACGTATGGGTCGACGTCCATGAGGAGGATCGCCAGTGCAAAGCATGCTTTCGTCCTGGTGGGTCACTTTATTCGGCCGAAAAAGCTTCTCCTTGATCTGATGATTGTCGCACTCCAGTTAGTGCCGTGCTCTCTAGCGACCTAGGGCGCATCGAGGCGAAATCGACATTTCATCGCCCGATGAACTTTCCCACGGACCGTAGTTGCTTTTGGCCCTAGCTCGATGGTTAAACAATCTCCTCGTGTACCTAGCGTTCCATCGGAAAGACCCCTACATGTAGGGCAACGGCACAAGCCAAATGCTAGGAAGCCGGTAACGTAGCAGCAGGGCGTGTGCGTACTGGTTGAAGGGCAACGTCTGTCATCGACTCATCGCTCATCGGACTCATGACGATCGTCTTGCTTCTGCCGTCCGGTCTGTGCCAATGTCTCTATTCTTGCTTGTCCGGCCAGTCTTCTCCAGACTCTGATCCTGGGGCACTCTGCCTGACCCGTTTACCACGCACATTCCTTGTCAAGCGTGAGGGGAGCTAGCAACAAGCGTCAACTTTCCTTGTGACGGCCGTGGAGCTCTCCGCACGAAGCGGCATTGGCAGAGTGTCATGCGTAATTGCTACTCGTTGGTTTCCAGACTTGCCGCAAGCCTCAGAGACGGCCGGCCTATCCGTGCTTCGTGCTACGATCATTCGATGGACGGGACCAATTTTAAGCTGTTGGCCCTAGCTTCTTGATAGACGGCAAGCGTTGGCTAGCAGAACCGCGATGGGTTAGCATGGACCGAGTGCCAAGAGTATTGCGCTGACGTGTGGAGTGCCAGAGGGTGGTGATAGTCGGACAGATTGCCAGAGCGAGAGAACCAGATCCCTTGCTTCCCCACGTGAGGCTGGACTGGAGTCGGCCGCCAGCGTGCGTGTACAGAAGTCGTCGAGGGGTCCCAGGAGGACGGGACCGGACAGGACCGGACAGGACCGGACAGGACAGGACAGCTTGGAATCTCGGTGGCTGAGATAGGTCGCGGAAAGGCTGCACATCGCACGCCTCTGGTGAGTGGTGATATGAAGTGGTTACCTCATGTGCTCAGTAATTGGATGGGGTAATGATTAGTGGCTCAAACGGTGACTGGAGGCAGGGCGTGCCGGCCGTCAAGCCACACTGCTTCGACGGCAGGCGGGAGACACTAGCACGACTGCGTAGCGCCAACTGCCATGGATGTGCCGGATTTGTCCATGTGTCCGCGCGGAACGGCTGACATGGCTGCATGGCCCTGCCGTGATCATGTCTCAGGCAGACGGACGGCCTGCAGCGCAGGGTAGCATCGTCTCGCCGCCACCGAAGATTAATACATAGCTTAATTAACAGCACTCTGCTGACGATGGACTGGGAATATTGACAGCTGAAATGTGTGATGAGTAAGGTGCAGAACGGGCTGGATGCACCTGCGCCCCTTTGTGATTCATACCGCCCAACGGCACGAGTCATTATCATCTTCACATTTGCCGACTTTGATTAGCTACAGGAGGCAACTGTCACTGTCCGAAGCCCAGTTGTTGGCTTCATGCGTGCGCAGGGAAGCAACTTGCTCGCCAAGAAGCGACTCGAGGTGAGTTTGGCCGCAAATTTGCCCGCCGAGCCCTCACAAGTTGGGGGCGGAAATGTTCGATCCTGGCTTGTCTGGATCGCTTGATGCTTTGGGATTCTTATACGTTGAGCAAAACGCGAGCCAACGGACCTGCAGCACGGAAAGCGTGTGGCGGTGCCATGCAGCGCCCAGTCGAAGAAGAGGGCTTGGTGTCTTTACGTGCGGACACTTTGCGGCAGGTGCGCAGCAGACGCATACGGCAGGCCAATGTGAAGTTGTTTATTACCATCTGAAAATAGCTTTCAAGGTGAAGAGACTGTGGCGAGCTGGCTACTATCAGGGGTTTGTTGCTCGGTACGTACTGAGATAGCCACCTGGCCCGGGGTCGGCTGCACCATCCTGGACTGGCAACCGCTCAATGCCGCATCCATCAAGCGACAGCCGTGAGTGGGATCTGAAAACTGAGATGATCCATGCACGTATGAAAAAGTGTGCGCGCACGTTCTCTCTGCGCTCCGAATTCCCTCGGTTCCTCCGCGATTCGCAGCCGTAATTACTGCGTAGGATGCAAAAGGCTGCAACCCGTCAGGGGTCTGGGGATCAATGAGAATTGATGACTGGAGCCTTTCGACGGACCTGTGCCCCGAAGCATCGTAAGCCACATTCCTCCTGTACAGGCTCAATTGCTACCAGGACCAGAGATCGTACCTTTGTTGTTGATTTCCGGCTTCCAGTGCCGCCAGTGCCGCCAGTGCCGACGTCGACATTCGCTTGTGGAATTCTGGCATCTCGAACTCAAACAACGTCGAAGCAATTTCTCGTTAACTAGAATGACATGATGGTCTGGATGAGCTGTCACGGACTTGACTCGCTTGGCGAAGCTTAGCCTAGCATGAACCGACATGCCATTCCCTGTCGATATTGGTTCATTAATTAAGGACCAGCAGCTGGCGCTAGGTCTGTCTGTGTTCGGACCCTCGAATCGCTCGACTGGCTTGCAGGGAATGCATGTCCACAAGCCACATGTGTCTCGCCCAGTGTGAGGTATGAGGGCTGTTTGAGCGAAATACCAGTCGGCAGCCCGGGCGCTCGTGGCTGTGAGACAAATCAACATCACGCACGCGACGACGAGACATGACAAAGCGTCGTGAACAGTGCCCGGGCCACGCTGTGACGAAAGGGAAGACATTGGCATAATTGCGTGGCCGCTCATTCGCACGGACTGGGCGGAACAAGCCCCATTCCAAGGAACCTTTTTCTTTTTAACACCTGCCAGGACTAGAATGCACTGTTTGACAGCCACGTCAGAAGTTCTTTTGGTCCTTTGATTTTATGGCGGGCAATCTTGACAAACCCCTTCGGATGGCAGTACGTACGTGCTTTCCTTAGAAGGAGATACGTAGTAGATGGCAGTGGATCTTGCGCGCTAATGGATCGATGGTCCAGTCCATCCAGCCCATGTCTCCCGAGCACTACGGAGACGCCTGTGGCTGGTGCCTTGGGGAGGGGGTGGGAGACATGAGACTCCACCAGGCTCCAGTCGCCTAGCCGGACACTGTGGACTGGACTGACTGACGCAGTCTCCATGCCCAGTCCACTCCATCGCCAGATTGAATCTCCATCCAAGCAAGCGACATGGCGCCCGCTAATAATTGTGCCAAGTCCAGCCCAGCCCAGCCCACACCTGGCCCAGGTTCGCTCGGCCTCAGATCCGACTGTCTCTCAAATGCGTGCCCAGACAGGCAGGCTGCCTCGTGCTTGAAGGCTGAAGCCACTCCAGTCATCTCACTGCCAGCCAAGCCCCGAATTCCTACCCTTCAACCCAGCTCGTTGGCTCTAGCTGTGTACTGGTCTGGTCCGGAATCCCTCATCTACACCAGCTGCCCCCTCCCCTACCTTACGGATTCCTTCAGGGTTCGACTTGGATCTGCTCCTTTGTCCTATCCTTACATCTCTGCTCTGCATCGCATCACCCGCCCGCCTCTTCCCGCCTTCTACAGCAATATTCAACCTACCAACAGCAAAGACTCATAGACAGACCACTTGACGTGTGGCAAGCGAATAGCAGCCGCAACACGTGATCGACGGCGTACACTCTTCTTTGAGCTGTCTGGACGACAACTCGAGCCTAAACCAGGCACTCTCATAGACCTTTCGATATCCATCTTGCCATTTTAACAAGAGTCTCCATGGGTGCGTCAGCTGCCACAGAGCCCGGCCAGCATTTACTTGTCCCAAACACACCGCCCGAGCTGGTCAGCCCGAGCGCATCAACCTCCTTCTCCTCAAGATCAACGCCGGCTACTGAACCTGCCTGGATCACATCAAAACCGTTGGCATCGCCGCCAATGTCTGACTATGGCAAGGGCTCCAAGGCCGCCATGTCTGTCGAGAAGAGCGCCGAGGGCACTGTTTTGACCAAGGGATCTACAGCTTCGATGGAACAGCCCGCTTCTCGACAACAACTACCGTCATTAAGCAGCCTCTTTGGACCACCCAACTCGAGATCTCTCAACTCACCCATGTCAGAGCGTACCAGCCTGCCCACAGCTTCGCCCATGGACCGCTCGCGCTTTGGCAGCTCACATGCCCGTGGCCAAGGGGACTCATACTTTCCACCAGCTCTCTCACCACCCATCTCACAGCCACGGAGCTCCTACGAGCCTGCCAAGTACGAATCGGAGCGGCACTCTCTCCATTCCTTGCGGAAATCGACATCCGGTCCCGCGTCGCCCGGTTTCCGGGCGCACAACCATGTGCGAGTCGAGTCGCGCGCCGATGTCGAGCCTCACCACAGCAGGTGGCCAACATCGCACCGCCAGGAGCACGGCAAGGGCGATTACATCCTCGAATCAAGAGAGGCCGAGCTCCGTTCGCGCGACTTTCATCTGCAGTTTCCAGGGTCCAAAGACGCCCACCATAGCTACCGCGACCACAGATCATCTACCGCCGCCCACAATCAGCCCCAAACACCCACGGGCGACTCGCACATGGAGATTGTTACCGGCAAAGATGGGCTAGGTCCCAAGATCTGGACCGGAAGCCACTTCTTGCCCAGGTTCGTCCGCGCGGCAGAGGTGCCGGGCGAGGGTCTCTGCTATTTCTACGACGACGGAAGCCACTGCAAGACCGTTATCGACGGCGAGGCGGTCAACGCCCACTGGGGTGTGACCAAGGCGGGTAAACCTAGGAAGAGGTTGGCCATTGCTTGCGTGACTTGCCGCGAAAAGAAGATCAAGTGCGATCCCGACTTCCCTCGCTGTGTGCAATGTGAGAAGTTTGGACGAGTCTGCAAGTTCAAGAATGCGTAAGTTGGATGATCCCTCGACGTGCTTTGCGAGAGTTTGCTGACGAGGACGGACAACAGGCCGCGCGGTGGCCACAATGGCTCTCCCACAACACCGCCGGCGGAATTTGAGGATCGACGCAAGATGATTGAGCCCGCGAGGCCACAAGAGTATCGCATGCCTATGAGCAGCGAGAGCTCGCCCATCTCCCCGCGCAACACCTTGCCCGATCACTCGTCGCACAAACGCATAAAGGTTGACCACCACAGCTATGTGCCCAACGGCGCGCCCTCGCCGGCCATGTCCCGGCCCATGGATCACTCCAAGTCCCACGTCGGCGCCCCGCTGGCTCCCCCAGAATTGCCTAGGATTCCAGAAAGTGTTTTGGAACGTGCGTGGCAAACCAACCCGTATGCCACAGATGCCCAGTCCATTAGCGGCGTCGTCGACCAGTTCTTCCAACATATCGATAGCACGATGATCCTGCAGCTGTTGCCAGAAAGAGCGACCAAGACTTGGGTCTGCAGCCTGGTGCACAGGAAATCACCGGAAGACCTGATGCTCCTCTACAGCATCTTGGCCGTTGGGGTGGTCCTGTCAGGCGGACCCAAGAAGCATATTGCGTACGAGTATGCCCAAGTGGCTCACTATGCGCAGAGGGCTTGCCCCAGGACCTGCCTCCAGCTTGTGCAGAGCAGGATTCTTCTAGCCGTGTACTACCTCTCTGTCATGCGCCGTGGCGAGGCTGGCCAGATGATCTCGGCAGCGGCCGGGACGGCGACTTGCCTGCAGCTCAACCTGGAACTGGAGCAGACGCGAGAAGCCAGCCTGCACGCATACCCGCTCAACATGACAAGGGCCGGCTACAGCGAGTCGAGGCGCCGCGCCATGTGGTCGCTCTTCATGCTCGAGCGCGTCAACTCCATGTACCTGGGTCGTTTGACGACGATCAACCCCGAGAACATTTACCTCCGCCTGCCGTCGGACCTGCGCAACTTTGAAGACCAGCTCGACAGCCGGTCACCCATGTTCAATCCCCACGACCTCAGCATCACCCGCTCGATCGACCAACCACAGGAGGTGGCGTCGTATCTGGTCTCCGTGGCTCACATCTGGGCCGAATGCCAGTCCTCCGTCTACAACTTGACTCATCGCCCCGAGTCGTCCGAGGCCGAGTTCTCGCGCACACGCCACCTAGCCAGCAAACTGGAGCATTGGCAGGCGGTCATCCCTAGCCGCCTGGTGTCCATGCCGTCGAACCTGGAGACGGCAGCAGCCTATGGTCAGCTTGGCTCGTTCTTGACAATGCATCTGCTGTACCACCATGCTTCCATGACGCTCAACCGCTACACGCGTGCCAGCCGCTCGCTCTCCGCCGAGGTCAAACGGGAACATGTTTCCAAGTGTCGCTACCACGCCACTGAGACTATGGAGCTACTTGAGCGTCTGGGCCGTCTGTCGAGGGCACGTCCAATGGCGCCCAGCGTTGTGCCTCCCATGGTAGCCCTTTCTGCTGTGGAGGCTGTCGATGTGCTAAGTGCCAGCCGCCCGCTGTCGGCGGTGAATGCAGTCCTGGATAACATCCGGGTGGTGAAGCCCTTGGTGGACTCTATGGGTGGCATCTGGGAGGAGTCACGCGAGTTCAGGTACGCCATGGACAAGCGATTGCAGATGCTGAACCGAATCCGCGACCACGCGTCGTACTCACCGAGCGCGATCGAAGGACTCCGAATCGTGTCCAAGTACGACGAGAAAGAGGAGAAGTGCTATCACTGGGAGATTGTGGAGCCTCTGGAGCGCACGCATGCGCGGGAGATGGACATTGTGTACGGATCATAGAGATGGCGAACAGGAGAGGAGGATCTCTCATTGATTGCATTGCATGGCGTTTGGGAGTTTTGAGGCTGAAATAGCCTCCTCCCCGGATCCTGGCGCCACACGGCGACCAAATTTTTTCATAGATGCGCGTATATATCAGGCAACTGAGCAGTGAAATATCTCTTTGAATAATCAACTTTGGTAGCCATGTGACATACACATAGTTTCCTTTTGTGTCGGCGCCCTGGGACCACGCGTCTTCGAATACGCATATCACCTACCCTGTAGTATATAGTCTCACGTGACCTCCCACTCGTCGCACAGCAGACGCCAAAGGCAGTGTCAACCTGGGAAGCGGTGATTCAAGACACGGGCGCTACCTGAAACACCCAAGGTGACATGGAGAAGAAGACGCCGATGGACGCTCAGTGATAGCAAACACCCAGAATGGCGCAGCACCTGCCCGACACACCTGCTGCCCAACTCACAGGCTCAACCGGTACGTCTCACTGCGCCGCACGGCGACACTCGTTTTCTCACCCATCACCAGGCCCCATACACGCTGTGTCGTACTCCTCGTCCCCGGGCACATATATTCTCACCGGCTCGGCGGACCGCTCTGTCCGTCTGTACAATCCATTCCCATCCACCACCGCACCCGCTATCCGCTCCTCCTCCATCACATCCAAGCAAGCCCCGTCCATACCGCAGGGGCGGCTCGTGCAGACATACAATGCACATGGCTACGAGGTCCTCAGTCTAGCCGTTGCCAGCGACAACCACCGCTTCGCCTCATCGGGGGGAGACCGGGCGGTGTTTCTGTGGGATGTCAGCACGGCCACGACCATTCGCCGGTTCGCAGGCCACGGGGGCCGCATCAACGCCGTGAAATTCGCCGGTGACGGGGAGAGCCTCGTGGTCTCGGGGGGTTTCGACACCAGCGTGCGGCTGTGGGACTGCAAGTCGAGTAATCTGAAGCCGATACAGTGCCTCGAGGACGCAAAGGACGCCATCACGACGCTCGCTGTGGTCGACAAGCAGGTCATCGCGGGTAGCGTCGACGGCCGCGTGCGGAGCTACGATGTGCGCATGGGGAAGTGTACGACCGACGTCATTGGCGCGAGTGTCACGAGTCTGGACACGACGCGGGATGGGAAGACGGTCGTCGTGGGGAGCCTGGACTCCAAGATCCGCCTCATGGACCGCGATACGGGCAAGTGTCTACGCGCGTACGCCGATTCTGGATTCAAGAATACCGAGTATCGGGTGCAGAGCATACTGGGCGGGAAAGAAAGGTACATTCTCGCCGGCGACGAGGACCCCGAGCAGCCTGAGACGGGGCGGCTGTGGGCGTGGGATCTTCTCAGTGGGAATTTGATCAAGAAAATCAACGTTCCGTGGGGCCCCGAGGAGGGAAAGAAACGAGTCGTAGGCAGGGATGGCAAGGAAAAAGTGAGGAGGAATGTTGTCAGCTGTCTCGCGTGGAGGGAGGATGGCTGGGGCGACCAATATTGTGTAGGAGGGACATCTGGCGTAGTCACTGTATTTGGAGCTCTTTGACGCATAGTCAGCTGTCCCGACAAGGGGTAAAAAGGTCATTCCCAGTGTGTGCGCCGAACGCCATCCGTCTATCCTTCTATATAATGTGTGTATGTGTGTGTGTGTGTGTGTGTGTGTGTGTGTGTGTGTGTGTATATGTTACAAGGTGACATGTTCAGCCCATTCCCACATGCTTGAACCACACTGGCCGACAGTCATCGCGGTGAAGCCACGCCTCGCCATCTGTCAGCCGCCCCGTCACACAGCCCTTGCATTTTGGCGAGTTGGGGCAGTTGAAGAAGGGGATATGCTGGTACCCAATATCTCGGAACCTAGATTGTTGTTAGCTCAGCACTGAGGAGGATGACAGCATCTCAGCGTACCAGTGGATTTTGCTCGCGTCCTCGAACAACCCGAGAGCGATGCTATGCACAGGTGCATCGCCCCATCGTTCGTAGAAGAAACCGCCAGCCTTGTCGAGGTGTTCAAAGTAGTCCCCGTATGCTTTGCTTCGCCAGAACTCCATGTCGGCCACCTCGAAGTTACTCCAGAAATGGCAGGTGGAGTACCCCTGCGCATCGTGATTGTTTTGGGGCCGATGCTCGTCGTCGGTCACCCACTTCATGGCATTGTTCTCGTTCAGGTGCTCTGGGTGGTCGGCGAGGAATTTGACCGTCTCGGGCCATAGCGTGGGCAGCGTTTTCGGGTCGTCGTAGAGGTTGATTGTGAAGCCGTAGGTCTTGTTGTTGTCGTGCATGTACCGGAAGACGTCGTAGTCGATATCGCAGAAGAAGTGCACATTGGGTTCGACACGCCAGTAGTACCGCGTGTCCTTGAGCGCGGGGTGCTTGTAGAACAGACCGCTGTTCCAGCGGCACATTTGGTGGTAGGACATTTTGCTCGCGTATTGCACGCCCTTGCCCTCAAGAACTTTGGCCGAGGATTGAAAGGTGGCGTCGTCAATCCATGATGGTTTCGTCCAGTGCTCGTCTGGAATCACCTCGTAGATACACTTGGCATTCGTGGCTGCGGACGTCTTCTCTTTGAACTCCTCGGTAAAGGGAACGTCGTTGAAGAAGGTCCATGGATAGTTGAACTTGTTGTTCCACACGCGCTCCAGATCTTGCATGCTCTGCACCATGTCGTCCACCTCCGAGTTGCGCACGAGCGCAAGCAATGTCGCCTCTATTCTGTCCGACTTCTTGGCATCGGGGGCGTAGTTTCCCTCATCATAGTGGACAAGCTTGCCGTCGGGCTCGAACGTCGGATCGAGGGTCGGATCGCGCTCGAAGTTCTGGTAGCGATCGCCTGGACCTTGGAATTCGGGACTGGGCTTGAAGAGCACGTAGAGAAAGAAACACCACAGCAAGGCGCAGAGGCCAATGAGTGCGCGGACCGGCCGTGCGATGGTCATGGCAAATAATGTTCTGTCATGAGCGCATTATTCGACGTACGTACGGAACGAGTGTCGCGATAATATCGCGTCGCCTGCAATATGTACTGGCTTGGATGGGTTGCATCTAGACTTGGGCGGCGGGCCCATCATCCATGAATAGCGATCAGGGGGTGCAAACTGCCGCTGCACGTCATTGGTTAGCGCCCCACTGTTGCCTGGCACTGTCACCTTCGCATCACTCATGCGTCGCGTCGGCGCGTCCGGAGCTGCTTTTCATCGCCATTATCGTCGAAACTCAAAGATGGCTGGTGATCATGGCCTTTGCCGCAAAGCTCGGATCATTGACAGATGAGCTTGTCAACTCTGTTTTAGCTGACTCAAATGTAAGACGCTCTTCCATTGAAGTGAACCATACATCTAACTCACTTACCAGGTTGGCCCCTCGCGGACGAAGAAGCTCCGCGACACTGCGTTTCACACCCTCAAGACCAATGCGTACCTTCGCACTAATCAATTCGAGGTCGAGAACAGCTTCATTGGCCTCGACGAGAGGTTACGCATCAATGACAGGGATGGCTTGGCGGATGAGTTGAAGCAGAGGCGAACAGCTCTCGAGGCTGCCCCGCAGAAATGGCACCCAGAAATCCTCGCCTTGTTGCTCGAGCTGTCTGATCAGCCGACGTACAAGTCCAAATTGAGAGACCTGTATGTGCTGGAATCGTATGAGCCACCTGGTCCTGAGACGATCGACTGGAAGCAGATTGCAAGAGAGGACGGTTGGGATGAGGACCCTGATTTGTGGAAGACGAATCGATACGAGCTCAGCTCAGACGATGATCTATCTTCTCATGATGGCAACGACACAGAGATTACGTCTGAATCGGAGGACGCAACTGCTGTTGGACGGGTGGCTGAACACCTCATTGTTCCCCGAAGCGACGATGCACAGTATGACTCGATTCTTAAAGCACAAGAATGGCGCAACCCAAAGCCAGCGACAAAGACTGGCTCAGGAGCGGGCAAGACCGCGGTTGTCGAGACGCATGTTCTGCGGGAGATTCTTCACCTGCTCCAGGGTTTGCAGACAACCATGTTCGACGAGAAGTGCCGACCGCGGCCCGAGTTTCAAACTTCGCACTTGGTCTGGGAAACGCACAAGACGGTCATGGCGGATTTCTCGGAAGCTAGTCGTCGTATCATGGTGCTGCGACTGTTTACGCGGAGCAAGGAAACGGCAACACATGTGCAAGCATTTCAGGACTGCGTGGCTCGGAGGTTGATGGACTTTGATCGACACCTGTCCAGTATCCACGAAAAGCTGATCGCGCCAGACGGAGAGGTTGTCGCGAGCCTTCTCTCCCTAGAAGCAGACCTGGAAGGCTGGCTTGAGCCCCTGTTCGCCCTGTCGAGCATTCTCGTTCGCGTGTGGGACCAAGCATCAAACCCTTTCGCGTACATTGAATGGCTCTATGAAGAGACAAGCGTGGCCCAGCTCAGTGGGATGACTCGGACTTATGACTTTTTAGCACGTATCTTCATCGAGTGTTTCAATGTCTACCTGCGGCCCGTGCGTCTGTGGATGGACGATGGGAAACTTCTCCCCAACGACCAGATTTTCTTCGTCTCAAAGATATCCGAGGCAATGGCCCCGGGCGACATTTGGAGCAAAGTGTACCACTTTAGGGCGAAAGATGGCAGGCTGCACGCACCATCATTCCTTAGCCCAGCAGCCAACAAGATCATGAACGCTGGGAAGAACCTCGTCATTCTCGGGAAGTTGGGACAACAGGCCGCAGTGTCCAAGAGCGAAGAGCCTTCACTGGACATTGCAACGGTCTGTCCTTCTGGGTCAGAATTGGCCTCCTTTTCAGATCTCTTCGCCACGGCTTTCGACCACTGGATCCAGAGCAAATATCGTGCCACATCAGCAACACTCAAGGCCACATTATTGGAGAAGTGCGACCTACCTGGGGCTCTCGTGGCACTGCAACGTCTCTATTTGATGTCGGACGGCACCGCCGCTGCCTCATTTTGCGAAGCCTTGTTCCAGCGCGTGGACAGCAAGGACCCTAGGTGGCACAATGGTTCTGCCGTGACTGCGATTGCGCACGAGGCGTACGACCACCTTGTAGACACAGATCGCGTGACCATCGCGGTCGACACGTCGCAGATCCAACGCGAATCCGATTCTTCGCGAGCCGCGCTCGCTCATGTCCACGTTCGCTACCGTCTACCTTGGGCCATCCAGATGGTGATCTCACCGTACAGTATCACGCAGTACGACACAATGCATGGCCTGCTTCTCCAGCTTCGAAGAACAGCCTACATCCTCCATCAACCCAAGATCCTGGACGCGTACTGGACAGACCATGAGAATTGGGATGAGAGAGCACTCTATTACACGTGCCGTCATCGACTACTGTGGTTCACAGGTGTCCTCCAAATGTATCTCTCCACGCTCGTGCTGGCGCCCAATGTATCGCAGCTCGAGGCCGATCTCGCTTCCGCTGAAGACGTTGACGGTCTGATAGCAGTACACGACACGTTTGTCAAGAAAGTGGTGGATGAGGCCTGCCTGGGCAGTCGGCTGACTCCCATCAGGGGGTGCATGCTGGAAACACTCGATCTCGCCACCGTCCTCCACACACCCTCCGAGCAGCAACTAGGCGTGTTGCAAGGCGTGAGAAGCAAGTTTGATGAAAACATTCGATTCATCACGAGCGGTCTGCACAGTGTGGCACGGGCCAAGAGCAGTGAACAAGGCAGCAAGTGGGACACACTGGCATCCATGCTGCAGTCCGGGATACCTTAGCTCTCAGAATAGCATGATCATGTTTCGTCGAGGATGTTTACTTTTGCTTGATGATGAACTTAGAACCCGCTATTCAGCCTTTCTGCAAAGAATTTCATAATCGGGAACATCTCCTCCCTGTCCCCCGGCATGCCCACCTCTCTCCTCTTCCAATTGACAGCCTGTATCTGCTCAAACTCCCGCTTCGCAGCGTCAAGCTCATCGTCATCAAACTGCACCGCAAGAACGCTCGTCCTGCTTTTGCCTCGGCTGGACAGGGTGGGAATCATCGAGTTCGGGAGCGGTCCGCCAATGGAGACGATGCCCTTGAACGTCCCCGGCGACGGCGGCGTGGACGAGAGGGGGGATGTGACCTCGGCGACCCGAGGGACCGACCGTAGAGAGGACGCCAGGCCAAGGGCCAAGGAGCCGCCCTGGCCGTAGCCGAAGAAGAGCACGTCACCCCTCTCCCATCCGAGCTGGCCCACGAGGAGTCCATCGACCAGGTCGTCCATGATCCTCTTGCGCGCGGCCTCGAAGCCTGGATCCGGGTCGATACCACCCGTCCTCTGATCCACGGTCAGATCATCGCCCCAGTGCCATCCTTCCTCCTGACCTTCGAGAAGCGCGGCGGGCAGTGGCGATGTGCCGCGTATCGTGATGGCCAGAAAACCAGGCAGGTTCATTCCCTTGGCGAAGGAGGAGAAGGATGTGTGGGTGTCGCCGAGGCCATGGAGGAGGATGAGTATGGCCGTCACGCTCTCTGGGGGCGAGGGGAAGTGTAGGGTGTGAGGCAGCGTCTTTTGGAGAGCCTCAAAGTCCGAGGGGACCGGTACGCGAGGAGGCATGCTGTTTTGTTTGACGAGCAGCTCGGCAGTGAATAGGTGTACGGGGGAGGGTGAGTGACGGGTAGTAGGGAGTGAGGTCAGACTTGGAGTCGGCGTTCTCCTCATGAAGAGGGTGGGGTTGGTTGTCATTACATACTAGAAACTCGAACCGAAGCGGAAGCCAGTCACTTTTCGCTGAGAGACACGGGAACAAGTCAAGACGCTTTGTGTATGCAAATGCGACGTGTGTTATCTATAGAGCTCGTCGTCTTTTCTTCAACACATGTTCGTCGTCGTCGTCTTCATTCCTCGCCTTCACCTTGGACGGCCCTGGCTTCATCTCCTGCCACTCCCCCTCGGCTGTCCAGATGCCAGCCTTGGTATAGTCTCCGCTGTGACTGCCGTCCATATATGCGAATCGAAAATACTCAGGCATGTCGAGATCCTTCTCTCTACTCCAGATAAACTCGTCCTCCCGCCCGACTTGGTCTTGGAAGTAGGACCGGAAACGCTCCACGTCGTTAACGAGGATGCTAATGCCATCAAATGACTTCTGCTTGCTAGGCGCCTCCCATATAAATGTAATATTGGACGACATGTCCGTGCTGTTTGCGAGCGCAATGGACGGTGTGTTGATGACCGGCAATTCTGTCCCGAGTTGCGCATCACCCCGTAGCTCACCCGGTGTCTGGAGAACGGCATCAAAGTTCCACCGCGCGATGCCGTTAATGAATAGCCCGATGAGCAGGCCTTGGTAGACCAGACTCGGCCTGGTCTGCATGCTTGTGCCAGGCAAGAGCAACAAGGCAAGGATGTAATGATGAATGCGCAGGTCCAGACCCGGCAATGTCAGAGCGATGACGATCCCGGCAATGAAGAGAGCGTACAGCTTGAGGTACTTGAGCAACCGCCCTTCTTTTCGGAAGAACCAGACCTGCGACACGACGACGCACAGCAAGACCAGGATGATGATCGCTAGGGCGGCCTTTGCGCCAGGCTGCTGCTGCAGGTCGTGGGCGTTCAGGCGCTGGATGGGGATAAAGCTCAGCGTGTAGTTGTCCATTGCGCCGACCCAGCATGGGCCCAACCACAGGATGGTCTTCTCGCTCTGTGCCCGAAGACCCTTGAGCGTCCGGCGCACGCCCATCTTGTCGTACATGACCCACGCGACGAACATGGCAGGGAGGAACTTGCCTAGAATCTTGGAGAACAGCCCCGCGTTCGACTTGTGCGGCGGCGTATCCAGCGCCGTGCCTACAGTCCAGAAGATCCCAATAAAGTTGCCAAAGAAGAACAAGGCTGGCGAGGCCGTGAAGAGCGACAGGAGGCCGGTGAACGTTGCTGAGATTCCGAGCAGGGCCCACCGCATGTCCCGCGCCGAGCACTGCAGATCCGGGACGAAGCGATAGGCGAGCGGAAAGTATGAGTCGAAGCCCACGCTATCGATGCCGTTGGCGCTGACACTCGGAAATTCGGCCTGCTCCCCGACGAGTTGGACCACGCCGCAGCCTCCATCGGCGTTTGACACGATGCCGGCATGTATCGCCGCGCCACAGATAAAGCTGTCCCCCCTATACGTCCCGTTGCCCCCCACCACGAAAGGCTGATAAATGACCTCCTGGTCTCCGACGGCTCTGGGATTGAGCACGTGGTAACTCTCACAATTTCCAGCACAGCGAAAGGGAAAGCCAGAGGCGTTGAAGGGACGGCAGTTGTTGCCGTCCACGCCGCAGCTGTTCCCCGCGCCCCAGTAGGTCACACCACAACCGATGGCCTCCGGCTCGCCCCATCCGACAATTTCGCTGGCAACGCTTCCCTGGCGTTTCACGAGAACATATGTAATCAGCCATATGGAGAAGAAGGCGAACAGCACCCAGAACCTGCGCACCTTGGTGGGCAAGAATCTCTGCACCAAGACCAGGGGAAACTCCTGCAGGCGCGGAAACAGTGGCCGTATGCGATACGGCTGAGGATCGGGCGGTCCCTTGGACCACTTGGCGATGACCTTGCAGGTTCGTCGAACCGGGTAGGGGACCCATTTCCATCGTTTCCAGGATGACTCGTCCTGGACGAAGCGAGGGGTGGATATGCCGCTGGCCGCGTCGGACACCTCGAGCGGCGAAGTAGCGCGCGCGTTGGCGCCAGAGGAGGCGGGTTCGGACTCGTCGATCGCAGGTGTAGTATGGATGGTCGTCGTCGTCTTGGGCTGGCTGTTGGCAGGGAGCGGCGCGTCGGGATGCGATGCGCCACGACCGCTCTCGTCGTCGCTTGGACCGGGATTCATGGTGGAGTCGTCGGCGTTGTCGAAGTAATCGGTCATGAGCGGCTGATTTTCATCGCGGCCACGAGAGACCATGGCTTGGGAAACAAGAGAGGAAAAGAAGAAGGAGTCAGAAGCGGGGGACGGTGTGGTGGGAATCGGGTCTGGGCAGAGGTCACGACACACACACACACACACACACGAGGTGTGTAATGGATCGATCCTGCCCTGAAGGCGAAACGGGAGATCTCAAGATGGACGGACGCCTGTCGAGGGGCGGACTCGTGCTTCAGCAAGCATTGATGGACATGCAAATGCAAACGGGCTCTCCCGGGTTTTCAGGGCGCGTGCCTCGTAAAGCCGTATGGAATGATCGCAAACTTCACACCTTCCAAAGATCCCGCCGGGAGCTACGGGAGTAATGTCCAAGTTGGTGCCGTCATCCCCAAGTACGAGCGACGTGAATTGAGCCACGAGGGATCATCATCAGCCACAGCCTAAGATCTATCTGATGTATGCCCACAAGAAGCATCTGATTGGCCGCAAAGCAGCGATTCTGCAGGGTCCCTATGCACTGTGTCTAGTGCGGGAAGTCATCTCTCGCACTGTCCCCTCAATCTTGCCTCCGAGTCCTGAATTCTCACTGGAAATGCGTGAGATGTTCCACAAACTCATCATCAGCTGAGGAACTGCTTCATGACTCACTGCGCTCTCAGGTTTCAGACAGACAGACACTGAAAGACGAGTCACCTCACGACTTTCGGCATCTTGACTATTGGCCGGTTCACAGCCTCGACGGACAAAACGGTGCCCCTCCTTTCATCATGCGATGAGCAACTCAAACGACCCAGCACCGAACGGTGCCTCAAAGCCAACCTTTACAATCGGGACGACAACGCCCAGCGATGCAACCGATGAATTATGTCCCAGGCTAGGCACGCTCCAGCTGCCGGGCCGGCGCACAGTAGAGACGCCCAACTTCACAGCTGTCACGTCCAGAGGAGTCATCCCCCACTTGACACCCGAGGTCGTGTCGAAATATACTTCATTCAGCTCTGCATATATATCTCTCGAGGACTGTAAGGCATCCAACCTCAGCAAGGGTCGGGCACGGTACTGATGTATCCTAGTTCTCGAGAAAAAGGACCATGCCATACTAAAGATGCCAACCACGGACAGGCCTCTACACGCATTCACCTCGTTTCCCACGCACATCCCTACCATTGTCGCCGCGCGGCGCTGTCCATCGGTCCTTGCGCCGGGGGGAAACACGGCCAAGAACATATCCATCTTCACCTCCACCGGTTTCAGCACAATCACCGTTCCCAAATTCGCGGCCACTGTGGCCCACATACGGCCAGACATTGTCATTCCTCTCGCCGATCTGCTGCACATCAGTCTGAATCCATCTCTGAAGAAGAAGGTCCGCATGGCCGATCGCACAGAGTCATGGATGGACGAGTTCCTGGAGCTGGTGAATGCGGACGTCAGAGAGAGTGCAGGGATCAAGGTGTTTGCGCCCATCCTCCCCATTGACCACGCCACGCAATGGGCGTATATCAACCATCTTAACGAGGATCTGTCGGGAGACCTGGCCGGTCTCGCCATATACGACGTCAACATTCTACCGGATCTCCAGCTGTACAAGAACCTGACCAGTCTGCCGAAGCTGTCGCTTGATCTACCCAAAACGCCACATGATGTGCTACGACAGGTGGCGCTCGGCGTGGACCTCGTTCTGGCTTCCTTTGTCAACGTCATCTCAGATGCTGGCATTGCGTTTTCCTTCACCCTACCCACGGATGGAGATATCCCTACGGATGGCGACGCTGGAGCGATAAGGCCGCTGGGCGTTGACATGAGTGAGACTGCCCACGCGACCAGTCTGGAACCTCTCCTGGCGGATTGTGTATGCTACACGTGCACAAAGCATCACAGAGCCTATGTCAACCATCTTCTCCACGCAAAGGAGATGCTTGGGTGGAATCTGTTGCAGATCCACAATCACCACGTCCTCAGCGTCTTCTTCTCCTCGATACGCACGGCCATGGGTCGGGGTACCTTTGAGGCGGCAAGGGAGGCTTTCGGCAGAGCCTGGGATGTCGACTTTCCACAGGGTATGGGGGAACGACCGAGGGCGAGGGGTTATCACTTCAAAAGCGAAGTGTCCCAGGAAAAGTACAACAAGCCGGTATGGAAGGGCTTGGAACCTGGCCAGGGGGTGATGGCGGATGTCTAGAACGCAGTGTACTCATTCTGGCGTGAAGCTTGACTTGGAAACGGCTGAAGCGTCTTTATGTTAGGTACATTCCCCCTTATAGGAACCTAATTGCTCTTAGCCTGCCTTCTTTTGGCTCTACCCCAGATTGACCATCAAGGTGATCACCGGTGCATGTCGAATGCAAGGCACATCTACAAACCGATGTACGATATCGTGCAAGTGCACGCGGTCCGCTGCCGATCCTAGCGTGTCGGTCGATCTTCTAGAAACATGCAGTGAAATCCTACTTGCTGTAGTGGCATAGTCGCAGAGTCCAGGTGTCTCAATTTCCTCCGTCGACTGTATGGTTGCCTGGGAGTTGAGCGGACAGTGCTCCCCGGCCCTGCCGTCTACTATGACCGGCTCAACCTCGCAAGTAAAAAGCTCAGCGGGCCGATGTGCGGTCAATGATTCCTGACCACTTCGTACCAACTTCGGAGCAAGCGCTCAATTTGTGTTTGGATTCAACGCATCATACGTACACAGGTGTCCCCGTCGCCGCCATTGCCAGCGCTTCCCCCACGTGCTGCTGTGAGCCGCGCATGTACAGGTACGCCTCGGCCAGTGTCCCACCCAGACTTGCCACAAGAATCGCAGAAAACGTGCCACTGTCCGTACCTCGATATTCTTCTATTCAGAGTCCCGAGCTTGGCTCGCTAGAACTATCAGGGCAAGCATGTGTACTTGTGCGGGCGAGGCAGGGGGCAGGGCCCATTGGCGAATCAGCGAGGCCAATCCCCCCACGTTCTCGAAGGCAGGTGCCGGCAAGGGTCCATGTCCCGACTTCCACCTGCCACTTTGGGTGTTGATTCCCTGGAGTCTGGACCCACGCCTGCATCGCATCACTGCTCCGTCCGTATGTCCCAAGAACTCCAAGGTCATCACGATCTGTCTCCAACACGGCAGGTCTCGCGATGCCTTCTCCTCCAGAACAAACCCCAAATGAGCAACCAGTCGCTAGTCAGCAAGCATCGTTCCTTGACAGGCTCTTCTCGAATGTCGCTGGAATGGATGGATTGAGCCTATGCAAGTAAGCAGTGCATCTTGATCGGCTTCTTGAACTCTAATTAGGTATTAGTCTAGAGGCCGCACACCGGACCTCCAGGCGTTGGACGAACATGTCGCCTTAGTGCCTGGCCCACCCATGCCTCTCCGAAGCACGTGCCGCAACCGAGCCAGGTCAGAGGAACAGCGTCACATCGGACGACGCGTGGTGCTGCCCTGGCCTGCCTCGCTCCACGATTGCACGCGGTTGGTGACCTGCCCAGCTTCAATGGCCCACGCAAAAGATCCTTACCTCGACCGTTGCGATCGGCCGCGCGCGCTCTCCATGGACGTACAGTATAAGTAGGCTCACCGTCCAGGTTCCCGACAGAGACCGACCTGCTCAGCTCAGCTCGTCTGCCCGCCCTGCCCTCACCTTTCCAAACCCTGCAAGATGTTCTCCAAGCTCAGCATCGCGGCCACCGCCCTCGCGGCCCTCAGCGCCCCCGTCGCTGGCCAGACCTACCGGCGCCTCGGCTCCTGCCCGTCCCTGGGCTGCGTCCTGCCCCCGGATCAGGCTGACTTCCTGCCGGGCCAGCTCTTCGATCTCCGTGTCGAGGTCCACGCGCCCGTCAATGGCTCCGAGGCGGCCCACGACGGCAAGCCCGACGAGAAATTCAAGGTCACCATCGCCAAGGATGGCGAGAAGCCCCGCGACTTTGCCGACGCCTTTGGTCTCGACGAGCCCAAGCTCGAGAAGTGGGACTTTCAGTGGTACGAGGACCTCTTCGCCGAGGACGCGGACAAGCCCTCCGTCGTCAATGTGGCCGCTAAGGCCTACCGCAAGCTTGCCCTCTACGAGCCCGGCACCTACACCGTCACGCTGAGCTACTACGGCAACGAGACCACCACCGCCGAGTGGACGGTCCGCGACGTCTCCAAGGAGCGCAAGGCCAAGAACGTCATCCTCTTCATCGGCGACGGCATGACCACCAACATGATCACCGCCGCCCGCCTCATCGCCCACAAGGCCATCAACGGCAAGTACCAGTCGCTCATGAAGATGGACGAGTTCCCCGTCATCGGCCACCAGATGACCCACTCCCTCGACAGCTACATCACCGACTCGGCCAACTCGGCCTCCGCCCTGTACTCGGGCCACAAGTCCAGCGTCAACGCCATGGGCGTCTACGTCGACTCGTCCGCCGACCACTTTGACGACCCCAAGGTCGAGACCATTGTCGAGGTCTTCAAGCGTGTCCACAAGGGCATCTGGGGCGCCGTCTCCACGGCCCTGCTGGCCGATGCCACCCCGGCCGCCCTGTCCGGCCACAGCCGCTCCCGCTACGACTACGGCGCCCTCATCGACCAGGCCCTGAACGGTGTCACCAACTTCACCTGGACCAAGCAGACCGGGCCCGACGTATACTTTGGCGCCGGTGCCGAGCAGTTCTTCCCCAACGGCAACTCGTACCAGGGCAAGGATATTTACGACCAGTTCGCGGACAAGGACTTCCAGGTCGTCATGAACCGCACCAGCCTCCTCGAGCTCGGCGAGGACGACAAGGCCCTCGGCGTCTTCTGCCAGGGCAACCTCCCCGTCTGGCTGGACCGCAACGTCTACACTGACAACCTCAAGGGGCTCGAGAACGACCCCGCCGGCGGAGACGGCGACGCCCTGGACCTGCCCGGCCTCACGGACATGACCACCAAGGCCGTCGAGATCCTCGACAGCCGCAAGGGCGAGGAAGGCTTCTTCCTCATGGTCGAGGCCGCCTCTGTTGACAAGCAGATGCACGCCCTGGACTACGACCGTGCCCTCGGTGATCTCCTCGAGCTCGACGACGCCATCCGCGCGACCATCAAGCTTCTCGAGGAGCGTGGCTCCCTCGAGGAGACGCAGATCCTCGTCACCGCCGACCACGGCCACGGCTTCGACGTCTACGGCTCGGCCGATACCGAATACCTCGAGGCCCAGGACGACGAGCGCGCCAAGCGCCGTGCCATCGGCACCTACGCCAACTCGGGCGAGTCGCAGTACACCCAGCCCCGGAACGTCAAGTACGGCACCGGCGCCAACTTCCCTACCGACTGGGAGCCCCGCTACGCCATCGCCGCCGGTGTCGGCGCCCACCCGGACATGCGCGAGAACTACAAGGTTCACAAGAGCCCCCGCAGCCCCACGGTCAGGATTGGTGATGAGTATTATGCCAACCCCGAGGACGGCGAGGGCGGCTTCGTGACCAACGGAACGCTCGCCACCGACGAGGCCGTCGGCGTCCACTCGCTCACGGACGTCCCCGTCTACGCCTGGGGTCCCTGCCAGGACCTGTTCCAGGGCACCTTTAATAACGTTGACATCTTCTACAAGATCTCCGAGTGCCTTGGGCTTGGCGTCGACGAGGAGTCGGGGGACGGTGGTGACGATGGCGAGTGCAAGACCTCCCGACGCAAGCGCCAGCACAACTAGAGTGGCCGTGGGGAAATGAAAGAGCATTAGAGGCGACGAACGTGATGAGAAATGCGGTGACGGCGGAGCGATGAATGTAGAAGTCTGTATATAAGAATATGATGTAATGTGTGTCGGACATTGTTTGCCAGTGTAATTGCGCATGAACAAGTGCCCTGCCGAGACCGAGTGCAGACAATATCAAGTAGGGGGGGGGGGAGGGGGTTATACGGCTACACCTTACTGGCGCGGCTTCCATCCTAGATCATTCAGATGGGCCCCGTACGAGTGGTACTCATCGAGCCACTGCTGCGTATCCCCATACTCGTGCTTGCGCGGTCCGTATACTCTGCGCCAGTGCTCAGCCGGATCCTTCTAATGCACGGCCGCCTGGGAGAGCATCGACACAATGTCCATGAGCTCAATCTCGTCAAAGTGGTCGTCGCCGACGCGGCGGTCAGTGACCGCGGCCGAGTGCGTCCAGACGCGGCCGTTGGTGTGCATGCCGAGCTTCTGCACAGCGGCGGCGACGTTTGCGCCGCGCAGGCCACCGCCGACGACGAGCTCGATGTCGCCCAGCTCGCTCCGCTGGGTGATCTTGGTGGCCATGTAGTCGAGCTTCTGGAGGTGGCTGGTATACGGGCCCACGGTGCCGCCGGCGGTGAGGACGCACTTAAAGCCGCACGCGGCGACGTCCTTGATGCCCTTGAGGGTCAGCTCATCGTCGTAGTCGGCGATGTGGTCAAAGGCCCTGTGGAAGCAGCAGCCATAGGGCCGGGCGGCCTGGACGAGGCGGGCACAGACGTCGGTGTCGACGGCGACGCGGGCCGTTGGGTCGAGGGCGGTGTCGTCGGGACCGGCGTGTCGCAGGGCGCCAAAGACGAAGCCGTCCCCCCGATAAGGGTCCATGCGACCGGCGGCCTTGAACGCGGCGATGCTGCGCTCCATCTGCTCGACCTCGTCGGGCGTGTAGAAGAAGTCCATGCCGCCGTCGGCGGGGGCGCTGCGGGGGCGGATCATGATGCGTAGGGGCACCTCGATCCGGGCGTCCTTGCAGGCGAGGTACTGGCTGACGGGGGGTGTGAGGCCACCGTGGGGATAGGAGCCGGGCGCGTTGAGCTCGACGCGGTGGACGCCAAAGTCCTGAGCGCGGAGGGCAGCATGTGCGGTGAAGACGGCGGCCTCGAGGGGGAGCTTGCACTCCTTGCCTGGTATCATCATGTCCTGTTGGGTTGGTTAGCTGGTTCTTTTTCTTCTACCGGGTGAGTAAGGCGTACCTTGGGAGGAGGGTTGGGGGAGGAGGCTGCGTTACGGTGTCAATCAAATGCATCGCATGGTCATGAGGGTTAGGTTGAATGTCATGGGACAGAAGAAGAATACGATGGATGGCGGAAGAGGTGAGGGACTAAGAAGGCAGGCAACAGGCAGAGTGGTCATCTCACCGGATTCCTGGCCATTGTGACATCAGCGTCTGGCCGATTTCGCTCTCCCCAAGCAGACATGGTTCATACGAGACGAAGAGATGGGATGGACTCTACAGAGGTGATGCTGGACAATGGCTCGTCCGAGCTCTGGAGGGGCTAGCAGCTATTCGGGGGTATAAATAGAGGGGTTCAGGGGACTGGAGGAGATGGAGATAAAGGGGCCGCCGTCCCGTCTGGATTCTGGGACTCTGGGACTCTGTGGCCACTCTCCTACCTTTTTGAACTGGTCATGGGGCTTGGTGAATTTGATTGACGTCTCAGATCGAATTAGGCGATGCAATTGATGGGATTGTCTTTATATATACCGTGAGCATTCGTGGCTGTGAGGCTCTGCCTTGACATTCTTCTGTGCATTGGGTACGGAGTACGTACAGAAGGCGCGTCAAAATTCGCCAGGTCGTCAAGTGCAGCTCGCTTTCTCATTGGCCCATCACGGGCCTAGAGCATTCGGCCAGATCTGCGGTCGCGACTTCCGCTCGGATAGTGTGGAACACCGGCAATTTGTCGCAATTTACCTCAGTACGGAGGCGGCACCATGAAATGTAATATGGGCCTTGGCCTTGGATAAGGTACACGAAAACGTCGAGGGTACCACCAACTTCCCTTTCTGCGCGTGATCGCCTTGTCATCACAACCATCTATCTCCATCGTCGCCCATCCCTCCTTGCGTGTCGTTGAACCCGTCCATGGTCAACGTGCGCCTCTTGAATCGACTTTTGGGAACTTTGTCGCACGCGACGCGGCCCGCTGGCCCCCTAGACTAGTCGACCGTCATCACCTCCTCGAATTCGACAGCGACAGCAACACCATCCATCATGGGTTGGTTCACCGACCTCACGGGGCTCATTGCCCCCATGTTCATCATCGCCTCGCCCATTCTGTCCTACTCGGACCAGGCCATCTCGATGCACCGCAACAAGACCTCGGCCGGCTTCTCTCTCGACATTCCGCTCATCATGCTCGTCGCCTCCTTTCTGCGCATCTTCTACTGGCCCGGCGCCCGCTTCGACGCCTCCCTGCTCGTGCAGTCGCTCATCATGGTCGGCGTGCAGTTCGTCCTGCTCAAGATTGCCCTCGACCACCGACCGAGTCCGTCGTCCAAGGGGGGCGAGATGCCGTTCGCGGGCGGCGAGGCGGACGGCTGGTTTGGCGGCGCCCGCCCCTACTCCTTCTGGCAGTGGCGGAGCCCCAAGCCGTACTGGCAGTTCCTGGTCTACCTCTTTGCCGGCCTGGTCGCGTGCGAGGTCATCCTCTCCTTCCTGCCGCCCGTGTACACGCTCTACTCGTCCCTGATCGGCATCGCGGGCCTCTCCATCGAGGCGACACTGCCCATCCCCCAGATCCTCGCCAACCACAGCTCGCGCTCCTGCAGGGGCTTCCGGCTCTCGGTGCTGGGCAGCTGGCTGGGCGGCGACGCGATGAAGATGTTCTGGTTCTTCACCGCGACCACCGAGATCCCCTGGGCCTTTAAGATCTGCGGCATGTTCCAGGCCGCCTGCGACGCCTACCTGGGCGTCCAGTACTGGATGTACGGCGAGGGACCCCCGAACCCGCTGAGCAACGGGACCGGCGCCATCAAGGAGCACCCCCTGGACGACATGAGCTTCCCCGCGGGGAGCCCTTACAATGTTGGCAAGCAGCCCAGCGGCAGGGAGCACAGTAGGAGCCTGACCCCCACAAGGCGGCCGGCGCCCTTCCACGTCGTGACGGCTGAGTAGGATAGCAGCAGGCTTGATGTTGCAGATGTGATAGAATCTTGAATAGAGCGCATGGCGTACTGGTCGTTGGACTCTTGGTACTCCGTAGATGGGAACATGATGGGATATCGTAGGAGTCGGGATCAGTCATATATACATGGATAAAGTACGCATCTCATAGAGAGAGTTTCCACCGATCAAGACAACGGGGTCTAACTCAAATACACTAACTTAATCATTTGCCTCCGGTCAGTCTTGAAGATACACCTATTTTATTCGATAGCCGTCAGGGACCATTACTTGCCAAGCAATACTATCAGGCGGTTGAGGATAGGCCACCCTGTGATCCCTGCCACTGCGTTAAGGGCAGTTAGCGAGGACGCATATTGATTGTATAGAATGAGCAACATACGCACGAATATGTAGATCATATTGAACAAACCAAAGTATAGAGACGTGGAGAAATCGGATTTTACGAAAACCGTGTTTTTCAGCTTTGATGAAGTATATGTGGGCGATATATGCCATCGTCGCGTCGCCTGCCAAGTGATGCACTAACTCAAGTGCACCACGCTCAAGGCAGCCCCGTCGCTGCCCCGAGACATTGCCCAGCCGCAGGATTGGACCTTACAACGTCAGAAGCCCCAACTGCAGTCATTGCATCAGACATTCGTTCCCCCAGCCTCTTCAATTAATTCTGCGTGTGCGCAGCCAGCATTTGTTTGCCTCCTTGCTATGTACCGTATTTAACCCCCAGAGCTCGCTTCGACCTCGTTGCCCGGACAACGACCTGACCTGCCCCTAACCACAACTGAGTTTGCGACCGGCTTCACCACAATCTACTATCGTCGCCGGCCATTTATACGGAACAAAGGCACATTGCGCCCGGATTGGAACAACTTTTTCTTCGCATAGGTGCCAAGAGCAAACATATTGTTGGACACCACCAGACACTTGCCGTCTGCCGGCAAACCTAAGTAAGGCCAGTGGCCAACAAGCGTCCACCAGGCTGAGCCCAGTCACTCATCTCACTTGGCCTGCATAGTCACATATCTGGCTACGCTTCTCTTGAGGTCACCAGTGACTCCTGACGCCGTTGCTGGCAGGACGTTGGGGCTCTGGAACCCTTCATCTGAGATCCTACTGCCACAGGACAACCCTCAGGGTACAAGCACAGTACGTCCAAGTCTTCTCTTCTGCTGTCCTCTCTGCCCAAGTGTAGCATCAAAAGGCTCTCCCAGTTTTCATCCCATCAGAGCGTCCCAAAGTAGAGTGATGAGCAACAGAAGAGCCCTCCATCTGATCACTCGCGGGCCTGAGTCATCAGGCAGCTTCCGCATATTTCCAGGCGACGCTCCCATCCCACTCACGCTTTTAACTCTGCAAAGGTCCTGGGAACTCGTCCGGAGCCACATCGGATGCCCATTCACCGATCTCACTTCTAACACTTACTTCTCAGAGCTTGCGGCTTGCTATCACTATTTAATCCTCAGCAATCTCCCTCTCTTCGCTTTTCCCTCATCTTTCCTCCTCCACTGCTTCTCCAACTACTTCCGTCCATACACTGAGCAGAGCACGCCAACGCATTCCGACTCGCTTCGATCTCTTGACAATTGTCTTTTAATTCAATGCAATATATTGCCCATGCTCTTGCTTGAGCTCTGAGCAAATATACCACAAGCATCACCTAGCCACCTCCAGTCAGAAAATCCCTCTCCCGCTTCAGCACCTCGCTAACCAGACATAGACACTCACTCATCAAGATGCCTCCCACGCCCAAGGCAAACTACAAAACCTACGAGGCCCAGGCCCGTCTGCTTCGCGCCATTGTCGCCGCTCACCCCGAGGTGAAGTGGAACTACAAGGGTAAGTCTACTATGCATCTGCCATCATCTTCTCCCTTCTCCTCCTCACCACCATCACAACTGCCGACTCCGGAAGCCGATCGGGTTGGACGTCGTAGCTACTTGGGCTGACCGGCCTCCGTAGACATCACGGAATGCTTCGGATCTGATATGACCAAGGATGCGCTGAACCATCGCTTCCGCCGTCTTCGTGCTGAAGCAGTCATCATTGCCGAGGCCCGGCAGCAGGGTCTGGACATGAAGAATCTCGATTCCAGTGACAGCCTGCCCACGGCCCAGAAAGACGTCGACAGATCCAGTATGCGCACTATCCCATATTCGCAACCCCGTTGCACACACTCAAGGAGAGACCACCAGCTGACCAGACTCACAGACATTGCAAAGTACTTTGGTGGCTCCACCGGCGACGGTATCCAGTTCCAGTTCCGGGGTATCAAGAAGGACGCCGACAAGATCCGCAACATCGCCGACGAGGGCGGCGATCCCAACAGCGTCCCTCTCATCGGTCTCGGCGCCGCCGGTGCCTCTGCCCAGTCCACGCCCTCCAGGGGCCCCCGCGGTGGCGCCGCCCGCGCGACGCCCTCCACCGCCGGTGGCCGGAAGCGCAAGATCAAGGAGGAGACACCCGTAAAGGCCGAGCTCGTGTCCGACGACGAGTTCTCCTCGGGCGTCAACTACGAGGAGATTGACCGCGAGGAGACCCCGAGCAAGCGCATGAGGGGCCCCGCGACGACACCCAGGACCGCCGCCTCGGCACGCAAGAACGGCACGCCCTCCCGCCGGGCGGCCAGTCAGGCTGCCGATACGATCGCCACCTCCGCAGCAGCAGCGGGTAGCAGTAACTCGGACGAGGAGCCGCGGACGTACATGGCGCCCAAGAGCATCTTTGGCGATGGGAACGGTACTACTAGCGGGAAGGCTGGCCTGAACGGTTCCCGCCTGTCTGATATGGTTGGTGCTATCGATCCCTATGTCGGCGCGCCTTCTGCTCACCAGGATGACATGTCCGTCATTGATGGTGAGGAAGGTGAGATTTAAATGGGTTCACGGAAGATGTGGCACACATGGTTACGGGAACACTTGCTTTATTTGGCGTTGGCGGAACGGAAAGGATACCATGATCTGTTTGCATTTCGGTAGTGCCAGCTTGGCTTGTTATGCCACGCAAACAAGAGGGCATGAAGCAGCCTGGGGAGTAGTTGGCAGGTCACACAAGGACCCTTTACTAGATTAACAGCACAAGCATTTGATGCGAGATAGATGAGAACCATCTCAATCCAATCCAATCCATTCTCTTCTATTCAATCATCATGCCTCGACTCCACGCTCCGCACCCCGTTGTCCCCACGCTGAACTATGGTACAGTATAACACCAATCTCTCGCGTATATGCGGCTATGACTTAAAACATGGGCCGGTTCTCAGCCGTTGAGGAGCTTCCACAACGCGTCACCTTCCACATATTCGTGGTGTATCACGTTGACCAGCCAGTAATCATCCCTCATGCTGCTTAAGAACTTCTCGCTCGCCGAGCCCCGGCCGTAGACCTTGGCCCACTCGGCCCAGATGCCAAAGGCCTCTTCGCTCCACGCCCGGAAGGACACCTCCTCAATAATGGTCGGCGTGACTATCTCCTTGCCGGGAAAGACACCCCACGTCACCGCATTCGTGTTGTCGGTGGTGGGCACACCTTCCACGCCGCTCGCGCCACCGCCGCTGATGGGGTGGGAGGACACGACGTCGCCCTTGGCGTTGGCGGCGTAGAAGCACACCTCGGGCAGGGCGGCTCGCAGGCGGCCCTCGAGAACCTGCCAGTCGGCCGACGACAGGAAAAACTCGACAAATGCCTTTTGGAAGACGAAACCGTTGGACGGGCCCCATCCAAAGGTCGCGTCCGACGACCGCAGGCCGTTGACGGCCGGCTGCGATGCGACCGTCAACCAGCCCTTGGAGTTGAGCTGCAGGAGATGGGGTGTGATGGCCGAGCTCTCTGGCAGCAGCTCCTCCTCACTCCAGGGGGTGGCGGCCAGCTCACCCCGGATATGCTGGACAAACAGCTCGTTGACGTCCTGGACAGACGTGGGCTGGCCCCAGAGCCTCATGGCCGCCGCGGGCGACATGTGCAGGCTGACGCCGTAGCCGTCAATCTCACCATAGGCGGGGGAGCGGGCGTCGCCGAAGCGACCGTTGGGGAAGTCGTCCCACGTGGCCTCCCTGCCGAGCACACCCTCGCCCTCGGAGATGGCCAGCGTGTTGGCGCGGGTGTTGACCGGCTCGGCGCGGATGCCGGCCTCCTGCCCGCTGACCTCCCAGCTGGGATTCGACGGTCGCCTCTCGCCGTCGCTGATGATGACTCTGTTGTGGGGGTCCGCGCCCGCGGAGGATGTCCTCCTGCTACTCCGCGACCGGCTGGCGCGGCGACGCATGGCGGCGGCGTCGCCGTTGATTTGGACCGCGGGGATGGGTAGGGACGCGTCGTCGACAATGGCCTCCTCGCCATCGGGGGTCGCGCCGATCAGGTTCGTCCTCTCGATGATGAAGGACACGGCCTTTTCGAGGTTGAGCGTGTAAAAGTGGAAGCCCTTGGGCCCCGGTGTCCGACTCTTGATCTCGCGAATGGTCTCCACCATCTCGCTGAGAATGTCGACGCCGGCCATCTTGACCTTTTCATCGTCCCCCTTGACGGCCACGAGGCGCGCGTTGTAGTCCTCGGGCATCTTGGCGTGGCTGAGTTTCATGATCCGGCGAATCATCTGGAATCCCTGAATGGGCATCAGTCCAGGGATAATGGGCATCGTCTTGAAGGTGCCGCTCGGGTGGTCGCGCAGCGTCCGCTCGAACTTGTCGTACGCCTCGAGGTCGAAGAAGAGCTGCGTCATGATGAAGTCGGCGCCCGCCATGACCTTGTCCACCAGGTACGGCAGATCATGTTCCAAGCTCTGGTGTACGGGGTGGCTCTCGTCCGAGTGGCCCTCTGGGTAGGCGGCGACACCGATGCAGAAGTAGTCGTCGTACTTTTTGCGGATGTACGCGACCAGGTCCTGCGCCCAGACGAGCTTGTCGCCCTCCTCGTCGACCTCGTCGCCGTCGATGCGGTACTCGTCGTCCCGGGGCGGGTCGCCTCGCAGGGCCAGGATGTTGCGTATCCCAGCCTTCTTGGCGTCCGCGAGAGCCTTGTCCACGAGTCGGCGGCTCATGTTGGTGCAGGTCAGGTGCAGGCAGGTAGTGATGCCAATCTCCTTCTGGCACATCTCGGCGAGCTCGAGCGACTTGTCGGCCGTGGAGCCACCAGCGCCCCAGGTGACGTTGACGAAGAGTGGGCGCAGGGCACGCTCCATGCGGTACAGGCGGTCGCGCAGGTTGTTGAAGCCCGTCTCGGTCTTGGGCGGGAAGAACTCGAGGGAGAAGTAATTGCCGTCCGCCGGGAGGGCGGCAATCTTGTCGGTGATCTTGTCGACGGGCGCCATGGTGATGATGATGCTGGTTACCTTACCTGTATGCTGTGGGCAGCTCCAGGACGTGGGCTCGGGTGTTGCTCGCAGACGAATTTCGTCTTGGGAAGTTGGAGGGGCGCCAGGCCGATGGCGGGGTTCTGCAGACTAGGGTTATCGATAAGAATGGTGACAATTGGGGGCCATCTCGACATTTAGAGCGGCAGACCTAACCTGTAGCCCTGTAAACTACTACTTACGTAGTCGTGTCCTACATTCGCACGTATTACCAAGTAGACTCTCTGAACGTCACAATTGGCAAAGGCTACATTTTTTTCTCTTTCATCCAGAGCTTTACTCATTGCAGCATTGCCAGTCCTTGCGCAACATGCATGTGGATGACTTCGCCTCGCGGTACTCCTTCAGTGATGATTACTGGCACTCTCAGTTATAGCACGTGTACAGAGAGTACGGCCACAGTGGACAAACCCACATCCCAGAGCCGCTCGGGACCATCGTGCTCGCGGATGAGCCGTTCTGCCTGCTGGACAGGCACCACGTGACCGCGACTGGCGAGACGCTGAAGGTCGGGACATTCGTGCGATGGATCGATGGGAGGTGAAAAGTAAAAATTAGTGAATTAAGGATTCACGCCGCCACATTAAAGTAGATTTGAGCCACGAGTCATCGGCCTCAGGACAAAGGGGCCCAGGGGCTCCCTTCACATGTCTCAAACCACATTACGGAGTACAACTGTACAATACAAGTACGTACAGCCAGGGAGGCGAGCCGTGTGAGCCATGGGCGCATACGTATTGTTCAAACCTGGACTGAAACTTGCCAACTTCCATCGTCGGAACTGCGGCAAACGCAAGATTGTCTTGACGGCGGACGAAATAATAACTTAGATGCTCATGTTTGCAGTTGATGGACGCGTGGACGCGTCGGTGGGTACGGAGTACCTTGTCAATTATCATTTGTGACACCGGCCGCACTAAGCTAGTCGCCGCTGGCTGGGGTGCCGCCTGCGCAGAGGATTGGCCAGACGCAGTGCTCAACTGCCACTAGACTAGGGGTTAGCTTCGGGCCTGTCGCCTCCATTCCATAAGAATACATGCTCTTTGCGCATGTCTGCCCTTCCTAAGAGTGAAGCATCTTGGGGTCGAAATCATCATGTCCGACTTTGCAGACGCTTCTTTGCTCTGGTGCAGAACCGGGCATAACCATCATACCATGGCTCGTCCCGGGGGGCCGGACGCGGTTGCGCCCGCTCGTCAGCGCTGTCCCGACCTGTTATAAAGCTTGATGAATGGCTGTCAGCTGAGCCTGGCTGGCTAAATCACAAGCCCGCATCTCCTATCGCATTACGCGTACGTAGTAGGGGGTCCGAAGTCGCGCACGTAAGTACGTACATCCACGGGAGACAAGGGAGCGAGCGACACAGCCGCCTAGGGATACACACGACTTACTGCGATTCATCTTGGCCAGGACCCCAATTTAGTAGCTCCCTTCACAATCGCTCCAGCTTCCGTTTCCTTTTTGTCTTCCAGTCCTGCATGCGCATTCCCTCTTGATTGTTTTCTGTATTTGTTGCAAGCCTCCATGTCTTTTATCTCTTCCGCCCCTACCACCGCAACCCGCCAATCACCGGTTTGCCCAGATAGCCCCCAACGCGCTGGCTCGCGATCATGGGCCTCCCTCGCCTCGCCGTCTCGAGCCTCGCCGCTGCATCCGCTCTCTTGACAACGCCCGTTTCGGCCGACAAACCATACCACACCGATCACGGGTCCTACCAAAATGGGGCACTCGGTGACACACCCACGCAATCCTTCCACTCTTCCAAGGTCAAGGCGCCTATATATCAGGTCAACTACTGGGACCCGGACAGGGTCGACACGGATAGCCCGTACATGTTCATGGCCGGCAAGTACGGTAAATGGGGTCCAAGCATCGTGTCGTCCAAGGATCTGAGTCTGGTCTGGGCGGACCAGGTCTACAATGGCCTGGCGCAGGTCGCGAAGACGTGGGAGGACTGGAACGGCCATGGGAGGGTCATGTCGTCGTACTCGGACGGCCGAGTCCGCGTGTACGATCAAAACTACAAACAGCTCCACGTGTACGATGGACGGGGCGACCTAAATGGCGTGGTCCCCGACTCGCACGAGGCTGCCCTTACCCATGACGGGCATATCCTCATGTTCCTCTGCCCGGCTCGGGACGCGGATCTATCCAAGGTGGGGGGCCCCGCGGAAGGCAAGAAGATTGCAGACTGCACCGTCCAGGAGATCGTGCCGGGCACTGCCGACGTCCTCTTCGAATGGGCGACCTCGGACTTTTTCCGACCCGAGGACAGTGTGTGGGATTACAACAACGAAGATGTCTGGGACTACTGCCACATGAACGCGGTCGAGAAGACCGAGGAGGGCAACTATCTCATCAGCTATCGTCAGCTCAGCTGTGTGATCCTGGTCAACGGCCAGACAAAGGAGGTGATGTGGGTCATGGGCGGCAAGAGAAACACCTTCAAGGACATCACCCAGAACGGCACGGGCGAGTTCGGATACCAGCACGAAGCACGCATGACTGGGAAGAACCGGTTCACACTGTTCGACAACCACCAGGCCGATGCAAACGGGTGGTGCACAGAAGGACAGTGCTCCCGCGGGCTCGAGATTGAGTACAACCCGGAGACCATGGAGTATTGGAAGGTCAACGAATGGTACCACCCGCAAAACCTCATCTCTGCGTCGCGTGGCGGGGTGCAGAGGACGCCCAGTGGCAATGTGATTGTCGCCTGGGGCCAGAACCCAATGTACACCGAGTACACGGCCGACGGCGAGCTCGTCATGGACATTCAGCGCGCCGATGTCAAGTCAATGGAGCATGGCATCTTTGATGTCATCACGTACCGCATCTGGAAGGGCCAGTGGGAGGGCAATCCGTCCTGGGCCCCCAGCATCGCCTGCGCCCCCGACGACACCGGTAGAAGCGTGTACGTCTCGTGGAACGGTGCCACCAAGGTCGACCATTGGGTGCTGCTCATGTCGGACGACAAAAAGGACCTGAACGGCGCTGGCAAGGTGGTTGCGCAATCGCCCCGGAATGGGTTTGAGACGCAATTCCAACTGGACGGCATTGCCATTGCGGACTATGCACGTGTCGCCGCGCTGGACAAGAACGGCACCATCATCGGCTCGACGCCAGCCGTCGACACGAAGACCTTTGAGCTCGTCGAACTCGACTATGACATTGACGAGGTGAGGAGCGTCGGTTCACAGAAAATCGACTCCGCCATTCCTTCGTCAGCCAAGGTGACGGTGCCTGCCAACACCAAGTCGAGTGGTGATGATGATGATGATGATGACAAGGCCACGGAGAGCCAGGCGTCGTCCTCCAAGGCCCTTTCCCCCTGGTTTGATTTGGTCGTCGGCGCGGTTGGTTTCTTTGTCGTTGGCCCGGCCGCCTTCTTGTAAGCAAGCTCTTTTCTTTTCTTTTGTTTCGAGTCCGTCAACCGTGCTGGACCCATGCTGACGTGACGTTCCTTAGTGGTGCGATCACCATCTTGCACCGCACACGCCCCAACCTTCTCTCGAAGCTGTTGCGCCGCAAGGATGAAGCCGAATATGGGCTGCTCCCAGCTAGTGAAGACGAAGAGCGCCTTCGTCGCGGGTCCAATGAACTGGGTAACGGGCCAGCATACAACCTTGACCGCATAGGAGGCAACTCCTCTAGATGATGTATGAGTTGTGGAGATACGTAATCAATCTACCAGGTACCTGAGGTAATTTACTGTGCTTGCCATTTTCAGAGTACATACGGAGGAGGAAGGCACCAACGTGATTGTGTGGTTGTGAGAAGGAGCTCTGCAAGAACCTGCTGTGACGTCAAATTAGCGTCCAAGGACACTAGTCTCCAAACGGCTTAGCTTAGATGACTGACTGCCCGCCCTTGCAGCCTCTCCCGATGCAGATGGCCCAAGCTCCATGTCCGGCACTGCAACTGTCAAGGCAAGCCAAGCCTTTCCCTCCAACATCACAGCTTGTCTACACGTAGAGATATTTCAACTCCGTCGTACCTATTTCCTTTCATCGCGCAATGATACGCTAGAACGGCCGCAATGCAGCTGCTGCATGGGAGTCGACTTTTGCGCGGCGCGGCCTGCACGGCACGCCTTACCAAGCTCAATAGTCCAGACCTTCGACTGCACGCGACCCAGAGACGCTGGCGCACATCGCTCGATTTCAACGCGCTCGACACGAAATGGCGGCAGAAATGGAAGACGGAGCTACAACCCCCCGCCTCCAAGACGAAACCCCAATACGTGCTCCCCATGTTCCCGTATCCCTCGGGCACACTCCACCTCGGCCATTTACGCGTCTACACAATCGCCGACGTGGTGGCGCGGTACCGCAAGCTCAAGGGAGATGATGTGGTCCTGCCCATGGGCTGGGACGCCTTTGGCCTACCGGCGGAGAACGCGGCCCTCGAGCGGGGGATACCGCCGGGCGAGTGGACGACGAGCAACATTGCCAGGATGAAGGAGCAGCTGGAGGTCATGAATGGGAGCTGGGACTGGGACCGTGAGCTCACGACATGCGATCCCAACTTTTACAAGCACACGCAGAAACTGTTCCTCATGCTGCACGAGCGCGGGCTGGCGTACCAGGCCGAGGCGGAGGTGAACTACGACCCGATCGACAAGACGGTCCTCGCGAACGAGCAGGTGGATGCGGATGGGTGCTCGTGGCGCTCAGGCGCCAAGGTGGAGAAGAGGAAGCTGAGGCAGTGGTTCTTCAAGATTTCCGAGTTCCAGGAGGCGTTGCTCAATGGCCTGCATGAGCTGGAGAAGGACGGCGCGTGGCCCAAGATGGTCGTCTCGCAGCAGCGGAACTGGCTGGGCAAGTCGACCGGGGCCACGGTCAAATTTCCGGTCATGGCGCTTGGACACTCGGTCGGCACGGCCATTGAGGTCTTCACGACGAGGCCGGATACGTTGTTCGGGGTGCAGTACATCGCCCTGGCCGCCACGCACCCTACGGTGAGACAGCTGGCCAAGGCGGATCCGGAGTTGCAAGCGTTCCTGGACACGCTGCCCGGTCTCCCCGCGGATTCCAAGGTCGGATACCTGCTGCCCGGGCTGAGGGCTGTGAACCCCCTGGCGTATCACGAAGAGACCCCGGATGCGACTAAGGCATCGCTGCCGGTGTACGTTGCGTCATACGTCCTTGGCGACTATGGGGAAGGGGCGGTCATGGGCGTGCCGGGGCACGATGTCCGTGATCACGCGTTCTGGACCAAACATCATGCTGACGAGCCAGTGCGCATGGTCCTGGCTGCTTCCGAGGACGAGTCAACGACAGTGATGAAGAATGAACCGTACATCGGCGAGGGGACATTGACGGAGCACAGTGGGCCTTATGAGGGCAAGTCGTCGACGGTGGCAGCGGAGATGATAGTCAAGATGCTGGAGCACGCAGGGCTGGCGACGTCCGTGGAGAAGTGGAGGCTGCGCGACTGGCTCATCAGTCGGCAACGTTACTGGGGGGCGCCCATCCCCATTGTGCATTGCGACTCCTGCGGCGCCGTACCGGTGCCTGATGAGGACCTACCGGTGAAGCTGCCCGAGGTGGAATGGGCCGGCGGCAAGACCGGGAATGCGCTCGAGACGTCGTCCGAGTTTGTCGAGACGACATGCCCCAAGTGCAAGGGCCCTGCAAAGCGAGACACTGACACCATGGACACGTTTGTGGACTCGAGCTGGTACTACGCCCGGTTCGCGGATCCGCAGAACGCAAAGGAGCTCCTCTCCGCCGAAGCAGCCCAGGCGCTGCCGGTGGACGTATACCTGGGTGGCATTGAGCATGCGATTCTGCATCTGCTATACGCGCGGTTCATCTACAAGTTCCTCGCGTCGACCAATGTCCTGCCGCAATATTCCGAAGACCAGGTGGCGGCGGCAGAGCCCTTCCAGCGACTCATCACGCAGGGCATGGTGCAGGGTAGGACGTACAGCGACCCGGACACGGGCAAGTTCCTCAAGCCTGACGAGGTTGACCTGTCCGATCCCAGCAAACCTACGGTCGTGGCGACGGGCCGAGAGGCCAACATGACGTTTGAGAAGATGTCCAAGTCAAAGTACAATGGAGTGGACCCAACAGAGTTCATCGCCAAATACGGGGCTGACCCAACAAGAGCGCACATCATTTTCCAAGCGCCCGTGGCCGACCTCTTGAACTGGGACGAGGAGAAGATTTCCGGTGTTACGCGATGGCTAAAGAGGCTACATGACCAAGTCAGCGAGATTGGCGAGGCATCAACAGGCCCGTCCGTCAAGGACGTCTTGAGCGAGCGACACTCTCATCTGGCAACGATGGACAAGGAAGAGCTTGCGCAGTGGGATGCCGACTCAACAGTGTGGCGTGAAGTGCAAAAGTCAATCAAGTCTGTCACGGGGACGTACGATGAAATCTACTACATCAACACGGTGGTGTCGGATCTGATGAGCCTGACCAACGTCATGGCCGGCCAGAAGAATGCTAGCCCGGTGGTTCGCCAACAAGCCGCTGTTGAGCTGACGCGGATGCTCGCGCCCATTGCCCCTGCTGTCGCGGAGGAGTGCTGGAGCATCCTCTGCCCGGGCACCGGATCCGTGTTCAGCTCAAAGTTCCCCGAGACGGACGGCAGCGAGGTGCTCGTGCAGCCGCGAGAGCAGACGTGGACGGTGCAGGTGAATGGGAAGCAGAGGGGCGTGGTGGAGATTGCACCACCCCCCGACGCCCTCAGCGACGAGGAACTAGGGCCCTGGATGACCGAGGCCATTTTGAAGACGGACCTTGGCAGGCGTCTCAGCGGCGAGGACAGCGCGCCCAACGCGGAGGGGGCCAAGAGAAAGGGCAACAACAACAAGTCACAGCCTGTTGATCTCCGGGCCGCGAAGAGGGTGATCCCGCTGCGCCATGCGCGCCGGGTGGCCTACGTGGTGTGAGTGACGGCACCAATGTACAGTACATATGTATCAAGTAGTGTAAGCACTACTGTGTAGATGGATAGACCTGCCAATCCAGTCTGTGTATCTTGTATGAAACAAAGAAGCAAGTTGTGAAGGCATCTGTGGCGGCGGCCAAGTGGATGTCGCGCATTCGTTAAGGCACCCGTAGCGGCGGCAAGCATAACGCTAACACCACCGCGACGCGGACGCCCCAGTCAGTCGACTGACCGCCCGTGACAAGAAGGCCTCCGAAGAAGCCACAAACACAAAATGATATGACGAGAAGTGAATGACCGAGAAGGACTGCCAATCGGAGAGGAACCCCTCGTCTCCTCCGTCGGCCGACCCATGCATGTCTCCCAGACTCCAGTCCCGCCAGCCGGGTCACCGTCTCCAACCCGTCGGCCGCCTGCCGGGACTGGATTTGTCTCCAATATAAGGATTCTGCTACGTACTAGTGAAATTTAGTCTGCTTCGTAGCTCTGCGCTCGCCGCCTGAACCTGTTGCCGTATGGTATAGCGGGCGGCGACATCCAATTGGCGGTCGGTTCTCGTGTCGGGTGCTGACTTGGGATGGGCGATTTGATGGTGCTCATGATCGACCACACACGCGGCCGCTCTCCCATATTTCTCTTCTTTCTCTCTTTCTGAATCACCTAGCAAGCTGTTGAGGCCAGCAAGAAGGAGATTGGCAATCCATCACTTGTAAAAGAGCGCAATTGGCCTCCGTTCGCTGGGTCCGTCTCCTCCCCTTGGTATCGTCATCATCGTCGTCGTCACTGAATCACTGCGCCCTTGGACAACATCATCACAGAAGGGAAAAGGCATCAGGAGGCGAGAGAAAGAGGAAGAGAAAAGAGAAAAGAAAGACGAGAAAATCGCCACAGAGGACACTGGAGAGAGGGAGAGGGAGTGGGAGAGGGAGAAGAACGAAAGAAAGAAAAGGCACAATGGACGACGACGCGGAGAAGCACCCAATCCCGCTCTTCTACCGCATCGTGCTCCTCTACATCGAGCCCTTGTTCGCGCTCAACGGCGCATTTCTCTGCTTGGCGTCGCCCTCACACTTTCTCGACGCCGTATCACCTCACCACCCCGTCGCCAACACAGCCTCCATTGTCGCGCTCGCCGCGCCCTCCTCCCTGTCGCACAGCAGCAGCAGCAGCAGCAGCAGCAGCAATGGCGACGATACGCTGCGCAACGTGCGCATCCTCACCGACATGCTCGGCATCATGCAGCTCGTCTTCGCCTTCAACCTCGCCGTGACGCTGCGCGTGGCCGGCACCCAGACCAAGATCTGGCGCGTCATGTGCGCGGGCATGCTGCTCTCCGACCTCCTGCACATTGCCGTCTCGGTGCGCGAGTACGGCGCCGGCGGCGTTGGGGGCCAAGGCGTCGGCGTCGGTGCGTGGCGCCTGACGGATTGGATCAATTTTGGCATCCTCGTCGGTATGGGCGTCGTGCGTTTGGGCGCCGTGCTGGGCATCGGCATCCACGAGAGGAGAGAGAGGAAGGACCACAAGAGCAAGATATCATGACAAGCCGCAGTATTTATTTATCAGTGTTCTTCACAAGTTTGACTCAGACTATCCGCCTCTCCTCGTCCATCAGACGCCGATGCTCCCCCCTGCTGTCCCCGTCTTGGTCGCGGTCCGCCTTGCCACCTGGATACAGCACATAGTGCTGCACCATGAAGATCACATCGTACACCATGCTCGCGTTGCCCAGCGCAAACTTGACGGGGTTGCCCGTGATGCCGCTCCAGTCGCCCTGCAGCCAGCTGTCGATGCCCTGCTGGGCGATACTGAGGACGCCGCCCGAGAAGTCGAGCAGGATCTGCCAGATGCTCCAGCCGCGGGTGCTCTTGTTGCGCCAGTTGGCCAGCATCTGCGGCACGTACTTGACCAGCGTGACCACGAGCTTGACGTAGCCCACGGCGTAGACAATGTCGAGCGCGCACCAAGCGCGAGCCGGGTGGTCGTCGTAGGGCGCCGTCGCGACGATGAGAACGGTGAGGAGCACGCCGACGACGCACCCGTTGCCGATGCCCAGCGCGAGACGGCTCGGTCGGGCGCCCACGCTGGGCGGGAACCCCCACAGCGACTTGGCGAGGAGGTACTGGCTCGCGGTGATGACGCTCAGGATCAGGCCGTGCAGGGCAAAGACGATGTCGTTGAAGGCGACGGTGGGCGTGAGGTCGTTGTGGCGCGCGGCGTACTGGGCGCGGATCGTGGGCGAGTAGTAGAAGGCTGCGTTGGAGGCAAAGTACGCCGCGAAGCCTGTCGAGGTCAGTCTATTGTGCTATTCACTGTATTCGTAGGTACTGGAGAGCCCACCGATGACGTTGAGAAAGGGAAAGTCGACCGTCGTCCCCGAGGTCGAGGCGCGTCCCCAGTTGAGCACCGGCTGCGGGTAGAAGGACGCGGACCAGCAGAGGAAGTAGACCCAGCCGAAGATGGCGGACAGGATCTCGAGGGGGCCCATGGGTGGCGGTCTGTTGGGTGGTGAGCGAGCGTAGGTCCGAGCCGACTGACCACGAGAGGGCAGAGGGAGGAAGAAACTCGAGGGGGAGACGGAGGTGGATGGACCGGCTCGAGTTCGCGATGGTGTCATGCGGGGCGCCTCTGCACACGCACGTGCATCAAGCTTGCAGTCAGGCGCCTAAAGTACCGTATCGTACCTTACCGTTCATTGCTGGCAATTCTGTACTCAATCGGCTTATGGTACTATTGGCATGGCATGAACTGATACTCAGTCTTAGTTTGTCACGCATACAATCAGCCCGGCATTGCCCCGACTACTGGTCTGCGCAGTGAACCACCATCTCTTCACCCGCTGGACATGGTCGACAGACAAAAACTGCTAAAGTCAACACAGATTGTATCTAGTCTATCGTCTAGCCTCTAGCTGTACCCTGCTTTTGAACATGTCTGCTCACACATCCTCCTCTCTCTGTCCGCCCACACCACGAGGGCACCAAGAACAAAAGAACGCACAAGACACACCTTGCACAGTGTGACGCACAATAAAGACAAGCATGAAACCCCAGACGCCGTCTGATGCAGTACAGATCAGATACAACCGACCCTCTCGTCGCCTCACCGGCGCCCAGATCTGGTGGCCGCTCTCAAAAATGGCTCGTTTGCCTCGCCAAGCCAGAATCCCCCCCGTCGTCCGTTCCCGTCGTCCATCCAGGCCCGCCGGCTATGCGCGGTAATTATCTGGATGCCGTCCAACAGCAGGCCGCCCTATTTCGAACCACCGACAGCCTTGGGCAGCGACCGCCACCCCTGCTCGTTGGGCAGCTTCATCCGGCCAAAGTCCTCGTCCAGGTCCAGGATCACCTTGAGCGCATTCCGGCTGCGCGCAAACGGGCTCGTGTCCAGCTGGCCCTTGATGGACGACGCCGCCTCCGCCACGCCGACGTGCGCCGCCGTCTCCTGCTTACTACCAGGCATCGGGAGCAGCGTCTGCAGGAGCTCGTACGCCGCGAGCGTGAAGCCAAACTGCGGCGACGAGCGGAAGATGCGCGCCGGCCCGCCCTTGAAGAAGGCCGTGAAGCCCTCCTCCTTCCAGATCGTCCGCGCTGCGTGCCGGAGGTCCGTGTACTGCGCCTCGCCTTTGCGCGCCTCCACCTGGAGTCGCGTCTTGATCACGTCGCACGGCGTCGTCAGGTACGCGGCCGGCATGCCCGCAATCGCACCGGCCGTCAGGAGCTGCAGGATGCCCAGCTTCTTGGTCGGCGACTCGCCGAAAAAGTCCTTCTTCAGGTGGCTGTAGGTCGGGAAGTAGATGGCCGAAAAGGGCACGTCGCGCAGCAGACACGCCGACGCGCCCTTGTACAGGCCGACGAGACCGAGGTTGCGCACGATCCACATGGCCGACCGCTTCGGCGCGCCGTCGACCGTCTTTGCGATTTCACCCTGGACCTGCAGGCGGATCTTGACGATTTCGAGGGGGTTGGTGAAGACCTGTCACTGTCAGCATGGGAGAACAGGGCACAAACAAAGAGAAGAAACGTACAACTTGGCACGCGCCAGCCGTGCCACCCGAGATGACTTCCGACGCCAGGCTGAGCTGGCTCGACGTCTTGTCGGCCAGGGCGCCGCGCATCAGGTCGTTGACCGTCAGCTTGATGGCCTTTTCCGGCGCCACGCCGACCAGCTGCGGCAGCACGCCCGAGTACAGCCCGCGGAAGCCCTCGTTCTTGACCACCTTTTGGAAGCAGTCGATGGAGTTCTTGTACAGGCGCTGCCCGGGCTGCGCCCCGCGCTGGTTCTGCAGGCGGGTCTTGACCAGGTCGATTGGGTACACCATAAAGGCGCCAAACGCACCGGCCATGGAGCCCAGGCCAAAGTTGTAGGCCGACTCGAGGACGCTGCGCAGGACGTGGCCGCTGGCCGACTTGGCCGCCGCTACGGTGCTGCTCTGGTCCTGCGCGTCGTAGATGGGGTTCCTCCACGAGGGGTCTAGCACCTTGGCAAAGTCGCTCAGGCCTAGGCGGCCCGAGGGCTTGTCGAGGCCGGCAAAGTGGAAGAGAATGTCGGCCTCCATGGGCGTGAAGAGCGAGAACCGGGTGATCTTGGCCGCCTCGTTGAGGAACTCGGAGCGCGTGATCTTGCCGTCCGCGGACCCCTCGACGGCGCGGCGCAGGATCAGCTCGACCAGGTCCATCTCCTTCATCATGTTCTGGAAGGCGCGCACGTTGGCGTACGAGATCTTGCTGCCGGCCGAGATGTTGCACAGCGTGTGCAGGTTCTCCAGCAGGTGGTCTGACAGCTTGTGCTTGGCCGTCTCGACGACGATGCGCTCAAAGTCCTCGGGGTTGATGTAGCCGTCGCCGTCCTTGTCGAAGAGCTGAAAGGCCTGGCGGATGCGCTCGCCCTGCAGGCCGCGCAGCATCTGCGAGAACTGCGGGTAGTCGAGGTTGTGGCGCTTCTTGCGGCTGCCAATGTACAGCTTGGCCCACTCGCAGTCCCAGTCAAATGGGATGTTATCCGGTCCCTTGTTCAGCTCGTACAGGCGGCGAAAGTCCTCGTAGCGCACGGTGCCATTGCGCTCCACGTCAAAGAGGCGAAAGGCAATCTCGTACTCCGAGTCGGGCTTCATGAGCAGGTTCTCAAAGACACCCCAGTCGGTCAGGGTGACGCGTCCGCAGTTCTTCATGTCCGCGACGCGGAAGAGAATCGAGTACTGCTCTCGCTTGATCTTGTGCTGTTTCGCATGGCGGTTAGTCACCGCCTCTGTCTCTGTCTCTAGATCAGCAACTCACAAAGTCCTCGTTCTTGGGCACAATGGCTGTGATAAACTCCTCCGGCCCCATGTAGAGCTCGCCCGTCTCGGGATCCTTGACGGCGTTGGACGTGAACCGCGCCTTGGTCTGGGCGGACATTTGCGTAGCCTCGGTACCCATGAGGCTGTCCTTGACAGCCTCCTTGACCGTCACCATCTGTGCCATTGTGTCGTCTGCTGCCAACGGACTCGATAAGCCCATCCGTAATCGTCGAGAACTGCTCGTCGCGTGCGCAGTCGGCTGGAGAGGGGTGGGCGGGCGGACGTGGTTATCAATTCAAGATTCAAAGTCGAAAAAGAGGGATCTGCGAGGCCGGGATCGCACCAACCGCGGCAGGTGTCGAAGCAAAGGTTTGTGGACAAAATAAAAAGAATTTTTTTGGCTCTGGCCGCGTCGTCCAAATCAGGTCCAAGACTCTCCAAGAGACGGCGATAACGAGAACAGGTAAGAAAACCTGGAGTAGTGTTCCAAAGAATCTGGGGTCAGAGAGAACTCCAGACTGAGGATTGAGTCAATTTGAGATCCTGATGGCTACGAAAAACAGTGGAACGCTCCCTGCGGTCCACGCATCAAGGTTCACGAGCCAAAAAGAAGTAGACACTCGCTCGGCGGAAGTCTGTTTCCTTAGCTAGGGCGGCAGTCGAAGGGTGTGTCGGTGGGTTTTCTGTCATCGGGCTGGCGCGGCGGCGACGCCCCAAGAAAGGCACAGGCACATGCGCGCCAATGGAACCACTTTGTTCCGGTCGCCTAGCCAGGGGTCCGGGCGCGCCGGTGGCAGGAACAACCAGCATCTCCTTATTACGTACGTGGGTACCTGGCAAGTTAGCCCACAGTATCGCTGAGAAAGCTGTCAATTGCTTTATTTAGGCTATAACTAATCAATTCCTTTTTCCATCATGCCTGGTTTGGCTGTGATCAGACTGACACTTTGCTTGTTCTCTGTGCTCAATTTGAAGTGTCAGCTGTGCTCACGCCGGATGGATCCGATTACGTCAAGGCGAGGAGGCATCTCTGCTGCCGCCGGCCATCGGCATTGGCGCGCGCGGTCTTTGCTCGGCGTCGTGGGTTTCGGAGAGACCTCCGACGGCTGCATTCACCTCGACGACACAAAGCCAAAATATCAACATCAGTGCACAACGAGCTATCAATCGGAACAATTCTATTAGCGCCTGCCGCCTCCGTAACGCCGTCCTGTTTTGAGACATCTATGTTTGCCATGGGCTCCGCAAAAATAAAACATGATAAAATGAAAAAGCGCAAGGCCAGCGAGATGAATCCATACAGTACCAGTGATCACTCACTGGCCAAATAATCCTATATCAGCTTCCAAAACCCCTTGGCGAGTCTTGGCTCATTGTCGGCGCGCACCCTTGTCCGCGAGGTGAAACGAGTCCCTTGAACGCCTGGTTTGGTATAGCAGAAAGCAAGTGTATTCAAAGGTGCAAAAGAGGTAGGTCGTAAGCTCATAAACGTCGTCTCGAGTGGTTGTTGTGTTCGTTGTCGTAGAGAGCCACTGTGCCAGCGACCTGGCGAGTCTTGCGCCTTTGCGAGTCGAAAAGCAAACAATTCCCTCCGCGTGGAGAGGTCCGACACGTATCCCGCGCTATTCGACGGAGCGGAAAGCAGAGCAAGTCAGGCCGAGGCGAAACACTGCAGAGTGGTTTTCATACAGTCCAAATACTCGTTGACCGGCCTGGGGGCATGTGACTGTGTATATCGCAGCTCCCGCCGTCGTGTCCTAGACCTGGCGGGGGAAGCAAGGGTGGCCTTCTTTGAAGAGAGCCTGAGTCTGGAGGCGCTTGCGTACAGGCATGCTGTGGTGTGGCAGTGCGAACCCGCTATCGAGGACCTTTTGCACGAGGACCGAGCACTCCTTGAAGCGGCGGTCGGCATACTTCTCAAAGATGACACTGTGATGGTCCATCGGAATCTCGCAACACTCAATCAGCATCACCACCAGGGGTTGAAGCTGGCCATAGGTGTAGCCCGAGTAGTGGACATGGGCAAGACCCCAGTCACCCTTGTTGAGGACCAAGCGCGCCAGGCAATGCGCACCGGCAGCGAGGAAGCTGGGGGGTGAAGCGACAAAGCGCTCATCCACGATGGTGAGCTCGAGGAAGTACTTGGCCAACGTTCGTGTGTCCAGATCATAGTCGTCGGCCTTGCTGACACGGCGCAGAAAGCTCATCGGACCGGGCCATCCAAGCTCAAAGTTCAGCATGCTAAGCATGAAGCGCTCAGCTTTGATGATCTCCTCAGCGCTGTAGCCATCCTCAACCATGTAGACCAACTCGCTCAGTGATGGACAATTGATCTCTTCGTACTTTGACGCGACCAGCAGGGCTGTTGCTCCTACAAGCTGCAGCTTCCCAATGGACACAACCTTGGCGGATAGGAACCGGTCGATGTAGTTGACGGTGAGAAACAAGGTCTCGGGGAGAAGTGTGAAGCGCTGGTGCACCTGGACGAGCCACTCCATCAAGACCGCTCGCATGGACCATTGGATCTCGGTCTGGAACTCGATATAATGAGGGTTAGGGAGCATGGATGCCTGATGTGTCAAAGTGAGTACAGGCTCGGGATACGCGGTTGGAGGGGAACCTACCTCAAGTTTACGCATGTAGCAGAAGATATCGTCTCCATACTCGGCGACCATGCTGACATCCCACGCCTCGTCCTCAACATCTTCCGGAGCCCGAGTCGACTCGACGAAAATTCTGGCTTCCTCCATCTCTCGCTGAATGCGCATTGTGACCTTGGGCTGAAGAAGAGTCGTCATGCCGCCGTGGGTGAAGTCACCAGGCTGCACGGAGCGAGCTGTGGTGTATCCTTGGTCAGCATCTTCGTACTCTTCGTCTTCTTCGTCCCACCACTCTTCGGGTTCCGAAAGGCCAGGCGTCGGCCCATCTGTGTGTTGAGTCGCGGATAGAACACCATCCTCCTCGATGATTTCCGATAGCCTCGAGAGGCGCTCCACTTGGGGCTCCTCGGCGGCCGGAGGCATACGGGCGGTCTCGTAGCTTCCGTCATTTGCTTGCTGCACTGGGCCCTCGGCAAGCATGTCCACCAACGCGTCCCGCTCCATCATCTCAATCGGCACCAGGTCAACGGCGTCATCAATTGTTTCGACCGATCCAGTTCGCTCCAATTGGCGACTCTGCGTCCGGCGGAGCGCAGGCTGCTCCTGCTTCAACTGCGGCTGGCTTTTGTGGTGACGAGGTTGCAGTAGATGCGAGGAGGCGTCTTTCACTTGGACGACAGCGGAAGGCTCTTCCTCCTGCAGCGGTTCCTCGTCGATCTTGGCCCCGACAACAGCAGGTTGCTTGGTTTTCTGGGCAACGTTAAATGTCTTGAGCTGAGGTCCCGCAGAGGGTTGTGGTGCAGGTTTAGATGGATATGAAACCCTCGTCGAGGGCACGTTCTCTTTCCGGATGGTGATGCTCTGTGGCTTCACGTAGTCACCATTCTTTCCCTGGCCCAGGTACATTGACTTGGCCTTGTGGATCTTCGCTCCATCCTTCGTCCCGTTGTTGTTATGTTTAGCGATGTTCGTCAGGTCGGCGAAGGCAGCACGCTTAGCTGGCGCGCGAACACCAGCCATTGACGCGTTCGTCTGTAGATTTCCGGTCGACTTGTGTTTCTGGTGGAGAGCAGGTTTGGCATTCTCCCCGCCGCGAGGACGACACGGCTATCACGGTCAGTATTGTTGCTCGCCTGGAGGGAGGCCAATGGAAGGCCCTGGGCAAGCAATGGCACGAACCTGGGCATTCATGGTAACTGGGGAGCAAGAGCTTTTCCAGAAGAAGCAGAAGAAGAGATGTTGATTGATCCTGTTGTGACGCAGTCGATACGCCCAGTAGACGTCCGAAAAGCACCGAGGAGCTCCCTAACGCAATGTGGTATTATGTCGTGATGGGCAGCTCAGGCTGTTGGCGGATGTTGATGCAAAGTCGAGATCGGCAAGAAAACAGACGCGATGGATTGACGCGACGACCGTGGTCTGCCTACAAAAGCAATCGAGAATAAACGAAGGGAAAGTAGGTCCCAAAGGACGGAGCTGGCGAAAGTGATGGGAGAAGGAAGGAATCAAAGCGCGCAATGCCACCGTATTCAGGTAGAAATCAGGAGAATGTCTCGAGCGCTCAATCCCGCCTGGCCTTGCCGAGGATTGCTGACAGTGGAGGTCGTCGAGAAGGCGCGCCAAAGCTCGTAAAATTGGCGTGGAATAATCAAGTCCAGCGTGACGAGCGAGAAAATCCTAGGTTTGGAGCACAGGTGAGGCCCAATGCGTGCAGATAATCTCGCCTGATGGTCATTTGTGATTTAAGATGAACTGCAGCTCTTGCTCCGAGCTCTGTATCCAGCAGTGTTTATTTGTTTATGTCGCTGCATTGGCTTGCATTAGAGACATCTGCGTCCCAAATGAGACTAGTTCACTCCAGTTTTCAGGCTGCACAATCCAGAATCAAGCTGCACAAGCCAATCAATCCTTTGGAGCTACCCGCTGGTCGTCGTCACAGCGATGACGAAAATCCGGGGTCGTCGATTCTCTCCAGAGGATCCTATATGGACTTGACATTGGCTTTCATATATCAAAATGCAACGCGGTGCTCTGCTGACGCTGCCCTTTCGAATGAATGGTGTCTGGCTGACCGCCTTTGTCAAGGCCGATGCCTGGAATGACAGCTCGCGCAATTGAACTCGTCTCGGGAGCTAGTCCGATTCCGGAATCATGATTATGCGTCGCGTCTCACCCGTTCATACGATGAGTTCCAAAAGACTTATCAAAAGGCATCCGCAACCACAGTACTCCTTTTCATCTTCTGAAAGCGTGCAAAAGATCTCAAACTAGCTATCGGGCTTTTTTTACGCATCTCTGAGGCCTGCATGTGTGACTACAGACCGCGCAATTGACGATCGCCAGTGGAGCCAGAAGCGCGTCGGATCGCCAATCGATAAGACGCCAACCACTCACGTTTGCACGTGATCAGCAGCGTCACGGCTCTCGACTTGACCCGATGGCAGGGCAACACATTTTAGACTAAAAGACCTGGAAACAAAGAAAACCTTAAGTAGTTGCATTTCGTGCTTCTGCGCGACTTTGGATGCGATCATGTCGTCGTGACGCAAATTTGCGACTGAGCCGCGAATGACCCTTTGAAGGGGCGTGCGCACCGCCGTTTCATCCACAATCTCGGGTACACCGTCGGCTGGTCCCAGCTGTCCGTAGGACATAGTTCGAGGTCTTCTCTGGCCGTGCGACCTCATTGCGACTCGATATATCTCTTTGATGAATCGGCGGCCTTTGGTGAGTGGTGGTTAGAATGTCGGTCGGCAGCTTGGTATCACCCCCTCACTCAGGTGGTGCGCCACGCACGACCGCACTAGACTATCCTGAGCTTCCGATATTTCACGTCGCGCTGTCTCCAGCGCGCGAGCATCGAACACGAAGATATTAGGCTCGGATCCCATGGAGATGTGACACACAATCAGAAATTCTAGAAAAATTTACCTGGTCTGACACCAGCTCGTCTTCGATGACCGTCTCTCGTCGTCTCCTTCGCACAGTCCGTCGACGTAGGCTTGGCACTGTGTGTCTTCCAGACGAAAGAGATATGCTTCCACGACACGAAAGGTCATGCGCTGTCTCAGGTTGACATCCTAAGGCGATGTAAACCACATAGGAAGATAGAGCGATGGTTTGAAACTCGGTTTGCGTACGACTGTAGTCCATGCGCTCAGTATATGGCTATGCGCGCCACGCAAAAGCTTGTCGCAATATGCCGACGCTGTCGCATTGCGCCTGCGCTTGTGTCCTTTTGCGACCAGGATGATGCGACCAGGCGTCCATCCTGACCATCACAGTGAACCAGATCACTAGCTCATACTTCTGTGTGCACGCCTCTACAAGATCGGCACAGCAAAGAGCGCGCACTGATATGGCTTTAAGCAGGCCATGTTTCACGATGAACGCTTCCAACCATCAAGGCATCGCATTCATCCTCCGACCGCGTGACTGACTGCCTGACTGTGATGTGCGGTAGTGGTGCCGATCCTCGCGCATGGGTTCGAGGGTTCGACTTTCGTCACCCACTGGCTAAAATAATGCGCAGATCCACCTCCAGCCACAAATGCCATCGCTGTCTTGATTGCGACAATCGCCGCCCGTCTGACTCGACGCAAAGGGCCTTTGGGAGGGCTCTGGTGAGGAAGTTTATGAATTATGGCGCACAAGTTTCTCCCGGAACCACCCTCTTTTGCGGGTGTACCCATGGGTGGAGGATATTGGGGCCGCCACTTCCAAGAGGCCCGCTTGACATGCGCCTTGCTGGACCACATACGTTCATCACAAGACACACCGTCTTTTGCGCTCGCCAATGCGCTCAAGGGTACCTTGTGGTCGCGCCGCAAGCTGGGGCTCTAGCCGGTCCCGCAAGGGGTCATTGTTGCCAAAAAGACATAACATGCCCAATTCAATAAACAAGTGGAAAAGGCTTGGCTTTGCGATCGCTGCGCACCGGCGCATAAGCAGAGACAGGATGCTGAACGGTCCGTGATCTCCATGACAGAGGCGCCCAAACGCGAGCACGCGCGCGTAGTCAATGGCTCATTGCGCTCTCCATGTCTTTAGAAGCGACGTTCACATTGCAGCTCCTGATCGCAGCCGCTGGCGAGCGCCGAACGTACCTAGTCGCCGACTTTGGCTCTGGCATGTCTCTTTTCGGAGCGGCCATAGGGTTGTATGATCGGTTCCTGGTCTGCGAGCCAATGATCCGCTATCGCTGGCGTCCCCAGAAGCGCCCGCCATCTTGTGCAGGGATCCCAAGTTAGTTACGACCTACCTTTTCATCCATACATAGGTATTGAAAGTGGCTCGAGGGAAGAGGAGGAATTCGTATTCATTACCGACAAAGGCCCAGAGACACGACTGCCGCTGCGGTATACTCACAATGCTCATGGTCCTGTCTCTGCTCGGCTCCTGTGGCAGTGTTTGACACATCCTCTGGCATCCCGATCTTAGCACTGTTTCGAGACCTCCAACTCGAGGCGCAAGTCACGAGTCCTGTGCCGTGTATGGCCTCGGCCTCCAGGGCTTATCTGCTTCCAAGCTTGCGCAGCTGAGGGTTTGTCGCGCCTGTCCGCACGGTGAGTGATTGTTTGTTTGTTGTTCGCTCAAAATCACCCAGAAGCAGCGCAGCCAGGTCGCGACAATGGGTCGGGCACTGGCAGCCGTAGATGATGGTCAGCCAGTCGTCTATCCGCATGATCCTGCATGGCCTCTTGTCAGGGCACAACATGCTTTGCCGAGACTCAGATGTAGAGCGGTGCAGCGGAGTCAGGCACGCACGCGCGCACTCTGACAGATACCTACAACAAGGTAGGTAGATTTAGATCTGTTCTGGTTTGGTCGGATGATGACGCTTTTCTGTCACTCACACTCGGGTCATACTTTCCGCGCCCGTATCGACAGGAAACTGCGCTTGCTGCGACGTGCGCTGGCTGGCCTGAAGTTTCCAGCTGCGTGCCGAATCAGCGACGTGGTTCCGGACACCTTGTGCTAGCGGAGCCCCATCAACCCACAGATGCGGCCTGCATGTCAACCTCTTGGATCTTTCGGGATACTCTGTGTCAATTCTTCTTGAGGGGTACGTTCACCGTCCCAGGGACTTGATAAAGTTTCTGCTCTGGGCAAAGCCTGTTTCTCCAGTGGAAAGTGGCAGCGTCTGCTGCTGCTCGGGTGAGCTGAATGGCATCGCATCCTGACGTCGATCAGATGGTATACCTTAGGTCTTGCAGCAGGTTGACTGGCAGCTCCAGTCGCCTCTACTTGTACATGTTGGCAGTTTATTGGATGGAGGCCGGGACCACAAGGGTTCAAGGGGCCTTGGCCAACTATCATCATGTAGCCCACGCAGATGCGATATGCTTGCTCATTGTTGAGGTGCCAGCAGCAGGCCGAGATCGACAGCCAAATGCGACCATTGCGCCACCACAGACGTCCATGAAAGTAGGGCTCAAGTCCCTCTCGCGCGTGCTTCATGGGCAATTCATTAAATTTCGAATATCAGTGGCAAGAATTGATAGCCCATAAGTGAAAATTTAACTCTATGCGCCACTGCAATCGCGAGAGAGCGGTCAGAATATGTGATATCGCACGGTTGTTGGGATGGTGGTGTGGGATGCGCAACTGTCGCATCTGGGGCAGCGGAAGGGCTCGAGCTGAGGCCTTGGTGCCCTTTCACACTGCACACTTTTCGGTACCAACACGACAGCCACCAACGCTTTCCAGTAGCTTCTAATGTGAATTGTCAGAGTCGCGAATCGTTTCCATAGAGGATAGAGTACGTTTGAAGGTGAACCTGCCCTGGCTGCGCACAAGAATCGCCAGAGATATGGCAGTTATGGAGGCGGCTGGCCTGGACCAGCTCTAGTGCGGTGCACCGTCCACTGTAATGGTTTCCCTTTAGCGGGTGAGCGCCTGGAACGGTATGTCCACAGTGCGCCTGCGACAAAATCGGTCGACCTCGCCTGGCTCCTCTTTTCCCTCCTCATGCACTCTCTTCGTCCGCTTCAGTTCTTGTGGCCGTCAACACAACCATTGTAGGCCGCTCAAGACGTCCATGGTAAGTCATCAGTCCTCCAAGCACACACTCGACACTTGGGAACGTGTGTTTCCTACTTCCCATGTATACAATGACGTTCGCATCGCTATGTCTCCTCCACAGCGTCCGGCGCTTGGCCTGCGACGACGACGGCTTCCACCTACTGGCAGGAGGCTTGTCCCCTTCCTTTGCCATGTCATCGAGGCCTCTTTACCTTCGCGATCACTGACAAAGTCCACAGATCTCGTTTGCTTCAAGATCTGTTGCCCGTTTCGTTCGACTGTCTCGACCCTCCTCCTCAGCGTATACCGCACCGCAACATCCTCGATCCCATCCGGCGCTTACCGCCTGGCACCCAGGGGGAATACACTTTCGAAGTTCAATCGTATATTGGTCATCTGAAAAAGTCGAGAAATCCTTCATCTGAGTTCTTTTCGAAGACAGAAGTGGGTTTCATTTAATCTCGCCCAGCGACACCCTGACGGGGCTTTGACCCGTCATCTCTCGAGTGTGGACTCCGCCCCATTTGAGTCGGATCTGCCGTCGCGGAAGACGAACAGCGCTTGGTCCTTACGACCATCGTTGCCCATTCTCTCCAATCATCCCCCGATTCCCGCACAAAATCGAGCCATAATGACCTCAATGTCACCTTACGACCGTGCTGTCGACACGGTGGAAGCTTCCCCCAGCCAGAATGGCACCTCTCCGCGCCAGGCTTCTACACCGAAGCAAGTCTCCTTTGAGCTCATGTTCACTGGAGCCCATGCTCGTGCGCGCTTGCCGATGCGTGTTCAAATCTACCCTCACGATACCACAGAGTCCATTGTGACGACTGTCAAAAACTTCTACGGTCTCTACACCGGCCCATCGGGCGCCAAGGGCGTTAGCTTTGAGGATAAGGATGGCAATACCCTCATTGCTCGCTACGAGAACTTCTACCACAACATGACCATTTACGTGAGGGTCTTTGAGGAGTTTCCGGCCGAACAAAGCGTCAATGCGACCGCCCCATTTCAGGGTCCGGCTGTGCTTGCCAACGGCTATCATCACGGCGAGGGCCCTGCCGCTTTCCATGCCCATCGCCCATCGCATGATTTTGGCCGCCCTGCTCCAAGAGTATCAAGGCAACGTAGCCGATCTCCTGGATCTTCCAAGTCCCAAAGAGACGCATCCGTCGGCAGCACTGGTCAGAAGCGTCGCTCACGGTCCGCAAAGCAACCAACTGCGCTGGGTCAAGCAGATACCTACAGCGAGAGCGTGGGCGGCTATAGCAGTGATGACGGTGCTGCCCACAGCACGACGTCTGCGCGGACCAAAGAGCAACTCGGCAATACCGATATCAGTGTCGAGAATATTGTCGAGGGCGGCCGTCGGAAGAGGGCAAAATTTGACAGCTCGGTATGCCTTGGCAGCCTTTCCGTGCTTCTTTCCCCTTTCTTTTCTAATCATGCTTCATAGGAACTACCATTGTTCGCGCCTCCGCAGATGCCCGCTGCTACTAGCAACCCTTCCGTTTCGCCTGCCCGTCGCATGGAATCGTATCGACCCTCCTTGCCCTCTGTCCACGCCGGTCAGAATCCCTTTACCAACCCTCGGCCGATGCAGGCTTCGCAAGCCTACAACAACATGCAGCACAATAACATGTACGCCCCGCAAAGTGCCGAGGGTCGCCGGGCGCGCAACACCAGCATCAGCATGACCGGCCAGGGCATCCTCCCAACCCCCGACCCAACTGTGGGCAGCACCGTGTCCGAGGAAGACAAGGACGTTGCGCTGCAGCTCATGCGACTCGGAGACATGTCCAACATTTCACACGGTCGCACATCCGGCTCCACGCTCGATGACATGTTCAGCGGCAGAGCCGATGCCCCGTCATCGACTGGCGCTACAAGCGACAGCGAGAGCGACAGTGGCAGCGACTTGCCTCCTGCTCGTCGCCAAAAGGTGGACGCCAACGGCTACGTGAAGCCCAGCATCTATCAGACCACTGAGTCCCGCTTCGTGCCGCCTCCCGTTGTCGATGACCACAAGCCCCGGCCCAATGGGTCAAAGCCGAAGTCATCCTCTGCCACAAAGCCCAAGAGCAAGCTGCCCAAGGCTCCTCGCCCAGCCACTCAGACGGTCGTGAAAGATATCCCGCTCAGCACCGGAGGACCCATATCGCCAAACTCGGCTGCGTCCTCCCGCAAACCATCCATCGCCTCTGTCAATGGCCCTGCGCAGCCCGGCGATGACGATCATCCTGACTTGTCGAGCAAGCCACGCTGCCAGCGCTGCCGAAAGTCAAAGAAGGGCTGCGACCGACAGCGTCCCTGCGGGCGCTGCCGCGACGCTGGTCTGACTGCTGAGCAGTGTATCAGCGAGGACGAGGGTAACGGTCGCAAAGGACGTTATGGACGCCACATGGGCGTTCCCATCAAGAAGGATGAGGCAGAGGCCCTCGCGACCATGACCCAGCCCACTCTTCTACCTGCAGCGCCCATTGCACTACCCCCCATGATCGCGTCGGCAGACAAGGCGAAGAAGCGCAAGCGGTAACGACAGTCCTTGAAGAGCACCACAAAATGAGCAAACACAAAAAACAGAGCACATGTGAGCGACACTCAGCGATGGCGTATTGTGTTTGAGGAGTGGCTGGCGCAGGATTTCTGTTCGAAACACAATGTCATTGGAGGACGTAATCATGACGGTCTACCAAGACCATTACACTCCTTACTCGGCGTTTGGCTCCTTGTTGGCGATTTTCAACAATGTTTCTTGTTATCCTAGTTGTTGTATGCCTGGCGCAGGCCAGCCCACGTCCTTGTCGTTAGACGGGCGAGGACACTGGGTGGTCGCGCAGGATCTTCACTTTTGGTGGGAGGGCGACCAATGGGCTGCAGATTGGGCCATGATGGTCTCGACCCTGATGGCTTTACTATTTGGTTTGGCAAAGAGCTGTGTGGAGGGCTGGAGCCGTGGGAGCAAAAGGAAGATCATGCGACGGCGAAAAGGGCCTGGTTACTCGAGGGTGATGGTATAGCAGGCCTCTCAGAGGGCTTGCGCATTCGAGCGCGGGAGGCTCTTTCATTTTTATCTGGTTTGGTGCTTCTTATGTTGTCTTCTATCTCGATGTATACGCGGTATTAAATGAATTACATTGCGAAAACCTGTATATCCGCGATACGAATGAATGCGCATACGCGGATGTTGTCTCTACGGAATGTTTCAGACAGGTTGTATATTTTTGTCTGGCACTCGAGGCCATTAGACATTGAGACCCAATTTCCACTGTTTTGGCTGTCATCTTCGTCTCTGATTCGCGTTGAGCAGCTCACGTGAGAAAGCTCACAACGGTGTCGTCGCGAACTTACGTCATGCGCTACCCCGCGACGCAGCGGGGCAGAGCAGGACAAAATCCCATGAGCAAAGTCATTCCGACACCCAGCGATTGTAGTACCTGTGAATCGAATTGAAGAGCGTGGTAAAAGCGTAAGTGCGAGCCTTGGCGGTATGGCCATGCGCAAACTACGACGTTTACACGCTCGTCGCATATTCTGAATTTGGAAAGAGACTTTGTCGGGTGGTTGGCTACCCTACATCCGATGTGCGGAGATGGGATGGGATTTCTTCCCGTCCCCGCGCCGTCTGTCGGCCGGAGCGGGGCGGCTCTGCGCCGGGGGAAAATAGCGGGGCTTCCCACGAGTTACCCTAAATGGAGACGCCAGTGTGGTGTTCACTGTTCATGGGCTTAAGATAAAAACAAGAGGCTCAATGCACGATTTGGTTGGTGTGGCTGGGTTTTTGAATATTGGAAGCTGCAAGCTGATGGTCTCTGCAATGATATGCTGTTGATAATACTCTTGGCCGTGGGAGTGAAAACATTGAACGAAACCCAGCTATGGAAAGACCGTGACTCACAAAAAGGGTTATTGCAACGTGCTATCGTCCACAATTGAACCAGTTGATGACAAAAGACCGAACCAGTATGAAAATTCAGGGGTATATATAAGAATAATGAATAAACGATCAAATTTATTGGAAGGGCGTAGACACGGAATTACTGGTGGTGATTCACCCACGCTCAGTAACAGCCGCTGCCGTGCAACCACGATGACACCGTGATGTGAGACGACGGAAAAAATCATTATGAATGATCTGCGTTTAATAAAGAGACCGAAGCGAGAGAGCCCTGGAGGGAGCTTCAACTTGGGGCGCCACATCGTTGCTGCCATGCTGCGGCCGAGTCACACATCGCAAGGGCGTCGATGTCGAGCGACTACGTAGAGCTGAGCTCGCAGCCATCGCTGTCAATGGATATTAATAAGCCCTGATCCCCAGATGATGGAAAACCAACGTCACGGCTGCAGCCGCTCTCAACCGTCGTGGTTGAGTTATCTTTCCTTCTTCCCATCATTTCAGCTGCGTCTGCCTTGATAACACGACATGCCCACCGACATGACTTCCGAGCGCGTCCATCGAGGCGACTAAGAGAAGGAAAATGGGGGGAATGATACAGCCCAAGAGAATCCGACGTAGTCTCCGAACCATCTCCTCCCAGAACGTACGATATCCGGTGCGATAGCGCCCGTTCCTCCCGACGCAGACGACCCTCCCGATGGCGGTCTGCTCGCCTGGTCACAGGTCATTGCCTCCCCCCTCATGAAAATGGTTGTCTGGGGCTACCCTGCGAATTTTGATGTTTTCCAGCTGTATTAAGTGGAAATACTGGGCCTCCCACAGACGCAGGTCCCCTGGATTGGCTCCGTCCAGGTGTCCCTGTCCTTCGCCATGTGCGCGGTCAGCGGCCGGCTCACCGACGCAGGCTGGGCCAAGGAGATGGTCCTCTTTGGCAGATTCTTTGCCGTCTTTGGAATCTTTGTGACTAGTCTGGGTAGCACTTGGTGGCACTTCTTCCTCGCACAGGGGATCTGCACTGGCATCGGTCTGGGGCTGGCCTTTATGCCCTGCGCCACGGTCGTGAGCACGTACTTTAGGCGGCACCGCGCGTTCGCGCTCGCGCTGGCTTCCACGGGCTCGTCCTGGGGGAGTCACGTGTTTCCGTCCATTGTGCAGTATCTCACCCCGTCGATTGGGTTTGCGTGGGCGATCCGTTGCGCAGCATTCGTCGGCCTCACAATCTGCGTCGTTGCGAAATTGCTGCTCAAGCCACGGGTTGCTCCCAGGAAGTCCGGTCCTGTGATAGAATTGGGTGGTTTTCAGGGAGCCCGCCTATATGTTCTTCGGATTGGGTGTGGTCTTGTACCTGTATATGTTGAATTTTGCCTACTTCTATTTGAGTCTGCCGGACACTTTCGAGGGTGAGAGTGGAGCGCTGCTGGCGGACGCAGGTCAACAGTTTCGCGCGCGATATTATTGGCTTCAGCCAAATCGACTCTGTGACAGTCCTGCTCACTCTTAACGGTACAGGTATCCCCGCGCGTCCCCTGGCTGGCCATCTCGCTGATCGTTCCTTTGGTCCCGCCCATGAGTTCTCAAGCATGCTGTGCGCCATTGGGCTCGCACTCTCTGCTTGGACTGCCGTGGCGACGTGCGTGGAAATGTATTTCTTCGTCGCATTCTATGGCTTCGTAACAGGCGCAGGCCAAGGGTGCTACTTTGGGGCGCTCGCCAGCCTGACAAAAGATCCGCAGAAGATGGGAATGAGATTTGGCATGGTCTCGACTATGACCGCCTTTGCAGTGCTTACAGGGCCTCCGACTGGAGGTGCGCTCATCGAAAGGATGGACGGTTTGTATGTGGGCGCGCAGGTCTGGGGCGGATCCGATGCTGTAGCCACTGCGGTGTCAGTTCTGGGCTCGAGACTTGCGACAAAGGGTTTCAAGTTCAAGGACAAGATCTAGACAGTCGAATGGTAGGACTTCCACTTTTGCGGTGCCAACGATCCTTACTCGGACATCAATGAGCTCTACTCCCTGATCTGAGCCAGAGTCAAGACAATCAAACGCGCGAGCTGCTTGCCGCCCCCCCAGACATCGTCATGCTCGCCAGTTAGACTCTTGGTGACTGACACGTTGAGGCGATCCTTGATCAACTTGGCGGCCATCTTGTCGATCTCTGGCTCATCAACCAGGGTGTCCTCGCGCGACCAAGCGAGGACGGCCAGTTTGGCATTGGGCCAGTTGGTCTGGAAGTTGCCAGTAAAGTTGACGGGGGAGGCCACGTCCCATATCTTCCTGTCAGAACCGAATGCCGAGGTGAGGAAGCCAGTGTAGTTGCCGTCATGACGTTCGTCCAAGCCGACCAGATCGTAGATGCCTGACACGCCAACGATGGCTGCCGGTAGTGGGACGTGTTCTTCCGCGTGCGCGGAAGCACGCGATGATGGATCCATCAAGAGTTGCATCGCCAGCGTCGCACCAGCCGAGTGCCCAACGAGGATATACTTGTCCTCCTTGACGCCATGTTCCCTGTTCAGGAAGCGAAGGGCAGCTTGAACGTCGCGGATGTGATCGGGGTGCCTTGCCTGGCGTAGCTCCGACTTGGGCGTTGCGGCAGGGTCCTGAGGGTGCTCGGGATGAGGCGATAGGCGGTAGTCGATACTAGCAAACCCGGCGATGGAATTTGGCGGCAGTCTGCCAGCTGATAGAAGCTGATCGACCGTGGGGAGGAAGGCAAGGTGAGTGATTTTGGGGTCGCGCCAGGCGCCGCCATGTATGTATCTGGGACCAAGTCAGATCAACCAGCTTCAGGTAAATTCGGTAAACAAAAGTGGGAATTTTATACACTATCCAGTGGCCACCCTTCTGCTGGGGCATCTCCCAGATGCCGACCTGCTGCAGTACGTTATCGCCATACTGCTGGCTAACATATTGTACGGTAGGTGTTGGCTCGGCGGTAGCCATTGTTCTCAGGCGGATCCGGTAGTCTGGTGACGTCTGGGGTTGGCTGCGCATGGACCTATCACAGATGGATAGTGGTCTCGAAAAGGGTGATCGTCGGTATTTTGAGATATCTCGATCTTCTCTATCGCGTTTTGTTGCTGAGTATCAGTTTGAATCTGATTTGAGGGGGCAGTTAGTCGTGAGGGTAAGCCAGCCTCAAGCTGGTGGAGGAGGAATTATGGCGATTGTGCGACCTGATAGTGTTTGGCTGTGCGCGCCCGCCAATCACTATTATCCGCCTTCCGTCGCACCTTCCGCTCATCCGCAATTGAGGCTGTTGTTAAGACAACCACTAAAAACATGTGACAGAACTAACACCAGCAGACCCGCATGGAACGTCTTCCTTCCTCACGCGGTTGGAGGCGTATCTCCGTCTTTCGTTCCCTTCAGCTGCTGGTGAGAATGACTGACACCGCCAACAACATCCTTCGACAATTGGAGTACCAGCATAGTATGTCGTCAAAAATCGACTGTGCCCTCTTGCCTGCGATGTATTTTCCTTGATTCACCTGGCCCCATCCAGCCATGACTGACACACTTCACACACGCTTCGTTGCATAGCTCCCCGGCGAGAAGCCGTTGGCTGCATGTTCAATTTGCGAATCAAACCCAGAGTGCACACGAACTAGAGCCTTAGCGATCATCTGTCCTCTATTCAGATCTTCACCGCATGCTTCTCGCCTAGCCTTGCCTGCTGCCATGCTGGCCACTGCTGCAGTGCGACACTCGGGTCGCCACCAAGCGAGAGGTAATAGCTGCACCCGCTCGATCAAAAGCCCGGCCTGTGCGTCGATGATTGGAATTCGCAAGCCTTGCGTGTCTAATGACCTATTTTTCCTTGGATGGGACTAGACCGGACCTCTTGGCTGCTTTGACCTCTCCCCCAATGAGCTCTGACCTGATTTCAATCATTGGAAAGGTCGCTGTGTTCCAAGCAACAAGAACATGATCGTTTGGAGGAGAGAAGCGTTGCTGATATATATAGAACGGCTGCGAAAGCGACCAAGAGGACCCTTGAGCATCGGTCGATCTCCCGACAGGCTAGACAAAGCCTACCGCGCTTTGTTGGTTCGAATATCTCCGCAGGATATTGCTCTGGTGGCCCAGCCGCATTGCCGAGACCAGCCAGCACTGAGGCCGTCACTGCATCTTTGGGAATCTGCTCTTGACGACGGCTCATGCATTCACCCACATGTGCCACTTGACCTGGGCGCTAGTCTCTTCGAGTCTCTCCTACGCCAACACTTGATGCGATGCAATGCGTCTGCATTCGGGATGCCCGTGATCGTCGACTACAATCTCTCGCCAGGAATAGTCTTAGAGACTACGGGGCTGAGTTTTGATAATTAAAGGGTGTGACTGACAGCTTTGTCTCCTAGTCTGCTTGCCTCCCGGATGTGGTGCCCCCCCTTGCTGTCAGTCAGTGCACGCTCAACAGGGCGATCTGTGCCAGCAATCTATATTGTGTATCACACACAGGCACACCCGATTGCCCTTCGCTGACCAAACATATGCTGGGGGGACCGTCGCCAAATTGGCTAGGGTCAGTGCTTCACGACCAAGTATACGTACATTGACGCACAGTCATGATCGTCTGCTGCCCCGTGCAGCCTATGTTGGTGCTAGTGACTGGCGCCTGCATGGTGCATCCCGCGGATATCTCAAACCACCTCTAGGGCTGTCTTGGGGTGGCGGGCTCCCTTGCAAGGCCGAGGTGGCACGGTGGTGTGGTTCGTGATGAGCGTACCCGTCTCGCCAGGTTCGTTCCTCCAGTGAGCGAGCTCTGCGAGGCACCTCACCACCATTCAGGCGCATCTTTGACTAGGCGACCCTGGATGTCCTACTTAGCAGGGAAATGGCTTCGTTCTCAATCGTGTCCTGTTCACACTCTTCCTTAACTCATCGTTCAGTTGCTCCACGGTTGTGCCCACCGTGCCTCGCCATCCCCTCAACACGTAGGAAACACAACGAGGCGGCTCTCACTTGTACTCCATCCGTACACGCATTTTGAAACACAAAGTCCAACAATGGCTGACGACACGATCGACTTGACAGCATACAATGGCGACAGGCTAATGAGCACCGTCACGGTCTTCCTCGTGCTGAGCTGGATCGCTGTTGGCCTGCGGACTTATACCCGGGCATGGCTGATGAAGAACTTTCAGCTGGACGACTGGTTTATGCTCCTCGGTCAGGCAACCTTCTCGACGTATGCTGGATTCCTGTACGCGGGCATCAGCGACGGCATCGGCACTCATAATGCGGCCATCACGGACGATCAGCAGCTGGTCATGGCTCTCAAGGTGAGAAGACTCGGAGTTCGCACCGCATCTAGAATCACCGGCAAAATAGGACTGACATGGATCACAACAGTGGCAAGCGTTGGCGATTGCCTTTTACATCCTGGAGATGATGTTCATCAAGCTGAGCATTGGAATCTTCCTCCTGCGCATCGCGTCCCAGGCTGTGTATGTGTGGATCCTGCGCATCAGCCTAGTTATCATCTCTGTATGGAGCACCGTCATTTTCTTTTGGAACATCTTCCAGTGCGACCCGGTCCCCAAGCAGTGGGACTACAGGATTGAGACGGGGAAATGCGTGCCTCCAGAAGCGCTGGTCATGGCAGCCTATGCGCTGAGCGCCATGACTATCGTGTCGGACTGGCTCTATGTACGTGCCCCAGCAGACAGGAGTTCGTCGACGTGGTGTGTACTGACGAGTATGCCAGGCGCTGCTCCCCATCCCCATGGTGTGGAATGTGAGAATGTCCAAGCAGGCCAAGGTAACCGTCATCCTCATCCTCGGCCTGGGCATCTTGTAGGCTCCCTCACCGCCCCTTTGCAACCCATGAGGTCATAACGTGGCTGACGTTGCACGACAGTGCCAGTGTGGCTACACTTGTGCGACTGCGATACCTCCCTGACATGGCCAATCTCGAGGATGTTCTATGTACGCTGCGCCACTGGCCCCTTTCATTTTCGCACCTGCGCACGCTGTGACTGACAAACGAATCGCAGATGCGGGCACTGATGCCATGGTGTGGACCATTATCGAACCTGGCCTCGCCATTGTCGCGTCCAGTCTCGCGACTATCCGTCCGCTCCTGCGCGCCTGGCGGATCCGCGGCTTCGAGTCGTCGGATGACGCCACGGACGACTCGCGTCGTAGCGGTGGCGGTGGTGCACAACTGCCCCCTTTCAAACGCGAGGTGCGTCCCTCGGCCAAGGTGCGCCCCGGCCAGTACGGCATCCACGACATTGCCATCACCACCTTGCGGTCCCAGCTGGATCAGGAGAATGACCACAAGGATAATAAAGTCTTTGTGACGCACGCCCAGATTTCCGAGCAGACACAGGAGGGCAATGGATCCGAGGACGAATGGAGACGCTCCGAAGGCGCGACGTCCATGGACAGCTTGTGTGATCTCGGTGCACGTAATCGCCGGGGTGTGTATCCGGACTCGTATGCTCTCGGACATGGCACGCACGCTGTCTACCCCGGCATGTCTGGCGATGGACCGGACAGCTACCGGGGGTTTGGGGCCAGCAGGCTAGGTTAAGTGGCTGGATGCTCCAAAGGGCGAGTTGTCTTTCAGAAAACATCATTCTCATTTCTGGTATATACGCAGTGACACTCAAAGCTTCTCATCTGTCGTATTTTGGAACTCCTCTTTCCTATCAAGTTTCCACATCTAAAGGGACTGCAGGGGGTCCGTCTCGTCCCACTGTGCTCGACGAGGACTGATGGATGCCATGGTACCCAGTGACCTTCTCCTCCAACATGCGGATGCAGATCTGCGCTAGCTTGGCATCTTTGTAAGGGAAGATGCCTTTGGGGTTTCTCACGTCCAGAAAAGCGCCCAGCGCACCCGAGTACCCAGCATCAACGACCCCGGCCGTGAGCGTCGCGCCGGCGCGCCGTAGCGAAGACCTCGTGAAGATTTCACCCATGACATCCAGTGGGATGCAGACTTGCTCGTTGAACTCAGCCAGGTACGCCCCTGGGGCTAGTGTGACTGGTCCATCCTGGCTACGGAAGGGAAGCTGCGTCGTCTCTGCGGCCTTGCGCCGAGAATTGTCAAAGTCGATTATGGCTGGCGCGTTCGATTGGAGGACGCGACGCAGAGTGAGGTCGATGCCGCATGGCTGCTGTTGATGATGGGCCGAGCGCCAACCATAGACTATCTTGCGCCTGAGAATGGACGCTCCGTCAAGCATGTTCCTTTGGAATTCGTTGCGTTGTACCGACGATTGAGATTCTATTGCAGGATAGCAGAGGAGGATTGATGGGTAAGAAGCGATGATGAATGGTGAGAGCTAGATGAGCGAGTGTCCAGAACGGCGATATCACCGACCAAGGGGTCCCTGTATTCCTCCGCCCTCTGCGTTTCCCTAACTCACAGAACCAACGATTTTCCCCAGGTGCACACACTGTCGTCGTTTACGACAGATCACACTTCGCTGGACGAGGGCAACTTCACCTTCGAGGGACCCTCGGCGGGGACAAGGGACAAGGAGGACGACTCTGATCTGGTGCCCTTGCCGATGAATAACCTGTACAATCTCACGGACCCCAACAACTCGCGACTCATACGCGTCGACCCGGCCGCCGTCAACGGGCCGGACCTCATCAGGCAGGGAGTGATAAAGCTGGCGGAGGCCGAATTCCTCTTCAACCACTAATGTGACCACATCAACCCTCTCTGCTGTGGAATGGGTTCTTGCTGGGGATCGACGTGATTGGCTCGGAGATACCATTCCTGTGAGGATTTTCAGGAGTGTTTGTCGTGTGATGGCGGGCAGTATAGTCCTTGATGGTGGCAATGGTGAAAAGGCTTCATTACTATTCTAACCCGTCGTGTTGCACCATAATTATGCTTGAACAGGCTTAAACTATGCGATTATCTACTCCTTTCAGCAACACGACCTGCTCAGCAGGTCGACGACGGTCGTGTTGGCCTGCAAAGGCGGCTTGAGCAGCACGCTCTGGACGGCGGGATCGGTGTCCGCCGCCAGGCTGTCCTTGAGTATCCTCCTCTCAGCCATGGTGACGGCAATGTCAAAGCAGAGGAGCCTCATGGCGATCTGGCCGGGGTCGGTGGTACATGCTGACAATGATGTCAAAGTGCTCGCGTTGTCGCTGGGAAAGGAGCCGACGACGTCGATGTCCCGTGCGCGAGCGAGCTCGATGGCCTGGAGGGTGTTCTCGGAGGTGATGCGGGTCGCCCAGAGTGGCGGACATGCAAGGATGGCGCAGGTTCTGGTCTTTGACTTGGACGGCCATTGTGGGGGATGCGAGGCGTTGGAGATGATCTGGTAGGCGTAAAAGAGAGGTCGGGCGTGAGGGAGGAGCATGTTGATGTCAATGTCAATATGTCGACTCAGTTTGCTTGGAGGCGCAAGTCCGCGATGCACTTCGCTCGCTTATGGCCCTGGGCCGATATTTTTGCTCGTAGCATTCAACGTTCCCAGAATTGTCCACGCAAGCCGTGCAACGTCGTCTCCCAGGACAGGGTGCTGTTGATGATATCGGTGCATCCGCCGAGTGAGGTCCATCATATGGCCCAATTACCCTGCGAAAGGGGCGTGCCCATGTAGACCAGAGATCTTCAGACGGCCATGTGACTCTTGGGCTCCGCAGCTCAACATGTCGGTAGTTGGGAGTCGATACCAGTAGTGTGAGGTGGTGAAGCTCAAGACCCGGGCGCTTCCACCGACGATGGAGGTCTAAGTTAGCCCGAGGCGCTAACAGTGGCTAGTGAGCGGGGCTTCCACCGCCACGAGCCATTGACACTTCAGCCACTCGAAGCGCGGGCCACTATCGTCAGGGCATCCCCACGGACTTCAAACCGTAACTTCTGCCTGCTTCTTCTCAACTTCCACCCTCGGCGCCTTTGCGAGACTGGTTCCCCAGCTCCCATCCTCCTTGTCCGGTGGGGGAACACCAAAGCACCATGCACCTCGTTTTCTCTCTCGACTACCCTCATCCTGGGCTCCTTTCGATATATAATCAGATGGACGCGACGTAGTTCCGAGGAGGGAGCCCTTCTTCCGCTGCCTGCACGCACTGCTCTGCCCTCTGTCACATCCAAAGTCAACCGAGTCCATCGCTCGCTCAGCTGGTCAATGAAACCAGACCCTGACCACTGGTCAGGTCCCTTCAACATCGCCATCCATCGTGGCGGGAAAAAAAAAATCCCACCTTGGGTCCTCACGTCGAGCAAGTCCACACAGCCGACTCTGGCCGCTCCAGCAACAATGGCACCACCAAAGGTTAGGTGGATGCTGACGCCCTGACCGCGCAGCACCTCATCGACAACTGGGTCAACGACACGCCTGAGGAGAGGAAGCTGAAACGTAAACTCGACTGGCGCATCCTGCCCTGCTGCTAGGTGCTTTACCTGCTTTGCTGCCTGGTCTTTGAAGTCCCAGCCAACATGATCCTCATCCGCGTACGCTCAAGTGGCTTTCTCTCAGGTTTGGAGGTGATCTGGGGGACCTTTGCCGCTCTGATGGGCGCCACGCAGAGTGGGCAGCAGCCCGGGGCATGCAATCCCTCCTGGGCTTCGCAGAGGCCGGTTTCGCGCCTGGCTGTGCCTTCTTCCTGTCTCCCTGGGACAGGAGGTGTGAGCTGGCCACGCGCTATGATTTGTCCGTCCCTAGTACCTAATTCCCTCACCAGTTCCAAAGCATCCGAGATTCATCAGATCGTAGTGAATAATAAATGGCAAAGGGGTTGTTTACTTTCTCATTAGGGGGTGGAGGTGGATATGCTTACCCTAAAGCATCACCAACGAGCATAGAATGAATGGGCAAAGCAAGCTCCGATCTTTCTTTTCAATTGGTATTTCATTTGGGATAGTATTGAAAGGCAATGGTAGAAGATCGGATTTTAACTCGTCGGTTGGGACCGCGAGGAGAGCAGTGTTATTTGTCTGGACGTGTGGTATTTGCACGGCATTTGCGGCAAATAACCGGAACATATGCACCATGCAACCTCAAAATACGCCATGCGGTACACCTTTGATGCCCACTCCACACACCAATTCAAGTGCCGGATGTAGCCTCTTGGCCTTTACCGTTTGGAGTAATCAATTGGAGTTCACCAAGCACCGGGTAGTGTGTATTGCATTCTTCGCGTTCCGAGCGTTCGTGCAGGAGTAGCGCCCCCACGTGGAGGCGCCGGTGGATCGTGACCGCAGCGAGTCAGCGACAGCGCCGGCCTCCTTTAGTGCAAATACCCCGGTACATGCGTAGTGCGACCGAAAAAGCTGACAGCTGCCTGGGCCCGGACCTTCCTTCACCTTGTTGATCCGCGCGCCGAAAACCGGCCAATGGGTTGATACTCGATTGAGGGCGGTTTGGTCATCAGGTCTTCCACGCATCTCACAACCATCCAGTACTCGATAATGTGATATCCTCAACACCATGTCGCAGGTCATCAGCAGCGGCGACAAGGTCAGCAAACGATGCCTCCGAGCGTACGTTTGTTCCTTCTCTTCCAGTCCTTGTGGCTTACCCCCCACCTCCCCGTATCACCAGGTGCAGAGCGAAGACACACTGACAAGCCTACAGCTGCGCGCGATGCCGCGACATGAAAGTCCGGTGCTCTGGTACCATGCCATGTGTCCGCTGCCAGCGGAAGAAGGAGGAGTGCTATTTCCGCGCTGAGGATGCGCGTATCACCGTCTCGCAGAGTTATCTGCAGTCCCTGGAGACCAGAGCGTCTACCGACAACCGTGGGGACCTGCGGTCCATCTTGCGGCCCTCCTCGCCACGGAGGCAGACGGCCCTGTCGCCGCCACAGTCCACCGTCATGTCTAGGCACGGGAGCAGCATAGGGCCCCGGGCGATGCCAGACAGCCGCCACGGGTCGACGGTCACGACGAACGCCAGCTTAGGCAGCCGCGATGGCACGACGCCCGGGTCGTTGCACCTCCCGGAGCCCACGCAACGTAGGACGTTTGGCCCCGACGACAGAGATACCAGTACTAATCGCGACTCCTCCCCCCATGGCTTCCGCCAGAATCCTCTCGTGGACAATGGCGAGACGTTCGCCCGCGACTCCAACGGCAAATTTTGGTACATGGGACCCACCTCCTCCTGGGCGTTCTGCCGTCGTGTTCTGGCCATCATCGGTGCTGGCAAGGGCTCTGGCATGGAGATGCCTCCAGCCCGAAGCCCGGTCAACCCATGGGATCTCGAGACGCTGCACCTCACCTGGGACCCCATAGGCGCCAACGAGCAGCCGAGCGTCGACAACCTCCCCTCGCGAGACTATGCGAGCTATCTTGCTCACACGGTCAAGTACCACCTCGGATCACTGTACGACATTATCGATCACGACTCGTTCCACCAGCAGATGCGCGACTTTTATCACAACCCGCAGGAGGTGGCCAACGAGTCGCGCTACTGGTACTCGCAATTCCTATTCATGCTTGCGTTCGGCGAGGCGTTCAGTCCGACGGAGAGCTCGGAAGCAGGCACCCTACCCGGCATGAGCTACGCCTCACGGGCACTGGCACTGATCCCAGCGCTCGTGCCCATTGACAAGGCATCCATGCCTGCCGTTGAAGCGCTCTGCCTCGCGGCGCTGTACCTACAGGCAGTGGACCTGCGACTCATGGCGTTCCAGCTGATCGGTCAAGCACTCCGTATCTCGGTCATTGAAGGCTGGCATCGTCACGTACCGCCCGAGGACGTCGGCTTGCGGTACTCGCAGCGCTGCAACACCATCTTCTGGACGGCGTACATCATGGACCGCGAGTTTGGCACGCTGGTCGGTGCGCCGAGCTCGATCCGCGACGAAGATATTACGACCAAACTCCCCTCGATGATAGAAGACTCGCCAAGGGCAACTGCCCTGTCACTGCAGATCAGGCTGTCGCGGCTGACAGCGTCCATCCTGACCGGCGTCTATGGCGTGGATAGACACTTTAACGAGTCTCTGATTCGCGACACGCAGTCTGTCCTACAGGACCTGGCGCACGTCTCGCGAGACCTGACCACCTACATGGAGCAAGAGCTCAAGGGCACGGACGTCAGCACGTCCAAGATCGCCACAAGGCTCATTCTCTCCTACCACCACTGCGTTGTCTTGACGACGAGGCCGCTGGTTATGTGTGTGCTCCAGAGGCGACTGGCGCATGGCGACACGGACAACTCGATCCCCGAAGGGCCCATTGCCGCTCTGCTACAGGCCTGCTCCAGCTCGGCCCTGAACATCCTGAGAACGGTGGCCAACCTCGGCGACAGGAACCTGGTCGACTCGTTTCTGCCGTTCCAGCTCGAGTCCTCCTTCTCGTCCGCCTTCCTGCTCTACGTCCTCGACACGGTGTCACCCGACTTTATCCAGGACGAGACCTGGCTCAGCACCACGCGTCACATCTTCAACATTATGATCAGCCGCCGCAGCCCGGCGGCGGCCCTACGGAAACGCGAGTTTGCGCGTCTCGAGGAGGTTATGAGCGACTACATACGGGGTCGCGACCCAGAGCACCACGAGAGGATATATGCGCACGAGTACACCGAGAATGCTCCACTACAGCCGCACCAACATCATCAGCAGTCACAGGGCCAGCATCAACAACCGCATCAACAATCCCAGGTGCCGCTTCAGCACATCTCACAACATTACCACCATACCCAGAATCACCATCCCCATGCCCCACAGTCCATGCCAGCGGGGAACAATGGATCGGACGAGATGGATCACGAGACGTGGGATCTACTGGGGAGCTACAATAATTTTGGCATGTCACCAACGGAAATGCTGAATCTCGCTGATGATCTCCAGGTGGAGGACTTTATGATGCCCGAGTAACGGTGCACAAAGGCGGAGCGAAACTCGCATGAAGGATCTACCTGTTAATTATGACGATATTGAATGATGAGAACATTACCAGCAAAAAATTGCGATCGATGGTGATCTCCTCCCCATCGCGATGGTGAGGTGTACCCCGTGTCGTCCTAGCCGGCACCGACTGGCATGGACAAGGGATAGGCACCATATGGGGATAGGATTACGATTCAGGCCCCCATCGATTGACGTTTGAGAAGAATTTGTTGTGAGCCAACCGGTGTCTCACTCCTGCACGATATCACCGATCTCTCACGATGATCAGACAAGGTCTTTCTGACGTGCTCCACCGGAGGCTCTTCTCCGAGCAAACTGACGTAAGCAAAAACTGAAAACACGAAGGTGATAACGAACCGAGAAAAGTCGGCTTGTGGAGCCGACTCCGGCGCTCCGATCGAGCCAAGACGTCGGCACGGACGTGTTGTCGGTTCGTGGGCCCGATGCGTCCGCGAGAACCTAGACGCAGCTTGGCCCAATGCGGTATGTGGCCTGCAGACCAGAGATAAGGGAGTCTAGTCAGATGATGCCCTTTTGTCGCGGGAATACGGTGGGGTGGTTCCCAGAATTGCATGTTCCTCTTTGGGAACGTTCTGTGCAAGCTCTGCATGATCTACCGCTTCTAGACCAGCCTCGCGCTTCGGTCTGATCTGGGGGAGAACAAAAAGAAGGCCCAGTCCTGAATTCTGATTACCAACGCCGACTCTAATCGCATCATCTGACCAGGAACCTGGGGTACAGGCACTGCCTCCGTCGGATCACCATCCTGCATCACCAGGTGCGCACGTCCCCTAGAGCGGGGAACCATACACGGGGAAGTCTGTCTTCTTGACTCTTCTTATCTTTTGCCATGGCTACGAAGGATGAGGAAGTCAAGACACCCACCCCCCTCCAAGCCTCCAAGGCGTGCCCCCACACCGTGGATGCATGCTGCTGCAGCAGCTTGCAGTTGCCGCGCCCCGGCCCGAGACCACCTTACCCTGCGCTTGCAGGACGGCCAAGCGCGCGCACGTGCCCGACCCGCACGGTGAGTGGACGACTTCACCGTCTTCAAGACGGTGATGGTTTGACGGATATATTCGGTGAGAGGGTTATTGTAGACTTGGCATCCCCGTGGAAGAAGATGACGCCGTGAAATCCGTAAGATTTATAGTGGCTTCTCGCATAGCATGGCCATTTTGCAACGTCGAGGGTAGTTGTGCTAAGGCCGATCCCGCTTGCGGTGTGATGAGCAAAGTCCGGACCCAGAGGGGGTCTTTGAATGCTGTCATTCTCCTGATGAAGCAATGATTGTTTCTAGCGGAATATAAAAAAATACTGAAGACCATCGACCACGTGAAATCCCGTTGAGTGACTGTACAGCAAAACTCACTTCGTGACCATAGTGAAGTCTAAAATATTATCAGTCCACGGTGAATTTTGTTAACATTGGAAACTATAATGGCTATTCTTTTGCTTCTCAAGGCCAGGACAAAGTGCCCGAGTGTGCAATACCTACACTCGCGTTGAAGATCTCTAGAATACTAGTACCTTTGCAACCTATCGCCGGACAAACATCCAAATGTGAATACAACTAGCCATCGTGACGGTCCTCCATAGATATTCCAAAACACCGCTGCCCAGCGCGACCCCCTCTTACCACTCTGACAAGTTTGGTACCGAAGAGAACAACTCCGCCGTCGAGATCTGCACCGACGACCCGGCCGGCAACGAGGGTCTCCAACGCAAGCTCAACGCGCGCCATCTGACCTTTATCTCGCTCGGCTCCGTCATAGTCACGAGCATCTTCCTCGGAGTCGGCAATGCCCTCGTCACGGCCGGCCCCATGGGCTTGGTGCTTTCCTATCCCGTGATCTGTTCCGTCGTCTACTGCGTCATGCTCTGCGTGGGCGAGATGGTCACCTATCTCCCCGTCGCGGGCGCCCGTATGCGTCTGTCGGCGCGCTTCGTCGACCCCAGCCTCTCGGCCGCCATGAGCTGGAACTACTGGTACTGCTGGGCTCTCATCGCGGCCGCCGGGGCCTCTGCCGTGGCCGTCCTGATGACGTACTGGACGGATGCTGTCAATAGCGGTGTCTGGATCGCCATCTGTCTTGCCGTCACGCTGGGTGTCAACCTGTGCGGACCGCGTGTGTACGCTGAAGTCGAATGCTGCATGTCATCCGTCAAGGTTACCACCATTCTCGGCCTCATCATCCTCTCCATCGCCGTGGACGCAGGTGCTGGCTCCGACGGCGACGTCATTGGGTTCTGCTACTGGACAGACCCGGGCCCCTTTGTGCAGTATTCGGACGTCCCAAGCCGGCTGGTTCAGTTCCCGGGCATCTTCTCGGGCCTGAAGACGGCAGCCGACGGCGTCTGCGAGTCCCTATGTCATTGTCATTGAGCATGCGGGCATCAAGGCGCTGCCGGGCATCATCAACGCGTGCATCCTCACGTCTGCACTGCCCGCCGGTATTTCGGAGCTGTTCACAGCCTCGCGAACGCTGCACGCAATGTCTGGCTCAGTCCTAGCGCCCAAGTTCTTCTCCCAGACCACGAGCTAGGGCTGCCCCTGGGTCGCCGTGCTGGCCACCTGGAGCATTGGTCTGCTGGCCTTCCTGACTGTGGGGTCCAGTGCGTCGGTGTATTCATCTTTCTGGTGAAGCTGACCGCTCTGTCTGGCTTCATCACCTGGGAGTGTATCGCAGTGACCTACCTTCGCTTCAGGGCGGACATGAAGGCGCAGCAAGTGCCCAAGAGCGTACTGCCATGGAAGAGCGGTTTCAGCACAATCGGTGCGTGGGGGATCATCATTGTGATATCCTCAGTGTTATTGTTCAGCGGGTGGCTTATGTTCAAGGAGGGAAACTGGAGCACGGCCGAGTTCTTCGGCAACTACCTGCCATTGATGATGTTTGTGGCTGTGTACGGCGGCTTCAAGGTGGGCACGCGCAGCCGATTCGTGAGGACGAGTGAGCTGGATTTGACGACGGGCCTCGAAGAGATTGAGAGGAAGACAGCGCAGTGCAAGGAAGAGGACAAGGCGGAGAAAGCGACTAAGCCAGGAGTAGAGTCGCGACTGCCTGAGGAGGCTCGTGGCGTGAGTATTAGGGGAATTTCAGAAAGGTAGGCGTCCAAGGAAGGAGTCCACTCTGGTATGCTCAGAAGTCCGAAGTAAAACAATGGATTTGAATCAAATGGAATGGACTGAATGAATCGCTTTGTTGCCTCTAGTCGCTCGTCACGCATCTCACCCGAGATAACGGTGATACGGTAGACCAGGCGACAGACAGTCTGGAACCGTGCCACAACTCCTGTGACACCACATTCCGACCGTTGAACAGCTTGCAAGTTCGCTGCAGCGCAGGGCAGCATTGCAGCCAAAATTTGCGGCCAGCGTGCGTGGTCGGCCGGCATCAGGTTGGACAGACTGGAGTCAGTCGGTCGCGGCGCCCGGGCATCAATCTGTGACAAACGATTTGGTCACCACCACCAAAGGTGAGTAATGTACGTGCGACGCGATGATCATGTGGCCCATTGAATTTTTTTCCTCGGCCACCGGGATCGTGGCCAGGCAGCGGGCACGCCAGGTGTGCTTGCATGGAGATGGATAGAAAAAAACCCGGCAGGTTGAAGGGAGGCCACCGACAACGGAGATAGGCATGCATTGGCAGCATTGCATCACAGATAAAAGATAGATGGGCACGATGGATGGGTGCGTGGGCCGATGCGCGGGCTGCATCGATTGGCAGGTGATAGTGTGGGGAGCTGTCAGACCCACGCCGAGCCCGGCACAGAAACGTCGGAAGGACTAACCGACACATCTTTGGCGTGGTGGACCTGCCTCCGGCTTTCGGTCGGTGTAAGTGGCAGGCAGGTGAGCGCGAGCTAGCGAAGAGCTCAGCCGCCTGCCTGCTGATAAGGCCATCGTGAAGGGGTATATACTGCTGTCCATCTGGACCAGACACATTCATTGTCTCTTCCTTTGTTCTTTTCAATCATCATCCATCCAACAATAATCTAATCAATAAGTGTCTGCAATCGTCTCGTTGCCATCGACTTAAAAAAGACACCTATCTCACGACAACTTCCACCCAACAGTAAACAGCACTCACAGCAATATCACCATGCGGGTCTCTACCGCCCGCAAGATCGTGGCCCTGCCCAAGCAGGGCGCCGACTACCTCCCACTCGAGCCCTTTGCCGCCAGCCTCCCACGGCCAGCCCAGACTCAGAGGCAGCAACCACGGCCACTGGCCAAACTACCCACCAGCGTCGTCCTGCGCTCCCTCGCCGTCAACTACGCCATGTCCTCCCCTCTCCTCAACAGCGTCTCCATGGCTGTCCTCCGCCGCGCTGTTCACCCCACAAACGCCCTCTTCGACACGGCCAAGAACCCTCTCCTCCGCTTCCTCCTCAGGGCCTTCGCCTACGACCAGTTCTGCGCGGGCATGAGCCCCGGCATGGTCCAACGGCGCATCTCTGGACTCAAGGACATGGGCTACCGCGGCGTCATTCTCTGCTACGGCAAGGAGACTGTCATCAAGGGCGGTGCCGCCTCTACCCAAGACAAGATCAAGTCTCTCATGTACGGACCGCAGGAGACCCTCATGGTCGAGCAGTGGAAGGATGGTCTGCTCAAGACGCTTTCGTGCCTCGGTGCAGGTGACTTCCTCGCCATCAAGGTGACCGGTGCCGGGCCCATGGCGCTCGATGCCCTCAAGGCCGGCGAGTCCATGCCCGCCCCCCTCCAGGCGGCCATGGACGAGGTGTGCGCCTTGGCCTCATCCCAGGGCGTCCGCTGCTGGCTCGACGCCGAGCAGGCCATGCTCCAGGGCACTATTGACGAGTGGGCCATTGCTCTCATGCGCAAGCACAACAAGCACGGCGTTGCCGTCATGTCCAACACCATCCAGGCCTACCTCAAGGCGGCTCCCGCCAACGTCAAGCGCCACGTCGAGCTGGCCTCCGAGGAGGGCTGGACCCTCGGCATCAAGCTCGTCCGCGGCGCCTATATTGACACCGACCCCCGCCACCTCATCCACGACACGGCCCAGGACACCCACAACTGCTTTGACGAGATTGCGCGCGGCCTCATCTCCTGCGACATCCCCGAGGGTGGCCAGGCGACCTTCCCCACGACCCAGCTCTTCATGGCCACCCACAACGCCGAATCTGTCCGCAAGGCGCTCACGCTCCAGCGCGAGCGCGTCGAGGCCGGCCAGCCCTGCGCCCTGCTCGAGTTTGGCCAGCTCCAGGGCATGGCCGACGACGTGTCCTGCGAGCTCCTTGAGGAGTGCGGCCACAACAGCGGACCCAACGCGCCTGGCGTCTACAAGTACCTCACCTGGGGCACCCTGACCGAGTGTCTCGGCTACCTGTACAGGCGATCGCTCGAGAACAAGGGCATGGCCGCGCGGGCGGGCGAGTTGGCCGGCGCCATGGGCAATGAGCTCTGGCAGCGTGTCAAGACGCTCAAGTTCTAAGCGGTCCACGACTCTTTTTCTTTTTGTCTCCTGGAGGATTTTCGGAGCCGGTGCATAGATGAAGCGAGCGTTGCTATTTGGGGTTTCTTTTAAAGCGTGGTGAAAACGGTCATGGTCATGATAATGAATACTCATGAAAACCTACATCTAGAAGGATATCAAACAACATTACTAAAGTCGAGTACCTCCTTCTCTTGTGATTTCCTGCGCTCAGTCACTCGGATGCTCAACCTCTTGAGAACTCACGTCACACATTCTCAACAGCATCACAGAGCACCACTGTAGTCCAACGATTCATTCTTTCACTCTTTCATTTCATAACCGTCTAAAAGTCCTCGACCGTAGTACCAGCGCCCTCCTTCTGGGCCAGCTCCAGCAGCGACGATCCGACGGCAATGTCCATGATGCCAATGCCCACGCTCTTGTACACCACGAGCCCCCCCTTCAACCACGTATCCAGCTCAGCCTCGGTGCCTTTCTCCTGCGTGTATAGAATCTCCCCCACCTCCCGCATCTTGTCACCCTCGATACCGGCCTTGGCCAGCTCCCCTGCCTCGGCCAGGCACCCATCGCGCGTGTCCACCGCCACCTGTGCGCCCAGCACACCCTGGGCCAACTCGGACCCGGCGTCGACAACTTTGCGCAGATAGTCGGGGTCAATCTCCTGCATGTCCAGCCGATACGACCCGATCATGGAGATGAACCTCGTCTTGCGCCTCGCCTGCTCCGTTAGCAGCCACGAGGCAGGAAACAGGGGTGCCGTCGAGGGCGTCGTGCAGAACAGTACGTCAGCCGCCGTGACGACGTCCTCCAACGACTCCTTCTCCGCGTCAAAGATGCGGATCTTGTCCGTCGACGCGCCGCTCTGCTTCACGCTCTGCAGCAGATGCTCCGCCCGCTCCCGGGAGCGGTTCACGATGATAATCTCCCGGATGGCGTCGCCCTTGAGGACGAGCGCGAGTAGAATATGCCACAGGGCCTGCTTGCCGGCGCCAAAGACGACGATGCTGTCCGTGACCTCGCGGAAGCGGTAGAGCAGCATGATGCCCAGGGCGGTGCGAAAGGCCGTCAGGCCGGCGGCGTTGAGGACGCCGACCGCGCGCCCAGCCTCGTCGCAGAGCGTGAGCACGCTGTTGAGCCCCGCGGCCGTCTTGGAGGTCTGCCTGTCGGCGGGCGTGACGCCGACCATCTTGGTGCCAATGTGCGACGTGGTGGACGAGGGCATGAAGAGGCTGACCTGGCCATCGCGGTTGACGACGGCGCGATGGGGCTGGTGGGCCTTTTCGGCGCCGTCGAGGGCGTAGGTTGTCAGCGCGGACCCGAGGCTGGCGAGGATGGGCTGGAGGGTGGGCGCCGTTAGGGACGTAAGGAGGCGTGTGACCGTGCGGTCTGTGAGCACGGTGAGCGACATGGTGGTGGTGGTAGTGGTGGTAGTGGTGGTGGTGATGATTGGCTGCGCTGGAGTGACGCAAGCTTGATGGCAAGATTGACCGCCAATCTGGAGGTCTGGTATGGTAGATAGATAGGGAGATAGGGAGATAGGGAGATAGGGAGATAGGGAGATAGGGAGATAGGGAGATAGGGAGATGTAGGATGGCTGGCGGGAAGTCTGGCGATCTTGATAACAATCGAGGATCGCCCCCCCCGAGTTCGGCCCCGCCCCTCGTGTCTGAAACTCGTGTCTGATAGTCCGACACCAACGCTGACGGACCGTAACCGAAGACGGTTGCGTTGTCCGTACAGTCAGAAGGACGGTGGATTAATTAAACGCTTTGGACGTACCGATTGCTATGTTGCGCACGTGACACGAGACAGCCTAAGCAATATCATGGCTGGGTGAGCCCAGGTCATGGTAGCATTCCCTGGCCTGGTTCCATGTCCAGTCCCGCCTGTAGGAATTTGAAAAGTCAATAGTCTCGCTCTCTGACCCTGCATGTTCAGGGACAAGTCATGGATAGAGCCCGAAAGAGACATGAGATTTCAAGGGGGCCATTGCCTCAAGAGTGTCAACGTAGTAGTACACTATGCTAGGTCTTTGAAAGCACCGACGTCTCTGAGAGGACCAAGCACTGCCAACGGCTCTGCACATATCATTATCATTCGTCATGCTGCTATGCCGCGTCGCCATCCGCACTCTGGTTGACGACCAGCTCTTCCGGGGCCACGTCCCACTCCTCCTCCTCGCCCCAGACCGGTGCCAGGACAAAGCGTCCCATGATCTTGCCCATGCCGATACCATCGCCCCCGACGGCGCCCGTCGCGGCCTTTTCGTCATTCTCCTCCACAATGACGGCCGTCGTCGTGAAGTTCATGCCGGTCGCAGGGCTCATCTCTAAGACGCGCCCACCCCAGTCCAGCTCGACCTTGCCCGATTTCCGCACCACCATCTTGCCCACCATGCCACCCTGCGTCAGCAACGACGACATGAAGCCGTTCTCCTCTTCCGGGTCGTCTCCCTCGTCGCTTCTCTGCTCGGCCTCGTCCGCGTCGTCGTTGGCCCCAGTCAGGTCGACCTGCGCAGGATCCGCGGCCGGCACGTCGGACATGGAGATCTCGTTGGACTCAGGCTTCACCCTGCCCTCTGCCTGCGGCTGCGGTCCCGGTTTTAGCGGCGGTAGTAGAGGCGGGAACTGGAACAGATACATGCGGCCGTCCTTATCCGCCGGGTTCTCCGTCTGCGCCCCGCCGTCCATGGTGACAGCCCCGAGCTCGCCCGCCAGCAGATCAAGGTCCGACTGGATGACCCGTTCTTCGGGGTCCTGAGGCGGCTTCTTGACCTTGATCTCGACCTTTGGCTTCTCCTTCTTGACCGCGCCCTTGACCTTTTGCTTGACTTTCTCGTCCAGGTCCATGGCGTCCTCATCCTCGGCTTCTTTCTTAACGATGCCTTGCATGCTGTCGGCCTTTTCTTCGTCCCCCGTCGTCTCCTCCGTCGTCGAGGGCTTGTCTTGGTCGGTGTCGTCATCCACCCATAGGCTCTCCTCCTCCTCGGGTGCCACAGCCACGGCCTCGCCCGCGTTCTCTGCGGCCTCGAGCTCGGCTGTTGTCGCCACCACGACCTCTGTCTCCTTGTGTTTCTTGCGGAAGATACCCATGGGCATGGCGTCCATTTTCTTGCCGATCACCTCCATCATCTCTTCGTCTGCACTGTCGATTTCCTGGTCCGGCTGTGGGTTGTGCAGCTTGTCGGCATTGATTCGCTTGTCCCAGGGCGCTGAGGTGCCTTCGCGGAAGCCTGCCTGTCCTCTGCTTCGTGAGGGCCCGCCTCCTGATGCGTAGCTGGAAGCGAAGCCGCCTCCGCCTCCGCCACCTCCACCACCGCCTCCGCCCCAGCCGCCGCCAGATCTCGCTGCCAACACGGTTAGTGTGCGTAGTTGTAAGCCCATGCACAGGAAAACCTACAGTCACCGCCCGAGAACAGGCCTGAGGAAGAAGTCACGCCCATCCGGTTGCCCCGTGACCCCATTGTATCGCCTCGCGTCTTCTTGCTCCGGCCTCGTGCCCGTCCTCGCGCCTTCTTCTCCTCGGCTGCGCGAGCAGAGGCCTTCTTCTCCTCCTCCCGCGCCATGGTGTCTCGCTCCGACTCATCTCGCCTAATGTTCTTGGGTCGGAAGCGTCCGGTTGTGGGCGCCGATGCGCCGCGTCCTCCGCGTGTTGTGCTCGGTGTCCGGCCAAGTGCGCTCGGTGTGGTGCGACCTGGGGTGGGCGTCGACGCACCAGGTGTCGCTCGTGGTGTCGCGTCGCGCGATGCGGCTGCGCCCGCGCGGCCACGCGCCGTGCCTCTTGAGCCTCTATTCATTGCGATGGCTCGAGTGGCAAGCGGAGGATCAAGGGGAGGTGATTGCTGAGGAGAGTGTGAGCGGGACGTTGGAATGACCCAAGTTCTCCAACTGGGATCTCGAACTTTTTTGGATTTAGTGGTGGGGTCCGAAGCCGCCTTTGGGGCGCCCCACCACACTGTACACTATGTACGCTGACATGAAAGACAAGGAGAACAGTAATGAATCAAGCAAATTATACGCAGCTACTTGACGCACATGAGTGCTTCCTCGCCAAAGTGCTCTTCTACACTGCCTTCTTTCGAGAGCATCGCTCCAACCCACTCTCGCCCGCCTTCTACCGTCCTGGCACCGAGCTTGACTATGACGCAGCTTCGAACTTGGGCCGCTGACCATAGTATCCCCTGCTCCCTCTCCATCCTGATCCTCCGTGCTCGCCATCGTTCCAGCTCAGACAGTTGGCTGTCTTCTTTCGCTTGATCCTCAATGGTACGAAAGTCGCGCGCACCTAGCCTTGGCAAAGCGGCAAACTCTGTCGTGAAAAAGTCCGCCAAGCGCTGCACCTTTGGTCCGCGCAGAATGAGAGTGCCAAAGACGGCCATTTGATGCATGGCGTCTCTCAAGGACCGGCCCAGGACGACACTGTCCGGGCTCGACAGGAGAACGGTATCTCTCACGAGGAGTCTTGGCTTCGCGTCTGGACTGTGACCAGCCAGCCACACCTCATTGCAGCCTTTCCAGGAGACGAAACTCCAGTTTTCTCCACGAGCCGTCCGTCCCTGCGTGACCCAGTCTAGGAAGCACAATGTCGACGTAGGCGTTACTGTGAATATCTGCTTCTGGATGTAGACGCTGTCCGCAAAGGGTTGGACGGGATCTGGCAGGAGACACAGGGAGGCATCATCTTGGATCCGAACGTTGAGGTTCTGGCTCGTGACAATGTCTGGCGATGCTGACTTGAAGATCTTCGTATGGCCTTGGGTGACCACACTCAGGAGGGCGGCAGCCCGCACATCGACGTCGAGGTTGATGTGGTCTCCTCCCACGAGACCTCCTCCGTAAGAGAGAAGAAAGACCAGCACGCTTTTCTGGTGCACGGATGGCGTCGGTGAAATCAGCTTCAGTGGATACTGATATGTAATGGTCTCAAGCCCATTGCCGCCCGAAGGCAGTGGGCTGACGACAATGTGTCCCTCGCCGACCTTGGAGATGGATGTAGGAAATGGTGAGCCCATGCTGGAGGACAATGGTCCAGTGATGGGTGTGGAAATCGGCTCTGCTTTCGCAACTGATCACTTGCTTTCAAGTCAACCCTCGGCGGAAGACTGCCATACACCCGTCTCGAGACAATTGAGTCCCGAGACTCGATTGTCACTTCTTGGACGCGGCATTGGGTCTGGAAATATGCGATGAACGAGCGTGCCAGTGTTCGTAGTGGAGCAGAAGTGGAAGAGAGCTTATCGCGATACGGATAGAGGCAGCCTGCCAGCGACCACGTGCACTGATTGGACAGAGTATCCGACGCTGGCCCGACGGGCAGCTGGGCCCTGGCCAGGGACACGCACCGTTAACTACAGGGGACCGGAGGCGACCGCCAAAATAAACCCACTTGGGCAAGTGGCACCATCAACGCGCCTGCCGTGCGAAGTGTCCCGCTCCACTCATTCAAGTCTCGGGTGCCACCGTGAGAAGTTGAGCTCCTCACCAATCGCGCAAAGATCAGGATCTCTTTCTCCCGTTCTCGGGTCCAGCATCTGCAGATGCCGTCGGAGCGCCAGCCTCTGCGACAGATCATGGACAACAACGCAGCAACCTCTAGTGCCGATCCTGACGCTGCGGCGCGTCGTCGTCGCTCGGGACGCGTCTCCAGGGTTCCCGACAAGTTCGCGCCAGAACCATCCAACGCGCAGGCCTCGAAGCGCAAACGCGACGACGACGCCGAGGATGATGAGAATGACGTCCCCGAGCTCGACGAAGAGGACAGCGACGAATCGAGTGACGGAGACGGTGATGCGTCGGACCAAGATCACGAGCCCGCCTCATCCCGCAGGGCGCGAAAGGCGCAGCCATCGCGCTCCAGAAAGCCCGCGGTCAAGAAGCCCAAGACCAATGGCGCTCACACCTCTGGCGCAAATCGCGCAATCACACTCCCTCGGATGCCGAAAAGGTCCGCGCGACTCGATACGGGCGACAAGACCACCGGGCTATACGGTACAGTCAAGCGCGTTTTCCACGCAGAAACTGGGTTCGCTGACCTTGCTTAGCTGAAATATTCGGATCCGGCGACACGGGCGGAATGGTAGCTCAGCAATGGCTCGAGAGATACCGCCAGGACCGCAATGAAGCGCTGCTGGGCCTCATCAACTGCATTCTCCAATGCATCGGCTGCGAGCATGAAGTGACCATCGATGACGTCCAAGATCCGGACAATATTCCGAACAGACTGACAGACTTGCAAGATGCTTACCTGGAGGTACGAGGTTGTCCATGTTGGAGTCTGAGGGGCCCCCTGCTAACGCTCTCCAGCAACAAGAAGTGGACTATCCGTTGATATCCAAGGCCAGGACGACCAGGACGTTTCGCGAGTTGCTCGTGGGATTCTTCAAGGTTCTCGTTGATGTCCTGCACGAATCCGAGGTTCTCTACAAGGACCCGGAACTTATGGACAACCTGCACGCCTGGCTCTCGAGTATGTCCTCATCCTCACTGCGAGCCTTCCGCCACACGGGCACCACCGTCGCCCTCGCAGTGACATCCGGCCTCGTCGCCGTGGCGCACACCCTCGACTACCGCATCACCACGATCGAGCAGCAGCTGCAAGCGTCCAAGCGCTCCACGGCCAAGGCCAAGTCATTCGAGATCGGACTCAACCTGAACGAGGCCACCGAATATCGCGGATTCTGTAGTGACACGATCCAGTCTTTCTTCGACACAGTCTTTGTGCATCGCTATCGCGACACCGACCCAGTCATTCGCACAGAGTGCGTGGAGGCCCTGGGCAACTGGATCTGGGACCTGCCCACTACGTTCATGGAGCCGTCATATCTCCGTTATTTGGGCTGGATGCTTTCCGACACCAACCTCACCACACGCCAAGAGGTGCTGAAACAACTCGGGCGCGTGCTCAAAAGGGATGCTGCGCAGCTCGGTCACTTTGTCGACCGATTCCGAGAGCGTATCGTGGAAATGGCCACGAGCGACAAGGATGTAGCCCCAAGGGTTGCGTCCATCTCCGTCGTCGACGCTCTGCGAGAGGCAGCCTTGCTGGAGCCGGCCGAGATTGACCGCATCGGCGAACTCATCTTCGACAGCGAGCCCAGGGTCCGCAGGGCCGTCGTGGGGTTCTTTGTTGCTTGCATCGAGGAGGCACACGAGGGAAAAGTCGACGAGCTTGGAGGCAGCGAAGTGCTGGACGAGTATGATCACGTCGAGGAAGACGACTACGAGTCTCCCAGGAGAGAGTGGGTCAGCATCAAGTGCCTCGCCGAGACTCTGTCTGCCTACGACGCCCAAATTGAGGATCGCCAACAGGACGACCATCCTATCCGCCTAGCTGTCGCAGTGGACCTGCTGGGTGCAGACCCTCCAGAAACCCGCGTCTCCCTCGCAGCCCAAGTCCTCTACGACAAGGTTGACGAGGTGAGAGACTGGCAGCTGTTGGCTGGCTATCTGATGCACGACCATACGACAAGCAAAAAGTCGGCCTCCAGATCCAAAGCCGCGTCGCACGAGAATGCTTTCAAGAAAGCTGTCGCCCCAGAACCCGCCGAAGAGGCCATCCTCCTCAAAGTGTTGGTAGCAGCTATCAAGACGGACCTAGAGCATACAGCAGAGCTTGATAAGGGCAAACGACGCGGGCAGCGCATGGAGGCGCCTGCGGCCCAGGAAAGGATTGCCGAAGCACTGCTCAACATCATCCCTCGGCTTCTGAACAAGTTTGGCGCCGATCCCGAACCTGCGAGCACGGTGCTGCATCTGGAACACTACCTGAACATCTCCATGTCGCGCCAGCTCAGGTCGGGCGGTACAAAGTATGCCAAGCTGCTCGACGAGATGTGCACGCAATTCACTCGACACAATGATCCCAGCGTCGTGTCCAGGACAGTGCATGCGCTGCTGCATGCGCGACAGCACGAGGACTCGGAGGAGCTCGTGGACGAGCGACTTGACAACCTCTGGGATACCTGCGTTGCGTCGTTACGCAGCATCAATGCCAAGTGCGAGCTGAGCAAACGAGGCAACCTGGACGCAGACTCCCTGCAAAGCCTGTCCACCGTCATCATGAAGATCAGCCGCCTCGCCGGTATCGCCAGCTGTGTCGACGTTCTCGATGCTCAGACCGATGCCGAGGACCCTGATACATCTGTGCTCAACATTCTGCTCGAGACTATCAATCGCGGGAAGTACGATCCTCAGGATAATGAGGAGATTGACGATCTCGAGGACGAGGTCGTCTCGTATGCCTTGAAGGCCTGCGGTTTCTACTTCATGTGGAGAGTCCAGCAACTGGTCAAGCTCCTCGGCGATGGAAACTACCCGTCCATGTCAGACGTCAATCTTCTCTCTTCCCTGCGGCAGAAGTATCGCCGCCACACCATCGTCACCTTCTCTTCGCGAGCGGCAGTCGATGAGCTCCGGATCTTCGCCACAGGCTGTCTCTGTGAGCTTCATGTCTTCTTTTCGAGCCTTCGCGAGCACATCAGCAAACGTCGCTCGACTGCAGCCAGCGATGCACAGCGCGATGTGCTTGACCAGCTTGAGCTCCTCGCACCCGAGATTGAACCCACGCTTGTGCCCGAGATCTTCTCGATCTTTGAGGGAGCCGAGAAGGCATTCGCCAAGCGAAGCAAACGCGTCCACCTCAACGCACCAGCTGAGGACGAAGAGCCCATCAACGACGAGGAAGAAGAGGACGACGACGACGACGAAGACGAAGCCGGCCTGAGCGAGCACGCACGACTGGCCCGCCAATTGCAGGCTGAGAAGGCACTCTGTCGACTCACAGCATTCCTGGTTGTGTGCATCAACCTCAAGCTCCTCGATAGCTCGGGGGCTTACAAAGGCCGGCTCCGGAAGCGCCTGCTGCGCAACCGCAACAAGCTTGGCAAGAACTTTAGTGATGTCGTTGCCCATCTCGACAAGAAGAACGCCCTTCCTCGCGCGGCCCAGTCTGCCAAGAAATCCACGACTACGGCCCAGGAGAGTGAGCAGCAGCCCGCCAGAGAACCCGAGCCCATTGATGATGACGACGAGGACGAAGAACAGGCAGCCCATAACGACGACCCCTTTGCCTCGGGCGACGAGCGGGACAGGGAGGCTGGGCTGGACTTTGACCCCATCGACGATGAGCCCGACGAGGCCGCGCCGCCTCAGCGGAATAACGATGTAGATGATGATATTCTCGGCGATTGATGATGACAAAAACTATACCTTTTGCTCTTGGATCTGCGTTGGCTGCTTGCTCGACGTGGCGGCAGGCGAAGAAAGAAAGAAGCCTGTCAGTTCAATTTGGGTTGGCAGTCTGGTGTACATAGCTGGGTGCAGTTGGTGTCTTTGGAACGACTGGCGTTGCAGGAAAGTCTCGGTGCTGTCACCCGTACTCAGCTATCAATGTTATTACGTACTATTGTGCTCGCGTAGTCTGCCAATGTCGTACTTGAAGTAATTGAAAGAGGGCGACTAATCCCCAGCCAGCCCAATGCATCTGAAAGTCGCTACTGCATGCAAGGTTTAAATACCAAGGAGACATCTCCGACAGAGTGTTCTGGTGGATTGTGATACGCCTTGTTTGCACAACCTCCCACGTGCCATGTCCTTGGCCTTTACTTATATACACATGGATATCAACTTATACATATAAAAGTCGCTCGATCATCACTCTATACCTCCAGGACCAAGCCCAGCTCAGATCGGAAGCGTCAGTCGTGTACCGTACAGGCCAAACATGCGCTCCCAACGGAAGTCATCGCCTGCATTGCATTTGTCGGGGTCGTCGTCGCGAACCTTGACACCGTACTGCTTGACACAGCAGTTGAATGGCTTGTTGTCGAGTTGAACAGCAGCTTTCTCGGCTTGGTTATCAGCGTCCGAACTGTCAGGGGGTGGCGCGTCAGCCAGCGTCCGCGGCCGTTCTCGTTGAGCCGCGAGGGCTGGCTCTTTGGTTTGGGGGAGGTTGCCCCATAGCACGGCCATGGCTTCCTGCAGGGCTTTCAGGTCATCTGCCTCGCGATACAGGTTGGAGGCATCGAGGTTGATGAGGCACTGTACGGCCTTGTTGTCCACGAACACCCAGACCTGCTCCCGAGAGTCTCCGGCAGCTGTCATGCTCGCGTCTTCCAGCAAGAGCGAGAATCGCCATTCCCACTCATAGGGCGCGGCATGGGCCCCAAATTCCATGTCCGTGTCGGAGCCTTCCTCGTCCGACTCCTCATTGTCTGAAAGCATGTCAAACTGGGCCAATTTCTTCGGCCGAGCAAACTTGCGCATGTCGTGCGGGTAGTAGTCTACGACGCGGACGTCGAGGCGGTGATTCCGGCAGACAAATGGCAGGGTGAGGTCTACCATTTGGTCGCCGACGTCCGTCCGGATGATGTGTTTTTTAAGGATACTGGCTACCGTGCTTGGTGGCTCCGAGGAGTGCTCGCATTTTACTGTTTTCTTGTTGGCAAGCGCGTAGTGGCAATCAGCGACGGGCAGCCTACCTAATGTGTTCAAATCGAAAGTTGGCAGCGAAGGCTCCTCCTCCTTGACCTCCAGCGTCCTGCTCTCGTCCTGATGAATGGGTTGGACTCCGCGCCCATTGCCGCCGTTTGCGGGAGCCTGTGCAGCGACCTCTGCTTCTTGCTTCTTCATTCGTCTTTTCCGACGCCGGGCTTTTGCGTTTTCTGTAGTGGGACCATTCCCAGTAGCTGGCGCGGCCTTGCGTTTCTGGCCTGCTTGCGCTGCCTGCGCGATCAAGTCGTCGGAGCCCTTTCTCTGTTTCTCGTAGTCGCGGTTCCGCCTCAGGGCGTCTCTCAGCCGTTGGTCAGTATTTGGATTCAGCTCTTTTCGTCGAAGCTCGTCGAGGTCAATTTGCGAAATGCCGATTTTGGACCCACGAGCGCGATCTTCGCGGAGAAACCCCTCTAGATTCGCCTGGTTGTTGCCGTACTTGATCTGCACATTCTTCATGGATACCCAGGCGTTTCTATCGATGTTTTCTTCGCGAATCGCAGATGCATGTGGCTCAAAACAGGTGACTTGGAGGCTGCGCTGACCTGGTATAGCGTCTGGCGCGGTCGCAATGTTGTCTCTGTTGATGAATTTGGAGCAGTACCCATAGGGGTCCCCGTCAGGGTTTCCCTGGGGGTCGGCGAGGCCGTTGCTCGATCGCTCCGGGAATCGGTAGAATGCAGGGTTCTCCGTGTAATCCGTCACCCACAGCGTGACCTTGTCCCCCTGGTCGTATGGTTTGCGCGCTACCTTGACGATGAGATCGTAGAATCTACCAGGCTCGACGTTTTGCAGCACACGAAACTTGTCCACGAAGGTCGCCGACTGTGCGACCATTGTCTGGAACTCCTCGACAGTGGGGATGCGATGCTGATTCACGTTCTGTAAAAGCCACGCTGCGTGTGCACATTCGGGAGGCGATGGTGACCATTGGTCCTCAGTGGCCACCGGTCGTGAAGCTGCAAATGGGTTTTGAGGGTCCTCTCGAAGCTTCGCTGCATCGAACAAACAAAACTTGGTGCTATAGGTGGACAGAACCGATATGGGGCCGCCACGGTGCGATTGTGTCTTTGGGCTTCAGCTTGGCCATGGACATGGGCACCCGTCCTTGCTCACCTTTACACTCCGGAGTGCGACCACATCACCGCATTTGAACTCTGGATGGCCATCCTTATTAGGGCGGAAGAGGCAGAATTCAAGAGAGTCGACTTCGTTCAATCCATCGACGGTAGTGTCGATGAGTTTACAAGTGGACTTTGAATCTGCAAATGTCAGCCACTCGTCTTCGACAGGAATCGATGAGGAAGACATCTCGCCTTTGCCTCCTGTGACCATTGGTGTCTTAGAATCGACAATAACCCCCATGACATTGGTCATTTCGCCGTAGCTACCGTCGAGTATAGCCCGGATTGCTTTAAAGCCACCAGGCAGTCGACTCGGATCATTGGACGCCGCCAGCCTCGTGGCTGACGGCTGGCGGGCGAGAGCCATCTCTCGGATCGATGAATTCCTGGCAGACCTTGGAGCAAGATTCACACGGCAACAGGGAAGAATGGTTTATTGCGCCTCGGGTGTTGAGCGTGAAGACGCGTTATCGGAGCGCGTCCGTGTCCGCCAGGAAGAGCGCGCGCTATCACGTGACTAGATCATCAGCAAGGTCAATGAGGAAGACTTTCCATCTCGAGTGGCCCATGCCTAATTATTGGCCTACATTGCTATACAGACTCGATATCGGAGTAGACTCGCATGAGGGATTGCAACAGGATGTCCCTTTGAGGCTGACGAATTCATTCAGACCAGACTGGAGACTCGATGGTAGGTAGGTTGGGCTTCTTAGAATCTTAGCCCCTCTCTCAACCCCGCCTGCGACGGCATGTGGGAATGTGCCAAACTCGTGGCTTCATAATTTCTCAAGTCATATCTGAATGCATGGTGCCTTTGCGGAGGAGTTGTCCTATAGCAAACCTGATTCTTTTCCCCAGGCTAATGGGTCTTAATTAGTAAACTCGTAGGAGGTCAATGCGCTGCAGAGCGACGCAGCCAGACGGCAGCGCACACTACCTACATCCCACGTGCACCGTGTAGCACAGATGCCAAACAGAGACATGGCATCAGAATCAGCTGAGTGCCGAGAGGTTAGCAACAGTCGAAAAGGCGCCAGTGTAAACCTTCCCGGTTAGGGCGTCCAAAGTTTCTTTCGCACATTCCCATCGTCGAGAAAGGCTTGGCGCGAGTAGCTTCTACTGACCAAAAAAGCCCGCAGTATTTGGCGTCAAGTATTCGGTGCAGTGAGCAATCTTTTATGTCATAATTCTCTCCACCCAGCACACCTCTTGGCGCAGCATTGCGCATTTTCTGTGCGAGTGCCCGTACCTTCGAAGTGCTCAGACTTTGGCTTGAGTTCCGTCTCGTACTACCAGATAAATGTGTCAGAAGCGGCTTGTACCGGTTCCAACTAAGTACGTACTTAGTCGCGGTGGAGGCGTGCACGTACTCGACCATCCCATGGAGGGGTCTGCCGGTGCTACATTCACAAACTGAATTTGGAGGAGCAAACGTCAGTCGTTTATTAGCCCGCGTCCAGCTTCCAGTCCAGTCTTTCTGGCCGCATTTCATAGGGACCCACCCAATGTTGCTTCCCCTCCACTCAAACTTTGTTACCTTTCTTCTGTCTTCTGCATCAACACACTCCAACCATTTGCAAACCACAAGCCCGGTTGCGAGTCACTCACCCTTTCTTATTGTGGGAACTCTTACAGATCCCTATTAAGCCCCTTTCGCGGCCCTCGACTTCTCCTTGTTCACAGCCGTCCTGGCCTGTAGCCGTTGACCGCCCTCCATCCTACCGTACTTGATCAAACAGCCGCCACCATGGCCGAACGATACATTCCCGAGCATCGCCGGACGCAGTTCAAGGCGAAGAGCGCCTTCAAGCCGGAGGAGCTCCGTCGCCGTCGCGAGGAACAGCAGGTCGAAATTCGCAAGGCAAAGCGCGAGGAGAACTTGGCCAAGCGTCGTGGCATTGGAACAGGCGCTGACCGTCCCGGTGCGTCGCTCGGTGCTGCCCCCGACAGCGACGATGATACCGCGCCCACTGAGTCACAGGTAAGGCAAAATAAATATCCTGCCCGTCGGTTTCGCGCTCTGTTGTTTTGAGCTCTTGCAGTTTATTTTGTTGTGTTCGCCCAGGAGAGGGTCGAGGGGACCGTGGAGGGGGCAACAGGCGCCCTAGTCTGATTGCGCACCCCACAGTACCCTGTGCACTGATCCTGACCCTGACCCTGGCTGCCCATCACGCTTGTTGCCGACTCGAGACATTGTCTACTGGCTGACCCTGATTGATAGTTGAACGAGGATCTCCCACAGATGGTCGCCGGCGTCTTCTCCGATCAGATTGACCAGCAAATCTCGGCCACCACCAAGTTCAGGAAGCTGCTCAGCAAGGAGCGCAACCCTCCCATCGAAGAGGTCATCAAGACGGGCGTCGTGAGTCGTTTCGTCGAGTTCCTCAACTCTCCCCACACCTTGGTCCAATTCGAGGCTGCATGGGCCTTGACCAACATTGCCTCCGGTTCTGCCGCGCAAACCCAGGTCGTCATCGAGGCCAACGCCGTGCCCATCTTCGTCGAGCTGCTCGCCAGCCCTGAACCCGATGTTCGCGAGCAAGCTGTATGGGCCCTCGGTAACATTGCTGGCGATAGCCCGCATTGCCGCGATTATGTTCTCAGCTGTGGCGCTCTGAAGCCGCTGCTCAACCTGCTTGGCGACAGCCGCAAGCTGTCCATGCTCCGTAACGCAACATGGACACTCAGCAACTTCTGCCGTGGCAAGACTCCCCAGCCCGACTGGGCCACGGTACGTCCATTGATTGTATCTCGTTGGCTCCTCGCTAACGCAATTACAGATCGCCCCCGCACTCCCCATCCTCGCCAAGCTTGTCTACTCTCTCGATGATGAGGTGCTCATCGACGCCTGCTGGGCCGTGTCATACCTCTCGGACGGCTCCAACGACAAGATCCAGGCTGTCATCGAGGCTGGCATCCCCCGCCGCCTGACAGAGCTCCTGATGCACGCCTCCACGTCCGTGCAGACTCCTGCGCTCCGATCTGTCGGCAACATAGTGACTGGCGACGATCTTCAAACACAGATCATCATCAACTGCGGTGCCCTGCCCTGCCTCCTCTCCTTGCTGAGCTCGACGAAGGACGGTATCCGCAAGGAGGCCTGCTGGACCATTTCCAACATCACTGCTGGTAATGCCGGCCAGATCCAGTCTGTCATTGATGCCAACCTGATCCCTCCTCTGATCCACCTGCTCCAGAACGGTGACCTCAAGACCCGCAAGGAGGCTTGCTGGGCTATCAGCAATGCCACTTCTGGTGGTCTCCAGAAGCCTGAGCAGATCCGCTACCTTGTATCCCAGGGCTGCATCAAGCCATTGTGCGACCTTCTCGGATGCCCCGACAACAAGATCATCCAGGTTGCCCTCGATGGGCTGGAGAACATTCTGAAGATTGGCGACCTCGACAAGCAAGCGGCCGAGGGCTCTGGCGAGGCAGTCAACCGCTACGCATTGTTCATCGAGGACTGTGGTGGCATGGAGAAGATCCACGAGTGCCAGAACAACGCCAATGGCGAGATCTACCTCAAGGCATACAAGATCATCGAGCAGTACTTCTCGGACGAGGACGAGAATGTTGATGAGGGCATGGCTCAGCCTGAGGGCGCCAATGGTGCTTTCGGTTTCGGCGGACAACAGCAGCAACAACAGCAGCAGTCTGGCGGCTTCAACTTTGCCAACGGTGGCGATTCCATGGACATGTAGAGCACCGGGCTTTTTTCCAGCGTTCACGCGCCACGTCCTGGACCGGCCATGTCCACGGACTCTGAGCGATCATCTGGGCCTGACGAGGGCACTGATGCCCCTGGTGGCGCTCGTCCAATTAGCACTCATCAATCCCCCAACCCCTATTCCCGACCATGATGCTGAGGTGCTTTTGCGAGGTTGATCAGCACAGCATACCACAGAATATACAGCAGGCCCTATGGTAGCTTGAAAGCTCCAGCCTGTACAAATGATGACGATCACGAGGTGGATGACCAGAGCATGATGAGATGTACTGGAGACTGAAGCTCAAAGTAAGCGACTTGATATCAAGGCTGGTGCTAGTGCACCTTGCTTAGCGAAAGAGCCATAACTGCGGATAATCGAACAGCCAAGTGGCTGGAGGTAGATGGACCGTAGCAACAAAACAATCCCTGAATACGTTACCCCGTCTGACTGTGTCTGTGAATTCTGTGAGGTGTATACAGATGTACTATGACTACAATATATATTTACCAAATGTCTTTATGGCCCAGTTCGCTCAAGGTGTTGGCGTGCACTGTGCGTGCTTCGTCTACGACCTAGTATAGCACAGTGCGTAAACGGTCAAGGTTTCTGACTCCGACTAGTTACGACGACTAGACAGACAGATTTACAAGACCCTCATCGCATCTTCCTTCTCAACGCCGCGCGAGGCAGACCTTGCCACACAAATCCTACGCTATTTTCACATGACCAGAATTTTCTCAAAGCGTGCCCACCACAGCCAATCTCGAGATCTAGTCTATGTTGTTGCAGGACAAACTGGTGTCTCGGACCGAACGCTCGATCTGCACACCTCACCATCGCCACCATGGTGAAAAAGGGCGGCAAGTCAAAGGCCGAGCCTCCTGCTCCCGCACTAGCTGCTGCACCCGTTAAGGACGGCAAAAAAGGGAAGAAGGCCCCCGCTCAGGAGGAACAACTGCCGCCACCGGGTCCCCCCAAACCAACCGTCAAGCAGATCATTGGCGGTTCCTCATGGACCGGCAAACTTCCTGTCAATCTCTTCTCCGAGTACTGCCAGAAGCAAAAATGGGACAAACCCGTGTTCGACACGAGGAAGACCCCCGAGGGGTTCTCTGTGATGATCACACTCAGCGCCAAGGATCCCAAAACGCAGGAGACCACGAGGCTAGAGCCCTTCAAGATCCCTGCGAGCCACAAGCATCTCATTATGCGGGACACGGCGCTGGAGGCGAAGCATGCTGCGGCGACATATGCCCTGTTTCGGGTCTGCAGCATGCAAAACAAGCACACTGTGCTGCCTCCAGACTACAAGTCGCTGTGGAAAGACTTTCAGGCGCTGAAGGCGGCGGACGTGAAGGAGGGCAAGGCATGGCAATATGATGCTGATCCGTTCAAGACGCATCGCGAGCGAGAAGAAGCAAAGCAGGCTGCGGAGAAGAGAAGAAAAGAGATGGAGCAGGCGAAACAGAAGGCCAAGGACATGCCTGGTGCCTCTGGTCTAGCGCTTCTCCAGAAGGATGGAGGGCGCGCGAACATGATGAAAGGCTGGACAACAGCGCCAAAGGTTGAGATGGGACGCCTGACCAGGATACAGTTGGAGTCTATCCTACGAAAAGGCATTTCCTGGAATCCTCACGGAGTGGTGATGACCAAAGACCAGAAAAGTTCTGTGGTGAATGAACTGGTAAAACTGGGGTTCCGACAAAGCCACGCCGGCGAGGCGGTGGAATATTGCAAGGATCGGGAAGAGACCTTGGAGTGGCTGCTCATTCACGTTCCCGAAGACGACCTTCCGCGATGGGCGCTCCCTGAGAGCTACGCAGTCGGTGTCTCCATAGGCACCACGGATCTGAAGCGGGAGGGCATCATCAAGAGACTTGCGCAGACGGGGTATTCCCTGGAGCTCTGCACGAGAATGGTAGACGAAAGGGGAGGCGACGAGGGCGCAGCAGCGCATGCCTTACAGGAGCTTCTCCTAAACAGTGGCGCCGATGAGAAGCCCACATCAGAAAATGACGATGACGCAGACTTCCTGGACATGGGATCTCCGGAAGAGCAGTGGTCTGAAGAAATCGCCAGTTTAGAGGCCATGTATGGCGAGGACTTTCGACGGGAGAACGACAAGCTCATTCAGATCCGACTTCCAGATGTCAAGAATGCCGGCCAAGGCAAGGTCGATGCCTTTCTGCAGGTTCGCGTGGCACCACTATACCCAAAGGAGCTCATTCTTGCCATCGTCGCCAATCTGCCTAGCTATATAAAGTTGAGTATCATCAAGAAGGCGCTGGCCTACATGAATGGCCAACTCCGCGATGAGCCCATGAAGATCTTCTTGGTGGTGGACTGGCTGCAGCAAAACATCAACGGCATCATCGAGAATCCCGGCAAATTGGTTGACATCTCGGCTGTGTCCTCGGCCGCCTCCGAGGCACAGCCTGCCGCGTCCTCAACTCGAGGCAAGAGGGCGCAGAAAGCGCCGAAGCCGATACAATGGGTGGCGGATCAGCAGAGCAAGGAGCGATGGCGGCAACGGCAGCAGTCGCCGGCGGTTCGCGCCATGCTAGACAAAAGACGGAAGCTGCCTGCTTGGCAGGTCCAGGAAGACATCGTGCAGACGGTGGACGAGAACCATGTCACAATCATCAGTGGAGAGACCGGTTCCGGAAAGTCGACGCAGTCAATGCAATTCCTCCTAGATGACCTGTATGCCCGTGGACTCGGCCAGTGTGCGAACATGATCGTCACGCAGCCGCGACGTATCTCTGCACTGGGTCTTGCCGATCGAGTTGCTGAGGAGCGCTGCGGCAAAGTCGGAGACGAGGTTGGCTATACTATCCGAGGAGAGTCGAAGCGATCAAAGGACACAAAGATTACCTTCGTCACTACTGGTGTCTTGCTGCGTCGTCTGCAGACTTCTGGTGGGAATGTGCAAGATGTCGTTGCGGCCTTGCAAGATGTGTCTCACGTGGTCATTGACGAGGTTCACGAGCGCAGCCTGGATACCGATTTCCTGCTCAACCTCCTGCGTGAGGTGATGCGGTCGAGGAAGGACATGATCAAGCTGATTCTCATGTCTGCCACTCTCGATGCTGCCACGTTCAAGAACTACTTCAGCTCGGAAGGTCTGAGAGTGGGCGCTGTGGAGATTTCTGGGCGCACATTCCCCGTCGAGGATTTCTACCTGGACGATATTGTACGCTATACCGGCTTTACGGGCAGTTATGGTGAGAATGCCCCCTCTCTCACAGACGAGGGCATGGGCAAAGTCATCCAGCAGCTGGGTTCGAGGGTCAACTATAATCTGATTGTCGAGTCTGTCAAGTCCATTGATGCCGAGCTCGACTACGAAGGCAAGGATGGCGGTATTCTCATCTTCTTACCAGGTGTTGGGGAGATCACGTCCGCGTGTCGCGCCCTCCAAGGCATCAACTCCCTGCACGTCCTTCCTTTGCATGCATCCCTCGAGACACGGGAGCAGAAACGCGTCTTTGCCAGCCCACCGCCAAACAAGCGTAAAGTCGTCGTAGCCACCAACGTTGCAGAGACGTCCATCACGATCGACGACATTGTCGCAGTCATCGACAGCGGAAAGGTCAAGGAGACGTCCTTCGACCCGCAGAACAACATGCGCAAATTGGAGGAGACGTGGGCCTCGAGAGCAGCCTGCAAGCAACGTCGTGGACGTGCTGGCCGTGTACAGGAGGGCAAGTGCTACAAGCTGTACACGCGGAATCTTGAGGCACAGATGGCGGAAAGGCCGGAGCCTGAGATCAGGAGAGTGCCCCTGGAGCAACTATGTCTCTCTGTGCGCGCCATGGGCATGAGAGACGTGGCTATGTTTCTGGGTCGATCGCCTACACCGCCAGACGCGACTGCCATTGAGGGTGCTCTGACGCTATTGAGACGCATGGGCGCATTGGATGGGGACGAGTTGACAGCCATGGGTCAGCAGCTTGCCATGTTGCCAGCAGATCTACGCTGTGGAAAGCTCATGGTGTTTGGCGCCATATTCGGCTGTCTTGATGACTGCGTCACCATCGCCGCCATCCTCAGCACTAGGAGTCCTTTCCTGTCCCCCCAAGAGCGGAGGGAACAAGCCAAGGAGGCAAGGATGCAGTTCTACGATGGACATGGAGATCTGCTCACCGATCTCGAGGCCTTCCGAGAGTGGGACGCCATGTATCACGAAGGCCTGCGCCAACGCGAAGTGCGGTCTTGGTGCGATCAAAACTTTCTGGCGTACAATACGCTGTCCGACATAGCCAGCACGCGGTCCCAGTACTTCTCGGCTCTCGTCGAAATCGGCATCATCTCGCACAATCGACAGGCTCCCACGGGCGACCGCAATCCGCACCTGTTGCGGGCCCTCCTTGCCGCCGCTTTCACGCCGCAGGTGGCCAGGATTCAGTATCCGGACAAGAAGTTTGCCTCGTCTGTGTCTGGCGCTGTCGAGCTCGACCCGGAAGCGAAGATGATCAAGTACTTCAACCAAGAGAACGGACGAGTGTTTGTGCACCCGGGTAGCACACTGTTTGGCAGTCAGTCGTTTAGTGGGCACGCAAACTACATGTCATACTTTAGCATCATCTCCACCAGCAAGGTCTTCATTCGAGATCTGACGCGTAAGTCCAGTCACTTCTTCTGCCGCACAGTAGACTCGCCGGCTGACATGATCATAGCTTTCAATGCGTACACGCTGCTCCTCTTCTGTGGCTCGATCGAGTTGGATACTCTCGGACGTGGGTTGCTGGTTGACGGCTGGCTACGCCTACGCGGATGGGCGCGGATTGGCGTGCTCGTCGCGCGATTGAGGGGCCTGGTGGATGACTTGATTGCAGAAAAGGTCAGGAATCCTGGTGTTGAGGTTGGTGACCGGGAAGTCATCAAACTGGTCACCAAACTGATACAGCTAGATGGATTGGATTCATGATGTTTGGACACACATAGAGGTAGAGAAAACCACCAAGTCTTTGGTGGACTTGAATACCCTGCACACCAGACTCCCGGTTGCATGCACAGGTGCGATCGTCTGAATGGGAAGGAATTCATTCTTATGCAATGAAGTATCAGGGCCTCATGAGATTAGTATTTCTTTCCCCACTGATAGACGCTTGGAGCAAAATGGATGGTGTGGACCATGGTCCTGTTACCAATGATTACGATGCATCTACCAACACACCGCAGCTTGATTCATACAGCACCAGCAGACATCACTTCATCATAGCCCATGCCAACCTCAGACCGAGAGCCCGAAGAGGCCATCACAGAAGAAGAGATTCGCGCCACAGAGCCACCCAAAAATGCCTGTTCGTGATGGCCATCTCCCCACACAACCATAGTCCTAACGCCATCATCTCACAGTCACGGAGCTCATGTCCCCCAAACCACGCCTGCCAACGCCAGGAACACACGCACGCGCCCATCTCCATCCCTCAAAGGACCGCGCGGGTCTAGGTGCCTACCTCCATGATCCCGCCTCCTCCGCGCGCGTCATCACATACAGCGATGACTTTGTCGCTATCCATGACATGTTCCCCAAAGCCACGGTGCACACCCTCCTGCTCCCACGAGACCCCAATGTCAACCTGATGCACCCGTTCGATGCACTCGCTGACGACGCCTTTCGGGGGAGTATCGTAAAGGAAACCGCCAAGCTGAAGGATCTGGTCGCGCGGGAACTGCAGAGATTACTAGGCAAGCACAGCAAAACAGACGCCGAGAGGGAGGCTATACTCAACGGAGATAAGGAACCGACTTCGGCGGAGCTGCCAGCGGGGAGGGACTGGTCGAAAGAGGTCAAGGTTGGCGTTCACGCCGTGCCGAGCATGTCCCATCTTCACGTCCACGTGCTGTCGAGAGACATGCACTCCCCACGGATGAGGCACAGGAAACACTACAACTCCTTCACAACGCCCTTCCTGGTGCCGCTGGAGGACTTTCCGCTGGCGGAAGACGACCCGAGGCGACGGACGGGGGAGGAGGCGTATCTCAAATGGGACCTCAAGTGCTGGCGCTGTGGGAGGAATTTCAGGAACAGGTTCAAGGAACTAAAGGAGCACCTCGAGGATGAGTTTGACGAATGGAGGAAGGAATAATGCACCTGCGATCCCACGCTGTCATGATACGTGCGCGCAATGTCGTTCTCATGCGCCTCGCTCATATTGAGAACCAACACAGAAGTCATTCCATGCCGAGTCAAAAGGTCACGCTTATTTCGCCTCGAGCCTATTGCAATATTTCATCGATACACCGAACAAAAAGGGTTCGGGGTTGATGCACTATCCCCCATTAAAAAACCCATTGCCTTCCATCCGCCCAAGAACAAACTCGCAAACGCCAGACGAACCCATAAATGACACGACTCTCCCAAGCCCGAGATGCCCTCATTGACGATAGTGAGATAAAGAAATATTAAGCAATATACATGCATCACCAGCCCGTCACTGCAGACAGCTCATACTCGCTGCATCATGTGAAGAGCAGGCGGGGCAGTGGTTGGTTTACTAACGCCATCAGCCAAATATGCTCGCGATCTTGCCCCAGGGGGAGGGCCGAACCTCCTGCTTGTGGTCATCATCATCTTCTTCAGCGCTGTCGCCGTTCGCCTGTACGTCATCATTGTTATCGTCCCCTCTTTCGCCGTTGGCCTCCTCATCCTCGTACTCGTTCTTGTCGTCGGACAAAAGGGCTTCTTCAAGACGTGTTACCATTGGTGCCACAACACACTGCTTGAGCGGTAGGTACTCACCTTCAGCATCATCGGTGTCCTCTGGGACCGAGTCCTCGACAGGAGCAGCAGCAGCAGCAGCAGCAGCAGCAGCAACAGCAGCAACCTCCTTTTTCGCTGTCTTACCCGACCCAGCAGGACGACCCCTCTTCTTCCCACTGGACGGGGTGGTAGTCGCAGCAGCAGCCTTCTTGGTGGCACCGGTTCCAGCCGGGCGACCTCTTTTCTTCGGCGTTGTTGCGTCAGCTTCTGGATCCGCGACCTTCGCCGTGGTCGACGCTTTGCCAGTGCCCTTGGGGCGGCCTCTGGGTTTCCCTGTCCCCTCAGGCTTGGCCGCTGGCTTGGGTGCGTAGTTCACGGCGGGACGCCCATGGGCGCGCTTCGTCACGCCGCCAGCAGGTCCCGGGTTGGGGCCGGTGGGGGGGGCTGGCTTGGGCGCATTGGTGCTACCCTTGGGTCTTCCGCGGCCGCGCTTCGCGGGCTCGGTGGTAGGTGCCATTGAACGGAGAAGAGAAGTACGTGGCGGCGATATGTGGATGACGAGACTTCAGCGACCGACACGAACGAATTAGAGAGAGGGTGAGTGTATCATGTGGTGTTGCGGATGGACTTCGCGGCTGTGAGAACAAGACGCGCTCTGGATATTGGCAGGCGCGTTGGTCATGATTAGCCCCAAACTGGACGGAAAGTGAACACAAAATTTATGCAAAATTTATGCATATCGAGCTATCCTCATTGTGTGAAGGTAAGGTAGTTACAGGCCCAACAGCAAGCCCAGAGCATTCAACTGCTCGTGGTACGTAATTTGTTTGCTGAATTGCTCTTTCTGCAGCCTCACTCTGATCCGCTCGAGACATCGCCGTCGTCGCCGGGATCACCGCCGTCTGCGGCCTTCTTCTCTCTCGCCTGCGCCCTACGTCTCAGCTTCTTAGCCCTGTTTGCGCGCTTCTTCTTTTCCTTGAGATGTTCCTCCTTCTCCTCTCGTAGCTTAGCCTTACTCTTCTTCTGCTCCTCCTCCTGCCGGACCTTGGTCCTCATCTGTATCCTTCGTTTCTTCCCCGGCCGCCGCCTCTTCTCTTCACTCTCCTCTCCTTCCGGGACCACGGTGACTCCCTTCCTGGTAATGGTGATATGTGTGACCTTCCACGGTAGCTCTGATGACCAGTTGCGCCACGAGGAGCGCGCAAGCACTTGGTCACCCGTCATGGCTGCTACTCCATATCGTTCTCTCTGTTGCACCGACGGACGCGCGAGGGTGAGGTATGTTGGTCTAGGGCCTTCAAAGCCGCCTTCACCTTCAGGCTCACTGTCATCGTGAATGTTGACTTTGGTAGCGCCAGCATTGGAACCGCCAAACAGGCAAAAATCGTACTCCTCTTCTGCGGGTTTCTCTTCCACGGCATCGCCCATAATCTCATCCTCGCTGTCAGAATTCTCTGCCCGGGCTGCTGATTCCGAGCGAGCTGATGGCTGCTTTGCAGCTGATGGCGGTAAGGGTGGCGGCTGCGTGAAATCGAACCCTAACGATTGCGCCAGTTTCGCCTCCAGCTGTGCTGTCATTTGGGCATCCTCCTCTCCATCGCTGGCGCCTCCATGATCGAGAAGATCCTCCCGTCGGACCCTTTCTGGTCAATTCCCATCGCTGTCAACTCAGCAAAGCCACTTACCTTTTCGCCTGCGGTTCCTCGAACATAGTCACACGGGCGAGACTAATGCGATCTCCCGAGACTAATATCGACGTGGCCCAATCGTGTATGCCGTCAATTGAACCAATTCAAATGATCTTGGGCGTCTGGAGCCGGGTATATTGTTGAATGGTCAATAAGAGAGCGTATGGATGAGTTGGAGTGAGGCAGGTTGCGATCAGACTGCGGAAAAGTTGGTGTGGGGCACTCCCGATAAAGTGTCCTTATCAGTGTCAACCCCAGACGCCAACATTTGCATTCTGACGTTGGCATCAGCTACATTCCAACATTCATCGATCCGGTGCGATTGAATTACGTATATACATCCGTAAAATGGCCCTGTATCACATCTCCCAGAAGAATTCGGCAAAGACCACATATATGTGCCATTGAGCACCACCGCTCCCCTCCAGTCCCTGTTCGACCATTCACCATCCCAACAAATAGACATGTGCGTACTGATATTACAGTGGTAACTATCCCAAACAATATTGCACGATATGCGCTGTTCAAGTCATTCAGCAAATGGGTATCGCTCCTGACATCCCCCCTTCGTCCCACCAACCACCCTCATTTCGCTTTTCGTATTCGCGTATCTCATGTTAGAAGCCTGACTCTCGAGTCTCGACTCGTCAATTGTTGCCCCACGAATAGTTGCCTGTGCCATCGAAGGAGCCTCTGTGGCTGTAGGCGTCGAGGTGACTGCCCTGCCCAGGCTCGGACTTGGGCTGTATCTCGCCGGACCTGGGCTTGTATTGATCATAGGAGGATGACCCGTACGACCGGGCATCACTGCCGCCGTATGGCACCGCGTTGGCGTCAGAGGGATGCCTCCACCCTTGCTGTCCAGAATACGCGTCTCTCTGCGCAGCTGCTCCGCCGACCGAACCGTCCGTGCCATATGTCGGAGCCATCACGTCTCCCGATCCACTGGTCGCGGACGCAAAAGAGCCGTAACGGTAGTCTGGTGAGGTCGCCGTGCCCGCTACCGACCCCCCACTCGCGGTTGATGGTCCACTGCCGAGTCGTAATGCCTTAGACGGTCGACCGTCGTCGACGAAGCGGTGCATGCTGCCTGGGGTATCTGGTCCTAACGAGGACATGGACAAATGCCGCGGTGCCGAGCTGGAGGGCCCGTACGTGTATGGCGAACGCACAGACGAACCTGGCTCTTCGGATATGAGCGACAGAGGAACGGAAGCCGGTAGAGTTGTAGGTATCGGCAGATCTTGCCCTTCGCCGCCAAAGTTGCTACCCCCGGCCAATGAGACTTTCGAGTACATTTCAGCTCCTATCGCCGGCGCCGAGTACGAGTTTGCGCCAGTGCTGGTGATACCGCGCAAGGAGTTGTTGGTAGGTGACGTCCAGCTCGGGTAGGTGCTGGAAAACTCGTTAGTGGTGACGGCAGCATACGAGTGGTCAGTGACATACTGTGATCGAACAGTGCTGATTTGCGCTGACGGCGGCTTCGGCGTCGTGAATGTAAAGGCCGTCCGGGGCACCTGCATATCCATCCGCTCACGGGGCTTGGGTTCTTGCGGCTTCATGGTCATACTCCCGGCCACGACGCCCATGCCCGTCTCGACCAACGCTTGACCGCGCGAGCCCGCGCTGGAGCCAAGTAACGGGATCTCCTTCCTCGCCTGGAAGTTTCGGGGACTTCGCCCCCTGACTACGATAGGGGCCGTCGTAGACTCTGTCAGGACCACCTTTGTGTTGTTTGCGAGGGTTGCGTGCACCTTGAGGTGGAGTGTGAAATGCTGCTGTAACTCCTTTCGGCGACCATTGTTTGCAGTGGCTCTGCAGACGGATTAGCTGATCGATCCCAAAGCTCCAATACAAAGTATGACTGACATTCGGAATTGTAGGCGTCGCCAGCCGATCGGATATACCGCCAACTCGCCATCCGCCTCGGCCCCCTCCTCCTGGAATGGTATGAGCGGCAGCGCCGGAGGTTCTTGATCCGGTCCCTGTGCGATCTCTGGAGAATTAGGCGGCGGAGTCTTCCATGGGATTACGATGAGCCGCACAGAGTGGTTGTCCACAGATTCTATGGCGGAGATGGTAACCTCCATACTGCTGACCAGAACACTCTCCCCCGACTCGGTGATCACGTTCAGGGGTCCTCTTGGTGTCACGAGGTTTCCGCTGATCTGGAATAGGTTTCGTCGGTAGCAGGTCAGTTCGGGCTGCATCGTGGGACCGTCGGCTGCGTTGGAAGGCATTTCGGACAAGAAGAACATGCCATGGAGCTGGGCTGATAGGTCGAGTTGCTGCAAATGTCCTCGCTGGTCGGTGATTGTCAACTTGTCCTGCGCGCGCCGGAATGACAGCAATTTGTTGTCCTGGTTCACGGAAGTTCTTGAGCCGTCATCTTGCGAAGTATCTGCGCTCTGTCCTGCGTCGCACTGTGAAAATGGGCGTTTCAGAGTGCCTTGATAGGACGCTTGAGGATGCGCCGTCGAAGGCTGGCCGCCATATGGGTCGGTCTCCTCGGGATATCGGTTGTAGGAGTAACCCTGGTGTCCAGTGTTGCATTGGTCACTCCTTGACCTCACTCCTCCATGTGGCGATGCTGGATGCGGATGGACGAGGCCAGATTCCATGCGAGGTGACATGTGGATAGAACCTCCATAATTTGGCCAAATACTGGAAGACGCGGGGTCTCCTCTGAGGTCTGGCATCGTAGCCGGAAATGTCGCTGTGGCCGTCATGAGGGCATTGCTTTCTTGAATCCTAGGGACTTCAGCAATATGGTGCCTCAAGCCCGCTTCGACAGGAACCCCTACGCCGATCCTGTGATTCAGATCAGCGCTGAGAAAGGCAAGGGCCTCCTAAGGATTCCGACGGGCTTGTCAGTTCAACCAGAGTCGTTGTTTTGTGTCGGCTCACGTCGCACTGATACTGAAGGGGATGTAGGATGGAGATTGTAACGCGCTTGTTGTCAACACCAGGCTGGGATAGAGTTGTGACGAGTGGGTTGCAGGCGTACGCCTATACTTGTATCTGGATGGAGCCCAAGAACGGCAGATGGAGGGGGGAGTGTCTGATCTCCCGGGGTGTAGGTGCTAATTAGAAGCCGCCGCTATACACTGCAGATGGTGTCGGCCTTGACGTTCGGATCACCAGGGACTGGACGCGGCCCTGCCATGCCCACTGATTTTGACAGCTGGAGAAGGCTTGTAGCAGGCAGGCCTCGCCAATGTCCTGAAGGATAAAGCCGGGGGACTGGAGCCTCCTGGACGGCTGATTGGACATGGAAGCATAATATGCAACCGTTCCTAGAAGGAGCATAGGAAAGAGGAGCATGGGACTGGTCGGCCAGGCGTGATCTCGGAAGACCCATTCAAGCCTTCAGGCCTTTCTTTGCAAGTTGATTAACATGTGGGCTTCTTCTGTCCCAAAGGCTTAGAAAGCCCCAAACCGGCAAGCTAGACGTATCAAGGATAGTTTCGCTTTGTCTCCTTTCTCGCTGGTTGGAGTGACTGGTTCGTCATGCTTTGCCCATCTTGTCAAGGCGGACCTTCTCCTGCCTCAACGCCGACGTGACTGTCTGCCGAGCCGTCGAGGTCCCCTGCTGGACCGCGACCAGACTCCAGACAGGCACAGAGAGGGAGAGAGAGAGAGACGCGCGGGAAGCAACCTATCATCACTCTGGATCATGTACCGGTGACGGCGGTGGAGACCGGGGTGCCGAAAAGGTCGATGTCGGGCGCACTGTGGATCCACGCCAGAAAGTCCACCGATTGTGTCCAGAGACTTCCACCTGGGCTCTTTGATGCGGACCAGGAGGGGGACGGGAAGCCTCGAGCAGGGATTCCCATGGGGCTGTCGACCCTGTCCCTGTCAGACAGTGCGTCCGAGCCCCTCCTTGGCCTGTAGTCTAACCACAAAGGGACGGCGCTTGGCTTGGAGCCTTGAACGAAGAGAGAGACAATATCCTCCGAGGCTTGTTTGTGGCCTGCGTGAGTCTTCCAGCATCGCTTCGAGAAGGGGCGTCACGTTGTTTGCACATTCCAGTAGTGGCGCGGGTCTCGGAACGCCTTCCTTCACCCTGTGCTCTGCGATGGAGCAAGCCTTTCTTTCAAGTCATGCACACAGCAATTCCCTTGAAACATGGACGCCCATCGACGATTTTACTTCGCAGCAAAGTTTCGGAACCATGCGCATCCCCAGTGCCAAGGCAGGCCATTCCATCGTGTTGAAGCACGGCAATCCAACAAAGGGGCCCCGAGTTCCGGTTAACCCAGGAGATGGATAGTCCGTCCGCGTGTCACAAAGCCGTCCAACTAATTAGGCCATCACCTCGTTCGCATTACTGTACGGTACGTATAGCCTCTAGTGAATGAAAGGATCCTTTCTAACGGCGATGGCTGGACAGCCTGTGGTCTTGACTGGTGACTCGCAGCCGGACATAAAGGGTGGGGGTTGCCGGCACAGGCTCTCTCCTCAGGCGAGGAGCTGTGATTTGTCGAGGGCGCGAAGCTGCCAAGCGGCTAGATCAGGCTGCGGTATCAATCGAGTATAGGGTGCGCAGCTAGCACAAGCACCATCAAGCCATAATGTTAACGCCGAGGGCCTGATCGTTGCAAACATGGCGAGGAGGGCATCGCAATGATTCACGGGAATTGATTGCGGAGGAGCCGACAGAAGACAGATTGGCTGCCTGATCGGGTATTAGCTAGCCTCGGCCGGAAGGGGGCCCAATACTGTACAGCAGGTACGGTAGCTAACTCGAGCGCCTGGCGCTATAATAGTGCGTGCGTTATTGTGTCGGCCGCACATGCGGGCCTAATTAGCCTGGCAAGCGCGTTCGCAAGCAACGTGCCGTTGTGATGCGCGTGTCGCTTCGTTGACGAGTCGCGCAATGTCTCGCTTGCCGTATGTACTGAGGTGGACCGAGAGAACAGCCGAGAGGAGAAGCTGGAGGTTTCCTGTGGAGGACCGCGTCGCGGTAGGCATCAGAAGAGGATTACAAGTAGAGTGCAATTTCTCCGCATATCAACATTATTGAACGGTGATGATGCCATAGAGAGGAGACTGACTGGACTGGCCGATCAGGTAAAGAGAGACCACTGGAGGACTACAGTGCGTCTGCGCTGCACGGCTGGTCACTGGGCGCGGACACGCACCGTACACGTACAACTCTGGAGCCTGCCTGGCACCTGCTGCCACCTGCTCCTGCCAAGAGTACATGTAGGTAAGACAATGTGAGATTCATCAAAAGACCATCCATCATGGACATCTACAGATACCGCATCAAATGTGATACGTATCACCCGCCAGCAACACTCCTCAATCTTGCCTGGGCGTACGACCAAGTCCAGCTGACCAGACAGCACGCATAGGTCAAAGCAAGGCAGCTACGGCATGTGCTTGGCCCATCGCTCAACAATCGACTGCCTGCTTGCCGGCCGGATCTTCGCATCTTATCAAAGCAATACGTACTGATAGTAGTGGTCGGCAGTAGGCAACCACTTGCGTAAGGTTATCCGTCTCCAAAGTCGAAACATGCGATTCAACACAACGGTCAGTCTGGACAAGGTGATGGCTCGTCGTCCCTAAGTTTCCGAAATGAGGCCCGGAACATCTTCAAGCTTGGCCAGGCATTTTTATTATTAGAAGCGGCAGCCGACTTGACGTGCATGCTTGGAAATCACGCATCGTTGTCTGAGACTGCAACAAGTCTGCACTGCAAGCATGTATTCACCCCTGGAGGCCTGGACCTTGAGAACCCCCCGCGCGGCATGGCTCTCTGGTGGTCACGCGCACACGACGAAGCACATTCGTTCATCGCAACCAGCCTTGTTGATGTTGCAACGCCCCGGATTGTCTGCCGGCATTGTCTACCATGTTGGCCCCATTGCGAGCGCCGAGCGATGGCGCCGGTGGTCAACCGTGAAGATCGCCCCCACAAGGGATTGGCAGACCCCTGTTGCCGAACTCTGGGCACTGTATCCGCACGTACAACAGGTATCGGTACTCGTAGCCCGGCGCCAGCCAAGCCAGCAAGCCACCTTTGGGCTGACAAAAAGCACACGGAAAGGCTCGTCGAACTGTGGGTCCCGGGAAAGAAGCTCAGTGGGGACATGGAACACCGACTGCATTGTCCATCGTCACAAGCTCCGACGCAGCGTGATAAGTACGTTGCTGCTGGTTTTGCATCAGTAGGCTTCGGCCGAAGGAGCAAACGCAAAGCAGACATAATTATGTACGGATACCCAGCATGGAGACAAGTCGTTCTGCGCCCTCATTCGTCTATGCGCTTGCCCGACGTACACTTCCAAGTTTCAAAGAGCCCAGATGTACGCAGCTGTAGCTGTGCATGGCGGGCCGGCGGCCGATATGCTTAGAGCCGGTGTTGGCCCAGCCGAGACCCCCTGGCAGCCACCAGAATAAGGACGCTGCAGGCGACGGCGTCTGGGACAAACTGCCGCATTATTGGGGCTCCTTGAAGAAGCCATGCTAATCAATCCGAAAAGGACATTGCGGGCTGTCTGGGCATCGGCCGGTTAGAATATCATGAGTCGGTCGTCGATCGACGCGACGCACTTGTGCAGAAGGCCAGCGGGCCTTTGATTAGGGTGATGACATGGGCGGGCCAGGACGCGGTCATCATCGCCAGGGCACAGTGCACATCCTCAACAAAGCAGAGGTGCCGCCTGTCAAGGACTTAGTGTTCCTTCTCGCCTGCGACAACGATCTCGGGACGCTGCCGAAGAAGACCAGAGGCTGGGACAGGACTGGCACAAAACCGACTCTCAAGTTAGGCTCTTCAGCAAGACAGCCCTACCCGGGGGTGCATTGGGGTCCCAGACTCCCAACGTTCATTTGTCCACTTTAGCCAGGCGGCTGGCTGGCTGGCTACCCTTGGGGTTGCGTCCAGATGTCAAGAGGGAGCGGCACAATGGGGCTACTGCAGGGCGGACTCTCAAATCTACGCTGGAGGCAACTCTGAATTACCGGTGCACGTGAAGGAGATGAAGTGGTGTACCGTGTATGAGTTGCGGGCAGACGGACGCCTTCCTTTCCCGCTATCCTCTCCGATGCACAGACGCGCGCGCGGCTGTATGTAGTCAGCGGCGGACATTTGTTCAAAGGCGCGCGCCTGCTGTGTGTCCAGTACTCCATGTCCAGGCATTCCGTCCTCTGCACGGCTCTGTTCAGCGCTGCTATTTAGGCCCTAAATCCTGATTGCGGATAGCGCGCCCCGACCGACCCCAGATCTCGCATCGGCGGCGGACTATCCGTGAGCACCTACATGAGATTGTTATGCCATCCACCCTGGCGAAGACTTTCAGAAAGCCTGTGCCCTGCTTCAACCCCGTGATTGCGGCCGCGATTTGGTCGCTGCAACGTACCATGCCTCGCATCCTGGGCGTGAGGAAGACAGAGTGCGCTGATGTTTGCGCCTGCGCCTTCATCAGCGGTCCGTGTACCAAGCAGTCATGCGATGCGCCAAGTCGTCGAGGAGTCGGCCCAGAGCGCCGATCTCCAGGGTATTACTGCCCGACAAACCCCTGAACAGCGCGCACAACAGACCTGTCAACGCCGTCGCGTCGAGAGTGCGGATGCAGAGGACTTGAGTGCTGTGACCAGGACGGGGCGCGACATGCATAGCATGACAGGGAGGAACAATCGCGTCCGGCGGATGAACAGGGAGGGCTTTTTGTGCATCTTTTCCCGCAAGTACTCCGTACCCTTGACGCGAATCCGCCCAGTCTCGATTTGCATCGGTCGACGGACGTGAGTTTTGGCTTCCAATCTGTCAACGCTCCGTCTCTCACTCGGCGGTACTTGTCATTCATCCGGATGAATTCCTAAAGAGGATAAACTTACTCTGGAAATTCGTTCACCCGGATGCAAGAACGACTTGGTTGTTGCCATCATGCGCGTCACGGGGGTTTGTCACATTGCGGCCGAGGCCTGCGTCTGTATTCGCCGAGCTTCAAGTCTGGCGCATGGCACAAGAGGATGCCCGTCCAAATGGTTTATTCAAATCTAACTCTCATGTACAATTCCTATCAGGAGTCTGTGTAGCGCCGTTGATACAGCGGACGAACCACGACTGCCCGCCTCCCCTTTTGTCACCGGATGAAGAAGGCAGCGTCGTCTCCGAGTCCGTCCTCCGCAATCATGTCCTCCTCATCCAAGAGGGCCATCTCCACAAATTGGCGTATCCAAGCCTGCTGTGCTGCGTCCAGCCCGTCGTGCATCATGCCATGGTTACCGTTGTTGAGTACACGCATGGCAGGCTGAGGTCGAGCTCTGCCCCGACCGCGTTCTGCGCCTCCTCCGCGCCCTCCTCGTCCACGACCACCTCGACCTTGCGCAGCGCCTCGTCCTCGCCCTCGACCCGCCACCACGGGTGCCTGTGGCACAGCAGCCTGGTGTACTGGTGGCGGCGGCGGACGAGGCGGGTTGTTGGGATCGATGCCCAGACGTAGAACGAGAGGTGCTTCGCGGGCCACGGCCACGGGGCGACCATTCTCATGGAGGAGCTGCGGCCTCGCAGGCTGGTCTCCACGATCGATGTCCGGCATGCGGATGGGCTGAGGGGCCTCCTCCACAACAGCCTCGTCGTTATTCGCGGCCTCCTGCGGCAAGCGGTTGCCTCCAAGGAAGCCCAGGCCCACGTCGTCACCATCGCCGCCCTCGAGCTCCCACAGACGCATGTAGCACGAAGTGAACTTGCCGCCGGGCTGCTCGTTGTAGTGCTGGTACGGGTTCCCAGGGGACAGCCAGGCGGAGCACAGGTAGCAAAAGTGCGTCTCGCAGCGCGAGCAGATCATGTGGTTGCACCCGTGTGTCTTCTGCGCAGGCGCGCTGCACGTCGGGCAGGGACTGGTGTGCAGCTGGAGGTATTCGAGCGAGGCCTTATCCTCCTCGGTGAGTTCCCCGTCTGCGCGCCTCGGTGCGCAGACCACGAACTCCCCGTGCCACGTCTGCAGACAGCGGCTGCAAAAGGCCAGACCGCAATCCTCACAGATGGCCAGTCGCTCCGCGCGGTCGTACGTCTTGCTCATGGCTTGTTCATCGTCCTGATCCGACTCTGCGTCCGAGGCATCCTCATAGTCAAGACCTGTGGGCTTCTTGTGCTTCTTGGACCGCGCCGCGCCGTTGCACCACTGCCGCGGGCAGTAGACTGTGTTCTTGTCGGATTCGAGCTCTGTCTTGTACTTGAGCATGACGTAGCGCTTCACAGTGTCTTCCGTAAGGCCGATTTGGAGAAGCTCGCTAGGGCTGATGGATGTCTTGGGCTTCTTGGGCCGTTTGGCGTCCGTCGCTTGTTGTGCCGCGGAGCGCTCCTTGGCACAGCTGGGCATCAGACAGCGGACTGTGCCGATGCTGCCTTGCTGTATGGCATCATTGTAGAAGTCTTGTAGACACTGCAGGCAGAAGATGTGTCCGCAGTCCAGCATCTTGTGACACTTGGTGCCCTTTTTGGGATCTAGCAAGCAAACGTTAGATTATCATGATTCGGGCAAAAGGGCGCCTCGCGCGACTCACCTAGGCATATACCACAATCGAATGTTTCGCGGTCAAAGGCAGCTGCCTTGGACTTGATGTCGTAGTCCAGCACGGCCAGCTTGTACTGCGCATCGACCTCGAGGGTGCCCTGCTCGCTGATGGCGCCAAAGACGTCGTCCGCAGCCCTCTGGACGTGGTCAATGTACGTGTACGCGACCATGTCCCGACCCATGTCCTCCCATAGCCTCGGTCCGTCACTCGAGAGTGACGCCAGGGTCTCTTGCCGCAACCACTGCGGATCTGTGGAGATGTAGACCTCGGGGGGCTTGTCTGAGGGATAGCCGTCAGGCAGCGTGATGCGGAGACGCAGCGCGGGAAGATGCGACACCTGAAGGGAGTCGGCGTCTGCGACTGGGTTGATGACGCCCGTGTCTACATCGTTGCCCGTGGCAGCGGCCGGAAAGGTGACGGTGACAGGCGCGGCGGGCTGCACGGGCAGGTCGATTTCAAAGGTGAAGTGGTCCTTGGCATCAGGTCGTCTGATTTCCGGGTAGATGGCCTCGAGGGCCTCCAGCTCCGTTGTGCGCAGTTCCTCGTTCTCGTCCATCTTATCGTATGTATTGCTTGACTTCCCGTGCAGCTTCCACAGCCGGAAGAGCTTGTTTGCTCTTATACTAGGAAGCCTCTGTCGCGCGCGTCGGTGATGTGGCGAACCGAGACAAAGACCCTCGACCGCTCACGCACGTGGGGTTAGCAGAACACACGTCTGCGACTGAGCTGAAGATGGCACATGGAAGCGATCAATGTCCCCGGGCGTAGCTAGTGTGTGCAAGTGTCTGTGAGGGTCTTTCGTGGCCGTCTAGGAACAGGAAGGACCCTTTTTGATAGTTACAGTGGTGAGTGATGACTCTTGTCGGTGATGATCGAGAGGGAGGCCAGAGTCCAGACAATGAATGGACCAGGGAATAAATCAAGGGTCATACAAGGGTCGGTGGATTCTGATTGGTCGGCTCAGGATTCGAGGCCCTGGGGGACAGTGAGCGAGTCGCTAATAACAATGATGGGCAGGGGACAAAGGAGCGGTTGAACCCCCATTGTGCCACTGTAATCCATTCACTCATTCATTCACTGTGCCTCCATATCGTGTCGTGTCGTGGGTTTGTTGTTGATTCTCCCCCTCCAAATCTGCGTCATCACCGACCGACCTGCAGCCAGCCAGCTGGTTACTTCAAGGTCCTCACAACATTGAACGCTGCGCGCTGGCCCATGGACCCTCTCAACCACCTCAGGGCGCCCCTACACTGACAATCGACACTCACTGCCGCCTCCACATCGAGCATTCTCCGAGGCCTAGCGCTACTATGGCCTCCTACGACACTCCTCTGGCGTCCTTGTCCATCAGTCACGTCTACTATGTACGTTCGGATCCTCCTTCCCTCGTCTCCAAACAAAGAAAACCCTCTTCTGATCATCTTCCAGGACCCGAATGACCGCATATCCCTCGTCTGCGCATACCTCGCCCTCCTCCCCCAAGCCCTCTGTGTCGTCTACGCCACTTTAATCCTCACCACCCGCGAAGCCGAGATCCTCCTCACCTTTGCCGGCCAGCTCGCCTGCGAGGCCCTCAACTTTGCCCTCAAGCGGCTCATCAAGGAGGAGCGGCCGCCTCGCATCTCGGGCAAGGGCTACGGCATGCCGTCCTCGCACGCCCAGTTTGTGGCCTTTTGGAGCGTCAGCGTCACCCTGTTCCTGCTGGTCCGGCACAACCCACCCAAGGTCATGGGCAAGGTCGCGAGTAGCACGCATCGGCCGTGGAGCGTGGCGGAGCGGGGCTTGGTGTCGCTGGCGGGACTCATCATGGCGGCGCTCGTGGCGTGGAGTAGGGTCTATCTGGGCTATCACACGGGCCGCCAGGTTGTCGTGGGCTGCGGTGCCGGCGCTGGTTCCGCGGTCGTGTGGTTTGTGTTTGTTGGGTTGCTCAGGAGCGGTGGCTGGCTCAAGTGGGCTCTGGCGCATCCTCTGGCTAGGAGGGCCAGGGCGAGGGATCTGATCATGGAGGAAGATATGGTGCAGGCCGGATGGGAGAAGTGGGATGCTCGGCAGCAGGCGGAGCTCAAGGCTAGCGGCGAGAAGAAGGGCCGGTAGTGCTGGCTGTAGATGGCGGAGATACCCTGGATAGAGAGAGCGAGCTTGGTCAAGACAATGTCACCGTGGCCAGTCAATGAAACACATACACGTGTTTCTACCTTGCGACTTAAAAATGACTGTGGATATATATATAGACTTGGACCCTGACGAGGAAGAAAAGAAAACTGTCCGTGTGACTGTGGTGACGCCCAGCGGCGAACCCAAAACATAGGGGAAAAACCATGAAATGAAAGATTCGTTTCATCGTATTCAAATCCACTCCGCCCGATCATCATCGCTCCCCTTGGCGAGCTCCGGGCTTGCGCCAGGGGGCATATTCCTCTCCGAACCCACACCATGAAAGCCAACGCCCTTGGGACTCGCCAGCCTGGTTTTGGCCGGCTGTCTGGTCGGCGAATACACCGAAGGGGCTAGTTGGACCGGTGCGTCCACGTACACGGGCGTCTGCGCCGGCACCTCGGGGAGCTCCTTGTTCAGCGAGACGGTGGAGATGCTCTCCTGCTTGGCGTGGTGAGGGATCCGTGGCACTGCGATAGCAGCGGGAGCCGGCGTACCCGTCCTCTTCAGGGCCGCCACGGGCGGGACCAAGAGGGGAGACGTGGGCCTTTTGTTGTACTGCGCGTGTGTGTCTGCTTTCGACGGTCGTCGGCAATCGTTCACGTTTGATATGCGCAGGCCGATCTGCAGTGTGGCCGTAGAGCAGAGAGAAGATCCCCGATTGTGGGAGAATCCCGCTGGGGCATGGAAAAGGGGTGGGGGGACGAGGAGTTTGTCGTTTGGCAGCGCAGAGGTAGCCTGGGAGGACTCGCGCGTATATGTTGTCGAGGGAAGCAGAACGTCCTCCCGCGCGTAGTCTGCGGGCTCGTGCGCAGCAAGAGACATGGCAGAGGATGCGCGAAGGGAGTGCTGTGCGGAAGAGCCCCGACTCATAAGACCTTTGATGGGCATGGCGAAGAAGCGGCTGATGGTCGACTCGTGCCGTCCTCCATGTCCATACGATGTGGAAGCAAACGGCTGGTTCAATGTTGTGACCCTACTGCCTCCGCTCGAGTACGTCGAGGAAGATGTTTTGGGGCGGTCGTCGTGGTCAAAAGCATAGCCGAGCTTGTTCGAACCCAAGATATCGTCGCCCTTTTCGGGGAGGTCAGTGCGTTGAGCAAAAGGCTGCATGAGCCTGCGCCCTCCGCGGAGGAACAGATATAAACCGCCTGTCAGCAGGCCTGACAGGTTGGCGACAATGGACGAGACTGTTGAGAGCTCGGTCGGGTCGTTGTTCAGGGAGTTGGCATCGGCAAAGGTGATGCTGAAAAAGAAGGGCGTCAACAAAGCCTGTTCAGTGTTAGTGTTACCCGTGATCACTGCCGTTCCGGGGCTTACGTTGGAGATGGCGGCAATGATCATATAGTAGACCATGTGCGAAGCGGCCATTCTGTCCATGCTAGGCGTTTTGGCCGAGTAGCGCAGCCGCAGCAAGACGACGCATGCCGCGATGAGCAGGGTGCTAGCTATGGCGACAAAAAGGCCCAAGCAGACGGGCCGCCATGCTTGCGTGAACCAGAACAGAGAGGCGAAGCACAGCGCGGGAGGTTTGAAAGAAAGCGTCACGCCCCATAGCGCGAACAGCCCAGCTGCGATGATCACTATGCAGAGGGGGACGTTCCATGCCCGCTGAGACGGGAAGGGTTTTGGCAGCACTGATCGGATTGTGGTTTCGAGTCCCAAGATGAGCTGAGTGAAGGGGACGAGAAAGGTGGCTGCAAGTCGACAGTCAGCGAGCGGCTACCAGTGTACCGTTGAGATGGAGCGTACCAGGCATCATCGTCTGGGACAAGGCGACGCAGTTATCAAGCCTGAGCGCAGCGAGGCCTTGCGCCTGCGCCGTCGCAAAGATGATTCCCTGGGCGATGATGCTCAAACACAGGACGAATGGGTAGACCTGGGGAGCGCCAACGTGTCGCCACCTGGCGTCACTTCTTGTTGTCAGCAGCTGTTCTACATTGTACCAGAGCGCCATGCCCCATACCTGATCTTGAAGGCCTGATCCTTCCTCTTCGCGGCGAGGTAGCAGTCCCATACGATGCAGGCCAAGGTCACGGCCGCCGCCAAGACGTTGAAGCTCGCCAGCGTGATGATGGACGTCCGTATCGATTTGATGGACGAGAACTGCAGGTCCTCGATAATGCTGGTCGTATTGTCTGCCGCCGCGGCGGCCTCCTGGGCGGCTCGTGATACCAACGTGGAGGAGGAGGCGACACCCTCGGCCAGGACACTGGCCACGGCAGCCTGTCTCGCGGCCCATTGCGTGGCCATCCCAAGGGCAAGTCAGTCGTTGATAGAGTCGAGATGGTAGCAGCCCCTTTGCAGGCACCGGGCCCAGATAGTCAACAAGATTAAGCCGTCATAAAGATATTGCGAAGCCAGCTTCGGCGGAACAGAAAAGAAGTGATCACAGGAACAAATGCCAATGCTGTATGAAGAAGGATGGGAGAGGGAAACGTTAGGACCGGACACCATCGATGACTTGACCATCTGCGTCGAAACGATCTCTGGCCAAGACTGTCACACACAGGCACAGGGGGGCCACACGAACGATAGCGTGGAACTCCCTCATCATGGACATGATGAGAAAAGGTCCCTGACCGGGGAAGCCTCGCGCGGAAACGCCGTGGCCCCTTTGCCAAGGCCCAAGACAAGACGGCGCATCAGACTGGGGACACAGAGGGCTGAGGGTGAGATCACGGCTAGCGGAAGACCCGAAGCTTGTTGAAAATGTTAGATAAGATGTGATAGTTCGTACGCAACGGCGCACTCGTCTCGGGTTCCAGGGGTACGCATGTAGTATGCTGCATGCATGCAGTCTTATGGGCAGGGACTATTTTGTGGCCATCTGCCCTTAATAACCGAACGAGAGTTTTTCTCTCTTCTTACACTCTACGCGTTGACGGTAGAGTAGCGTGTCGCCTCATGCCCTCTGAGCATATCCACGACTGCTCAATGGTATCTCGTCTTGACCCAAAAAGCGGAGTCTCCCAACGTGAAGGCAAGCCGCAACCGTGCCTGGTGATGGTGGCTGGCTTGCTTGCATGGACGACCGTCATGGATGAGCCTCTGGCCGGCGAGTCGATGCATCCGCCGACGCCACCAAACGTGCAGGTGGCGGGCTCGTTCGCGATGCTGAAGCAGACTTGTTACGCGGATGAGTTTCAGGATCGTGGCTGGACGTTCGAGAAGCAGCGTCAGTGAGGAGATGCGGGACACTTTGGATTGGGCCTAGCGCATCTGAGCCCCGGCCGGACAGGCTGACGGAGCGGGAGCGGAGCGGGTCGTCATCTGCCTACCCTATAACTGTCCGGACGCGAAATGCACCAACGCCGATCCGTCGCGTCGGGATTCAGCTTCGGCTCGTGGAAATGAAACAATGAAGTAGCGCGTGCGAACTCTTCCTCTGTGCCCCTTTCCACGGAAACACATCCATCAACGCGAACGGTAGCTCAGCCCACGAGTCGCCAGTCCACCGAGTCCACGTCCGCAATCATGGCCGACCTACCCCCCGACCTGTTCGACCAGACGACAATCATCTCCCTCCTCTCGACACTAGCCATTGTGCTCGCCGCCTACCTCACCTCGTGCGCCGTGCTGCCGTCGAAAAGCTCGGGACTCGTGCGCTTCTTCTTCATCTGGCATCTCGCCGACGCCCTGTGCCACTTTATCCTCGAGGGCAGCTTCCTCTACCACTGCTTCTTCTCGCACGCGCCCGCCCTCGACGCTGCGGAGGACTGGTTCCCGACGCCCTTCAACTTTCTGGGATGGGGTGCCGAGCGGGTCTACGGCGCACAGGCCGGTGGTGACAATCCCTTTGCGCAGCTGTGGATGGTATACGCGCGCGCGGACAAGAGGTGGGCTGGCGTCGATCTCGGTGTCGTGAGCCTGGAGCTGCTCACCGTATTCTTTGATGGGCCCTTGGCCCTGTACATTTGCTACTGCCTCGCCAGGAAGGATCCCAGAGCCAGCATCTGGATGATCGTCCTGGCTACCTGCGAGTTGTACGGCGGCTTCATGACGTTCTGCCCGGAGTGGTTGATTGGCAGCCTCAACTTGGACACGAGCAACTTTATGTATATGTGGGTGTACTTGGTCTTCTTCAACACGCTTTGGGTATGGATCCCACTTTACATTATCTACTGGGCGGTGGGAGATATTTCTGGGGCGTTGAGTGCACGCCAGGCGAAGAAGGACGTATAGCGGGATAGAATCCCGGTAACAAATTAATATTTTTATCTGTCACATTCTATTGCTCACAACAGTAACAAGTCAACAAAGACCGTTCACACAGGAGGCACAAGCAAAGTTGTCAAAATTCGTTAATTACAAACAAATCGACTATTGAAGGGGTATTCCTCGGACCATATTGCTCCATCTGAATCGTCGTTGTTCAACATCAGAATCCTCAAATGTGCTGACGCACAAACATCTTAGATCTGCTGCTTGTGGGCCTCGGACTTGCTAGAGTGCTTCTGCTCCTCAGCCTTGTCACCAACAGCGTCCTTGGCGGCAGAGGCACTATGTTCGCGTTAGTGTCGAGATCATCACTGTCGAATGGGTTGATGGTGTACTCACCGGGTGCCGACGGGGGCGTTAGAGTCCTTGGCTACCTCCTTGTTCGCTTCCTTGGAGGTGCCGCGAAGACCTTGTTGGACAGTCTCGGAGGCGGAGTTGGCTGCCTGCTTTACACTTTCCACTGGAGAACTGTTAGAAACAGGTCAGTAATCAAGGAAAGGAATCATGAAGACGTACTTGTGATGTAGTTGTTTGGAAGAATTGAGTTTGTATTGGTGTTGTGTGATTGGTAGTTGGGTTGATGGGAGAAAGGGGAAGGCAGAAATGTACGGGAAGGAACCAGACTTTATACCTTGGGCCCGGCAAGAAACAGCATCCAGAAATCCATCTACGTACCTACGGGTGACGATTTGTTCTACACATTGTATCATGTGAATGTCGTGTGCTGAGTGTCGTCATCGAGCAGAGCAGCTTTCTCGATCTCAGAATCGTAGTACTAGTGAGGGAACCTACAGATGGGTAGCGGGGCTGCGATCGGCCTGGCACGCGTCGCAACGCGTTGCGAGAAGAGTACCAGACCCCTGCAGGGCCCAGCGGGGCTCTCTACTAGTTAATCATGGTTCACTTGAGGCTTGTTTTGCTCCGACTCTACGTAAGTACAGCACAGCATCGAATGGCAACAGCTCCATTCAGCATGCTTGTGCCTTGGCCTCCAGTCTGTGCCGCATAGCACTCCGGCATGTGATCATCAATATCGACCACGAGTTACAGTAGAGATGTACCTCTGTGACGTCAGAAAGGCTCGCCTCGGTTTGCCACGCTCCTTGGACATCTATGACAGCCGCAGTGGTACCAACGTGGGCATTCTCGATCATGAGCCATACGACATGCGCCACACCTGGCTTGTACCTTGGAATCCTGCTGCACAGGCTGACTTTGCGCTAGCAATCCAGTTTCAATGTGGGGTCGCCGCGGGAATACGTCGATCACCGCGGGGGCCATCGATGACGGAAGGAGGGGTATCAGCAGACGGTCCTGGTCTGCCAGCAAAAAGAGTACTAGTCTAGTTTTGATAACAGCATATCGTACATGTACAACACGATGCTGGTAGCTGGGCGAAAGCTTAACATATACTGCTAGTGAGACATGAGTAGACTAGTAGTAGCTGTCAGGCCCCTACACAGCCTTTTCTTCAAACTAATACCAGTGAAACCGAGAGCCAAGTCCTAACCCTACCTTACTCTGTTAGGCCATTTGCCCTGCTTGTATCGTGCGACCTGGAGCAACCGCAGAGCCGTGGCAACTGTGAGGACGATTCCGCCCGTAAACAGTGAATTTTCCATCGAGATGGTACGGACCATTGACTCCGGGTTGCGTCTTATCTTTTTCTGCCTCGGGTCAGCGTGACAACAACACCAGGGATATGTTTGTACCTTGTGTGACGTTGTTCTTTCGACTCCCCTCCACGGCTGTGGAAGGGATGACGTAGAAATTATCAGACCCTTGAGCCGAGTTTGAGCGTGCGTCTCGGCGACAATGATCCGTGGCATACATCAGAGCAGTGAGACTTACATGACTCAGCTGGACTGTTCATGTTGAAGCCGCGCAATCACGACTTGCTTGATAGCCTGGATACCCTACTGCTCTCAAGGCTGATGAATTGTCCGCGCAATGGCCAGAAGATCATTCTACAGAATAGGTACTGCTTGAGTAACGGAGACACCGCGATAATGACTGTCCAACGACTCCCAGAATTACATGTAGCCTGATGCTCACGACGACCTCCCATCCGCTCTTTTACAGGTAGTGTACGGATACGGACTTTGCTGCCCACCGATTCTGTAAACAGTTACAATCGCCAGACATGGAGCCTTAGGGCCAGGTGAACTTCACTTCACTTGGGTTCATGCCATCACCTTCACCTTCACCGTCCCAAACGCGCTTTCGTCGCCGGGACAACAGTTGGCTGGACCGATCTTGCTGCCTACTTAAGCAGTAACGCACGCTCCAAGTTCTCCGCTATACATGCGTATACTTCACACACAGCGAAGCTTTCACGGTCACTTATCCGCCTGGAGATCGGAGCCCCCTAGGTCAACGTCCGCCACCCTTCATCTCCCCAACGAGGTCCTGGCCGAGATCTTTGGCTACTTCGAGTGCACCCTGCCAGTGGAAAAATGGTGGACGAACGAAGCTGACGTGTCGCCCGTCGCAACCTTGAAGTCTCGCTGTCTGACTTGTCGCGAGTTTCGCAATTTGGCCCAGCCTCTCCTCCTTTGCAATGTCATCATCTGGGGTCGAGAAGCCGAGACAGAGCTGTTTGTCAGGTTGATGAAAGCTCTGCTGGAACGTCCCACTCTTGGACACCATGTTCGCACATTCTCCTTCGGCTGGTGCGACGAGCATGTGGCGCGAAACGCCGGCTTGAGCTGGCCAGATGTCTTCGACTGTATGAACCATGAGCTGGACCTTCCGCCTCGATTCAAGGCAAGGTAAAATCGCGTTGCCATGAGGCGAGTGGGTGGACCTGATGCTGCGGCGGCAGCTATGGCCTTTATGCCAAACTTGCAGTTGGTCGACACAATGATACTTTCAGACGACGATCTCCTGTCTTGGATGCTGAGTGGGCACCCTGATAGCATCTCATCCCTATCCGAGGGAGATAGTATGCAGGTCCAAGAAGCGCCGGATGGGACATGTGCGAAGAATCGATGTGCCAACTTTGGCCTACCACTGCTGAAGGAAATCCGCATCCAGCATCCGGGCAATAAAACGGCCACTGACATTTTGGACGTCGAAGGGGTTCTGCTCCATCCCGGCGTGGAGACTATCCGAACCGTTGGAATACACTGGAAAGGCGACAACGGTACGGGAAGCCGGTGCCGGCATGTCGAGTCGAACATTAGAACACTTGAACTACATCAGTGTATTGTTGACGACCAGGGGTTGGAGATTATGTTCCAGCAATGTCCGGCCTTGGAGAACCTGTCCATCCAACTGGGGGGCGCATATCCCACGTCTGATATTGCCGAAGATGAATGGGACTTTGACATGGGCAAGATTGCCAACCTACTCTAGAGGCATGGATCGTCTCTGAGGACGCTCAATCTCCACACGCGAGACTTCTTTGATGGTGTAGTCGGAGGAACTGGAGGTCAGGCCCTGCGAGCTCTGACGGGCCTGAGGCATCTCGCATTTGACAAGAACGACTTTATGAGAGACGCGCCACATGGTGCATCCACTGATACGGTACCCTTTCTCAAAGACATAGCCCCGCCCAACCTCGAGACGCTCTACTTCCATTACGACCACATAGTACACAGTCCCTGTTCGTGCACGACCGCAGCCGGGCACAGGGACGTCGAGCAGATCATCACGTGCGGGTAGTTTCCGAACTTGCGAGAGGTCAAACTCGAGCGACACCGGCGCGACAATGCACCCTTTGAGCATAGTATCAGAGGCTGGACATGCAAAGTGTTCTCGGAGGACTTGTGGCACAGACCTGTCCTGACAGGCTGCACGCGCAAAATCATAGCTCTTACTCGCGATAATCAGAGTCAAGATACCGCGGCAAGCGCTGGCAAGGGTGTTGGGTTTGTGCCAAATAGCCACGAGTTGGCTGGGTGAATACAAAGGGCTCCCCAATTCTGGTACGAAGTACCTTGGGTTGTGTTGTATCGTGACTGAAAGAATTGTTCGTATACTGAAGCTTCATTTCTGAGTTCTGCCAGTCGAGGGGATGATGTGCGTTATGAACGTCCATGCCCATAACAGGCCAGCTATCGTTCGAACAGCTACGTAGTAGTCAGTCGTATTCAGGGGTCTCAAGACCTGAAACTATCAATTGCTGGCTGCATCAGGAGGGGTGGGCCCCGTTCTATCATTCAACAGACGACCGACCAGCTGGCAGCTGGAGCTTCTGTCGGGATAGTCAATCACTCGACCGCTGTGTGGTTTAATTGCCTGGCCATTTATTATCTGCCAAGTTCAGTGGCTGGGCCCTGCTCATCTCGTCCTTCCGTTGCTCACCGGCTCAATCGTATCCCCACCACATGAGGACAGCTCTCGCTCGCTGCCCCTCCATTTACTTACACCTCGTGCACCACCTTGATTCCAACAAGCCTTTCGAAACCGTCGCCAGTCGCGATTCACCATGTCGTCAAGACCACAGCTCTCGGCCTTCACGCGCGGCCTCTCGGGCCTCTCCCAAAGCCAGAGTGCCGACGGCGCCAACTCGCCCGCTGAGCAGCGCGACGACGCGAAGCGCAACTTCCTCAAGACGATGCGGCCGCTCCCGACGCAGCACTACTGGAACGTCTACTTTGACCGGTGCGTCGCCTTGATTTGAATATGGACGTTCGTAGAGAGCGGGGAGAGAACAGCATGCTGATCGTACAAAGCCAGAACAAGGAAGCCGCCGCCGATGGCCAGGAGTACAACGCCGAGCTCGAGCAACTCGGCTCCCAGATCGAGTCCGTCCAGGACTTCTGGCGGTACAACAACAACACACCTGTCGACATGATCAAGATGCGCGAGAGCATCTACCTTTTCAAGTCTGGATTCCGACCGGTGTGGGAAGACCGCCGAAACCTCAACGGTGGAAGTTGGACCTTTCGCGTACCCAAGGCCAGCGGGCCCGATGTTTGGACGCGCGTCCAGCTGCTGGCCATTGGAGAGGTACTCGAGGCGGCATTGGACAAAGGTACGCCTTCTTTCCACACTTTCGAAAGCTCCAAAAATCGCTAACATGGATACAGATGACCAGCTGTGTGGCGTCGGCCTGTCAGTCCGCTTCAACTCCCACCTCATCTCCATCTGGCACCGCGATTCGTCCAAGAAGAACTCGATTGACGGCATCTTTGCCTGTGTGATGGAGCAGCTCCCGGAGGAGCTCACGCCCAAGGAGGACGGTTGTTTCTACAAGAAGCATGCGGACCACCCTGGGTTCAACCCCCCGCCCGAGCTCAGGGCCGTGCTGGATTCACAGCGCAGGGCGGCCGAGCAAAGGGCGGCCGGCGGTGATGATGCGGACGAGAATGTGCCGGAGGTCAAGGTGGACTCGACGCAATGATTTACGAAGATACAAGTGATGATGTTACTCTGCGGAGATATATGACTGCATTACAGGCGTTAGGGCACCCATTTTGGACGATTTCATCTTGGAAAATCAATCATGACTAGACACGAGCAGCTTCCTGTCAAGAAAGTGCATCGTCATCATGTGTGCCGACAACCTGGGTATTGACACTCGAGAAGCCGCAGAACGTGCTGATTGCATGCAACTCGTAATATTCATTATCATACTCCTCTGGTCCAGAACCCTAGTAACGCCATGCGCCTTTGTAAAATTCTCTCGCTATTCTTTATTAGGACCGACACCATGGCCCCCTTCACCGCCACACGCCAGCGCTCTTCATCACCCCGTCGAACTCTGTGACTCCCACGCCCCTCGAGACCCCGGCACCTCCGTTGGCCTCGAGGATCATGTCCTTCAACACCTGCTCGTCGACGTCTTCTTTCAGAACAGCCGCCACTCTTTTCAGGTGCGCCAGTGTGATGGGTCCCTCGCTCCCGTTCGTGAACAATCGAAACGCTTCGTCGACCTGCTGCTGGTGCGCGGCGTCATTGTCGGCCGACTCGCGGGCGTGAAACTTGAGCGCACAGATGGCGAAGAAGGGTTCGTAGGTTGCGTAGCCGTCTGAGTCGGGATCGAGGATCGAGTGGAAGTCTTTCAACTCGGCTTGGTCAGAGGGAGGAATGCCGAGGGCGCTGGGGAAGGGAATTCACGGTTAGCATCTTTCCCTCGTGACTGTAGGCCGAGGACTCTCGTACATGAGCGCCGACTTAACGTCTTCAATGGGCAGGACGCCGTTCTTCTCCCCGTCCATGGGCTCGGAAAAGAGACCAAAGGCTTCCTTGATCTCACCCTCTTCCTGGGCCGAGATGTTGTGCTCTTTGGCGAGTTTCGAGCGTGGGGCCGCCTTGGGCTGGGCGGAAGCGCCCGCGGCAGCTTTGCGCTGACGAGGCTGCCTCGTTGTGTCAGTGCTCCACTCGATACTGGCCACAGAGGTAGTTGAGCTTACCATTGACTCTGTGAAAATGTTGTTGAGTGTATTCGACCAGACTCGAGCACGCGGCTCCGGTCCCGCGACAATGACGGTTACAGTGTCGCGTGCGGCGCATGATGTGAACGGCACTGTACGCCGCGAGTGATTGGAGCCGCCCCACCAGTCCAGGTCAGTCACTACTTGTTGCAGTAAAATTTCGCGGCGGTTTGCGTTCTTGCTTCCTCCTACTCCTCCTCCTCCTCATCCCACGACGACCAAACGTGCCACGACCTTGACGCAGCGCAGGTGATCAATTATCACACACGTGTAGTACGCTGTCTGTCGCGTGCGCACATTGGCCCTGGAGTGGACAGCCAATTCGTCCGAGCCTAAGAAAGGACAACGTGCAACCCAATCAGTCGCTTCTACAAATGCTAGAGCTTGCCGCCTTCTTTTCCCCAGAGCGAGCAAGTGTGGACAATGAAGCAAGATCAATACCAGGCCAGATGAGACATCCAAGGACATCTTGGTGCGGTCTGGCTTCCGTGACTCGCCTGCGGTGTCTGTCCATGACAGACACCATCGCGGTTCACGGAGACATGTTTAAGTTTACATAATTTGATTGTGATTACTGCATGAGGCGATACCTGCCCTGGTGCAGTGCAACGACCCTGTCACGTAGCGACTCGTCGCCAGGTGCAATTCCACGACAATAATGTGACATCGTATATGTTTGGCTATTAGATCTTGGACTCTGCAGGCCTGCGAGGATCAGTCCTGCCTGCTCATCTGGGACAACCATGGGAAAGAAGATTACTGTTCTCACTTGAAGTTGTTCTTCATCTCCCTCAGCTTGGCCATCACCTTCACCGGCTCCTTCTCGCCAGTGGCCTGCTGGATGACAGGGTCCTGTGACGGACGGGTCAGTACACAGTCGGGGGGCTAGAGCAAATGTATCCTACCTCGAGTCTCATAAAGACGTTGTGGAGCTGTTCGATCGTTAGATCTACGCTATGATGGAGTAGTACAGGGCAAGATTTACCTTCTCGTCCTTGATGGTGAATTTGCCGGTGGTTACCTGATTCTCCTCGGCAAACTTCTCAACCTTCTTCACAGGCTCGCTTTGCAGAACCGAGACGGCAAACTTAATGTTGGCCTTTGTGTACTCGTGACCAGGCTAGACAGGTCAGCATACGGACAGGGGCCATGAGGCGTAAAGACTGACGTAAACAATGGTGTCATCTGGCAGAGAGGCGAGTCGCTCATTGAGAGCTTTGTGCATCTCCTCAGCGTTGCCCTCAAAGAACCGGCCGCAGCCTATGATGACGATTAGTCGGTGCTCGCACGTCCCCACCAGCTAGACCAGACACATACCGCCAATGAAGAGCGTGTCGCCCGTGAACACGGCCTTCTCGTCCCCGTCCCTCATGTACCAGCAGATGCTGTCCTGGGTGTGGCACGGCGTGTGCACCGCCTCAACATCGATGTTGCCAATCTTGAAGGTGGACTGGTGACTCGGCGTCTCGGAAACGCCTTCGCAGTCCTTGCCTCCAATGATAGAGAGCTTTGGCGTCTTGAGCTCCTCAAGCTTTATGTGTGTGTTAGCCTCGAATTCGATGCGCCACCTGCGGTGTCTTACCAGCTTCTTGTTGCCGCCGGAATGATCCCAGTGGCTACGGCCGTTAACTCTCGCTCAAACTTCAAGCTGCAGTCGGGTATTTGTTCTCACTGATGAGTATTCACAATGGCTTTGAGGTTGATCTTGCCGCCCTCGATGGCATCCTGGAGCACCGGCGCGACCCTATAGTCCAGCGTCAGCATCATCCCGTTGGCGTGAACCGAAGGGTCGTCATACTCTGGCGGGTTTGCAGGGTCAATGATGACAGCATCCTTGCTCTTGTCGTCGACAACCAGATATGCGTAGTTGTTGCTGCTCCCCACCCCTGTTCACGTTGAGCCCCGGGTCCAGACAATGAGGTGTAACGACTTACACATAGGAATGCTCTGGATATGCATGGCACGAGTATTGGGCTGCCTTTGGTTAGCGGGTACGTTGTCATGATGCTGTCCACGAGACGAACCAATCGCGTGTAGGTCTTCACAGAGGTGTTGAGTAGTGTTCGGACTGGTGAGAAGCGATTCATTGCTTGCAGGATACTTTAAGCTTTCAAACACCAGGTGGATTGGTCATGATGATGTTTCTGCGTCTAACGCGGATAAGCGGAGATGCAGGTGCACGTGACATCCCAGATCATCAACTCCGTGAACATTACATCATAAGGTCCAGCGAGTTTACCAGGTACCTAGCTTTCAATCATTGTCAGTCGTTTCGTTTCAAGGATCGAAGAGGTGGCGGGCCTGTATACCCATCAAATGTTGGCTCTGCGTGGTGTATCTGGCTTGAATCGCATCACTTCGACAACAAAGGACTTCTCACATGGCATCATTGGGGTATCAGTGGGGTATCATTCGTAACTCTCAACATGTACAACAATCAGATCGTCCCTATGGGCTTCGGTTTCCATGTGCCTTGATACATGGACCACGCGTGCCTCGCATCGTCAGGCTCGGCAGCGTTGCCAGCTTCCACTGCATCGCGCTGTGCTGTGGAAGAACTGGAGCCCACGACAGGTGTTTTCTCCCTGGCGAGATCTTCCTCCAGCTTCAAGCATTTCAGGTATGCTTGGTTTCCCACGGCTTTCTTCTTGACACTTGCCAGCGCCACGAGCACGCGCTCCCGCGACCACTTGGGCAACAGGACCTCGAGACTCTTTCCGGTCTTCAGACAGTCTGTAACAGCGGCCTCGCAGGTCAGCTCTTCGCCGAGATGCTGCCAGTAGTACTCGTAGATCCAGACCAGTGCCTTGCCCGCGGCGTTTCTCAGCTTCGCCAGCGAGGGCAGCTGCTCGTGCGTGCTCTGATGCCGAAGCTCGACAAACGTAGCAGGGAGATCGATCGTCTTGGCCAGGCTGTACATACTTTGCTTCCGCAGCTTGTCCTGCTGTCCGTCCAGCAATCCCGTCACAAAGCTAGCGTCGGATGAGCACCAAACCCGTTACAAACCTTTTCCCTGGTGGGCGTGCTTACCGGCTGAAGGCAGCCGCGTACGCTGCGCGCGCCGCATACGCTGCCGAAGTGACCTTTCGACCGTCCGCCTCCCTCATCACCGTCTCTTCATCCCCTAGTTCCGCCGCCGCGAGCAGGGCCGTGGACTCCACCATGTGCGGGCAATTCCCGCGTTGCATCCACATGCTCACCCTGGCGACGGCATCGTGTCTGTCCCTTCGCCTCTGCTCTGCGTGTACAGACGACGAAGCCGCCTCTGGGCTGCCGTAAAACTGCCGCCGCACGAGGAGAAGCTCGTCCCGGCTTCGCCAGGGTGTGAAGATGTACTGCACCATGATCGATCGTCCCTCGTCAAGTCTGTCCGTGGCTGGCGATGATGTCGGAGGGGGGGCGTGTGGGTGAGGTGGAATAGCAGTCGCGCCTCGCCGGCGAGTGATATCGCGATCCTTGGCGGGATGGAATGGATCTGCGCGCAGCAAACGGGAAAGAGATTTTCAGCGAGCTGTTTTTTCGATGGCTGGTGTCGAGAAGGGTCTAGGATGCCTCCGCTGCGTGGAGGACTGGACCCTGAAAAATTTTTGGCGACGGTACTTCGTTTGCTGGAGATGATGAGATACAAGTCCACTTTGAAATGGGCCGAAGCTAGCTGATCTCATGTTGGTGGAGCGAACTTTGTTGGAAGACGGACGTCATTCAGTATTTAGCACCTTGGTCTGTGAAGAATGAGTGAGTTATTGCTGCTTGTGAGCCTCGCGGCGAGTGAGGAGAGCTAGACATCGTAGCATCAAGCCAAGCTCATGTGGCCTTGACCTTGAGCCTCAACTGCCCGTAGTCACTGGTAGACTGTCTATAATGGCGAATGCGCCATTGTACAATTAGTACGGTCTATACGTCTCCCTGGTATAAGAGGTCATCAATTATTGCTCGATTGATGACTGACTGCATTGATGTCACCGCTCGAGTGTCGTACATGCACTACATATGGACAAGTAGCAAGGGCTGAACAAAAGAAAATCACTCAAAGCAAGTTCTACAAGCGAGCATCGTCTCGGCTTTTTGTCAACTGGGGCAATGCGTGCGCCACCTCCAACCTCCGTGTCAGCAGCGGTGGCTGGTGCTCCATTCGCAGCCACAGCACTAATTACCTACTCAGAGAACGGAGGGCAAGTGGACGGACGCGCTGAACTTTGGTCTCCAGTCATCAGTGATGAAGAAATGGAATGGAGCGTCTTTAACATCTGGGGCGTGCGTTTATCGAGCGTCGGGCGCACAGACCGCCCAGTTCAGCAACTTCAGCCCCGAGCCTGCGGGGACAATGAAGGGGTAAAGTAAAAAGAGCAAAAGAAAGGCGCTATCCGTAGACTAGCAAACTTGAACTCGGCCAAGAAGCAGGGAGGGGGGCGAAATAGACTCGTGCCTGCTTGTACACGTACGTACTCACTCTATCCGTATCTCGGCCAAATATTGCTTGTAGTTGAATCTGGCCAGCACACATGCACTCGGTGTCGTTTCTTGACAGTTCCAAGTTGGAGCCGCGGGCTCGTCCAAACCCTGCTCCTCCTTCACGACCGTCGACGAAAGACCAGCCAATCCAAGTGGAGCAAATCCAAGGTCGCTTGCTCCCTTTGGTTCATGTTGTTGGAGGGCTTGCAGGGTGTGGAACTGTGGATGCCCCCCCCTCCACCGGAGAGCACATGTCTGACAGGGGTTCCACAGCGACCGCCATCTTCATCTTGGTTTTGACCGCGCCCCGGCTCGAGCCCCGCCTGCTCAGTGCGCCGTCAAAATCAATCACCTCAGAGGCTCAGACAACGGGAGAAAGGGACGAGGCGTTCGAGGTGGGTTCGACGCCCGACATGGTCCGGGACATTTTGTCACACACCCCCAAACCCACGGGGCCACCGCGTCGTACTTGTAAAGTTGCTTGTCAGGGCCCAGGAAGCCAAGCATCAACAAGTGCCAAAGGATGGAGTCCGGAAATGGCTCACGCGGCGGAGAGGGTTCATCGATGGAGGAGACAATTCTTCAAATTTCTTCTCAGTTTGAACCGGCCAGTGCAGTCCCCGCTGCGGCCAATTCTAGACTGTCTGATATCTATTCTAAAAACAGATGCTCCTGACCCGAAATGCGCTGAACGCTATCCTTTCCGTGGCACTCCGTGTGGATGTTGCCTGTTCATGCCCGCTAATCTAATGTCAAAACGCTCGCTCTATGTGGATCAACAAACTCCAATGAAACCAAAGAAATCATAAGAGAGGCTCGTGCAGAGTACAGTAGTGGAACCATCGAGGACCGCCCCGTCACTCATCATCTCCATTCTCTTCTTCATCAGATTGGGGGGGCTCCCAGGCTTCCTCCAGAGTAAGACCCTTTCCTGTCGCCTCCGACGGCCGGTAGACAGATCCCAGTAGTGAAGAGACGGTGGAGCGATAGTTATCCAACTGCGGGTCTTGGTCATACTTGGTTGCTGTGTCGTAGAGACCCATCCCAACCAAGATTTCGCCCTCATCCTCATCATTGCCATCAATCATGGAAGACTCTTCGTTGACAGCCGGTTGCGGTGCCCTGGTATTGACAAAGGCTTCAGGCGTGGGCGGGTTGGTTGTCTGGCTCATGTTGTGAACGGCCATGTCGTTGCTCCAGTCTTCAGGAGTTCCCGACCCCCGAGCATATGTCAGGGCGGGTGGCCCATCTGTATTCATCTGGTGAGATGAGTCTGGGTAGTATGGTGTGGTGTGTTGTTGCCACGCTTCGGGGCTGACGTATTGAGGAACACTGGCTTGGGGGTAGCCCAATGGCAGAGGTGAACATGCCGACGACGGTGACGCGTTTGTGGAAAAGGCGGCCATGTTTGGTGAGAATCGCTGCTGCTGTTGCTGTTGTGGGGGGTAGTAGGCGGGTCCAGTGGTATAAAGACTTGGTGTTGAGATGGGATAGCAACTTGATGTTTCTTGATATAGCTGAGGCGTGTAAAAGCAAGCGTTCGGGTGCCAGCTGAGAGGGCGTGATGGCCTGGTGGTACGGTCCGTCCTCGCCTGTGGGCACTGTTGTTGGAAGGCCATATCGTTGCCGTACGCTCTCCTGCGAACAGGACTGGTGCTCGCACTGGCGGGCTTGGACACTCTCATATTCAACCCGTTGCTTGGGGTGGCATAGCCTTTTCGTAACCTCCTCGAGGCCTCCGCGATGGCCATCTGAGTATTCCAGTCGTCCAGGAAGATGTTATTGGAGTCCATCATGGGAAGATACCCCGGCGAGTATCCAGCATTGAGGGCGTTCATGGTTGTAGGCGTGCGAAATGAGACGGGAGGATCGTCGGTCAAGGAGGACGTTTCTGCTCAGTCGAGTTTGATTGTGGTGTTGTGGGAGGAGGAAAGAATCCAAGGAAAAGTGAATTTGGCATGTCGAGTGGAAAAACATGCAAAGCCAAAGAAAGTCTGTATCCGTGGGTTGGTTATGTATCGTGAAATCAAGAACATGACGGTCGACACTAACAAGAGCCACACTCCAGGGAGGAAGAACATGTGCCACATTTGGCAAGGCTTGGGACGCTAACACCGGCTCGCTAAGACGGTACATTTCCTGCCTCCCTGGAAACACCTGGAGCGAGGTACTCATCCGCGTACGTGGGTAGGCTCATGTTGAGACCGGGTCAGCGATTGATTGATGAGCCGGCGAATAATCGACAGGGGCCAGCGAAGAGGTGCAAGCGCATTGGCCCCCCTTTACTCCGAAGAGCACAAAGTATCCCTACTTGGGGTGGCTCCTACAGTAGCGGGACTGGCAAGCATCTGATCCTAGCAAAATCCGATGGTCCTGTGGAAGTCCACTTGAAAGTCTGCGTCATTTGGAGCCGGGAGGTAGGAGTGGAACCGTAGACGGCGTCGCGGCGATGGGCAGACTCCACAGTCGTAAGGGAAGGCCCGGCCTGTCGTAGCACCACCGGTACGTTGCTGTTGTATCGACTCCAGTCAATGTGAGTTTCCAAGGCGCAACAAGACACCTGCCTGCCCAGCTAGCGCCTCCAATGCGCCAAGCTGCCTAGTTGACACCACTGGCGCGTCAGCCTCCAGCTGGTCTTACTGCGTTGGCATGCAACAGTCGCCCAGAAAGAGGTGAGCCCGTGCCGTTGAAAGCCTAGGCAGATCTCTTCCAAAGTCGGACAAAGGCCAGCCTGCTATTCATTTCACTACGATCCCTGTGGTGAGCTGCCAAGCCTGGCGCGAGATCTCCGGGACAGACTGAAAGACACTGCTCCAGAGTTCACCAGGGTGATGACTCGAGACAATGGCCTGTAGGCTGTACCGGCGAGCGAGCGTTCTGCTGCTTGACGTACCTGCACATAGGACGGAGTACGCACGTTCGTAAGAGCATTCAACTTGCAAAATACCACGTAGGTTGAGCAATTGCTAGTACTTTCGACTAGCGCAGGGCTACCCGCAGGTCTCCATGCATCCGTATCGCCGTCGCCGGCTCCCCATGTCTAGCGGTGTTTTCGCCTAAATGCTTTCGCGGCAAGCCACCGCACCACACCCAACCATGGTCACCTGGTGGCGGCGGCCTTGTCTGTGATGGATGCTTGCTGCGCAATGTGATCTGTAGTACTGATACCGACACAGGAAGTTGTGCCTGTACGGGTTTCAGCTCGCTTGGACGACTGGCTTGCGCATCTTCTCGACGCAAGACTAATAATAAGACCGTGAGCCAGATAGACTGCTTGGGGGCAAGCTAATTAATTAGCGGCTGCCTTGTTTAGGAAAGTCAGCGAATCTCACCAAGCCTTCATTGATTCCCTGCAGGGCATCGGTTCCCTTCCACAGCGCTCGGGTATCAACAGCTGGCGCTTGCCAATCAGTGTGACGTTTAACCCTTGTATCTCACGCTGTTCGAATGTTGGTAATTCCCTGAGCCTCCGCTGAAAGCCGACGAGGAAGACATGCTGATTGGCGCACGTAGTCTCGCTCTGGCTGCACAGTTTCTGATGCAGCGATGCTGTGTTCACGGTCCACCTAGCATGGAACAGCAGGGTGGCCTGACCTTGACCACCTGTGCCGCTTTTCTCCCTGTCATTCAGGTGCCATTCTTGAGACGCCGTCAATGACCCGCCAGAGCCAGGGCTGGTTCGGCCCCAAGCCTCGTGGATTGACCATCCTCCTTCATTGAGCATCCTAGAAAGCATTTGGTCACTCCGCCCCACCTCTCTACTGCGGATCTCTGCAGCGCCAAATCTTATGTCTTGCACATCTCTGCGGGGCGAGCTTTCCTGGTAACAGCTACGCGCACACCGAATTTATGCGCTCGAAGGGTAATCGAAGCAATCCGATCGCCGTCTTCGGTCCATCCGACACACACAGTAGGGTGTCCGTAGCTTCGTTAATGCACAGTTGCGTTGAGTGACCAAAGAAACAGAGGGTTCAAGCGAGCATCAGAAATCGATATGCGACGTCATCCAATATTCTTTGTTCACAACCCCGAGTCAAATAACGAACCAACAATAATACTCGCCTCCTGGCTTTCGGAGCGCTCAGAGACAGGTATCCGCTGGTGGCTTGCAGCGCGGCCCGTGACATGACGCCCCTGTTTGGAATTGTGCGTGTACGCACTTGTCGCTGTTGTAAAAGCTTGCCGCTTGTTGAGCGCATCACAATCCTAATCTGAGATGCAACTCCAGCGCGAGCACGAAGTGGAGTAGGGGAACCGCGGAGCTCGATGCACGGAAACAGCATCCCGTCCTGGGCGGCCAACGAATGTGGCGCGTTCTATCGGCCATAAGATCGTCAGCGACATGCGTACTGCGTACTGCGTACAGTGGACATCGAGGCGTTGCGGCATGCCTGAGTCACAGGCCTGCGTCGGTCATGTTGCCTGTGTAGTGCACACAGGGGAGTGCACACAGGGGTCCGGCCGCGGTCCATGAGCCAGCTTTCGCGTCGAACAGGTAATATGGCTCCCTCGTCTGTTGAATGTTGAATATTGGTTGCATGCGACAGGAATGAGGTGTGAGAATCGACTCGTGACACGTCTGCTTCACACGGTGCACCTGCCGAGTACATGATCATTATTAATAACAGCACGCACTGGCAATGCGGCGGTGCCGCGCGGAGGGGCAAGAACTTTCTGCTTACGGTGACAGTGCGGCAGGTGGAAGGAAGGAGCGACTGGAACCGCCAAACACAACTTGCTGGGAGCTAGGCAGGTGAAGCTAGGGCCCCGGGTACACTATGGTGCCTCCAATTCTCACTGGCGGGGCTAGAAGAAAATGACCATTGGCATTCGCTGCCTTTGCTTTCGTCGTCGGGAATCTGAGCCAGGGTGGGCTCAGCCCCTCTGACTCGCTCGACGAGGTCACCGCTTCGAGCACTGCGCTCAGCGACAGAATCAATGGTTCCGGTCCGGGTACTCGGTACTTCTCAGCGCGCTTAGGATACCTCGTTTCCAGGGGTATTCGCAACCTGTGAGCACTGACATTGCCCGTCAAGGTACCTCATTGATTTAGGAAGACTGTCGTCTGAGATTCTCCACTCGCGACCAGTACGTACCAGAAAGGGGTGTGCTGGGACCATCGTCTTGTTGCTCACTCTCAGACGGTCTTTGTTCAGTGATCGACCTGTCCACCGCCTCCCCGAGGTCTCCGACGCTTTTATTTAGCCTTTGATGCAAACACGCGCATAGCTGTGGCAGGGCGGATGTACACCTGCACGGACGTATTGACACAGGTGACAGATCAAGCCCCTGTCAAAGCAGAATGAGCTCTGAAGCAGGCCAAAGCAACAGTCAAATTATTGTTAATTCGTCCTTTTGGAGTAAGTTTATTGGTACTAGTTAGCGTGAGTTGGATTGTTGGCCATCGCTAGGCGAGTTATACATGTAGTTTTGCCATGGCGGCGGTATGTTCATCGGCCGCCTGAGCTCCTGCTAAATAGCCCCTTTTCCACGACTCGACAGGGAGTAACAAGCACGTATCATGAGTCCAACGCGCCCAGCACGACGTGAACTTCGGATACCTTGTACGTAGCATCTTTAGAATGAATCGACCGGAGTGCCATGAAGGCTGCGCAGCGGCTGAGGTGGCTTTCGATGACTAGCAGTAATTGCTAGGTAATGAATACTATTGATAGATGACTTCCAATTTGTACGCGATGACCTCTTGGCCATTTGCGGGCAGTTGCCTCCGCCGTTGGCGGTACGTGTCCAGCACGGTACGTGTGTGTCACGTCCTTTCAGATCCTCAAGGACCAATTAAATTCGGTCATGCGTGGGTGGACTCTCGCATAAAATGCATTGCTACATCCTCCTCTGTCCGTATTATCCGTACCTTCGTAAGGTATGGCTGGCTACCAGGTAATATTAAGTAGCCTTTGGCGCATCGTCACATTCACTGATCATTTTCCGTCCCCGAGTCCACGCTGCTTCTCCCTCAGCTCGATGCTTGTCACTCCCGAGTCCTGACTCCTGGGCTTGTCTCCATTACTCCACCCGCCGAGGCTTTCGAGTACGCACTTCATCAACCGTTTCTAGATCCATTCCGTGATTTAGATGCAGCACCACTATGCGGACTCACTGGTGCCGCGCTGGTCATTTGTCTCGACCCTCTTGATGCAAGTATTTGCGTTCAGGGGCCGCGAAACAAAAGGTTTGGCGGTCAGCAGGGCCCCGTTTTCAACGGTCGACCCATCAGCGCGCATTATAATCAATGTTTCCACTGCAATCGTGGCATTCGCCCCGCGCCAGAACCTGCTCGGCACTTGTCGATTATGGTCCAGTCCTTTCGAGATCGGGCCTTCAGGTGTATCATCCGCACTCGAGAGCGCGACGAACCGAGACAACGCCAACCAGCGCTAGTACAATGCATGATATGGTCCTCACGCCTTCCCTGTCCGCTCACCCGCTGGCTGCGGCCATACGCCACCGGAATCTATCACACACTCTGTCCACATGAAGACCTGCAACTGTTCATCCTGATGACATCCGCGTGTCCGATTTGGTCGAATACTTCACAGGGGGGCATCCAAAGGCCAAGGCTATCAATTCCTTCAACCTTGTAATAATACATAGCCCCTGTCGTCAATTTCTCTGGAAGCTCGGGCAGGGGCGGAATTGTCACAGTAGGTACTTCTCGAGGCACGTGAGCTAACGATCTTATTAGCTAGTCATCGTAATATGCGGCACTGCCCGTCCTTTGCCAGGTATCTCGAAGTTTAGGCAAGGGTGATGCAAGACGAATTGTCGCATACGGGGCGCTTCGGCAACAGCTGGAAAGCGTCGAGCCAACAGCGGCGCCCGCTACGAGGACACGCATTCCTTCGCTAACACGGTGACGACTGGGCTGACCGCGTAGCCGGAAAGACTGTTGTATGACAGACTTAATGCCGGACCGTATCACAGGCAAGCTGCATGCGTTCTTATTTATGTGCACTGGACTCTGATTTGCGCGTTCACCCAACATGGAGCTCTGTCACAATTACGGTAATAAACCTTGGCAACAGTTGAGGGGGTAGGTCATGTTGCTTGCAGATTCACAGAACCAAAGAGACTCATCGGAACTTCGTGACTGACGCCCCCTGCCATTGGACATTTTGACTAATGCCACACATCGACGCTATTTAGATTTCCCCAAAGGGCAACACCAGTCGCCGGGCTCTAACACGCCGCCAACACACTCGTCGGCTCGGTTGGATCAGAATGTCATCCCATGAAGATGGTCGACGCAGGTCGCGCATACCCAAAGGTACGCTATGAGAGTCAGACAGAGGGTGCCCAGAATACGCCTCCTGAGGCGCTTACGCAAGTCGTCCTTGTCCTACGTACTAACTAGCTAACTTTGATATAGTTACGAGTCCTCACACCCTACTGGCCGCTCTCCCCGCATCGGGACCCGGGACCGTGGGGCGGTCATCACGCATGGCATTGAGGGGTTGTATCATCACGCCCCCTCCCTGTTCTGCCCAGCGGGGCGTGTTCACGATCCTTCTCCTCCAACTCGTTCTCCTCCAAGGCAAGGACCAAGACTGCGCGCGTTGATCTTGGCCGCATTCGCATGTGCCCCAAACTTGAGGGACGATGCCCAAGCGGCAGCTGAAGTTGCAGCTGGCGGTGAATGTCAAGTTGCTTGTGTTTTGGGCGTCTACAAGTATTGCTGAGCAAATTTCTCACGGACACTGTCTCGGAATCGCAAGCAGCGTGCAGGAGAGAGACAAAGACGAAGGCTCTTTTCATCCCCTCGTACCGGCCCACCGCGCGTGTGTATTTAGTTATTGATCCTGTGTTTCCATATAGTAGTAATGTGCTGACGGTGAAGGACGGAAAAGAGAGGTTGGGATGAGTCATGGTTTTGCTGGGTCTCAATCCACGTACGTCCCAGCCAGCACACAATGGACAAAACGAGGCTTTGCGCTGACGAACTCTGTGCTATCTGGACAAATGCATCACAGGGGATTTCCTCTCGACATTGTGACCGGTACATCATGTCAAGACGCTACTTGGACGGTCCATCCCTGGCACTGGCCGTGGTGTTTCAGGGTAAGCATTAAAGCGATGTATCCATGGTTATCGTCAACTGTCTTCACGTTCCTAGCGCAATGTACCCTGGCTCGACATGTTCCTTTGTGTAAAGTGATTCAGACTCTGGGCAGACTTGGAATTGAGTTCTTCGCATCCAGGCACGTCGTACCCGCAAATAGTACCTGGCTTGACACGAACAGCAAGGGCTGGACAGGCCTTGATGTCGGTGACATCAACAGGAATAAAAATATGTAACCTCTTTACCTGCCGCGGTTTATAGAAGCAACCATTGCGGGCACACACACATTAGACGACACCTTGGTGACCAGCCGTTGCATGTGCCTCTAGATGGCTTGCGGCCTTGCCTCGAGATGCTTGGCATGGCCGCCCTCGAACTGATAAACGACACGCCTATCTCACTGAACCGAATGAGACGTAGTGGAAGCCCTGGTCTAGAATCGGCTTGGATCTAATGATCGATACTGGCCACTGGTGTGTGGAAAAGGTGGCGCTGGTCCGATGTCTGTGAAAGACCCCTTGATTCATTGGATCTAGACGCCATAGACGATGGTGGATAGCCGATGTACCAACGAGAGATAGTGGTCGGTCATCCTGAGGGATGGTATCTGATCATTGTGAAGATTGTGAAGTTACGTTCAACCTCAACAATGGGCTTATACGCAGTTGTGCATCAGACGGCCCGTCATCGGCGGAAAGAAACCTAACTCGACTATTGCGATGCTGTGGTCGAGTGGCCACAGGCACGGCTCGACACTGGACGCGACACTGGATGCGATCATTGCCATGGTTGACAAAGCCAAAGACACCAGGTAATTTAGACTCAATGGCATCGGCTGTAGTTGCACATATGTCCCTTGGTGCCGCATCGACATTGTTTCCTCAGCCTCGTCAAGGCTGGAGCCGGACATGTCGCCGGCTCGCCGACATGGCCTGGCGCTACCAAGGCTGCAATCCACACACAGAATGACCTGGATGGGCCGCTGAATACGTTTAGGCCACTACCTCCCCATGCAATACCATTTCAAAGCTGAGACATAAGTAGGGGGGGAGGTCGTTGAGACGCGGTGCTGCTGGCGTCCGAGAAGGCGAATGGATCACTGGTGAGTACGTATATCGGTGGTAAAGGCGTGACTGGAATGTGAGGCTGGACGCATGCATCGGCATCTGAGAACCAGGGCTTAGCATTCCTCAGTAAAGAATCGTTCACGTTTCGAAGTTGTCGACTCTCACGGTTGTTTCCTGTTGGTGGCATTTCCATCGCCAGCGAGATGATGACCCGAGTTCAGTGGAGCTAGCTGTTGACTTATAATTGGCTGAGCAGGGCTCACCCTTTAATTGCATACACGGATACGTAAGGTGGAGTGTTCGACCAAGAACATGACCGGGCAGACACCAATTCTTGAGGTCCTTGGGCGTGGATTTTACCGAAACCATCGCTGTTGGAGTTTATCAACAGAGCCGACCCTGGCGAGACATCAAAAGCAAGATCCACCAACACGATGAAGGACATTGTCACATTGGCCGGAGTCCAGTCGCCGACGCCATATAGCGCCCAACACAGCTGACTGGAGCGTGCCATCCCAAACGCATCCCGAAACGCACCCGAATGGAAAGGCTCTGCCGCTCGGGAGGGTGAGACCATTGGAAAGCCTCAGTGAGTCTCTCATACACTTTTCGCAAGGGCGCCAAGCATCCAACCCTTGCCCATGATCATATGGCGACCAAGGACTGTGCGCCCACGGCCATCATGGGCGAGAATGACATGGCGTTCAGATACGACGTGTTCCTTGTGTTGGGTGTACGCGCCCAGATCACACAGGCCACGACGAGGAGACTGAGGAATGCGATCATCGGGACCATCATTGGCCCTCCAGCTACGACTTGATTGCGCTGCTACGTACGTACCTACATGTAGCTGCTGGGGTCGACATAAGCGTTGTTTGCTTCAACGCCTGCAGCTTGTCACGAGGAGTTCCCAGCAGTTGATTTTGCACATTGATAGCCTTGCAAGTCGTCGACTCGAGCAGGGCCATCTCCACCGGGACCGACCAGACTGGTCAGGATCAGGTTTGTTCTGGTGGCCGCCCTTTCGTTGGGCAAAGTGCCCCCAGCAATGTTCCGAGCGTGTTTCCCAACACTCCATGGCGTTGGTGCGGTGCTTGAAACGGCATTTGCTTTGAGGACAATGCCTTCGCATCGTGCTTTTGAGATGACCTTCACCCCGACCGTTGGCCAGGTGGCTAGCCTCCCTCGCGGCCAGCTCGACATGGTGTGGATCGCGGACGACTCTCGCGCACATGATCTGGAATGGGACAGTGTCACGCTCGAGTCGAAAATCGTCGCTTGGCGGCGGGAGTACTCCGTACTGTATCGAACGAATGGCCAGGCTGGGCGCTGATGTCGGCAGCGCGCGCCGAGACACGCTGCATCTCAACCTCGAACTTTACCCAGGACGGGCTGTGGCGCCACGACTCAATGACACAGTCGCATGCGCTTAGAAGAGGAAGCACGGCCACACAGAGTGAATGCCGTAATGGGCAGAGTACCTAAATGCAGGTGGCATGGTGCCGCAGCTGCACGTGTGCGCACTGCATCCGTGTCTTTTCTGCATGTAGGATGCATTACCCTCTTCCGGTCTGCACACGCACACGCCCCCTCTTCCAACAAGTTGCCTCCCTGCGTGGCGGGCACGGTCGACTTCTCTCTGATTGAAAACACCTCGTGAGGGTCCCTAACCCGTCCGTTGTTACAGCAGGCGCCCGCAGACAGGATCGAGCGACTTGAAGGATGCTGCCGCGCTCTGCAGGGTCATTTTTTCAATTGTGTGTATGCGTACGGAGCAATAGTGTGCAGTGGCATACCGCCACGCAGCGCTGACCGCCTCTCCTCGCGCCCGAAAGAGGCGGCCCCGCGACTTACGGGAGGAAAGGTCAGTCGCCCTCGTCACATTTCTCACGGCACCAGCTTGGCGGCATAATATGGCAGAGCAAGGCGGGAGAGACACGGCCGAGCGTCACATCGCCACGACATTCGCTCCGCTGGCTCAACCGCTCTCGGTGGCTGGGCGGACAATGATCCATGGGTCCGGCGGGCGGCCATTGAGGCCAGCCGCGTCTTGGGCTTACTCACTGTTCATGGCCCATTTTTCGCACGTGGATCCTGTGGTCATCCATCGAACAAGAACCGAGGCCCATGTCAGAATCAAATGAGACCGATTGCCCTGACGACTGCTGCCGCCCGAGTGTGTCAGCCGGCCATTCTTTCTTTTGGCGTGGCTAATCTTTTGGGGAATTCCATCATCGTTATGCTCTGGCCACCTGCGAGAAGGTTCGAGCGACAGATCCTTCACAGAGCTTGTCGAACGTTGGACGGTAGGATTCCCAACCAAGGGGTTCAGCATCCTTTTTGCAACGTGTGTTTTCGGGACTCGTAGCCAGCGGCTCCTGTCTCTGTTACGCAGCAATTTGTTGATTCTTGAAGAGACGCAACTGCTAAGCATTGGCGTTGACAACAACTAAATCTCAGCTATTGATTATAGTTCGTTTATTAGCATTTGTCTAAGGTACCGGGTAGTTGACCTTCTGATATAGGATGACAGATCCGTTCAAGTATGGCGTAGGTAAGAGCCCTACGCCGGGCAAAGTCAAAATCGCCCCCAACATTGAAGCCGTGGATTGTCTAGGCTCGGTGGAAGAACGCGCACAGTCGTGTCATGATCAATTGTTTTTGGGAGGTATTGTCAAGCATACCACATCTGTTATTGAGCATACCCAGTGGAGGCTCCCTGCCCCGTAGCTGAATTTGGTAACACTCGTAGGCCGCGACTACTTATATTATCTTCATTAATTCGAGTGTCTTAGACGCCGCGGGAAGTTATAGATACGGTAGCAAAATACCCTCTAGGCGAACAACACACTAGCTAAATAAGGTACTAGCCGAATAATACTCTACTGCTCGTATGTTAGCGATAGCCTCAAAAGTTCAAGGCGATATACTACGAGGCAGTGGATACACGCCAAAAGGCTGCTGTAGCTCAATATTTGAGCCGACTTGGTGTGCTCAATAACAGATGTGGTGTGCTCAATAACAGATGTGGTGTGCTTGATAATACCTCCCTTGTTCTTTCCCACTCACTTCCTCCTTGCCTTCATCATATTCCACTTCAAGACCACGCAAGATGCGTTTCGATCACACCACACATTTTGAATCATTGGCCGAAGGGCTTTGTTGCCCCCTAAGGTCTTTGTTTTCGGCTAGGCGTCACGTCCCTCTCCTGAGCCGCACTCGTGCTATCAGTGCGTGCGATTGGGAGTTCTCTGTAAGAGCCTAGAGCTCTACAGTCATCGGTTGATTTGTCTGACGAGATCTTGCTGATGATCATGAACTACAAGTCCTTGGCTCAACTACCTGACGAAATCTTGCTCCTAATTACGGACCAATTGTTTGTTCCCAGACTCGCTCTGGGCACTCAGACAGACCTCTTCGATATTGTTTCGAATCTTTAAATCTGAAGATTTTTGTCGGTTTTCACGGAGAACCAGGCCGCTACGACCACCACTGGCCGTTTTCGCTGCGTTCTCTGACGCCAGGTGAGCGCGAGACTGTCAGAAAGTATATACGACCATCAAACGCCTCCCGCAAACACACAACGGCGATGGAACGCTGTGGTGCATGCGTCGAGGTCCATGAACGCGGTGAACATGACCGTCGTCTTGTCAGGCTTCACAAACTGTACTATTCCCATGCTTGCCAAGAGAACCATGCAGGTGTCTTTTTCTCCGCTCCAAGCCTGAGAGAATATGAACCAGGCGCCAACATTACGTGAACTGGAAGGATGGGCCGGTCGACGCTGTGGTCTCAAAGCTCTACTCCGCCAATCACTTGGGAAACACTGGACAAGGTTGTGTCCCAGAAGAGATATAGTGATCCGACTCGGAGGATATGGAACTTTCCTCGCACCACCTTGTCGGCGAGGAAAGACCAGAAGAAGCGCAATCTATGTAAGATTCCGGTATTTAACAAAGACCCAGCATATTTGCATCAGCATGTCACGCTTGTGTTCGGATGGGACCTCCCCCTATTCGAAATTGATGCTTCGGTACCTCCAAGTCTCGGGGCTATTCGACACTTCGCCGTGGACTTGGTGGACAATGGAGCGCTACGGGGTCTACAATGCCGCCAGCACATGGTAGACTGAGGTGTGCTCCAGGACACCGCCATGTCCGGCATCTGCGGGTGCTTTGCAACACTAGATGAAGACATTTGTAATGAGATAAATTTCTCTTTCTGAAAGATCTTACGTGCTCATGCGGTTGAGAGCGGGTCCAGGACTGTGAAGAGTGCGGTGGACAATACGGCGGGCGGCTTCCTTCAGGTCGATTCTGGCTGAGGTATCGCTACTTCTGGAATATACGCAGAGCAACAAGTCCCGGATGGCTTGGGTTCATGGATGGCATACCGGCTCTCGTGCACGATGACGATAGCAAGCATCTTCTGGGGTGCGATCAACTAGGCTGTCTCACCGGACAAGGACGACGATGGATAGAGCTGGTCAAGGAGGAGACTTGTCTGTAGTGTTTCCGATTCGAGGCGTCCGGAAGGCCAATTGACGAGACAAAGGGGTTGGCCGGAAACATGGACGACATTGTTAAACAAGGGGAACCTGGGAGGGAGGGCTGACCGAAGGTATCAAGTGCATCCCCAGTTGCCCGAGGTCTTCTTAAGAAAAGACGAGCTTCGCAGACGCACCAACATGGTGCTGGGGAGAGATCAGATCCGCCCGCGAGGGAGACCTATGGACGTGGCCAGGGGTCTGAAGGGTGTTGAGCAGCATGTCCTCCCAACGTCGGCGAGTACTGAGCTGTGATTAGACGTGTGTAAGCAAACCCAGCGGTGATGGAATCACAGGATAGGGGGCCAGTTGTGACTACGTATTTTTTTCTGCAATGAGGTGAAAGCTGGGTCATTCCGAGTGGTTGAGGGGGACAGCAAAGACGGAACGCCGGGTGCAGGGTAGGCCATATTAAGCCCGCTCGAGCTCGACTAGGTAGATCCACAGCATCAATGCCATCGCGCCGGATCTACGACTCGTACCAAGGCTGGACAAGGGCGCTTTTCATGATGACGGAAGGCAGAGCGAGTCTGCGGCACCAGACATACCGCCCACTTGTCCATCTCACCCCGCTGGATGAGCGCAAACAGATTTCCTTCTTCGTTCCCAAAGCCCCTCCTCAACATACCGGACAGCGACTCCAGCCAGCTGCTGTTGCTGTCGTGACGCTGCCCCGCGATTCCGAGTTTCGAGCCATCGCCACGCAGCGTCGCTACCACGCGAGATGAGCCCTTCTGGAGAGAAGCGCGTCGTGTTTCAGGAACATGGATCGGAAGAGAGCGACGACGACGACACTACGAGCTTAGAGGTATAGTGATCTTCGGAGGCTCTCGAGGAGTCTGCCACAATCCATGGTACTCAGTACCTTTGCTGACGAGCATCCCCAAGGTCACCTTTGACCCCTCCAACCCATATCGACGCAAGAGCTCGCTCGTTTCCTCCGAAGCCATCAAGCCAACGCCACATCACCGCGCGAAACGAGACGAATGCATCGTTCATCAGTTTTTCGAATCGCAGCGCAAAGCCCAGGGCGCGACCGGCGGGAACGGCAGCACCCACTACCTGGCGCATCAAGTCTACAACCAACCCGAGAAACAGCAGGAGCAGGCCAATGCCACCGAAGCAGCTAAGCACGATGCCGAGTCGACTGTCGAGCCCAAGGAAAAGCCGGTAAAATCAAAATGCGAGGTGTTGGCCGATGGCCACGCCGGTCAGTCAGACCAGCAGTCGTGGACATCGCACATGACACAGAGCATGTCGGAAACGGACCTCAGCGCCTCCGACGATGTGCATAGCCGCACGCTGACCAAGAAGCAGTTGAGCGACATGGCGTGGGGTGTGCGTGAGCTGAGCAGACGCCTCAGCAGCATGCGAATCCGCTTCCGCGTCAAGACAGTCTTCTTATTGACAAAGGTGTACGACCAAGACCTGATACCCAAGACAAGAGAGCTCACGCTCTGGCTGCTGGATAGAAGCAGAGACGTGAAATACACAGTGTACATTCAGGACAAGCTCAAGAACAACAAGAAGTTTGACGTGCAGGGGTTGATGGAAGCGGCCGCCAAAAGCTACGTGGCGGCGGGGGAGATGGACCACGAACAGGCCATGGACGACATTAGCAGACGATTGCGGTACTGGGACGAACCCATGTGCAAATCGCGACCGCAGACATTCGACTTTGTCATCACGCTGGGCGGTGACGGGACCGTGCTGTACGCCAGCTGGCTCTTTCAGCGCATCGTGCCGCCGGTGCTCAGCTTCGCGCTCGGCAGTCTGGGATTCCTGACAAAATTCGACTTTGAGAATTTCGCGCCCACGCTCAACTCCGCATTTGCCAATGGCGTGACTGTCAGTCTACGGCTGCGCTTCGAGGGGACCATTATGCGCAGCCAGCGAAACGCGGAGCTCGAGCCTGCGTCCTCTTCGTCCGAGGACGAGGGAAAGGTGCGCGATCTCGTGGAGGAGCTCATCGGCGAGGAGAGGGAAGACGCGCGCACACATCGCCCCGATGGGACCTTTGAGATCTTGAACGAGATTGTAGTGGATCGAGGGCCGAACCCGAGTAAGCCTCCGCGCACCCACGCCCATGACACAAAACTAACAAAGCGATAGCAATGTCCTCCACAGAGCTCTTTGGCGACGACGAGCATTTCACGTCCATCCTCGCCGACGGCATCTGCGTCTCGACACCCACCGGCTCGACGGCCTACAACCTCGCCGCGGGCGGATCGCTCTGCCACCCCGAGAACCCCGTCATGCTCGTCACTTCCATCTGCGCCCACACACTCTCCTTCCGGCCCATCATCGTGCCGGACACCATTGTGCTGCGCGTTGGCGTTCCCTACGATGCGCGCACGTCCTCATGGGCCAGCTTTGACGGCCGGGAACGCCTCGAGCTCAGGGCTGGCGACTATGTCACGATTAGCGCCAGCCGATATCCCTTTGCTTCTGTGCAGTCGGAGGGCAGGAGGAGCGAGGACTGGATCAACAGTATCAGTGGGAAACTCGGTTGGAATACGAGGCAGAAGCAGAAGGTATACACGGAGTGGAAGTCATAAAGGGGTTATCATCGGCGCATGGCGTCCATTGGAATCTGAGATAAACAAGCAATTCCGCCATCATGACAAGTCATAACTATACCAAGCTCCTAACACCGTGCTGTATACCAGAATAGCCCCTGGGCCTTGGGAACCATCAAACATTCTCTCTCACGCCAAGCGGCTTCCGGGCGCTCTCCTCGTCCCTGAACCGCGTCAGATCCCCTCCGATGAGCTTCCTCAGGTTGCCCACGTCCTGCATATATCGCCTCATCTCCTCTTGCAGGTCGTCTTCGCTGTAGGCTGTGCTCTCGGAGTCATAGTCAAGGTCGTCTGGATCTGACGGCTCGTCTTGATTCTCCTTATCCCCGTCATCACTGCCGGCCTCGCCCACTTCCTTCACCTCAAAGTGAGGGATAGGGTTCTTGAGACTGTCGATGGCCAACTTGAGGTGCAGCTTCAGAGCCTCGTTCTCCGTCTGGAGCTTCTTGATCTTGCTTTCTGACACCATGCTGCGCTCCTCCATCATGCGTTGCATGGTGGCCACACGCTCTTGGTATTCCTCCAGACGCTCCTCGGCCTTTTGTGCATTCTTCTCCTTCTCGCGCGAGTCTGACACGGACATTTGCAGGAGACGGATCTCCTCAGCCATAGCCGCGATTTGAGCATCCCGCTCAGCGGAAGAGATCTGGTCTTGGTTGACGACAGCTCGGGTCCGGATGCGCTTGGCTTGGTCGGCGTATCGCAGTGTCGACAGTGTCTCGTCGTAATCCGAAGGAGCAATACAAGCAATCATGGCAGTCTTGCTGTTTCCACCCAGTGAGTCCTTCAGCAACCAGGTCAGGATGGAGTCACGGTACGGGACCACATCCTTCCTCTTGCCCGACCTCAGGGTCTTGGAATCCGCGAGAGCAGCGATCACACGTCCAAGAGTAGTGAGCGACTTGTTGATGTTGCTGCCCTCACGGAGCCTGGCGCCAGTCGCCTCTGTTGATTTTGCCCTCTCGCTACCCGCCAAGTCGACGAGCCTGATCCGTGAGCTGCGCTCCGTCGTCTCGTCCGTCTCCATGTCGTGGTGAATCTGTTTGAGCATAATGGTGAAGACCGCGTGACTGCGACTACTGGTGTCGTTCATCTTGGTGCTTGCCACTGTTCTCGAAGAGTCGCCATTGGTCATGTACCGCAAGATCTCGTCAATGTTGCGGACGGGTACCTCTGTCAGGTCTTTGACATAGGGTCCTTCTGTCGGCGACTCGCGGATCTTGAGGTAGTTTGGAGGCTTGTTGGGTACCACAGGTACTAGCAAGTCACGGACGTGTTCGTTGTAGACCTCGAAATAGGACACACGCACATTGTAGGCCACGTTGGAGTCCTCGTTTTGGGCCGCTTCGATGCGTTCGAAAAGGTCTTCGCACGTCCGCGGAATAAGGCCGGGCTGGTCTGGCGTGCCCATCATCGTGTAACTCTTTCCAGACCCGGTCTGACCGTACGCAAAAATGCATGTGTGGTAGCCCTCGAAATTGTGGTCGAGAAACTCCTCGCCCAGGCTGTTGTACACGTCGGCTTGGTGGGCATAGTGCTTGTCCTTGACATTGTGACTCCAGAACGAATTGTCAAAGATAAAGCTCTTCTCTTCAATGACTTTGCGGGACTTGGGCTGCTGTTTCAATTGAATGGAGGTCTCGGCGTCGTCGGGTGCAAAGAGCGTTGTCTGCTGTGTCATGGGATCCATCTCGACGAGGCATCTCGCCCGCTTCTCGAGCTCTGCTCGGTCAGTCATTGATTGCGCCCAAGACCTGAATCCACCAACCTCTCTGCAAGAAAGCCCGCACGCGGACGACGACTCGCACATTGCCTCCGCCTTCCATCCTGGCTAGCAAAGGCAGTGTCCCATCTCTTGAACGCATCGATGGCGTGGAGGCGGAAGAATGGACATGGCCAACAGATGGCGAGGGTGAGTGCGCGAGACTCTGTCGTGGATCTGGAGCCATCGTTCGCAATGTCTGATGGGCGTCGTGAGTAGATTCGTGAAGTCGTTGGCGAAGAATGGGGTACATTCCCTGCTGGAGACTCGCGGGCCGCGAGCCACTTTTGTTTACTTGGGCAGGAGCTGTTGCCGGGGTTGCAGCGCCTGGATCTGCGGTGTGCTGGCGTTGACAGGGGTCAGGATGATCTCGCGGAACGGACAGACTCGAATTGTAATGCTGCAGCAACGAAGCCAGAACTCGAAGAGAACGATTTGAAGCCATCAAGTCATGGTGGTGAGGATGATGATAGTTCTTGTCGTCCGAAGCCCAATGTTTACATTTGTCTCGAGGTGGCTCACCCGAGCAACCACAGTGACGCTTGTGTGACAACCTCCAACTTACGGGACAGTGGGCGAGATCCACTCCCACCAAAGGCTTGCCGTAGGGTAGGTGAAGAGCTCCGCTCGCAACGGAGCACGATAGGCTCTGATCTTCACACAGCACTTGCAGATGTTCGTGATTGGAAGGCTCGGGCTTTCGAATGGGATTTGCCCAGGGTCTGCAGGCTAGGTATAGTATTTTACATTAACGTCAACTTTGCAACGCTCGCCGTCAAGTTGACCGACAGGACTACTCTGACCCTCCACCACCTCCTTCTCACTGCACGACCCCTACCCCACTACACCGACGAGTCGGCAGCTCCAACTATGCGCCCAACTTTCCACTCCAACTACCATCACTGACTTCCTAGCTTCACCATTTTTTCAGCTGCACACGCGACGCATCGAACCATTGTATACGAGATCAGAACTATGGAATAGACCGAACTGTCAGGACCCCGTGACCGCCTCCGCGATGCTCCCAACCCAACACACGCGAAACGTGGCCACCTCTCCAAGACAGCATGGAGGAACCTTGGCTTGATCCGGGCACAGAAAAGCCGGCTCCCACCGGCCCTGTCCCGCGGGACGAAGAGTTGGACGCGTCGAAACCGACAGGAGACATTGCAGATACCGGGGAGGTCGTCGATGTTGGCACAGGCACGGAGCAACCAGGGACTGAACAAGGGCCGGTGCCAGCACCACCCGCGCCGTCGCGACCTGGACTGCAGCGCAACTCACTCGCGGCTATAGAGCCCATGTCCCTCACGCCCGCACCGGATCCGCCTTCTGCGGCAAATAATAACATTGCTGTCGATGGCGTCCCGACCGACTCCCTCTCGCTCATGCAGCTTCGGCGCATCGTTGCAGAGGTCAACCGAGCCGAACCAATAGCGTACGACTTTGAATACACAGACTTTGGTCCGCACGCCGAGGAGCTAGATGAGTGGTTCGGATATCAATTCTGGCAGTGGGTGCGACTCAACTCCTGCCAGAAGGCATTCGAGTGGCACTGGGACAATGAGAACGCGACGAGCAACGCAGAGGTACCGGCCTGGGACGACGCCGACAACGAGGTACGAACGAGGTTCATACGCGCGGCCATTGGGGGCGTACAGAGCAACGATGCAGCTTTACGCTCCGCAAGCATTGGGAAGCTGGTCTACCTGGTTCTCGGGCGATGGGGCGATACAGCCATGCCCAATGCCACGGCCGAGGACTCAAAGTCGGTTGCGAGCATATCGCAATTGAGAGCCATCAAGGCGGGCGTTGAGTGCCTGACATCACTGGATGGTCTTCCCGTCGTGTGGGAAGCCCTCAGGAACAGCTTCGAGGTGCACTGGTCTGGAGACCAACAAGGCACGTCGCAAGAATCACAGGACGAGTTGATGAACTTGATGACGATTATGTACTTTGCCATCGAGGAGGCCCTGCACGACCCAGAAGACATGGCGGCTACGCATGGCAAGCTTTTGGAACTAAGTCCCTCGCTGGTGGATTTCATGCTGTCGGCAACGGCCAAGTTACGGTGGGACGAGGCTCAGTCGATGCCGCACATGCAGATTTTCCTGTTGTTTTGGAAATCAATTCTGTTGGTGTTTGGAGGCGGCGAAGAGCTCGAAAGTGTCAAGGAAGCGACCAGCGAAGCAGACGCCAATGGTCTTGACAAGGAGACCATCACGGCATCGCCGCTGGACTATCATGTCTTTCGCCAAGAGATCACATCCAAATATCCTGCCTACGTGCCACCGAGGCCGTCCATACCCCTGGAGGCAGAAAATACATCACTCCTGCCACCCCTGCCGAACCAGACATCACGGCACAGTGCCGGCAACGGGATCGTGCCAGCACCGCCCAACTCACAGAATGGGGGAGCCTCGATCTTGGATCAGCCAGTGCACATTGCGACGCCCGCGCCGTCGCCACCGCCATCGCCAGGCGTGGGCAAGGGCGGCAAGAAGCAGAATTACCAAACGAATCAAAACTTCCCCTTCATGTACCCTCCCCTCGATGCTACTAGTAACAGCGCAGGTGGAAAAGGTCTAGCTGGAATCAACGAAACCCTCGTCAGTCGGCGCTGGGAGGGAAGCGATATCCCCGCATCGATCCTCGAGGCCGGCGAGCTCTTCTCGAGCCGCGTGCGTATGACGCGCGCGACGAGGCAGCTGTGGGAGGAAAGGGAGCTATTCCAGAAATACGACCGGGGGTGGGACTCTGCACCGGCAGGCGATTCTGATGACGATAATGACGATATCGAGGATCTGAACCTGGACGAGCTCACCGTGGAAGAGCGAGAAATCCTCAAAGAGATCAAGGTGGAGGACAAGAAACAAGAGCAGCCTCCCCTGCCGATGGACTCGGGACCAGACTTTGGACCACGTCCGGAGCGTTTGAGTGAGAGGGACAAGCAGAGGCTGTGTGCGGTAGAGAGTTTTTACGTACGTGTTTTCGTTCTGCCCAACCAGGAGCATGCTAACCTTTCTAGCGCGATGCCCTGCCTCACCTTCAATCCTTGGTCATCGTCCTCCTGCGACCTATTCTCAACAACGTCACGGCTATTGTCTCGCAGCAATCACCCGCCGGTGGACCGTCAGGCGCTGGGCCTCCTAGGGGACCCCAGCAAGGCATCAATGGCGGCGTGAACGGACCTCGGCCGCAAGAGGCACAAGCCCAGGGTGCACACAATTCACCACCGGAGTCCCCGGAGATGTCACCCGAGGAGCTGGATGCGGCGCGTACCCGCGAGATCACGACCAAAGCCATGACAGGCATACTCCTTCTGCTCCTCAAATGGCTGAGAGCATCCCGTGAGTGGTTCCGTGAGGTGAACGGAGCGGAACACAAAGCTAACGACGTCAGACGTCTTGAGCTACGAGTACTTATCGCAACTTTTGCTGGACTCTAACTACGTCCCACTGGTTTTGAAGCTGTTCGCCCATCAGGACGTTCAGCAGGTTGTGGATAGCAAGACGGACCGAGCTGAAAATAGGTGAGCACGGCCTATTACTGCTTGCAGGACTTTGACTAATGAACTAACAAGCTTTTTCCACTTCTGCAACCTTCGGTCACGTCTCAAGGATAGGTTAGAGGGAGATGAAAACGAGGATGACGAGGAGGAGCAGCACAAGGCGGAGGCCCCGCCAGCTGACGTGGAAAGCGAGGACGACGCTGCGCCTCCTCCTATTCGACGGAGACGCCATCCCTCGGAAGCAAATGGTCCCGCCACTGCCAGTGATGAGCCCGATGGTGGACAGCGATCCGCGCAAGAGGCCGAGGATGACGAGGGTTTGACGCGTCCTGAAGTCGACGAGCTGGGCTACCCAGTGACGAACCTGCCAGAGGAGCCCATTACGGATTTCTCGCGGCGAAACTTCTTCTCCCTCATCAACTATCTGCGCATCATGCAGAAGATCTGCAAGGGCAAGGCGCACCGCAACCTGCTGCTGGTGCAGTACAAGTCCTCCACCATCCTCCGCAAGTCGCTCAAGATACCGCAGCCGGACCTGCGGCTGTACACGCTCAAGCTCTTCAAGAACCAGGTGCCTTACTGCGGCCGTAAGTGGCGCCAGGGCAACATGCGCGTCATTACCGCCGTCTATCTCCACTGTCGCCCCGAACTACGAGACGAGTGGCTCGCGGGCAGCGACGTCGACGCCGAGGTCGACTCCGCGCTGCCTCTGGAGCAGGCGCTCCGTAGCCTGACCCACTGGCGGAATCTGAGGCGCTACCCGGAGAAGATTGCGCCCAGGATAGGCAGGAAGTTGAGAGAAGAGCAGGGTGATTTCTTTGGGCGAGAGCTGGAGAGGCTGAATATTGGATGGCAGATGGGCGATGATGGAGAGATGGAGGCAGAGGGATGGCCGTGAGTTCTCATGGGCGAATTATGCCGATAAATTTGGGTGCCATATCCGTCAACAGGTCGTCCGCGATGCTCGTTGTAGATCAAATGACGACCCTGACGTTCTGAGTTAGCCTTACACCTGTGTCTTACACTGTGAAACATTCTTTGTAAGTAAAGATTACTATTATTTATGTGTGCATATGCTGGTTGTAGGATAATGTCTTGCATTCTCGTGGGTATCTCCGCATCCTGTCTCATCTGTCTCACATTCAGCGACGTTCATAGATTCCGTCCTCATATCGATAGTCCGGCGCAGGCTGGTACCCGCCCGTCCTGTGCCCCGTGTACGGGTTACTCGTTTCACATGTCTGCGTGGGATACTCAAATCCCCCGTACCTCTCTTGAAGATTGTATCGCTGTGGACTCTGCGGACTCACTTGGTCATCCACATTGTCCACACTGTCGTATCGTTGCTGATGGGAGTATCCATGATATCCAGTGCATGCTTGCTGCTGTGCCTCGTCGGAGTAGAGTTCGTATCTCTGTGGCTCGGGGCGTCCGTGAGCCACGCCAACCTGGCTCGTGTGCTCGCTGGGAGCGAAGCTGTCGGTTCGTGGGTTGGCGACAAGCTCGCCAGGCGTGGTGTGCTCGGGTAGGATGTTGTCCTGCTCCATCTTTTGAGCCGGCGTTGTTTGTCGTTTGCCGAAGACACGAGCCAAGAACCCTTTACGAGCTGTTGATGTCACGGTCCCCGTCTCATCCTTGGTTTCATGTTCGTTGGTGTATTCCGGATCAACGGGGAGAAGCCTGTGCTTCTCACGGTAGATCTGGCGAGCGAGGAAGAGCTCAACTGCAATGGCGCCCAGCGAGAAAAATCTAGAACAGATCAGTTAGCGTGTGGGACCCGAGCGTGCGAAGAGGGCGAGGACTTACATGCTGATGATGCCCACGGCGAGCACGGCACTCTGGAGTCGACAACCCGTCCCATAATCGGGGAGGACAACAGAGCCGCCGGAGCCGCCGTCCACCGTGTCGCCTTCTTTTCCCTTTCCCAGCACACCCGCGTTGACATTGTCACCGGAGCATCCACTCGCGCCGGCCCGGTATGTCACGCTCACGTATATCCAGCAAATAGCGAATGCAAAGTTGAGGATCAGCAGGACAAAGCATTTCGGGACGGATACCAGTCTGGATAGCAGGATGAGTGTGACGATGGTGTAGAGGATGGAGGCGCCGGATATACCCTCCACAGCTGGGATGGAGTCTGGCAGCGAGAGGGAGTGCGAGGCTAGGATGGCGAGCAGGTACGTGTTGATCGAGAAGGTGATGATGGAGGTTAGGAGCAGCGGCGTGTACACCAGCGACTGGAGTAACTTGAAGCCCATGGCGGGCTGTTCTGGGCACGATAGGAAATAGGAAGATGTCTAGTATTGGTCAACGATGCCGCAGCTGATTGATGGACCAGACCGAAGATGGAGTGACACGAGCGTACAAGATGCAAGACGTAGGAGTAGCACGATATTTCAAAGATGGCTTCGCATCTGCTCCGCGAGCGGCACCCGGTATTACGTATGCCATCCTAGCCTCCCGTTACATTTTGCTTTCCCACTAGCGAAGACCAAGAGGCATTGACTGTGGCGATCTTGAAACTCTGGGAACGCGTGTATGTGCTTGAGAATGTGGCTGGTGCAAGAGCATGTCGTCAGGCTGATGAGATCTGCGTGGAATGATTGGCTGCGACAGCCCGCTAGCCACACATGAGTGCCGAAAATAGGTCACTGCGCCACATTGCCGGTTTGGTGCCAAGCGTCAAAGGCCGAGGACTGGAGACGAACGCGTACGATTGCCTCCATTCACTTTGAATTCAATGTGTCGCCGTTTTTTGTGGATGTTCTCGTGATGATCTTTGTGCTTGGTGATTTCGCCAGGAATTGGGTCCTGTCCTGGCCTTTGTCACCGATGCCGCCTCATCTGTCTACTTATGTAGCAAAGGTGGTTCAGTCAATTGACGGACTTGCTCAAAAAGAATAACCTGCCCTCATGTTCGAGTCCACATCAATTGAACAAACAATCACCACAAAAAGAGTTGTCGAAGTGCTGGCAGCCGTCGTGATGGTCAGACCTCAACGACTGGTAACCACCAACCAGGACGGTCAACTCTAGGTTGGTTCCACGTACCCTATACTGTATTTTTTCTCCCGCATCTAACTGGGCGAGTCAGTCTTCTCATCATGTCAAAGGTGGGCTGCCTGAAAACTAGATTGTTTAATAGACACTGACAGTCCGCGTGGATCTCTGGCTGTCAGCCTGATCTTTCACTTGACGCTTCCGAAACAGATTGAGCTGGTGGCCCGTGACGGTGGCACTTTGCCGTTTCTGGGCTGGGAGGCAATCTCACAGTACTGAATCGTGGATGTACAAGTTATTGAACGATAATTAGACAGATCACGACCCACGAGTTGCCGCATTGGTCATGATAACTGTGCTGTTAGCTGGTGGTTCGCGCACATCCCCTCGACTGTCGAAAGCTACACGTCCGTGCGCGACACGGGGGGGGGGCGCTGACCAACTAGCATGCTAAGAAATTGAGATACTTGCTGTGCCATGAAACTTTGCCCTAAAGCCACGTACCGGCTCAGATAGGCGATACTCCATTTACGACTCTATACCCAGCGAACATGGCGTGCTTTTCTAACACACAGGGGTGCGCGAGTAATTTGTTGATCAGTAGACTTACGACAGTCGAGGGGATGCAGAGACGCAGATACGAGACTCTGCCGCGTCGTTGTATGCAAGGCAGATGTACCTCGCCCTCTTCCTCGCCCTCAACTCTTGGCGGGTGGTCGAGCCCCGTTGGCCGTCACGCTATTGACTGACCAGGCGACGGTGTTCTTCAGCTTGCGTGTGCGCGCGCGCGCGCACACAGCCTGACGGAACAGACAGACAGACAGACAGACAAAGTGGTCCAGTAAGCAAAGCTCAACTCTGAACGACCATCGACCAGGCACAAAGATTGTCACGCGCTGTACGCACGTACATGTTGTCAATGAGCATGGAGGGCGCGGGTCGAGGCAATCGCAGATCAGATCCGCCCTTTTTCTCCCCGAAAAGCAATCTGCACCATTATCTCGTACGGTATTAGAGAAGCGGTTAGCATGGGCGGGTCACATACGACCACCACACCCACCCATTAACGACAAGTCTCTTGGCTCTGCTCCTCTCCTCTCAGCCCAACGGCACACAAGGTGACAGTGGCCGTGACACTGACACACCACACATCCGCTCGAAGCCTCGAAGGCTGATCTCTACTCTCACCGCGTATCTGGTCACCCCACCCACTAACGACTAGTGAACCCCTGGGCCCTGGCCCTACCGGTAGACCCCTGATATGGATCTACGCCCCCCCGGCCATGTGGTCTTCGGCCCAGCCCTGAGCGATAATTAATTACACGTACGAGAAATGCATTATGCATCGTCGTGCACCGCACTGGCGCCTTGGTTTCCCGCCATGCTGACCTAGACCTGCATGGGAGGGCTCGTCTTGGCTCCAATCGCCGCAGTATGGATGTTGTCTGAGCTGAAGCTGAAGCTGGGAGCTGAGCATAGATTAACCATGCGAAAGACGCCGGGCGTCGTGCACCCGCTGAACAAGCCTTTTCGCTTCTCTTGTACTCCGAACTCTGCTCTTCTTTCACTCAAGTGTACACGGTCCTTCACCCGTGACGCGATTGCGTCATTCTAGTCATCTGGAATCCGCCTTGGCTGGTTGTCCAAACCCAACTAGTATCACAATGAAGACCTCGAGTCTGCTGGCTGTTCTCGGCCTGGCGAGCCAGGCTTTCGCCGATCCGACATGGCCCTCGAGCATCGACGAGCTGGAGGAGATTATGTTCCAGACCAAATCCTTCCGCTCCAGAAAGTTCGCAGACACCGTCGACCCCTGTAGCAACGAAGCCTCGGGACCCGGACGACAGAATGCGGCCGAATGGCTGCGCACCGCCTTCCACGACATGTCGACGGCCAACAGCTTTCTCAAGAGGGGCGGTCTGGATGGCTCGCTGCAGTATGAGTTGAACACGGGTGAGAACAAGGGCCCCGGTCTCAAGACGACCATGGAGTTCATGGCGCCTTTCATCTCAAGTAAGAGCAGTTTGTCCGACCTCGTGGCCATGGGCGTGTACACGTCAGTGCGCGCGTGCGGAGGCCCTGCTGTGCCCATTCGTGCTGGTAGGAAGGACGCCACCAGCCGAGGATCCATCGGGGTTCCCCAGCCGCAGAACTCGGTGCAGTCATTCAGAGATCAATTTACGCGCATGGGCTTTACAAACGAGGAGATGATTCAAGTCACCGCCTGTGGCCACACTCTCGGCGGTGTGCACTCGGAGCAATTTCCCGAGATTGTCACTCCTGGAACTGGCGTCGACGGCCAGATCTCGTTGGACGGCACCGTTGCGGTGTTTGACAACCGCGTGGTGACAGAGTACCTCGACGGAACGACGAAGAATCCTCTAGTCGTCGGGCCGAGTGTTCAGGTTGATCGTCACGCAGACTTCAAGGTGTACAACTCGGACGGCAATGTGACGGTGGAAGCATTGACGGACAATGATACGTTCAAAGAAGTGTGCAAGACGGTCTTGCAGAAGATGATCGACGTCGTTCCGGCGGGTGTCACACTGAGCGACCCTATCAAGCCGTACGAGGTGAAGCCTGTAGCGCTGCAGCTGACGCTCGTGGAGGGTGGTCGCGCCTTGTCGTTTACTGGCTACATCCGTGTCAGGACTACCGAGATTGGAGCTGATGCCATCGAGAACGTGGTCATCACTTACAAGAACCGCGAAGGAGAGTCGCAATGCGGCACCAACGGATGCACAATCACCACCACTGTGCAGGGCGTCAGCCAGGGCTTCGACGATACCTTTGCCTTCTTCCCCATTGAGGCGGAGATCTCAGCTTCGACAGGTGTTTCCTCTTTTGTCATCACGGTCAACTACGCAGATGGCACCAGTGAGGAGTTTGACAACAACGGCAATACCTACCCTCTGCAAGATGCTGTGCTGCTACAGATGCCGCAGAGCTGTGTCTTGGGCTCCTCTGGGGCCCTCACCGTCACAGCCGCTGTTCGCAATGATCGCGTCTCAGAGGGCGCCTCCATTGACGTCTCTTACAAGACCCCACAGACAAACAGCCCCGTGCCCAGGCTGATGAGTGCTTCTGTGGCCCTGACCGAGGGCGACTGCGCGGGCGAGTACACGTTGTTCACTGCTGACTGGGCCATCCCCGGAGGCAGTGCTTACGAAGCCCACATCGACGTGAAGAATGGCGACTACGTTGATGCCTTCAAGACCGCCGTCGACGTTGGCGGTACCTGCCGCCAGTTCGAGAACCCTGCCTCGTGCGGCGACAGCGGCGGCCCAAGCAGCTCGACGTCTGCGACTGTCAGCGAGACCCCCAGTGAATCGCCCAGCGCTGAGCCAACCACATCTTCCACCGCTGCCAGCACAACTACCGTCGCCAGAACAACTACCACATCCAGCGAGGAGGCGACGCCAACCGTACAACACCGTGAAGCTGTGGGCGGCTACCGCCTGGTTTCCTGCTGGCAAGACTATGAGAACGGCATCCGTGCCCTGAGCGGCCCTATGAACGTCCAGGACGACATGACTCTCGATTCGTGCATGTCCTTCTGCGATGGCTACGACTACTTCGGCACCGAATACAGCGTGGAGTGTTTCTGCGGCAACTCTCTCCATGACTCGTCCAAGGAGGCGCCCATGGATGACTGCGACATGCCCTGCGGTGGCGACGAGACGGAGTACTGCGGTTCAGGCAACCGTCTGGAGCTGTACTCTACCACCGCGACAAGAACGACCGCAACGCCGACGGCCACGCCGAGCCACGTCGAGACAGTGGGCGACTATGCGCTTGTCGGCTGCTGGACCGAGCTGCATGGCGGGAGGGCCCTGAGCCAGGCTTCCACCGCGAGCTCGGACATGACCAACCAGCAGTGCGCCGAGTACTGCGGTCAATACCGCTACTTTGGCACCGAGTACGGCCTCGAGTGCTACTGCGGCAGCCACGTGGCTACGGACACAGAGTCGGCACCGCTCGAGGACTGCGACAAACTCTGCGGCGGCGACGACTACGCCTTCTGCGGCGGCCCCTCGCGGCTGTCCCTGTACATGAACCCCGACATCCAAGGCGGCGAGCCCGAGCAGCCCCTGACCGTAGGCAACTACACGTTCGAAGGGTGTTACACCGATTCGTCCGCCTCGCGCGCACTGGACGAAAAGCGCACAGCGGGTAGCGAGATGACGAATGAGGTCTGCGCGGCGTTTTGCGAGGGCTTTGCGTACTTTGGCACCGAGTATGGCCAGGAGTGCTACTGCGGCAACGAGATCAAGGAGGATGCGCAGGAGAAGGATAGTGACGAGTGTATCATGGTCTGCAAGGGCAATGTGTTCGAGCTATGCGGCGATGGGAACCGCCTTTCGGTGTATAAGAGGAAGGAGGAGGAAATTCTGAGTAGCAGCGATGCATAATAGACTGGTCGGGGAGGGTTTGCGGTTTCCGGCATGAGTTTTTTCTTGTATGGCATTCTGGTCAGCACTTTTTAATCTAATTCATCGCCTACCTGTCAAGGCATTTCTTAACATAAGAGCCCGACCCAACTATGCGCTTTTGGACTTGGGCGAAGATCACTTTGTGCTTCATGTTCGGCCCAACCTGCAAGTAGCTACTGGTTCACCAAGCGCTCAGTCGCAGCAAGCATGCCCTCGCTATTTCCGAATTAGATATACTACAAAACGACTGGAATCTCTGCAATACTGTCGTGAGTTTGTGCCGAGTTAGATTCAAAGTTGAGACACTGCGACATGTCGAAAGCCACCAAAAGTGTATGAGTAACGGCTTAGCAACCATGGCACTAGACGCCGAATCAATACTCTTTGGCTCAACAAAACTGTTGCTTCCATATAACAGCACGACGGAAGACTTTCAAGGCAAAAATGACCGTAGGAAGGCCAGAAGAAACTTCTAGATGTACCTGGGACTCGAACCCAGAACCTTAGCTTATGGATCGAACCATAGGAGAGCTACGCGCTACCATTGCGCCAGCACACCAACTATGAGCTGAAACGTGACACGTTATTATTATATACCCCAATCATTGTGCCCACTATCTTTTACGCGTTCCAGACTACCTCGTCGCGTTTCATCTCACGTCAACCTCACTCACTTACTGTTCCTACCACCTTCAGCATCCTGAAATGGCTGACGATTCACACGAAGACGACCTCGAGGTATTCCCTATCAATTATCTATCATCGGATCAGAGACTAACGCCTGCAGCGTCTCAAGTCGGCGCTCTGGTATGCCGTGGGCCAAATCGTGGATGAGTTCTGTATGAGCCGCAACCGCAACGCGACGCCGCAATTCATCGGTGCCCTGACTGAGCTTGTCTGGACTCAGATCGGTACGTTCATGTGTCTGTCGGTGCTTGTGACTTTGTTTCTCGTCACGGACTCACACGCTGCAACCCTTTGTCTTCACTCACTAACGTACGGCCAGAAAATGTCGCCATCGACCTCGAATCCTTTAGCAACCACGCTGGTCGTACAACCGTCACCACCGACGACGTGCTTCTCCTCGCGAGGAAGAACCCCGATCTACAGACCATCATGGGCGAATTCGTCGAGACAAGAAAGGCAATGAGCGCTAGCACCAAGGGAAAGCAACGGGCAAAGAAGTGATCTAATCTTGACCTCCTTGGAGGACCCGACGGCTGAACGAGAAATGGCACCATACTTTCACATCAGTCTTCAATTGTTTCTTCGCTAAGCCAGTTTGACACTCGCTTCCTTCCCGTACGCTTCCGCATAGCCCGCCAACAACTCGAGCGTCACGCCGGCGCCACCGCAGACCTCGAGCACAATGTTCCTCGTCTTCCACTCGTCGTCACTGCAACCCTGGCCAAAGTGCTCCCGCAAATCGCCCTTGTACGCCACCGCCAAGGTCGCGCCGCACGAGACCTCGACGAGGAGACGTGCGTCGTCCGCGAAGCGAACAGAAGACATGGCCGCGTCCGCGTCGGAGACGACGACGCTCTTCATCCTGACCTCGCCTGCGAGGCCGCGCTCTGCCCAGCGCCATGTCTGAGCGGACACACGTGTCGCGCCCAGCGATTTCGCGATGCTCGTGATCGCAGGGATGCTAACGTGCTCGCCCGCGCGGACGCTGGCGTTTAGTGCATCTGCGCCAATGGTTTCCACCGCCAGCACATGGGGTCTCGGCCCTGACCACGATAGACTCTCGATACCCTGCATGATGCCGTTGACGAGACCGCCTCCACCGACGGAGCAGACGATGCCATGGATAGGGCCGTCAATCTGCTCCCTGAGCTCCGTGACAATGGACGATGCACCGTCCCAGATCTGCTGGTGGTCGAATGGCGGGACGTACACGCCGTTCTTGTCCTTTGGCATGAGCTCCTCCCTCAGGTAGCGATCAGCCTCGGACCACATGCTGCCGTGGATCTGCACCTCGACGCCCAGGGCGAGCAGCTTGTTCTTCATGAGAGGCGGGCTTGAGGTCGGCAGCACAATGGTGGCGGGACAGCCGAGCGATAGGGCAGCGGTGGCGCACGCGAGACCGGCGTTGCCGCCCGAGGAGCAGTAGAAGTGTGGTGTGGAGGGGGACGCAGCGGCCGCGCCGGTCATGAGGTTACCAATGCCGCGAGATTTGAAGGAGCCGGATGGCTGGAGATTATCGAGCTTGAGATAGACATTGCTGTCGGTGGTCAGTGACCATGGTCCGCAGGGGGATGTGACGGGTTCAGTGTGTTGAGACGTACCAGCCTGCGACGCGGGAGATTTCTGGTGAGAGGACGCAGGGCGTGCGCACCCAGGGCAGCTTTGCATCGGCAGGAAGCGAGCCCATTTCTGCTTGCTTTGTCGAGCTGGATGGCCCGGGGGACAGCCACACAAAGGGAGCGGGCGTTAAGAGATGATGTGGGGGATATGGCCGACGTTATGCGCTTATTAGAAACGGGTTCCGCAATCGCAGAGATGACCACGATGGAGAGTGCCTTGTGTAGTCGGTTTCGGCTGTGAGAAAATGAGCAGATGCGATTGTGTCTAGGCCAGGCAGACATGCATCAATTTAAAGATCCCAGATCCCTCGACACTTGTGAGGGTTTTGAGATAAACGCCTTTGCGATGACCGTGGTTCGACATGCCCCACAATCAGCACCATCGGTAGTTCCGACAGGTGTCGTGAGAAGCTTCTTGACTCTCGAGCGCGTCGTGTTCTCTTCGAGGGTATCGGCCACGTCTCTTGACTCTTTGATATCGTTATCATGAGACTGAGTAATTAAGCAACGTCCGCAATCGTCCTCGCCAGTATGTAGATCCGACAAGGACCAGGGGTACAGTGTGAAAAACACTATAATGGACTCGGGTTGAGCGCACTGTGCTCACCGACTACACTCACAATTTCTCTGCCTTCAAATCAAAGGCTTCCCAATGTCGTTCCTCTGCTCCGTTCGTCCGAACCGTGTTTAGATTGCATGGCTTCCCGCCGTCAATCTTCAAAGGTCGCACGAGATGGTTTGATCATTATATACAACAAGACACCACAGTCGAGGAGATGGGACGAAAACATTTCCGATTAGCCAGGATGACCAGGACAGAAGCCACGCTTGCTTGATTTTACAAGGCCATAACGATGCAAGCGCCTGTGTATTCTGCCTCGGGCGCAAGTAACGTCTCTCGGTCCCGACGTCCTGGGACGATTCCTGAGGAAGACACCATATATGCGCGCCCTTGCCTCTCATACTCGGGATACAGGCAGCTCCGATGGCTCCTTCCTCGGCATCTGAAGTTGTTCAATCTTTCTAGGAAGGCACGGTGGTTGCTACTTCCCTGTTACTCGCCAGTTCTGCCTACAAATTGATACAGTCTCTTCCCAAGTGAACTTCCTCCCCCTTCATCCCTTTCTTCTTCTCCCTCTCCCATCAACACCACCATGGTCACCAACGTGGGGGACCATGACAACGTTGCAGCCACCGTCTGCGAAACACTCGAGGTCTCGACTGAAGTTTCTTGCAACGACAAAGCCGACAAACCTGATGCAGCTCGCGGCGTTAGCCCCGGTAGTGAAGAATCCTCTCCACCATGCATCGAAGCGCACAAGGGTATTCCGTCAACTCCACGCCATTATGAATGTGACGAAGCCAACACATCTGGTGAACTCGAAGAGATCGACACAGAGGATATGGTTTGGTCAACCGGCCCGACTGAGAAGAGCCCGCCAGATCTGAGCACAGTACACTCCGACAGTGATATGCAGGTCGACACCATAGAGGCAACGCCTGACAACAACATCGAGGTAAGCGACAAGGTACTCCAAACGCCGGATGCGACTTGTGGCATCGCCAGAAGTGTCAATGATTCCGACAAAAACACTCTGCATGGAGATGTCGAAATGGATTGCGAACTCCCACAGGAACCTCTAACGCCCCCGCCCAGTGCCCCATTGGCGGGAAATCTTGAGGTTGCGGATGTAGCAATGTCATTCGACTTCACCCCTCAAAGTGAACGCCTGAGTACACTGCAATGTAAGTCTTGGCCCCTGGTTCAAAGACTTCCAAATCACGACTCACCGAAAAAGCCACTTACGAGCAACTGATGAACCCTCCTCGATCCTCAGACACAAACATTTCTGTAGGAATTGAACTGGACTTATCATCGGAAGACGAGGATGACCATGATACTACAATGGCTACCATGGCGACATTTCGACAACAGCGACTTGACCAAACGGCTGCGCAAGCCACTCGCGCAGCTATAGAAGATATGAATGGAGAAACAACGTTTGAGGCTGATAGACAAGCCATCAATGACGCTATGGAATCACAAGACGGCGAAGAGCAGGAAGCAATCACGACGACCACAACTAAACGTGACCGTCGAAAGGAACGCGGAAAGAACCGCCAGAAGCCTCGTCGACAACCCAGAGTCCAGAAGTTTCGAGCCAATGTCTTGCAAGAGCCACCCACGATCGACATCGCGACAAGACCTCGAAAGGAGCTTCCTGGCCGCGATGAGTTTGAAGCTGGCCGAACACAACTTGACTCACGGCATTACATCTGGGCTGAGCCGAACTATACGGACAGCCGAAGTAGCCGAGTGAGGAATAGAGGAGTCCCTATCTTGGATTTCCTGGACAATAGAAAGGATAAGGATGTCTTTCTCGGCCCTTACGACGAGCTGAGTCGCAGGCGCAGGCCGGTGGAAGAAAAATTCCCGAAGCCTCAACGACTAAAGAAGACCGAGAAAGCAAAGTCAAAGAGGAGGCGAGATACTCCGGAAGATGATGAGCTTGGCCGTGAGGCCAAGAAGCGAAAAGAAACACTCGACAAGAAGCTCGCGAAGAAGCGAGAAGTCAACGCAAAGTCAGCGCGAGAAATCAGGGAGCTAGAGAAACAAAAGCGCCAAAGCGAGCAAAATGAGCGGAATCGATTAAAGTCTCTCACCGCCCAGAAGATGTGGCCTCGGAGTATTGAAAGACTGCCGACCGAGGTCAGGCGCCGTATCCTACGCGAGCTCTTGGTTGCCGAGGAATTCATACTAGTCCACAGTTGCTGGACACGAATTTATGGCTCGCCGGCTACTCGTTCACGTTCTGGGCCTCTGACAATCTTACACCCCAGTATCTTACGGACTTGCAAGGCAATGTACTGGGAAGGCATCTCCGTCCTTTACGGAGACAACGAATTCCTTTATAAACTCCGAGATGCACAAGTCACTGCGCCAGCTGATATTGACATTACATGTGTCGTTCAGGATAACTCAGCCTCATTCGGCGACGAAGAGTCTGATCTCTCGCTGGATGAAGATGACTCTGACGCCGAGTACCAGGATGAGGAAGTGCAGCGAGCAGCAGTTTCGAGGCCGCAGCGACACCGCAGGAGAGACGAACCGAAGACGATCTTCTTCGACAAAATGTTCCCCTTGTTCAGAAGAATCCTCATTGAAGCCGAGAAGAATCGACATGGCGTCGACACAAAGGTCAGGATGACTGAGGCAATCAAGGCCTTCACAAACCCGCCACAGCCGATCAGGCGTGGCAAAGGCGATGTTCCAATCAGCCCTCTGGAGAAGGACAGAAAGCGCGTCGCAAACATCCGCACCTTGCGTATTCGAGTCTTCCCCTCCCTACAAAGAGAACCATCCACGGTCCCAGGCCAGCCTGGGAGCATAGAAGGCTACACCTTTTCTTCCTTCTTCAACGAAGACTGCTCCGTCTTCAAAGCGGCCAAGAGGCTTCTGCCCCAGCGGTTGATTCTCGACGTCATGTCAAAGTATCTGAATGACGCGAAAAAGAACAAGCGAATGACGATCGACATGCGCGCGCAGCGGATCACGCGCATGGTGAGAGACTCGGGGGTGGATATCTGGGCCAAGGATAGGGCGATGCAGCGCTCGCGTAAGAAAGCCTCTGGAAAGATCAGATCTCACCTGCAGCAGGTAGAGTCTGGCTTTGTGGCTCACTGCGCAAGCTTTGGGGCGTCTGTGGAGGATGAAGACGAGGATGATGAAGAGTTTTCCGACTTTGAATGAAAAAGAATGACATGAACGACTAGGTCAGAGGCGTCGGGCGGATAGGGCGCGATATCAAAGCAGAATCTACAAATAGCTCAGGTTTGGTGGGAAGGGGCGCGACAGACTGAAGATCTCGGGGGGTTCTTGCTTCAATACCCCTGAAATCATCAACAAGGCGTTTCATTGACTTTTAGCCAACGAGAATACGACATCACCCGAGGCCCTCGCTTGGATGGCGATGATGGTTGAGCAGGATCTCTAAGGGATTGGACATGAGATAAGCATCACGCTCCCCATATTTGCGAAGACTCAGGGGTATCTAAGGGTTCCAGATGTGATGCCATAGTCTCGGGTATCTCAATACGTTTTCGCTCTGATTGAATCTTCACCGCGCCATTATTTGCACTGTACTCACGTCCAATGTCTCGGTGTCTACAATGACAACCTCCTTTGAATGCGAAAACGAGGGGACTGTGATGAGCCGCACAGACTGGTCGTCGGGTCCATGAATGACGCGGGTGCCGAATTCAGGCTGGTTACCCACAAAGTACAGATGCGGACAGGTCTTGATGACAAAGGGATCGTCGTCCTGGAAAGGGTAGCTCCCTAGCGAGAAGAGTCAGTCATCTGTCTGTACGCACGTCTCGGATGGGAGCACTTACACAACGTGTCCGGTGCTGTGGGGGCACAGCAGCGCCAACGACACATGGCCTCCATCATGCTCAGCCGGTCCTCGCTCTCGACATACTTGAACACGTCGTCGACATTCTGCCCGCCCGTGCCCAGCATCCGCCAGCCATCAACCTCAGCCTCCCATGGGTTCGTCGTCGTGTCGAACCAGCCAGGCTCCTTTGACCCAGGAACTTGGGCGTACGCTCTCGCTGTGGGGAATATGGCTGCGTGGATGGGCTGTTGCGGATAACTGGCATTGGCAGGATCCTGGGCGCCCGGCATGAGGGTGACGGGGATCGTAGGCAAAAGCTCGCTGAGGAATTCGTCGAAGAGTTGTGACGGTAGGGCGTTGTACGCGCTTGCGTCGTAACCGTACTTCTTGGCACCTCTCTTCTCCGGCTGCTCATCGGCTTGCGCGGCGTCTATCGAGTCACCCGCTATGATGAGTCTGCTGATCTGGGAGACATCGGACTGCCCCTGTGGACCGAGGGCCTCGCCAAGCAGATACTCGAGCAGCAGGTTGAGCTCGAGGGCGTGCGAGGCGTCAGAAGCGGAGAATGACAGGCCCGAGACTATGGCGATTTTGCTGCCTGGGCTTTGTGATGAGTCGACCATCTCCTCGTCGTCGTCCTTCCGGACTGGTTTTGTGAGCTTCCAGCGCTCGGGCTGAGGTGGGAGGTTTGGAAGTTGGATATCGACTATCTCGAGTTCGCCGTTTGTGTTCTCCGTGCCCATGACCGCAATGATACACCCCGTCACGAGATCGACCGTCTTCAGCAGGTCGCCAGCCAGTCGAATTCGACCCGAGTCGTCCTCCAGCATGATCTCGTTCTCCTCTAGGTTGGAAAAGTACTTCTCGGGGACCACGGGCGCCGAGATCCATCGCTAGGGTCGGTCAGTACGTATCCAAGCTGCTGTCTGCAGGTGGCACGCGGGGCACGACTTACGTCTTTCGACACATCTTCCAGGATATCGGGCTTCAGGGGCATGGCCATGAACACTGTCCCGACCACCCAGCACAACTCGCCCTGCTTCACGTCCAGTACACGATCGACTCGCTTCGCCTCCTCGCCCGCGACCACCGTCCCGCTCCATTCGGCCTCTGCCACTTCTTCGACGGCCGGTCGGATTTTGGTGAGGCGCAGAAAGTACATGTCGCCATACTGCTGTTGGTATGACCGACCTTTGTCGAGCTTGTAGGTTGAGAGTGGCTTGTATGTTGATGCTGGCCGGGTATGGACGGTGTGTGCCGAGTTACTAGAAGCTGTTAGCGAGGGTGATTTGACATGGACACGAAAGGGCAAACTTGCGATGGCTGTGACAGTAGAGTGTCTGCCACGTCCTCGAGCTTGACCATCTTGGCTCGAATTTGCCCTGGTAATTTACGAGCGGTTCCTTGGACAGATGAGGCTAATGGCGAGGAAGCCTCCAAAGCTTCAACTTCAAGGCAGGGGGTGACTTTGTCGACGCGTTGACGCGTGCTGCCACATTTTGGCGTAAAGTGGCTGGGACCCACCCACATTGGCGGGGCGCACCTTCCCTAGGTGAACAGGGTTGAGAGCTTGACCCCACTAGCCCGTTTGCGGGAAAAATGGAGGGGCACCGCTCCATCCGTCAGTGTCCGACCTGCATAATGACTCGATGATTTCCATATTCACCCGTCTGTATATGTATCGACTGGCTTCGCACGCTTCCTACGCAGTCTTACAATCCTTACCTTACTCAATTAGCCTCTGACAATCGCCATAGAGACCCTCACCATGCCCAAGCCCGTCCAGCCCCCTCGTGTCGAGGTGAACAACCTCTCCTACACCTTTCCCGACTACTCGACGGGTGTCAGCAGCATCTCCCTCGACGTGCCGCCACGATCGCGAACCCTGCTTATCGGCGCCAATGGTGCTGGAAAGACGACTCTCCTTCGCCTGCTCGCAGGCAAACGTCTCGCGCCCGCCAAGACCATCTCCATCTGCGGCGTCGACCCCTTCCAGGACAGTCTCGAGGGCGTCACCTACCTGGGGCTCGAATGGGTTCTCAACCCCATCGTGAGGACGGACATTGGCGTCAATGAGCTGCTCAAGTCCGTGGGCGGCGATGCCTACCCCGAGAGGCGGGAGGAGCTGGTCGCTCTGCTGGACATTGACACCAACTGGCGCATGCACGCCGTCTCGGACGGCGAGCGTCGGCGTGTGCAGCTCGCCATGGGTCTCGTCCGTCCCTGGATAATCCTCCTCCTCGACGAGATCACGGTCGACCTCGACGTCCTGTCGCGCGCCGAGTTCCTCGACTGGCTGAAGCGCGAGACGGAGCTGCGCGAGTGCACGATTGTGTACGCCACGCACATCCTGGACAACCTCGCCGGCTGGCCCACGCATCTCGTGCACATGCACATGGGCACCATCAAGGAGTGGGACGAGGCGGACAAGATGCTTGCCACGGTCGATGCCACGGTCGGGACCACCGGCAACAGCCGTCTCGGCGAGCTGGTCATGGGATGGCTGAGGGAGGACCTCAAGGAGCGCGGCCCCCGCAGCCAGAGCCGGCATGGCACCGAGGGCAAGACCTACGGGTTTGGTGGCATGCAGCTCGGCGGCTACGGCGATGAGTCGAAGCAGTTCAAGAAATGAACAATCCCAGAAGGGGCGCGGGGGAAGAGGGCACGCAACTGCATTTGCAAGGCGTATCACGGAAGGGAGAAAAGGGACCTACAACTTCAACGGTACAAGGCGTTTTGGCGGGTCTCAACACTGCATATTGGGCGAGCGATCTTCAACATATAGGGATGAGGTACTGTCAACTTCGACAGGCTGAACAGTATCTAGGTAGCATCGAGGGAAAGCACAGTCAGGTTCGACATCTATTGTGACGACCTCTGAAGACTACTGCTCCTCTCGCCTGTCTTCCCGTCCATGAGGTTCTTGAGCACGGTCATGGTGCACTTGAGCAAGTCCGCTATCCCCGGCAGTCCCTTGTCAGACAGCGAATTCAGCACACTGACGCGATAATCCTGCCAACCCATGCTCAAGCCGCCCGACGTGGCCAGCTTTGCCAAGCTAGCCTGCGTGACCGGCCCAGCATGGCGTGTTGCCAGCGGTCGACCTCTGTCTAGCTCCGCGTCTTCCAATTCTCGGAATCTCTGTATGCTCTGAAAGCAGAGGGTTGGGGCGAGGGAGAGGCCACATATCGACTCGAGGCCAAAGTTTCGGTTGACTCGCGCCAGGTACGCTGACAGGGCGTCCACTGTAGGCGGAGGGAGCAGGCAACCGTGCGCGTTGGCCTCCGTGGAACTGAACGCACGTGTGCGCCACAGACAATTGCATATGTCCATAAGATAGCCATTGTACGTGTTGAGGTATGCGCGGTCGTACGGACCAGATTGCGTAGGATCGTCGGAGCGAGCGCGCTCCATAATGGCCGTCTCGAAACCCTGCTTGAAGCAGGAAAGCACATGGCAGAGCCGCGACGTGTCGGCCAAAGAGCCGCTGAAGAACAGCGAGTAGATGACGGGCGATGGTGGCATTTCGATCCGGAGGTGGCTGCGGAGCGAGCTGTGCGTGACCGTGCGGGCGAATTCTTCGTAGAAGTCGAGGACGTGGGAGCTGGTCGCGACAGTGGGTGAAGCTTGGAGCATGAGGGAGCTGATGGAGTTCATGTGACTGACGAGAGCCTGGATGGTCTTCTTGGCATGTTTTGGTATGACATCGCTCGAGAGCAGCAGTGACTTCCAGTGCTGTAGTATTTGAGTGTACAAGTCGACTAAGGAGGGTTGCAACTCGGGGCGATGAGTGCCCAATGCCGTCTCGAGGGGTCCGAACAAGTGTTGATAGAGTTCTGTCCCAGTCAGTGGTCGGCCACTCGCAGTCGTTGATGCATGCTGACCAACCATTGAATTCTTTGAGGGGCGTGAAGGCGAGGATGTCGAGAAGGACGTCGACTCGGCCTGTGCCTCCCCACACGGGGAAAAAGTGTGCGAAGAAGTTCAGCAGGATCGGCGGGATAGCCTAGTCAGATGTCAAAGGGTGCATTCCCAGAGCAAGAATCGAGTGCGTATACCTTGGTCTGTGTCACGAAATCTCGCACGACCTCCAGGAGCTCCCATAGTGTAGCCTCGTCAGCGGCGCCATGCATCACCTCTTGCAAAGCCGCCTGTAGCCAGTAGGCGACGCGCTGGTGCGCTTCGTCATGAGGTCTCAGGAGCAACAGCTTCTGAAGCAATGGATCGGCGAGGACTGCAACGAGCTGGTTGGGGAGCTCCAGCTTTTCGAGGCTGTCCGCCAGCCCCTTCGCAGTTTCAACTTCCTCGAGCGTCACCGAGTTCTGTTACTGTTGGCGATGGGGCCGAAACATTTCAGTGGGGGACGGCTTACCTCGCCTGCCAGAGAAGTATGCACGGCTGGGATGGCCTTGTCGGACCTTTCACGACCAAGCGGCTTGTTGACGCGGAAGCCGTCGCGCGTGATGGTCGCAGTGTCTACTGATCGATGCAGATGCGCATCCTGAACCTCGTTCAAGTGTTCCCGCCACGACGTATCAGGGTGCTTCCACAGACCGTCAGCGCAAGCTCCAGTACCAGTCTCCGGACGATGTAGTTGGTACCTTGAACGCGGAGGCTCTGCCCCGTACCGCTTCTCCTACGATGACCTCGGGATAGTAGTCTTTGTACACGCGCAGCAATCCGATGAGGCTGGGGTCGTTGCCTGCCTTGCGCGCCAGGTCAAGGCTAGAAGACCTAGTTTAGTGAGAATCACGTAGAGATGGCCGCTGTGACGTACAGGGCCTGTATCCGGAAAGGCTTCACATGTTTGCGTCGCGTGATGAGTGCGAGAAGGTGGGCAAGCTGCGGTCTTGTTGCCGCGGTATCGAGCAACGAGAACAAGACATGGTAGCTTTGTGAAAGAACCTGAGGGGTCTCCAGGGTGCGGTACACCAGGATGAGCCACCGTACGAGCGCAGCCTGTATATTGAGAGAGGCCTTGAACCGCCCTTGCCCTAGACAAGCGATGATCCTGATCACAACGTGGCGTGAGACTTTGGTGGCAGGGTAGAGGTTGCGTACGAGAACGTTCAGACTTCCCTGGTCGAGATGGCTCGGCCGCGTGATAAGATCGATGAGCTTGTCCAAGGCATCAGGTAGTACGCCCCGTCCGTAGGCTGCTGAATTGAGACGCGCAACAGTGGGCTTGATGTCTGTGAGGCGCGCCTTGGGTGTCAGTTTGGCGGCATCCACGACATCTTGGATTAATCGATTGAGCTCCTCGTCGACGGCGCTATCTTCCATCATGGCCTGTTCGACAAGGATGTATTATTGAGAGTGGTGGCGCTGTGAGTAATGAATGGCTGCAAGTATCACAGACGCGTTGATGATCATCCCAGTTGAGGTGAGTTAATGTGGGTCCATCAACATCAACAATACGACGTCGCAAAGGACATGTGAGAAACTCTGTGGTCATTCTGTGGCAAGGACAGACGCATTGTGTAGTAAGTTATTTCCTTTGTCATTTCAGGGTCTGCCCCGTCAATATGTACGGCTAGCCTCGTCACATTGCTACTCTAGATGCGCGGTATGGTATATTCGAGTGACGATGGATCATGCGGTGGTCAAACAAGAAACAAAAGACTTTTGGCTTTTCCATGACATGCCGTACTCATAAAACTCTCCCTGGTACGCCATTTGTGCTTCGCGTCCGGGATATCACAAAGCAAGGAGAAGAAACATAAATCAAGATCGTCGTACACATCGCCACGTCGTAACTTCATCATGTCCATTTTGAAAAGTCGACCGCATCAGCGTTCAAGTCAGAGCCTGACAGTTGCTGCGCCGCGCCGCTCGGGCTGTTGCCCATCTCGGTGTCGGCTGTGGTCGCCGAGCCAGAGAGCATCGACGACCTATGAGACGTCTGCTCACTGGTGTTCGTAAAGAAGGTGGCCACGCTTGTTCGGCGGAGACTGGTAAAACTGTCGCGCACGCTGCTGCTGGGTCGTGAGCTGTCCGCGATCTGTTGCGCCTGTAGTTGCGGATACTGCTGTGCTGCACCACTGCCGCCGCCAGACGCATTGGGGGGCGGCGAGGGCGATAGATGGTGCGCGCTGTGCGAGTGAATCGCCGCTTTCGGGGCGTACCTTTCGCGCAGTCGTTTGATTTCACGAAGACGGGCCCGCCATGAACTGACATGTTCCCCACCGCGGGCTTGCCAAATGAGCGAGAAGACGGAGGCGTTCAAGGCTACAAGACGGATGAAATCGGGCAGCGCCTTGAGAGACACCATCTTCACCTCCGAGGCTGGCGAAATCTCGGGGAAGCCAGGCTTGCTCATGACCTGGACTCGGTAAAAGGGCTGCTCCTTTCGCTCTGCCCGTCGAGCTTCTCGCGCAGCGATGAAAGAAGCCCTGGATGCTGGCGTGATCACAATGTTGACGTAGTTGAACTGGCTTGGGAAGGTATCAAACTTGAAGGGTAGCCCAGAATCGTTGTAAATGATGTTGACAAAGTCGTTGCCAATGTGGCGCTTCTTCATGGACAGCTGGGGGTCGTTCTGCAGGTTTGTGGGCATCTGCGTCGTGACGTGAAAGACAATCTCGGTCAGGCGGTCGCGCCACGCATAGGCGTATTCGCCGTCCATGTCCATCTCGCGATCCAACCCTTGAGTGTTGAATTTCGCGCCCTTGAGCTTGACCAGCGTGCCGAGTTGGTTGAGGAACTCGTGATAGTCGCTGCTGCCCGAAACATTGGACAGAATCTCCACCTCGTCCGTCTGGCCCTCGCCGATGTAGATGACGCCAATTTTGTGGCCATCCACAGTTGGGTTGCGGTCCATGACCCTGAGCATTCGATCGGTAGCCTCGTCGTCGGGCAAGATGATGGGGCGCGCGACGTCGCAGGACTGGGGGATGGAAGACATGAGCTGGATCATGAGATGGCTGGGGAGCACCACGTTGGTCGGCACCTGCCCATCTCTACCAAATTCAGGCTGGTTGCCGGTCTGGTGCAATGGCGCAGGCCGCAATGCCTCACGTACCATGTACGTCGAAGTTCCTGACGGCTGCCGCTTGGTCACCTCGGCCCATCCGGTTCGTGTGGACTGCTTGATGGCAACAATGCTGTTGCCAACCAGCCATCGCTTGGTGACCAGTTCCCCCATACGCTGCGAGGTGAATTTGTGATCTTCCCCCGACTCATTAATGTCTGCGTACGTCACTCGTTGCATAAAGTCAATGGCGATCAGCGCCTGCTCCTCTGACATGGTTCCGGAGCCATCGACATCATTGAATAGCTTTCGTGCAATGGCCCCGACATGCGTTGCCCGGTCAGGGAGCTTCAACGCGAGAAACCAAAAGAGAATGACGTGGTACCCGAGCGCATACACATATTGGGGCAAGTCATCAGCGGCATTCGGGTGACCAAGATCAACACTTGGACCAGAGCCACCAGCTGGTGTCGTGGGTTCACTCGACGCCGGTGCTTTTGTCGCGCGTCGCTTGTCTCTAGCAGACTCGAGGTATCGAAAGCAAATACCGAAAACCGTTCGATACTCATCTTCCCGAAAGTTGACATAAACGTCGTGGAGTTTGCTCAGACACGCCAGAAACTCGAGGATATGGATGGACACATGGGGCTGTGTGATGATGGCCGCCATCTGGTTGAGCATCTGTCCCAAACTCTTGCTGACTGACAGCGGAAGCTCGTGGCAGCATATAGTGAGACCATGAATGCAGCATGGGGCCGTGCGTTCCCACGCTGAAATGCCGTGAACGAACGTCTTGACAATGTCATCCTCCTCGCTCTTCTTGAAGTTGTCGTGGTAGCTGAGGATCATTGTGAGACTGTGGAAGAGGCAAATCGCCACATCTGCCCGACGCAGGCCGGACGTGTTTGGTGGCTCGTTGAAGCTGTTGGACCTCACCTGCTCACAGATGTGTTTCCGCAAATCTTGCATCTGCCTCAATGCATCCTTGAACACCGCGTGGTTGCTGAGTTGCGAAGGTAAGTGGACGAGAACGAAGCTATAGATCTCCCAGTCGCTGCCTCTCAGCATGGCCAAGACGCATTCAAGCCAGGCTGGCATGTCTAGAACATAGGTGCTCGTGTTCTGATCGTCATCGCTCTCGTCCTCACCCTCTCCGCCAGCTTTGTGAGATACGAGGAACTGACTGATCAGTTTTGGAATATCACCAGGGATGGCGTCGGGGTCGGGGAGCGCCCACAACTGACGGTAGCTACTAGCAGTGGACTTCAAGTTGCTTCCATGCTTGGTCTTATCCGATACTTGACCTTGGCTGAACGATATACCCCTGGAGGATCGGGTGAGCCCTCCATGATCGCTGCGTGACGTCCGCAACGTGCCGGCGGCTTCGATAGCTTGCTTCTTGGCTAAAGATGCTTCCGTACGGCAGAGGGTTGGTGCCAGAAAGTTGGTCTCGAGCTCCTTAGTGAGGTAGATCTTGTTTGCCCAGTCAGCCCTTATGCGAAACAGCAACTTCATGGCTGTGAGTCGAGCATCTTGTTCGGATTGCGGAGATCTCGCAATCTGCAAGAGCGCGTTGTACAGCTTCTGGCTCTTGACACCGTCCGAATTCATTACGGCTACGAACATTTGAACATAGCCTTTCGTAACAACATTCGACGGCGACTGGCCCGGCAATGGGTGTGACTTGTCGCGCTCACCAAAGGCAACGCCACCCATAACGGGCGGGGAGATGGGTGACTGCAACCGGTCATTATCCACCACCCCTCGCAAGGCCCCAAGAACGTGGTCGAACAGGTCTTCCTCACACGACGAGACAATGGACACCATGAGCGAGATCACAGCTTCCAGGACGAGAACATCGGATTCTTCTGTGACCTCTTTGAGCACACTCTTGGCCAATTTAGGTACTGAATCCCGCTCCGCATCCTCAGCAATGAGATCGAGAATCTCGTAGGCATCCATGATAGTCCTGAGCGCCTTGAGTCTGGTTTCTGACGATCGTTCGCGGTTGCCGAAGAATGCCACGAGGACAAGGTCCAGATTGTCTTCCCACTCGAGGTCGGCCGGCGAGCAACACCGGAACTCTTGGAAGTAGTCAAGCACAGCACAAGCAGTGGAGTCGGGCAGTAATGAGTGAACGCTGACGAAGAATCTGATAATGGTTTGCCGGGGCAGATAGTCTTTGGTCTTCTGTGTAATCACCTCCTCAAGCCGAGTCACTAGTTGCACCAACTCCAACATAACAGGGTCTTCTGACAGGTCTGCAGCAAGATAGCTGCGACTTCGGGTCTTCTCGGGGCCAACGTTGGTCTTTTGTGCGCATTGCGTCGCAACCGCGAGCACAGACGACCAGTCCTCGTCCACGACTAGATGATGCAGTCCACCAGCAACATCCTCGAACAAGGAGTTGACAACCTGTAGTAACGCGAGATATACTTTTGAAGAATTCGTAGCCTCCACAGCTGCCGATAAGCCATCTGCCAGCAGCGCGTAGGGCACAGCAGGATAGCCCTCTTCAGAGCTCTTGGAAAGCAGGTTCCGCAACACGGCCAATGCGCCCCTAATCTCGCGAGTCATATCTCTGTCCTTAGACGACTCGGGTGTCAAGCCTCGCAGCACGTCCAGCAGGATACGGACCGTGGCTTGGCCATTGTGGGATTTGAAGAAGTTGGACAGCGTGCGCCACGCATCTTTCTGTAGAGCGGGGACAAGACAGTAGATGGAGCTCAGGACCTGCACACATCCCTTCAACTTGTCGTTGGGAATCGAGCCAAAGGTGACAATAGCATCGAGCACCGAAATGCACATTCGTAGGTCGTCCTCCACGCTGGTGCTCATACAGATGTCTAGCAAGCCGTCAATCATGCGTGCCAGGGATACATCGTCTGCATTCTTGAAGCTGAACTTGATGACGTCCATGATGAACGCAAAGAGCTGGGCAAAGTTTTTCTCCTCGCCCAGAACCGCGGTCCTATTTCTGGTAGAAGAGCGACTGCCCCGCGCTGTCGACGAGGCATCTCGACGGGCGTTTCGTACCGCTTCATAGGCTTCCGAAAGCCATCTCGTCAGGAGAGGCAACAGGTCGTAGTCAAACCCATCCAATACGCGTCCACTCTGAGTCAGGTCGACTAGTGCCGCAAGCTGAAGGTGGAAGTCCTCAGAGCTGGCTGGAGCAGCCAGTGTCTGGAAGTACTCCTTGCGCTCCAGGTCGGTCGATGACCCATGCTTGACGCACTCTGTCAAGAGCTCCCATCCCGCTATACGTGCTGCAGGCGGCTTCGTCGGCTCAATAAGGTCCTTGGCGGCGTACCAAATGTCTAGGACAGGATGTAGTGGGTATTCGGATATGGCGTACTTGAGGGTGTGGGCCGCAGCAATGCGCTCATTGGGAGCACCGTTCTTTAGAAGCTCAAAGGAGTCCATGGCGTGATTCGGCCCTCGTGACGAGTTGTTGGTTGAGATGGCATGGACCGTATCCGCCACTGGCAAGGCAACGGAGGAAGATGAGGACGATAGTGGCAGGGAGCGATTCGACTTGGATGAAGTCAAGCCGCGAAACACATTGGCCAGAGCCCCGGAGCGTGATGTATCGGGCGAAGAGGGTTCATCTCCGCCTGGAGGTGACATGTGCTCGGACTCTGCCGTGTATCGAGAGAAGACAAGACGAAGACCGACGCATCCACCCAACACAAGAGGATGTTATAATGTTGCGAGGATTCGGGAAAATGTCCGAGGTCTTCCCACCATGAGCTTGTATTTACTTGGACCTCTTATAGTTCTCAAAGCGACCGAGTTTCCTCGCTGAAGTTGGGACGTGTGCGACTTGCGATGTAGGGAGTTTGCTTCTCGTTGTCGATATGTTCAAATGCGGCAGACTAGGGATTCTATTCGCTCGCACCCAGGGGCCGGATTTGGTGGGTTCGCTTAGTATATCGATTACATTGGGTTTCGAACGAGGTGTTCAGCAGGGCGCGACAGTCTAAAGTGTCTTCAGTGCAAACGTTAGAATGGGTTTCTTTGAGAATGAAGTTGGTTGGCAAAAGTATGGACAAAGTGAAGGAAGGATCGGGGCAGGTGACGGGCGTATCGAAACCATTGCGGCTAGCGAGGGTGCAGACAACGCCAAATGGGGTTTAGCCTTGCCGAGACATGTCTCGAGCAGCTCCAGCTGAGAGTATTGCGCAGAGCAAAAGCCAGCTGAAAGAGAGGCACGTCCATCTTCTCTCGCTGTTTCCTTGAAATATCTCGTTTTGACGATTTGTACTAGGCTTGACTGTTGTGGCACACACGCTCATGGATTACGATACTCGAGCCTAGACAATCCATTTGTGAACGAGGTGAGGCGCCTGTCACCCCACCACACAGCCTCGTCTTGATCCCAGCAGTCGTTCAGTCACGCGCGTCACTGTGCTCGACAGGATGAACAGAAAACCAAAGACCGTCATGATGCTAGTAGAGGGAAAGGGTGTATATGCCCCAAGAAAGCCAATCACCAGTCTCTGGATGACGACGTTGAACCTCAACGTCAGTGAATGAAAGTCACAAATACTCCCTTCGTACCTTATGGTACCTAGCTTGGAGCTCTTATCGATAGAGCTGCAGACAATAAAAGACAGCACATGGGCCGATCTACAGCTTAATTTTCAAAACTGATCAACACATGACGTGGCATAGTACCAGATCATGCCTATCGGGAAATCACGAGCGATGCCATGTGCAGCTCATAGTTCCTCAAAGTATCTTGGACTTTCTTAGGCTGGCGACGAGGCATGCTCAGCGCCAAATCTGATACCATCCAGATGACTTGACAAAACTGTCTGCTACAGCGCCACTGCACAAGTTCATGGTCCCTGCTGGATGCCGGCCGTTGGCGACCCACCCTCCAACTGCAGTGCAGTGCTCAGGCTCGAGACATGGACTGGAGCTTCCAAGTCGCTCCAGTTGCTCCACACTTCCATCAGAGTCGACGTCTCTCGCAAAGCCCCTCGTTCTCCTCCGCCGACACTTTCTTGCCGCCAACCTTCTTCTATCCTCTCGCAACCCAGCAGTTCCAATCATGGCCGCCGACATTGGACAGATTTCGCAATTACTCAACGCGACTCTCGACCCAGCACAACATCGCAAAGGTGGGATGCCCTCACCTGGCGGTTGCCCCGCGATCTATCGACACAACATGAACGCTAACAAGTAAACAACAACAGCCGAAGCCGCCTTAAAGCAAGAATCTGCGAAACCACACTATTCCCTCGCTCTCCTGAACATCGTCAACTCCGACGGTCTCCCTCTCAACACCAGGCTCTCTGCTGCTCTTGCCTTCAAAAACTTCATCCGTCTTAATTACGTGGTACGGCCGCCAACCCACTTGACAGCGATGTCGCGGATGCTAACAGCGAATACGTAGGACGAGGAGGGCAACTACAAACTTCCGCAAGATGAGGTCGCGACAATCAAGGAACGCCTGATTGGGCTGATGATCGCATCGCCATCGAATATTCAGTCGCAGCTGGGAGATGCGATCAGCGTTATTGCTGATTCGGATTTCTGGAGAAGATGGGAAACACTCACGCAAGACCTGGTCAGCCGCTTCTCGACTACCGACCCAAAGCCAAACATTGGTGTCCTCGAAGTTGCACACTCGATCTTCTCGCGATGGAGGCCTCTCTTCAGAACCGATGAGCTGTACATGGAGATCAACCATGTGATTGAAACATTTGGCCAGCCCTTTGTCCAGCTACTTGTGGTATGTTCGGGTTTGGCGATTGACAGGTGATGCTTACAAGTCCACGCAGGCTACGGATACGAAGATCACTGAAAATGCGAGTGACAAGGCCGCCCTCCACGGCTGGTTCGAAACACTAGATCTACAGATCAAGATCATTTATGACATGTCATGTCACGATATCCCTCCCATTTTCGACGAGAACCTGGGCAGTATTTCCGAGCTTCTCCACAAGTACCTCGTCTACAGCAATCCTTTGCTCCAGACTGATGATGAGGCCGAAACTAGCATCATCGACACGACCAAGGCAGACATCTGCGAACTTCTCCAGCTCCTCACTACCAAATACGACGAAGACTTCTCCAAGTACTGCAAGCCGTTCATCACAAGCGCATGGGATCTCTTGTCGAACGTCGGAACGGAGACAAAGTATGACGCCTTGGTAAGCAAGGCGCTACAATTCCTGACGGGTGTCGCCAAAACGAAGGATCATTCGGAGTTATTCAACAACGAAGATGTTCTCAACCAGATAGTGTCCAAGGTTGTCATCCCCAACGTCACCTTACGCGAGTCTGACGAGGAGATGTTTGAAGACGAGCCAATCGAGTTCATTCGTCGCGATCTGGAGGGCTCGGACTCGGACTCGAGGCGAAAAGCAGCCACCGATTTCCTTCGTGAATTGCAGGCCAAGTTTGAAGGCCCTGTCACGACTGTTGTGTCAAGTTACATTAGCCAGTACCTCAGCCAAGGAGCTACAGACTGGAAGGCCAAGGATACGGCGATCTATCTGTTCCTTTCGATTGCTGTCAAGGGCGCTGTCACCGCCAGCATGGGTGCAAAGACAGTGAACCCCTTGGTGAACGTACTCGAGTTCTTCGAGCAGCGCATTGCATCAGACCTCGTGGGTGACGTGCACCCCATCTCCAAGGTCGATGCTATCAAATACCTCTACACTTTCCGCAGCCAGTTGTCCAGGGAGCAGTGGAAGCAAGCTTTCGGCCCGCTGGTTCAGAACCTCAACTCGGATAACTACGTCGTCTACACATATGCTGCTATCACTGTTGAGCGTGTTCTGTTCTTGGTGGACGACAACGGCAGCCCCGTCTTCCCACGGACAGAAATCGAGCCCTTTGCGAAGGACCTACTGGACCACCTTTTCAAGCTGATTGAGAAGGATACGAACCCTGCCAAGCTTCAAGAGAACGAATTCTTGATGCGCTGTGTGATGCGCATTCTGATTGTTATCAAGGACGGCGCACAGCCTCTTCTAGACAGCGTACTGACACATCTCATTCTGATAACAAATGTGATGAAGCAAAACCCCAGTAACCCTCGGTTCTATTACTATCATTTTGAGGCGATTGGTGCACTTGTCCGCCACTGCGCGGCGAGCAACGCAACTGTCTTCAACCAGAAGTTGTGGGAGCCCTTCCACCAGATTCTGATGGAGGATGTTTCTGGTAAGTTTAGACCTTGGTCGGGACGGAAAGCAATTACTCATTGTGTGTGTAGAATTCATGCCATACGTATTTCAGGTACTTGCTCAGCTACTTGAGTCAAGCCCTGCAGACGCCATCTCCGACAACTACAAGTCCCTGCTCGAGCCGTTATTAAACACCGAGCTCTGGAAGACTCGCGGAAACGTACCTGCTTGCACGCGACTTCTTTCTGCGTTAGTCCCAAAGACCGGCAAGGCCGTTGTTGAGAACGGAAAAGTCGAGCCTATTCTTGGTATCTTCCAGATGCTCTTGAGTGGGAAGAAGTCGGAGCTGTACGCTTTTGATGTTCTGGACTCGCTCGTCAAGAGCTTTGAACCGTAAGTTGCCTTACGAGCATCCTCATAACGATGTGTCTGACCAACCCATCAGCACCGTCATCAATCAGTACTTTACTACGATCTTGCAGCTCATTTACACAAAGCTACAAGGCTCGCCATCTGAGTCCCTCAAGCTTCGCTTTGCTCGTTTCTTCCATCTCGTGAGCGCACACCTCGAGGCTGGTTATGGCGCCGATTACTTCATTGGCCAATCTGATCAAATAGACGCCAATGCGTTCAAGGGTCTCTATCCTGCCTTTGTCCTGCAAGAAACACCAAAGCTTGTGCGCCCTGTCGATCGCAAACTTGCTGTCATCTCCTTCACCAAGATCCTGTGCGACTCTGAACGGTTTGGCAAGGAATTCGCCAAGGGCTGGGGCAACACATGTCGTTTCTTCCTGGACCTGCTGGCCAACCCGCCGACCGTGTCCTCTACAGCGGGTGACGAACTGATTGCGGAGGCGGATGTGGACGACATTGGCTTCGGCATGTCGTTCACGGCCCTGAACACGTGCAAGCCTCTGGCGAGGGATGATTTCCCTCACATTGTCAATGTCGTGACTTGGGTCAAGGAGTACATGGTGGCCGCGAACCAGCGCCATAACGGCGCGGTCGAGAAATGCATTGGCGAGAGGTTGACGCCAGAGCAGCAGCAGGCCATCACGAAGTACATCAACTAGGATCTGCCGATCGGGTATGATGGGGAGGTCCCAATGAAGGGCCGCTGTTCAGAGTAAGGGCAATACCAGGAGTCGCGTCTATTTTTTCGAGGGACAAAAAGGATCAGTCACACACGGTTAAGACACAAAAGCATAGCGGTTTGGTGGACAGCAGGTAGATAGGTAAGTAGGTATGTGAGTCATTACATGATCAATACATCCTGCGTATATTGGGCAGCTATCCAAGGTATGAGCTGAGGTTTTCCCTATGTGAACGGCTTGCTCCCCCCTGGGCTTGCGATGCCTACGAGCGCCGCTGCATGCCAAATGTCGTGAAGTAAAGGAACCGATTCAAGTCGGGAATAATGATGGTAAGAAAGGCCAAGAAGAAAAGAAAGACGTGATCGCATCGTCTGCCTTCGTATGTCGCCATGTTCGTGAGCGGTCGTCGTCGTCAAATGTCGAAACACCGTATGGTATCGGGAATAGAAAAGTCGAACGAAATCGTACAGACGTGAAAAAGTGAGGCTCTGATCCTGCCTCGCAGGAAAAGAAGGGGGTATGTCATTAAGCTTGGTGCAGAACAAGAAAAACAAAGGTCGTGGGTCTCTGGCGCGAGACAGATTAATCGTGTCAGTCTATGACAATGGTGGCGGTAAAGGATGGTGATGAGGATGACAAGAGTTTCCAACCAGGAGCGCCATTGCGTAGTCGATACATCGGTTACATCAGAAGAATCCTCCTTCCGTGGGCACGACGATACCAAGGTTGTTGCGCCAGCTGCAGCGATTCTCCGGCGGTATATCGTCGCTGCGTATTCGATCTCGAGAGGGTGCGTGGCCAGAGAGTGAGGGTCTCAGCGTCGTCCTTGGGCTGGGTGATGATGCATTGACATCGGCCTCGTGGATACTCCCCCGGCTAGCGTTCGTCTGGACCATCAATAAGCTACTGGTGCTCGACAGACGTTTGGTGAATTCGGTGAAACTCAACCTTTTGGTGGTGGAACTCGACTGGCGAGGGGTGGACGACTCCGACGCGTGGCTGGCAAGGTCTGTACTGAAGGACGAAGGAAGGTACTGGGTGCTCTGCGCCCGCTGGGCATCACGACGCATCTTATCATGCGCCGTGTGCGGCCGCGCGGGTGGTGCATGGGCCAGCGGCAAGGCTGCCTCGGAATGGAAGGAGATGGGGTTCCTAGCGATGCCTGGCCGGGGTGAGCTGGGAGAGTCTGAAGGGTCGCGCCGGCCCGTTAAGTGCTGAAGAGCTCGCTTAGTCGAGGGTGTCATGAGAGGCGCTGCGCCAGGCGCCTGTAGGTCAGAGAAGTTGACGTCGTCCGAGTCAGTGTCATCGTCATCGTGGGCTTCAGAGTCTGATTCAGAGCTATCGTCAGCTTCGAATGTACTGCGCAGCTGACCTTGTTGGGCCTGCGCCCGAGAGGCCATATGTCTTTGCTGTCTCCTGTCTTCAGCCTCACGCATCAATGCGTCAAACCGAGCGACGGAGCTGAGTTTCTCCTCGCCAGGGACCTCAACAGCCTTGCTATTCTGGTGCCGCATGACAAAAGCCCGGTCGAGGATAGTCTCACGAGGTCCAGGTGGTGAGCTGGACTCGGCTATGGACGGCGGCTGCATCTGTGAACTGAGGCTTCCCCGTCCATGATGCGGTGAGCTCACGGATTCACGCCCCTGCGCCATAGTCCAGCCGCCGAAGTCGCCGTGGCCGTCACCTGTAGTGTTCACCGGCGAAGGCAGGTCGGTGGGGAGCACAGTGGTATAGTGTTGGCCACCAATGGTGTAGTTGGCCATTTGCTGGATGGGATAGTTGCTCGACGGGGAGGAGACGTCGCTCCTCTTGGACTTCAAGCTTGGTGAACCCGAGCTGAATGTCAAGGGACGCTCACGGGTCCCTGTGGAGTAACTAGCCGTCGACGCTGAGTTTTGCAATGCGCGGTTCGCCATGCGGTTCCCACCACTGTGTGGACGGGCAAAATAGTCCACGTTGTCGAAAGGTCTCGGGGAGAATGCTTGTGTGGATGAGGTGGGAGTGATTGGACTGTCCTCGGGGCTCATTGGCGTCTTGAGCGCCATGATAAATCTGGCCCATTCCTGCAAAGAAGGGGTCTGCTCGTCTGGTGGTATACGGAACCACAACATCGGGTTGTTTGGCTCTTTGCCTGTCGGTATGAAGCCGGCACGACTCGATCGTCTTTTGCGTTCGCGGTCGACCAGAGTGACGAGGAGAGTAGGCAGAACTGGGCCTTGTTTCCGGTGCGCCACGGTCTGGACTTGACATTCGAGGATCGAGCTGACGGGCCATTGCTGATAAGCCTCTGTGTCGTCCTGTAATTCGCCGGTTAGACACTGGTCGGCGCGGTCCGGTAGACCCGGCAATGTAACCGAGTGGCATACCTTTGACTTGAAGAGGGAGATGTAATATTCCTCTGATTGCGGGCGAGGCGGAGGCGGAGGCGGTTGTTTGCTGCTGGAGCTCACGATGCGCGAGGTTGTGATGATCTGGGAGTAGCTTGCGCTTGGCTGATGTTCGCGGACCAGAGCAGGTCGTCGGCCGACATGAACAAATCGTGACTATTGCGAAAGAGTTAGGACCACAAGGTACGCACGCCTAGCACCATTTAGGAATGACATACTTTCCACACTGCTCGATTGAGAATCTGCCCTCGGTCCGGAGGGACCATGAGCCAACCTTGGAGGCTGTCCATATTTGCGATGTTGAGGCGAGAAAGAGCCTGGCGGGTGGGAAGAGGGATGGCGAGGTGTGGTGATGCGCGAGTCAGCGAAGCATGCTTGTAACACCTAATTTTTAAGAGCCGTTTATCCTATCCTCCTGATCGGATCCGTGTCTGTGCTTGCTGGCGTTTCCTTTCTGCGACCGGTTGCAGTGTCGCGGCAGGCCTGCCGTGCCGTCTGACACTCGAACTTTGCGTTGTCGCTGTCGTCGTTGGAATGGTGGCTGTCAGTGCGGATGCCGCCAGAGGCTCCTACTTCTTTCTGAGGTATCCTTGGCAGATGCTTGTAACGGAATGCACCTTCCTTGGGATGCAAGGCCACGAGAGGTCTGATCGACCTCAACGGCGGCAATCGAGTCAGGCCCAAACGAGATAGAGACAAGGCAGGCGCAACGGGGACGGACGACGGCTGGAGGTCGGAAGATGGAAAGGATGAGAAGGGGGAAAAGTCATCACCAGTACCTTGCGTTAGGCGGAAGCCAGCAAGCTAATAGTGGTCGATGCGCAGCAGGCAATTTGGAGGTATTAATCAGTTACACATATTTAGGAGACAATTGAACAGGAGAGATATGGAGCACTGAGCCAAGCAAACAGGCTGATGCTCTCGTGGGTCTCGCTCCAGTCGTTGTGCCGAACTAGACTAACTTTCGGTTGCAGGCTTGCAGGCCCAGCCGGCTCAGCAGGCAAGGGTTTGCTTTCAAGAGTCAACAAGTGTTTGACGAATCTGTGCGACCAGCCGCCAGTAAATTAGAGCCCTGGCCCTGATCCCGGTCTCAGTGGTCTGTCAATGGTCACTTGAGGCACAGGCACCAGTCAAGTCTGGACTTGGAGCTTGTGCAACTGAGGATTGGAGATGGCGTGGATCAGACATCAGACTGGAGTGGCCGGATGGGAAGGTCACGGTTGGTAGTAGCAGTTTCTCCGGTAGAGGCTAGAGCCAGGTACAATGCGCTGTACGGCGCAGACGGCCCACCCACCTTTGCCAGGGGGTATCCAGCTCTCTCAGGTGAGATATCCCGTTCACTGTAGCAATACATGTGCATTATAATTTGTACGTGTAGGTAGCTAATCTCGCCCCTCCTGCGCGCAAGCAGTGTCTAAGTCCACGCCTGCCTGAACCATGAATAATTATTCCGCTTGACATTACGTACCTTACTTAGCGGTCTGACTTGTTGGCGACGGGAGCGGAGAAGCACAAGTTGTGGTGAAGTCGCCGGCGCCCTGGATGATGGATCTTCTGTGCAGGAGACGAGATTGACATCCAGCACCCTGCAGACAATGACGCTGTGCAAACTACAGCAACCCAGTCAAAATCCCACAGCTCGGTCAGCCCGTTGTGGAAAAGACACAAACGTGTTTCAGCACATAATTCTATCTCAAGTTCTCAAGTTTTCAAGCTCTCAGGTTTCGAAGTTCTCAAGTTCTCAACCGAAGTTACCTAACTCACCTCGCAGGGGTTGGTACCCTCCTACAGGTACGTGCAGGCAAGTCCAGCTGGCCAAGCAGACCAGGGTGTGGACTTGACGAAAATAACCCTGCCGGTACTTGCGCATTTTTCTCCGGTTGTTTGCTCATTTTTGGACAGGGGGTTGTCCGCGCACTTCTCTCTGTGAGAGCGAAATCCTGGAGCACCAAGGCTCAAACATAGTCAGTCAGCCCACTCTCACTGTCTCAGGCTCACAACAGAAGACTAGGGCCCGCTGTCGACAGTGATCGTCATATCCAGCGCGATTACCCGTACCCGTACGGATGCTAGATTGATCGAGTCACTACGTAGTATAGATGACACTCGCATAGTTGGCGTTGAGCACACTTTGGAAGTCCTCGCTGCTTAATATGTACCCCAGCCAGCGGCGGGGTTTGACAGCGGTTCGAGCACGGCGCCGTCGCTTTCTGGTGCCTCGTGGTAGTACATAGGCGGTAGTATTCCGCACTGCAGGTTATTCATTCCACGGGGGCTCCGCATTCATGGATTTCGTCGTGTTGAAGATTGGCCCAGTCACCAACTAATAATATCAGGGCAGAGGTCCGACCTCGAGCGACATCTTCCATTCTGACCACCTCTGTGCCTAACGTCAATAATTTGTAGGTCTCAGTCTCGCCAGCTAGCGATTCAGTCAACCTGCGCTTGCGGCCTAAAGCGACTAGAGTGGGGACTTTTTTCGTCCTCTCCAGAGTCCAGTCCCCATGTCCGATCTTTGAGCCTGCGGGCCGGCCTCTAAAGCCGCACGCTAAAGCAAGGCACCAGACGGACGCCATTGCACTTGCCCAAGGCCACCAACAACCCGCCATGCCCATGTGGTCGCCCTGACGGACGCTGCGAGACTAAAGCACCTCATCGTCCCGACTTCATTGGGTCACGAGAGCAGAAGAAAAGCTGTCCACCACCATCCGTGCCGTCTGCTAGTCTCTCTGGTCGCCTGGTGCAGCACTGCAGAATGACATGCCATCCAGCCATTGACGCCAAGGTGCTGCCCACCACAACTCACGGTCACAGAAGCGAGACTGTGTCGCTGGGTTACGTGACCGGGCGGACTGGTCTTGTTGGTCTTGGCCCTGAGTCGTGTCGTGTCCAGCCGGAGGGTTCGTTTTTGGGGTCCGATGCAGCGGTGAGCGTGAGCCACGGGTGGTCTGACCACCGGAATCGGTTCACCTGCGCTGAAGCCTGAGGGTGGGTGGTGGACCGCATCTGTGAAACAGTTCACCGCAAGGCTCAAGCACTCGTCTGTGACTGTGACCGTCATTGACTCTGTGTGGGAGTGTCGGCGATCTGTTGATCAACAAGAGGCCTATCAGAACTGGGTTGTTGCTTTTTCCAGTACGTACCTGGATGCTGATCAGCTAGCAGCCGACCTAGCGGCTTCGTGGCGTCTAGAACGAAATGACACATTTCCATTTCCTCTCGACTGCAGCCCGACCTTTCAGAATCGGGGTCCAATACGTGCATGGGTGGTGGAGACCGATGCAATGCTAGCCTGCTGCTCAGTGCTCACAAAGAGGCGCTAGCATAAGTCAGTACGTAGATACTTTGGCGTTTTCCATCTTCGTTCCAAGGAATTCAGGGGCAGGCTCGATCTTCCCCACTTGTTGTTGAACTACTACTTACAGTAATAGACCGCAGATACCGAAATGTGTCTCAGATTCCTAATGCCTTCTAGGTGATTGGGTCATTTTTGTCAACGCAAGAGCTGGTCAGTGCGTACATACGTACATGTACGGAGTGGTTCATCGCTCTTTGAAGGTGAGAGAAGACGTGAGCTAGGCATACAATATATATCACAACCACCAGAGAATACATCACGACAACGATCGCCTCCAATATGGGATAATCATATTACGCTAAATTGGAGCAATCTGACCGAAATGGACGGCCCGCCGCGTTTATCGCGGTCCGTCCCAGAGTCATACGGTCAATTCGATGTCGGGTCCGCCGTGGCGTTACATTTATGATTTGCCCTCTTCATAAGTGGTGTGTGAGGGGCAGTGGTGCTGCGCCAGATGTGCCTCATCCAGCAGCATGAAGCTAATGGTCTAGGTGCGCTAAGTCCTGAAAGGCAACATCAAACCCGTAGTAACACGCGGTCAACAGTATTTTCTGAGCTCCAGTTCGATCCCTGTTTCTCCCAACTTCAAGCCAACTATTTGTTAGGCTTGTGCTGCACCGCGCGATGGCCCCTCAGGGGTCATGACTCTTGCCCCCAGCCCCTCCTCGCGCGATCTTACAGAGTACACGTACAGCGTCATGCATGCACAGTATTATTACGTGTTCCCCACACGATCTCCTTATCATCATCATGGATCATGGCTCGGGTAGTCGTGCGTTTTTTGCGGTTACAAACCTTGTGCGATCATGTGGGCAAATCCCAACTCGGCCACGATCTGCCATTGCACATTATCTCCCCAATCTTCCCCAAGAAGCAATGATGAGCCGCGCCGTACGGAGTAGCAGCTCGGTGTCATTATTTCTTGGCATATAATAGTATGTCCGTCAAAGACGACCTCGGATCTACTGAAACTGCGCCCCCTGATCGAGGAGATGCATGGTCAACCTGGGTGGATGCTCGCAAGCCGCTTTCCCAAGTTGCACTGGCCCTTCATGAAAGAAAGCCCTTCTTGCGCCAAGGTCTCTTTCGAGAGGCATGCAGACCATATTCATTAATTAATCAATGTTTTCAGGCCTTCTGCTGTCGTGCTGCTGCATGCCGTCACGTGTGGCTGCTTCCAGTCCTTGGCATGCTTCGGCTAGTGTTGTAGCCGGGCTAAGAAACCGGTATTATTACCTTCTAGATCATAATAGTGCCTACTTTACCTTCGCCATGGATGATGGGTATGGTGGCAGCCGACTGCCGCCCTGGTCAACACTGCAGTGCTGTACATGTAGCTGCAATGCCAATTTCCCTGACAGGTTGCACAGAGACAAACCAGCGACATCTTCTTGAAAAGATCCAAGCGCCGAGAACCGTGTATCAACAACAACCATGTTTGCATTGTGAGTCTGATGGATTACTACCCACTGCTTGCGTGGAGCAGCGTGTCCCTCGGTGAGTTACGCATGTTACCAGTCTAAACAGATATAATGAGACCCAGTCCGACGCCGTGATTCAATCCCAAGCAAACCCTACCAGCCATAATAAACGCCATTGGTGAATGCCCTGTATACTTGATACAATACTTCGCTCTGCTTGCGCCCTGCCCAAATTGTGCCAGTCCGCCGTCCTGGGCGGGCTTTGAGGCTGTCCGTCCTTCCTTCAGCAGACGAGCCAAGTGCTGGGTCGGATTCCACATTCCGCAGCCCATGCCCGTCAAGCAAGGCCGATGATGTTCTGACCATGGAACCCCTAGGTCTCTGGTCGAGGTATCCCGCTGTAGGGCTCGCCTTGTCGGAGGGCAGCTGCCCGGGTCGCATCCGCCCAACTAATTCCTCATGTTAGTTCCAGAAACATCACCCAGTGCAGAGGCCAAACTCACATCTTGACCCTCCCGTCGTCACTGCATGATGCGAACATGCTTGGATCATCAGGCTTCCACGCCACGGAATTGCTCCGCTTCGCGTGGCCGGGAATGGACTCGACGAGCTCCCCGAGTTCCTTGTGCCAGATGTATACGTATCCGTCCTCGCTACCACTCAAGACGAAACTCTCGTGCGCACCGCCGAGCGTGCTCCGCACTATGTATTCGTCGGCGAGCGTGTGTCCTTTGTACTTCTGCACGACCGTGCTAGTGTACAGGTCGATGAGTTGTGCCTCCCCTCCGCCCGTCATGTTCACCAGGAGATGTCTCGAGTCCGCACAGACACATACCGAGCCCGGGTGACCTTTCAGATCCAGCTGGTAGTCTTGCTCTCGGGTCGCGGCGTTGAAAACGTGTATGCTGCGCTTGTCGTCCATAGCAACGATCCAGCGCCCGTCAGGCGAGCCACACATGTCTTGGACGCGAAGGTCGCGCCGATTCCAGTTTGATTCACGTGAACCCTCCAGTTCGACGGTAACGATACTAGCGGCGGGATCCAGAGTTCCCACCACAAGGGACTTGCCATCGAGCGACCAGACACAACTGCTGACTGGCTCATTGTACCTCCTTGTCTGGAGGATGGAAGCGCCATCCTGCGATTCGTCAGTCTCCCGCCGTCCAGCTAGTATGAAGGCATGACTCACCGCCAATCTGTAGACACGCAAGTGCTTGTCCTGTAAGCAAATGGCTAGCTTACTGCTGTCAGGGCTCCAGGCAATGTTACCGAAACCTTCGTAGCCTCTCGCCGCCTCTCGAGCTAAGTCTCTGGTGTCCACAGTCAAGACAGCATTGAAGTCTTGATCCCACACAACCACCTTTCGCTGGCCGCAGGCCGCCAATGACTTTCCATCAGGAGACCAGTTCACGTGCCAGGCTTCCCCGTCCAGATCATGCAAGTCCAGAGCAATGTGACGCGGAAAACGCTCCGATGGGCAAGAATGGTTATGATAAAGGGTTGGTGTGTTGGGATCCGTGTGGAACAGGCACGAATCAAGCTGCCGACGCTTGAAAGACTGCAAAACCTGTCCTAAACGGCCCTCGGGTAACATCACGGAAGGGGATACGCTTTCTGGCAGGGGGTTAGCGCCTGGTAGCCTTGTACGAGCCCAAAACAAACTCACTGCAAATGTTGGAGAGTAGCTCGCTCCGCGACGTAGCCTTAGCACCGTCCCACTGAGCCCTGCTCCTCAGTTCGTCTGCTGACGTGGTCAAAAGCAGGCTCGAAAGGAAGTTTGTGGTAGTAATGTTGCTGGACAAGGGTGTCAGCTCGGAACGAAGAGTATGCAAGGCCCCGGGTGTGTCTCCGGCTTCGAGGAGCTCGAGGTATTTCTGCTTCTTGAGGCGGAACCTCATCATCTTGCGGTCAGCGCCTTTCGCGAGAAGAAGTCCATTCCCGTCACCGTCAGCCCCATCCGTGTCTGCGGCACCTTCCAGCAGCTCGTCAGCCTCATCCCAGAGCCCGTCCAGAATGGCGCTCTTGAGGTTTGAAACAGTTGGGCTCTCCAGCTGGAAGCCGCTGGTTCGGCTGACGTCGGCTGCCGCCTCTGTGTACCCCATGTCATCCAGGGCCTGGATGATGAGCCGCGTGACCTCTTCCGCATCGTGACCGTGGTACTTGGAAGGCCTGTGGTGACGCTCCGGCCCCCCCTTGACGCCGTTAGAGCTGGTGGCGGCGGCGGAAGCGCCGTTTAGCGCTGTGTTTGCCGCTCCGGAGCCGTTGAGGATACCCTTAGTCGCCCGCGGTCGGGGATGAGCTGCAAAGTCGCCATTAGCCGGCATTGCTGCATCGTCATCGCCCAGCATGGCGTCTGTCCGATCTTTGGAATGGCGGCGACGCTTGGGGGGGCTGCCTGTGCGGGAATCCTCGGTGCCGCGGTGGTCGCCCTCGTCGTCGGGTGCTCGTCGTCGTCTAAGCCCGGCGACCTGCCGCGAAGGCTGGGTCACGTCAGGAGCGTCTTGACCGGTGGAAGATGCTATGTTCGCGGTTGCAGCTCGGTTCGCTGGGAGGCGGGTGCTGGGCGGGATCGGAACACTCTCGCTCGACAGAGGCTCCCCGGGGTCAACAAGCTCGGCAGCGGGTTGAGAGGAAGGGTCACTGGGATTGTTGTTTGGCTCCAGGTCGTTGTCTCGCGGCGTTACACCGCAGACTAATCGTTGACGAGTTTGGATAGTTGGCTGATCCGACCTTGTGCGGTTGCAGCGGACGGGCAAGCGTTCGGATGCGGCCGGTACTCGAGCATAGGTCGTGGGCTGGCGGAGGCTTCTCGCAGTATTCGTTGATTCTCGAGAGTGCCAGGGCGCGAGAGACGATATAAGGTTTTCTGTATGTGGATATGTTCTGGTGAGGTAGTTTGTGACGGTTGGAAGTACAATGTCACAAGCAGTCGCTCTGCAAGCCGGAAGCTGGACTGATGATGCAGGGCAGTCTGGCTGCTGGTCAGTGAGTTTCAGTGGGTCCAACTGTGTCGTCAGACAGTCAGACAGTCATGAAGTACTGTAAGTACCTGTGTACGTACAGGTGTTAGTAGGCCCTCTCCGAAACTGCAACGGAATTTCGCTGTCTACTTCTACGAAGATGCCTATTAACCCTGCGTGGTCTCGCGGGCATGATGATTTCTTTGTCTCTAGTCTTGGTTCACTTTTGCTCGGAATTGTTGACTTAGGGTACAGTGGACTGTTCAGCACTCATGCGTGATCTTATCTTACCCCAGTGATGCTGCATCTTGGGGAGGCACATGGCCCGTGATGATTGGTTGGTTATGGTGCCTAGGCGGGTCTTCAATGCCCAAAGTGTCAGGTGTGTCAGGACCCAGCGCTCACATGGGCAACAGCGCAGCTGCCAGGCCATTCTTCAAGAGGGATAATGTGCAGGCTACTCTGTTCAGAGATGTCGAAGGCTAAGACAACGTCCAAGGCCAATCATTATCGTGGGCGGCGGGAGAACGAATGCGGCTTCACGTGCCAATGATCTCGAAGCTGCACGAAGCTACGATTTGATGACGAACAGTGTGCCACATTGATGGCCTGCACTTGCTGCCATGTGTTGGCTGTCTGTACGAGCAGTGTACCTAATAGTAGGACGTACGTGAGTACTGTAGCTCGGGATAGAGGCTGCCTTATTACTCCTGTGGGATTAAATAAATGCTTAAGCAGAGCAGTGGATGGCTTTGTTGGTCATGTCTACATCAGCCAACTGTGAGACATGCGCCTTATCAAGCGTGAGTAGTTTCAGGCATCGACAACGCCAGACAATGAAACGTCTAGACTACTACCCGAACACCACAATGGCCTAAGTGCCTGAATCCTGGCATCATTCTGGAGAAGACGCGAGGCCCCAAATGGTCGGTTGAAGCCATACGTGGACTGACATAATATGGTCTAGGGTAGTCTAGATGGACTGCTGAGTAGCAAATCAGGCCATAGGCTTCCATCTCCCTCGACTGCTGCCTTGAAAGCGACTCTTACGAACAACTCGATATGAATGCCATACGTAAGGCAGGCTGTCTTTCGTCAGCAATAGTGACGTTGCCGTCCAGGCTCCCGCTTAAAGCAACCATTTTTGCAGGCGCAAGATGGTGGAAGCAAAACGACTGGAGGCGCAGCTACATATAAGGGAAGGTAGCCATGTGGCTGGTGCAACGGGCAACTGGAATGCCCCACTTATGCCTCAGGGCTGCCCGAGCGACGTAACTGCTGTCGGTCAGGCTAGGCTCGTGATAACGTACGCTGCCTCGCGAATCTTCCCCAAACCACCATCGACAGACTCCTCGGCATCACAACACAGCTGTCGACAGTATCCCAACTACGCGGACAGATCAGACCGCGAGACACGCAAGCTCAGGCGGCCCGCGCACGCTCACCGTCACGAACGCTCCTCCCACCCCGCGAGACAGGAGGCTTCCTCCCCAGGTTCGCCAGCTCCCAACGGCTTCGACGCCAGTTTTCCACGTCCTTCCCCACCGCACGCACGCGCCAAAGCGATAATATCCATCATGAGCGCCTCACTAGCTGTGCCGGGTGGCATCTCTGACCCGGCGCTCATCACGTATGTGGCAGGCCCTTCGCGCATCAGGCCGTCCCGTCTGCTAACAACCATGTGTCCAGTCTTGTGAACAAGCTGCAGGATGTCTTTGCCACCGTCGGCGTCAACAACCCCATCGACCTGCCTCAGATTGCCGTCGTGGGCAGTCAGTCGAGTGGAAAGTCCTCGGTATTGGAGAATATCGTCGGGCGCGACTTGTAAGTACACGACACGAGAGACTGACGGGCGCCCAGCCAGATGCTGATGACGGACACTGTGTAGCTTGCCCCGTGGTGCCGGTATCTGCACGCGACGACCGCTCGTACTCCAGCTCATTAACCGCCCGGCCCAGGAAAACGGTGTGAAAGAGGAGGAGGCGATCAACACGGACACGGACAAGGCGGCCAACAGGGACGAATGGGGAGAGTTCCTGCACATCCCTGGACAGAAGTTCTTTGACTTTCACAAGATTCGTGAGGAAATTGCGAGAGAGACTGACGCCAAGACAGGGCGAAATGCCGGTATCTCGGCGGCGCCCATTAACCTTCGAATTTACTCGCCCAATGTCCTCACACTGACATTGGTTGATCTGCCCGGTCTCACAAAAGTGCCTGTGGGCGACCAGCCGCGGGATATCGAGCGCCAGATTCGCGAAATGGTTCTCAAGTACATTGGCAAATCCAACGCCATCATCCTCGCGGTCACGGCGGCCAACATCGACCTGGCCAACTCGGACGGTCTGAAGCTAGCGCGCGAGGTCGATCCCGAGGGCCAACGGACGATTGGCGTGCTCACAAAGGTCGATCTGATGGACGAGGGCACCGATGTCATTGATATCTTGAGCAACCGCGTCATCCCCCTGCGTCTCGGCTACGTCCCTGTCGTCAACCGTGGCCAGCGCGACATTGACAACAAGAAGGCGATCAACGCGGCGCTGGAGGCTGAGAAGAACTTTTTCGACAACCACAAGGCCTATAGGAATAAGAGCTCGTACTGTGGAACCCCCTACCTGGCCCGGAAACTCAACCTCATCTTGATGATGCACATCAAGCAGACCCTGCCCGACATCAAGGCCCGCATCTCCAGCTCGTTGCAAAAGTACAGCTCCGAGCTCGAGAGCCTGGGTCCGTCGATGCTCGGCAATAGCGCCAATGTGGTTCTCAACATTATCACCGAGTTTACGAACGAGTGGCGCACCGTTTTGGATGGCAATAACACTGAGCTGTCCAGCACCGAGCTCTCCGGCGGTGCTCGTATCAGCTTTGTGTTCCACGAGCTCTTCTCGAACGGCGTCAAGGCGCTTGATCCCTTTGACGTTGTCAAGGACGTGGACATTCGCACCATCCTGTACAACTCGTCCGGTTCCTCGCCCGCCCTCTTTGTGGGGACGACGGCCTTTGAGCTGATTGTCAAGCAGCAGATCAAGAGGATCGAGGACCCCAGCCTGAAGTGTGTGTCGTTGGTGTACGACGAGCTGGTGCGGATCCTGTCGAGCCTGCTGAGCAAGCAGCTGTACCGCCGCTACCCGTCGCTGAAGGAGAAGATGCACGGCGTGGTGATTGCATTTTTCAAAAAGTCAATGGAGCCGACCAACAAGCTCGTGCGGGATCTGGTGGCCATGGAGGCGTGCTACGTCAACACGGGCCACCCTGACTTCCTCAGCGGGCACAAGGCCATGGCGATTGTCAATGAGCGCCACAACCCGGCTAAGCCGGTGCAGGTTGACCCCAAGACGGGCAAGCCCCTGCCCCAGTCGTCGACGCCCCGGGCCACGAGCCCGACGGTGCCCGAGCCGGACAATGCCAACGGCGGGTTCTTTGGCAGCTTCTTCGCTGCCAAGAACAAGAAGAAGGCCGCTGCCATGGAGGCGCCCCCGCCCATGCTCAAGGCCTCTGGCACGCTGTCGGAGCGCGAGAATATTGAGGTGGAAGTCATTAGTGAGTCTGATCCGGTGGCGCAGGGCGATGGGGACCATGCTGACCATGCCAGAACTGCTCATCTCCTCTTACTTTAGCATTGTCAAGCGGACCATGATCGACATGGTGCCCAAGGCCATTATGCTCACGCTCGTCCAGTACGCCGAATTTCTCTCGACAGACTGTCGGACACCGTGCTGACTATGACACAGGTTTACAAAGGAAGAGATGCAGCGCGAGCTGCTGGAGAACATGTACAGGACGGACAACGTCGACGACCTCCTCAAGGAGAGCGACTTTACGGTCCGTCGGAGGAAGGAGTGTCAGCAGATGGTGGAGTCGCTCGGCAAAGCCAGCGAGATTGTCAGCCAGGTGCAGTAGACGACCGGCTAGAGGTGAATGGACGGACGGATCTATCACTCCCATCGTCAATACGGGCGTCCGGGAGACAAATGGGACCTTGCCCCCCACAGCTATTTCGATTCCACGGGTGTCTGGGGAAGGGGGGGGGAAGACGTACGTTAGAGTAGTAGACTGAACTAATGATTACGTGTATGTACAGGACCGCATTCATGGGCTTGGTTATTTATCATTGTATCTACTTACAAACGAGCTTTATCCTTGAGCACCAGGCCACCCTTTTCCACATCATACTCCCGTCCGCGCACCCATCCAGCCCACTGCTTGAGCGTCTCTTCGCCCCCTTCACCCGCACCCAGAGCAAAACCGGTGTAGCCATCCCCCTGGACACCGTTACCCTGTCCCCGCGCGCCGCTGGGGTCAGACGCCTGATGCACCGCCAGGCAAGGCGTGCCGCGCAAGGTCACGGCCGGTCTCTGATCGCCCTCGCGTCCCGACTGCGTCTCCAACTCGTGGTAGCCCAGAACGGGCGTGCAGCAGGCGTCGGTGCCGTCAAAGATATCCTCCCACTCCCTCCGCGTCTTGCTCCTAAACGTCCTCTCATACAGGGCCTTGAGCTCTGGCCACCGGCTCTCGTCGACCCGGCTCTCCTCCCACCCCTGCCCGTCCAGGCCGAGGCCCTTCATGAGGATGGCGAAGAAGTGCGGCTCCAGCGCGCCAACGGACATGTACCCGCCATCCTTGGTCTCGTACGTGTCGTACCAGGGACAGCCGCCGTCGAGCATATTCCTGCCCCGGCCCTTGTCGCCGAACGGTGTCTTGAGCGCCATCCGGGGGAACGTGGCCAGGTACGACGCGCCGTCGACCATGTTGGCCTCGACGACCTGGCCCCGGCCCGAGGCGTGACGCGCGGCGAGGGCGAGCAGGACGCCCTGGAAGAGCATGGCGCCGCCGCCGGCGAAATCAGCGAGAATGTTCCAGGGTGGATGGGGCTTCTCGCCGTCCCGACCGAGGAGGTCAAGGGCGCCGGACACGGCGAGGTAGTTGATGTCGTGGCCGGCCATGTCCTTGTAGCGTCCGTCCCGGCGAAAGCCCGTCATGCGACCGTAGATGAGGCCCGGGTGGAGGGCGAGCAGGACGTCCGGGCCGAGCCCGAGCTTCTCGAGGACGCCGGGACGGAAGGGGTCGATGAGGACGTCGGACTGGGCGGCGAGACGCTTGACGAGGGCGACGCCGGCGGGGTCCTTGAGATTGACGGCCACAGAGGTCTTGTGCCGCACGAGCAAGTCGCCCGTGGGCGGTGGAGGGTGTGACGGGTGGTGTGTCTTGTCGGGGATGGCGCGGTCGATGCGGAGGACGGATGCGCCCGCGTCGGCGAGGAGCATGCCCGCAAAGGGGCCTTTTGTTGTTAGCGATTGCTCTTGTTTTCTTTGAAATGCTTCATCAGCCCAGACTCACCAGGCGCCAGGCCGGCGAACTCGAGGACCTTGATGCCCGTGAGAGGCGGTGTCGATGCCATGGTTGTGGGTGGATCAGCGTGGTGGACGCGGCTTGGGCGCTGGAGTGCGTGTTGCTGTTTGATTCATCAGCGTATTGACATGATGGGAATCTTTCATTTATGCCACGGAATTGGATAACCGCGCCCGTTGCCGAGGCTCGTGAGGAGGAGGAGGAGGAAAAGGAGGATGGAGGGATCCAAGTTGGGGTCGATGCGGGGATGCGGTTCCGGGGTACGTATTGACCACGCTTGTCGTACATGTACAGAAGATTCACGTGCATGACTGAGGAGAGTCGTGATCATGGTCATGTCATTGTCATCTATCGATCCATGTAGTAATGTCGTTGTCCAAGCAAGGACTCGTGCCAGCCACCTGCGCCAAACGCCTTCTATGATAGACCCGCCTCCAATGTTGTGAGATCCCCACGCTCTGTGCCCGAATTCCATGTCTAGAAAGAAACGCAAAAAAAGGGAGGAGGAGGACCGCCCTCAGGCGTACCAGTCGCCTTGGTCGTGCATGGCGCGCACGACCTTGATGAAGCCGGCAATGTTGCTGCCGGCCACGAGGCTGGGCAGCTCGCCCTCGGTGGCCTTGACATACTCCTTGGCGGTGGCGAGGCCGTCGTCAAAGGCCGACTTCATAATCTCCTGCAGCTTGCGGTCGACCTCCTCCTGGGTCCACGAGTAGCGCTGCGAGTTCTGGGCCATCTCGAGACCCGAGACGGCGACGCCGCCGCAGTTGGCCGCCTTGCCGGGCGCGTACCAGACGGCCTGCTGGCCCTTGGCGCGGCGCTCGGCCTCGAAGACGTCAATGGCGTCCTGGGTGCAGCCCATGTTGCTGCCCTCGGCGACGGCGAAGCAGCCGGCCTCGACCAGGGCCTTGGCCTCGTCGCCCGAGACCTCGTTCTGGGTGGCGCTGGGGAGGGCAATGTCGACCTTGCCGACGTGTGTCCAGGGGCGGGCGCCCTCGACATACTTGAAGCTGCCGTTCTGGTCAAAGGCGGTCAGGGACTTGCGCTCGACCTTGAGCTGGGCGATGCCCTCGATCTGGCGGGCGGAGAAGCCGGCGTCGGTGGTGGCGATGAGGGCGCCCTGCGAGTCGGAGAGGGAGACGACGGTGGCGCCGAGCTCGATGCACTTGAGGGCGGCGTACTGGGCGACGTTGCCCGAGCCCGAGAGGGCGACGCGCTTGCCGGCAAAGGTGCCGCGGCCGGCGTGCTCGAGCATGTGGGCGACGTAGTAGACGAGGCCGTAGCCCGTGGCCTCGGGGCGGATCAGCGAGCCGCCCCAGGCGAGGCCCTTGCCGGTCAGGACGCCGTCCCAGCGGTTGCGCGCGTGGCGGTAGGCGCCGAACATGTAGCCAATCTCGCGGCCGGACACGCCAATGTCGCCCGCGGGCACGTCCGTGTCGGCGCCAATGTGCTTGCTCAGCTCGCGCATAAAGGCCTGGCAGAAGCGGCGGATCTCGTTGTCCGACTTGCCCTTGGGGTCAAAGTCGGCACCACCCTTGCCACCACCCATGTTGAGGCCCGTGAGGGCATTCTTGAAGATCTGCTCGAAGCCGAGGAACTTGAGGCTGAAGGGGGAGGGGGGTTGTTAGTGTGGCTCAGGACGCTTGCTCCGCGGGGATCAAGTATACGCACATGGACAGGTTGACCGAGGGGTGGAAGCGCAGGCCACCCTTGTAGGGCCCCAGGGCCGAGTTGAACTGCACGCGGTAGCCCCTGTTGACGCGCAGCTTGCCGGCGTCGTCCTCCCAGACGACGCGGAACTGGATGACGCGCTCGGGGACGGAGGCAACCTCGAGGGCGGTGCGGTACTGGGGGAACTTTTCAAACAAGGTGCTGTCCTCGAGCGTGGACGCGAGCTCCTTGTAGGCCTGCTCGAACTCGGGCTCGCTGGGGTAGTTGGACATGGTGGTTCTTGTCATTTTTGTTTTTTTTTCCTTGCCTGCTCTGTAGCTGTTGGTGGTGACGCGATAAGACAATGGCCTGCTTTCAGTCACAAAGGTCAACAAGAAGAGTGAGAGGTCAAGAAAAGATTCAGACACAATTACCTAGGGCGTGGAAGGAGGAGGCATATCTATAAGTACTCTCATTCGGCTCTTTCATTCCACCCACCAGCCGCGCTCTTATCTCTCGCCTCCAGCAAGGCCCACGACAGACGTGTGCGTTGACATGAAACCTTGCGTCACGGCTGGTGCGTAGCTGAGCGTCCAGTCGCTAGCCTGGTGCGCTCCGATGATCGCTCTCCCCAACGACCAGGCTGAACAGAAGCAATGCAATGGTAATGGTGAGGAAAAAAAAAAAGAGAAGGAAAAAGAGGGTACGGGAGATAGCAGTCCGATAACGTTCTTGTCCGCGCCCCCATTCATCCCGCGCAAACAAAAACTAAGAGACACGACTAAGAGGACGAGGTGTGGTCGATCTACGTTGCACGTGAATGGATGACGTCGCTCCGCCCGTCGGCCCGTTCAGCCAAAGTCTACAAGTGATTTTACTCAATCCTCATCAGGAAGACGCCACTCGCAGCCAGCCAGTCCCTGCATATTACCTCTTGCGAGTTACTACATTTTTAGCTGCGCCGTTCATTGATTGGTCTGCGTGGTATACGTGTATGCATCAAGCACCCCCCGATTGTGCGTGCGGCGCTCCTCCAACTCCAAGCGTGGAGTCGTGGAGCCAAGACAAAAGAAAAGTCCTTTGAGCCAATCTGATCGAAAAAGGCGCACCCGACTCATTCTCTTGCCCTCGAGTCGCACGGTCGAGACCTCGTGCCGGTCCATCATCTTGCTTTATCTGATCTCAGCTTGTCTGTGGGCGGCTTTAGCTTCGGACGTCTCGGTGCTACCGGTGATACTACGTACTCTGCACCGAGCAGCGATATCGGAGCTCGAACAAAAACTCGAAGCGAACAATAATATACTATGTATGGTAGCCAATACCTCACCACGTACGTGTACGCGGAGGGCAGTCAATGACACGCTGTATTCATGTCCCGAGTCCTCGCAAGCCATTTCCGCACATACACCAACTACTCCAAGGGTCCCATTTGCCTAATAGTAGATCCATGCCAAAGCAACATACAAATGTAGTCTGTCCTGCTCCAAAACGCCATACAATGCTGTCTCTCTCACTCAGCCAGACCTCTCTCTCACGCAGACCCTACCACATGGCGGCCTGGTCCGCGTCAAACCTCGTCAGCTCCTTGCCCGCGTCCTCCAGGTCCTTCTTGGCCTTCATCCGCATGTAGAAAATAGGACAGTCCTTGCTGCTGCAGATCACCTCGCAGTGCATGCTGCCCTGGCACCGCTGGCACTGCGTCCACAGCCGCCCGAACCGCACCTCGAGGTCCGACACGCGATCCAGCGTCTTCTTGTACAGCTCGCCCACCCGCGGCGCGCAGTTGCTGCACACCGCCCCCGCGCTCTCCTCCTGGCCCGTCAGCGGCTTCTTGCACCCCATGCACGTCTGCGTCTTCTTGGCAAACTTCATCAGCCCCCCCACCGACGGCGCCGCCACGGAGATGGTCCGCGTGTGCGCCCCCGTCAGCAGCGAGTTGGCCTTGGTCTCCCCCAGGATGGGCTCGAAGATGCGGCCCAGTGGCTTCGCCAGCTGGTTGTCCAGGTAGTACCGCGTGTCAATGGGCACATTGTTCTCCAACACGTAGATGGGGTCTTCCGACTTTTCGTAGTTCTTCGCCCCCGCTGCGCCGCGCACCATCACGTACGCCACGCGATCCCCCAGACCCGGCGCCGAGCCGGCGTCGCGCTTCTTCATCCGCTGCGCCAGCTCCACGTGCGCTTGCTTCGCGGCGTAGTCGTCCTTGGACAGCGCCTTGGTGATGACCAGCTTCGACATGTCCACCTTGTTCTGCAGCAAGTCCGCAATCATGTCCTTGACGTACCTGCGAGGGGTCAGTGACACCGAACATGTATACCACAAAGAGGCAATGCTTACTCCTGCGCGCCTGGGACGTCCCGGTCTATGAGAATCATCCGCAGCACCTTCTCGATGACAGTCTGCACCAGCGTGCAGTTGTCGCGTCGCACCGTCTCGATGCCCTTGGTGTCCATCTTGTCGTGCTTGTCGGGCCTGGTCCAGTACAGCCCGGCATAGCGCTTCTTGTTGATCAGCAGGTACGGAAAGTACACCTTTTCAAACTCGAGCTTGATCGGCTTCACAAACTTGGACGTCACGTAGCCCGACGCCTCCTCGCCCAGCTTCATCGCCTCGGCGAGGTCCCCGGTCCCAAACTTGACCATGACCGAATCCGTGTCGCCGTAGATGACCTGCGCGTCGTGCGCGTACCCATTCGCAATCGTAAACTTCTTCTCCACCTCGTCGCGCGTCATCTCGATCATCTGGCGGCCGAAACTCGTTGTGCTCCGCGCAATCTCGAGACACGGGAGCTTGCCCGTCTGCGACGCGCCCGTCAACCCGTACACACTGTTGGCCGTGACCTTGAGCGCCAGCTGGCGACCGTTCAGCACGGCCTTTTTGAACGGGTCCGTCTCCTGCGCCAGCTCTCGTTTGGCCTGCTTGCGTGCGAGCAGCAGTTCCTCCAGGATCTGCGCGAGCAGCCCCTTTCTTTGCTTGGTGGTCACAAATGTGTCGCCATTGGGCGTGATGATGTAGTCCTCGTCCTTGACGAGATTGAGCTTCTGGATGACCGACTTGTTCACCAGCGTCGTGTAGCAGAGGTTGTGGGCCTGCATGATACTGGGGTACAGCGACGCAAAATCGAGCGTCGCGATCGGCTGGTCGTAGTACCCCCTGACGGGCTCGATGACGGTGCCACCCTCGTACTGTTCGTCACCGCCCTCCGGTTTCAGGTCGGGAATCACCAGCTTCTGGTCGAGGCCACGACGGTAGAGTTGACTGATGAAGCGAATCTGCTGACCGCGGGGCAGGATCATGTTGAAGGGCACACCCGTCACACGGGCCATCTCCGTGTAGTTCTCGAGACAAGAGAGCTTGTCCATGAGTCGCTGCGGCAGATAGGCGTCCTTTAGACAGTACAGCGCGAGACGACGTCGTGACTCGGGCGTCCCGTTGAACAGCTCGGTGATCATGGTGTAGTGGACATCCTCCTTCTGCTCGCCCAGAAAGTGCGAGCAGACAGAGTTCAGCGTGTAACTTCGCAGGTGGTGATCCCTCTGGATGAGCTGCAGCAGGTCGAGCTGCAGCCGACCGTTGGTGTTGGTCGTCTTCGAATCGCGGTTGCCGAGCTGCTTGCTGGAAAAGTTGGTCTCCTTCACCTTGGACACAACGCCGGGGATGCGAGACCAGTGGTCGAACCCGTGCACCTTGAGGTGCTTGGCGCGGTCCAGGAGATACGGAAAGTCAAAGTTGGCAATGTTGTACCCCGTGATCACGTCGGGGTCGACGCGCAGCAGGAACTCTTGCCACGCCTTGAGCATCTTCTCCTCCTTGTCGAATTCGATGACATGCGTCGCCACGATCGAGCTGGTCGTGTCCAGGCAGAACACGTTGCGCACAAACGGCTTCTTCTCTCCGTACTTTGTGACGACGTTGGCAATCTGGATGACAGGGTCCTGGTCTGCTTCCGGGAAGATACCCTTCCGCCCGCAGCACTCAATGTCAAAGGACAGGATCCGCAGCGGCGCCATCTTGACCCATTCCCCCTTTGGCTCGTGTGCGATAAAGTCGCGGTAGTCGACTTCGGCCTCGATCTGGCAGTTGGACTGTCGAATGTGGTCGGGGATGAGCTTGTACTTGCCCGCCGGGGCTTCTGCCCAGGCCATGCCTTGCAACTGTCCTCGTTAGATCAGGCGCGGCGTCAGGGACCAGAAACGTACCTTGGTATCCACCATGAAGCGCAGGACATACTGGATGTTGTCAAACGTCATGATACCGCCGTCGACAGCCTTCCACATGCCCTTCCAGTTCGCGTTGCCGTCCTTGATCAGCATCCGCACCTTGGTGATGTACTTGGGATCCGTCACCGTGATCTTGAGGTACGGATTCGTCACATTGCCTTGGAAGCCGTACATGCTCTCCCGCATGAGCAGCTGCACCGAGTGGATCGCAGGCTGGTGCTGCGCAACCTGCGTCTCGAGGTACGCCTTGAACGCCGGGCAGTCCTGCGGTTGGAAGGACACCGGGGCCGCCACGTAGAGGTAGTGTTTGAAGTCTGTCACATGCAGCATGACCGAGTTGCCCTTTTCCGTGACGCCAAACAGCTTCACCGTCGCTCGGCCCCCGTGCAGCGTACCATCTTCCGTCTCGATGCTCTGGAAGACCAAGGCGTCCCGCGCGGGGACAAAGTCTTCCACCGGCGGCCGGTCCCAGCTCTGGTCCTTGTCCGCGCTGTTCTGCTTCGCGGACGAGATATCCTGGCTGAGCTTTTCGAGCACCTCGGACTCAAAGGCGCTCTTGGGCTGACTAGATCCAGGCATCTTGCTTCGAGGGCCACGTTGCGAACTGGGGATCCGCGCGGTCGCGGGCGAGGAGCCGAAATCGCCAGTCTTGCGCTTCTTCGCGGCTGAGGGCGTCGAGGGAATGTTCTGGCGAGTCTTGGACTCGCCAAGAACTCTTTTCTGGGGGAGGACCGTCGTTGCCATGGCTGCCGTTAAGCAGAGCGAAGCTAAAGAAAGGGGGTTTCTTCACAGTAGATGAACCATGGGTAGCAATTGGAAGAAGGCCGAATGCTTTGTGGTGGAAAGGCGACCGGAGTTGTGAGGGTCCAAACTTGATGGTGCACGGCAAATGGTGGGTGGTATGGTATGGCAAGGCAAGGCAAGACGAAACTGACACGACCTTTGGCTGGGAAACGCGCTTCGCGTGTCGTGACGTGAGGGCGGGTCCCACCACGCGTAAATTGATTCGAGTGCACGTGATCTTGGGTGGTACTCTAGGCGTGATTCGGAGCTGTGAGAAGCATGCATTGACCAGCGTCTTTGGAGGTCATCTTGTTCACTTGCACTGAGGAATCGAGAGTACCATGCATAGAAATGGAGAGTAACATGTGTATTGAGGTACTGTCTACCATCGTATCTGCAATTGCGGTTACGCGCTTGCGCAGTCTGAGTTATGCTCAGTATCGTAGAATGGCAATCACCCTTTCGCAACACATCAAGCCCAACAGCTATACACTACCTATTATAGTAATGGGGAAATACTTTTGACTCATCAGCAGCGGTCCATGCACAAGGCGGAGGAGAACAAAGAGGTGGAAGCCAGAAGCTGTACTCAGAATTACCCAATCTTCGTAAATCAACAGAAGCACCCAATGGGCGGATTCAGTAGTTTTGCGCAAGAAGAAATCATCATTGTAGGCTGTCGACGGCGGAATAGACGTACCAATTGATTGATCACTGGTGAGCGAGATTATAGGAGCGCTTGACGAGTGCTGCGACGACCGCGAAGAGTCCATTGACGCAAGTTTGTGAGGGGGAACATCATGTGTGGGAACAACAGGTCGCCATGAAACAGGGACGACGAACAACAGCGCCAAGTCTGGTACCGTGCGTTGGCTCAAGATCTTGGGCAATCATTCACAGTGCGCACTGTGTACCATACATCAGCATCTTCACAAAGGTTGTGTGGTACATGGCCGTATTCGGATGCTATGCAGTGCTCCTTTTTCTCATTCTCAGGGCATATCCCCTGCTTTACCTGACACCACGGATGCCTTTACCACAATACGGAAAAGTGAGGGTAAAGCCACAAGTCATGCCGCCGCCTCCAAGTTCCGAACGCCGACGCTGTGAGGAAACAAGCCTATTACCAAGTGCCTCTGTCCTTGTATTGACCGAGTGTTGCAGTTTACTTTCTATTGTACAAATGACAGTTTGTCTATTCAATGGTGCCAAGCTCACACCAGTTGTTGACGGGCTAGTCGCTGTTAGCAGGATGATCGCTGAAAAATTGGGACGAGGGACGACTGACAATGCAGCTGAGATACTTGCACCAGTCGCAACTGTGCGCAGATGTGTAAAAGTTGGTGATGAGGAAGATAAAAACCACCACCACCAGGATCAGGGCGCCGACGCGCACCAGCCACCACGCCCACCAAAGGGGCTTGCGGCCCTTGAAGAAGGCCGTGGGGTTCTTGAGGAAGGGCTGGATGCCTGCCTCGGACTCGGTCACCCGGGCGTACGTCGTGTCTTGGCCGATCCGCAGACGCAGGGCGTTGGGCGAGTGAAGGACCGAGATGCCCAGGGCTAGACCCATCAGGAAGCCGCCAATGTGGGAGAAGTTGTCAAGGCCAGGCAGCAGACCCAGGACAAAGGAGATGATCATGTCGGCAAAGATGAACAGGAGATCCTTGACGGGACTCTTGCGGTCGCTCCACGAGTACAGCAGGTCGAGCAGGTTGAGCGCCAGGATGCCAAAGATGGAACCCGAGGCTCCGGTCGAGGCAATCGCGGGCGGCGCAAAGTTGCCGCCCATGACGAAGCCAAAGATGCCAGAGCTCACATAGACAAGGAAGAATCGGATAGACCCGATGACCTGCTCCATCTCCCGTCCCAGGGTCAGCTGCAAGAGCATGTTGAACCCAATGTGGATGATGCCGGCATGCAGGAACATGGGGATGATGAAGCGGTACCACTGGTTCGGGCGTGGATCTTGGTCCTCGTTGCCGTCAAACACGGGATCGGGCACGTCGCCTCCGAAGCCACAGAGGGTCGACAGAGGGCACGTCTCCTCCCAGCTGGTGGCGTTGGGACACAGGAACTTGACCTCGATATCGGAGCCCTGGATCTGGGGCACGATGTGCATGCATGGGGCATAGCGAGCCCCCATGTTGATCATGACCTGCGTCGACGGCCCGATCATGTAGTTGAACTGCGGCTTGATCATAATGGGCGAGCCCGTGAGGATGCCGTTCTGCACAATCTCGCCAATGAACACGGCAATCTGGGCTACGGTGAAGATGTAGACGCACCAGGGGATGCGCTTCTTGTCCGAGGCGATCATGCCCAGCTGGCCCAGCGCGATCTTTTGCTTCCTCTTCTTGCGCCTTCCCGAGCCGTCGGGCGTATCGTACACGTGGTCGTTGAGCATCTCAGGGTCTCCTGGTTTGCCTCCCGCGTGATCTTGGAGCGGAATGTCCTCTGGGTGATTCGGGACACCTCGTCCATGGCCATAGTAGCCCGTGTCTTGCATATAGTAGCCCTGTTGCGACATGTCGCTGTTGCTCGCGGCGGCAGGGTCGTGTCTCGAGTTTATCGGGTAAACATTGTCGTCGAAAACGGTATCGAAAGGCGACGGCCCCGTGCGCGAGGGCTGGTCTGGTGGATACGGTGCGGGCGAAGGAGTCTTGTTGTAGCCGAGCGTGGAAGGCGGCGCGGCGTAGGGGTTCGTGTGGTAGGATGGTGCAGGCGTGCCTGCTTGTGAGTTGGCGTAGCGAGGATCCAGCATGGACACGGGCGAGGGCGACCGTATCGGTGGGAGATGGGACCCTGGCTGCTGCTGAGCGCCAGAGGAGGAGGAGTAGTAGTCTTGGTTGGAGGCCATGACTCTGCACCGCGTCGACTAGAGAATGCCGATGCTGTAGAACAAAGGCGAGGGGGAAATTAAGCCGGCCACTGACACAGCGAATGAATGCGCGTTGCGACTTCAACAGCCCCAGGACGCCTTGAGCGAAAGAGAGGGTCCAGCCTCGGTGGGAAAGGTTACTTGTACGAGGTTGGCTGGCGACTGGAAAAGTCGTATCCTTGTGTTTGTTTGTGTTCGTCCCGCAATTGGATGATGGATGGATCCGACGTGTCAGATGGGCCTTTGCGTGAGCGAGAGTGAGTGCGCCAAGAGGGACTCCGAGGGAGTGAACGGGATGGAATGAGGTAAATCCGAGATGACACGGGCAATTTGGAAAGAATGAGAGGACAAGTCTGTTGACGAGGAGAAGAGCTGAGATGCGAAACAGGGCGAGAGGCCCTCCCACCGGATTACGTATGTCAAGTATGTGGCCTAACGTCAGAAGTGAAGTGATCGCCAGTGGCTTTGGCTTCCCAGCGCCTGCATGCCTACAGTGGCAGTGTTGCCGGACATAAGAAGCCACACTAGACCCCACGTCCAATCGGGGCATTGCTGCTCTATAATTTTGTCGAGACCCCTGTTCTTTTTTTAGGAAACGCTCAGCCCCCATTGTGGTACCAGCTGGCTGCGGTCCAGCACCAGCACATGTGTAGCTGAGACGGCTGAGCTGTCATGGCGCCCAATGTTGATGACTGACACGCCGCAGCTCAGATGCGTGTCGAGCAGCTTGCTGCTGCGCAGCACACGAGATGGAGATGCCTTTGACAGACGGGCGCCTGCTGTTGTGGAGATACGCGGTCCACCACCACAAGGTCATCGCGGTCATGCTGTGTCGCAAGTTGTTCATGCAGTCCGCGTTGGATGATGACGAGTGTATGGCTCACGACTGCGAATGGACCGTGAGAGGCGATGAATTCTGTACTGACTTTACAGTAAAGTACAAGGACATGACTACCTTACCTGAATAGTACTGTACAGAAAGCAAAAGCATCCCCCTCGCCAGAAATGGCAATCACTCCAGGGCCATGGCACGCTTAGCCCCGCGAGCCCCTTTTTATACAAACATCACAATCGACAAAACCGCTAGCGTTACTCAACTATACTTCTACATGTACAATTTAGTATCATATGTCGGCAGCTACTTACTTAGGCAAAGGTGGACTTCCTAGGAAGGATACCGTACGCTATTGGCATCCTGTCCTCATTGAACAATGCTCACCACACTATGTGCAATAGCCTCCTCTTGTCATCCGCCTCTGCCATGCTGTTGCCTGCAGACCTCGTCCCCACCTGCAGGTCAGCGAACTTCGCTCGCAGGTCAAAGTCGATCGACTGGATCGTAAGGCATTTCTCCTCTGATATCGGTCGGTTGCGCGAGGCTGGATAGGCCTCGGGCGGTACGATAGAGCCGCTTTCCACCGCAGACGTTTCAATACTCAGCGGCATCCCCTGCTGCTGCTGCTGCTGCTGCCGCTGCTGGGGCTGGGGCTGCGCCATCTCTGGGTTGTCCGCCTCCTCAAGGTCCATCACCAGCTGGGCGACGCGCGCGGCGAGTTCGCTGTCCCACATGCCCTCCCGTCGGGGACTACTACGCAGCAGCTCGATGGCCTTCCTCCGCAAGATACCCTCGCGGCACTTGGTCGCGACGACGAACAGGGGAGGGACGACGCCCATTTCTGCGCTGAAACTCGGCCTTATGTGATACGCCGTGTAACCCCCTGCCGTAACGTCCGCTGGGTCGTCATATCGCCTGTGCAGACACCGCTGTTGGTAGGCACAGTGTTGTTCCCGTGCCTCCCTCTCATCGTTCGCAATGATCTCTTGCCCAAGGCTCACAATCTGCTGAAACTGGGGCATAAAGACCTCAAAATGGGACTCGTTGCTGTTGAACAGGCACATCATGATGATCTTGATGTTGATCTGCGTCATCTTGAGCGTTGCGATTCCGGACCTTTCTTGCATGGCGAGATGAGGAGAGGATAATCGGGAGTCGAACAATGGCTGGAAGGCGCTGCTCCAGTCGTCAATCTCAGCCTGGAAACCGAGACTGTACTGGCGCCATGAAGCCGGGAAGAGGGGCAAGGGCTGCCGTTTCATCTGGTGCAGTCGCTCTATGAAGCGCAGACCTCGCTCGCAAAGCCAGTCATATGCTAATCGAGCGTCGCGCAGGTTGGTAAGTTGCCTGTCCAGAGGCGGAGCCGATAGAAAGCTTGATGGGCGTTCTGGATAGGGTGCCGAAGAACTCTCCGGAAGAGGCTCCTCGGGGTCCAGGCGGATGACATATGGTTCTTGAAAGTGAAAGGCCAGGTCGTAGGATTTGGCTTGTATAGCGAGTCGGCGAAAAATGGTGACGAGTTCCTCCTCAACACCATAAAATCCCGGATTGTGTTGGCTGGGGCGGTGGAGCTGCAGAGTTGCCAGGAGTCCGAGTCCATTCTGGACCTGGATGATCGCCTGCTTGTGGTCGCCAATGAAGGCGTCGAACGAGCCCAGCAAGACACTAGCCATGAGCCTCGTGCGGTGAGAGCCAGGTGCTTGCCCGTCGAGGAGCATCATGGCGTTGCATGCCTCTGAATACTGCCGTACAGCCACCTGCCAATGGCCCATGACGTTCTCGCCATGTATCGACGAAGACGGCGCCGGGCTGGTCTCGTCTGTGGGTGGTGGTGATTGCCATGATTTCTCGAGTGTCTTGTAGAGTGCCCCGAGTGCTATAGTCGCGTGGCGAATGGCCGGCTCGCTATGGCACTCTTGGAGAACACGCCGGGTCCAGAAGATGGAGTCAAAGTACCCTGACAACTCTGATGCTGTGTGGATTCGGAACAGGTCAAAGTACTGCATCTCAATGCCCTTCAAGGGAATGCTATTGGCCGGCCGGTATACATTGAGTGATGGATTGCCGGCTGGTGATGGCGTGAAACCCGCTGGCGATGTCGAGTTTGCTCCGATGCCTGACTGTGCAGTCTGCTGCCGGCAGTTGGGCCTTCGGGGAGGGAGCCCCCTTTCACGCGCCAGGAATGCTGGTCCCGCGGTGCTCGCCAGTTTAAGTGCTGCGGCTGCAACCGCGGGCTTCGACGCTATACGAAGCTCGGCGTATGGTACGGCATGGCGTGGAGGTGGAGGATAGCCAGTACAGTCCTTGTGGCTGCGAGCACATTGGGTGCATGCCGGACGCTTCTCGTCACACTTGATTCTCCTTTGCCTGTTCGCTCGAATGTGAGCGAAGGTCTCCCAGTACGGTTGGACAAGAATTGTTTCCTTACTTGCAGTTGGCGCAGCCCGTCTTGACCTTTGGCCGGCTCTGGCGTCCACGTTTCTGCTTGGGCGCGTCGTCGCACATTGATGGGATGGTGCTGGCTGATCCTCGACGGCGTCAGTTGAGAGCAGACTCAGCAGCAGAGGCCCGTGGGATAACTACACGCAATACGATTTCATCCTCATGCCAGACCGCCAGAAGATCTGCCTGCCACGGTCTGTTCGTGTGCCATGCAGTCACCGATCCCCTTCTTTTTAGTCTCGCTTGTTGGTGGGTGAAGTCTGCACAAGATCCCTGTCTGCTCGAGGCGAGCGGCTGAAAGTCGCAGTGACATCTGGAATCGAACAAGTGCCTGCGCCTCAGCGCGGTGACCTGCCGGGGAAGGGGTGTTGGTTGATGAGCCGCTTCGGGGCAAAGCCAGCGGGCTGAGGCCACGACGGCGGGCAGTATCGCTTACTGAACATCAACTACAGCTCCAGATCAAGCGACTGGGATGTTGGTCGGTCGTCCTTCGAGGCGGACAACTTGGCGGGCGCTACTTTGATTTTTTCAGGCAGCACTCACCCATAACTTGAACCGCCTAGAGGCAGGTGCCTTGGATATACTGGCCTATCACAGTACGGTGGTCGACTTAGGGATAGAGTACTGGTCCTCGACAAACATACTAGACACCTCGAGTACTCCGTACTGGATTCATTAATATGGTCCGGCCTGGTCTGGAATCAGAATTGACACTCTCGATGGCATCCGAACCCGGGCCCTCTTCATCTGGAGCCGGGCCGCGGCCAAGGTGGATACCGCACTCCGGAGCCCGATGTGTGCATTGCATATCGACGATTGGGAACAGTGGGAAGGATTGGCGGCCGACCCGGACGATACTCATGGTTTTGGACCTTGGTAGAGGCTCCAGCAGTTCGGATATTTCCAAAAGCAGCTCTGCGTGACGGCCACTTCTGAACGCTGGAAGATACCTGGCACTTCTCACGCACGTTGCCAGCTGCTTCTGGTAGCAAGCTCACCCACTTACCCTGCATCTGCCATCTGAACGGATACGTATGCGCTTCGCGTTGCTTGCAGGTCGCTGTAATCCTCCAGAGAGCATCCCTGGCAGTGCTAAGGGCATAACAATAAAGGGATTATTTGCTTTTGCAACAATGGCCTGACTGACGTTCAAAATACGTGAGCCAGCAATCATCGTGGAGTATTGACCACCAAAAGCCACTTACATGTAAATGTGTACTTCGGCGGTGCAACATCTTCTGACACGTGTAAATAAAAAAAACTCGGTATCGAGTTCGCAATGTAAGCAGCTTTAAATTGAAAAACTTGTAGTAATTTCATTGTCGTAGGAGTGTTCGTGCTTTATACATGCAACGCGTCCTGGCACGACGCCTTCGGACCCTGGTAGAAAAAAAGTCCCTTACCAAACCTTGCAGGGTCGATGTCGTCAACTGCATCACGACCACCATCAAAATATCCAGCCCAAACGACGACATCACAAACAACCGCAATCACTACTACTAAGTCGAAAGCATCCCACAATCCAGTAAAAACTCCCCAAAATGCCCGTCGTCGACCATCCGTTGCCTCCCTCCGAGGGCACGGAAAAGTTCCTCAAGAACGCCGCCATCGCAGGCGCCATCATCTGCCCGGCCGCCATGCTCCTCCCACCCCGCAAGGTCGACCTCCGCTTCTTCATCCTCTTCACCGGCTTCTCGCTCTCCACCAACCACCTCGCGAGCGTGTACACGGGCGAGTCCTTTTACGGTCGCTTCCAGCGACGCGCCAACGCCATGACCGACAGCATGTCGGGTCTGCCCAAGGAGGCGAGGGAGACGCAGCGCATCTTGCGGGAACACAAGGAGCAGCTGGCGCGAGAGAAGGGAGAGGCAGCAGCGGCGGCGGCGGCGGCGGCGCAGGAGCATAAGGACGGCGGTATCCGGAAGGTTGTGGAGGATGTGTGGATGGGCGGCGAGGGCAAGGATTGGCAGAAGAAGAGGCTGGAAGAGCATGAGCAGAAGCTGGCAGAGGGCAAGGGTATGACGGGTATTATCATGGACCAGATCGCCGAGGTCTGGAGTGGGAATTGGAGGCCGGACTCGGGCAAGAAGGAGGGCAGCGAGAATGACAACAAGTCCGAGGGGAAGAAATGATGGGGAACGTCCATGTCGCATTGCGTTGTACGAGTTCTGTATCATACGGTGTCTGTATATAAGAGGATGGGTAATGTCATTTTGGGTATCATGACGCGGGCTATGCTATGAACCCGACCATGTGCTATGTTATACAAGGTCGTACAGTTACAGAGGTGGCAGCTCCTCACGACATATCGGGCACTGCAACCTGAACCGCATCCATCCTTCAAGGCATGCGGTGTGGAATATATGCCGGCACGGGGTCACCATGTATAGCCTTCTTGCGAGCGCCCCGGCCACTCCGCTGGCCTCGTTCCCAGACTTGATGACCGGCACTTCCAGGTGTTCCCTGCAGATGGAGCAATCAATCGTCCGGGTGTTGTGGTTCTTCGTTGTCTCCTCACTGTCGGCAAGACCTGGATGGTCATCCATGACCAGGCCAATGGGGAGACCGCCGGCCTCGAGGCTGTCTTCGCGGAGGATTGGGTGGTAGTCCCAGGCATCCGGCGTCCAGCTTACGGGCACGCCAAAGCGAGGGCCGACAATGTCCTGGGCTGCTAGGATCACAATCTGCACCCAGAGCCAGGTGCACATCACCAGGAACGCTCGGGGCTCGGGCGACGCGTAGAGGAAGTTATCCTCCTTAACCCAGAAGTAGGCCAGAGGAAGCAGCCGCAGGACAGACTGCCCCACAACAAACTCCCACTTGAGCGCACGGCGACAATTGCGCATCGTATTGCGGTAGATTTGTGGTACCCATAGCGACAGGTATATGGAGCCCAGTGCATTGAGGAAGCCTGATCGCCACGATGGATTCCACGTGGTGGAGGAGATGATCAGGAAGCTGATGGTCAGGCTGAGTAGGATAAAGCGCCCAACTATACTCTGAAAGGACTGAACAGGAGCGCGCGCCTCTGCACGCGGCTGATTCGTACCGACAAGAGGAACAGCTGCCGCGCCTTCAGCAATCTCAGCATCAATGTCCTGGTCAGAAGGGATAATGACCGGGTCCGGGACAGCGTTGGCGGGGCGGCCAGCCGTCACAGGAGCCGGCAAAAGGGACTCAGCACCGCCCTGTTGAGCCCCAGTAGGCGCCATTGCTGGCTGCGCATCCGCTGTCGCATCGTTCGCTCCAGAGGCGCCATTGACCTGCTGGTTCCTATCTCGACGATCGCGGCCTTCCGGGAGCTGGACATCGTGAATGTTGCCGAGAAAGGCACCTCCCACTGTCATGGATAGGAAGCTGGAGAACATGAGGACCAGAGTAGGCAGAAACGTCGACGCTGCAGATGACACCCATGTAGCAGCCGCTGTGAATGTCATGCCGTCAACGAGCAGCATCATGCCCATAGTCGAGAAGCTCACACGTGCCATTGTTGATGGTGTCGACGACTCGACCCGTTGCCGCCTCAAAAGCCAGACCTGCAGGGAAACGACCAGGGCGAAGACAAGAAGCCACTTTTTGACCTGTTGCAGGTGAATCTCCTTCTTCAACCCCAAAAGATGGTGTGTCTGCCCCGGGGGAAAGTCTGGTGGCCCTTTCGTCTCGAGGAAGACCCCACAGTCGGGTGAGTAGATGACGGCAGACATTTGCATGTCAGGTATTGATCTGAGGGGAGCTCCCACTGGCGTTTCAAGCTCAGACTCGACCGCATGAATCATATTCGCAAGCGCCTCTCTCTCCGACTCGGGCTTCGTCAAGCTCACGCTCTGTCGCGTAGGAGGTTGCAGCTGCCCGTACATGACAAATTCGCAATGAGGATAGGGATACTTTGTGTACATTGAGTTGTCCACGTCGGAGCTCCATGGCTGGTTTGGATCGACGTAAATGTCCCTCTCCTTCGTCTTCAGTGTGCGCGCCAGCGTCTCGTTCAACAGCATCTGGCTCGAACGGAAATAATCCGCTCCGGGTGTCAAGTGCGGTAACCCAAATAGACCTTCGAATTTCTCGCTCGTAGTCGTCAACATGATGACGCCTTTGCGCGGCCAGTGAGCTCCCCAGAGTCGCATCTCCCAGTTATGGTGCGAGCCGTGGGTATCTTCAATCTGCACGTTGGCCTTGATGCTTCTGACGGAGCCCCCGCCCAAAGGTGCCTCGTCCACCGAAAGCTGCTCGTACTCAAGGTCTGTTGCGTTGCCCTCGAGCATGACGACCACTCTGCCTTGCCTGCCTGTCATGTTGCGCGCCCAAGGCGCATCATCCCCAACCCAGTGGATGTCCGGCGTACTGGCGCTCAGATTGTGACTCGCGTAGCTTCGTGGCGCAATGGCTTCCGTATTAAGCCACTCCCCATGCAATGTGCCTGACGCGTTGGTCCAAACCGGCAGCGCTTTGGCGGAATCCCATAGTTGCTCTTCGCCCTCAGCAGAGAAGGCATACCGGCTAAAGTCTACTGATCTCCGACGAAAATGATCAAGACCATCCCAGGAGAAACCGTCCTCTTGCCGAAAGCCCGTCAGGTTCACCCACTTGGCCTGCTCCTTTGTCGGCGCAAAGTCACCCCATCTGGTGTCGCCGAGCACGTGCAGAGCTGTCCAGAACCGTTGTATTCGTTCGCCGGCTAGGTCTGACAGAAGAAACGTCTCAGCGCTTCTTTCGGTATCGGGGAATATCATCCATATCATCAATATGAAGATGAAGAAGCCGGCCGTGTTCTGGGGTTGACGAGACATGATGGCTGGCTGACTCGGTTGCGTCAGCGACGCTGACTATGAATGCGTCATACTATGTTCCGGGACGAAGCGTAGCGCAGGCAGGAGTCGAGCAATTGTCTTATGGATTCGCACGGCACTCGAGGAATAGCGCGAAAGTCGGTTGCACAGTTGATGAACAGGAGTGCGTTGATGTCGAGTCCTAGATTGGGGTCGGCTCCTACAGTCGTCATGTTGGAGAAGACGTATCTCGCTGCCGTGCCTAATCGTGGGGGCGCGTCCCACTTGTTCTCGACGCGGCACATCCAAGCTCAATCAAACAGCTAAGGAGATATATCCCTGGACGACAGTACTATCGAAGTCTCACCCGTATCTGACGGCACACACCAAACATCTTTTGCCTGAACATCAAGTGCATCGAGACACACCATGTCAGACCAGCAGCCCAGTGAGGCGCCCAAACAGGCAAACGTAGGAACATACCACCCTTGAGCCAAGCTTCACTTACACATGCTGACTTGTTGAGAATCACAGGAGCAACAAGAAGAAGTCCGCCCTGATGTGACGGCCGCTGTGGATGAGCTGCTCAACACTCTGTCTACCAAATTCGCCGCAGTTTCCTCTGAGATCTTTGCCAAGAGTTAGTTTACAGCAAGCCGTACATCCTTGTCGTTCATGCCGTTGCTCACACATATTACCCGCAGTGGATGATATGGCCAAACGTATTGACAAACTCGAGACTGAACTGATGGAGAGCAAGGCGAAGGAAGCTCAAGGGAGCCCTTCTAAATCATGATATCGTCCAGAGAACGCAAGGCACGGCATGACAAAGGGTACACATAGTGAATCACGGCCTGCATCAAGTCTTTTTTTGATCAATTTGAATATTGATTTCATTCGCCTTTTCGTATATTCATCCGACCGTCGTGATGTCTTTCATGTCTTTCATGTCTTTCCTTGTATGTAACCTTGAATCCACTACAGCTCATCCTTGATTTCCTCCACCTTCTCCTGGACCTTCTCAGCGAGCTGCGCCATGAACTTACGCAGCACGTTGACCTTGCTCTGAATCTCGTCACGCTTAGCAGGGGCCAGACCACCCTGGGCGAGGATGCCATCGAGGCGAGCTAGCTCCTTGGCAACGTACGTATCGCTCTCGCCTAGCTTGGTGAAAACGCGAACGTAGTACTCGGCGTACTTGTACTGCGCAGTCTCCTTGAGCTTCTCGGCCTCGGCGGTGACCTCAGTGGAGATCTCGGCAATGTTAGAGCCGGTCAGCTTGAGGATCACTGCATCCAGGGCATCGATAGTGCCGGCAGTGACGTTAAGGGAACCGCCGGGAAGACGGTGGGTGCCAGCCTTCTCGTTGACAAAGGTGAGCAAGTCCTCCTCAGAACGGCCGCCTGTGTACTTGATGCCCTCCTTGCTGCCGGGAGCGAAGTATAGGATGGTGGGGTACCCGCTGACACCGTGAGCCTTGGCAGTGGCCTTGCCCGTGGGAGAGTCCGCGTCGACCTTGGCGATCAGAACGCTGGAGTCGCTGGAGAAGTCGGTAGCAACAGTTTCCCAAGTTGGAGCGAGCTTCTTGCAGTCTGACATGCTGTTAGCTAAGAGCTTGGCGAATACGATCACCAGCATATGACTTACGGCCGCACCAGGGTGCAGTGAAGGCCACCATGGCGTGCTTGTCCTGACCAACAGCAGCATCAAAGGTATCGTCGGTCAGCAGGGTGAGGTCGCTGGGCAACTCCTGCTTCTTCTTGGACTTGATACCAGTCTTGTCCTCAATGAAGGCGGTCAAAGATTCAAGATCCCTGCCAGACTTGTATTCCTCGGGCTTATCGCTCTTTCCGTCAAAGTACTTCAGAGTAGGGAATCCCTGGATACCGAATCGCTTGCCCAACTCGCGGTTCGCATCCGCGTCGACCTTGGCGATCTGGATCTTGTCCTTGGCATTCTCGTACGTGACAGCAAGATCTTCCCAGATGGGGGCGAGCTTCTTGCAGTGACCGCACCACGGTGCGAAGAATTCGACAAGCGTGGGCTTGCCGGACTTGAGGACGACGTCGTCAAAGTTCGAAGGGATGAGGTCGATGACCTGTGAGCGGGCGGCTGCTGTGGCAGCGAGAGCGCTGAAGAAGAAGCGCTTCAACAACATTGTAGAGGATGGAGCTGTGTTTAGGAACAGCAGCTGGAAGAGTGGAGGGAAAATGGGATGGGAGAAATGACTGAAATGCTCAAAGTCGCTTTGAAATCAGCAAGCAGCAGCAGTCCCGGTCCGGAGCTTGAGGCGAGTTCTCCGCAGAGCTACAGGCACGTAGGGGTGGCGGGGCGGCTTGGCGGTGAGACCCTTTGGAATGAATTGATCACGGCATGAGAACATTGAAGTACGGCACAACGTTGGAATTCAGCTACCTTATCGATCATCGTTCAGAGTCAAGTATGATAGAGCCGTCAGCAAATAAGGGTCTTTACCAAAAAAAAATCGCACATAAGAAATTAGAGGGCGGGTTAGTGGAATTAAACAATCCCACGTTGAGCCAGCGTCACCGAGACCTCCAAATTGTCAAGTGTGGCTGGCGGATGTCTGTGGCTGAGGAGTGCGTGGCATTGGCGTACCTTACCTTCAGGTAGAGATAGCAGTCACGTGCAGCTGCGCACACTGGTGGGGCGACACACGGGGTTGGCCAACCCTTCAGTCCGGATTGGCTGCACTGCAGACACCACGAAATTCACACAAAATTTCCCGCGCCTGGCCCTTTGCGAATCCCTCCACCCCAACGCCCAACGCTCGACGACGACACTTCCGCCGGTTCTTCACCCCGAACGAACAACACAAACCGCCATCATGTCTCACGAGAGTGTCTGGAACTCGCGCCCGCGCACCTACGGCAAGGGCTCTCGCGCCTGGTACGATTTCCCCCCCTCCCCAATGGTCCGAATCGATGGATGGATGGATGGATGGATTGCGATCTGGGACGATGGTTCTAAATGGGGGCTGACATTTCGATTTCTAGCCGCGTCTGCAAGCACAAGGCCGGTCTCGTCCGCAAGTACGACCTCAACCTGTGCCGTCAGTGCTTCCGCGAGAAGGCCAAGGACATTGGCTTCACCAAGGTACATATATCACGGGGAAACAACGCACCACCAACGAATCGAGTCACTGACCTCATCGTCACTACAGTTCCGCTAAACGACCGAAACGAAATCTGCAGAGGAGGAATACCGGGGGTGGATATTCAACGGCGGGAAAAGTCGCGATGGAACGGAAAGCCACGCGCACAAGCATTCTGGGCTTCGGATTAAGGAGTTACTTGGCTTGCTGGACTTGAGAAGTCGCGTTTCACACAGCATCTCTCTGGAGGTGATAGACGAATCCTATGGCATTGGAACACTACAACACAACGACAGTGGCGATTGAAGTGATGCGTGCACCCTTGATTTTCATTCGAGACCAGTGTGACAGCGGAGGCATCTCTCGCAGGGCAATCACACCGAACATGTCGAACTACTACTTCACACTGCGACAGCATGTCGGCCAACAGTGCGCCGGCTACAGCCTATCGTGCATCGGTCTACCATCGGCAAATCCACTGTGACCAAGACTCGTAAGACATTTCTGAACTTGAGCGGGAAAGTGATTGTGCATTTGTACATGATTTTGATATCATACAGCCTCTATCATCATACATATCCGCCAGGCCCTATATTAGTACAACTACCTCCCCATCATTGCTTGCTTATTTCAGGATGCGCGTAACCAAGCCAGTGGCAACTGTGCGACCGCCCTCACGGACGTTGAAGCGCTGACCAACCTCAATAGCGTTGGGGTAAGTCAGAGTAGCAACCATCTCGACGTTGTCACCGGGCATGACCATCTTGTGGCGAGCGTCCTCGACGCCCTCGGGCCAGGTGAGGTCAACAGCCTCGTCCGATGTGCGGAGGTACAGCTGGGGGCGGTAGTGCTCGTGGAAGCCGCTGTGGCGACCACCCTCCTCCTTGGTGAGGACGTAGAGGGATGTCAGGAACTGGCTGTGGGCCTTGACGGTACCGGGCTTGGAGACGACCATACCACGCTTGATGTCCTCGCGGCGGATACCACGCAGCAGGAGACCAGAGTTGTCACCAGCCTGCGACTGGTCGCACGACTTCTTGAAGGTCTCAATGTCTGTGCACTTGGTGCGGATGACCTCACCACCCTTGCCGACAATCTCGACCTCCTCCTCACGCTTGAGGACACCACGCTCGACACGGCCTGAGACGACGGTACCACGGCCAGAGATGGAGAAGACGTCCTCGACAGCCATCAGGAAAGGCTTGGCCATGTCACGCTGGGGGGTGGGGATCCACTCATCGACAGCCTTGAGGAGCTCGTCGATCTTGTCGGCACCAATCTCGGGCTTCTGGTTCTGCATGGCCATGAGCGCAGAGCCCATGATGACGGGGGTCTCGTCGCCCTCGAAGCCATAGGTGGTCAGGAGCTCACGCATCTCCATCTCGACGAGCTCCAACATCTCGGGGTCGTCGACGGCGTCGACCTTGTTGACGAAGACGACAATCTTCTGGACACCGACCTGACGGGCGAGCAGCAAGTGCTCACGGGTCTGGGGCATCTGGCCATCAGAGGCGGCGACGACGATGATCGCACCGTCCATGTTGGCAGCACCGGTGATCATGTTCTTGATGTAATCGGCGTGACCAGGGCAGTCGACGTGGGAGTAGTGGCGGTTCTCGGTCGAGTACTCGATGTGGGCAGTCGAAATGGTGATACCACGGGCACGCTCTTCAGGAGCCTTGTCGATGGCGCCATACTCGAGGAAGTTGGCAAAGCCCTTCTCGGCCTGGCGCTTGGTGATGGCTGCGGACAGAGTAGTCTATACCCCCATGTGAGTCTCTTGTATTCAACAGTAGCTTCCGGTCAATTTGTGGATTCTACCTTGCCGTGATCGACGTGACCAATGGTACCAATGTTCACATGGGGCTTTGATCGCTCGTAGGTGGCGTATGTGCGGTAGACGTGGCTCAGACCCGCGGTCGACTGAGTCCTCAAGGCCGACTGAAGGGGGCTGCTGGTCTTGAGGCCATGGCGCGCGGTGCGCAAGAATGGGGCGATCGATCGGAAGGCGGTCGACATTTTTGTGACGAGAGACAGAAATCCAGAATTACAAGAAAATAAAAAGGTCTAGAAGAACAGAGATGGAGAGAGAACGGAGTGACCGGGGGGAGGGTGACGCAAGTCAAGTCAAGTCGAGATGATGCCGCCAAAATTTTCAGAGTTCATCGTCGACTGGCGTTGAAGCTGGTTCCGCGCAGGGGGTCGAGTCGCCGGAGCAATGTGCCAGGTCACGTGAGCACGCGAATGATCATGTCGATGCCAAGTCCAATCGACCAGGTAAGGTACCACACATTACACTGGATGTAATGGAGCAAGACATTGCAGTTGTCTACATCATCATACAGCGGCAGCAGTATAATGCATTGTGGTTTTTGCTGCTGGGCTCAGGCTATGAGGGACTATTCGTTAACATGAACTCGGACAACGGCACTGCGTCCTTCGAACAGTCCACTTTCGGCCAAATCCATCAATCAGAGATGAGCCGAATATTTCATTCCTAATACGCGATTCGCCCTCGCGTTTGTTCCGGCCCTTCCAATTCACTCAACGACAGATATATAATATTTTGCGCTGCATCCTTTTCAACGGACGTACCTGGATTCCTATTAACGCATTTTCGGACTCTCTGGAAAAGCCATCAACCACCTCTCACGCTACGTGAACCTTGACTCTGTATCACCTCCTACACTATCACCGTCACCAAAATGTCCAGCCACGAGGACGAGCCGCCGGTTGGCCAAACTGAGCTGAACGACTTTGGCAAGCTCACCTATCAGTTTCTCAAGTTCGGTCAGAATGCCAGTAGCAACGTGTCCAATGCGTTCAACGACATGACTATCCATCAGTGGCTACGTCTCGTCGTCATTGTGGGCGCCTACCTGCTCCTCCGCCCCTATGTCACCACATATCTCGGCAAGAGGCAAGTCGAGAGCATGGAGAAGCAGGACAAGGCGGAAAAGGAAAAGGCCAAGATCTCACCCAACCAGCTTCGCGGGGAAAAGGCCGGGCCTTATGAGGAGGAGGAGCACGACGACGACGACGAGGGCGCTGAAGCCACGGGCGTGTCTGGTTGGGGCGCCAAGGCGAGGACGAGGCAGCGTGTCATGCTGAAGAAGATGCTCGAGGCTGAGGAGAAGAGGCGGTGGGAGGAGGAGGAGGACGAAGACATTGCCGATCTTTTGGAAGATTAAGGAGGGACAACGTCACGTCGAAGAGGGCAGCAGGCGCATTTGCCATGTGTCCGCTAGGGCCTAGACAAAGGTTGACAGTGTTGATGGTGGGCGTTGGTACCAGTAAGCTATCAAGGGTTGTCACACAAGGCGCAGGGCTGAAGGGTCTGCGCTGGCGTTCAAGGGGTACCTTAATCTTGGTGGGCTGGAAAGTATATTACCCAGGTCTCGACACTGAGGCGCTCACCTTCAAAGTAATGGATATAGAAGTGGCGTCTGAATGTATTACATTCCTCACAGTCACGCCAGCCGCCCTTGGAAGCCATGTCCACGCCCTTGTGTGTATCTTTGGCGCGTGAGCTTTGTAGGGTTAGTTGATGTTCACAAGCACCAGTGGGCTGCTGGCGATGACAGTCGGCATCGCCGCAATCACATTGTCGACCAGTGTACTGGTCCGCTGTTCGTCGGTCGACCGGTCGACAAAACATGCCTGCTGATCCTAGTCTAAGCCATGGAACATGTGCATCAAACAGGCGCGCGGCAGCTACTACTGTGCGACAGACACGTGGACAAGGGTGCACCACAAGAAGGGAATCATCTTGGCCTACACTTTGACCGGGCGGGTGGTCAACTTGAGGTATACGTAGTACGTTCGTTACTTGCACCAGTACCTTGGAGGAGGCATAATTATATCAACAAGTATAGGTACGTCGTCGCGGCGACTGCAACTGGGCGTGTTCGTGAGGCCGGTGAAGGAGGGCGGGGCCCGACAGGCCAAGCCAAGTCCATGCAGTCGGGCGTCAACAAGGCTGGAACGTCATCGGCCCTCCATGACAGACAATTGAGTTAGTGGCCCGGTATCCGGACATGGGCGTTGGGTGCCATCAAGAGGGCTCCAGTCGGCCGTTGGTGGCTCGCATTGTTGATCAATGCACGTAATTGGGGCTGTCTTTGCTTGTCTGACATTCCGCTGCTTCTCGAAACATCCTCGCCCTTGACACAGGCTTTCTGTTGGATGAATTGCGACGCCAGCATCGTTTCCTTCTGCCGACACATCCTCCCACATCCTTGATTGTTTGCCTGCAATTGCTTGGTACCCCTCGCCTTATCCTCCAACTAACCCCCCCCCTCCTGGGTGTCTGCTGTGCTGGTCCACGCCATCCGCAGCAGCACAATCAATCATTCGAGGCGACAGGCCTTTGCAGAAGCTCATCCACGCGCTTTGCCATCCGGTGGAGGACACAACTCTATCGCAGGCCTTCTGCAGACGACTCGACGCTGTAGCCGTGGCGGGCGATCATCATGCTGGAACCCGTCCCGACGATAACATTTTGCGGTGCACCATGAGTGATCAACTCGACCTTCAGGCCGTTCTGCAGAATGGCTACTTCAAAACATCGCGAGCAAAGCCTGCGCAACAGTATGCGGTCCTCCCCACCCTGCAGACCAGAGCAACGCACTCACCAACAACAGCGGGCAATCTCCAACCCTGACATCGCAATCAGACAGCTCCCCACCGCCGCTCGACTTTGTGCTTGTGGACGACTCTTCTCGCACCGAGCAAGAACGAGCATTGGCACTGGCCGATCCGCGACCACCACGCACGCGACCACCACCGCCGCCGACATGCGAAGACGAGGCAGAGGCGCTGGCCAAGGAGTTTGGGTCCCTGTGCACCGACACATCGGCAGACGAACCTCCGTCACGGGGCGACTTTGAGCAACACCCGATCCTGCTCGAGGTGCACGAGCACAATCCCGAGCGCCGCTTCGTGCTCGTTCCTGACTCGCCTGAACCTAGTGCGCCGGCGGAGAGCCAGAACAAAGACGAAGGATCAGACACAGAGAGGCGTCGCAAGATCCAGTCCGATAGCGAGCAGCCACGCTACCCACACGTTGATCGCAAGTATGAGCCTGTCTTTGAAGAGAAGCTCACGGCAGAGCCACGACCTGCCAATCCTCGTAGAAGGAGCAGGCAGGATCTGCCAGCGTTGGATACGGCGTACCGGAAAGAACGTACAAAGTCTGCCGTTGGTCCTCGGCCAGAGGCCTTTTCTGCAAGGCCCGGGGTGTCTCATAAGGAGGACTTGTTAACGCCGGACTCGGTGAGGAATGGCTCCAGCCGAAGCGACAGGGTCTACTACGAGACTGCATCGTCAACTACGGGACCGCGGCGCATGGCTCACCAGAAGAGCTTCACCAACCTGACAGATGACCGGAGAAGAGACAGGCCACAGCGACGCGAAAGCCTGAGCCCAGCTCGTGGCATGCGCTCGGAATCAAACCCCGATCCTAGGAAGTCAAGACGCAAGGTGTCTGTCGACCGAAGCGAACCAAGGTACAGAGACGAGCCGCTGGGAGCCCGCGGCAGCAGGCGGGAGAGCCAGCTGCCCCCAAGACGACCTGAGGAACCGACCCCCGTGTCAGCATCCTCGCAAAGGCCGAGGGGACCCAGGCCACGGCAGGAAGGCAGCCGATCGAGCGACGAGAAAGAGGCAAGCTCGGCACGTACCTCGACTCGTCCGCGCCGCAAGTCGACATCGGTGCACCAGGATAGTGAACCGCGGCATGTCTCCGAAAAGGAACGAGCACGCTGGGTCGATGATCGATCTCGCTCACGAGATCTCTCTGCGACAACCCAGACCACGCCCATCGTGGGTGCTCGCGAACCTTCTATGCACCCAAGGGCTTCTGCAACGTTCCCCATTGCGGGCGACTTTCATCGCTCGTACCCGGATGATCTCGCTTCGGGAAGACCACCTCGCGTACCACCGCATGCTAGCCAACCAGCACCATCCACTTCCACGCCCGCTGTGCCTTTACCAGCGTCGGTACCAATGGAAAGCAGTTTCCACAGCACAGCCTCGGGCACGCAGGGTTCTGCTAATTCCAATATGTGGCCCCCTCAAGCATTTGATCCCGATCGGGACGGGCTACCGACAGACAGGCAGCCAGTGAGCAAAGACATCGGTTCCTACCGACGCTATTCCGAAGGACACGCCCTGGACGGCGTGCCTCAATTTCCGGAATGTCCTCGTAAGCAGCCCGTTGCAGGCAAAATGGATTGGCTCACGCTCCCGCACTCAGACCTCAACGTATGCCCAGATTGCTACCAGGCTGTATTCGCGAACACTGAATTCCGCACGCAATTCCAACCCATGCTGCGGCCGACAGACCGGCCCTTGGCGTGTGACTTCGGTTCGTCGCCTTGGTATCGCATCGCGTACCTGCTCACGCTGAAGAACGAGCACCCGGACCTGAGGCTGTTGCACCAGGTGGATAACGTTGCTGCTGCGTCACGCAACCAGCCGTGTCCTGGAAGCCGCAAGGCGCACAGGAACTGGTTCACCGTAAGGGACCCGTACAAGCGACGCACCGTCCCGAACTTCACCGTCTGCTACCAATGCGCGAAGATGGTGGAGGTACTTCTTCCCAACCTCATGGGGACGCTTGTGCCCGACGCACGCCCCGAGCCCCCTCCTAGTGTGTGCGCGTTGCATTTCAAACCACAGCGTCGACGATTTGCTCTATACTTTGATATTTTTGAAACAACTGCAGACAGGGCCGTGAGGAACAATGAGCCGCCCGACGTCAGCGCCCTCGCGTCCAAGATCGAGCGGCTAAGTGCAGTCGAGGAGTGCCGCGAAGATACCCCGATACCGAACGCGTACTGGCACACGATGCAGTACTTGCCGGAGCTCACCGTCTGCAGCGACTGCTTTAATGAGGTGGTGCGGCCGAGGATCAGCACCGATCTCCTGGCGCGCAATTTTTACAAGGACCCGCAACGACTCCAGCTGGCCACCTGTCAGCTGTACTCGGAGAGAATGAGAGAGATCTTCAGCAAGGCCTGTCGGCGCAACGACTCCAAGTATCTACGCGCCAAGGTCATTGAGCGAATGCAGGTGGAGATGGATATACACGCCCAGTTGGTGAAGCTTGACAGAGGGGGGCACGATGACGCGTATACAGAGGAACAAGTGGCAAGGCTGATCAGCGAATGGAAGACATGGGAATGACGGACATGACTGATGAAATTGGAGTACAGCGTTCGATGACAGCGTTTCCCGAATAGTACAGGATGAGCTTGATCTGATTTGCGTGAGTGGTTTCCCTGAGTGAATTGGCGAGGTACAGGCGCACAACGATATCTTCACTCATGGCGCGCGCTGGATGGTGGCGGTGTTGGTATACACCAGTCTATCATTTTTTACTTTGTCTTTTGTCCCCTTTTTGTCCTATCTGCTGCAGGTTGGTCGCCGCGCGCTTACGAGATGGTCTTCTCAATCATCTCCACACCGTACTTCTCCCTCAACTCCTTGATGAGGGGCTCGCAGATGTCCATCGACATGGGCGCCAGGATACCCTCCTCTGACAATGTGCCGTTCAGGACCTGCTGGACGGCCACCGCGCAGGGGATACCGACGAGCTTGGCCATGGCCGAGTAGCCCTTGGGGTCACCGTACTCGACGAGCGTCGCGGTGCGCCACTCCTCGGAGCCGTCGGCGTTCTCAATACCAAACTTGTGCTGCAGCATGACCATGTCACGCTCACCCTCGGCGTACTGCATCTTCTTCTCGAGCGAGCCGCAGAGGACGTCGAGAGGGGTGCCGCGAGGCTCAATCTTCTCGTCGGAGAAGAGGCCGATCCAGCGGAGACCGCGTAGGATGCGCTGCTTCTCCTCCTCGGACGCGAACTTGCCCTTGGAGACAATGGCCGCCTCGAGGTCCGCGGCGCTGCTGGACTTGGCGCCAACAACGTGGGCGGTGGCGTCCTTCCAGGCAATGGGCTGCTTCAGGACGTCGCTGGGCGTCTCGCTCAGGAAGCCAATGTCGACAATGACCTTGGCGAACTGGGGGAAACCCTGGTAGCGCATGGAGCCGCGGGTGATGTTGTCGGCCTCGGGGATGTTGTAGCGCTGCTTGTAGGGGGTCGAGTCACGGTTGGGGTAGGCGACGAAGGCGTAGCCGGGGTAGATGAAGTAGGGCTTGGCCGAGTCCATGAGATCCTCCGAGGCGATCTCGACAATCTTGCCATTCTCCCACACCTTGGCGGCGTTGCGGAGGGCGAGCAGGACGCCGCGTGCCGACCAGGAGAACTTGTAGCCGAGAGGGTTGTCAGAGTCCTCGGGGGCGGGAAGACCACCGCAGTAGGAGAGGAAGGTCTTGATCTTGCCGCCCGCGCGGTGGACCTCGTCAATGGTCTTGACAGCATCTGTCTACGGCGTTAGCGTGCTTCAGCAGGCATTGATGGAGGGATGGATGGGTACATGGCACGTACACAAGTGGTCGATACCGGGGTCCATGCCAATCTCGTTCATGACGGTGATACCAGCCTCCTTGGCAGCCGCGTCGAGCTCCATCATGGCGGGCGAGATGTAGCTGGTGGTGACGACATGCTTCTTGTTGCGGATGCCCGACTTGATCACCAGGGCGTGGAAGGTGTAGGGGATCAAGCTGATGACCAGGTCGTGCTTGGCGACCTCGGCATCCAGAGCCTTCTCGTCCGAGACGTCGAGCGAGATGGGCGTGGCCAGCTTAACGCCAGCGGACAGTTCCTGGGCACTCTTGAGGGTTCGGCAGGCGACGGTGACGGGGATGCCAGCTTCAGCGAGGACGTCGAGCGTGGGGCGGGTGACGAAGCCCGCACCGAGCATAAGAACAGAACTGCCGCCATTGTCAGATACAATGCCATTGGTCTGTTTGCAATTGGAATGCAGCTTACTGTTGAGCCATGGTTGCTGTGAATTGTGCAGTTGTGTGGTGATGCTTCAATTCAAGTCCCAACTTTAGAATTTCAGCCCGTCACGTCAGAACTTGGAGGCGGGGTGGCCATTAGCTGCCGACATCGCTTGGAGGGGCAGCCGGTGAAAGGTCGGCACCGCACAGTGATTGAAGCACAGTACGAACTGTGCGGGAGACATGGAGGTCACGTGCCGGCGCCGCAGGGCTCCCACTCCACTCTCAGCGGCGGGCCAGTGCTTCTTAGGGCGCCCACCAAATCAAACAGCCACGCAGCGAAAATTCCTTGGTGTGAAATTTATCGTGGCCCGCCAAACGTCAAACCTTGAATCCCCCCCGACATCCCCAAACCAACGCCGCATCACGACCGAGGTACGCACGCCCTCTTTCCTGTCGACAAGCGACGCAGAAGGACTCCATCGAACGGAATACTGACTCTGCTTCGAATAGGTCCAAGTCCCACCGTCACAATGGCTTCGCGACCTACCGTCTCCATCATCGGCAAAGATGGTGCTGCCACTGGCAACACCCACCCCATGCCCGCTGTCTTCAGCAGCCCCATCCGCCCGGACATTGTCCAGGAGGTGCACAAGGGCATGGCCAAGAACAAGCGTCAGCCCTACGCCGTGAGCGAGAAGGCTGGTCACCAGACCTCTGCCGAGTCCTGGGGAACTGGTTAGTCTACACTGGGGGGGTGACGAGAAACGGGAGAATGAGGCATCTTTGAAGGAGTGGACGCTGACAGGATTTCTCAACAGGACGTGCCGTCGCCCGTATCCCCCGTGTCTCTGGTGGTGGTACTCACCGCGCCGGTCAGGCCGCCTTTGGTAACATGTGCCGTTCCGGTCGCATGTTCGCTCCCACCAAGATCTGGCGCAAGTGGCACGTCAAGGTCAACCAGGGCCAGAAACGCTACGCCACCTGCTCTGCCCTCGCCGCCTCGGCCGCCGCGCCCCTGCTGATGGCCCGTGGCCACCAGGTCATGACCGTCGCCGAGGTGCCCCTCGTCATTGACTCTGGCATCTTCGAGGCCGGCTCCGTCCTCAAGACCGCTGGCTCCGTCGCCATCCTCAAGGCTGTCGGTGCCGGCCCCGACATTGACAAGGTCAAGGGCTCCAAGAAGCTGCGCGCCGGCAAGGGCAAGCTCCGTGGCCGCCGCCACCGCCAGCGCCGCGGTCCCCTCGTCGTCTACGACCCCGCCGTCGATGGCAAGGAGCTCGTCAAGGGCTTCCGCAACATTCCCGGCGTCGAGTCCTGCCCCGTCACCGCCCTCAACCTGCTCCAGCTCGCCCCCGGCGGTCACCTTGGCCGCTTCGTCGTCTGGACCTCGGCCGCCTTCAAGGCCCTCGACGAGATCTACGGCTCCACCACCGAGCCCTCGGCCCACAAGCGCGACTTCCTCCTCCCCAGCAACGTCGTCTCCCAGGCCGACCTCACCCGTCTCATCAACTCTTCCGAGATCCAGTCCTCCCTCAACGCCCCCAAGGGCGATGCTCTCACTCGCCGCTCGGCTGTGCAGAAGAAGAACCCGCTTATCAACAAGCAGGTCATGCTTCGCCTGAACCCCTACGCGTCTCAGTACGCCAAGGAGGCTCAGAAGAGCACCAAGGAGTAAGGGTACCCTCGGTTCGAGAGTGCTCTTGCGAAGGGAGGGTCTGCCTGGTGGGTGTGCAACAGGTGGACGATTTGTCTTTTCTGGAAGGGTTTAGCATGGATGAACTATGGAGGCGTCAATGGCTTCTGCAGGAATTGATCTCACAAAAGAAGAGTCAATTTATGACAATTTCATTTGTCTTCATTATGATCAACATGTCTTGCCCCGTCCAAGTGATTGACTGTACTGTGCATCACCCACCTATGCTCACTGGTAGGCTGTTGACTTGGAAAGCTTGGGTATTATATATGGTATGTAGTTTCAGGCATCCATGCAACATATTCCTCTGTACTCATCATCTCCCTTTGCTTTTCTTGGCCTTGTCCGCGGCCGCCTTTTTCACCTTGCCCAGCATCTTCTCGTCCTTCTCGACCATGGTCCACCACCTCCGTAGCCCCTCGACATACTTGAACTCTGGATCGTTAATCTCCACTGGTGGCCCTCTGATCTGCGGCAGTCCATCGTGGTCACTCTTCTCGAAAACGGCCCATGCAGAAGCATCCACAGATCGCAAACCGTATCCGCGGCCCGCCATAGCCTGCACTTGGAACCGCCGGAGCAGAATGATATCCCCGGCATGCACGGTGGGCAGGGCCTTCTTATGCGGACGGAAGACATTGGCGACCACCACGGCTGAACCTGTCGTAGAAGATGCCGAGGAGGGGTCTGTCAGAATGAGCTCAAGCATAAAGTCCTTTGGTCCGTTCTTAACACGTTCCGAAGGCGCGGGCGTCGCGGTGACAACGGCCAAGTAGTCGGCCACCCGGTTCAGGTGACTGCGCAAATTGCTGAGGTTGAGATAATCAGGCAGAGTTTCGCGAAGCTGCTTGCCGAGCTTCTGCTTGAGGCTGGTCATGGTCTCCTTCTCCTTCCCACCCTCTGCCGTGGCCGGCGAGTGACTCCGGAGGTTGTGGCTGGTAGGACGCGCTGCTGTAGGCGAACTGCTGGAAGCCGCCTGTCGCGTCTCCAACTTTGGTTCGGGCGTCCGGCTTCGGCGGTTGCGTCTTGCCTTGGGAGATGCTTCCGCCCCCCGCTCAGGTGCGGCATGCCTTCTAGCCTCTGGTGTTGGCGTCTCAGATGCCATCGCCAGGCGCAGGCTAGGGTCGTAATCCTCAACTTCCGCGCCCGTAACATGGAGGGTTGGGAGCGGCTCGGCCTCGGAGCTCGAGTTCGCGTCTTGGCCCATACTCCTCGTGACGTGGATTGTCGGCGGAGATGTGGCCTCATCTTGCGCGTTGCGTAGGTGGGAGAGGGCCGTGGCTGTCAGAGCTGGTCGGTCTCCGTCTTCTCCTGCGACCAAGGGTGTGCTCTTACGGTGGTCCCGGTTGCGCAGTGAATGGAACAGACCCGATTCCCGCCGTGAGCTAGTTCCGACTTTGACCTTTGACCTTGTCATTCTATGAGCTTGAGAGTCGGAAAGGTCGTTGAAGCTCTGGTCTGCCGAGCCATCGTGCGATGCAGCTTGGGTGGTCCGCTCGTCTGCTGTCACCTCCTCCAGGGCCTCGCTCTTGGCCCGTTGTTCCACGTACTCAAAGACTTCTTCTTCCGTCGGATCGTCCCCAATGACCTCACGCATGGCTTCGTCAGCCGCTTCCGCTTCGATGCTGTCAATGGCTTTTTCCTCGGTGGATGGCACTGGGGCCTCATCTGTGGTGGCATCGGCGGCATTGTCTTTGGTAGTTTCGAGGTTCTGCGTAGATTCGTACTCGGACATTATCTGCTGCTCTGCGAGCATAGAGTACTCTTCTTCTTCGTCTTCCTCATCGTGCCTGGGCTCTTCCAAGCCCCGGTCGTCGTTGTGCACGACGTTTTCATCACTAAGTTGTGTTTCACGAGGCGTCGGTAGCTGTTGGTTTCGCTGATCGCCTGCGGGTTTGGCTAACGGGGCGTCGCGCTCAAGCGGCTCGGCGTCTGCGTGCGTGGGTTGTTGAGCTTCGGCGGTAGAAGTTGCAATCCCTTGCGGCTTGGGTGTTTCTACTACCACCTCCGCTTGGGCGTCTGAAGTCATGTGTTGCTGGGCCTCGGCCTCTGCCTCACTGTTCTTCTCAACGTTTTCAGCACTGTCTGCCACGTCGCCCATATCTGACTTCTTCGTTGCAGACCCCTCCAAACCCAGCGCATTCTGCTCCTCATGTGAAGGCTGTGATGGTATGACGACGGATGACTCCATGACCTCAATGACGGTGTTCGCGTTGCCCAACTGGCCTTCCACGCCGAGCTGGGTCGCCAGGCTCTGTTCTACTAGCTGCGCTGCATTGTGACGAAGCCGGCCCGAGTCAACGAGGCTCATGGAATCGTCGATGAACTCCGGCTGATCAGCTTGCACGGGGCTAGGAGCCTCTTGACCGACCGAGACAGGTGCATGGTCTATGACGGCGGACGAGATCGTAGGAGTCGGCCGGTCTTCATCCTGTACCTCCTTGTCAGAAGGTTCTTGCTGCTCCCCGGTAGGCTGATTGTCTGAGGGCTGCACTTTGTCGATAGACATTCGATCTGCTTCAAAGACCACAGGAGACGATGGTGCATCATGCTGCTGCTGCTGGAAATGCACCCGGACGTCAGCACTTAGCTCGGTGCCCATATCTTCATTACGGGTCGGAATTGGCGTCTCTTCTTCTTGCCCGGCATCTTTCTGTGCCTCCGTCTCCATGGTGGCATCAGGTCGCTCATCCACATGATTGTCAGTGTAGTCATACTCGACATCAGAATCCGTTGGCGTATCAGGATCCGAGGTCTCGTCGTCCGCCTCTTCGGCGTGTTCTCGAGAGGCCTTGACGACTATTTCTTCAGGAACTTGAGCGGGCATGTCATGTCTTTCATCATCTCCACTTTCTGCCGTCTGGTGAGAGATAGCAGGAGCTGTGAAGTCGTCTTTCTCTGTGAGTGCCTTCTGTTGCTCGCTTCCCTCGGCCTCGACGCGAACATTTGAGGGCCTGTGGAGTTGGAGCTCAACGGCTGCCAACGATGGCTGCGCTTGTTCGATTCGAGTGGGCGCAGTTTTGGGTGGCGGCGGCTCATCATCCTCTGAATCGGATAGTAGTGATACAAACACCGGGGCTGAGGGCGCAGGTGGCTCCTCCTCCTCCTCTTCCTCTTCCTCTTCCTCTTCCTCTTCCTCTTCCTCTTCGTCATCCTCGTCGACCTCCTCAGACTCATCATACCCGTATCCAATGGCCTCGTCGTCTTCCTCATCTTCATAATCATTGCCACTCTCGTATTCGCCGCCTTCAAAGTCGCCAGCGTCCTGCTCGAACTCGCCCTTGAGGACCTCAGCGCCCTGATAAGACCGACTACCAGCGACGTCCCGTTCTGCTTGTTCGTCGTCTTCAGCAGCCGAATCTTCGTCTCTGTCCTCCTCAAAGTCGACAGCCTGCTCGTCTGGGTCACTCTGGTCAAAGGGAGGACCCTCTTCCCCGTCAGTCTCAATGACATCGTCATCCTGGGCCGTGTCGTAGTTGCGTAGATCGTAGTCTTCGCCTGCCACTGAGCCTCCATCTGAACTCTCCGCCGAGCCTTCGACCACTTGGCTCGTAGGTGCCGACACCTCTGTGCTCCCGACATCTGTCCCTTGCGTGGTAGCGCCCCTTGCGGAAGTGAACCGACGGGGCAACCACGCACTGTCCTCGTCCTCTTCTCGTTGCACGTCTGCCTTGGGCTGCTGGTAGTTGATGTTGTCGCCCGGCAAGTCAGCACTTGGCTCGCGTGGTGGCGAGGAGCTGTCGAGAACGACTGGATTTTCCATCGTGTTGGTCGGCGGCGGCATCTGAGGTGGCATGGACGTCAATGTCGACCAAGGGGCTTGCTCGAGCTGCGATGGTGCAAAGGGAGCAACGTCGTGCTGCATGCCAAAGTCAAAATCCTCGGCAGGTGCACGGTCATCGGGATCTGGGTAGCTGGTATGCTCGCGAAGATTGTTGTCGTCTGGCTCGGGATAGACATTGCCCGTGCCAAAGAGTTCGGTCGAAGCAAAGACATTATTGGCTTGTCCGCTGGGTGCACTGGGGGCTGGTTGGGGCTCGCGGGCTGTCGAGAATCCAAACAAGGTGCTCGCAGCATCCTCATGGGCCATACTCAGCGGCGGCTGGCCAGCTGTGTTTGTCAGAGGCTCATGGGGCGTATTAAATGGATGCTGTTCTCTGAATGAACCAGCGCCCTCCGTGATGCCCTCGGAGTGTGACACGAGTGATGTCGTCGCACTTCCAGCTGGCTGCGAACTGCCGTCCAAGCCCCAAACCCCCGGACCAGGCGGTGATGGGGCGCGAGGAACAGTCATATCCGCAGTCGGCGCACTTTGGTCATGTTGGGCCGGAGGACTCGAAGCAGCTGCGGGCGAGTCTGCTGGCTGACTAAGTTGAACACCGTCGTCGACCATCGTCTTCGCTTTCGGGAGCTTCATAAAGGTCACTGGGATCTCATCCTCGCCGTCGTCCTCGTGCACGTCCTCAACCATGCCATCTTCCTCCAAGTCATGGCGCTCCGGCTCTGGGCTAGGCGATCGGCTTGTGTACCGCCAGTTTGCGTGCATGCTGAAGCGACTTTTCTTTTTCTTCCTTGGCTTCTCGTCATCCAAACTCTCCAAATCGCCTTCCCACAAGGACCCGTAGGATACTCTTGCCCTCTTCAAGAAGGCTGGCGATGCAAACTCTTCCTCCAGAAAGGCTTGGGTTGCGGATCGTTTCGCGGTGGGAGTCGGCGTGGTGAGAGATGCATAGCTCGGTGGCTCCATGACCGGTGAAGCAGGATCGTCCATCGGCGTGACCTCCACGGGCGGCTGTACGAGTGCTTCCTCTTCTTCCTCTTCAGCGTTTATGTCCAGTACAATCTCATCTCCGCCTTCGGCCCTCTGCACTTTGGCACGCAGCCTATTCTTGAACCTGAGCTCATGCTCGCTAGCATTCGGCCGAACGGGCGGCGTAGCCTTTAGCCATTCCACGCCCTCGAGGCTGAGCTCAACCTGATCGCCGCTTGCTATGGCCGCTTCCGACACGGCGCGGCCAGCTGGACCGACGAACTCGATACGAATTTGGCCCTTGTTGTTGCGGAGTCGGAAGTCGGGCTCGACGAGTCTGAAGGCACTTGTGCGGGTTGCAATGCTGTACGGCCAAGTGATTGTGACTTCGCCCCGTACTGAGCGACTGGGTTGGTCTGGCAGTTGGGGGGCCAGTTGGGCGATGGCCGTGTGCCTAGACTCGCCTTTCGTCATGGTCGAGGCGTCCATGTCCTTCGTGACGCGCCGATGGGTCGATTGCAGTTAGCTGAGAGTCGCAATGTGGGTTGGCGCATCTGCACGTCACTTTCGGATGGAGAGGGCAGCACCCATCGTGGGATGGTCGACGATATTTCAACGCGTGGCGTGGCTGGAGTGGTGGAAGTACGATTGCAGATGTCGAGCGGGCGGGTGAAGTGCTGAAGGCAAGGTTGCGATAAGCAAGTCACTTGTCAAGAACCGTCCGTAACTGATGCGTCTGTTGGCGTCAATGGGCAGCAGCTCGACAGACAGGTCGACGCGGGTGGCTGCCGCATTGGGAAGGCGGTGAAGGAGTTGCTGGCTCACTCACGTTCAGCCTTGGGCTCTCACTTCGATCTCATACTAACTTACATGTACTTGTATCTTGCCTGAGAAAGGTGGTAGTTCTTCGGCAACAACTCAGATGGCTTTCTGTGCTATTTCACTATGATAAGTATGATATGGTATGCCCAACACTGCGCAGCGGGGATGTCCATCGAGTTCAGCTCAGAGCTGTAGTCAATGACGACAGGTGAGGAGGCGGTTTGGTCAGTGATGTACTGAAATGCAAATTCATCCAGGCCAGAGACTCTCATCAGTCAGGCCAACATATATAATACTAGTAGTCAGCTCATCACAATGCTCGCCAAGCTTCGGTGTCGGCGTGTGGACGTGACTCGGGGGTGCTGCAGCCCCACCACTCAACTCGCCCGACCTCGTCATCCGACTCATGCCAATCCGCGGGTTTTGGCCATGACAACCTACCGCTTGTTATAAGATGGGCTCTCTCACCTCGCCTGCATTCTCCGTTTCCAAGATCGCCGTCATAGGGGCTGGGCCCTGCGGTCTCGCGGCGGCCAAATACCTCAAGGCGCAGGGCTCCTTCAGCCAAGTCACTGTCCTGGAGCAGCAGGATGAGGTGGGCGGCGTATGGAACTACAAGGAAGAAACGCCTGGTCCTTCGCCCATACCTCAACAGGACCCCTTCCTACGGCCGGATGAGCCCTTGAAGCAGGACAGCGGCAAGGCGCCGATATTCCCATCACCAATGTATCACAAGTTGCACGCCAATATCCCAGGCCAGCTCATGCGATTCTCCGACAAGGCGTTCCCCAAAGATGCCTGGGCGTTCCCGTCACGAGAGTATATCCAAGACTATCTGCTCGAGTATGCAAAAGATGTACGAGATCTGATCCGCTTCTGCTACCGAGTGACACACATGAGCCTCGCGGCAAAGGACGGACATGACCGCTGGAGGGTTCAGGCTACTTCGACAATAGGGGAGGGCGAGCTTGATGAAATCTTTGATGCCGTCGTCATTGCCAACGGACACTACGCTACGCCTTTTGTTCCTGCAATCAGCAACATCAAGGATTTCTCGGAGCGCTATCCTGGAAGTATCATCCACTCCAAGCACTTTCGACGGCCCGATGCGTACAGGGGCAATAAGGTTGTCGTCGTCGGGAACGGACCTTCAGGGACGGATATTGCCCTTCAAATCAACGGCGTCTGCAAGCAGCCCGCCCTCTTGTCGGTCAAAGAGGCCACGCCAGAGGAACGGCTGGCGCATACTGGCTGTCGCGAGGTGCCGCAGATCAGCGAGTTCCTCGTCGAGCAACGAGGTGTGCGCTTTACTGATGGCTCGGTGGAAACCGACATTGATGCAGTCGTCTTCTGCACAGGATTCATGTACAGCTATCCCTTTCTAGACAAGAAGCTCGGGCTCATCACAGACGGCAAAGGGGTGCACGGGCTGTACAAGCACCTGATCCACATTGAGCATCCGACACTGGTTTTCCCGGGATTGAACATTAAAGCCATTCCCTGGCCCACTGCCGAAGCGCAGGCGTCCGTCTTCGCGGCGCTCTGGGCCAATACACTCGCTTTACCATCGAAGCCCGAGATGCGCCAGTGGTCACAGGATCTGGAGAAACGGAAAGAGGGCGCGCTTCACGTGTTCAGTTCGCTAGAGGATGGGCACTACATCAACGAGCTACACGATTGGGCGGCGCAGGCGAGTTTCCTAGGTAAAGAAGGGCCGCGGTGGGATGATGAGAAGTTCTGGGAGAGAAAGGTGTACGCGGATGCGAAACTGCGCTTCGAGAAGGCAGGGGGCACAGCCAAGACCCTGGACGAGCTGGGTTTGCGGTATGAGCGGGAGAGGACAATATGAGGGGGCGGTAGTATTGTTGTTGGCGTCAATGGTGACGATCATGTAGTAGCGGAGTGCACGGATGGACAATGGTGATGGCAATGTCAAGATGAAGGGCAGCTGAGGCCATGGCGAAAGGCAAACTGAACTGACAGCTATTATAATAAAGACCGGGTCCATCATCCGGCGGACTAAGGACTCCGCAATCCCGGCCATACCTTCCTTGAATGACCTCGATGGGGGCCCCTCTTGGATTTGTCAGGCTCACTCACCTGTGACCCGTCCATGATCCTTATCTACCTTCCGATCATCGACTTCACTCTCGGTGTTTGCTTGTTTGCTCCGCTTCTCACTTGCTCCTTGAAACATATTTTCGCTCGTTTGATCTGCGCCTCCGTTCAGCAACCATTCTCGACAGAATCACACGTCTTCCACGGGCAGGCAGACAACCAGACATGACGCCACACTCGGAGCCGCTGGCTCCCCCACGGGATCTCAGCCACCACTTCACACGCGCCACCAAGAACCGCCAGGCGTCGGCCATCAAGATGTTCTACAAGTTCTTCCAGATCCCTGGGATAGGAAACCTGGCTGGAGGTACGTTTTGTCCTCGTCCTTCTAACCTTCTACGTGACAAGCGCTGGACGCATGAGCACGCTACCGAGGTCGACGCCTCATTAGCGTGAGCGTACGTCTCATTAGCATCATGCATGTCCACGTGGAGAGTGAGACAAGGATCGTCGCGCGCCGCGTCCGACTGACGGCTGAGCAACGCAGGACTTCCCAACGTCAGCCTCTTCCCCTTTGACACCCTCGAGGCGCAAATCGCCAAACCGGAGCGCTGGGATCCCACGCCCAACGAGTCTGGGACTGGCGCGCCATCGGCCTCCCACATCACCGTGCCCAAGACCAACTCGGAAGCCGACCCGCTCAAGAAGATTGATCTCTCCACAGGCCTGCAGTATGGCACCGCAGAGGGCTACCCACCACTCAGAAGCTTCATCCGCCAGTTCACCAGGAATCACCTCCATCCCCATGTCCCCTACCTGGACGGGCCCGAGGTCATCCTCACGTGCGGCAGCACCGATGGCTTCCACAAGACGATTGAGATGCTCATGGAGCCCTGGGTGCCAGACCGCGATCCCGTCGAGGCCAGGCCCGGCATGCTGTGCGAGGTTTTTGTCTACATGAACGCGCCCGATACCGCCAGGCCAAAGGGCGCGCAGATGGTCCCCGTCGAGGTTGACGCCGAGGGCATGCTCGTCCACGGCAAGGGTGGTCTGCAGGACGTCTTGGAGAACTGGGACCCCAGGAACGGCGCACGGCCCAGGCTCATGTACTCGGTCACCATGGGCCACAACCCCACGGGCGGCGTGTTGTCGGTGAAGAGGAGGAAGGATATTTACCAGCTGTGCTGCGAATACGATGTCATCATCGTGGAGGACGACCCCTACTGGTACCTGCAGTACCCCTCGGCCGCCGAGGAGGAGGCCAAGTCGCGCGAGCTCCCCTTTTCCATCCGCGAGCACTACAAGCCGACAAAGTCGAGTGGATACGAATTCCTCGACTCGCTCGTCCCCTCGTTCCTGAGCATGGACGTCCAAGGTCGCGTCATCCGCCTCGACACATTCTCCAAGACGATTGCTCCGGGCTGCCGTCTAGGCTGGATCACGGCGCAGCCCGCCTTTATCGAGCGTCTTCTCCGGTCCGTATGCCCCCCCTCACTTCCTTCTGCCAGCGTGCTAAACCCCAAGCAGCATCACAGAGACGACCACACAGCAGCCCTCGGGCTTCGTGCAGACCATGGTGGCCGAAGCCATCATGGGGCCCCAACCGCCCGCCGCCACGCGATCCTTCCTCTCCCTCTCGCGCACCGAGCAGCAGTCCTTTGAGGGCTGGCAGACCGACGGCTGGGTCCGCTGGCTCTCTGGCCTGCGGGGCGTCTACGAGCGCCGCATGAACACCATGGCCTCCCTCCTCGACGAGCACGCCTACCAGCTCAAGCAGTCCACCCCCGTCGCCGACCAGGACACCGAGTGGGGCGTCATCTCCAAGACGAAGCTCATGAGCTTCGACTGGCCCCGCGGCGGCATGTTCATCTGGCTGCAGGTGCACTTTGAGTCGCACCCGCTCTTCAACGCCCGCGGCACCACCTACCCCCTCCTCGACGGTCCGCTCATGAGCAAGGCCCTCATGGTGCATCTGACAAAGACGCCCTACAAGGTCCTCGCGGCGCCGGGCACCATCTTTTGCGCCAACGAGAGTGTTCTCGCCGAGCGCGGGTGGCGCTTCTTCCGGCTGTGCTTTGCGGCGGAGGAGGATGAGGCTGTGGGGCCGAGCGCGACGAGGTTTGGCGAGGGCGTGCAGCGTTTCTGGAGGATCAAGAAGGTCGAGACCATTGAGAAGCTTGTGGACGAGCTAAACTAGGTATGAGCTGTCAGCGAGGCAGAATCTCTGGCTCGATGGAACGTTGAAAGACAGGCAGGGTTTGTTCAGTGGATGCTGTGGTGGGCGAGGTGTAGAGAGGGGTTACGAGGGGTCGGCAGAGATTGATGGATAGATGCCATCAACACCATCCGAACCACATGCCCGAGAAGATTTCATGTGTTTGTGTGAAGACGTCCAACCGAGGGATGTAGACTGCTGCTGCCGCACCGTCGCTATCATACCTGCGGATCAGATCGGATCCAGGGTATTCCGAATTCGCACGACGACAAGACATGGGCGTTGAGCAGCACCCAGCCGGTTCAGGAGCTCCTTTGTTGAGTGCGAGTGGCATGTGAACCGAGTACGTACCTTGCTTGGCAGGGCTGGTTGTCTCACCCCGCGTTGTGAGGAGGATCGGCTGGGGCAGCCGAGCCGACGATGCACCCGTGGACGGACTGGACCGTGAGCGGTGAGAGGAATCTGGGGACAACTGACAAGCATCCCGAAATTGTTGAGCGCGTGTGTTCTCATGCTGGCCGACTACATGTCATCAGGATCGTATGTACGGATACTCCAAGCCGACTGGATGCTGGGCAGCTGGACGGTTGTCGAGAGCATCTGCTCTCGCCCTGATCTAACCTTTGCCTTTCACAAGCCAAGCTAACTGTCTCGCGGCCAGCAGAACCCTCATGAAAGCATAGTTAGCCAGAAAACCGAGGCTCAACGCGGCCAAGCCCAGCTCAGGAGGTGGATGGAGCCGCGCGTGGCGCCAGCATGCTGCGCTGCATGTGCATCTATCCCCAGACTGACAGAATCCGACTCGTTCCTCTCTGGTGCAGATGCTGCAGCGCCGCTACAACATCGGGAGACCTCGGAGCCTTCCAAGAACTGTTCTGCAAAGTGCAGACGGGTGCTGAGACACATGTTACACGAATAGTAGAGGTCAGTGGAAGCTGAGGCCACCGTCATCGCTTTACGCACAATCGATACGAGCTCCCGCTGGAAAACGAAGGAGGGACAGAGGATCACCTATCATACAATACGTAGCCTCTCACGGCCGGTGAGTCGGTGAGACGATGCGCGTATGCACGTTGTAACGTGGGGCCGGTATCCAGCTTGTCACTCGCGTGTGAGCATCTCGAGCTCTCAGCCTCTCAAGCTGTGAGAACGTGTTAGAAATCATCCGGAGACAGGCTCACGATCTCCAACCTTAGCCTTTTTAGTTCATCACTTCCGGACATGTCCCGATGTGCACATTTCGTAGCAAGAGAACAAGGGGCCCCATCGCGGACATTGTCCGTCGGGCACGAAAACGAAGGAGGACGCAGCACACGATCCCGGGGCACGCAAGCGCCAGGGGGTGGGACGCCCGGCGCCGGAAGTTGTCCGCTGTGGTGGGGATGGGGCGCCCGGCCCTCCGTTGAACTCCGGTTGTTGAAGCTTCGCTGCGGGTTGGGCCTGGATCAGGATCAGTGAGTCGAGCCATGTGTCTCAGCCAGACCTGGCCTTACAGCACCAGGACGATGCGATCACTTCACTAGCATTGATCGGGATCTAGCAATTTAGCCCCAACATCGGCAACGCTGGGCCGGGTCGCAATTCGAAACCATCAGCTTCCGGCCCCTCTTCCCCTACACTGCGAATGCCAGCCAGCACGGGCGATCTCGGCGCGCCTCGAGGTCCCAACGGCCGTGCAGCCCCTGCCATTACCCCAAACCTGGACACCAAGTCTCCACATTGGAGTCACAAAATGGGAAAAGCAAAAGAAAACACTGTCAAATCAACCCGAATCAGTCGCTGAGCAGCGATTCCTCTCCGTCTCGCCTGCCGTCACTGTAACTTGTCCGCCTGTCGCTCCTGCTCTCGCTTGCATTTTCTGCAAGCCTCAATCACAACAGTAGGAAGGCGCGACTCAGTTTGCAAGTACGTACCAGTCCAAACGCCTCCGGCACCGGCATTCCTCATCTTCAATTCGTTCTGCCATCGTCACGAAAGGATTGCTTTTTTGTCTGGTGCTATCCATACTCCATACTCATTTCTCATTGCTGCCCAAGACAGCATTCATAGTAGTCTGCGCCGCACCGATGAGCCTGACTTTCTTTCGGATCCATTCCCCGTCCGCCTTCTCAGACAGACCCTGAATCCCCATAGCGCCCCAGCAACCACGCACGCGCGACCTGCAGTCCCCGTCAATTGTAACCCACACCCTTCGGAATATTCAGGCAGAGAGCTTGAGACTGACCCTCGAGACGTTTCTCGATTCCTTTCCAGTATCCGGTCTCAGCTCCTCCTCGCCTAATTACCAAAGCCCGGCCCCAAGATGGGTCAGACTGCTGTCGTGGCCGGCCAGGCCAGCAAGCTCCTTATAACTTGCCGGTCCTCCGCCACGCACCTACACAGAGCTCTGTCCCCTTTTCCTTCCACTATCATCTCCTCTCGTTCGTGCTCGTCACATCGCTTGTCTTCTCTCTGCATAGCATCCTCCAGACGATCAATGTCGTCTGTCGCATCGTCGTCTTCTGCCTCGGACATTGTCACCGTCCCCACACCTCGGTCCCCAAGCCTCTCCCCCAGAGCCGCCTCGCCCACACCCACCACACCCGCGGTTACGACCTGCGCCCCCAGTCATAAGCGTCGCTCCTCCTCCTCCTCCGCGCGAAGGATGACATCCAGCAACCCTCTTTCCACAACAACCAGTCTCGCCTCCATCGAGTCGGGCATCCAGGCCGCCTCGCTCGACCAGCTCCGCGGGTACGCCCAGAACCACTACGCCGAAGTCCACCAGGAGCACGAGACCGAGTATCTCGACCAGACTATGGCCTCGGGCTACCAGATCCTGCGCGAGCCGCAGTGGAACAAGGGCCTCGCCTTCACCCCGGACCAGCGCATCAACAACAACCTCACCGGTCTCATTCCCCACACGATCGAGTCCTACCAGACACAATGCGCTCGCGCCATGAAGATGATCCAGTCGCGCCCGACGCCTATCGACAAGTACCTTTACCTGTCCTCGCTCAAGGCCGAGAACATTGACCTGTTCTACCGCGTCGTCATGGACAACATCCGCGAGCTCATGCCTCTCGTCTATACCCCCACCATTGGCGACGTTTGCCTGCAGTACTCGTCCCTCTACACGCGCCCCGAGGCCCTGTACATCTCCATCAAGCAGCGCAAGAGCATCCGCACCATGCTGCGCAACTGGCCCTGCAAGAAGCCCGAGATCTGCGTCGTGACAGACGGCTCGCGCATCTTGGGTCTTGGTGATCTGGGCATCAACGGTGTTGGTATTTCGGTCAGTACTACAGGCTGCTAGCTATTGGATGGACTCGAGACTAACAAGTAGCAGATCGGCAAGCTCGCCCTCTATACGGCCGCCGCCGGCATCGACCCCTCCAAGACCCTGCCCATCGTGCTCGACTGCGGCACCAACAACGAGACGAACCTCCAAGATCCTCTATACCTCGGCCTGCGCCAGCGCCGCGTGCCCGTCGACGTCCAGCAGGAGTTCATGGACGAGTTCATGGACGCCGTCAAGGACGTTTTCCCCGAGATGCTGGTTCAGTTCGAGGACTTCGAGACCGAAAAGGCGTTCAACTACCTCGACCGTTACAGAAACACCCACAGGTGCTTCAACGATGATGTGCAAGGCACCGGCGCCGTGGTCCTGGGAGGGTGAGCACGCCTGCTACAACCATCGCTGTGAAACATTAGCTAACAAGCACGGCAGGTACATTGGCGCCGTCGAGAACTCGGGCGTGCCCCTGGAGGAGCAGCGCCTCGTCTTCATGGGCGCTGGCTCCGCCGGTGTGGGTGTCGCCAAGCAGCTCATGGAGTACTATACCCGTCGCGGCCTGACAGAGCAGGAGGCCCGTGACAAGTTCTGGCTCGTTGATACCAAGGGTCTGGTTACCCACGACCGCGGCGACCGCCTCGCAGAGCACAAGAAGTACTTTGCCCGCACCGACAACCACGAGCGCCAGTTCCGCACACTCGAGGAGGTCATTGAGTACGTCAAGCCCAGCGCCCTCGTTGGCCTGACCGCCACCTTTGGCTGCTTCACCGAGCCCACGATCCGGGCTCTCAAGGCGTCGGTCGATGCCGGTGGCGCGGGACGCCGTCCCATCCTCTTTCCCCTCAGCAACCCCCTCACCAAGGCTGAGTGCACCTTTGAGCAGGCCATTGAGTGGACGGACGGCCAGGCCATCTTCGCCTCGGGCTCGCCCTTTTCCCCCATCACCAAGAACACCGGCGCCGAGAGCGGACCCGTGACGTACCTCCCCAACCAGGGCAACAATGTCTACGTCTTCCCCGGCCTGGGTCTGGGTGCCATCCTGGCCAAGGCCACCCGCGTGACGGACGAGATGGTGTACACGGGCGCCGACGCGCTGTCCAAGTCGCTGACGGCGGACGAGCTCCACGCGGGTCTCATCTACCCCCGGATAGAGCGCGTGCGCGAGGCCAGCCTCGTCGTCGCGCGGGAGGTGATGAAGGCGGCGCGGCGGGACGGCGTGAGCGACCTGCCCGAGGAGCAGTGGGTCGAGTGGGAGGAGTGGGGCGACGTCGCCCTCATGTCATATATCAAGTCGCAGGTGTACGACCCGGTGTCGTTTGCTGATGCGAAGGGGCGACTATAGGGCATGCTAGAGGAGAAAGATAGATACCAGGATAATTCATAATGACGACGGCACGCTTGTGCGGATGGCACTTGTATGAACTCGTGGTGACTGGTGGGCTTGGACAGGCAGGTCAGACAGCTTTGGCACTTGGCGCAGCTCACTTGAGTGCAGTGCTCGCTGCTGCTTGTCGTCCGTCGGTTCCGTGTGTGCATGGTACGTGCGGGAGGCCGGATCCGATGCTTGGACGGCTGGCCGAACATGGCTCGGCCGAGTAGGTCGTGCGAGAGGACTGCGATGCCACTGACAGGTACCCAATCACACGCAACAAGCCGATGCGCGCAGATCATAAAAGTACGCCAGCTCCAAGGATCGCGGTGACGTGTGTGCCTGGGGCGACCAGGTGAAGATGCTCCCGCTTCTGTAGCGGTGCGGTGGTGGTGAGGGGAAGCCTCGGTCGGAGCCGAAGGTGCATTGTGACTGACAACTGCCGTGAGGGGTTGGGAATTCTTCAAGGCTTTGGACGAGAATGTTAACGATACTCTTGATCAGTACGTATATCCCCGTGCTGTGCTGACGTATCCAGGAAAGCTTGTCCTGGCGGGCGGACAGGATCATCGCAAGATGGTGCATGAGGCGCATTTTCGTATCGCGAGGTTTCTAATCGCGAGCCTCCGAATCGCGAGCCTCCAGCTGCAGCTGTCGAAATGAATGGCTTCGCTCGTTCGCACCCAAGTAAGTAATACCAGCGACGCTGCTTCCCCACGAATGGATCGCAAGAGACCCTCAATGGAGAAGTTCTCCAGGTCTCGTGTGCCTCGGCACGATGAGGGTGCATGGTGTCGACGGGGGTCCTGCGCTCACCGTTTGACAGGTGAGGGTCCTGCCACCTGGGGGGGGGCCTCGGCAGCGGATCTGGATCATGGTAGGATCGTGGGTGATCAGATTCAAAGGCTCCGCCAAGGGGGGGATGCGGGTCGTGACCTTGCGCTGTTCGACGAAGCCCCAGATTATCAAAGGAGGCTTCGGGCTCGTCGAAGGAGGGGGAACACACTCCGTGGGGGAAGGGGAGCTTGATGGTGGTCATTCGGCGCTGGCCTCGGAGTTCCGCGCGGCGACCGAGCGGCGGATGCCAAGGCGTCCCCCCGTCCCACTGTGGGCGGACGGACACGGGGAGTAGTTGTGGAGCGCAAAATGGGGGGGGGATGGTCCTGTGGTCCATGGATGGACGGACTTGTTGATGCATGGAGGGGATCATCGGATGGCTGATCCCGTCTTGGGCGGGAAGGCTGGCCGAGCGAAGGCCCGGCGACTAGAGATTTGACCGACGGAGCATAAAGTTGGCGATCACGACGGTGGCACGGGATTTGGAGAGGCGAGGAACACGACCTTGGGGCGCACTTGTGGCCAACTGGTTCGAATAGCACAGCCCATGTAGTAGCAACGGTATGGATGAGTTCATCATGATATAAGTGTTCCTCCTGTCCGGCTGACCGAGCCCTGGATGCCAATCGGGAGCGAGCGAGCGCACGTCGTAATAACGTTAGCGCGGCAGTCCGATTGTTGCCGACATTTTAGGTATAAAGCATGCAGAACAGACGCTTGCTTCATCATGGTGAGGAATCGAAGTTGATGATTGGTGGGAACGAGGGCGTGGGCCGCAGCGTTCTCCCCCATTACATACACGCGGCTTTCATGTGAGACGCTCGCAAGAAGACAATACGGAGCATGCTCTCTTTGGAGAGGGCAATGCGTTGAGGACAGCTTGGAATTGTCGATACGTCTCACGTCGTGTGCCCTGGAGGTTGACTGACACATGCGAACGTTTCCAGAAGAACGAGGCTTGTGAGGCTCGTGACGAAAAGAATTCCTCCAACCCGCCTGACTCAAACTGATGCTCGATGATTGGCCGCTCCACAACGTTGGCTCATCCAAGGTGTGGGACGCCTCGTGGAGCATTGCCGCGATTCATCGTGATGATTTAACTCGCAGGGCCTCCTACGTACTGCGTACCTAATGAGTATTCCCACGGGAGCAGACCACGGGCATTGACCGAACGTGTGCGCATCTTGGACACCGACTTTGCCTGTATACGTGTACATGGCAAAAGCACTTCTCGTCAAGAGTGACAGAGCAAGACAGCAAAGCAAAACAGCCATGCAAGTACGTGGATAGCAGAGCTCAAGCACTGATAGAATCACGAGGCGTTCGCAGCATGAAGCATCCACCATGCTCCGTAGCCATCCCCTGCCCCGGATGCAATGGTACATCGGGCCCCATAATACCACACATTCCAAAACGAGTCCCATCCAAGACCACGACGCACGGCCAAGCCTCAGCAACAGAATGGTTATCCACTTATGGAGTGCTCGCGTCTCTCTTGAACAGAGCGAATTTCAATTTCATATAAGAAAAAGGACATGCCCCCACCCCCGGATTCCCCGTCTCCCTCTCTCCCCTTCTCGCTCTTGGAGTCGGATACTGCCCCTCCAAGCTCTCACCTCACTCACCTGGAAGCAGGTTCAAGGTTGACAAAGTCTACCTCGACTCGAGTCCTCGATAGTACTATTCTATCTTCTTCTCTGACAATTCGCTGCCTCTAGCGAATCCGTACGCATTCACTTGCTGTACACACTCTCCACTCTACCGTTTTTGTCGTTTTGCAATTGCAAAAAAAAACAAAAACAAAAAAAGCCAAATCTCACTCATCACTCTCAAGTGGCTATAGCTTCGGGACATCCTCACGGACGAACGGACGCAAGGAAGTTGCACCAACAGAAAACGTCACATCCAGCCCACATCAAATTATCGTCAAATATTACACTGAAAGGACAATCTCACCGCGACGACTGCAACACTGAGACACATCATTCACAATGACATCGGAAACCGACGCTTCAGACACTTCTACTGCTGGCACACCACCACCACCGCCACCCGCATCACAGTCCGCCACCATGGACAAGAAACCCCAATCCAAGAAGCGGTCCGACTCGACAGCCTCCGCGACGGAGCCCTCCGCCAAGAAGCGTCGAGCCGCGCGAGCCTGCGTGAGTTGCCGCGCCCGTAAAGTGCGCTGCAACGTGGTCGACGAATCGCCCTGCGCCAACTGTCGCTTTGACAATGTCGAGGTATGTACCGAGCTACGCGCCTCATCTTGGATGAGGTGATGCGCAGGATCAGATCAGTGGCTAATGGAATGTCACAGTGCCATGTCCAGGAGAGCCGACGAAGGAAGTACGTGCATCAATTCATTCCGACGCCCGGTGTTGTTCCTAGGACATGCGATGCTAATGAGCTTCTAGGAAACACCTTTTGACGCCCCCCGTGTCGCAGCAGACCAGCAGCAACAGCACAAGCTCGTCTGCCCCGCCGCACTTGCGATGCAAATCAGCAGCACGACCGTCGACACAGCATCCGGTCCCCATCCACAGCGCGGCAGAGCTGAGGAGACCGAGCAGTGGCTCCGCCATCTCGAGCGATGTCGATCTCTTGGCCTCGTCACAGGAGACGTCGAGCAACCTGCTTTGTAAGTACCCATTTCCCTTACGGGAGTTTTTGTCCGTCACCAATGCGCCCAGTCGCATGCATGTATGCTGTGATGAGCGCGTGTGCGCGGCGGATGACGAAAGCAAAGCTTCTCCGATTTCGTTCTCCGCATCTCCCTTGGACCGGTCTCCACTTTTCATTCGCTCGAAACCTGGAGGAACCTGCCAGTGCTCCAGTCCTGTCCTTTCCCCACCTTCACATGCCAACGCACGACGCACGACGCACACTGAATTTCAACTCTGCGTCCTCGTCAGATGAGAGATGCACATGACAGATCACTGACTGCCACAAGACCAACGCGCCGGCTACAGAACCATCCAGTCTGCCGCCCAGGTGGGAACACCTCAATCCCAGACTCCACAGTGGCCGAACCCCCCGCCGACACCGCTCAACGCCAACCCGGCCACCAACCAGCCCATCTCCAACCTCACAGCGCAGTTCCTCAACTCGTTGGAGGAGCCTGACCTCGCCTCGCAACTGCCCGCCTTTGTTCGACCTCTTCCCTCCAAAATCGCCGCCGAGGATGTGAGCTACCTGCACATCAAGGGCGCGCTGACGCTGCCCTCTGTCGGCCTGCAGAATGCTCTGCTGCAGAGCTATGTCGAGTATGTCCATCCGTACATGCCATTGATGGACCTTCATGACTTCTTGGACATTGTCAACCAAAGAGATGGGCTCAATGGGCAGACGAGTCTGTTTCTGTACCACGCCATCATGTTCTCGGCATCCGCCTTTGTCGACATGAAGTATCTGAAGGAGGCTGGATACCTCACCCGCAAAGCGGCAAGAAAGTCCTTCTTCCAGAAGACCAGGGTAAGACACTTGTCTGACCATCTGAACAAGAGCAAAGACTGACTTCACAGCTTCTATATGACTTTGACTACGAGATGGACCGCCTCGTCCTGGTGCAGGCCCTGCTCCTCATGTCCTACTGGTACGAGACCCCCGACGACCAGAAAGATACCTGGCACTGGATGGGCGTCGCCATCTCGCTTGCCCACACCATCGGCCTCCATCGCAATCCGGGCGCAACGACAATGTCTATCCGCAAGCAGAAGCTCTGGAAGCGTATCTGGTGGTCCTGCTTCATGCGCGACCGCCTCATTGCGCTCGGCATGCGACGTCCCACCCGCATCAAGGATGAGGACTTTGACGTCCCCATGCTGGAGGAATCCGACTTTGAGATCCAGCCACTCGCTGACAATGTGACCGTGATCCCCTCCAGCTGTACACTGATGCGCGACACCTCCATGCAGCGCGAACTGGCCGCCATGTGCATCGCCAAGGCGGAACTCTGCGTGTGCATCAGTCACATGCTCAAGGCGCAATACTCGGTCCTCATCCGAGACAAGACGAAGCCCGACAACACCACGAATAGCACCATGATGCTCTTCCCCAACAAGCAGCTCGACAATGTGGAAAGCGTCCAGGTCGTCGACATGGAGCTCATGGCCTGGGCCGAGTCTCTGCCCCAGTCCTGCCAGTACCGCACGCTGACGCCCTTGGACATTGAAGGTGGCAAGTCGACGCTCGCCGTGCAGAGGACGCTACTGCACATGGTGTACTACACAACCATCTCTGCTCTCCACCGTCCCCAATTTCTACCATCGAGCCCGACGCATGCGCCAACGACGTCTCACCAGGCGCAGGAGATGTCCCGCGTGCGCGTCCGCGACGCGGCGAACCACATTACCTTTATGGCTGCGTCGCTGCACCAGCTCCGCCTGGAGAGGTACCTCCCCACCACAGGCGTCACCGTCGTCCTGCCCGCCATGATCATCCACCTCCTCGAGATGAAGAACGTCGACCAGGAGGCGGCACAGCGCGCCACCCGGGGCTTCAGGCAGTGCATGAAGGTCATGGAGAAGCTGCGGGAGATTTACGCCGCGGCCGACTACGCCACGGGCTTCCTGGACGCGGCTGTGAGAAAGGCCGCCATTGACGTGCAGAGCCAGAACGCCGCAGCGGCCAACACCACCGTCCCCATGACGAGCAAGGTGCCCGCCGACTTCTCCGCGCAGACCCCGCCGCCGGACAATGCGCCGTACATGACCGTCTCAGAGTCGCTCTTCAACGACCAGAGGCACATGTCCGTCTCCTCCGTCGAGCAGCTCCGCAAGGCCATGGCGCCCCCGGCCACCGTCAACACGGCCGACCTGGACCTGACGCCGCCTTTTAACGAGCACAGTCCCCCCCACACCGATTTCGGCGACGGTAATGGTCCGACGCCCAGCGCGAGCGATCCCGAGGCGGAGATGATGGATCTGGATCTTGACCTTGATTTCATGCAGGGCCATGATGAGTTTGACTGGAATGCCGTGGCCGGTACGGACTTTGACGTTGATCAGTGGCTGCAGTTCCCGGCCGCGGAGAGTACGGCCGCGGGGGCGCCTGTGGCGGTGGATGGGCCCATGGTTATTTGATCTTGTTTGTTTCATTGAGTAGGGCGTTGCGGTGCCTGGGATATAATTACGTATGATTTATGACTAGGATCGTACCGATAGTACAGGTTAGACAAAATCAGGGAAGCATTGACGATTGTGTAGAGTTTGCCTCTGGACGGTGATGCATTAATTGCCAAACGACACTGTTCAATATGTCAGTCGAAACGCACATCATTGTTTGGATACTAAACCGTCTTCGGGATCTCATTTAAGTTCTTGCTTCCATGTGTAACATGCATAAAGGTTGGTATATACGTAGGCGACAATGCAGATCTAGGGTAGTCCAAAAGGCACAGAGTCAGACGGAACGAGGACGCACACGCAAAAATCTTTCAGATCGAATTGTAGCGCAAACCAGACACCTTGCCAACAAGCCTCTCAAGGCAGAAAGCCGTTTTCCATCTCCATCGTCCTAGCAAGTCCACGTCCCTTGCATCCTTGAAGCCATTGCCCTGACGCCGTTATCGACTATCGATAAGCCAACAACGACTGCTGTCCAGGGACACGACGGTGGACCAACCGGCAGGAGCCACAAGGACCCGCCGGAGCCCGGCCGTGGGCCCGTCATTAATTACCTGGTAATTAGAGAACCTCCTCCACCTGGCGACGCGGATGCCTTGACCACTTCTCTCATCTTCGTCGACCTCAAATTTCCCCTGCCCACACGCGTTCGTCTCTTTCTCGCGTCAAACGGCACCTCCCTTTTCTTTCCTTGCATCCGACGCGCCTCATCCCGGGCATCCCCCACATTCATTCACCCTCTTTTCCTTGTCCTTCTCATCATCTTGCGCACTACTACGTACAAACACCCAAGTTACACCTTGCCTTTTCCTTACCACGCACGCCTTTGTCATATACCTTTGTTTGCGCTGCTCATCAACCTTGTCGGACGATCTTGTACACCACTGTCACGCGAAGCTCGCTTAAAAGCTCTCCGAACCCTGCGCCAAGCGCCAGTAACAGCGCGCACCACTCTTGCTTGTGCCAGACGTGCTGTCATAGGTCTCTTGTCCAGCATTCCAGCCAAGAGGACCCCATCATCCTTCACCGAACCGAACCACGACCGGAAACTCCCACCCTCTCACCAAAAATTCTTGCGCCGCGCGACACGAAGCGAACTTTTCTTGCCTTTCCAAACGACTATGGGCCTCGAGAACGACATAGATATCGCCTCTACTCCCCCAACTTTGTGAACGGAGCACGCAACACCATGAAAGACTCGCCGCTGTTGCTGCGCCCTCAGCGGCACTCGTCTGGTGGGCAGACGCCAGCTCGACAATCGATGCGCGTATCGGACGACATACTCGCCCACATCACACCTGCTTCGGCGCTCGACGCTCTCACGTACCCCGTCGAACCCTTGCGAACATGTCTGGACGAAGCCTCGGCCGCCGAGAAGGAATTCGCTGTCCGTACAGCTGCCACCAGCCGAAAAGTATGGGAGTGGGTCGAGGAGCTCAGTAAATGGTCGTGGCCGAGCGAAGGCGGTTCAGCTGGGTTTGAGCCACCAGCAGGCACGGCCAGACGTTTGTTTGTGAATGTCACGCCACCGCCAGAGGAAGATCAAAATGTAGTCTACATGGGCAGCTTGCGCAGCGACTACGTTGCGCGATACGGACGACGAATAGATGAAGTCCACGCGGCTCTGGACGAGCTGGCGGTGGATGAGATCAAGAGACACGTCATGACGAACTACATCATGCCGCTGTCAAGACCGGCCACACCAGTCCTCGGGTTAGGGAAAACATCAGGTGCTGCATACAACCGTATGGAAGACCTCACAGCGGTTGTTACCGCGATCGTGCTACAAACACTACCAAATCTGGCGAGGCTGTCGGGCCTGTTGCAGGTATGGGGTATACGTGTCGTCGTGTTGCGGCACATACCTGGACTGTTGCGTGCTATCGAGGAAGCAGAGGTAGCACTCAGATCAGGGTGGACTGCCATCACAAGCTGTACAGGGTCAGATGGTGATGCCCTTCCAACCCTGTCCCGCAGCGACTTTCAGGTCATGCGATCTGTCATTGAAAAGAAGGTGACGGTTCCGGCCCGGACGCTCGACTACATGCTCGACCGGCTAGAGGGCCTGACAGATACTCTGCCCGATATCTGGCTAGATCGAATGGAGGCTGTGGAGTGCGGCTATGGGGACTGGGTAGCTGCAAGCGAGCGGCGAATCGCAGAGACGGCGTGGGCAAAGACGACCCAACCACGAACCAGCGATGGCGCTCTCGCTCTGCCCCTGCCCATCGCGACAGAGGACGCCGGAGAGCCATCGAAGAGAAGACGCGATGGCCGGCAGGTATCAAACGGCTCTACAGTCTCCACCGCTCCATCGGAAGCCACTCTGAAGCCCCCCGGCTCACCACGCCAGGACTGGCCGAAGCTGCAGCTGGCGAATGAGGCCGAATCAGTTTCACTCGAGGAGATCTACGAGGAGGTCCCGCGCCTTCGGATACCTCCTCCCATTAGAGAGGAGACTGACGCGTCCCCTCAGCGATCCCGCAAGTGGAACGTGGAGGACGACATGTATGCCCCTGATGATGAATTTGGGTCCGACATGACCGGTGACGATTCCGAAATGATGGAACTCCCGCCACTAATCAACAGCGACCGTCGCGAGAGTGATGTGTCACAAAACTCGACCATGCTCCACGGCGCCTCGAGCAGTCTCCTGTCTGATGAGCCACCAGAGGTCTCTGCATCCCCAGCTGTCAACAGGCCCAGGAACCTGAGACTCAGGCCTGAACAGGGAGGCAGCCCCCCTAGCTCGCCGCCAATGGCGAAGCCGGGCGCACACTCGTCATCGGCTGTACCCCACGACGACTCGTCCTTGATGGAGAATGACGACGCGACGCTCCCACGGACACCCGTGGAAGACAGCTCTTTCTCAGAGTACTTTGGCGAGTCCATGGTCTCCGATGTTGTGGCGAGCCCCAGCGTACGTCCCGGGAGCTCGGGCGACCAGCAACTGCGGCAGCAGATTAGCGATATCATCGACAGCATCCCTGCCAAGATCAAGTTGACAACGGAGCCGCCCAACCTCAACCCACCCGATCTACAGCTGCCTCGTCTACGGAAGCAGCCCTCCAAGGACCTATTCAAAAGAAGTTTGTCCAGCGTTTCCAACATGTCATCACGCACGACGACGCCCTCATTCACGCTCTCGCCAGCCAAGAACGCCCGCCCACGTTCGCAACGAGGCCAGCAGGAGATCAAGGTCTATCACCTCGCACGATCAACAGGTGAGGCCCCCATCAAGCTCTTCATCCGGTGCGTGGGGGAGAACGGGGAGCGCGTGATGGTCCGCGTGGGCGGCGGCTGGGCGGATCTCAGCGAATACCTCAAGGAGTATGCCAGTCATCATGGAAGGCGGTCCAAGGGAAACCACAACGCCAAGGTGGAAATCAGCGACGCGCCCCGTGGTTCGGGCGTCCAGATGCGCTCGAGCCCGCCGAGCAGACCGGCGTCCGCGCTCGAGGTCACGCCCATGTCACCATTAGCTGTGCGTAAGACACGCCGCAGCATGGGCGCCGCCGGCAACGAAAGGCCCCGTCTACGGCCTACTACGCCTGGGCCGCTGCCGGGCCCGCTGCCGCTGCCGGCGCCATCGTCCGAGGACCGCTCTACGCGTTCGAGATCGTCCTCCCGTCTCAGCTGGGTCGAGGATGACAGTTCCTTTCTAGGACTGGCTGGGCCGACGGGCAGAAAGGTTGAGATGAGCGAGGAGAACAAAGCATGGGTGGAGAGCGTCAAGGAAAAGGTCCGACTCGCAAGCGGCGAGCGAAAGATACCCGGCTCGAAGCCGCACCACCAAGTGCTTCACCACCACGCGCCTCCCCAACTGCAACCCCCACCTCAACAACCGTCGCAGGCGGCCGAGGACTACAACAAGAGCAAGTTCGGCGAGCTGGGTAGGGTGGGGGGCACGAAGAGGCTTTTCCGGCAAAGCCAGGGCCAGGGCCCGGGTCAGGGTCAGCAAGGCCAAGGGTCCAAGAAGTGAGAGGGTGTCATGCCCTCCACCGTCATCATATGGTTATCATCATCAATAGCGCGTGCTTTCATCATTGGGTTGGGAAGCAGCTGAGCGAGGCGCGATGGACACATATTATCAGCACAAGACGGGCAGGGAGCAACAGGGCAGGGCGCATGGAAAGCGCCAGGACAGTCATTGTGAATACCCATTTCTTTCTTGTTGCTTGTTTGCGGCCGTACCGGTATACACGGCACGGTACGTACCTATTGGCTTGCGTTATCGTGATGAGCCTCATGCGGTGAGCATGGGCTTGTTAGTCTACTGGGCTACCTATGTGTCCTGTCGCAATGTCTCACACCAAAAGGGCGATCGCAGATAGACATCCGAGATCTCGTCCAGCTGAAAATCCCATGTGCACCTGCGGGAGGTATCCGAGGAGGAGTGGATGGACAGCGGCGAGCGGGAGCCAGCCCGCTGTGTCACCCTGCGAACGCGAGGCTGCCCAGGTCAGCATGAGCGGTCTGGTCTGGTGGCACTGCAGCAGTGAGCAGTCTGAATATTTCTTAATGCCCAATTGCCGCTCGCAGGGGGGCCTTGGAAAAAGAGGCGATGCTCGCCAGGGGGAGGAACGGGCTGCAGCCAAGGGGCAGGGGGGCGTCGATCTAGTCCGGTCAGGCCTTGACCCCTGACCGGCACGCCCCCCTATATGATGTTCCTTGGCGTCTACGGATACCCACATCGATAGTTCAGCCCTCCAAGCAAACGCACCGGCGTGATTGAGCTTCAGTCTCACCACCGATAATTCACTGGGCGAGCCTTTTTCTTTCTGGCTGGCTAATTAGCTGGTCGCTGGCGGGCGAGACGCAGATTGCAGCCTGCCTGGCCCGGCCGACATATGGGCAGCATCAGCAGCCACGATGCTTGGCCTGCAGGACACGGGCTCGACCCTCACGTCGTGCTGGTTGACGTGTGCGCCCTTGTAATTATTGTCGGGTGCGAGCAGTGATTCCGCCTGCAGCGGATGGTCGGGCTCGCCGGGTGCCGACAAAGCTGAGATCTGCTGGAATGCAAGAGGACTGGACCCTGAACGCTACCTTGCCTATCAGATACGTACTGACCTAGATGAGCTTCAGCCCTCGACTTTGATTTTCATGCTTGGCAACTGAACCTCTTTTTCCTCCATCACCGTTTACTCTCAGGCCAAAGTCCATCTTCATCCTCTCCTCCACACAAGACCTCTTTGCCCTCGGTCCACATTGCGCCGTCACACAGACTAGACAGACGCAGAACAGCAGCAGCGCACAATGTCTGAGGCTGGCGACGTAGCCACGCCCATCCAGCGTCCCACGCGCAAGTCGCAGCGCTCGTCGGGCGGATCAGGCGGCGGCGGCGTGGGCAGGACGACGGCGGCGGATGAGTATTTCCCAGATGCCAAGCACAAGTTCAAGAGCTACCGGCTGCGTGGCGAGTACGAGAAGCCATGGCTCGGCGACCCGGCGCTGAAGAAGACGCGATGGAACAATTGGATCGTCGGTGTCTTCATGTTGCTGGGACTGTGTGGCGCGGGTGCCATTGCCTTTTGGACCGTGTGGCCTTTCCGGCAGGGCGAGGTATGTGGAGCGAATGTTTCACTCCCGTTCTGCATCTCTGCTCTGGTGCTTCACATGGACTCAGCTGACACACACACACACAGTACTGCCTCATCTATGAAGATGACTTTCAAAAGCTGGACCTCGACATCTGGTCACACGAGGTGCAGCTCGACGGCTTCGGCACGGGGTCCTTTGACTGGACGACCGTGGAGCCGGAGAACACGTACGTCGACGAGCAGGGTCTTCACATTGTGCCGACCCTGACCAACGAGACGACCAAGATCACGACGGACCAGATGTACGCCAACTACACGCTCGACCTGTTCAAGGACGGGTCGTGCACGTCGCAGCGCAACAGCTCGTGCCGCATCCGCTCCGACCCGGAGGAGGGCGACATGATCCCCCCGGTCCGCTCCGCGCGCCTGTCCACCAAGGGCAAGAAGAGTATCCGCTACGGGCGCGTCGAGGTCGAGGCCAAGCTGCCCAAGGGCGACTGGATCTGGCCCGCCATCTGGATGATGCCCGAGGACAGCGTCTACGGGCAGTGGCCTCGGAGTGGTGAGATTGACATTATGGAGTCGCGCGGCAACAGCCGTGGCTACGACGAGGGCGGCCGCAACCACTACTACGGCACGCTGCACTGGGGTATGTGTCCATGATCATAGTTAAGTGTTCGAAGCTCGTGCTGATCAGCCTGCGATATGTAGGTCCCACCAGCGCCACAGACGCCTACTGGCGCACGACCAACGCCAAGAAGGTTCGCCGCGGCGACTACTCGGACGGCTTCCACACGTTTGGCATGCAGTGGACCGAAAACTACATCTACTTTTACATTGACTCGCGCGTGCACCAGATCCTCTTCATCGGCTTCAAGGAGAGCAAGCCGCTCTACGACCTGGGCGAGTTCAGCAAGATGGCCGAGAACCAGACGCTGCTCGCCAATCCGTGGGCGCAGAGCGAGAGCACGTCTGGGAATGCGCCGTTTGACCAGAACTTCTACCTGATCCTGAACGTGGCCGTCGGCTCGCGCAACGGCTGGTTCCTGTAAGTTTGCCCTCCCCACCCTCCGTGTACATATCCTCCGAGTAGGGTGACGGCTACTGACGGTGCAAAAAACACAGTGACAATGTAGGTGGGAAGCCATGGATCGACGACGCGACCAATGCGCAGTGGTCGTTCTGGAACGCGGCGGACGACTGGCTGCCGACCTGGGGCGAGGGCGACAAGCGCGGCATGACGGTCCGCAAGGTGAAGATGTGGCAGGAGGGTGCGTGTGGCGCGCAGGAACTTTGATGCAGGCGTCTTTGCGCTCGTTCTCCATTACTCTCTTTTCCCAATTTTTTTAATTTTTTTTAATCAATGGTTTGGCGTTCGGGGGTACGGTAATTACAGTTGGGGGATATCACACATTGGGCCCTGGGCCCTGCGGACAGCATAGATACTACAACAACAACAACAGCTAATCAGACATTGAAACCACGAAAAATTGCACAAACGGCGTCAAACACTTTGATTTCAGCTTGCCTGCAAGAGAAGCAGCAATAAATTGTTCTGTACATGCAGATGGGATCTGGTGCATGGGGACATTGGCAATTGTGCCTGCGAGATGATCCGTGCCCATCCCATGCAGGTGGCTGAAGAGGACCGAAATAGCAACCTGCGAGCACACATGCACGTCCACGTCGTGTCATGACCAGCAAAATGCTACCGCTCGTCACCGCAAGTTTCTGCATCCGTACACGCGCAAGCGGCGCGTGTGTGCAGAACAGAGTGAGTGATACGTAGTACGTACGAGGTGACATGGCGTCCTTTGGCTCCATGTCGACTTGACCTTGGCGCTGGTGCAGTCACACTAGTCCAGAGAGGGCTACAGCTTGCAAGGGCCAGGATGAGGTTAAGAATTCGATTACCGAAGTTAAAATTTCTTTCCGCAGGCGTCAATGGCGGGTCAGGCTATCCTGGCTTACAACAAGGGCCAAGAAAGGCTAAGAGGAACGCCTCAACTCGAGTGGCTGCCCCGCCCACAGACAAGCGCCAGGAACAAAGAGCAGCTTGTTGGCCACTATAATCTATGGCTTGTGCAAGGGCGGGGGTCACCCCCAACTACGTATGTACCTAGGCGTAGTGCAAGACAGACAATTTGGCAAGCTGAGCTATTGACTGACCGAACTATGCGCGAGTCGCGCAGGGGCGGCCAGGCCAGCCTTGACCCTTTTCAGCCTGGACGAGCGGGGACACTACGGGAAATTTGTACGTACAACAGTACGTACCACACTTGGCGAGCTTTGACTTTGAGAGGGTTTCTTTGTGAGACCATTTGAATGTGCCTACTACATAGTACATACGGAGTGGGAAAATAGTATGCCTCTGGTGTACAATTCGGTGACGAATTCGTGGCGATGACTGTCATGGACAATTCGAAAGTGCTCGGCCTGCTGCGTCCATCATGTTCCCGTTCATAGTCGTGGCTGAGCCCCAGCCGTCTGCGCGAAAATCAACAGTGACAGGCCACGAACGGCACGGCAGACGGATACGAACGGTACCTTGGCATCTCTGGGCATTGTGAATGTGTGCCCTGTGAAGTTCACGCCGCCAGCTGGGATATCCACCCTGGTGAGAGGTGATTGCAGGCATCACTATCAAATGGGTCCGTCCAGACTCCAGCCGCACCAGCTGGCAGCGATATGAGGTCCGAAAGAGACGTAGACGCAGACAGAGGAGGAGGAGAGGCAGGCTAGAAACGAAAACTATGCAGGGAGAAGCAGGATGAAAAATGGTTATCAAGATACGGGCGGCAGGCGGTGACTGCTGCATATGCGCATGCGGCATGCAGATCTGTAATACGAAGCGAGAAGCGCGACACTTTGCTGCCATGCCCGGGTGGGAGGACTGGAGACTGGACCCCTAAGCGGACATGATCGCGAACAGCGTCATTGTGAGTGACAAAATGTACGTAGATCTGGGAGGAATCCTGGAACAATACCGGCGGCCCCAGACGTCTAGATGGATCAATATCAATGGATAAATGGATGAATAAATGAATCGGAATCAATAACCGAGCCAGGTAGCTGGATTGTACTGGAATTTGGAGCGTATAGTTAGTCAGTCCCTCGCCAGGCGGCCGATCACAACGTGGCAGCGAGGTCCAGTCGTGGATCTATTGGAGCTTGCTGATACGTAGGGCGGCGCGCGATGGAGATGAAGAGGCTCAGGAGAGCCGCTGTGTAGCCTTTGCGGAGGCCCTGAGTGCTTCTTGAATCGAGGACTGGAATGAAGCTGATGGTTGTTGACCACAAGCACAATAGGCGAAGAAGCGCCGCCTCTGACGCTAGACCCGATGCGTCATGGTCGGCAAGCCTCAACTGTGCTGACGGTGGTGGAGCGTGGACCGGAGTTTCAGCCGGACCGAGTCCCTGCAGACTTGGACTCTGGCTGCACTTGCCTCTTTAGCAGCTCTTGCTTCGGCCAGCAAGCATCCAGTGGCTAATCACTGGTACCTGACTAAAACTGAAGGAGCTAGCCTACGACGCTGTAGCTGTAGTTAGACCACGAACTAATCACGTCCAGCATTCCTCACAAGATCCGACCACTGCCTCTCTTCCTGAGACGCGCTTGTCCGGCCAAGCCTGAAGCTACCGCGAATTTGCTATCGCGCCCGACTCGGACCCCATCACACCCATGGGCCATGACCCAGATTCTTGGAGCCTTGGAGGGGTCCATGTCTATCACTTTGTCGATTCAACCCTCTCGCTTCACCGGCTCCTCAACCAAAAGAAGGTTCTCAGCTGGACAGGGTCTGCCAAGAGCTGATGTGCTGCCTAGATATGGCTTGGTGCAGACTGCAGACTGCAGACCGCGTTATCTATCTCCCGAACCATATACGCGCATGTTGACCACGGAACCAAACGTCGTATCCAGTCGACAAGCACCCTGCGGGCTGTAATTAATACGTTTTCTGACTGTGGCTTGGCCCGCCCACACCCCTCATTCCACCCACCCTGCCGGACAATTCTTCGACAAGCTACAACTTACAACTGTACAAAGTCAGGGCGCGTCTTATCCATGCTCGGATCATCGTGGAGACCGTACCCGCACACAACGCGGCTTGAACCATTGAAAAGCACTTGTTCTTTATTTCGTACCTAATCGTGGTGCAGCGCTAACCTTCACAACGGGCAATCCACAGCAACAAAGACGCCGGTCCCTGCCCGGACGTTTCGAAGTGCTCTGTGTCTGTGGGAAATTCTAGCATAGACACTATCCGTAGACTAGTCTACGTGGGCCAAGCGCGAACTCACGGCAGGTCCGTCAGCCTCGTTGTCTTTCAGATCTCGTCGCGCAGGAATTCTCTTTCACGAGCACCCAAGACCTCATAGATGCAGCGTGCGTCCCGACTGGGGCCTTGTCCCGAGGATTGCGATAGGCTGGCACACCCTAGGACAGACCAGATCTCCTATCCGCGCGCATCGGACGCCAATACATACGCCATACGTACACAGGATGGGCTACCAGACGCTCAGTGAGGGTCTGTACATATCCTCAGAGATTGGCCCCGGACACCCCCACCCCCTCCCCTGACCTGAGCCTGAACTCACCGTTGCTGCATGTCGTTCTGTCCCTGGCTTGTCATGAGCTTGGCGCATGCTTTTTTCCTTTTGTTTTCGTCTCTCAGGACGTGCCAGTCCCTGGCTGTGTGTTATGATCTCTGCTCCCCATGCTGGCTAACCACTTACTTCGCAGACCCCGTATCCGACGTTGACGACCAAACGATCGGTCCCTTTGTGCGATATGTGGAGGACATCCTTCGGACATTCGCATCTCTGGCGAGGTAGCCAAGCCGACCTAGTGTGAATACTCTAGACCAAGCGCTGGCTAGATGCCTCGCTTCTTGGCTCTCGTGCGCAGTATACTACGTACTGCTGCCTCATCCCTGTCGAGTCTTCCCTCGCGTTGCGTGAACAGACCAGCATGCAGGATGCCACCCTCAGCTCCGTCGTACCCCTGGGTGCACATCATGATCCCTGGTCACTTTCCCATGCTCGAAATTTTGCCCTATCGGCCGCCTATGCATAGCTCGGCCTCTGCTGCCGGCTCATCACCCATGACACGCCAAAAGACAACGAGACGCCGCTGGGGCCTTTTCAGCTTGGTCATATCCACCTGCCACCTCACGGTCTAGTTCCAAGTGATGGGCCCTACCGTTGCAAAATACGCTCGCAGCCTGTTACCTGACGCCTTCGTATCGGTCTCGGCGCCTCAGCCTTGAGGCCCTGGTCATTGTCCAGCATTCTAGACTATAGGACCTGCAGCTTCTTGAGGATCTCCCACTCCCACGGCACATCCTGTTTCTTCCCTTTAGATCACCTTCTCACAGGCATATCCTCTTCCTTGCCTCGTCCCTTTGCCGGGCCATCACTGCGCAAGATCCTTTTTATTATTATTATTAATCTTGGCTCTTGGTGTTTCAGTCAACTCGTCCATCGTTTCCTAACTTCGTTCTGGGCCTCGAGCCAACGTTTGCTCTTTTGAGAGCACCTCTCCCCAAATCGACCCTTCGCCTACCACGACACTCGCTCACACAACAAACCATGTTCGACCACTCGCCCTCACCTTCGCTTCAGGCTCCGCCCACGCGGCCACCTCGCGCTTTGTCGTCAGCAGCCATCTCAGTTGCCTCAGATGTCTCTCACGAGCCAAGGACAGGTGGATTGACACCTTTGAGCATCACATACGATGATGACTTTCGCTTCCAGACCGTGAGTGATGCGCACAGGGCCCAATTGGCCCTCCCTTTTGTACCTGTGCTGACTCGAGGCGGGTAGATGATCGGCTACCTCTACAAGCGCATGCAAGCGAGTGGTTGGGTCGTGGGTGGCGAGCGCACCATAGAAGACTGCGTGGGCGTCTTGCTTCGAAGGACGCGAGGAAGCTATGTCACAGCCCCTGCCGAGGTTCACCATGTTCTTCAAGGCGCCGTCATCCGCCTCAACCTGGTGGTGGCGCTCACAATGAGGCCCTCCATGCTAGAAGGCATCCTCAACTCGCTTACACCGGGCCAGACCGAGCTCCGCTTCAAGGACGGTTCTCAACTCCAGATTATTGAATCCCTGACGTCGGCGCAGCCTTCTACCGTCAAGAAGTTCCAGTACGCTTGTATCTGCCGCCAAGAGCGCTTGATCTTGGTGTGGCAGGATGATCTACAGAACATCATTCCCCAGGCGACCCGGGTGGAGGAGCGGCTATTGTCTCTGGTATGTCGATCACGACCCAATTTTCCGAATGTGGAAAGTCTCGCAATAAGACAATAAGGCGACTAACACACAACCAACAATAGGTCTGGGGAGAGGCAAGACTGCCGTTTAACATTCTTCAGACGCCCACGCTGCCCGCCACGCGCACCCCCTCGATCATGTCGTCCGCCATGTCCAGCACAAACTTTGGTGCTGCGACCCCTGGTCTGGAGAAGGGCCCGGCGATGAGCATCATGGAGGACAAGGAAGATTTCCTGGACAAGGACCCTGCATATGACCGCCCTGAGTCGCTCGCCCGACCCGTGATCCGCACATCGGCCTTCTTCGTCGGACTCTCGCTCTGTCTCGGCATGTGTTTGCTCATGGGTGTGTACCCAGGCAAGCTCGTCAGCGAGACTCTCCTGGACGGCGACTACACGCGCCTGGCACTGCTGGCGCCTGTTCCCATCCTCATGTGCATCAGTCTCTTCTTCTTCCAGGTCATCTTCAGCAACATTTTCCAGATTATCGGTCCCATTGGCGGCACGACCACCAACTCGCGCCACTACTCCTGCTACAAGCCATGTCTGCGCCGCGCTTTCGCCGACGGGTTCGTTCCGCCCAAGATCTCCATCCAGCTCCCCGTCTACAAGGAGGGCATGGAGTCCGTCATCATGCCCACTGTCAAGTCCCTCCAGGCAGCCATCTCCTACTACGAGTCGCATGGCGGATCCGCCAACATTTTCGTCAACGACGACGGCCTCCGTGCCGGCCTGACCGAGGAGGAGTGCCAGCAGCGCCGCGACTTTTACCACGATAACAACATTGGCTGGGTCGCGCGCCCAAAGCACAACGGCGAAGAAGGCTTCGAGCGTGCCGGCAAGTTCAAGAAGGCATCCAACATGAACTTTGCCCTCAACATCTCGCAAAAGGTCGAGGCCCACCTCCAGGACATGATCGACACCCGCATCGCCAACGGCGAGGACGACATGATTTTCGAGACCGAGGAGGCGGACATGTACCAGCTCGCGCTGGCCCGCGTCCTCGAGGAGAACCCACTTGCGTGGGCCGAGGGCAACATTCGCGTCGGCGAGCTCATCCTTATTATTGACTCGGACACCCGTGTCCCCGTGGACTGCCTGCTCTACGGCGCGGCCGAGATGTTCCTGTCCCCCGAGGTTGCCATTGTCCAGCACAACACTGGCGTCATGCAGGTCGCGTACGACTACTTTGAGAACGGCATCACCTTCTTCACCAACCTGGTCTACACCTCTATTCGCTTCTCTATTGGCTCTGGCGAGGTCGCCCCGTTCGTCGGCCACAACGCCTTCATGAGGTGGCAGGCTGTCCAGGACGTCGGTGTCCCCAGAGACGACGGCTATATTTCTTACTGGTCCGAGAGCCACGTTTCCGAGGATTTCGACATGGCCCTCCGTCTGCAGATCAAGGGCTCCGTCGTCCGCATCGCCACCTACCACGGCCAGGAGTTCAAGGAGGGCGTCTCGCTGACCATCTACGACGAGATCGCCCGCTGGCAAAAGTACGCCTACGGCGTCAGCGAGATGATCTTCCACCCCTTCCACCGCTGGATCTTCAAGGGCCCTTTTACGCCCCTCTTCTACACCTTCCTCCGCTCCAACATCATCTGGTCCTCCAAGTTCTCCATCCTGGCCTACATGTGCTCCTACTTTGCCCTCGGTTCCTCGCTCCTGCTCTCCAGCCTCAACTACTTCCTCGTCGGCTGGTTCCGCGACGACCTGAGCTCCTGCTACATGACCTCGTGGAACGTCTTCCTCTCGCTCGTCGTCGTCTTCAACCTCCTCGGCCACATCGCCCTCGCCTTCCTCCGCTACCGTATCGGCGAAAAGTCCCTCCTCGGCTCCCTCCTGGAGAATTTCAAGTGGACGCCCATGCTGACCTGCTTCTTCGGCGGCATCGCCTACCACGTCACCACCGCCCTGCTCTGCCACCTCTTCCACATCGACATGCAGTGGGGCGCCACCTCCAAGGAGAAGGAGGAGTCCAACTTCTTCCAGGAGATGCCCCGCATCTTCAACACCTTCAAGTGGATGTACCTCGTCCTCCTCCTCATCGTCGGCGGTATGGTCTACCTCGGCAACTTTGCCCCCCCGGACTGGGCCATTACCGACTTCACCGCCATTGTGCCCCTCGCCATGAACGTGAGCTTCCACGCTCTGGTGCCGCTCGTGTTGAACCCCAGCTTGATGGTGTACAACTACTAGAAGAGCCACCGTTCTACACCTCCTTGTCTCTCAGTCTTCTTTTGACGAATCTTTATGATCTTTTCCTTTTCTTCTTTTCTATTTGGGATATAGAATGGCTTTCTCCTTGGTTCGGGGTTCGAGTATTGGATACTTAATTTCGTATTGGATGTAGCAATGGGCATACGTCCACCTAGACATGTGGACAAACATATATACATAATTACTGTCGATAGCAATCACACCAGAAGACTGCATCATACTGTGTCCTTGAAAAATATAGTCATGTATATGTACAATGAGCATTTTGCGCTCTTACATTTCAACCTGGATTGATGTCTTGTAGTACAGCCCCCAATGTGCAAGAGGGTATCAACGGGGCAAGCCTTGAATATGTATGTGTCAACAGATACCCCTAAACGCCCAGTTCTATGCCAGATTCCTCTCGTCCTCCTACGCCCCACCCCAAGGCGTACTCGCTCTACTTCTTGACTCGCTCTCCCATCGTATTCTTTCCGTGCGGAGCCAGGCCGTGTCTTCGTCGAGCTCCTTGCGCATAGCACGGAGGTCGTTGATCACTTGTTCGCTTTCGCTCAGCATGCGTTTGTTTGGATTCTCGCCGACCGCAGTGTCACCGTTGTCCATAATCTCAACCTCGTCGTCTTCGCCGTTCCTCTTGCGTTTGTTAGTTGTAGGAGGGCTGCCGGCGCCAGTAGACCGAGACAGGGATGTATTTACATGGGGGCGAGGGGGCGGGCTCATCGCACCATGAAGAGAGCGGCGGTCCAGGGTGCTGTAGGACGATGCCCGTTGCCGTGCCGTCGGGTATGGCGTTTGTCCACTGAGAACGGCGTCGGCCATCCTCTCCGGGAGTGCGGTTCCGTCGGGCATCTGCACGATGCCCATGGCCTTGAGTTTCCAGCGTTCGGAAGCATTGCTAATGCTCTTGTTCGGCTTGGGGCTGACTGTGCTTCGGAATGAAGGCATAGAACTGTAGAAGCCCTCCTTGGCTTTCCCGGCAAACTTATCATAGAGTAGCCTAGCTTTGCCCTTGTACCTGGACGATGTCGACGCTGTAGACGAGGCCATCGAGGAGGCCCTACTGGCGGGCCGGCTGCCTTCCTCCACCATATGGTCCCCTCGTGCAATCCTCTTGACGGATCGGCGCTCGTCTGTCACGCCAGAGAGAACGCCAGTGTCGAGTAAGGCTTGCTCAGCGTCGTTCTTCCTCTTCATCCTCCCCCTCAGCGCAATCTCCGCCATCTCGGACGCACGATCCGCCTTGGCCAGTTTCGCTTTCCTTTCTTCTCTTCGCTGCTGTCGCTCCGTCTCCCTTCGCTCCTCCGCTTGCTGCTCCTTGTATCTTCGAAGCTCTTCCCGTTGTTGCCGACGTAATGTTGCCATTCGCTTCGCCCGCGCATTCTTCTTCCATCTATAAAAGAACTTGATCCGCAGATTCCTGATCTTAAACGCCTCCACTTCCGCGTTGATCGCATCTTCCTCCTCTTTCCGGATCCTCTCTGTCTCTTCTGTTATCCACTGATTGTAAGCTTCCCCGGCGATCTCGCTGATGATATACTCCGTGAATTGGTCCATGATACCGGTATCGCCAAGGACGAACCACCTAGAGAAAGCACCCATAATGTCCTTTGGGGCGGTCAGAGTCTGCGGTGCCTGCTCGGAGGGGGGAGCTAGCGTCCCTATTTGCGTTGCTGTACTGGTGGCCGGCTGCTTGAAAGGGTTTGATTGACTAGGGACGGCGGCCGCTGCAGATGCATTTTGACCAGCTTGAGTTGCAGAAGTAGTCTGTTTGGCGGCGGCCTGCCCTTTAGTGGAGTCCCGTTTCGGACTGCCTGGTGGTGTTGTAGAGGCTGTTGTCGCTGGAGTGCCTGTTGGATTTGGTGGTTGAGAGAAGCTGAATGCAGGAGCTGGTTTGAGAGCAGCGCTCTTCTGAGTGGCATCCGGTTGTTGCGGCTTACTCATGCTGAAAGGGCTCGGCTTGGGGGAGTCCGTGTTCTGCGTAGGAGCTTCGGCTGATTTGTCTGTGGGTTCCGAAAAGAGGCCTGGTGTGGGAGCCTTTTGGTCCGTTGCCTTGCCGGCACTGAACACTCCGCCAAGTGTACTCGTTGCGGCTACTGGCTGACTCAATACTGACGCTGGTGATGAAGCACCTGCGAGCTGAGGGGCCGATACCGAAGTGGATTGTGCCGCTGACCCAAAGGGAAACTTCGGTACGTCCTTGCTGCTGCTTGCTGCTGCTGCGAAAGGGTTGTGTGCCGTCTGTGGTGCTTGCGTCGAGGGAAGTCCAAATGGGCTAGTCTTGAGCCCCGGGCTGGCATTGTCTATACGAGTGACGATTAGTGTAAATGATTTGGTTCGGTCTTCTGATGGTGTCACGGCGCGAGTGTGCGGAAAGAGCCAAGAAGCCCATCGCATCTGTAACCAAATGGGAACCTATAGGCCCTGCTCCGTGTTTTCTTACCTGAGACACTGTTGCTGGACAGCGCATTTGGCATGGGTGGTGGTGCCTGCTGGCTGGGGGGAGACAGTGTTTTCGTCACAGCCGGGCGTGCCATTTGTGTCGGTGCTGGTGATGGCGTGGCTATCTTCGTCGACTGTCCATTCTCGTAGACAGTTTCCCGGATGACTTCGACGAGGGTTTTTGAGCCTCGCTTCCTGCCGACGAGCTTCTCGGAAGATTGATGGGGTAGCTTGGACGGCCAATCGAGTTCCTGGCGATGTTCTAGCAGCAACCGCTGGTTGCTGCCGTCGCTGACGTCGTCAATGATGCTGTCGTCCACCTCGACCTGCAAGCCCGCGAGGTCCACAAAGTCCACGGCTTCTGCTGCAGTGTCGAACCGAAGGAACTTGTTGAGTCCAGCCGCCGTAAGATCTTTGCTGGTTACCTTGGGTCGAGCAAGGGCTCTCACCAGCGAATTGACGATTGAACGGCGCAGTACCGGGAAGTGGCACTCGGCAAAACAAGCCATGGTGAACGAGACAGATGGGTCCTCTAGTATCCGGAAGTAAGTCAGGTACGAGGCGGACGCTGCCGGGGCCGGCGCCAAAGCTGGATCAGTTGAGTTTGGTATCGTCTTGACGATAGGCCCCTGGAAGTCTTGCGTGTTTTGTAGCGCCTCGATGAGCGAGACTGCAATCTGTATCTCCTCTGATTTCTTCCACAGCTCTGGTCGCCATGATCTTTGCAGGGTCTCAATGACGTCGGGGTCCCGTCCGTGGAAGAGCAGGTAGTACGCCCGGAATTCGGCCTCGTTGGGGCATTCGATGCCTTGTTGGTTACAGTCGTCGTACAGATCTCTCAGGCTAAGCAAGGTCCGCGCGAGCTGCTCCGTCTCCTGGTGCTCCACGAAACCTTCCGCATCCACGTCTTTCCGGGAAAGAAGATGCAGAGAAGTGACGTGGAACCGCGCAATATTCTCAAATACTGCGACTTGCGATTTGATCTCTTCCGGTTCCAGTCGCGAGAAGAAGGTGTAGTCTCGTCGAATCGCTCTCGTCCTGTCCCATAAAAAGCCATGCACATTGGCAAGATTTTCCTCGTCGTCAAGCAAGTCGCCCACCAGATAGTCGAGTGTCCTCTGGAGTGCTGGGATCGAGCGCACATCCATTGGAAGCGGCGCATCTTGCCCGGCAGCCGAGCGCGCAATCTTTTTCACCATCTTCGAAGTCTCGGGTATGTCTGAGACCTCATTCTTCTCCGACTTGACGACATCGCCTTCAAATATACGGGTGATTTTCTCCCATTCTGGGCACATGTCTTCCGCAATGCCCCTAAAATCGATCGCGTCCTTGAGCGCTCTTCGTTTGTTTGGATCATCGAGAAGACCGGCTTTGATGAGTGATTCGCGCACTTTTTGGCGGTACGCTTCGTACTGATTTCGGAAGTGTTCCATCTTTTTGTCGTACAGCGTATGGTATTGTTTCGAGGGCCATTTCGGAGGTCGAATGTTGTCTTTGCGCAGTTGCTCGTACACGCGCCGCGCATACGGATCGGTTGTGCTTGGGATCTCTTGGGCTTGGAATGGCTGGCCGTCGGTGTCTTCGCTACTCGAGTCGGCCTCCGGTGCCGAAGGCTTGGGCTGCTTCTGCGTACCAAGGGCTTTCCCAGCTGCGAATGGGCGCGCGACTTGTGGCGTGGCAGAACCCGTTCTGCTGGTACCATTCTTCTGGGTGCTTTCTATCCCATTTGGCTTGTCCTTGCCTTGGCCGTTGGCAAGGCCGGCTTCGCTCACATCACCATTGGGCGTCGCGCCTCGCGAGAAAGGCCCGTTCGGTACATGATTGGTAATAGCCGGCGCGAAAGGATTCGGAGTCGTCGCGGGAGCAAAGGGATTATTGGTTGTGCTGGGTGTAGTCGTGGTATTTGCTGCGAACGGGTTAAACGTCGCCATGTTCGCGTCGTGCAGAATCGACTAGAGGTGGATGTTCGCCATGCAACAGTCGTTACATGCATCCGGTTATATGTCAGCGCATTGGAAGAGATTTTGGGATTGAAAGCGCTTGTAGACAAAGAGAGCAAAGCCGGTGCAAAAGTGTGAACGTGTCGAAGGGTGAAGGTGGTCGGTGTGCTCACGCGAAATGAAGCTTGGTCAGGCTGTTGATCTGCGGAAGCAACTGGATTGTCGTCACAGGTCACGTGACGTTCCGCTTTGTCTCAGTTCTGCAGTCAATGCACCGAGACTTCGACTGAGAATTCAACCATGGTGTTAGTACGGACAGCATCTAATTACTACCGTTTTGCTTTGAATCTTTTCAGGTGTCACCAATCACTATCCTTCCATATCGCTGGTGATTTAGGCCGATGGAGGCTCTATTGGACTTCCACTTTCAGCCATCCAATTTCGCAGTCATCGTTGATTCATTAAATTTTGTCCAGTCTACCTAACCAAAAGGCTTATTAGGTTTCGACTTGGACCCTGTGATCGGTTTCCCCAGACTGCGAAAGCGCGCTGGTCCGAGGCCTTGCCTGATCTCCTCCAACTGCTCCAATCCTGTCTGCGCCTTTGTCTTCTTGTTCGTCCTCTTACCCGGCTTTGTGTAGTTGCCGAGGAAATCATCCAAGATGTTGTCGAAATCGCCTCTCGTCGGCCCGTCTACCGTCGACATGCCCGAAGCCTGCGACACGGACGCCATGTCGTCCATGTCCTCATTGTACGCTTCGTCGATCTTGTCAAACCGCGCATCCAGCAGCGTCATCTGGTCCGTTCGCACCATGGAGGACGATGTCATGGAGTAGCTTGACGCGTCGGTCAGTGCGCCCTTCCGCTTCTTGCGTTTGCCTCCGTTGGTAGTCGTGGTCCAGGCCGTCTGCATCTCTGAGGGCGCACCTGGTGGAAGCGCGCGCCCAGTCTTCTGCTCCTTTTTGAATTGCTTGAAGTCCTCCAGCCAGTCCTGCGAGGGTCCCTCCTCAGGCTGCTCGCCTCGGGTCTGCACTAGGTCTGGCGCGTCGTCGTTGTACTCCTTATTGGGTTTGGCAGTATCGTCAGACTCGTAGCCATCGTCTTCGTATTCGTCGAATTCGTAGTCCTCGAGCTCCTCGCCATCCTTTGTCAACTTCTTGAAGATATCGTCGTCGTCCTCATCAACATAGGCCTCGTCCTCCAGTGCCTCAAGCGCCTCTCGTAACCTGGGGTCCATGTCGGGTTGGAAGCCCTTTATTGAGTCCGGGACGTCCTGTTGTGCTTCATATGTCAACCTCGTCAAGTTCTTGGATGGTAGCATTTCCTCGTCCACGTCGACTTGCGAGCCCCCTTCAAGGTCCATGTCTTTGAGCGCATCGGCAAGTGACTGCTTTTGCTTGCCCTTGTTCAGGTTGCCGGTGGACTTGGCTTCGACAAACACTACGTCGCCTCCTGAGCCAGCGTTGAGGTCGCGCATGTGCTGCATGTAGTCGTACTCAGTGTCGTCGTAGTAGATGCCATAGTTCGCCGCCTCGCCCTCATTGGCGCGAATGTCCGCAGCCTCGGAACCAAACTCAGAGGCGAGGTCATCGAGCTGTTTTCCTTTCTTCGATGATCCAGGTTGCTTCTGCGTCGGGTTCAGCACCATGGAGGGAGCCTCATCGTCGTGGATGAGAGGGTCATTTTGTGGTCGATGGACGAGAGTGAAGTGTTGCGCCGTGCGCTTGTCGCTAGAAGGGAGTCAATCCAGAATATTCTACCAAGTCCGAAGTACTCGTACGTACATCCACTTGCCTTTAGCCATCTTGGCTAGCTTGAACTTTGGATGTGAAGTGTCAAAGAAATCGAGGATCTTTGGAACTTCAAGACAGGGCTGGGGCGGTTGGGCGAATGTGACATCAAGGCCCAAGGCACAGAGAGAAAAAGTTGGCGGGGCAGAAAAATTCCCCAAGGGTCTACACCGTTATCGTCTATCGCGACACTGTGCACGGAGCCTGCGTTACTGCGCTGCACACAGTATGAATACTCAAGATGAGATTTGCCCCTCCATCACGCCCATTATTCAGCCAAGGCCCAAGTCGAGTCACCCATCGCGAGCTCACACCTTTCCCATCTTCTCATCTCCATCTCAGACATCTGAGCAACGAGCCTGAACTATCCGGCTCCTCTATACTTCATTCTATACAACTGAACAGACTATATCGCCACCATGGTTCTGGCAAAGTCAAAGAACAAGGTGGGGTTGGGAAACTCCCTGATGAATGATCGCTTTGGCAAGGGCAAAGGCGGCGATCGCAAGAAGGCATCGGCAGTCACCCGTACAAACCACCAGACGGGCGAGGAGTACCTGATCAATGAGAAAGAAGATGCTTCGTGGGTCAAGATGCGCTCAGTCACCGAGCAAGGCGCTCTGGACGAGTTCCTCGCCACGGCGGAGTTGGCTGGTACCGACTTCACAGCAGAGAAGATGGACAATGTCAAGATCATCCACACCGACCAGAAGAACCCGTACTTGTTGTCGGCCCATGAGGAAAGGGTCGTTCTGGGAAAGCACAAGCAACACAAGGCCAGACTGACGGTACCAAGGAGGCCGAAATGGGATTCCAACACCACACCAGAGCAGTTGGATCGCAAAGAAAGAGACAGCTTCTTGAGCTGGAGGCGGGGGCTTGCAGAGTTGCAGGAGAACAACGATCTGTTGATGACGCCGTTCGAAAGGAACATTGAGGTCTGGAGACAGCTATGGCGAGTCATCGAGCGCTCCGACCTGGTGGTGCAGATCGTCGACGCCAGGAACCCCCTCCTGTTTCGCTCTGCAGACTTGGAGAACTACGTCAAGGACGTCGACCCGAAGAAGGAGAACTTGCTCCTTATCAACAAGGCCGACATGTTGACCCAAAAGCAACGCAAGGCTTGGGCTTCTCACTTGAAGGAGGCAAAGATTGCCTTCAAATTCTTCTCCGCTCGTCTAGCGACCGAGGCGAACGAGGAGGGCGACAGCGACGATGAGCCAGAGGCGTCGTCCTCCAAGCGGCCAGCGCAGCAAGCTGTGTCCGAGGGCGTGAGTCTTGGGGATGACAATGACGACGGCATCGTACCAGCGGTGCCCCTCGACGAGGAGGATATAAAGATCCTCACCATTGAAGAGTTGGAGGGCATCTTCCTGCGCCACTCGCCTACTAATACCGGTCAGTCTATCCCTTTTCCCTACATGACAGGTTTGTCTGACTTTTGTCCAGAGGGCGACCACAAACTTCAAGTCGGTCTCATCGGGTATCCCAACGTGGGTAAATCATCCACCATCAACGCCCTCATCGGCGCCAAGAAGGTGTCCGTCTCTGCCACACCCGGTAAGACGAAGCACTTTCAGACCATCCACCTCAGCGAGCGCGTCATCCTGTGCGATTGCCCTGGTCTTGTCTTTCCCAACTTTGCCACGACCAAGGCCGACCTGGTCTGCAACGGCATTTTGCCCATCGATCAGATGCGAGAGTTCGCCGGGCCTTGCGGTTTGGTCACCCAGCGTATTCCCAAGAGCTTCTTGGAGGCTGTGTACGGTATCCGCATCAAGACACGCGCCCTTGAGGAGGGCGGTAGCGGTACGCCCACTGCCAGCGAGTTGCTGCGTGCCTATGCCTCAGCACGTGGCTATCAAACGCAAGGTCTCGGACAGCCTGACGAGTCTCGCGCCGCACGCTATGTTCTAAAAGACTATGTGAATGGCAAGCTGCTGTACGTTGAACCACCGCCTGGTATCGAGGATGCCAAGTGGTTCAACCGCGAGTTGTACGACGAACTCCACCTTCCCGAGAAGCGACGGGCGGCTCTGGTCTCCGCCACAGATGACATGTCACTGAACGAGGCCAAGGACGGTGGCGCGGACACCGAGTCCATGATCTCGGAGTTTGTGGCCCTCCCAGCCGGTCCCAAGTCCAAGCAGCTCGACAAGGGCTTCTTTGGCGCATCAAGCTCAGGGGGCAAGATGACCATGCCGTTCAACCACAAGTACACGGAGCAAGGGCGCGAGAAGCCGATATCAGGACGCAAAGCGCGGACGCTCGTCGCGCTGGAGAATGGGATAGACCCCAAGGATGTGCAGGTTGTGTCGGGGAAGAAGCACTACAAGGGCGGCGCGAAGTCGAAGAAGGGGAAGAAGAAGGCGCAGGATTCGGATGAGGATTAGGCTTCGTGACGAATCGAAGAGAAAAATGAATTTCATGGTATCACGGCATCCCGCGCCGGAAGTCTCTATCAGTTGACGCTGTCATCACAATCCTCAGAGCTAGACATGCATGTCGGCAACTTCCTCCCATGCCACGGACATGGTGAACGCGCCGGCAGTTCTGTCAGCAAACCATTAGGCTCATCACATCTCGTTAGTGTCGTCGTTCGACGCTGCATCCGCGAACTGGCGTGAAGGAGCCGCCAGAGTGGCCCCCATCTTCGAACAATTTTGCTAGTCGGTACCTCGGCGATGACCAGTCAACCGCAGCCACAGCAGGTACTCGGTAATAGAATTGCTCCTCTTAGATTTGAACCAGGCCTGCTGTTCCTGGTCGACATTCAGCTCCTAAGCGCTCGCCCAATGTGCGCCCAGCTCCAACATGTTTTTAAGCGCCCATCTGCCCGACAGCGCGCCTCGCAACTCTCATTGGCCGGGACACACGACAGTTGGCCAAACAATGTTCTTTACAACCGCTCAAGAGCAGCCCTCGTGATGGTTCATGTTGCGGTCAACGATGTGATGAAGACTTTCTGGGTTAGACTAGGGCGTTTGGACGTGCCTCCGCGCGCATCGCCATCATCCACATCGTGGGGTTCGCGATGTGATGGGAATATGTAAACCGTCTGTTGCGCGCTGGTGGTATGGAAGGAAGTTGTTTGAATCGCTCTTCTAATTCATTCTCTTCGTCTTTGCTTCTCTACCTTGGGCATTGACTGCCTGTTCCGTCGCTACGACTCTGACCCCTTACACTCCTACGCTTTTAATTCCAACACAAGCTGGTCTTGTGACATTCTTTCATTTACTACATATTAATTCGAAACGTTATGGCGATCATTAATGCCTTGGCCGTACTGTTGACCGTGATCCACATCACGGCCGCCTTACAGGTCACACCAGGATCCCCTTGCTCATCCGTCTGCCTTGACGATCCAGATCTTGATGACTCGGACCCCGAGTCTTCCAACACGACACCGGAGGATATCGTATGCAACGTAAAAGACTTTATATCGGAAGCAAAAGGCCAAAAGTTCCAGAGATGCTTGAACTGTCTGCAGGACAGCGGGTTTGAGCACGGCCATGAGAGCGACCAGCAATGGTTCTTCTGTAAGTGTGACAATCGTCTTCGGGAGCATGAGCTAATCTTGCTCAGACAATCTGAGATTCGCTGTCAACTACTGTGTCCTTGGTGACTTCAACGCTACAGACATTGAGGCTGGTCCTTGCGCCACCAAGGAATCATGTGGTGCTCTCGACAAGACACTGAGCGACGGTCTTCTCGAGCCAGCATACTCTGAAGCGTACGACTACTGCGATGCCAGCAACAGTGTTGTTCTGTCGAGCTACATGGATGACTGTGTCACCTGCGTCCATTCATTTAACCCCTATATGGCAAATTGTATGGCTATTCGTGCCTATCGCCCAAAGAAATTTATTAACGCATGTGTATTAGTCCTAACAGCCATTCAAGCCGGATGCGAGCAGAAGCCTCTATCAGGGACAATTGTCGGACTCAACGAGACCATCTTCACAACGAATACCGTCCTCATCACAGACCCATCAACAACGTCATCTGCCGACACGTCGACTGGCCCTGTACTCTCACCACCAGCTATTGCAGGCATCGCCATTGGTGGCGTCATTCTCATACTCCTCATAGCAGGATGTGTATACATGCAAATCCGAAGACGCCGCAACATGAAGAGGATCCGGCGTGCTTCACCGTTGGAATTCAGATGCCAGACACATGTCACGCCCTTGACGGCAGAATTTCCGCCTGGCGTGGGAGAGAAACCGTTCGTTTGTCCGTCAGCCGCCTTGGGATCCAATCCGCCAGAGAAGAGGTTGACGAGTATCGTCACAACCACGCCCCCCATGCCAGCCAAGGCAGCAGCATCTCCAAGGCTTGGCGAGTACACGACACCAACATCCACCACCTCGATCCGGTCCAATGCGCCGTTGTTGAGCTCCAGCTACAGGCCATACGTACCTGCGGAGTATGGCCTGTCGGGGACCCCTGGGTTGGCCATCACCACGACCGAGCGGTCTCCCTACCAGGGGTCTCCTAGCCCACGTCACGCATCGTTCGCGGAGCAAAACAGCTTGTCACCGCAGCAGAGCCAGACCGTGTGGGAACAGCCAGAGTCGGGAAGAATAGTAAGAGACGCGGGGAGGAGAAAAAACTCACCGGCTACCAATGGCTCACCGACATCGATGACCAACATTCAGACATCGTTCCCTCCACCACCAAGTGGACGGCGTTAGAACAGCACTAGAATAGAAATTGCTAGGTTCTAACGAATGCTGCAACATCTCAATGCTATTCCTGGCCATACCCAGTTATATACATACAGCGCCCATTGTCCTTGCAATTCGCATGAAAAGCCAACCAATCCCAATCCACCTCGCCGCCGGTCGACGCGCCTCCTGGGCCTTTCAACCCAAACTGCGGCGTCTGGAGCAGTGACTTGCTGGCACGCCGGTACGGTCCTTTCACGTTCCTACTATAGGCGTACTTGATGTCGTACTTGGGGTCCGTGAAGCAGTGACTGCTGTAGAAGAGCACGTACGTTCCATCAGGACGGATCGTCAGCTCGGGCGCTTCGATGAGCGCGCCGTCCAGGTCCGGGATGCGATCCAGCAGAATGGTCGCTGCGCCCATCTTGGTGCATCCATCGGAGGGGGAGACTTCTTGCAACATGAGCGGCGTCTTGAGATTCGGGTCGCCGGTGCCGGTGCCGCATTGCGAGAAGTCGCCCCTGGAGTTACCGTCTACCTTATAGACGACGTACTGTCTGCCCGTGGTAGGATCACGGAAGCCAGCGGCGTCAATGGCGCCGCCTTCCTCCCTTGGGCATACCCACGGCTCCGGATCGGCTGTATAAGGGCCCTCGAGTTTGTCTGAGCGTGCCACGCCGACGCAGTGCTGGTGCGAGTCGGGCATCTCGCCTGCAAAGTACATAATGTACGAGCCATCGTAGAGGCGCTTGACGTCTGGTGCCCAGGTGTTGCGACCCGTTGTCCACGTGTTTTCGGGCATTGCGTCAATGCCCAAGCGCTCCCATCTTCCGAGGATATTGGTGGTGCGTGATCTGGCCACTTGAATGTTTCGACCGCCCGAGTTGGTGGCAAAGGCAAACCAGGTGCCGTTTTCGTGCCGGATCAAGGTTGGGTCTGGGAAATCAAACGGCACACTGGGCCCCATGGCGAGTCCGTCGTGTAGGATCCGAAGTCGTAGTCCATGATGGTTGCGTGAAACAAAGCTCAGTGGCATTGCCAGGCCGTACAGGAGGAACACTGCCAGGATGATAAAGATGGTAGCACCAGCCATGGTGAAATAGATTCGATGACGACGAGAAGGTCGCTGCTGCTTGAATTTTGTCTCGAGCAGGTGTGCTCTCCTGTGCGCCAAAAGGGGCGCTTCGACGCCTGATATATATCTCTGCTCCATGTTTGCTGGCGTTGACGTTACTACAGCCACTGCAGCTCGTTAACGTATGGCGCGAAAAAGTCAACGATAGACAGTCTCATCAAACATGACTGAGTTTCGCTGGCTTAATCCTCCGACTGGTCAGTGAGCTTGTTGGGAAAGGTAGTGCCTGATGGCAAGCTGCGCTGGTCCCAAGGAGGCGGGACTACATGTACTCTACCGTGACACCGGCCGCCCCATCAAGGCCATCTAGTCTGGGACAGTGAACTCTAGCCTCTAGGGAATCAGAGGGATCCACGGGCAGAAATTCATGCCATGAAATAAGTGTGCCTGATTGCAAGATATTCGCTGGCCTTGTGTGACATCCCAGTGATTGGGACAATGATGCTTTGTTGTAGATACTTCGTAGCACAGGGTGAGGAGTGAGGAAAAGAGGTCAGAGGTGGGAGAAAGCTGGAGTCGCGTGGGCTCGGAGTATTCAACGTGGCGCTGGTCACAAGCGCCATGCGACGAGCCAAGACCCAGTGACCAAGGTTGTCCTCACGTCGCCTTGATGTTCTATCATGAGACTTTCCACGACTCACTTGGGGTCTGTAGTACAGGGTATGCGTCGAGCATCGTGAAGCCTCGAGAACACAATTTTGCCCCGTCGGCCTAATGGCCTAGATAGGAAACTTGGGCCTTCAGAAATCATGAATGAAGCCTCGGCATTGCTGTGAAATTTAGCTCCAGAATCAGATTCAAATGACAACCCGTACGGCTTTTCTCTCCGTCTCTAATGAGCCTCTTCCTCAGCTGCTGGTGTCACTGGATCTTGAATTGTCAACCACATCCTGGTGAACCGAAATCTTCTCCTCCACTCCAATAAGCACCAGCCATGTCTCGATCTCGTCCGAGTGCATCATCCAAGCCGACGAGCAAGCCCAATGGACTGACAAATGCATACCTCTGCTTCTACAACACCGCATCAGCTCTGCTACGGATCTGGATCTTGGTGCGCGTGTCAATCTTGTGGAGAGTCCAAGGCAACGCAGCTGTCTGGGCCGATCTCAATCTCATCGCGCGGTGGACTGAGACCCTGACCGCCATAGAAGTCGTTCACGCCATTACAGGCCTCGTTCGCGCTGCGCCTGCCACGACAGCCTTGCAGGTCGCAGGGCGTAACACCATCATCTGGGCCATCACCAGGAATTATCCAGATGTCGCGGCCAGGGAGACGGCCTACAGCCTTATGCTGATGGCCTGGAACGCCGCCGACGCTGTCCGATACCTCTACTTTGCTCTCCAGACAGGCACCGGGCGGGTTCCCTCGTTTCTTCTGTGGTTACGGTACAATCTGTTCATTGTGCTCTACCCTATCGGTATCTTGTCCGAAGCACGCCTTGTCTATCAGGTCATCTCGCCTTCAAAAGCTCGGAATGAATTGTACCAGTATCTTCTGTGGTTTGGACTAGCGATATACGTCCCCGGTAAGCAGAAAACGACCGAGAATCAATGTAGAACCCGACACTGACACTTCCGGTAGCCTTCTACTTCCTCTATGGTCATATGCTGGCGCAGAGAGCCAAGTTGGGTAGACCCAACAATAAGAAGGCACTATGATCGCAGCTTGGTGTCGGCGTCTATTTGACATCAACCCAGGGGCCTCTAAGACTGTCAGTCTGTGGGAAGCTCTGGCGGCGTCTGAGCACAAAAAAAGTAGCATTGCGCTATGTCGACCAAAGATGACATGCTGTTGGACATAATGGTCCATAGAGATAAGTACAAGGCATCAGAAAGTCTACTATGTCAACATTATACGTAAACCCAGCGTGGAACAGCAGTCGAGACACAAGGTTTGGTGCGACTCAACATCAAGAGTCATTGCACCTGGTGCGCGATTCTGTCGGCATGCGAGATCTATCGAAATCAAAGAGCCGAACGACAAAAGCACAATAGAGAATGTCTTTTATGATGCACATGCTTTGATTGTGATCCTCACTACTCATAAACCCTTGCCGATAATGTCTGAGCCAGAAACGCCGGGTGCCAGAAAAAGCCACACTTTTGTAGTGATACAGCGTAGCACAAACAATCAAGAAGAACAGACCCCTAAGAAGTACCCCAAACGACCATTTGCAGCCAACAAGACGTGTGATCGTGACCGTCTGCTCCAACGAGACAACGAGCCACAAGATTTTCAAGCCATCAGCCCCTTAATCGCTGTCCTCATCGTCGTCCTTGGACTTCTTCGCAGCCTTGGCGGCCTTCTTCTCTGCCTTCCTGCGTTTCCGCTCGGCCTTCTCTTCGGCTGTCTCGCCATCGTGCTTCTTCCTCTTCTTGCCGTCGTCGGCATCCTCAGCAGGCACAACCTCCATCTTGGTGACAGTGGTCTCCTCAACAACAGGGGCGGCCGCGGCGGCAGCAGCAGCAGCGACACCATCAGCAGGCGCAGCGTAGTCCTTGTATCCTGAGGTCCACTGGGCAGGGGTCGACTCATTGGGGCGGCCGAACTTGTCGAGCTTGCCGTCGGCCTTGAGCTTCTTCTTCTCGGTGGCGACGGGGCCAAGTCCCCAGCGGCGGGGGTACAGGTCGCGCTCCATAATGCAGCGCTTGACCTTGGCGACAACACCGTGGTCGCATGTGGTCATCTCGACGGTCGACATCTGGGCGATACCCAGGGCAATGGCCTCACCCTTGGTGGTCATGAGGACAACCTCCTCGTGGTGCTCAATCTCGGCCTCTGTTTTTACATTAGCATGTGTACATTTGCATCGCCCTTGTCGGAAATACATACCATAGCGCAGAAGACCGGGAAGCATGAGCTTGGCACCGTAGCAGACAGCGTTGACGGCGCTGTCCTTGACAACCAGGCGCTTGTACGAGGTCAAAAGAGTCTCCAGGGGCGAGATGACCTTGCGCAGGTACGTCTCGTCGCGCGTGTTGTCCATGGTCCACTGAGCATCCAACACATCGTGCAGCGTAACGAGCTGCTTGGTCTCGTCCATGGCTCCACTCCTGACACGGCGCAACTCCTGCATGTGGGCGCCGACACCGAGCAGAAGACCCAAGTGCACGCAGAGGGTACGGATGTAAGTACCAGCCTCGCAGCTGACCCAGAAGACACCCAGGTGGCGCTCGTTGTCAAACTCAATGAGCTTGCTCTCGTGGATGGTACGGATACGGAGCTGACGCTTGACCGCGGAGATCAGAGGCGGGCGCTGGAACAGAGCACCGGTGAGCGACTCGAGAGCCTTGGCGAACTGCGCCTGGCCACCGGGGACCTTGTCGTG